TTCGAAGGTGGACTCGGCGCACACATCGGCTAGGTAGGCGTTGCCGTTCTGCCCGAAGTAGACATTGACGGAGCTCGCAGAGGACGATGCCAGGGCTGGCACTGCGGCAGCCGCAACCACGAGAAAGGCCTCGTGGAGACCCATTATTTTATATGTATGTATTAAAGAAGCAAAATGCTTTGAATTGAGAACGAGTGGACTTGGCCGTAGCCGGATAGAACAAAAGAGTGTAGGTAGTCTTGCGATCAAAGACAGGACGCAAAGAGATCTTCGCAAAGCCAGATGGCCCACCGTCACTTGGTATCTTGACAAGACGGACGGAGAGAGGGATGGGAGAGAGAAGAAGAAAAGAGAAAGAGAGGACGGCAGAAACGCCGGCGAAGTTGATTCAACCTACATACATATTTGGTCCTCGATACAAGCGGCCTGCCTGGCAGCTCAGGAACATCCCCACCAAAACCACCTGAGCAAGGAGTAGGAACCTGCCAATAGTCGGGGTTCTGGCCTCACGACAGTGTCATGGGCCATGGTGGCGGACTTCTGAGCCCTGCATCCTCACCACGCTACTCTGTAAGCCCCCCGCGCACACACTGACTGCAGCAATTTCCTGTCTAGATGCAGGCAGGCGGAGTCTCGTCATGATAGAGATCCTCCTCATGGACACATCCAGCTGCTTGGATGGGGTCAACATTGGGACTAGCACCAGAGGCCTTTCCTTCCACAGATGGTGTCGCGAGGAACAGGAATAGCGTCAGGTCCCAGTGCTGCTGGTGTAACCGTGTCGAGAATGGCTCAAGGAGAATCCCCATTGGACAGGTCCACAGTATTCAGGCGGCTAAGGTTGGCTTGAAAACAAAAAGGTGACGGAGTACGGGCGTGACAAGCAAGTTCACCAGTCAAGTATGTGCATAGGAAGCTGTGTGAGGGTCTGAAAGCCTGATCTTGGATGTAAACGCCCCGGTCCCATGTTATCGGGTCCAGCTACAGACGAGGCGCTCCTGTCTGCAATCTCCCTTCAGACCGCTGAATACGACAACACCTGAGGCCTCACGATGATACTAGTCAAGAGTCAAGTGAGGCTGAAGATGTCCCCCTGCCTGACACCTGAACGCACGCACCTCAATGAGACCTACTAAGGACGTTGTCTGGCGTCTCGTCAGCTTCGTGGTCCATGAAGAATGGGGAGGGTTGACTACTTGTCTGTCTGTGCATAGGATCCGCCCAAAAGGAAGGGGAAAAAAAGATAGGGAAAAAAAGCCACACAACAAAATGTAAGTACTAGGGCCAGATTACAGCCTGTTCAGCACCAAGCTCGAGATCTATAAGGCATCTAGGCCCACGAGACCCCGTGCGTATCAAGTAATCCATGGTAGTCTAGGAAGTGCAAGCCTCGGCGTGCTCGGATTAGGGGTTGAGGCGGGCCGGCGATAGCTAGGTGTCCAGGTAGCCCCTCACAGCGGCTCTCATGACTCAAGAGGGGTTTTGAGGCCGCGGTTTGCTGACCAACAGCAGAAGACTGTGGCGTAGAGGTCTCGGCACAGCTGAATGGCGATGGGTTTGGAACACCTGCTGCAGCAACTCAACTTATCCAAACAATGACTTGCCGAATCCCAAGACCAACATAATTTGTCTGTCTGTGAATCATGATGAGGACGATATTGTTCTACACTGCGTGGTCAAGTTGGAAAGGGACCCGGCTGTGGGAACTTCCATGGATAAGGGCTCGGAGAATAAGATTGACATCAAGTTTAACCTTGATCATCCCTTAACTATGACTATGGCCGACGGAGTTCCCAGGATTCTATTTTGTGCATTCTCCACCAGAGTGGGTATAACTAGCACATACCAAAAGTCCCATGGTATACATTCTCTCAGAGGAACTTTTCTGGGGACGTGGTTCCAAAAGGACGCAAAATATTCTGTCCAGGTATATTGAGGGTGGTCGCTGCTATGGTATATGTCCGTGAACAACATTGAACAGACTGAATTCACCGCCAAGTTATGTTTTGTTCGAATTCTTGTCTGGACCGCTCCCACTCCGGGATGATCACTGCATCAACGAGCCCCTGAGTTAATATAGCGCTTCCATTTCCCTGGTTCCTTAGTATCAGGGGCAAGGTTCCTCGGTTGTCGCCGGATCAGCGCTGTGGTCCAGGACAGCACTGAATGACATGCATCCCCCAATACCACCCACCCACTTGCGATGCAGTCAGCAGGAGCACGGTGCACAGCCAAAATCGACTACTTACTTCCATTTCCATCGTCCTCCGTTCCTCCGTGTATCATGCGCTTTCAGCAAGAGCCCTACGCGCTGGCGAGATGTGTAGTCCTGTAATTATATCCTCCGTGCAGGGTCTTCAAGAGTACAGTAAACAATGTTGTCCCGATTCGTGCATACTCCCACGGACCAGGATGAGAAGCATATCCACTAGACCCTGTGAACCGCTGAGCTCATAGAAGCCAGAATAGGGAAAAGAAGATTAAAAAAAATTTACAGCCGGACCAGTGAAAAGGTACTGTACCATAGTAGACGTGAGGCTCTGTGGAACAGTGGAGTCAGCACGCGATTCCCAGGTGCCAAGCCCGAACCAACAGGCGCCGTCTGCGAGCAGCAAATTGAGGCCTGGAGGACATGCCAGGGGTGTGTAGAGAGGATCGTACGATGAGGAAGTGAATGATGGAGCGGGCCGCACTTCCGGTGCAGAACCTGATAATAGATCACCTCGAGTTAAATGCTGGATATTGAGGCACTCCACTAATTGTATCTTAGCTCTGGCAAAATCCCCTTCCGGCTGTCGCTTCCATCCCCTGTGATGGAACGAGCCACTTGGTGGTCTACTAGTAGGAAAGAAATCTCCTGCACGCTACAGTGGAGTACTACATGGTAGTCTCAAACAGGCACCAGGATGATAGAGCTCAGTCGGACACAAGAAAGGCCATGAATATGCTGTACTTCCTGCATACTTCGCCTTTTCCAAACACCTACTGAGATACTGTCGCTCTGCGGCATGTTTGCTCTGGCAATGCCATGTTTGAGAGCTTGAGGGTCTGAAACTGTATGAGAAGTGTGAGTGGACGGCGAACACCGGCCAAAGTGGCTGTCCAAGTTCACACTCTTAGGCAAGGCAGGAGGGCCAGCAAGCTTCCAGGTATTGACAATATTGAAGTGACGAAGAATCTGCCATTTCTTCCTCGGGAAACCCATGCTCTAGACAGATTTCGCCAATGAATACTATATGTTAGCTTATCATACGCTTCAGTCACTAAAGCTGCTGATCATCCTAGCATCTGCATTTTACTAAAATAAAAAATAAAAAAAAATTGCTGTGACTGAGAAACAACTATCGTCAATTCCTATGTTGTGCATAATTCTCTCTTCTTACTCGTGGAGAAAATGTGCATTTTTGATACTTTGTTTCACAAGGCTTGGTCCGAGGGACTATTCTATCTGGATACTCCAATGATCACCTACTTACTTATGTGCACTCAAGTAGGTGCATTCACAGGTCGAACCACTAGTCGCTGGACACTCCTGAACAAGCAGCATGCTCTCAGATGGAAAGCATTTATATCCACCTTGCAGCAACCTGGAGACCCAGTGAAGATGGATCCAATGACAAGCCATCCAGAAAAACCGTGCAATAGGCACCTCATCTCATGAGCATTTGATCAGTGTATTGTTTTGCGTTGGATTAGGTGATCACGGGAATTCAGATTATATTGCCACAGGCTTCTACAGCTTCGTTGGTTCAAACTTCCAATCATGATGAAAATTCATGCCTCTTGTAGATTATATTAATACTGTTCAAAAAGAATCGAGGTAACTTCCGTAGCAGAGGTCTCGTAGATAGATCAGCAAAGAGGCATCTGGTTTCAGTACCTTGGTGAGACTGTGTCCAAATGTTGGGATGGGTAAGTACTTGAGTAGGTAGGGTTTATGCAGATGGAGGTTTGGTACGTTAGAAACAGCACTACTAAGTACTTAAGTACTTACTTATGTACCATGTCTTGGCTGACAAGGTGTATTAAAGAAACATTTGTCACTGCGCTCAGCAACATTCGTTTCTCATGATCTATTGAGGTCCAAATTTGCACCAGAGATAGCCAATATCACGTTTAAGTCTTGTACGCAAAGCTACTGTGAAGCATGTACCTGAAATCAAATGCCTTCGTGGATGAAGTCTATATACTATAGGTGGCATCAAGTATGTCGTGAGCTTGAGTGAATCTTTTGTAAATTGGCAATCAGGAAATGAGTGACAAATTTGTGTCTCTCACAAATACTCCTCAGAAAGCTGATTTTAAGTCTTTTCCATCTCTTTTGGTGTGTTCATTCTTGTTGATTTAGGACTGAGGACCAGGGGCTATAGACACACTCTGCACTTGAGGAATGAAGAGACGTGGCGATTTTCATCCCAAGGTGTCTCTGAGTCCTGGGACTTGAAGAAGTACAGACGAAATCTTTCCATTGTCAGATCCGAAGAATGGGGGTTCATTGAGTGAAATTCTAATTTGTTTGCAGCCCAGGCAACCGGAAGAGAAATCTTGTTGCAGAGGCTGGATTTCTCAGAGAGGACTTTGCTTTGCTTGCCCACCTTCGTTGTAACAGGGTGATCATGTTCCCTGAAACAACCCACACACAACTCGTCACACAGTACAGAGAATCCCACACGTATTGAAATTCACATTTGGAGCTTTGCCTTCGAGAGAGCTCAGACATTGCATTGCCCTCTTCATTATGCATAATAATTAAAAAGGTGCGCAGTTCAGTATGGGAGGGGGGGGGGGGTGAAGTTCACAGCTTACAAAGAAGGGAAAAGCCGTGTTTGGCGCCTTGGCATCCGCAATGACGTCGAGATAATCAAAGAGCGGCGATAGGCCGCAGACGGTAATTAGGCGCCTGCCCTTGGTGGGGGCGGGGTTGAGACACACACGAGCACTGAGCCTCTTTGATCGTAGGCGGCTGAATCGTCCTCTAGCTTCAACTACCGAGAACAAAGATCACCACTCCCGTCAACTCCCGACCAGATCTGCTTCTTGCCACAAAGCACTTTCATCATTATCTAGCTTAACATAGTGCCTGGTAGCTTTATTCTTTGGACCTTGACCCATTCGTGTCTGTTCAGCACACCAGATCCCGTCGCTGTTCAGAGCTTGGTTGCCTCACATCATCCGGCAGACCCGACCGTTTGCGAATTGCGCCATCCTTGGATATAGGCAAGGAAAGACACCAAGATGAGGTCGCAGCTCAAGAAGCCCTCGTCTGCATCAAGCAGAGATGCCGAGCTATCAGCTCAGTTCTCCCAGGCCTCCCTATCCGGCCTCCCGCCTCTCCAGAACCGCGCCGCCCAGAGCTCCAGCCCTTATGTCCGTGCACACGCTTCTTCGCCTGTAGCATGGCAGCTGCTGGACGATGAAGCAACACAGAGGGCCAAGAAGGAGAACAAGCTGGTCTTCATGAATATCGGTTTCAAGTCCTGCCATTGTCGGTCTTGCCCACCTCGCCTTGTCTTGACAGCTACATCTCCCAGACACGATGTTGGTGCTAACACCCCTCTCTTCTCCAGATTGCCATCTTACCACCACAGAATCCTTCACGCATCCAGAAGTCGCTAGGCTGCTGAACAAATGCTTCATCCCCGTTGTTGTCGACCGTGATGAGCGACCAGATATCGACAATATCTACATGAACTATATTCAGGCTATCAACGGCTCCGGTGGCTGGCCTCTCAATGTTTTTCTGACATCGGACCTCGAACCCGTGTTTGGTGGGACGTACTGGCCCTCGCCTGGAACGGAGCTGGTTGGCATCGATGGTGAAGAGGTGTCCGAAGATGAGAGGTTAGATTTCTTGGTCATACTGCAGAAGATGAGAGATGTGTGGCCTGAGCACGAGGCTCGCTGCCGCCAGGAGGCCAAGGAGATTGTCTCGAAGCTGCGAGAATTTGCTGCCGAGGGAACACTCGGAACGAGAGGAGTAGGTTCAGCAACAAATGCCGGAACTTCAAGCGCTGCAGTGCCGCCGGATCTGTCGGGGAGCCCGATGGCCGCCGATTCCGATTTGGATCTGGACCAGCTTGAAGAGGCTTACACGCATATTGCTGGGACCTTTGACCCGGTCAACGGTGGATTTGGGGTTGCGCCCAAGTTTCCTACGCCAGCAAAGCTGTCGTTTCTGTTGAAACTAACCCACTTTCCGCCCTCGGTAGCGGACGTCGTGGGCGAGAAGGAGGTCACACACGCCACGCATATGGCCCTGCTCACGCTGCGGAAGCTACGCGACGGAGGTCTCCGTGACCACGTCGGAGGCGGGTTCCATCGCTATTCTGTCACGGCAAACTGGTCGATGCCACACTTTGAGAAGATGGTTTCAGATAACGCTCTGCTGCTGGGCGTGTATCTCGATGCTTGGCTGTCTACCGCGGCCAAGAAGAGCAAGATAGAGAAGGAGGATGAGTTTGCGAATGTTGTCTTTGAGTTGGCTGAATACTTGACCGCTGCTCCCATCCAGCGACCCGACGGCGGCTTCGTCTGCGGTGAAGCGGCCGACTCATATTACAGGAAGGGCGATGCGCATATGCGCGAGGGCGCATATTACTTGTGGACAAGAAGAGAATTCGACCAGGCACTCACAGGCCTAGACTCACAAGTCAGTGCCGTTGCGGCAGCACATTGGAAGGTCCTGGAGCATGGAAACGTGGACCGGGAACAGGATCCCATTGACGAGTTCATCAACCAAAACGTGCTATACACGGTCAAGGATGCGAAGGAGCTCGGGCAACAGTTTGGCATCTCTCCTGAAGAAACCCAGAAATTGATCGAAGTGGCAAGAGAGAAATTGAAGGCCCATCGGGAGAAAGACCGTGTCAGGCCGGAGACGGACGATAAGGTCGTTACCAGCACAAACGCAATGGTCATCTCAGCTCTGGCGAGAACAAGCTCAGCGGTCAAAAGCATCAGCCCCGTCAGTGCTGAGAAGTACCTGAAGGCGGCAATAAATGCAGCAGATTTCATCAGGGGGAAGCTGTGGGATGATTCGACCAAAACCCTGTTCAGATCTTATTCTACTCAGCGAAGCACGACACAAGCGTTTGCTGAAGACTACGCCTTTCTCGTCGAGGCTTTGCTGGACTTGTACGAGACGACGGGCAATGAAAGCTGGCTACAGTGGGCTGATGCCCTTCAGAGTAAGTCATTTCGTTAGACCTTTGTTTTCCCTCACATAGTACTTACTGAACGGCTGCACAGAAACCCAAATCGACCTCTTCTACGATCCTACGGTCCCCAGCACGTCCCGCCCGGTCACGCCGATGGCTCACCACTCGGCATGCGGTGGCTTCTATTCGACTACGGACGAAGCGTCGCACGTCATCCTGCGTCTCAAAGACGGCATGGACACCGCACAACCGTCCACGAATGCCATTTCTGCATCAAACCTTTTCCGGTTAGGCGTCATGCTCGGCGATACGCACTACACGAAGCTTGCTCGTGAGACCATCAATGCCTTCGAAGTAGAAGCCTTGCAATACCCCTGGTTGTTTATCGGCCTGCTTGGAGGTGTAGTTACAGCCCGGCTTGGGGGCATCGTGTGGGTCACAAAGGCCGACAAGGATGAGGAAGAACTGAGACGGAAGTTTTACGAGTTGCCACGCGCGGGCCTGAGGAGTCTGGTCCTTTCACAGGGAGGAGACTGGCTAGGAAGCACACGCAATAACAAGGTGGCTCAACTAGGCGAAGGGACGTACGTCTTTGATGGGGAGTACCAGCCTTTTAAAGAGGATTAATTTTCCTCGAATCGGCCTCATCTAGGGGTATTGAATGCATATCTGGGCGTCTAGGGCCGGACTCGAGGGGTTGGGGAATTTTCCTGCGGCGTGTTTGGTCTGTTTTCAAGTATTGCTTGTCGCGTTAAACATCGTGGCAGATGGATAATCTGGTTCCATGGGTGGGCTCAGGGGCGGCGTTGGTGTAAATTGAGCTAGATTCACAAGTGCGGGTCCCCCCCCCCCCTCCCTTTCTTTCTTGAATGGCCTGGCGTTCGCGGAGCATGGCTCATCGATCATTCCTTCGTGCGCGGGCCTGTTGCTCCTGAGCGGGCAGCCGTAGTATGATCCCAGAGGTATTATAGACAATCTCACCGCAATCAGTATGACGAGGTCGACATCATCGCGTGGGTCTCGAAAATCCATATGTGTGCTGGCCTCCCACCAGCCCTGCAATTTGACCCGGAAAGCTCATATGTCAAAAGCCAGATCTAACCTAGATATCGCCGTCACTATATCGACGTCACGACTTGGCCTTCTCACGCGGAACGCTACCAACTCTGGCGATGACCCCTCACGGATTGGTTTGGTTCCTACGTGGCTCCATACCTCGACCCTGCGGTCGTGTGTGTATACATATATTGTAACTTGGACGACGACTTCACCGGGCTCTACTCGCACCACACCGCACCACATCGAGCGAGACTAATGTTAGTTGTGCGCCAGCCTGCTCACTTGACTACTGAAGTAGTTAGCGCACGGCGGTGGATGGTCCTACACGCGCCTGGCACTGCCGATGATGTGTCCTGCAGGCTCTCGCATGGCAATTATTATTCACTGGACTGAAGCCAGATGGGCCTGTCGGGGGATATCCGCACTATGCAAGATGTGAGAGGACGGCCTACATCCGATACACATGCCATCTTTTATTTCATGTTGCCTCAAGTGTGTGCAGGTGGTCTATGCACAAACAAGCCGCACCGGCGAGCACCAGTTCTACGATGGTCTATCGAGGAAACAAACTTTTGTGAAGGCATAGCAAGGAACAGCGCTTTCGAATTACTGTCACTCGTTACTGAAATGGCCGAGTCGACTGTGTGGAAGGTCGCTGTGTAAATACGAACGGAGGTCAGAGATGGGTAAACCGGCCAAGCTCTTCAAAGACCGTGTCAGAAGAGCAAGCTAAAATGACTTCTGCGTAGTGGTATGATAGATCAACGAGCTTGGGCACGAGACACTATGTCCCCAAGCCGTTCAGGGATAAATTTCGACTACAACTCATCCGTCACGGCTTGCAGATCCGGTCGCAGACGTCAAGCTACAAATGAGAGACTAAGTAGATACTTGGTAGATATCGGAGGGTGAGGAGCTCTCATCACATGTCAATCCACCTTGATTCAGACTCAGATCTCCTAAGTTTAGTCTTTTCTCAAAGGAACAAGGTGTGTTGTAGTTATACATGATCGCTACCAACCGATGAATCATAGTTTACTGTGTTATGGCCAGACACTCCGAATAGTATTTCACATGCCTGACCCTCAAGAGTCTTGAAATTAGCAAACATCCCCGAAAAACTATATATGGTCGAGGAAACCCACCACTTTCCGTTCCTTCCCCTCTTCTTCCTCAGTTATCCTCTTGCTTCTGTAAACTCAAGCAATCTTTGACTTCTTCTACCTTTACGAATTCAGCAAAAGCCACCCACCAAGCGTTGACTTTTCAAAATTTCGTCTTTAACGAACATCGCCTGAGGTGCCTCACCTCTATTATTGTCGAACACCTTCTTATATTTTTTTCTTATACTTGATAAAAAACTTCCATCCCGTAGCGATCAATATGTTCGTCTACAGGATCCTCGCCCTGCTCTGCCTGCTCCTGATGATCGCTTTCCCCAACGCCGTTGAGGCAAAAAAACACAGAAGCGACTTTATTGTCGACCGTTTGAGCATAATCGGCCGAGAGACGCTGCGTCTCAACAAGACGCTTTACAAGTGGGATGGGTCTCCATTCGGTGCGCTGGCGATCCAGAAACAGCACAACAGGCTGGTCGACACCATCAAGCTCTCCACCAGCGAAATCATCCACAGCAGAGACTCGCGCTTACTGTACATCTCGGGCGCTATCAGAGTCAAGAGAGCGACCAAGGCCCTGATTACGACAACATCCGACACGCTTGAGACCCTGATAGCTATGGATTACAGGTTCAAGGACATCTTGATGCTGAAGAAGGTCCGCGACAACCTGAACGAGATTCGGGAGGTTTCAACACAGATGAACAACGCCATTCTACCAAAACTCCCGATAATCGCAAGGCCCATCGCTCGTCATGTCATCTGGACTCTGGACCAGCTTTTCGTACATGCCGTCCAGATATACGACTCCAGGCACGGAGACGGAGGCAATGATTAGTCTGACCGGATGACTTGGCTCTTTTGCCTGCGGATGTCGACACAACCTGGCTCTATGGAGACGTGTTTGTACAATCTGCTGCGGTTCAAACTGTTGGATACTTGCTCAAGGATGACTTGTGTCGGGTTGGCGTCATGGAATTGGAAGGCAAGGCGGCGGCGTTCTGAATATTCGAGATACCCTAGCATGGTTAATTAAAAAGTGTGATGATCAGGTCTCTACAGACTGACGATGTCTCGATTAACTCTATTTTTGATTGATCCCATTTTCCAAATTTTTTACATGTGCTGTGCCAAGTCTTCTCTGTTCGTCTTTTCTAAAACAACCCAGTAAGCAAATACAAAAATAACTAGGAGGGCAGGTTTGGCAGAATCGAGATGGCTCATTCTGATGTTAGATGAATCAGCAGTGATCACACAGAACGTTGCTAAGTACAGTACAGCAGTAGGTGGAAGCTGAGTGACCCCAGCTGTGCGCCCGCTATTTCCTCCCCCTGGCATAGCATTATCGCCCCGCCATTTTCTCTGCTTATCAAGCAAAGTTTTAATAATTCAACACCCTCGACAGTCGCAACTGGTGGTTTTCCTGAGGCTCCATTGCACTCAGCTCAACCTTTGTAGGGACTCTATCCCCTTTTTCCCCCCCTACAAGCACGCCCAAGAACCTCTATTTCTCTATTTCTCTTGAAAGCCCGCCATAATGTCCTCGAACAACCCCCACCACGACCCCGCCACGGGCGACGAAGAGCAGGACATGGTCGACCTGGACGAGGTAGCCGAGGAAATTGCTGCCGAGAATGAAGATGGTGACATCGACATGTCCGATCCTGAAGACGACGAGCACGAAGAAGTCCAACTCGTGAACGATTCCGTCGCGTACTTCGACACCCACAAGGACTCCATCTTCGCCATCGCACAACACCCCACGAACCCAAACATCATAGCCACTGGCGGCAGCGAGGGAGACGCGGACGATGCGCCAGGCAAGGGATATGTGCTCGTGATACCACAAGAGCTGGACCAAAGGGACGACGGTCCGGTGCTCCCCCCTAGCTACGCGGCGGACCCCAGCGCTGCCGCGAGGGAGCTGGCAAGTCAGAAGGAAAATATCCAAATACAGCCAGTATTCTCAATCGACGGACACACGGACTCGATCAATGCGCTGGCATTTACGCTGCCCAATGGAGACTTTCTCGTGTCGGGTGGTCTGGACGGTCGGCTGCGGGCGTACAAGGTCGACGCGTCGAAGCCGAGCTTCACGTTCCTAGGCGAGAGCCAGGAGGTGCCCGAGATCAACTGGCTGGCGCCCTGCCCAAATACAGATTACCCCAACTCCGTCGCACTCGGCGCCTCAGACGGCTCGGTGTGGGTGTACACGATCGACCCCTCGGATACCGCGACACCTCTACAGATCGTCCAGACCTACTTCCTCCACACCACGTCCTGCACGGCCGGCGCTTGGACTTCTGACGGATCCCTTTTGGCAACCGTCGACGAGGACAGCAGCTTATACGTATGGGACGTCTGGGGCCTGGCGGCCGCGAAGGGTCTGGCCGGTGACAATGGCCAGACGGTGGTGTCTCTCACGGGACAGGACCAACGGTTCGAAGTCGAGGGCGGCCTGTACTCTGTCGCAATCGAGCCAAGAGGCGGCTACCTTGCTGTTGGCGGTGCCGGTGGTGCCATCAGGATCGTCGGCCTGCCCAGGATCACAGACCAGACGGCGGGCTCTGCACCACAGGCAGGGTCGAAGGCAGGCAAGGCAAAGGGCAAGGCGGCTGGAGGCAAGGCCGCCGGTGGTGAGGCACAGGCGGGCCAGATTCTGGCATCATTGGAGGTGCAGTCGGACAGCATTGAGTCGCTTTCCTTCGCGCCGGCATCAGCACCGATACCTCTGCTTGCCGCTGGCTCAGTCGACGGTAGCATATCGGTTTTCGACCCTAGCCGGCAGTTCAACCTGAGGCGGAACATCCAGGGCGCGCACGAGGAGTTCAGTGTTGTCAAGCTGGAGTGGGTGAAGCAACCACAGGGAACCGGGTCAGGGGCAGCAGCACAGCAACAGTGGCTGCTCACGAGCTGTGGTATGGACGGCGTGGTGAGGAGATGGAACCTTCAGGGGGCAACACCTTCGCAGCATGCGCCGAATGCCGCTGTGGCGGGGCTGGAGAAGGAGTGGAGAGGTCACAGGGGAGATGGTGAAGGAGGTGGTGTTTTAGGATTTGTGCAGGGCAACGACGGCAAGAGAATCGTGACGGCTGGTGATGACGGACTGGCTTTGGTGTTCCAGGTGTAGGCAAGCATGATTGCACTTAGTCTAGCCCCGACACGAACATAGATTTGGTCATGAGTTTTTTCTCTCTGAAGATGCCCTTTACGGTACGTCTGCTCTGGCAGCTAGTGATACGGTCTTGCACTGATGATTCTTCTCGAGCGTATCATTTCTAGCATGAGCCCTGCCTCGAGATGTGACTAGCAGCCGCGAATTCCAATTCGACATCATGCATGGCTTCTATTTAACTTTCACAGACTGAACTGCAGATATAAATTTGCAAACAGAGATTCTATTTATGAATTCTCAAGTTTGCTATTCGGCAACATTCAAAACAAAAAAACTATGCCCATAGAATAACAGCGTCGCATTTTTATCAACAAATATGTCGTCAAAATCACAAGACCATCGTCGCTCCGGGCTCGCGCGCCCAGACCTCTTGCCCGAGGACAACGAATATATTGCCATGGCCTGTCTCACGGAAAAGAATGCTGCCGACCAGAAGCATCTCAGCAGCCTGAGAAGCATCCAGAGGACCGCACAGAGTTTTGTCCGCGACGGCGCCAACGCCACCGCCGACCTGCTGCTCGACATCGAGGAGCTCAGACGCGTGATTGAAACGAGGTCACGCCTTCACGACGAGGCTGCTGCTGATCTGGCCGACGCCATAGCCGAGTGTGGCCAGCGCCAGGAGTTGTCTGGGGGCCGGGATCTCTCTGCTCTGCTGCGGTCGTACGATTTCCTGGTGCAGAGGACGATCCGGCGTGCGGATGAGTTGCTCAAGGAACTGGAAACGAGGGTGCAGGCCCTTCAAAGCTCTTATCACCCGGCGGGAAGGCACGCTCAGCTGTTGGTGAAAATCAAGGATGCGGTGGTTGATGTCGAGGTAATCTTGAGGCACAACCAACGTTCTTTGAACGCTCATGCTAAGGAAACCGATAATGACAGCGTGTGTTCTTCTGGGGAGATTTTTTCGCCTTAAGAACTGACAGGCTGCTGACAGGCAGCTTGTCCATCATGTCCTAATTTCTTTTCTGCCTTGAAAAACCCCTGGAGTGAGCCTGCAATGGTCTAGATATCTGTGAGTGGAGAAGAGTGATTGAAATGTATTAAGGAACGACTTTTACCATCTGTCATTATATCATTTAGCAATTGCCTGTTCCACCAGGTTGAATTCTCGAGAATTGTGAAGAGACTGGCAACTGAACGCTGATTATGTGAACTATTCATGCATATACTAGAAATGGTCTTCTCCTTTTAGCTGTTGCAACAAAATGGGCATGCTGATCGCGATGAAGCACGACAAGACCGATAATCCATAGACTACAACTAGGTGCTCATCCATGTTACTGCTCGGAAACGAGAAGGGGGATTGCTATAGACCAAGCACGTCCACCACCTAATCAGAACCAAGTCAACCAGAACGTCCAAGGCTGAGCTTCGGAGGTTCACCATAAATGGTCGATATCGTGAGACTATGTGTGTCGATTTTACCCCACAGAAGTTGAAAAGGGAGCCTGAGATGCTAGAATCTCATGCTATAGCAATGTTTCCACTTCCTCCACATTCACCATTGTCAACAGCTCAACACGCTACCCTAATGCATCACCACTGTAAGTGCAGCACAGAACTATCCAGTCAGACCCTCTTCAGATTCACTTACCATGAAATTTCCATAGAAGATTGTCTCTTGGTTGCTTGAGAACCAAGAGAACACCAGTGGTACAACTACAGCCACCACCACTCACTCTCTCTCCTCGTTCAATACAACCCAAAGGCAGTCCACAATCTTGGACACATAATCAAGAGAACCTCCTTCAAGAAGGCTGTAATACTATCACCCAGTCAGCAACATCCTGGTACACAGTTACTGAAGATACCCCTCAAGATGTGCAAATGCTTCTTTGTCGAATTCGTCTGTAACTGCATCCAGGCAGATTGTCCCCACCACAATCCTCTGCACCACTCTTTCCACAAAATGGAAGCAATCTGGCAGGTCGACCACTTCAAATGGAAGTACTGCGCGTCCTTCCTCACAGCCTCAGGCATCCCTATTCCCAACGGCAGTACAATGTTTTCCGAGTTCGACGTCTTGAGCGTCGATAAACAGCCGAGGCTGACGAGGAAGCCGAGCACGCTGAAGAGACTATTTCCCTTTAGGAGCGACAAAGGTTTGTCTGACTCTAGCCAACGCGCCTCGACGACCGACCGCGACCACAATACTCCTCCTGCTATCCGCTCCAGCACCGGTCATGCGATGAGACAGAGCCTGGATGTGTTGGAGCAGAGCCGGCACAGGGGCAGTCAAGGACGTCAGTACCTTCCCCTGAGACCCAGCGAGGACCAGCGTCATGGGGCCACTATCCCGGTCTGCGAGGCCATCTCATATGAGGGCTGGAGGATCCGGCGGAGTTGTCGTTGGTGCGAGGATTACTGGCTGGGCCGTCGGGGAGTTGTGTGAGACTTCAGAGAAGGTTGTCTCGTCGAGACTGAAGTCTCAAGAATGAAGGTCTCGTGGCTTTACATGATCCACCAAATTATTTCATGGCGAGCCTCCCCTGCTGTTATAAAAAAAAAAAAACCCCCCCCCAATTTTGAAGAGTTGAATCACATCAATTACTTCCACCAATTGTGTGGAGATACTTTGTGGAAGAAGTTTAAGTCGCGCGCATGAAACCTATTCCCCAACATAGTGGTGATCTTCAGGGCTCCAGTGCTGTTCTGGCGCTTCTAATAGAGTAAAACTGGCCGTAGCAGCGCCTAACGACCGCGTGCCTGGAATTGCCGGGACGGTAAACATGCCCTGCAGTGATTAAGCTTAAAGGCCTGACCGGCCCAGCCTACCTGTACACGAGAAAATGACCTGCCCTTTCTATTCATTCCCTCCTTTTTGGCTCTTTTCTCCTCCAGATTTCGAATTTATGTTTCTGAGGATCTCTATCTAGAACACCAATATCAATATTACCAAGTATACAGTATAGGTAGAGTAGTATCGAGGTCCACTTTGAGGTGGCACAGAAGACTATGCGAGATTTGAACTGACAAAGGAGAAGCCTTGTGCATCCCAGAACACAGGACGTTCTAATATAACACCCCCAACTCGTCCTGTTCAGTAATAATAAATATTGTATTGTGCAATCATCGCGACTTAAATCAGCTTCCGCAATCGGAGCAATGTTGAGCCGCTGACACCATTTTAGGCAACAAGACTCTGAGTCCTCGTGCATCAGCACCTCTAACCGCTTTCTCGATACATGACCCATTACCTCCAAAGTCAAGGCCAAGATTCCCAGTTGACTCACTCAAACCTGTATACGTATCCTCACTTCCTTACCACCACCACCAACCACCACACAATGCCACGCAGCGCCCTTTTCGTGATCGACATCCAGCACGAGCTCCAGGGCAACCCCAAGACCCGCGTGCCTCACCACGAGCGCATCCACACCGCGGGCACGAGGATCCTCTCGGCAGCCCGGGTCATCATCGACTCGTACAGGGAGAAGAGCCATGAGTCACCGTCCATCATCGTATTCGTCCAGCATGACGAGCCTGCCGAGGGCGGGGGCATCCTGGTGAAAGGCTCGGAGGCATGGCAATTAGTCTTTCCGCCTCGCGAGGGTGTCGACGAGGAGATCCTGCTTGCCAAAACTACGCGTGAGAACTTGACCCGATCTCTTACTTCTTCTTCTTCTTCTTCTTCTTTCCTGTGTGTGTTTCTTCTCCCCCGGCGAGGGCTGATATGTTGTGCTGCAGGGGATACATTTGAGTCGAACCCGGATCTGGCCGACAGGCTAAAGGCTTCAGATATTACTGAGATCATCACGTTTGGCCTGCAGAGCGAGTACTGTGTCGTGTCGACGTCCAAGGGGGCTCTTGACCGCGGCTTCAAGGTCACTATCCTGCAGGGAGCCCACTCGACGTACGACGAGGCGCCGAAATCTGCAACGGATATCGAGAGGGACATCGAGGATGAGTTGAGGCAGAAGGGTGCAGAGGTCATTCCCTGGGAGGATGCCATAGCAACGTGGGAGCAGCGGCGAATGATCTCCAGCTACCCAATCTTTTCCGAATTGGCATAATTATGACCATGGATCAATCAATCGATCACTCTGAGATGGAGAGCAACAATGTGTAGTAGATATGCTTGGATGCATTGAGGACGAGCTATTTACCCCCCCCCCCCCCGAACAAAACAGGTCTGGTGTCAAAATATCAGATAGTTTGACAAATAATGCAATGTGAAACTGTTGGTATTTTTTTTGGGGGGGGGGGGTATCATACTGCTCACTGGGGAGCATAACGCGTCAAATCCTTTTCTGGCGCGTATGTTCTGCTCCTTCGAAGGCTTCCATCCAGCAGTGCCTGTGCCTGATCTAGACAGACAAAACAGCACCGCGTCTCGCTACGAGACTGTAATCTTCCAGGCCTTCCCTGTCCCATTGAACAAATCCTCGCGGCCACCAGACGGCTTCCAAGCAACCCTTTTCAACGAAGACGAACACCCACCTCTAGACAGTTCACCATCCTGGCGCGTGTTCCCTGCTCCTCAGCAAAGCCGCCTTGCTCCTCAGCATCGTCCTCATCGATAACCACATCTTCAAACGCCTCGAGCGTCATGGTGCGCAGGCTGACCATAACATCCGCCTGGTTGGTGAACCAGGCAGCGACGTCGAGCGTCTTGGGGATGGCGCGGCCGGTACCTCGAAGCAGGATCTCCTCCTGGTTAGCCGCAGTAGCGGGGGAAGAAACATGGAGGGCATCAATCCGCTTGGTGAGCGGTAGGCCCTTGGTGACGGCGTTGGAGTGGACGCCCGCGGGACCATTGTCGAGGGCCTTGCGCACACGGCTGATTAGGCCCATGAAAGGTGACTTTGTGCCGACATGAATGATGCGCTGCTTGGGGGACACAGGGGAGCCACGGTTCAGAGCCTGAGCTCGAGTTAAAGGGCGCTTCTGGACTTTGGAGTCTGCATTTTGTTTTCTGTGTGAGTCTGGTGTGTGCTGAGGTGGGATGAAGAGCGTGAGACAACACAAGGGGGGGGGGGGTTCAGAACATACTGGTGGGCCTGGGTGACAGCTTGTTCTCAGGCTTGTCCGCTGTATTGGTCTTTCGATCAGGCATGTTGCCAAAGACAGTCCACTTCTTGCCAGCCATGATGGACAGATCCGAGTGGCTTGTGCTCAAGGCTTTGTTGCAGGGTTGTTGTTGGTGTTGGTCGTTGTTTCGTCAATCACTCTCCAAAGAATTCTGAGTGACAGTGTTTTTGTTTGAGAAGTATGAACATGTCGAAGCAACCTTGCTTCATTGCTAGTGATATCAGAAATTATCTTTGGGAGCAAAAGACACTGGATGAAACCCAAACTTTCATGATAGCTGGGGTTTCACAGGCATTCAAATAGCAGCCTCGAGATCAGATCTGATATATCTACTAGTGAGTGAAGTTGAAAGAGTCTCCTTCAGTGGGTCCTTGTTCCCACTGCAGAGCGCGTGGGCACTAAAACATGGACAGACCCACTTTAGACAAAAGGCGGATCAGCGGGTAGTGAACTTTGTGACAGGGGGGTCTTGGAGAGATGGTTGTACCAGATGACGATGGTCACATTAAATAGTACTATACTGAACACAGTAACTAGCTCTAGGAGAGCCCCCTCCTCTGTCAGAAACGACCACAGCTCTTTTGGCCACAATCCAGCTCTCTCAAGACAAAGCATCCAGTCAGCCATCCAGTCTTAAATATCCCTGGACATGTCTGCTTTGGAGAAGTGAGACACTGAAACACCGTGGCACTGGGGACGAAGATGTCTGTAGAAGTTTGGCCTTCTCTCCGTCCGGAACAATTAAGACCGGCTGTCGACCAGACACAGGTGAGTTTCCCCCCTCCCTCTTCGCATGTTCAGCACTGCCTGCTCTGATTGTATTATCATGGTGTTTGCTATGGAAATAACGGTTTGTGATGATGATTGGATCCTTGTCACACGACCTTCCGTCCCGTCTCTTGCTCGACCCAGGAGGACGCAGACCCGACTGACAACCGCTGCTGCTCGCCCGCAGAGACGAGAACTAGAATGGCTCCTCAATGAACTGCACGAGACGCTTCACAACCTCAAGTCCGGCCTTGAGGACTGCTACGCCTTGCTGGCACCTGTCGACCCTGGCAGCACGCTCGTCGTGAGCACCCCGCGGAACGAGATCGTCAAGGGACATATCACTCGCGTTGGAACACGGATAGTCAAGGGCGTACGTACAATACACATATATATGCACCCACCCATTGGCCTTTCTTTACGAGCAAGAATCTGACATACACACAACATCTCTACTAGACCCTCACCCTCCGTCTTCGGACCCACCCCCAGCAGACCTACACCATCTCCCCGACCTCCCCCATCAGCCTCGCCCCGCTGGCGACCCTCCATACCCTCCTCAACCACTCCGTCGAGCTCCTCACCCTGACACTGGCCCACACCACACCCCCCTCGACGCACGCCTCCTCACCAACCTCTCAACCGCCGCCCTCGCCGACTCACAGCACGGCGGCCTTTCTCGCCGCGCAGCTCCTCCTCCTCTCCCAGTCCCTCGCCGAGGCCGCCTCCCTGCTCAAAGGGCCCCAGCCCCTGACGGCCTCCGACGCCACCTGGGTGTCCAAGTCGTGCGCGCCCGACCACTTCGTCCCGCCCACCAGCAGGGACCTGAGCGTCCACTGGGGCGTGCAGGACAGCTGTCTCGTGCTGTGGCTGCGCGCCCTCGAGCCCGCCGACGCCCCCGTGAGCGTCGGGCTCAAGCTGGCGCTGGCAATCGGCACCGCCAGGCGGATCGAGCACGACGAGGCGGATCAGGTGTTTGTCTATACATACCCGGAGGAAGGAGAATTTGGGACCAGCAGCGGCGGCGACGGGAGCGGGGCCGGAGGAGCGAAGAACAAGAGGGGCGGAAGCTCGGGTGCCGGAGGGGGTGGAGGAGGAGCCCTACAAGGCAGCAATAATAAGGACGACCAACACAGGGGTAATGAGGTGCAGGTGTATGTCAGGGAAAAGGTTCGAGTCGAAAGTGCAGATCCGAGTCTTTTGTCGCTGAGTGCGAAACTGGCGGCGTTGATGAACACATTGGAGCTGGCCAGAGGAAATCTGGCTGCTGTCATGGGGGAGGAATTTTGAGGTGTCTGGCATATAACAAGTGTGGGGAAAGAGAGAGGAGGGGCCTGCTAAATACCCTCCTAGCGACGAGGCTCTCATTGCATATATTGTACGGCGTTCCAGGGCGAAAACGCCACGGCAGGCGGGCTCTAATTGCCAATACCTGCGCTCACATAGAAACGGGCACGCCAAATAGTCCAGTGATGATGGCTATGAACAATTCTCTTATAGAAGACTGTCAAGTCTGATCCCAATTCCCTTTTCCCGGCGCCGTTTCTCAAAAGCAAACAAGAGTAATGCATACAGGCGTTATGAATGGGGGCCTCCGAAGCACCTTCGCAAATGCCAGAGAAGCTTCCAGGTAGACGACGAGCTCGAATCTCTGTATCACACTTCCCGACTATGCCACAGGTGACCAAGGCATGGGTATCAAGATCCTCGAGTGCATGGTCTGGATCAGCGGCACCGTCTTGTGCACCGTCTCCGCCCAACCCGGTATGCGCCAGCAGTCCTCGCGGCGGATCTTCCTCTCCTCCAGGTTGGCGAACTGCCACAGGTGGTGCACCGTATTCAGGTCTCCAATTTGCACGAACCAGGCGCCAACGCCCTCCATCACCTCTCGGCGGGCCTGCAGGCCCCTACGCCAGTGTGTCTCCCACTCGAGGAGGTTGCCGGGGTGAAGCGTGTAGGATCGCAGCTCGAAGACGCCGCCCAGCTGTCGGGGAGAGGTGGTGGGCCAGAAGCTAAACTCCTGCATCAGTGAGGTCTTCTTGCCCTCGATCAGCTTCTTGAGCTTGCGGTCGAATTCGGGGAACTCGGGGTGGTGGGAGATGGCGTTGAGAGAGCCATGGTAGCCGGTATAGCGCTGATACTCCCATATATGAACTATTCTCTTTTGTTAGGCGTATGCCAGCCACAGTGAATAAAAGCAGTCGGGGGGGGGGGGGGTTTAGGAAAAATTACACACCAAAGGTATCACAATCCCCGACCTCTGTCCGCCAGCTTCCGACCAGATGGACCTTGTTCTCCGGCAGAGAAGCCATGCGAGGGTACCAGTTGCCCACGAGGTCGACGTACTCGTCCACTTTGTCTGGCTTGACCTGGTGGAACACGATGCTGTGGACGTATTTCCCCCGGGCGAGGACCTGCGAGAAGGACGCCTCGAGCTGCGCCTCGTGCTCTCGACCCTCCTTGGTACCGTAGATGAGCTTCGCCAGAGGACCCTCCTTACGTGTTCCATCTTTCTCGGCGAACTCCTTGGCCCGTTCTTCATCGCCATCGTTTAGTGAGCCCAGGCCCGAGGTGTCAGTATCATGGGAAGAGGGAAAGGCACGAGACGCACTGGCTTCCCGCTCCTGTTGAGCTGCCACCAACTGCTCCCTGAATGTCTTCTGCTTTGCGTTGAAGGACTCGTGGTTCTCGGGGTGGATGTCGCCAAGGGCGGGAGTACGTTTCGAGGACGCTGCCTGGGTGGTGCCAAACAGCCTCACCGCGCTGGAGCTCGGAGCAGCTGTGGTCGCCTTGGCGGCGGCACGTGCGAGGCGTCGTGACAACATTTTGATGATGGTCGTACTTGATAAACAACAAAGTAGGATGACGGAAACGGAATGTAGAACAAACAGTTTTAAGGGAGGGAGAGTCTGGTATATCAGAGATGTGGTATTGAGATGCGGGTCCCGTTTCGTTCTGAGACGAGGATGGTACGATTGTGGAATGAAGTTTGGGCGAAGAATGCGCCGTGACAGATGGAGAAGAGAAGATGGTTCAGCTTGTGAATGTGGGTGTGAATTAACACCTTGACACGAAGTAGAGTTGGAGTACCGTTGCCGTGAGGGGTCCCGGGTGGTGGAGGTAGAGAGGTGCAGGTAGCAGGTAGAGGTCAAGGCGAACGTTGCCAATCGCAGCAGAAGCAGAAGACAAGTGGGGGTTGTTTGGTTGGCGAGCTGCAAGACGGGAAGTCAAATTGTCACCAGCCGTCAAGAAGAATGTCCAAGATGCTCTTCCACGTGGACTGTTAATATGCGCTGGTAACCAAGACGGACCGAAACAGCTCTCGGTAAGATGCCGCGATCAATATGAAGGAGGGCGGTCTTGCTATTCGATTGGCCGTTAGAAAGGGAGCTGTGTGGTAGTGAAAGAATCCCGAAACATATAGCTCTCCCCGCACTTTGTGACGAGGTATGTAGTGTTTGTGCAGCGTGTGCAATTGTGCCTTTTGTGGTTGGGAGGATGAGGACAGCTTCCCCAAAGCCTAAGTGAGGGAGCTACAATACGAGGTAGCCCCCCAGAACTGGAGCCCGGCCAAAAGCTGGGGTAGATGAGGGGGGAAAGGGCAGGGGATGATGTCACCTCAGGTTCCTTTTCAGGAAATGGCAGGGGTATGCAAAGGGCAGTAATGGGAGCGCTGACATAATACAGCCAAGCTTGCAGGCTACATCTGCTGCCTCAGGCCACTATCGGGGATTCGCCGGAACAGCTCGAAAAAGGTTCGAACAGCCAACGACGTCGCACCTTGAAGCCGTACTATCGAAAGCAACTATCACCACCCCATTCCGACTCTCCCTCACAACAGTCGAGATACCCACTCATTCAAGATGTCTTGGCTCGGAGTCACCCCCCTAAAGAAGTTCCCGGCGCCCGTCCGTACGTCAATTGCTATCCGAGCTCTCCCCTGTCCGAAGCGCTTTTTTACTGATGATCCTATAGTGAAGCCGATGGCCCCGTTCTTCGCTGCCGGTACGTAACCATTGTCGAGCTCGAATGCCACCCACAATCGATTGCGACGATGCTCTCTTGCCGTAGTTGCGGGATTTTGAGCGCTGGGGTTGAGGGAGAGAGAAAGAGAGAAAGAGGAAGCTGATGAAAGAAACAGGTCTCGTCATCGCCTACGGCATCAATGCCGCACAAAACGCGTCTATGAAGAGTACGTCTCTGCGAAAATAAACCTTGCGTTGTGCCTGTAAAGCTGACACTTTGAAACCAGGCGATGAGTTCAAGAACGACCCCAGGAACCCCCTCGCCAAGGCTGGTGGTGCACACTAAGATGGACGTTCGACGGACGAGGAGCATTGAGAGGAGCGACTTGACGATCGGAACCGATGCGACGACCGACCTGGCGGCTTTTGAAAAGGCATTGGGTGTATCATAGACAGCATCTAGACGAAAAATTCGATCGAGTTCCTTGACGACCAGATGTCATGACTGACCGCGAGCCTTTTTACTCCGCTGCACAATCGGTAACATTTGGTCCTATCCGAACCTTAGTCGGGACTCGCCCTGCGTGCTCGAAGTACTCCTTAGTATATATGGACAAGATTAGCCTGTATGTGTCGAAGTGACAGTCTCGCTGTCACGGCCAACCGGACTGAATATGCGAGCCGGACGGCTGGTCAGCAGCACACTTGTACATAAGACTAAGGTTGCGTTTCGCCTCCTAACATCGTTGTACAAGATAAACCAGGCCGGTCCAAATGCATGGTATCTTGAATTCGAAGAACTTTGATTACAAACATTATGATATGACTTGATAGTGAAGTGCTAGGTGCAAAGGCTCTGCCTGTGCTGTCCCCTCGACACATGGCTTGACTTGCGCATAGTGACTTGCTCCGAGCCCATTGTCTCAATATCTATGTGTCGAATACTTGTGCGTGGGTGAGAAGCACCGGGTCCGCGATGGCTAGGTGTATATAGGCTTGCGGTTGTATTGATCTCAGGCAGGCTGGTAGGCCTCGCGACTACGAACATCGTATGCCTAGTCCACAGACACGGATACTTTTTCCCCCTACGCTAAAGCTTTTCGCGTGGTACTTATGACGCCGGTTGTCAGTCAGGCCTTGCTTCTCTTCGTCTTTTGCCTGCTTGATCATTGCGTTGGGGAAACAGCTGGTGCAGCATTGTTGCAATCAATGACACTTTCATATACAAGCTAGGTCTGTCCTCTACTCAAGGAGTACAGCTTGAAGCTAGGAAGCCTTAAAATCCAGCCAGTCCACAGTGTCCTTCCAGGTTCCGAATGGTATCATCGCCATCTGAGTCCAGGATGAATGCCATGACCATCATCAGCCGCCTCTCCGACTGACATAGAGAGCCCGGCCCTCCTGTGATCTGTACACGAGATACGCGCGCAGCTTGCCATGTGCCGGAGGAATAAAGATACTTCCGGCCAGCACCGTTATTAACGGCTCCCAAGCCTTTCCATTTGCCGTGTTCCAGCCTATACAATATCACTTCGTATCGTAAATCACGCCGTTGATTGTCGCAGAGATATGCCGGTACGTTGCAGCAGAACGTTCTGGAGGTCTTCTCTCGCAATTATGGATTCCTCCAGAACATCGTCTTTGCTTGCCCCTTTGAGAACAAAGATCCAATCACCTGGGGCGCCGGGACCATGCATTATATGTAAGGCATCTCGAGGCGCTCAGTCCCCTTAAACTTTAGTTGTGGTCGTTGTATCCGTCGGCGAGGTCGGCGGTGGGCTCTTCGACTTCGGTCGGTACTTCGGTTCCAGTATCCCAAGCTTCAAACAATGCATTAGCTTCCCAGGGCATCCACTCAGTGATCAAGATACCCACCATTGAGAGAAACCTCCAGACCGTATCCGTCGGCTGTGCCCCAACACCGATCCAGTACTTGGCCCGGTCGATGTCGATCCTGATGTCCTTGTGTAGTTTCCCAGACGTGTCGTACGAATCCTTCTTCGGTATGGGATCGTACGTTCCTATGACCTCGAGAGGCTTGCTATTTCGTGCCGTCCTACAATGATTGGAAGGTGTATTGATTAGCCACTAAGCGGTCTTGGAGACGAGCAGAGTGTGCGTGGAGCAGGCTGTACCTTGCATGTGCGACGACAATATTGTAGAAGGGTGCATTGGTTCGCCCGAAGCGGGCGAGTCTTAATTTGACGACCATGGCTGCGCTTGCTTGGCTTGACGAAGTTGCTCCAGCAAGCGACGGTGAATGCACGCGATCAGAGGTCGATGGTGGTAGTTGCCGGCCTGCAACTTTTTGGGTGGGTCTTCAGCTCACGTTGGAAGTCCAATCAGCACGCGGCTGGCTTAGTCATTCCTGGCGTGTAAGTGACGTCGCCGGGAGCGGCTCCCCATCAATCGAGAAACTCCAGGACAAGTTTTGTATGAGGTTCTGATGCTTTGATCACATTTCCATCTTTCCCTTACTGATTACACTCGGATCACGCGAAGGCAATATTTCAAAATATTTCGGACCATTTCGAGACTTCCACTGTCAGAGAAGGACGACTCCATCATGGGACTAAAGGTTTCGCTTTCCCTACGTAACAAATCCACCTTGCTGGAGGGGCACGCATTGACAGATTCCAGTACCTCGGTGCGAAAGCTGCTGCGGCTCTTGATAAGGAGCTCATGAGCACAGGAGCTTTCTCTATCGATCAGCTCATGGAGTTAGCTGGTCTCTCCGTGTCACAAGCTGGTGAGATCTGTCATTCTCGCGTCGTTTCGCTGCCGCAGCAAGGCCGCATCGTGGTAGGAGCCACACGTTCTGAACCAGGCTGACCGAGATCTTCAAGTCTACCGTGTCCATCCTCCGAATAATGGCCGTAGGGTCTTAGTTGCATGTGGGCCCGGGAACAATGGTTCGTTGCCAGATAATGGCTCCCGTGTCGAATCCGCAAGTGATGCTAAAACCATGCATGACTCAGGAGGCGATGGACTCGTTGCAGCACGACATCTATTCCAGTATGGCTACCAGCCGACTATCTACTACCCTAAGAGAAGCAAGAATGAACTCTACCAGGTGAGAAACCCAGTCTCGATTATCATCTGCAGCCAGGTCTTTGGAGCCTAGAAGCCAGCTACTTCCGGTCACCAGAACCGCACAGAGCAGGGATGCCGTTCTCTCTCAAAGTCATTATTATGCCTTTCCTTCCGCCTGTTTGTATTATGTGTTGAGATATCCCACCCTCACTATGCCGTTTCCTTCTGCCCTCATCCAGGAAGGCTTTCGAACTCGACGGACAAAGCTCACCAGTTTTTTCTCTTCTTTGCTTCCCCAACAGCGCCTTGCCAAACAACTAGAGGACCTCGAGGTACCTTTCACCGAGGACTTCCCGACGGCCATCAAGTCCACCGACCATATAGTCGACGCAGTGTTCGGTGCGTTCTGCCGTTCGTGTGTTGCCAGTTGGGTTGTGATGTGTGCTCACAGATCACAGGTTTCAGTTTTTCAGGAGAGGTCCGAGAGCCATTTCCGGCCGTGATTCAGGCCATGGAGGAGACGAGCCTCCCCGTAACCTCGGTCGATGCCCCATCGTCCTGGAACATTGAGAATGGGCCGCCCCCAACAGGACTCGGTAGCACGTTCAATCCTACCGCGCTGATTAGCCTGACAGCCCCCAAGCCTTTGGTGAAGTATTTCAAGGGACGTCACTTCATTGGGGGAAGGTACGTACTGCTCGCACTCCGTTCTCCATTGCTCTTCAAGATCTACTGAACATGAAGCCAGGTTCGTGGCCCCAGCCATTGCCAAGAAGTTCGACTTTGATGTGCCCGATTACCAGGGGATCGACCAGGTCGTGGAAGTCGGTCCCAACGGGCAGAAACTGTGAAGTTGTTGATCGCGAAGGCGCGCTGGTCGCTATAGGGGCTTCCAGTAGGGCTGTTTTCTACCGTCGCAGATCGGGGGTCCATGGGTGTTAACTAACCACACACCCACCAGACCGGCTGTTTGGGCACACGGGGCTTGGACACCGCCCTCCGATCATGTGCTCTTCCCAGGTGGTGGTGTCGGCCGAGCAGCCAGAGTCCAGGCGGTATGTCGGACACAATTTGACGAATATAAGATACTCCTTCCCGCAGATTGGGCAGCCGCAAGTGTGCCTCTCACACATCAAGTCGAATCATGCGGGAGTCTCCAACAAATTTTGAAGATGACAACTCGACTTAGCGGACAAGTAAAAATGCATTGTCGACAACAACACGAAACTGTTCTGGTATTATGCACGGGGATGGGCGCAGCTTTTCCACCCTTAGGGTCTGTCAGCATGATGGCAACTCTAGAAATCTTATCCTGTCCAGGAAGAATCAACAACACCTGTTCCACTACACTAACATAAAAGATGGGGCGACCGAACGACAGCTGTCATCAAGCCGCCTCAAGGAGTAGTGTTCTGTCGTATTTTTGCCACAATGTAGTGGTATGAAGAGTACAGCCTTGGCAGTACAGTATACTGCTGTGGCTGTCTTGTTGGGAAGCCAGAAGGAGATGTGGCGATGCAGCGAGTGGACACGGAGCACAGCTTTGCGAACACAAGGGACGTTGTTCGTTCAGCACCTCGCCTGACTGACTATAGACCAAAAACTCGAAAGGGCCGAACCAAACTTGCCGAAGCCGAGCAGCAAGTCCTACTTACCAAATAATTATGGTCTTTCCCGAGAAACCTCCTTGCGACCTTTGCTTCCTTCGCAACAGTAACTGCATCCTGACCTGGGGGTTGCCCACAGGTTGAGCCGGAGCATTTGCTCCCTTAGCCGCTAGGATAGGCCCGTGCCATGGGCGCTTACTACCAGCTAAATCACCACAGTAGGCCCTTCCACACACTGAACATCCGAGTCTAGGCCCAGTGGACCGTCGATCGATGTAAACGGGGACGTTGCTATAAATCGCCACTACTCTTCCCTGCATTTCCAATCTAATATGCAAATGGACGTTCAACACCTGCGCCCTGAACTGCACATAAAGCTGCATAACATGGTTCGCGGCGTCCGCTATTGTTTCATGAATATGCAATAACTCAACATCTTTTTTTTTTGGGTCTCTCACGCCCATCCCAAATCCTCGTCTCGCACTCGACCCGAAATCTCCGAGGCATGCTGATGATCCGCAAGCCCTGGGCCACATACCGACCAACAAGCGACGATCGTACCAATGCGGCTTTCACGCAAGAGGTCTGAGGAGGGGGCAGGGGGGGGCTGATCACTGCAGGAAGGGCGCAGGCAAATCATGATTGAGCCGCGGTGTGCCGGCTGGGTGGTCATGCATGTCGCATGCAAAGCCCGTGGGTCACACTTCCCACCATGGTTGTGAAAAGAGCGATTTCTGTATTTGAATCCTGCAGCGAGCACATGAGACGCGCAAGAAGAATACATGGGGGGGGGGATGGAGATGCCACCCTCGATGGGACCCGGGTCTGTCCCGGTCGAGCTGTTCATCCGGCACGTCTGCAGAAGGATCTTTTGAAAGTCCCACACACGAGGACGGGACCCCTAAAGAAGACTACACTATCCTCCAGGTGCAGTAGTCTCGACGGCGGCAGGTTCCAGGGGGACACGACCACGACCCGCCGCAGTGGATCCCGCCCTGCAGAACAAATTATTACTATGTCTCTATGTAATGGACCTAACAGAAAACGTACTCAGGGCCCGCCGCCATTTATCCGTACGGTTTCTCACGAGAGAGCGACATTGATGGACAATGGGTCAGTCGACCGGCCTGGATCTGCGAGATCAACAAGCCATGGTTATGATCTTTGTGGACTCTTGTGGTGGCAGAAGGCAACAATCTGAAAGGCTCTCTTGTACGACCTCACTGGCAAGAACTCTATGAACTTGGGGCAGATTGACTGGCAAGAGGCGCACGCAGGGCAATGCATCTACGGCATTCCAGAAGAATACAAACATTTCGGTCCCAGCGTGAGGCGTAGTCTCGGCAGAACGCAGGTCAAGTTGAGGCTAAACTCGGGGGGAACTACCGCTGTGGTACTGTCTAAACCATCTCGGGGAATGTAGACCAGCAAAGATCGTGAGGCTGACCAGGCAAGCACCTTCGGAGCAATATGTGCGACACCGACGTCGTTGTCCGACTGTGAATGTCGCCACAGGTGGCTGTTGTCTTTAAGGCTCCAGCTTCAGTCTCAGGTTTACGTTTTCCGTGAATGCGTTACGTCAGATGAAAAGTAATCACAGGTGAAGCTGAGCAGAACCACCATGTGCATCATCACGACGAATCAGCTACCGTGGTGGCGTCTTACAAAACCCTTCCACGCCAATTCGATCAGCAAGATCTCGTGTCTTTGCAAGACCCAAAACGATGTGCAGTCTAGTATTGCTAATCACATTACGCCAAGCACAGGTTCCTGTCGATCTGTTCTCCCAATTAAGAAATTATTGCAACGGCGTGACCTCTTCATCCGAGCAGCCCGAGTGTTCTCTCAAATCTCGACTAACTATGGTTGACCCATCGCCGGATCTTCTCCGAGATCGTCGTCGAGAGAGCGCCCCAGCCTGCGCCACAGCGTCCTGCCGATCGCAGTATCGCCACCAGTATATACAGGTCTTCTTCCGATGCTCATTGGACTGAGCCACAGATGGCTTGCCGCCCATGCACGTTCACTGAACGATCTCGTGGCTGGGGAATGAGTAGTAGATGCTCTTTCACCTGCTTCCATCGCGGGTTCAGCCACGATGAAATCAACTTTCATCCTGTCCATCCGCTACCGAGCTGGACTATCGGCAAGCCTTTTGCCACCGTCATCTCGATGCGTCGACCCAGCTTTACAGGCTTCCCAAAGAGCATGTGATGATAGACGGTCTGCGGCGGGCGGTGCAAGCCTGCCGAAACAAGTCGCGTGTTCCCCCTCACCCATGCAAGCAATATGTTTAGACACCGAAACTGGCGCTCGGTCAGGATTCACGGCTGGACTTTCCCCCACGGATGAGGTATGCATACGCGAGAGCCGGTGTCAGGAGGTTTTCGTACATCGCGTTGGGAACAAAGCAGCCTCGCATCTGCATGTCAAAAGGGAGCGTCTTAGTTGGCTCTCACTTCCTGATCGAGGGTGGCAAAGCCATCCCTCCTTATTTCTTCTGCCGTCGAATCATCAGCTTCTAATAGCTCATGTCGGTTCAGAGGCGTGATGATGTCCTCGACGCAGATCGCTTCAGCCATTGCGATCAGCAGCCACAGTCATTCCTCCCCTCGAGGGAAGCCCTGATCGAGAAAAAGACATGTCCTTGGCGGTATTACCTCTACAAGGTCCAGTTCCATCTCTCGCCTCCTCACCGCGATTCGTAAGCCCAGTCAAAATTTCGTAGATAGCTTCGCGTTCCCAACAATGTTGTGGGTCTGTTCAGGAGCGAAAGCTCCGGCGTGGCGAGCATGATGGACTTTTGTCTGATTGTGCAGAACATTACTTGATCAGCGTTGCTACACTAGTCGGGGCATGAAGGGAACAGTCCTGTTCTTCTGCCTGCATAGTGAACAACTGGGGGAAGTGTCTTACTAGGAGGGTCTGCAAGGTGGCTGCCCTTCCCGTCCCTCACTCGGCCCTAGATCCAGCTGTTGGCCGCACACTCCTCGCAGGATCGCCTGAAGAGTTCGGGATCTTGGATGTCTTCACAAACGTCGAAGCAGGCGACGCCTAGAACCCGCATCGGGCACGGTGAGAACCATGTCGTATCGATGGAGCAACACGTGAAGCACTGAAGAATCGTAATACTGCACATGATTGTGTTACTGTCATGGACTGACATGGTTTGGTTGCAGCCTGTGGTCGATCCGTCCGTCTGTCTCTGGCTGCTCTTGGCCATGTTTTTAAAGGGCTCATCGTACTCTGGTCTGCAGCCGCTTTGGACTCACGGCCGGTCGATGTGGCTCAGATGTATGGTTTCAGAAGCGAGACGCAGGCTGCTCGAAATGCGAGGTTTTTCATCATTGTATCGGGTTTTGTCTTTCAGTCCTCCTGCACTTTTTACGGTATTGAATCTTCCCCCTGGCTACTTCAAGAGTTTGGGCTGTCACCAGCGTATAAGACTGCACTGCCCCTGACTGTTTGGTGGCGTTTTATTTAGGTCAAGTCTTGAGGAAGGCCCGACGCACATGGCATTGATATCTTGGTCGCAATTTGAAAAGTCGACTTCCCTCACCCCCGCACATAGATGTCACACCTCCCAACCATTACTGAGTTATTCGAATCGGAATTGCTCTTCCCGTCGAAATTGGTACGGACCTACTTTTTCGGACTGTCACCTTATTCTCCCTCTTTTTCTTTCTTCCTAGTTTCATCAAAAGAGTCACATGGATTCCTTCTGTCATCCTAGACTTCGGATAACCAGAAAAACAGACGGATCAATTTATAGAGGGCATTCAAACTTTATGGTACGTCCGTTTCAGCAATCGCAGCAACTCATCGTCCCCTCCAGGGCCGTCTTCTACACAGAACACGGTCCTGAAACTCTTGGAGCGATCATGTATATTCGGCCTTTGCCTCAAGCAATCCTTTTTAACCAGGGTGATAGCGCACTGGGGATACCCAAAGTACGCCACATTCTCCTTGGTTGTTCATCCAGCTACATCCAGAATAACTTTTCGGGCACCACCTCCTCGCAGGAATCGCATAATCAAAGTCCGCTCGACTCTTCGCAGCCATCACCATGCAGTGCCGTATCCCATTCCTCTCGCTCCTCCCAGCGCCTACTATTCGAGTCCTAAGGCACGAGTATCTCGTCGATACCCTTTTAACCCTGGCCCCGACAAGAAGCGCACCCAGCGGCTCGACACGAACCTCTTCCCATGTCGCCAATAGTACCGACCTGACCTTCCGAACATCAGCTCCCCTTCTGATCAATATGACCGATAAAATCACCGACACGCTCGTATGACACGCAGCCTTGCGGGAAGTCAACGAGTACGCGTCGCTGTGCGAGTGGCATGTGGAATCGGTGCCGTATTTCAAAACCAACGCGCCAGCCTTCGAATGCTGGGTCCCGATGCCTCCCCCCTACTTGTGTCTATAACACTGCCGCTGTGGACGAGCCTGCAGAATAAAAGCATCGCGGCCGTGGATCAGGCTATATTTATATCCCAATCGTGTTGGAGCATGTAATCGTACGTGGGAATGCAACGTCTCTCAAAGGCGGGCTAGGGTTTGTGGAAGTTGCACCTGCAGCCGCGTGTGAGGAAGGAGGCTGTCATGAGAGCTTGTCTTAGTTGCTCTAGGTCCGGGCAGGTCCAGATATTTAACAGGTGCCGCAGCTCGTTGAGGTTGTTTTGCTAAGCTGCTGATTTTATTGAGTCAGCGAGATCTCGATTGGAAGTGGTGGGAGGAGACACGTTGTGTGACACCCGGTTGTGAGTCCAAAACTTTGACAGGTCTCTCGCTCAAGCAAGACGGATGTAAGTATATTGTATTGAGATGGCCAGAAAGCGCAACCACCCCCCCCCCCCTTCCGCGAGGCGACCCAGGGAGCTGAGGGCCAGGACAAAGAGGAACTTGGGGGGGGGGGGGGGAGACAGCCTGCTTGACGTAGCCGTTACCTAAATGATGCAACATCAGACACAAGATGAATGCGTTGCTGTCTTCTTGAAAAGACTACCCTTTCGCCCTCGCATCTCATTTCTCATTTTGTTCATATGAAGTTCTTTCCTCACACGGGGCTCTCTTTCGCGACCATCTGAAGAACGGAGAAAGGCAAAGACAAGCTATAACGAGTCATTTTGATTGCGAATGATCTTGGCAGCAGGGTAAAATTCCCAAGCAATCATGCCGCTCGTGGAGACCGGCTCTTCTGCTCAATGACAGGAAAGGCCAAACATCATGACTAGCAAATTCAAGCAGAAATACAGGACTCACAGCAACCCTTCTGTATTAGCAAATACATTGTAAAGCTGCCCACCTACTTCAAGATGAAGATAGATACGATAATTTCCTCAGAAGTATTTCAGAAATATCGAAGGAAGAGATTTATATATAGACAGCTTTATAAGTTGTTGATAATATTACGATTACGGTATTATGATTAATTATTATAAGTTCTGAATCTTGACTATTCTTTCAGACTCAGTGATGCACAGTGCCTTTTCGTTGAGCACGTGGTAGGGGTGTAGGTCAGGAGCCTCCCCGAGCTCCTCTTCCACCAGAGCAAGGAGCCTCTCCCGCAGCCTGAGCTCGCTGGCCATCATTCGGCTACTCCAAATCATCTTCGGATCCTGGCTCAACGTGCTCTCGTCACGGTAGAGAATCAGCAACTGCACATTTTTGAGACCCTGTTTTTGAGCCTCGTTGACGTCGCCAAGCAGTCTCTTGAGCGTATCCTGCATGCGGCCCTCGACCAGATGTGCGAGAAACGCATCGTATCGGACCTGTCCTGCTTTCGGATGGTTGCGATAGCGTCCTGTCACCGCGACCCCCATGCCGCCAGCCAGACACTGGATCTGGAGACCCTTGCCGAACTCCTGGGCTTTCTGGAAATCATCCCAGACCTCGATCGAGTCATGGTCCGGGTCCCGAGGCTTGGGCTTCGTGAGCTTGTTGATGGGCGGGTTGTGAAACCTTGTGGGTGAGAGTAATGAGGGCCGGAGGATAGATGTCGGGAAACCCGGGGATTTAGAGAAGGAGGCCTTCAAGGGCGACCAGCCATTGCCCGAGTAGAGACCAAGAGCATTCTCCTTGGGCCTCTCGAGTTGGTGGATGACGATCGTCCCCTTGAATCGCTGTTGGCGAGCTAGTTTTGTTTGGAGAGACATAGGTGCGTTGACTCTGATGGTTGGAGAGTGTGGGCGAGGGTCGAGGTGCTTCGCATCCGATGCTGAGATTTTAACGTCCTGAGACGCTTCGATGATCTCGTTTGTCTTTTTATTCAGAGGGTGTTCTTGCTGCGAGAGTAATTGCTCCTCTGCTATCAGCCCGCGAGCCAAGGCTTGAGAGGAATATGCTGGCGGGAAATTAGAGATATCCGCAGAATATTGATTGTCCTGATTTGGTTTTATTTTGAAGTCAGATGTTGGCGGTCAATAGGAATCCTCTTTGACTTAGCTTCACCATGTTGAACTGGACAAACTTAAGAAAATTTGATTTTGTAACATACCTGTGATACAATCAAGTACTGCTTAATTATTATTAGACCGTTCAATAAAGAATGGTCTCAGGCAGTGATTCGTGAATGTGGATGATGGGAGAAAACAGAAGGGCGAAAGTGGGAAGAAGAGCAGTCTCACTCATCAATGATTACTTGTGTGTGGTGATGGGGGGCTGCGGTGCAGAAATACTGCCAAGAGGACAGTGGAAATTCAATAAATGGTCTGAACTATGGAGACCTCGTTCGAAACGGCATGCTGCGAATCTCGGGCTGGTGATGGGACAATCCAGGCGTGCGACCCGTTGAGCGACCACAATAAGCTTGACCCAATGGCTCGGTGCCTATGGCGGGAGTGCATACCTTCCTTTCGAGCAAGACAAAAGAACTTGAAGTTTATGTACTATAAGGAAGATATTGATTTCGAGTCTGCCTTCCCTTATGGATATACATTATATTCAGTGATGTGATTATCTCGAGGCTTTGAAGTGGTTGCTGACCGCGCATTTCGGCCCGAGCCTGGCCGAGCGTACATTTTATTCTCCAAGAGCAGCCACCACCGTTATAATCTCATGTCATCACACAATTTTGCAATGGCCTATAGCATTATAAGTGCCGTTAATTTGTTGAGGAGGACAAGAACCTGAAAAGCCTGTTCGAGGTTCGAGTTCAACTGGGAATTGTCAGTGGTCACCGACACTGCCTTTGGCCTGCCTTGCCAAGGGGGGGTTTTTTTTTGGGGGGGGGGGGGCCTCACCCACGGCCACCCTGTGTCAGCTTTCTAGGCACAGATATACCCTGCTCTCCCGTCAAGATTCTTGAAGGCATAACTATTATGAGATCAGGCAGCAGTCTAATGAACTTCAGCCTTGTCGAGATGCATCGTACTGGCACTAGCATCTGGGCTGTTTCCCACAGGCATCTAGATTGGGTTTTGGGGGTGGTGTCATTGAGACGGTCCGGCTTGACAGACGAACATGAGATTGATGCACACGACGATTGCTCAAAGCTCGTACAACGATTGCACAGATGTAGGAGTAGCAAGGGGGTTTCGCAAACACAGCACATCGCAGGAGGCAAATGTCCAGTACAGTTGCCTCCACGCGCCATGTCCTCTGGTTGGGCCGATGCCTGGGCTTCGCGTTCCTCATTCTCACCGATCACCTAGTAAATTCTGCTTAGGTGTGTTGTTGATATTTGAAATCTGATCATCTTGGACTGCCTCGTCCTCCTCTGAATTGTCTGGGCCTTTGTTGTTCAAATCCCAGAAGCGTTGCAGTTGATAAGGGATTTTTTCTCTTCTTTTGGAAAAAAAAAAAAAATCTTTTTGGAATGCCGCCCAGTCTATCTACACATCCATCCCAAACTGCTGCTGAATCTGCTTGCGCTTCCCGACGTCTTCCGTTCCCGAAAACCCCAACACTTTGTCTAGTAGCCGTCCTTGCCCCACTTGTTGTACTTCTCGTGCAGCTCCTGAAGGTTCGTGTCAGCAATTGTCCCTCCTCGCAGGATTGTAATCATCTAATAGTATTACCTTGGGCAGGTTGACGTTGGGAACGACAACGGTGTTGACGGCGCTAGGGGCTTCCTTGGGCTGGGCCGACCTGTCACCGCCGGGGTAGTACTGGTATTTGCCCTCACCACCGGTCTCCCAGGGGCTGCCGGCATGGGGAACCTTTTGCTCAGATGTAGATGAAGTCGGGGTACGTCCTGTTCGGGGTCTCAGTTTTCTTCCGCCATCATCCTCAGTCTTTGCGTTGCCACGTACCGAAGTAGAATCCAGCACCGCCGAGAGCGGCAACCATAACGGCTCCGAGGATCTAGAGATTATCGCCTATCATCAGCGTCCGCCCCGTGATTATTTCTCTACATGTTTCATTGGACACCATGCCCAAAGTGTTGAGAGAGCCATTGTGCGTGCGGGTCGGAGTTTGGACTCACCATGAGCTCGGGGTTGCGCTTGCTCTCCTGCTTCAGAAGATGCTCGCTGCCGCTGGCCTGCTGGGCCTGTAGCCGGCGGACGCTGGTAGAGAAAGCACGGGTAGCGATTCTGGATGCCATGGCTGCTGTTGTGACTTTTGCTCGTGGAGTAGGGATGCGATGGGTTCGTTTGGCTGGTACAACTGGGTTCGAGATGTTTGTCGTCAAAAGAGACGTCAGAATGAATCGCAGGTCGTGTCTCTCGTACGATTCCACCCGCGGTGGAGCTCCAAGGCGGCCGGAATGACATAATGATCTTGTGATTGGCTGCTTGTTGACAGAGCTTCTCATTGGCCAATGCTTCCATAACTGCTGGCTACAGCACAGTACGTACTATGTACATGTCACAGTACATGTACGGCCGGCAGACAGCCGAAGCGAGGCGGCGGACAGCTGCTAGAGCTCTCTCATTTGCGACCACATCGCCCCCATTCCTATTACGGTACCCCCCTCTTCATGGGCCAAGGCAGCCACAATTTCTCTACCTGAGAAGTAGTGCAGGGCCTCAGAACCTTGTAGGCACCCGGCCGGGGCCTGAGCGGCGTGCCTCAATCTGCAAAGGGGCTGGAACTTTTTATGATGTGATTCGAAACCCATCCTGGCACTATCTTTTGAGACTCGACTGTTCCGTTTCAAGGACACAATCAATCTCTCTCTGCCTCGAGGGAAAGCCGTCTTTCACTTCTCAACGATACCATCTATCAGGTGCGTCGCGAGGCCCGTGATCGATCAAAGGGCATCTCGAAATCCTCGTCCCCTATGGACCCATCTCAACACACCCTGACGACCAGTCGCCTACCAACGGAGAATAACGTACCCTGTGCAATCTGAGTGGGACAAACAGGGGCGACCAGCTGGTTCCAATCGAAAGGATCCGGATCCAATACCGCAATACGCGAAAAGAGCAGTTTGTCCAGCACGCTGTCCGTGCGGACCTAATTATCTGACGTGAACTGTCATCGGCGTCGCCCTCTTCTCTTCTCTCTCCTTTTCTGTTTCGCCGCCGCCGCCATCATTGTCCTACCTCACGTCACTCTTTTTGACCATCTGCGCCTCGTTGCGCTGCCACTCCTTTTAATCAACATAATCACATTCTACTTTCTTTCATTGGGCTACCTCGAAAAGCCTTTTTCTTTTTCTCTCCCTTTTTTTTTTTTTATTATTATTTTAAATTTCGATTTTTGGGCGCCGAATCTGCATATTCAATTCACACTCCCGTGTGACCGTTTCCCCCCAAGTCAAAGCACAGTACAACGTCGCAATCTCCCGTTAACACGATCCGGGAAGGGCCCTGTACAAGGAGCAAACACCAGAAAGTCTAGCACACGAGACAACCTCGAATCCTCCCATTCTATCCCGAGCCACCTCTTCAACCCCCGCTGCAATCCTGGATCGCCTTCGTCGACCTGCGCAGGAACATGAAGTTGTAGCACGACGATCCCACGAGACAGACGATCTGACGTACGTGCAAAGCGGAAAGTTTTCCCGGATTTCAAGCGTGTGAATCAAGACAGGATCGGCGACATGGCATCTCAGGAGGGCTCGAGATCAAATACTCCAGCTGGCGCCACAGGCAGCGACGACGATGCCGCCCCCCACTATCCCGGCAGGACAATCGGCGGAGGCCCGCCGAGTATCATATCCTCGCGGATGACTGATATCGGAACAGAAGACGGAAGAGAAGGCGAGGCGCAAAATGCAAATAGGCAGAGCCAGGGGCCGTCGCAGACGAGCACAGTCAGGTCGGCAATCTCCTCTCAGAGAACTCCCGCAGCCTGGCCGCAGCCTATACCGCTCCGCCGGGGACTGTCTGGGAAAGGAAAAAGAAGCAGTCTCGCCGGGAGTGTTGGGGGGAGCTCAACCGCAACCGGGGGCCGGCCTGCCAGCTCGGCCAGCCGAAGTCACGTCCCATCTGTGCAGTCGTCTGCCTTCTTCCGGCCGATGAGCTCCCAAAAGCTTCAGGCGCAACGAGGCGCAACGCGACCGTCCAATATGAGCAGGCATGTGGAGGTGATTGGCAGTGGCGACGAGGAGTCCCCGTCGAGCCCCCAGTTCGGCGCAAACGTTGTGCGCCATAGCATCACATCGAACACAGCCTCAGGGCGATTGGTCACGGATGAAACTCCGCCTTCCCGTGGCACCGAGATGACCGGCCATGGGACCTACGATCGCCACACTGCACACACTAGAGACAGCGTGACCGACAGCGTGCGGCCTCTGCGGAAGAAGACGGCGGAGGAGAAGGGTCTGCAAGTCGCGACGGATAGGCCATTTGACAAGAAGTCCCAGCCATCGCCTCTGACTGCTCAGTCGATTCGGTCGAGCTTCATGATGAGGAATGGCGCCGGCTCGCATACGTCCAACCGTGACAGAGAAGGGGCCGAGAAGCTTGAATCTGTGGACTCGTCTCCTCAGTACCAGGGCCATGAATCCCACCACAAACGATCGCACAAGGCAGAGGCACCGCGGCCTGTGAGGCGTGAGATCAGCCGCAACTGGGAATATTTCACCGGGAACACTGTCTTTTGCTTAGGAGGCAGGTTCCAAAACACCAGATCTCGGCCAGTCAACATTGTGACCGGTACCCTTCTCATCCTCCCTTGTATATTGTTCTTCGTCTTCTCGGCTCGCGATCTCTGGTATGATGTCTCCCCGGCGGTACCAATCATCTTTGCCTACATCACTTTCCTCAGCGTGTCTTCTTTCTTCCATGCCTCTGTTACCGATCCTGGTGTAGGTTTCTTCTTTGCTTATCTCTCCCTTTCCCCGTGATTTCGTCACGCCTGCTGACTCTTATTAGATCCTGCCGCGCAACCTACATCAGAACCCCCCGCCTGATGTTGACGAGGACCCGTTGAGACTGGCTCCGCCAAGTACGGACTGGATCCTGATAAAGTCAGCCGAGTCTTCCACGGCAGCCATGGAAGTGCCCACCAAGTACTGCAAGACATGCCAAATCTGGAGGCTTCCACGAACGCATCATTGCCGCATGTGCGATAATTGCGTCGAAACATCGGACCACCACTGCGTGTGGCTCAACAACTGCGTGGGCCGACGCAACTATCGCTACTTTTTCGCCTTCGTCTCGTCCACGACCCTGCTGGGTCTTTACCTCATCGGCGCCTCCCTGGCACAGATTTTGGTGTACATGGATCGCGAAAAGGTCACATTCGCACGTGCTATCAACCACGACGCTGTGCCTTTCGCAATGGTCATCTACGGGCTTATCGGCACCCTCTACCCTGCCGCACTCATGGGTTACCACCTGTACCTAATGGCCCGCGGCGAGACTACGCGCGAGTTTCTGAACTCCCACAAATTCCTGAAGAAGGATCGGTTCAGGACTTTCACCCAGGGCAGCTGGTATAAGAACTGGACCGTTGTGCTCTGCCGTCCACGCCCTCCGACGTACTATAATTTCAAGAGGCAGTATCATGCGGGTGACCAGCGCCTCGCGGCGATGAAGCTGAAGGAAAAGAGGAGGGATGCGAAGATGAAGAAGCAAGAGGACGTCGAGCTGGACAGCATCCCCCAGAAGGGCTTCCAGGGCCCGACAGCGCTGAGGGGCTCGTCTCCGAAGGCGGCATGATCCCGTTTCTTCTCTGCTGCACTGTACTGTCCCTTCATCAACCGTATATTTTTCTGGTGTCTCTTTCTTTCTTGTGTATACTCGATTGCTTCTTCATCAGCGTGTGTCATGAGCGAAACGGTGCCTTTGGAGGAGCCAGGAAGGAGAAGCGGCTCGCTTTTGGATATATGCACGTCTTCGTTAATGTGTTGGCGCCTATGCCCAGGACCTTACGCCACTAGACAAACTCTTATATCAGCGTTCTACATAGAGCTAGCGAGACGGGAATGTCAATGTCTAATGTTTCCACGATGATTGAACAAGCAAAAGAGTAATGCCACCCGAGAGCGAGTGGGTTGGCAAGCCTGAGAAACCTGACCTCTTAGCATCAGTGATATCATATACGCCCCTTCGCAGGTTCCATATTCAGCTGAAACTCCTTGAAGCCTTGTCCTGTTCTTCTCTTAAGTCCCAAGTCCAATTGATTCCCAATCCTGCAAAGCCCACTTGTGTGTGAGTCACATGTCTTGTCCAGAATCTTGCCCAAAATAATGTCCAGGAAAATACCTTGGCCAGATCGTCTTCAAAGAACCTAGCAACCATCATACTTTCTGTGGAATTCCACGAGATACCACAAACATCTTCCCCTCCCCCTGCAGCCAGCCTGCATTTCACTAGGTATACAGTAGTGATAGGCGGCTTACCAGGTACCTTGTACTACTACACATGCTACAGTAGCCTTGGGTGAGTAGCTAAGTTGGGCGAACCCATGTTTTAGTGTGGGCAAGTGGGGCAAAAGCTGCAGGTGAAACCAATCAGGTGCCAGCAGCCCCCCAAAAACATAATGCAGCAACGGCAAACCGATCTGAATGACGGCTTGTTTCCTCTTAACATCAACACTGACTGACTGCATTGCACTGCCTCTGCTTCAGGACCCGCAATCCTGCAAATCTTCCTTTCCAACTTCATTCAGTCTCCTTCCCAGAAGGCACTTCTCTGACCAAGTTCACTATCTTGGACGTGTTTGCGCGCTTGTAGGCCTGTTCGGATCTGACGCGAAACAAAACGATACACGCACAGAAGCAAATGAGAGCAGCTGAAAGGACGCCAAACCACCCCGTCTTTTACCACGCTCCTTTGTATCCGGCAAGCCAAAAGTTGGAGCCAAGACGCGCAACGAGGCTAGGACACAAGACAGGCTGGGCTGCCCAACCCCGACAATCCCGTCACATCGTCCACAGCGCGACCGTTTGAGCTTTCACCGCGTGTCTCTAGACAAGTCTTTTTGCCCATTTGTCGACATTCTCTTCCCCATCAAGAGCCAGACTGGTTGGGAAAGCCGCAGGACGTTATCTGCGCTAATCCAGGTACGTGCATGCATTTTCAGTCAAGTCTGCTCGTTCACCCGCTGCTGCAACGAGGGGTTCCAAAAATGGAGCCAGCCATTTCTCGCTCGCAGAGCAACGCCCCGCTAGGCGACCTAAATATTACGAACTCGCACTCATTGTTTTCGCACCTCAGGCAACGATCTGACCTTCGCTACATCAAACCCTTCCCACCCAACCTTTTGATACACCACATAGCATCGTCCTTCCAAATCATACTCCCATCATGGCGGACGGTGCACCCGATATCAGCACTGTCCTGACGAATTCGCTCAGTCCTGGTCAGTACCTTCCTTCCCTCGAAAGCCTCGCTCTGGCCCAACGACCCCTCTCAGCCACCCCAGCTTTTGAGACCCAGTCGCGTCACGATGCTGTCCTAGGATAGTGAATGAAAGAAAAGTCTGCTGACAGCCGCTTAGATGCGAATCTTCGAAATGCTGCTGAGCAACAGCTTACCCAGGCCGCCGACAACAACTTTGTGAGTCTTGCTCGTCCTTCTCTCCTCTTTTCCACGCATCCCCTCCCCCCCCCCCCAGAACAGTAACCACAGCTAACCACAGATGATTCTCCTCTACCTAGTCACTGTACCTCGCGACCCTCGTACAAGCACTCGCAGATGAGAACGGCGAAGGTCACATCCGAGCCGCTGCTGGTATTGCCCTGAAGAACGCGTTCACTGCTCGAGAATATGCACGGCAGGCAGCACTGCAGCAAAAATGGCTCCAGCAGACAGACGAACCGACAAAAACCAGAGTCAAGGAGTTGGCCCTCCAGACACTCGGCTCAAGTAACACACAGGCTGGCCAGGCGACGGCTCAGGTCGTCGCCTCCATTGCAGCCATCGAGCTGCCCCGCAACCAGTGGCAGGATCTGATGGCTTCGCTCGTCCGCAACGTGTCCGAGGGCAGTCCTCACCAGAAGCAGTCCTCTCTAACTACGATTGGCTTTATCTGTGAGAGCCAGGATCAGGACCTGCGGGCCAGCCTGGTCGGCCACTCGAATGCCATCCTCACGGCCGTGGTTCAGGGTGCTCGAAAGGAGGAGACGAACCTCGAGGTTCGTCTGGCCGCCATAACGGCCCTGGGCGACTCCCTCGAGTTCGTTGAGAACAACTTCAAACACGAAGGCGAGCGCAACTACATCATGCAGGTCGTATGCGAAGCTACTCAGGCCGACGACCCTCGGATACAGCAGGGCGCTTTCGGCTGTCTGAACAGGATCATGGGCCTCTACTACGACAAGATGCGCTTCTACATGGAGAAGGCCCTGTTTGGCTTGACCATCCTGGGCATGAAGAGCCAGGATGAGGATGTTGCTAAGCTGGCCGTTGAGTTCTGGAGCACTGTCTGTGAGGAGGAGATCGCGATTGAGGATGACAACGCACAGGTAGGCTCGGCTGCTTCTCCCACAGTTGTCGACATTGCCATGAGGACTAACACGTTTTAATAGGTCGATAGCTCGGACCAGATGCGACCTTTCTACAACTTCGCGCGTGTCGCTACTAACGAGGTTGTGCCAGTTCTATTGACCCTCCTGACGAAACAGGACGAGGATGCAGCCGACGACGAGTACAACATCTCCCGTGCTGCCTACCAGTGCCTTCAGCTCTATGCACAGGCTGTCCAGGCCACCATCATTCCTCCCGTCATCCAGTTCGTCGAGGCCAACCTGCGCTCTGATGATTGGCACAACCGGGACGCGGCAGTCTCTGCCTTTGGCGCCATTATGGAGGGACCCGATGAGAAGGTGCTCGAGCCCATAGTGAAGTCGGCCCTGCAGATCCTCATCCAGATGATGGAGGATCAATCTGTCCACGTTCGGGACTCGACGGCTTATGCTCTTGGTCGTATCACCGAGGGATGCTCGGACGCTATCGACCCGGCCACACACCTCGAGCCTCTGATTCGATCCCTCTTCTCTGGTCTCCAGACCAACCCCAAGATGGGTCCTTCCTGCTGCTGGGCGCTCATGAACCTTGCCGAGCGGTTTGCCGGCGACCCTGGCGCGCAGACCAATGCTCTCACTGCTCACTTCAACGACAGCATCCAGTCCCTTCTCACTGTCACGGCGCGGCCCGACTGCGACAATGTGGTCCGCACTGCCGCCTACGAGGTTTTGAATACATTTGTCACCAATGCCGCCCAGGACTCTGCCCAATCGGTCGCCCAGCTCTCGAGCGTCATTCTTGAGCGTCTTGAGAACACAGTTCCCATGCAGAGCCAAGTCGTCAGCGTGGAGGACAGGATCACACTCGAGGACATGCAGACAAGTCTCTGCTCTGCCCTCACAGCGATAATTTCTCGCCTGGACAAGGAGATCGTGCCGCAGGGCGATCGCATCATGCAGATCCTCCTTCAGCTGCTGAGCTCAGCTGGTGCTAAGTCTAGCGTTCCCGAGGCCGCCTTCGCTGCCATCAGCTCGCTTGCGAACGCCATGGAGGAAGAATTCGTCAAGTACATGGAGGCATTCCTGCCCTTCCTCCACAATGCGCTCGGCAACCAGGAAGAGCCCGGGCTGTGCTCCATGGCTATCGGCCTTGTGAGCGACATCACCCGATCGCTCGGAGAGCAGAGCGCGCCCTGGTGCGATGGCTTCATGAACTACCTGCTTAACAACCTGAGGTCCACGACCCTGTCCAACCAATTCAAGCCCGCTATCCTGCAGTGCTTTGGTGATATTGCCACTGCCATCAGCGGCCACTTTGAGAAGTACCTGTCGGTCGTCGCGCAGGTTCTCCAGCAAGCAGCCACTGTGACCGCGAGCCCTGAGGCAGGCTATGAGATGTATGACTACGTCATCTCACTCCGGGAGGGTATTATGGACGCTTGGGGCGGCATCATTGGCGCTATGAAGGCCAGCGAGAAGAGTGAGTCTCTTTCTGCATAATTCCTACTCCAACAGGGCCTGATTGATACTGACCGTTTGCTTTTGCAGCCCAAATACTTCATCAATACGTTGAGTCCATCTTCCAGCTGCTCAACGTTATTGCCAACGACATGAACCGCAGCGAGTCCCTGATGCGGGCCTCCATGGGCGTTATCGGCGATCTTGCAGATGCATACCCTGATGGACAGCTCGTTGAAGCTTTCCGCCAGGACTGGGTTACCGCCATGATCAAGGACACGCGGTCCAACCGCGAATTCGCGCCTCGGACCATCGAGACGGCCCGCTGGGCTCGTGAGCAGGTTAAGCGGCAGCTCGGAGGCAGCGCCAACCTCATGACAACCTGAGGAATAAATTGGAGCTAGCTCCCTGTGGCTCCCCCTTCTGTATTCCGCAAATCACATTCTTCCCTTTTATGACAGCCCCACGAACGATGCATCACGACGCAACTGGTCTTCGGACCATTCACTCCTCTCTGTCTCTCGAAGCTCACGAAAACTTCGCACGAGAGGAAGATTGCAGCATTACCCGATCTCAACCCCCCACCCCCCATCCCTTTTCAGACATCACACTACCCCTGGACGGCAACCCACGACACTTGACAACATAAATGTACACAACCCCCCGTGCGTTACAGGTTGAGGAGTCGATATCCCCCCCCCCCTCTTTCCCCCCCCCAAATACCCCCCTTCCCCAAAGACACTACACTTAGAACACCTTTTGAAATGCTGCTAGCTTTGTTATGTTGCTTATTCACCCTGGGTTTTCCCATATTGGCAAAAAAAAAAAAAGAAAAGGGAAACCACTCGAATAGCAAATCATGTATCGCCCACGCCACGGCTGGGCAAACTTCACGTCATGTAAAGAAGGGTGAAAGAGAGGCGTCAAAGGAAAGGCAAGAAAGGCAAGACAAGAGTCGAGCCGAGCCTCGGATTGGACTCCCTCCAAGTGGACAGGAGCCACCGGGTAATGCTCGCGTTTTCAGGATCGGGGGAAGACTTTCTAGCGATGGGAAAGTTACTCGATGTTACTCCTGGGCCGACTCGAGGAGTTGAAAGAAGACAAAGACGACACATCACGGCTACCGCAGACTTTGTTATTTTTCGGCCGATGGCATCCTTTGACCCTTTTGGCTTATGACGAGATGCTAGATGGCGTTTCTACATCGAGTTGACTTGGCAAGAGAGAGAAAAGAGCTGATGGCCGGAGTCTGGGAAGACATAGACGATGCCAGGCTATTTGGTCGAGTGACCATGGCTACTTTATAAGGCTCGTTTTTTGGTAGCAAAATCAACACCCTGAATACCCCCCCTCCTTCTTATCTGACATGCATTGGACGATCAATAAAATTGCTCTGATATGCATACCTCGTAGAAACTTTCGCGCATCTCACACGGGAAAGCCGTGGTTGTTGTAATAACATGTGGACCAAAGATGGACCCTTTTGGTTTTTCTTCCCTATTTTTCATTATGACAAGACAGGACTGGTGGAGAGAGACCTGCTGACATCATTTCCATCCACGTTGGTGTCTCAAGCAGACCACACCCGAGTTTAGCCGTAGCAACCGTTGCACCGGGGCCCTGTTCCTCGTGACGACATAGAAGGATCCAGAGTAGCTTTCGTTAGCTGTGGAGTGTAGAATGATCTGATGATGTGCAATGACAGAAAAATGAGGGAGGGGAAAGGAAGAAAAATGATGGTCTTTCTCATATGACTAATTTCTGGGGGTGCTAATCATCAGACCGGTGCAGGGCCTGAAGCGAGAAAGGATGGATAAATATTTCTCAACGAGAACGAACATATTCTTGTACCTGACGGACGAGTAATGGAGAACGTGGGAAAAATTGGGCCACGTGAAACCCCTCAGTCTGGATTCCTCCTCCTCTGTGGAAAGGAAAAAGGAAAACAATCAAGACTCTTTTTTTCTGACACGGAACGAGTTTGCATGCTTGGTTAGAACAGAGAGAAAAGGCAAGAAATTCCTACTCCAGCAGCGAAATCGCATTACCCAGGTACATATACAAAGTACTACGTACCAGCGCGGGAGCCAAAGTCGAGTCTCTCATCCATCACTCTCCTTTGCCAATTGCATACTTTGTTTTTTTTCCCCCACGGGTAATGAACAAGAAGGCCGTTCAAAACGGGCTCTCATATCGACCATACCAACTTTACTCAGCACATTTTCACTCAAGGGGGGAGAAAAAAATTGAAAGGGGAGAGAAGAAAAGAAAATAAAGATGAATCCTAATCACAGTCTGTCCTCTCACCAGCCAACGCCACCATCGTCAGAAAAAATTCACCGTCCTCCCCAGGCTCACTCGCAGTCTCATGTCCCTGCGGTTCCGACTGCCTTCACCCGCCGCAAGACTGCCATCCTGGCGCAGCTGGCCCTCCCGGACGAGGAGTACGCGGACCTCAGCCCCAAGGGCACGGTAGACGCGGGTATTCGCGACCTGATTGGGGAGATCAACGGGGCCGAGGGCCTGGTCACCACGTCTAGCTGCGCGGGGCGGGTGAGTGTGTTCCTGGAGGGGAGCCGGAGGAAGCACGGCGAGGGCGAGGGTGGGGCAGCAGGTGGTGGTGGTCGGGATTTTGGCAGCGGGGGCGTGCCGGGAAGTGATGGGGGTGGGGAGCTGCCGTCACATCAGGTCGTCGACCCTGGGGAGGAAGATGGTGGGGGGGAGGAGGAGGAGGAGGAGGAGGAGGAGGAGCAAGAGAACGGCGAGGGAGCTGCAGTGAGGGTGTCGAGCACGGTGGCGGGCGTGGGCGGCAAAGGCGGCGGCGGCAGGTGGCTGTTTGTGTCTCACGAGCCTGTGGAGCTGCACGGCAAGCTGGACAGCGAGCCCAACATCGTCGGCGCCCTGCTGGGCATGGATGATCCTATCTTTGACGGGCGAGAGGGGGCGCCGGCCCAGGAGATGAGCGGGGGCGAGAGCAGGCTGATCCATTTCAAGTTTGAGCCCATGGTATGTTTTTCTTTTGTCTTTTCACCCCTTAAGGCCTGGCCACAGTGATGATGAGTGGGTTGGAGATCTCGTTTGTCTAATTTTCTTCTTTCTTTCTTCTAGATTCTACATGTTCTGACGGCGTCACCTTACCATGCGCAACTCATACTCCGCTGTGGTCTACAAGCCGGCTTCCGAGAGAGCGGCGCCATCAACCTCATCCCCCCTTTCTCGTCTTCCAATTCTTCGTCATTAGCAACACCACCACCACCACCACCAGCAACACCAATAGTGGCAATCCGGTCCATGGGCCTCGGCCTCGAGAGCCTGATTGGTCGCGAGACCAATGGCATCAAGCACTGCACCGTGTCGGGCGACTATCTCAAGGCGTTAATTAAGATCGCCAACGAGAGGTTTGGGGAGAACACGAGGCGCATCGAGCGGTTCAGAGGCCTGCTGAGGGCGGCCGTTGGCGGAGGCGGTGGCGGGACGGGAATCGGGAGAGTGAGGATGGGCGACGGTGGCGGAGCGTGGGAGAATGCCGAGATCAGGCGGGAAAGGAAGAGGTTGGAGGGGTTGAAGAGGGCTGAGGAGGTCCGGAGGGCGAGGCTTGCCAGGCAGGAGGGGGGAACACGAGATGAGCTGGCTGGGTTCGAGTGAGGCCCGCCCTGGAGAGAGATCAGATGGGCCATCGATACACTCTCAACGAGGAGTACGTATTAGACCTCCAAGATGTTGATTCTTGTCTTGCCTCTGGTAGAGCCTATATCGCTCCCAAGAAGATGACATTTCTCATTCATAATACTCGCAGGTGACAACACCGCGTTTCTTCACCTCGCTCGAGATTGTAGTGCATCAAAAGCTTGGTTTAGCGAACAGTGTCAAAAGGCTTTTTGTAGATTCCCTCCATCATGCAGAAACCCTCATTCTATGATATACAACACATACGCATCCCTTCTCCCCTTTTTCCTTGCATCTCCTTTGTCTTGCTCTTCATCCTATGCACGCCTTGCCTAGAAGAAACCAGCCCCCCTCACCCCCCTCTTCTTCTCGGTCCGCTCGCCTTACGAGATGATCCTCTCGACCCAGCCCTTCTCCATCCTCCTCACCTCCTCGCGGAACCGCTCCACCTCCCGCCAGCAGTCCAAGGGTCTGCGGTCGTTCTCGCGAAGGCACCGCACAACATCACCCCTCGCCTCCTCCACGCTCTCCGGGACCTCCCGAACCAGCCTGCGGGCCTCGACCTTCTTGCGCAGCCGCTCGACGTCCGCGTTGACAGCGTGCTGAGAGAGAGGCGCCGCCCCGTCCTTGTCCTTGCTGCCCTCCCCCTCCTCCTTTCCCGAGCTGCCTACTTTCGACAGGACGGAGCTGAGCTGGGCGTCGGACTCGCGCGAGAGCTTGCGGAGCTCGGCAGCTACGCGGGCCTGGATCTGGGACTCGAGGAGGGTGGTGCGGGTCGTGTCGGTCTGTGAGCCATCCCCAGGATACCGTGTCAGCCAAAGGTCTTTGGCCGCCCATCATTTGCCTCTCTTTTCCTCCTCTGGCTCTATTCGTGGTGGGGGGGTGGGGGGGGTACACACCTCTGAGCTTGACTGTAATGACTCAACCATGTCCTGGGATACACTGGCGGGTGAAGATCTGTAAGGGGACGGGGTGGAATTGTATCAATTAATCTGAGGATTCCCAAGGAGGCGCAAATACAGCGCGCAGAAAACACTAAATGCAACCAGGAACATACCCCTTCCAAAGGTATGTCGGCGCAGGGCCAGATTCTTTCGACGAATTCGCGCCCATCCTGTCTTCTCCTAGTCGATCGTTGTCGTTGTCGTCGTCGAATGAACGAATGAATGAATGAAGTGCACTTGTTCCAAAAAAAGAAAGCGCCGCACCGTTACCGAGTTCCCGCTGGGCGGGCTGTTTTTGGGTTCCGCTCGTCGTTTCCTCAAATTCGCGATAACGCGATTTCAAGCTTTAGCCTGCCGGGAAACAGGGGGACACACCCCAAGCGCCTAGGGAAGGAATGACGTCCGGCCAAACCTCCCCCCCTCCCCCAAACCTTGGCGCTCGGGAGCTGCCAGCTGGTGCACAGCTGCTGAGGCTTGCCGACGGCTGGCGGTCGTTGAATTATGCCTCGGTTTTAATCTTTCCAAACGCCCAACTTTAGCTCGCGGATCTCGCAGCCTTAGCAAGCTTAGCTCCCGCCATACTAAATGGGTTGCTTGGTGGGGGGGATTTGCGAAACGCTGGCCGATGGATCTTGCGCCTATATCTAGAGTGTACTGCAATTTACTATGTGGCTTGCTTCTATTCTTTCGGCAGGGCCGTGGTAGTGGATGTGTTCTTTTTTTCTTTTTTTTCTTTCTCTTTATTGACGCGGAAGAGAGACCTAATCGCAGAAAAGATGGGCAGAGAAAGGGAGAGATAGGGAAGTGAAGCTTTCACCTGGGCATCCTGATTTTGAATAATGGAGATTCCCTGTATATTCTGCTGCCAGTTGTCTACATGGTGGCATACTGGCTGCCCAGAGTCTGACCTGTTCGACACGTGGATGCCACAGGCAATCATCTAAAACAGTGCAGACAACCATAGGAAAAGTAGTGGCTCGCTGCTTAGAAGACGAAAAAATTCACTTGGTCATATTACAAGTCCCACGAGGGTGGGTTTTGCAGCTCGGCACCGCCCGTATAGTGTTGGTCTGTACAAGCGCTGTCACGGTGATCTTCCTCAGTCCAGCCTTCCACCATAGTACATAGTAGACAGGGCCCCCAAAATGGGTGATAAGAGCCAAGATGATTGAGATGGTGCTCCATAACCGCCAAGACTAAATAACGAGATCTTCTCGCCAGATCATGAGACCCATGGCCTCGTGTTGGCGCACCGACTGGGCTGCTCTTGTGGATGGGCGTCTTGGATCATCACGGTTGGGCTGCTCACCATTGGTCGAGACCGAGCTTGACAACTCTAGCGCCTGCGGGCCCCTTCGAGGTCTCATCAAGCTGTTTCCCCTTTCCCACGTTTCTTGCCCTCGGGTCTGTGAGTTCGTGACAGGGAATTGGGAAGAGGACCTGGCCAAGGTCCAGAGGCCCTGTAGCGACATGAAAGGTGGCTCCCTGTGCCTGGAGGGCAATCAAGATGGTGAAACAAGGGTGGGGATGCATGCATGCTGCGTGCAAGCTCTGCAAGCTTGACATCTGGAGCTCCCCTGCCGCGGGGGCCCGGCGGCCGTGGTTCGAGAGGAGACGTGGCTCTGAAGATTGGTCGTCATCGGTGAACGTTCCCTCCTTCGAATGGAAGGATATCGGGCATGCGTTCGTGGGCCTCTTCACTCGTCATGATCACTGGTGGGATAGGGAGGACGTCGTTTGTCGGCTCCCCTTGTTTCCTTTTCTTGGAGCCACTGCATACACACACACTCTCTCTTTGAGGCTCCGCTTCCCGAGTCTGCCGAATTACATGCTGCAACCCTCCCTCGGCGGCGGCTTGTCTGAATCGGGACGGTCGCGGCGGCGGGATGAGCCTCAATTATTTCGCTTGGGTATGAGAGGCTGCAATGGTGGGGAACATGAATGGCCATGTCCCCTACGGCCGAGGTCCTTCATTGACAGGTCAGAACACCAACCCTCAAGAAACACATGATGGCCGATCCTCTATCAGGCTCTCCTTCTCTTTTTCTCTCGTTTGTAGGATGAAGTGGGTTGGGCAACACTGCAAGCGGCGTCAGCGCCACCAGCGCCGTGTCGCTTGGCCAGCCATCCCACCCCCTGGGGATAGAGAAGGGGGGTGGGGTGGGGGCGGTCACCCAAACGTCTGACTTCTGCAGGCTTTTACCATGATCAAGGTGACGATGACAGCTGATGATAGGCCTGGTCGAGCCAAGGCCCAGGTGAAAGAGGCAGAGGAGCAGCAAGAGAACAAGAAGAAAATCGGAAGAGACGGCTAGAGAACGTCACAGGCTGATCAATGTTTCCATCCCGTCTTGGTTTTTGAATGTTGCAAGGCTGTCAAAGAAAACATGGAGGTGGTTTGTTTATGGGATGATTCAAGGCAGTGAAACTTTGAAACCCTGTCAATGCAAGTGGTAGCCGCGAAAGGGGGGGGGGAGGCGAACAACTGGGATGCGAACGACGTCGTGTTCTACGGTGTAAGACCCCCCCTGAATCGGCAGGGCTCATGCCCTTCTAGGCTTGGCCTGCGTAGCTGAGCCAGGGGGCCTGCGGGCTGCGGCGAATCGCTGCAGCGTTTCGTTGCTGGACAGGGGTGGTGCTGAGGGTCCTAGGTGGTAGGAAAGGCGCGGAGCCGCCATGCATGGCGCTGCCCAACCAGGGTCTTGACGGGAATTGATTTGCCCTCGTTCAACGTCTCTCGACGCTCCAGCCACTTTGACGCAGAACCAGGGCACAATGACTGGACAGCAGGAAATCCTGTGCGGCCAAGCTGAAGCTTTCCCCTTCTCTTTGCCTCGTCAAACCTTCTGTTCACAGGTGGGGCCCCCGCAGAGCAACCGGTATGAACATGCCACGAAATTCATTGATAGGTCCAGAAGGCGTGGGACGTGACACAGAAAGGTCATAGAGTTCCTCGGGCAAAAGCAACAACCTGCCCAGCAGGATGGTAACGATCACACAAGCATTCCCTTGACTATCAAAGAGAGAGAGAGACAAGGGGACGACAAGGGCAGGAAGTGGGGGGCCTACTGCTCAGGGTGCTCCCTCCCTTCGATGACGGGACTAAACCTGGTTATCTATCAAATGTTTTCGTGCCTACCTCGTACTATGGCACTTATCCCACTTCCTCCTTCTCGTCTTCCCCCTGCCTGTCGTTTCTCGCAGTCCACTCTCGGCGAGGCTTGGGTTGTCCCATTTCTCGTTCATATCTCGGCAGAGACCGAGCCAGAATCTGCCCACCCAAGAGCCCCACTCCTCCTCCTTGTCGTTCGCGTCCCCTGCCTCGCCATGCTGTCGCCTCCCACCACCTTCTCTTAATTAAGCCTCGACGATCGTCGTTCCCCTTCGCCTCGGTTCCCTCCTCCTTCTTGCTCGGTACATTTTTGGTGGCAGACCGGTTTTGACAGTACATCCAAAGGCAGATAGATCCATTTGGTGATCTCTACCTTCTTCCATTCTCAACTTTTCTCCTCCACTTTGGCCTGAGCTTTCCCACGCGTGAACAGGGAACCGCAAACATCATCTCCCAAGGCCACTTTTTATTTTCCTTCTCCTTCTTTTCTTCCCACATTTCGAAGACCGATCTTGTCAAAGGACTATCCCTCCAGCTGGTAGGAGGAGCCAAGGGCCGGAAGACAATCAAGGCGATCAGTCAGAACAGTTCACTTCACCACAGTCAACAAACATCTTTCAGTCTCCACAGCTCCGACCTGGCAAGCTTCACGCTGCTGCATTCAACCTGTGTATCACGTCGTTTATGACAGTTACATTCATTGTCTTGTACCATCTTGCAACACCTTGGTCCCCGAGACATACAGCAGAAGCAGCAGCAGCAGCAGCAGCCGCAGCAACAATACCAAACCATTTTCTGATACCCCAAACGACTTGTTGATCGAGCCACCACGGTCCCTACCATCACTACCAATTTTTCCATCTTACCAAAACGATATTGAGCATCCTTATCCGCTGGCACGGATCAGCCGCTATTCTCATCATTTACACTGACAAAAGGCCTTGTCACAAACAAACGCACAAAGACAGCTAGCAACGACATTGTGGTCCTCTTCGTTCGCAAACAGAATGCAATTGTTGACAAGAATACAATCTACCAGACGACAATAACCACTCTCGACTCTGGGGTTCAGGGGACAGGTAGGATCTGGAATATAGGTCCTGAGCATCTCGCCTTGGCCTGGCTTCGACCTGTCGAAGCTCGATCTGCTTAGTTTCAAGACTACCAGACCCGATCGATCAACAGATCCTTCTTCACCAGCTTTTGTCTCTTCCCGAACCTTCCTTTCTCAAGTACACAACATGGATTTCCACCGGCGCCGGCTCGCCTTCGCGGTAGAGTCCACCCCTACCCTACTTCGCCGAGCTACAGATGTTGTCGCTTCGGCAACCTCCTCTATTTCTGCAGCAGAGGAGACCATCGCCCCTTACGATCATGGCCTGAACGGCGTTGCCCAGACAAACAACATGATCTTTAAGCAGGGCCTGTGGTGGACGCTGGGCGGCTTTGGCTTCATCATCCTGTTGGTCAGGATATACCAGATCGCTTGGGCCCACATCCGACAGGTCTCGGCCATGTCCGTCGACGGAGAGAAGCAGACCTACTGGAAGTACGCACAGGCACACTGGATGCCGTCCTTCAAACAGGACTTCTGGTATGCCCCGCTCTGGAATAAGCGGCACAACCGCGAGATCAGACTCTCCTCCGCCATGAACATGGGCACATTGCCCTCGAGGATGCACTTCATCCAGCTCGCCCTCTACAGCATCAGCAACCTCGTCTATCTCTGCTACGTGGATTGGTGGAACCCCAACAAGTACTCGCTGTGCGCAGAGATCCGAGGTCGCTCTGGGACGTTGGGCGCGGTCAATATGCTCCCGCTGTTCCTCTTTGCGGGCCGCAACAACCCGCTGATCTCGTGGCTCAAGATCAGCTTCGATACCTACAACCTCTTCCACAGGTGGCTTGGCAGGCTGGCGGTGGTCGAGATCCTCATCCACCTTCTGGCCTGGTCGATCGTGCAGCTGACGGCCACGGGATGGGCTGGGCTGATGGACCGGGTCTTCCATGACCCCTTCATCGCATCGGGAACCGCCGGCACTTGGGCCATGTTCCTCATCCTCATCCTGTCTCTCTCGCCGATCCGCCACGCTTTCTACGAGACCTTCCTCACCACCCACATTATCCTGGCCTTCATCACCCTCGTCGCCTCCCTCATCCACTGCTTCACCCCCAGCGAGATCCCCACTGGTCTCCCCCAGCAGACCTGGTTCATGGCCATGTTCATTATCTGGATGTTCGACCGCACCGCCCGCATGGTCCGTCTGACCTACTGCAACTGGTCGCACCGTGGCTTTACCGAGGCCATCGTGGAGGCGATGCCCGGCGAGTGCTCTCGCGTGACCATGCACCTGCCCCGTCACGTCGACATCAAGGCCGGCTCCCACGCCTACATCCGATTTGCTGGCATCAAGCCTTGGGAGAACCACCCATTCTCGATTGCCTGGGTCGATCACCACTCCGAGGAGCTGCCGACGGACGAGAAGGAGCTTATGATCCTTAAGAAGAAGACAACAACCTCCGTCTCCTTTGTCATCGGCGCCCAGACAGGTTTCACCCGAGACCTCTACAACAGGGCCAGCGAAGCGCCCAACGGTGCCATCAGGACTCGTGCCGCTATGGAGGGGCCTTATGGCGGCCACCACGAGCTCGACAGCTACGGCCACGCCGTCCTTGTTGCGGGCGCCACCGGCATCACCCATCAGCTCAGCTACCTGAAGCCGTTGATCGAGGGCTACAACGAGGGCAGCGTCGCCACTCGCCGCATCACCCTCATCTGGATCGTCCGTGACTACGAGGCGCTCGAGTGGATCCGGCCGTGGATGGACGAGGTGCTGCGGATGCCGAACCGTAAGAAGATCCTGACCATCAAGCTCTTCATCACCAGACCCAAGAACAGCAAGGAGATTGTCTCTGCCAGCACGACCGTGCAGATGTTCCCCGGGCGGCCCAACATTCCACTGCTGATCCGTAAGGAGGTTCACGCGCAGATGGGCGCCATGGCGGTCACTGTGTGCGGGCCGGGCGCGCTAGCCGACGATGTCAGGTCAGGTGTGAGGCAGGTGCAGGACGAGGGCACTGTGGTGGACTTCTTCGAGGAGAGCTTCACCTGGTAGATGGGAGAGGAGGCCACGATGCCTTCTTTGTTTCCAGAAGCAGCGAACTCACGAGATACCACGGCGTCAAATCACGAGACCACGACGAGCTGGCAGGGGCAATCTTCTTTACTTTCTCTTCTCCTTTTCGAGGAGGTGGACTTTTCTTTTTTAATCTTCGACACATCATTACTGGTGGGCGATCCAGAGCCAAGATTTAATCTTGATCTGGTGATTTTAACTCTACTTTTTTGTACTGCTTTACTCTTATTTTTCTGCCACCCATATGCAAGCGTTTATACATTCTCTCTGTTCATAACTGCACTTTGTTTTACTACACCCACATGCCTTACTACGGAGACTTGGCTGTCGCGCGGTGAGGGAGAAGAAAGAAGTAGAAGGAGCCAGTGGAGAGGACGGCAATATCCAAGAGGTGGAAGATATTTTCCCTACACATGATATCCCAAACTGCATCGTTGTTGCATTTAATTCGGAGTTGGAGAGGTGGACTCTTAGATGAAAGACTTGACTTTCTGGGAGGAAAGAAAGGAAGATGGGAGAGGGAGAGAGAGAGAGAGAGATTTTGATATCCGAACTGTACATAGTCCACACGATGCTTTCCCTGTATCTTTCCCATGGGGTGTACAATAGTCACCCGTGTATAAAATGATTAGCATTGATTTGTTCACAATATGATACTCTACAATATTTTGTATCTTTCACTCGAGGTATAGAGAATTTGTCTGGTTGCCCGATGATGCTGCTCATTGGGACAGGGGCAAAGTCGTTGGAAGATGCCCGAGCCTCTTTTCCACCAGGGTCTTGTTTCTGCTTCCCCAGACGCTCACCTACAGCCGGGGTAAGCTCGTGCCATTTTGGCATGATTTGTTTCGAAGACAACATCTTTCGTTTGATGAGGGACCCCGGAAGGATTGGTGTATTGCGGGAGGACTTGGGTATTTTCCGATGGTGGCACGATATTGTAAGTTTGTGGTACGATGCGGACCCGGCTTATGAGTATCTGTCTGTGGAAGTGAGATGTTGGGTCTGGTGCCTGGGAAAGGGTTTTGAGGGGGGGGGGGGACCAACTTGACAGATGGATGGATGAGTGGGGAGACTGCGTGTGCATAAAGTGCTTGATTGCCTGGGGTTCGTCGGATTGGGATGGGTGGATGATGAGTGATGCTCTAGAGGAGGAGAGGAGTGGTGTATATCATGTGAAGCCCCCGGGGGGGGGGGGGGGATGAGGACCGTCCTGTAGAAGATCTGCTTTGGTGTGGACAAGGCAGTGACATATTAGGAAACGTGATCAGTCGGATGTCAGGTCGAGTCTGCACCGTAAGTCGAGATGGTATGAGGGGAGAGAGCAAGAGGCTTCATCCGAGTACATAACGGTTAAGAGAGGGTTGAGCGAGAAATAGGTTCAAACAGCAAGACAAACAAAGAAATCTGCTGCTGGGGTTGGTCACTTTGGTCAGGACTAGAAAAGTATAGTCTTCTTCAATGGATGCCATTTTGGTCTTATTTTGCTTTTTTACTTCCTTTTTCTCTCTCTGCTTTCCTCTCCTTTTTCTTTTTTTTTCCCCCCGCTGCACACCGTGCCATCGCGACAAGGCTTTCTCTCAAATTTGCTCCTGGAGACTTTATTCCCCTAGTATTTCGTTAATACAGAGGGGGCGAATGAGGGTAGGAAAGTCAAACCGCAATCACTTTTTTAACCCCCCCACCATCCTTAAACCTCGCCACTTTTCCGACAGACCGACGTATTTGGGTTTTTGCTAACGGACAGAAACCAAAGGACAAATGTGAGTTACAAGACATGAATCGTGAGCCCGGTAGGAATATGTCTGCAAGAAACCCATCATATCAAACAACACCTTCTTCCCCTGAAGTTACATCTCGTCAGCTGCGGTCTCCAGGCGATTGATGATATCGGACTCAGGGTTGGCATTCGAGGCGGTGCTGCCATTCGCTGACGCCAGCTTGTTCAGGATGGGGCTCTTGGGCTGAGAGACGACAAACTATAGAGCAGATAGTATCAGCATTCATTCAAACGATATGGATTGAATGTAGAGAAGGGAAATGAGCCGGGAAGGGCGTTTACATTGCTGGCGGCGCTCAGCAGCGCGACTAGGGAGCTCTGAACAACATCCTCGTGGATACCCACGCCCCAGAACCTCTGGCTGGAGCCTGCAGTGGTGCACTCGATGTACGTGGCGGCCTTAACGTCACGGCCCTTGCCGACAGCGTGCTCCTTGTAGTCGTTGACATCGACGTCGACACCAATCTGGCGCAGGGCATCCGACAAGCTCGACAGGGGGCCATTGCCGCGGCCCTTGAGCTGGTACTCGCGTCCCTCAACCGAGATGACGCCCTCGAACACCCGCTGGAGGTTCTTGGTGTCCTGCGTCTTGCCCGGCTCGGGTGGCGCGGGGCTTCGCGACCGGTCCGGCGAGATGGTGTAGTCCACGATGGTGAAGCGCGGGTTATCGCGCAAAAAGTACGTCTTCTCGAATAGCTCTGTGATCTCGACGGGTAGCAGCTCGCGGCTGCGCTCGTCGGCGACCTTCTGCACGACCCGGCTGAAGTCCACCTGCAGGCCACGAGGTAGGTCGAGGTGCAGATGTTGTTGAATGATCCAGGCGGCGCCCCCCTTGCCACTCTGCGAGTTGACGCGGATGACGGCCTGGTAGTCTCTGCCGATGTCCTTGGGGTCCAGGGGCAAATAGGGGATCTGCCAGTAGTCGTCGTACTCGGCGCCAGACTGGTCCCGCGCCAGGAATCCCTTCTTGATGGCATCCTGATGAGAGCCGCTGAAGGCGCAGACGACCAGGGAGCCGCCGTATGGCGCACGAGGGTGGACCGGGATCTTGTTGCAGACCTCGACCGTGTGGATGACCCCCTGCAGGTTCGAGAAGTCGACCTTGGGGCTGATGCCCTGGGTATAGAGGTTCAGCGCCAGCGTGACCAGGTCGACATTGCCGGTGCGCTCGCCGTTCCCAAACAGACAGCCCTCGACGCGGTCGGCACCAGCCATCTGCGCCAGCTCCGCCGCGGCGACCGCACAGCCTCGGTCGTTGTGCGGGTGCAGGGACACGCAGACCTTCTCACGCTCGGTGATGTGGGTGCAAAAGTACTCAATCTGGTCGGCGTAGACGTTGGGCGTGGACATCTCGACGGTGGCGGGCAGGTTGAAGATGATGGGGTTCTTCTCGGTGGGCTCCCACTCGGCCTTGACGGCCTCGCAGATCTGGACGGCAAAGTCCAGTCCCGTGTCAGAGAAGGTTTCGGGGCTGAATTCAAAGGCCCATTCGGTGCCCTGCTGGGCGGGGTCGTCCTTGGTCAGCTGACGGACCAGGCGCGCGCACTTCTTTGCCAGCTCCAGACTCTCCTCCTGTGTGAAGCCGAAGACTATGCGCCGGAAGCACTCGCTGGTGGCGAGGTAGATGTGTACGATAGCCTTCTTGGCGCCTTTCAGGGACTCGACAGTTCTGCGGATGAGGTCCTCGCGGCAGGGGGAGAGAACCTGCAGGTAGACGTCGTCGGGGACGGCGCCTGGAGTGTCGATCAGACGGCGGGTGAAGTCGAAGTCGGTCTGGGAGGCAGAAGGGAAGGAGACCTCGATCTCCTTGTAGCCCAGGTCGCAGAGCATCTTGAAGTAGGTCCACTTCTCATCACCGTTCTAGAGGAGGAGAACAAGGTCAGGGGAGAATTGTTCATCAAATCCAGACCACAGCAGCCTGAATTAGCGAAGGAGGGTGGTAGAACAGAACGCACCATTGGATCGACCAGACTCTGGTTGCCATCTCTGAGATCTGTTGCCAGCCATCTTGGGGCCTTGTCGATGACCTTGGAGGGCCATTGCCGGTTGGGCAGGTTGATAGGCGGAAAGGACCTATATTTCTTGGAGGGATCCTTGAGCCTGCAATGTTGAAGCGGAAGTGACAACCAGATTAGTAGCTGACTGGTTGACTGACTGACTGCGCTGCATAGGTGATGCAATTGATAGCATTTTGAGTAAGGGTGGGCGCGTGAGCTTACATGGGCATCGTGAAGGTTGTTGCCGAGTGCGGAAGGTGATTCTTTGTTTGTGTTGCGAGCTCGGCGGGTTTTGGGCGCGAGGGGGAGGGGCAATTTTTCTCTCGTTTCTGATGTCAGCCTTTTCTTGAGGAGGGGCAGGAGCAGACTAGGGTCTACCAGTAAAGAGTCATCAATTTCCTTTGTTCAGGAATGAACATGTGAGGTTGGAGCTTGAGCTTGCCAGCAACAAGGAGGTACAGACAAAGAGGGAATATGAATTAAATACTTGGGAAGAGGGAAATCTGAGAGACCAACCAAAAGAGTCATCATCCATGAATTGATTGAGTCACCATCTTTGCCTTTTCTTTTTTCTTCTTTTTTTCCTTCTTTTTTTCAAGCAAGATTGCCCCCATTCCCGTCTGGTATTCTGGGGTAATGCAGGGGTCCCCTCTTGTACTAGCTCTTCTCCAACAGCAGGGAGCTAGCTACCTACAGTACCGTGAGTGCCTAGTACTGCAACTTTCTATTCACTCAATACTACTACATTAACGTGGTATCGCTGTGGGTAAGCTGGCATGTGAATTCTGCCCAACTGCGACACAACAGCACACCAATAATAGCATGCGCATATGCGCAAGCCCAAGTCAATTGTACATAATATGGCCTCCAGAAAGAGGAGGGGTATTAGTTTCCAGAAGAAAGAGGTTGGCCGTCCTCGGAGCTGACTTTGAGACTTCGGCTAGGGGAGGGCGAATCATCATGGTCTTGCAGGGCTCACAATGATCCAAAATCATTACGGAAATAGGGCTGGGCGAACTGATGGGGCACCAAGCCTTTCAGACCCAAGCAAGGCAATACTTCTTGACTCCGATTCTACAATCTTTCACCATGAACCCGCGAGAATCTTTGCCAAAACAAAACCAAAAAAAAAAACCGATTGTAGCCGCGGTTGCCCCGCTGACCCGCTCTTCGCTCATCAAAAGATGGCCGGTTCCTTCAGTGCCGGGCCGGATGGCATAGGTAGATAGACACATCGCAGCTCATCCCGACTCAACATGAAATCTGTTTAGCAGGAAGCCGGTACCAATCAGGAGACCATCTGCTGTAAGGAAGTTGACAAGCTTTCATTATTCTCTCGATCACTACGTTATCTTTCTCTGATTGTGTGCCGCAATAGAACCTAACGCCGATTGCCCTATTTCGTTCCGCCATCACCCAGCTACCGATCCGCCCAAAAAGTCAAATGCCAGCCAGGGTGGAGAGCGCATAAATGTATATCAGTAGAGCCCGCAAGACAGAACAGCGCCCACCAAAATCAGTCCGACAGAGAGAAACTTGAATCAGTACCCGTATACACCTGGTCCGCCTGCCGCCCACCCGTGGACATTTGTTGGTCCGTCAATGTAAAACTGCAGTTCATGCTCGTACCCGTCATTGCCCGGCATGGCAGCAGCGCCTGGTTGACCGTAGTAACCAGTCTGGCTCACCACGACATTCGGATCGTAAGCTTGTTCTGCCTGTGCCGCCGCAGCTGCTCCCTGGTGCGTGTCAAAGGCCTCCAGAAGCAGGCCGAGGCCGTCAGTCGTCTGGCGTGCCGCAAGCTGCTGCTGCTGCTGGTGGTGGTGGTGCACACCACCCATGGCTTGTGCTTGTTGTGCCTGCATCTGTGCCTGTTGCAGCTGGTTTTGCGCCCGCATGTTCGGGTCAATGTACATCATAGGCGTCGGCAGTGTGGACGGAGCTGGCAGAATAGTCTGTGCCGATTGTTCGCCGTTGCGGTGCTGGTTCTCGTCGGCCTTGCCAGCCTGGCTTGCCACCTGTCCATGCTTAGTAGTAGGGGAAGAAAGGGCAGTCTGCAAAGCCTCGGGAACGGGGTCGCGCTGCAGGACTGTCAGCCTCTTTTTAGTTCACAATGTGAGTACCTGAATAAGATACGTACGCCATCTGCCATGCTCCCTTCAATACCTGCGACAAGGCCCTTATTATCACGCGCAAACTTCTCCAGTATCTCGAGCCATCGCCCTGCCAGCGGCCAGACCTGGCCTGCCTCGCTGAGGATGCTCATAGCCCGCTGGAGCATGATCGGCCCGTCAGCTCTGAGTGAGAGGTCTGGGCAAACTTTGGGGACATATTAGCATTTTGCAGGCCTTCGCTTCTCGATCTCTCTCGTGTGTTCTCGCTTGGTGACCACGTACTATTAGGATATTTGCAGAGATAGGTGGCCATATGACCGCAACTAAAGACACAGAATAACTGGAAGATGGTCAGTCTCATCCGCACGGGCGAAGAGGAAGCTACCGGCACAGGAACCTGCTTACAGCCATCTGGGCACCCATTGTGTCATCATGGGCTCTCTCCATGAACTGCGTCTCGATCTGTTCGTGTAGGAGCTTGACGTTCGTGAAAAGCTCCATTGACATGTTTGACCAGAAGGTCTGCAGTTCGGGCTCTGCCTGCTCAGAGTTAATCATCTCACTCAGATAAGCCTTGCGCAGCACGATGTTGCAGAGTCGCGTGGAGTTGGTGATGCTGAGGTAGGCAAGGTCCTGGCCGCTCGCCTTGTACCCCTTCAACAGCAGTGGGCTCCACACGTGGTCGTGCGGCAGGCTGGACTCCCAGTCGTGCAGCCTCTGGACAAGCTCATGATACTGGCTCGTGTCCTCCCAGGGCCGTGAACTCCGGTCATACTTTACGGCTCGACGAGACACCCTACCCCAAAAGTAATGCGTCTGGATCAGCGTTGCAAAAAGAGACCGCCTGGGGTCGGAGATCAGTTGTGGGTTCTCGATCGCAGGAGGCGTGTCCTCAAGAGCTGCCCGTGATGCGGGCTCCTGGCCTCTGGCGAAGTCTTCCTCGCTGCAGGGAAGCAGGGCAGTGATGTCGCTGGCGGCGAGGGAGATAGGGGACTCGGGGCCGGAGTGAAGGTTGTCCTGGCTGTGCAGCATCCACAGCGTCCGGCGAGCGGACTCCGAGGCGATGACCATCTCCTTAGAAGGGTTCTTGAGGGTGTACGTCTCCTCCCGGTGAAGACGCAACAGAGCGGCCATCCGCATGGCGATACCCATGTTCATATAGCTTCTCTGATTGTATCCGCTGCCCTGCTGGGCAATGCTGAGCAGGTAGAAGGCCTGGCATCTCTCCAGGCTTGGAGTCTGGTAAAGCTCGGACAAAGCCACAGCCGAGGCGCGATCCATGAACGTCTCGGCAGCCTTCATACCGTCGCCATGACGCTCGACCAGTGCTGGTGTGAACCGGGCTGATATGCTCAGGATGCCGAGCAGCAGGAAGACGCTGAGTGAGCGATGGTCGGTTCTCAGACGATCGACAAAGGCCTGCTTGGGGATGAAGCCGAGTTGGAAGTAGTTCCGAGTGAACTGGTTCACGGCTTCGATTGTGTCCGCGAGCGGTGGTAGATAGTCCCATTGGTCAACGCCCTTGACGTTTTTGGGCGGGACGGGAGGTGCAGGTATGACGGGTGCGTCGAGTATATCACGGCGCATCTTCGCAGAGTCCCGTTTGTGGGCCTTGTCGGCCCTCATGCGTGGGTGGCGATATTCGCGGTCATTATCGGGTTGGCCGCGGACGGGGAAGATGCTTGGAACAAGTCAGTACCTTGCATATTATTTACTTAATCGAGCATCACGTTCGTGGGCTAGGAATCAATATACCAAGCATCTGCACCAAGACCGGCCTCGGCACATGCATTGCATGGTGGCTTCGCCTTGTCGTGTACACATTTGCTTCTCATGCGACGGCACCTAAAATCACAGATAAGTCAGGTCAGCGCGGATGAACGACGGCAGCAGTAGAGACCGAACAGACTGCGCAAGGCGAAGCAAGGGACAGGGCGAGCGTACCGACGACATGCTATGGGAGCACGACGTTTGATGGCAGAGCCAGACTCTTGCTGCTGCTGCTGCTGCTGCTGCTGCTGCTGCTGAGATCCCTGCTGAGATGCCTGCTGCGGCGTCTGCAGAGACTGCAGCAACAGCTGCTGTTGTTGCTGTTGAGAAGGAGACGAATCATTGGGAGAGGGCGATTGGCGATCAACACTCGGTGGCTGAGGATGGAGAGACTGCTGAGGCGGTCCCACTCCGACACCAGGGACGAGGCCTGTATTGAAGCCTCCCGTCTGGACCGAAGGTGGAGGGCTGGCGTCGTCCATCTCGAAAGGCGATTAGGGGAGTTCTTTTCGCGATGAAGGCCGGCAACAAGACTCGCGCACGCGATGATGTTTGGGCCGTCGGCAGGCAGAAAAAAAGCTGCAGAGGAGCTCGTGTGGTGCCCGTGGCAAAAGAGTTCCCACTTTGTTGAAAGTGGGCCGAGTCCAAGGATTCTGTGCTGGGATCTTGGACTTGTTGGTGTGGGCTTGGGGGCTGTCAGCCTGTGTCAGGCGGGGTACGGAGGCCCTGGGGGCCCTTTCTTCGATCAGATCGATCTTTGGAGGAGGTCGTGCTGCAAGGGCTTCCAGGGCCTGTGCTGCCCCAGTGGTGGAGGCACCTAGGCCAGTCAGTAAGCTCTGTTGAAGGCACAGCGCAGGCAGGGTTAGGACATGTTATTTTCTCAGTAGGAATCAACAATGTCGGAGCTGGGTCGTTTCTGGGAAGGAGTAGAGGCAGTCCATGGTGTATAAGGGAGTTGGATTGGGCATCAATGGCAACAAAAGGGATAATCAATCATATCTACATGTCTGTCTACACCGAATTCCGACCGGCTGGCCAACCAGCTATGAGTGCTAAGGAGGTGCAATTGCTTTTGCCAAACGTGGTCGAGAATTCCCCCGCCTCACGGAAGTATGAGGAGCTATCTTATCTAGTTCAATACTACATACATGCAGTACACACACCTCTTGCTGGAGGTACTCTTCGTGCCCCCTGGCTGTGTGTGCACACCGGTGTGCCACCCTCACCTTTCTCGACCTCAAACAGGCAATACAAGAACATGAATTGCTTCCACAGAAGCATGTTGGGCTCTGCTTTATATATTTTGATAAAGCAATGAGGAGGGGTAAGTCGAAGGTGGTGATCTGCACCATTCACTGCACCTAGCCATGTTGTCATACATGACGGGTATATTGATACGTTGCGTGCAACCACCTTTTCTTATTTCTGGCCACGAGAACAAATTAGCCCAGAAGTGGGAGGCCTGCCTGGCCATCAAGGAGTAAATGTACTGTACCACACCTACCAGTAATAAGATGTCTACTGTATCTCTGGCAGGGATAACTTCTCGGCGGGCACCTTCTCAATACACTGCTGTAGCTGCCGTAGCTGCCTGCCGTTGACACCCAGAATATCCACCTAGCAGTTGACCCCTCGAGAAAAAGAGCACACCATCGCGCCATTGAAGTACAGATAAATCCTCCTCCCCTTTTCCGAGAATCGAAGCTGTTTTTCCAGTCCTTCTTTGTCCTTCAGAGAAAAAAATCCAATCAGACTTGAAGGTGGTCCTCTCCTGTTTTTTTTTGCCTCCTCTTGTATCCTTACCACCTTTGCCTTCCTCCAGCAGATCGTTGGTCGGCTTCCCTTGCCTACGGTTGCATACCAACTGTCTTGCATTCCGTTGCCACCGCTGCAGCCCCATCGAGAAGCTACCCCTCTCACGCTCTCCCTTCACCCAAGCAACCCCCAAGATCACCTGAGATCGAAAGCTCACCGCATCCCTGACGACATGCAGTCACGGTCTCTCCGATTCTTCTGGCGAGTCGCAAAGCAGGTGGCGACTCTGGTCCTGACGTCCGAGAAGGGGTGACGGCCGTTACTAGGAGGTGTCCGTGGGTGGACACCGCCCTCGTTCTTGACCAGTCCTCCGAGGGATTGGCCCTGGGGCGACTTGCGACATGGCACTGACATGATGACTCCCTGCGGCGGATACGACGATTTTTCGGGCGCTCTCTGCTCGAATCAATTCTCAACCTTCAAATTGGTCTCGGACCTTTCATGGGGTGCACGGAAAGGACCCTCTCGGGGAGGGGAGGCCGGACCCTTTTTTGCCCACCAGTTTCACACAGAAGAGTCGTAATGGGTGGTGGACATGACTCTCATCTCCTGCCCTCACCACATCTATAGCTTGTCCACTAATGTCGCCTCTAGGGCCAAACGCCCCAAGGCGCAATCCGGGTTTGCGGTATGAGTTTTGCCTGTTTTGTTCGTCCGCAAGCACGGCACGCTCTTCCAGCTATTGTGCCGCGCCTTGACAAGCCGCTAGAACTTCTCACAGACCTTCTCCCGACTCAATCCCCTACGGCCCTCGGTACGGCTCAGACGTGGTGGTCATCACTAATCGGCCAACACACACACACAGACACACAGACACACACACACACACACACATACAGGCATTAGGCGTCCCTGCAGGGTGCAGTGCATCAGCAAACGCGTTAGCGGCGTGTCATGTCAACCACGAGGGGCACTCACGCAATCCAATACCTTGCAGCCCAATGCAGTGCAAGTCTTGGGCAGAACCCGAGGACGGTCGGCTTTATTTGCTTTTTCTTTCTTTCCTTTCCTAATTCGGGATACGGAATTGCTATTCGTCCCCTTCCTGCTATTTTGAGGTCGCAGATCGGGCTGCAGAACCCGCATTCACGGGTCGCCCTGGTCTGGGTCTGCCACCTGGGATATTATGCCGTTTCTGCAAGTGAGAAAAGCATAGTGTGGATTTCCCCATCGGCGACTCCAGCCAAAGGGACGTTTGGACGCCCCTCCGTACACTAGACCCTCCTCCGATCTGGCATGCTGGCAATAGTTGCAAGCCTAGCTGACGATCATGTTGGCACGAGCATTGTCGACGGTCCAACGAGCGTTGAGCCTCGGAAGGCTGACCGCAAGATGATTTCGTCACGGCCCCTTCGGAAACACTCTCCACTCCTCCCTCCTGTGACCCTCCTCTTGCGGTCGGGCGCTGGGTTCCAGGTATTTGACGGCGCCTATCGAGTCGTACGCCGCTGATGGATCAAGGACCGCCGAGAGTCCTTTTGTCCCGCTTGTGAGCTGTCAAGTCACCCTCTTAAGCTGCATCATATTACTTGGTATTTGGTCCCCGCGAGTAAGGTCAGCACGTTGACCATCTGATCACATGAATCAGTGTGAGTGTATTCCAAGACATTTTCTTCTTGTTGATGGAGTTCAAAATGCCCATAAATCTGGCAACATGGCTGGCATTCTCTCGTCTCCTCGCCCTGTCAACAACATCGTGGAAGGGACAATGTTACGCCAAGTCCACATCACGGGCGACAACCCCAAGGTGGCCGTCTTGGCACTGTTTTGCATACCTGTCTTCCTCTGGTTCCTCCTCACTTCTCTTGGCTCTCGAAGACGATCTCCATGCCCGCTTCCCCCAGGGCCCCCTGGTAAGTTCCTGTTGGGCAACCTCGGGCAGCTCAGCGCACACCCCGAGCAGGACTACATGACGTGGGGCAAAGAGTACAGTACGTGTTTGCCTGGTTCAAAGGTCAATGGCAGATTGTTACCAGGACGTCACGAGCTGAGAACTTATTTCTTCTAGACTCCGATGTCATCCACATCAAGGTTCTGGGCCAACACATGATATGTCTGAACAGCAACAAGGCGGCCGTAGACCTCCTCGACAGGCGAGGGTCCAATTATTCTGACCGGCCTCGCTTCACGCTCTTCGAAGTGTACGTCAACACTACCTTTTGAGAGAAAAGTGCTGCTGGGCAGGCACAAGAAGAAAAAAAGGAGGACACAATGCTGACATCCATCATCGTTATCATCTCCATTCAGCATGGGTTGGGGCCTCACCTTGACTTTCCTCCGCTGGGGGCCTCGCTTCAAGCTCCACCGGCGCCTCTTCCAGACAACCTTGACTCGGTCTTCCATCAAGACTTTCCAGCCGATACAGATGCACGAAGCTCACAAAGCAGTACGATCTCTTCTGAAGACTCCAAACGACTGGCGAGACGTCACGCTTCTTCTCACCACGAGTATCATCTTTCGCATCGCCTACGGCCAGGAGATTAAGTCCAAAGCATCGCCTTACACTGGCATGTCTCGCGCAGCCAACGATGTCACAACCAACGGCGGCATAGCAGGGTCCTCGGTCGTCGATATTTTCCCGCTCGCGCGGTACTTCCTGCCGTCGAGCCTGTCACCAGCGCTGAGGCATGCGAGGCAGAGCAGGGAGACCATCAAGACGATTCATGAGGTCCCCTGGGATAACAACATGCGCGACATCAAAGCAGGCACTGCAACACCAAGCTTCATGAAGACACACTTTGACCGCTGGGTCAGCAATGCGAAGGCCGGCATTCACCAGGAAGCCACGATCGAGGATCTGAAGGGGGCGACGGCAGCTGTGTTCATCGCGGGCGGGAACAGCACATGGGGCACAGTGCTGAGCGCGATTTTGTTCCTCACCAAGTTCCCCGACGTCCAGAGGCGCGTCCAAGAAGAGATTGACACTGTTGTTGGCACGGGCCGGCTCCCGACGTTCCAAGACCGGCCGACGCTCAAGTACCTAGACGCCTTCTTGACCGAGTGCATGCGGGTCCTCCCTCTGAATCCTCTTGTCATCCCACATTGTAGCCTGAAGGACGATGTATACGAGGGCATGTTCATTCCGGCTGGAAGCGTGGTGTTTGCAAACGCCAAGGCGATGACGCGCGACCCCAACACATACCAAGACCCGGAGAAATTCGACCCAGATCGATACGCTAAGGGGGAACCGTCTCCTCCGGGAAATTTCGGGTTTGGGCGGCGAAAATGCCCAGGGAATCATCTCGCGCTTGCGACAGTTTACATCTATGTTGCGACAATGATGAGCGTGTTTGAGATCGAGAAGGTCGTGGATAGAACGGGGAGAGCAATGGAGCCCGAGATCGAGCTGACTGTCGGCCTAGGAGGGTTAGTAGTCTCACCACTTTGCCGGGTGGCCACGTCTCTCAAGTGTCATGTGTGCTGACGATGTGCTAGTCATCCCGCGCCGTTCGAGTGTCAGCTTAAACTTAGGTCACCAGAGCGGGCCTGGCTCCTACAAGATGAGGAGATGCAGGAATACTATTGACGTCTTGATGACTGATGACTGACGATGGCACGCATAGAAGACTTGCATTTACGGGGACAAAAGTAGTTTTAGATATAAATAGACTCCCAAGATTTACTCCACGCTGCTGCTTTTCTTCCTCTTCCCCGCCCCCCCCCCCTTTAAATAGATTTTCACTCTTCTTCTTTTTCTTCTTAATTTTCGTCTAATTTTCTTGAACTTTTCTTTCTTTCCCATCTTTGCCTTCTTCAATAAACACACGAAGTTTTACATGCGTTGGCCTGTGCAATGATAAACGACCTGACTGCCAACTCCATTTTCCAGCATCACCGTAAGGCGTCAGTATTTGGGATTGTGCATAGTGCGCTCGGCGCAAGACGGCGAAGTGAAAGTGTTTTCCGTCATCAAACTGCTATTAGACCACCCTAAAAAGACCAAGACTGTTGTCTAAAAGTTTAGAGACGACCGCCTCCAATAGCGTAAAACTTGGGCCACCTCCGACTTCTCCTTGTATACGGCCCTAGTTCCAGTCAAACTCCCTGAACGCCCTCCAAATGCAGACGGTCCTAGAGGCGATTATCATTTGTGTTCGAGAAAAAGCTGAGCACTTGCCGCGAAGCTGTTGAGGTGCTCGATATTACAGCATATGATGACCTTTCCTCGATGGGAAAGATGCCGGGATTTCGGGCCGCAATGGGGTCCGTATTCTGCTGGGAATAAAGACCTTGGGAAAAAGACAGAAATAGGGCGGTGGTCCCTTTCCTTCTCCTTCTTTCCCTCGCGGTGCAACAGGCCCATGACTAGTTGTGACGTGCTGCTGCAGCAGCAAATTGCTCTGCTTGCAACCGCTCTAACTCTTCCATCGACATACCGCTCTGGTCGAACTTGTTGAGTTTCTTCTCACGGCCCTATCATAACATTTGTCAGCTGCTGCCGTATCGCATGGTCTATGGGTTTCATTGACCCCGCGAAGGCGGGGAGGAGGGGCATCTCACCTTCTGCTGCTCCTTATGCTCGGACGCGGCCTCGAGCACGGCAGGGACGTAGTCTGAGAAGCCCAGCTGCTCGAGCGCCTTGGTGATATGGTCGCATGCAATGGTCTTCTTGGCCTCCTTCTCCGAGATCTCGTTGGCCTCTGACGAGACGAGAGTGATAAACTCGACGCAGCATTCTATGAGCAGGTCACGAGCCTCTTTCGAGAAGGCCGTCCCATTAGCGGGTGGTAGGATTTCGGTCACGATTTTCTGGACCGTGGCTGGAAGAAAAGTCAGCATCGCATTACTCTGGATACAGGGCGCCATCGAGACTTAGAGAGCTGTTGGATGAATCTTCCGAGAACGATCCGCCCATTCAGGACTCTGGAGGCCCAGATGAGGCCCAAGTTGACATCCTCAGTCCGGATCACCGATACTCCCACCACCGACCCCTTCTTAGGACGGGATGAATTACTCACCCTTTGGCAGTGACAGGTCGTCGTTTCCTGCTTTCCCAGTCAGCATACATTCACTAGTAGCATCTTCAGGTGTTCGATGGGGTTTCACACCGACAGACATGTTATAGGAAAAGGAGATATGGGTGATATTGGGATGCATAGGAAGAAATGTCTCCTGGTATATGGCTTCGGATTGAGGAGAAAACAAGGGCTGAAGGACGAGGATCAAAAGAAAGTGTGTACATAATCAACTTTGACTATATAAGTCTCAGCAGCACAGCAAAGCATCAATTGCATCATTTCAGGATACTCGCAGATTAGGAGCCAGTGGTGACACCTCTGCAGTGAGCAGTGATGGAATAATGGATGCAAAAGACACCAGCAGTAGTATCGCTGGAGAACCAGCAGTAGTTGAGATCAAAATTTATCACTTACCTCCAAATTCGTGGTCAGACATGGTTGATGATAGAGGCAGCCGAGGCGATGCTAGGGTACACGCTTCTTAGTGGATTTGACGAAAGGATACCGGGTAAAGTCAAGCTGGAAAAGGGTTTTGAAAGAAAGGAAAGAAAGAATTAGAGTCATGAAATCAGATCAGACTCGTCATCGCATTATGCTCTTCAGAGTTGGAGCAGCATCGTCAGGACAGGTAGGCGGGCTTTTCTTTGAATGATGGCCACATGCGGGAGAGCTGCCTTGCCGCGAATTGAGGTCGGCCTTGGGCCTTTAAGTACTTTTGACTCGATGTTTTATGGTTCCAGAGAGAATGGCAGCAACAGTCAGCTTTGGGGCTGCCTGCAAACCTGTGGCTTGGTATCGGCTTATCGTTCACGCCGCTAGCCATTTTCAGCCATAGCTTGTAGGTCAAGCCACAGTTCCACCCCCCAAATATTTTCGTTTGGAGAAAGTTGCATGCAATTTTCTTCCTGTTCCAATCTCTTTCTACCACTCATCCCCTCGACACACACGCATACGACTCCAACGCTTCGATGGTTTCGTTCGCGCGAGAGACTAATGCTCGGCTGTGGCAAAGGGATGGAAGGCGTTTCGTCTATGCCGTGCTTGGAAGTTGCTTCCAGATGACCACCGACTACGTTCACGTTAAGTACTAAAAGGTATGTGTGTTCCAGCTTCCCCCCTTCTTCTGTGCTTTATCCTACATGATGAGCTTCATGTCGCCCCAGGCATACAACCCCATGGTGATTGACCTGTCTTTCCAAACGGACGCTTCTGATTTTTACACATATTTCTCGCTCTCTGCTTGTCATCTACTCTCTTGGAAGATCGTGCTTGCTGACCCAGAAATCACAGGTTTGTCACGACTACCCTCAGTCCTTGGGAATCCCACCCTCCACCTCGACCCTCTCCAAATCTCGAAACCTATTTGCCATGATGTTTGATCATGTACTATCAAATCCTGATCACCTTATGATGACCACTTCTTTTGATTCCTGAGCAACAACAACTCCATCCCACACGTGTGCAGACCGTGGAGTTGGGAAGAGGCGCTGACCCTGTTACGAAGGGATGGGCAATAGACCGACTGCTCTCCGCATCGTAATGGATATGTTCAAGGTGAGCTTTTTTCTACTTAAAGACACGCGACGACATGCAAGAGCCTATGATTAAGAATTTACATTCCATGCTAAATCCGAAGCAAATAATGTGGAAGAAAATGTATTGCTTTTCATCTTTCGAATGAGGCTCTTCCAGTCGTCTTGACCTCTCTAGCATCGCGTAGCCCAAGCTATTTGCTAACTCTGTGTGTGCAGTGAACCCCTCAGTCCCCCTGGAACGCCGCCAGCTCTGGGCCATTCCATTGCAACCATTTACCGCTCAAGTCGGGCGTAGCATTCAGCGCGAGCTGCGCAAAGACTCGTCCTGGGCCCTCTGGCTTGTTTAGCTTTCCTTCCTCGAATACAGCGAGAAAACCGGCGTGGTCTGCAGCATCCATGTGACCTTTGCCATGTTCTCGCAGCAATTTCTGCATTCCCGTATCGGTCCTGCCTGGATTGCCAGAGACGGTAACAATATCCTTCTCCTCGACTGCCAAGTGTTGGGCGAGGGAATGCAAGGCTGCCTTTGATGATCCGTAGGGACCCCAAGCTGCATAACCTTTGGAGGCTGCTCCTGAAGTGACCAGGACGATGCGGCCCTTGGTCTGACGAAGGTGAGGTATGGCTGCTTGTACCTGACGTCTTCTTAGTATGGAGTTCCAATAGGCTCACCAGTATGCGACACTTACTAGAGCAAGAGCGCTGAAGAAGTTGATGTCGTACAGCCTCTTCCAGTCGTCGACTGAGCTGTCCGCTATCCGTTTGATGGGCTCCAGTGCTCCATGATTGACGATGAGCCCATCGATCTGGCCCCCAAACTTCACAGCAAGGTCTGTGATCTTGGTAGCATTCTGTCGTAGAACGTCAATACATAGATTCCCCTTCTCTAAGTCGTTTCCTGTGCCGAGTTCTTACCTCTAGTTCAGTTAAGTCTGCTGCTATGTACTCTACTTGCGACGGGTACTGCTTCTTAACAGCATCGAGCTCACTCTCAGTGCGGGCAACAAGCACCACCTTGTGCGACTTCTGTAGGAGGTATTGTGAGATGGCCAGGCCAATTCCACGGCCAGCGCCTGTCACGATGATGGTTTTTGAAGTCATTGTCAGGGCGTGCCACCAGCAACGTCGAGATCGAAGTGCGTGTCTGCCAAGTCTTGCAGGTTTTGTCAATCACACACAGAAATTTGAGGTCATCAGTGGGGCTTTGGTGTGCTTACATAATATAGAACGTCTTTGAGCCGGGCCTGGCCCTTTTATATGCAAGTGATTCTGTACTGATCAGTAGAGTCTGTAGGCTGTTGCTAGTGAGACGACAGCACTGTAGCTCTCTCTCCTCGTTATACCTAGCGAGACACACTGCCAAGATATGCTTTCTTCCGAAGCAGCCTAGAGGCCAGCTCCTCTGCGTGTCGCAGGGCTTACGTTGAGCGTACCACTTGTTTAGAGATCATAAGTAGACTCACATCCTGGAAGCCGCCTCACGAACTTTCCAGCTTCACTGGCGAGACCATACCTGCGTTGAGATCTAATCATGGCGTGTAGCACATGTGAGCATGCCAGTTCGATCAGTACAGAGAGAGCTGCGCTTTCCATTTGTCCTAGTTTCAACAATCAACCGTCTGTGAGAGTCTTATTACCACCACTATTATCCAATATAGTAAATGTTCAGTGTTATTGTTCCAGATTTACCCTCATATAAACATTTGAAAGATTGTCAAAAAGACAAAGGTGTCCAAACTTGACAACAAACCACATTAGGCAATTACCCACTAAGTATAGTAAATAAAGCTGCCAAATTATACTTCGAAACTTGACTCTATTGCACTACACTCATCACGCCATGCTCCTCCTTCTGCAGTAGATTAGCTCAAGTATACCGGCCAGTATAACCGGAAATTTTCTCCATTAAGAGACCACTACAGACCGCTACCAGAGCAAGACGCTCGAGGTTATGATGGACGAGGCCAAAGCCGACATCATCGTCGGCCCACGTCTACGCACCGTCAACTGGTGGGTCTAGCGACCTGCATCGGAGTCACCTTCTCGGGAGGATTCCGCGCCTCACATGTACAGGGAGAAGCCCACTATGACGATTCCTCGCACACCTCTTAGAAGACGCACAGATGGAGCCTACGTGGAAGCGACTCGAGAAATGGTGCTTGACGCCATCACTCGCGGACTGTCTACTGTAAGGGCGCTAATCTCCGTGCTCGACACAGTGACATTCAGTGAGGACGAGGTTATTACTTGGATATTTGCCGTGATCGCGAACGAGAAAACCCTCACAGACCACTACTTAAGTAGACTAGCAAGATACAGGGGCTGGTGGAGGGGAAGAGCCGGGAGTATGGTCAAGGCCGATCGGCACCATGTCAATATGGCGAAAAGGCGAGAGTTGAAAGTCAAGAATTGTTGGTGAGTGTGTTGGCTCCGCCTCCCTGAATTTGCAAGCGAGCGCTTATGTAGCTGTTCTCTAATTATTTCTTTATTTGTGTTTTCGATACATGCTTTCCAACAGGATACGTGTAGCATCTATTGTTGTGGCAGTTGAAGTACAATTTCTGCGATATCATGGCTGCATTGATGACGACAATCCTGGTCTCCATGAATCGATGCATGGTTCTGCCTGCCTATTCACAGGCACATTCGGGTGATTCTTCTGCATCAAGATTCCTCGGCACTATATGTGAAGTTAGTCATATCACGAGTAGACAAACAAGTTAATTTCCTAGAAGCCAGCATATCTTGCCACACGACGAACATTAGCATACATGGTTCGACCTAGCCAATGGCGAGCGCTGCCTGAAACGAGGACCCAAATCTCCCAAGAAATATTTTCTTCATCATGTACCCTTGTCTCGTGTCATGGTTAAGGCTACCTCATCCTTCAGCCACCCCTGCCTCTTCACCACTTTTACTATGTTCTTGTGTACGGCGCAATCCATGGATTCGGGCCGCGGCCCGCCAGTTGTAGAGGAAGGTGGAGGCCAATACCGTCGCTTGTAAGTGGCACAGCTAGTGGACGAATCCTTTGTTAAGTGTATTGGCTGTTCAAGCATAACAACAAGCATGTAGCGGTCAAGTCAGCACTGCAGGCAGGGCAGGCAGACAAACCAGGGGCCCTGGGACTCCAACAGGCAGCCTGGCCCTCATTCTCCTTTTGCCATGTTATCCACGGTGAGAGATCATGATGAGTGGGAAAGGTATAAAAGGATGGACGGGGCTCAGATATAAAACAGAAGGAAGAGAGAAAGAAGAAGATTAAGGGGGAAAATAATAATAAGAAAACCTTCCAAGCTCATCGTCGCTCGCTTCAAATTCACACATCCAAAAGCATCCCGTCAACATGCGTTTCACCAGTATTCTCGCTTTTGCCCTACCAGCAGTGGCCTTGGCTCAGGTAAGTTTTCAAACAATTGCTTACTTACTGGGTGATGAGTACCAACTTGACACTAATGACCTATTGCAATTATCCAGAGCACTTTCACCACAACAGCGTCAAGCACAGCTTCGGCCACCAGCTCCGCAAGCGCCACCGCCACGCCGCTGGACTACGAGACCATCTGTGAGTCTCAAGCCTATGGGTATAGCGACAAATGCCCACAGTGTCTATCGGCATGCGAGTTGGAGATCACCGAGGTAGCCGCCGAGCAGTGCTACTACAGCGTGTTCACCGAGGTGAACTACATTGAGTCTATCTGCGAGGCGCAAGACGGGTACAACTGCGAGACGACAGCTGTGAATGATGTCTGTGGCTCGTAATGTGTTTTACTTTCCCGTGTCTAGAACACATTGGCCGAGCTAGGAATGGATGGGTGGCTGATTGAAACAAGGCTCGGGCGAAATGGCGAGCTTTCCACATTTTTACTGTCGGTCGATTTGCTTCGGTTGAATTTGAAGGGATGTATTAGGTTTACGCGGAGAAAACTCACTAGACTTACCAAGAGACACTATTGATTATCATCCCGTTGCTCTCTCTAGAACACTTAGTATTCTGAGGTACGCTTCCTGTTGCTGCACTGTTGAAGTCTTGAAGTCACGGGATGTCTTTCACAAATGTTCCGAACGCCACCAGGAATTCAAAATGCCCATGAGGTATTTGGTTCCGAATTGAATCATCAGAGGGGAATAGGACAACTGCACTAATACGTCCAATTGAACCTTATAAACTCCGCAAGACAAACATTATAGTCAATTATTTCCCCTCCTAAAGCGATCTGAGACCCTGTAACAGGAGGGTTCTCAACCTCGTATCCTAAGGCTTGAGATGATTCTCGGCTCAGGCGTCACAGACCGTCTTCGTAGTTGGGAACCCTTCTTCGATTCCCAGACCCATCGAGATCCCAGGGCTGAGCGCTCAAGCCCCGGGCCCAGTTCAAGTTGCCCACCGGAGGGTTTCTTGCTTGTCTAGATTGCGATATTCGGGCTGATGAGGCTCGAGAGTCTCCTGCGGAGACCAACGGCGTGATGCAAGTCAGTCAGCTCCAATGGCCTTCCGTGGGGGTGAGAGGTCAAGCCAGGCGACAGGCAGATTGTTTTATGTCTTAGGTACTGAGAGAATTCCAGAAGGTGCGATGATAGGGGTGCCGGATGCTTCGTAGACCATAGCGAAGGAGGCCAAAGAGGCTGCCTATGACGGTGGTGTGTTGCATGGTATGACGAGGGGAAGGGGCTGACAAAATAGACGGGTAGGAGGTAGACGGTGAGGGACAATTACCTGGAGCGTATTATTCCTTCTCTATTCGTAGATAGGGATCGCTTGGAGAGTGTGTAATCAGTGAAAAGTTCAGCAGCTCACAAAGTGTGTTGAGAATTGGAAAGAGGAGCAAGAGTCTGCTGGACTATGCATCTGATAATCGATGGTAGGGAATTGACGAGAGAATGAGAATGATCAGTACAGGACCGAGACTAACAACTTGAGGTACTTTCACGATCCAGGAAACATCTCATAGCAGGTTCCTCCTGGTTCAGAATGTCACTGTGTAGAATTGGCAATACTGCATGTGAGTCGTCACCATTTGATCCGTGTGGCCTTGCTCTCAGATGGTTAAAGTTCAAGATGGTCGATTCAAGTCTCTCATCTCGCCTTGGAGTATTATGAATTGAGACGTTTAACCTCAGTTGGGTAAAGATGATTAAAAAAAGACTCGTCCTCTAATCCCCATGTGCGGACTCAGTCTGGGAGGCGCACTCGACCGCCATGGCCTGACTTGACTTCTCCCAGGCACCTGAGTAGGTTGATCCCGTGCTTTGTAATTGAATCTTCAGATTTTGACGTCCAAGGTTTTTGAAATAATTTAGCAGTTCGTCTGACATCCTTTCAGGCTTCAATCCGATGGAGAAATGACAATTTTGAGGGGGATCAGCCAGATGCCTAAGTCTGTCTGCTGTGCTGAGCTTTTGGGAAGGGCGGATTGCAGTCAACCTCTTAAAGGGAGATAAGCCCCATCCCGTGTCTCACAGACTCTACCCTCGTCGATGGCTGCTGTCAGCTGTGTAAGTATTTAGCGATCTTCGGAAGGATCGCATGCTCTCGTTGCGGAAGAATCACGACGTTGCGCTCCGTGACGAGCTGGACCCCCCCGGACTCCCTGTGAAGATTTCCCATCAAGAAAAGGCAACATGCACAGCTATTGACAATTTTTTCGAGACTATGCAGTCACTGTAATTTGGTTCATGTTGAGATAATATCTTGACTGCCCTCGTATTAGTACGGCAGTGCTTGTTGAGATGATCATAGAGGGAATATTTCTCAACCGTTTGCCCGTGTCACACCACCAAAATCAACTATCACATATTCAGTAATTCTTTGCAGACTAAATCCAAAGTAAGGAAACGGATAACTAACTGTAAAGCCCTCTCTCGATTCACGTAATTCGCAGCGCACTGTAAATATGCAGAGAGACGGTGAGACAAGGAAAGAAAAAAGAAGAGAAAGGGAGAAAGGGAGAAAGGTCACACTCGGCCGATGGCTTACCCTAAGTGCGTGGAGCGTCTACGTGGCGGCGCTTACAGAAACGGGACATGGAGGGTGTGACTGGAATCAGGACAACCGAGACTTGGGTGCCCAACGAGTCGATAGATTGAAGCAGTGATACCCAATGCTTTTCTTGTGCGCATATGACCTGTGGGAAAACCAATGCAGCAGCAGCTTCTCAACCATTCAGATGCTGTTGATGACTCTTCCCCCAGAAGGTTCCCGAGGTAGGATTCGGGCCAAAATAAAGAAAAGAAGATCTATTCTGACATGCAATGTTTCGTTTTCCCCACATCAGAACAAAAAGTAAGTTCTTCTTCTGACCGATCCCTCGTTTAAAGGTCGGAAGGTAACATCAAGCCTTTGAGAGGGGTGAGGCAACGGCACACGAGTGGACGTGGACGTGAGCCGTGAGGGCTTTAGTGTGGGCGTTGGGCCTGAAAGGGCAGCTTGCAGCTGTGCCCCCCTACCGTGCCAGGGCCTCTTCCCCTAATCCCACTGTCCACTGATTCCCACCCCCTTGCCCCCCCCCCCCGCATCGAAGGTGCTGCAGCACTGCAACACTGCAGCACAACACTGCAGCACCAAGGTGGAACGAGAGCAAGTCACTGGAGCTGAGGCGAGCATTCCACCGATTCGGATTCTGCTTGCTGCATTGGCGAAGTCAATTTCTGGCGAAAAGTGATGGATTCTTGCCACTGGGCCCAATCACATCACATCACATCCCCTCACCTTACTCAGGGAAGGAATGAAAAAGACAAAAGAGAGAGAGAGAGAGAGACATAGAGAAAAAAGAACAATACAAACATACCTACAAATCCCAGGCTACCCCAAGATGACAAGACAAGAAGGACGGAGATTGATTGAGTGACTTGACTGGAGACTGACACACTGGGGGGGCCTTCCGTTTACCAAGGTCAGTTGCTATTTACTTCAGGGTTCAATTGAAAAAGAAGGTTGGGAAACTGGGGCTTACCCCGTACATTTTTGTACTTGATCAGCTCGTCTCCACTACGTCAACCTCTTCCCATCGAGCCCTGCCTGGCCCTGCCCTTCACCGTTCAGGTGCGATCCTCCTCCTCTTTCCTTCCTCTCCTCCTCCTCAGAACCTCACCACCACGTAATTTTTTCTCCCGCCCCCAACCAACGAGCGACTCATCAACCCCAGAAGGGTCAGGTTTTCGGGACAGCCTGAATACGAGGCAGAGAGAGGCAGACAGACCAAGTTCTAGCCCTGCGGCTAGGACAAGCTCTTTAACGGCTGCGGCCCGCAGGCCACTACGCGCCCACCTGATCCCGTCACATCCCGTCACACTTCCCAAAAACCCAGATTCAGCTGCAACCCCAGCCGCAACTCAACACATCCCAGCCCAGATGGGCCACACCGACCGAGAATATGTCACCCAGCAATCGCGATCCCGATGCCGACATCGAAGAGCCGCCTCGTGAGAAGCGAAGAAGCAGGAAGGACAAAGGAGACAAGACAGACAAGGACCGCGACCGAGAGTCACGGCGCCACCACAAGCACCGGACGTCAAACCCCGTCATAAGCACTGGCTCTTACGTTTCCCAGTCCAGCTCTGTTCGCCGCCACAAGACCAGGGACTTCTCTGGGTCCAAGAGCCGTCTAGAAGAGTCAGACTCTATGACAGACCTCGTCCCCGAGCTGAACCGCAGTAGGGAGCGTGTCAGCATACCCTATCCGAGTTTCAGCAAGGCACACAGCAGGGAGGCTGTCGGCCTCGGGAGCAAGGAGGATGTCTCCTCCACCACGTCGGCAGCGGCTGCTGGTGGAAGAGGCACCGGTACAGGGCCGCCGACACCAGAGGCAACTGACATCGGGGCCGACGAGATAAAACGATCCAGGTCGGCCGATTTTACCGCTAGGAGGGGGTCTTCACGCAAGAGCAACCGTCCGCCGAGCCCACCCGAAACCAATCTCGAGGAGAAGCGGACGAGAGCCGGCTCGCTGAGGGAGAAGGAGAGCGACAGGCCACGCTCACGAACCTCGGCGGGCTCGAGGCCGACTTCGAGAACAGATGACAGGTCCAAGGTCTCTCTGAAATCCAGGACGTCAAGCCAGGCGACATTCGTCAAGTCACCCACTGCCAATGCACCACCCTACACCGAGCCGGGAGACGAGGACACACTCGCGAGCGCACGTGGGTCAAGAACAACGGCCAGGACGACCACCTCCAAGAGATCAGTGTCCGGACAGACATTAAGGCCGCCAGAGCCCGTCGAGATTGTCGATGACTCTCCCGAGTCCGCCCAGGACTCGTCCTCCCCGAAGACGCCTACGATAGCGACTCCCCAGTTTCCTCCCCCACCCGCGTTCCATGACGAGAAGCACGGCATACCACACCACATCCGATTCGAACCACCTCAGCCAGTACGAACGCCAGCAACAGACTTCAGCACTGCAACGTCTGCTGCTGCTGCGGCAGCCCCGCCGCCGCCGCCGCCGCCTCCGCCTCTCACCATCCAGGAAGCCCCCAGGGTCGACTATCTCATGCAGAACGGCGGATTACCGAACATTGTGCCCAAGAACTTCCTGGCAGTCCTTCCCAGGCAGACTGGGACGAGGCCCTCTAACCCGCCTTTGCGTGGGGCAGATGTTCTGTTTGCGCCCTTCTATAACCTGTTGGACAACTACCAGACAGTGCTGAACAATTCAGGCTCGATTGCCGTCGCCACAGGACATCGGACGGTGGCCAGGAGGCTACTTGATCGGCTGGAGAACGTCTTCAATAGAGATCTTCCCGAGGAGGGTTGCAGTTGCATCATGTGCGAACGGTCACCAGAGCCGCATCGGGGCTTAGGCTGGGGTGAGGTCTTGGAGCGTGTCAGTGGTCGGGTTGAGATACCCTCGTGGCCGCCATTCGACATTGGTATCCTTGGCGTGAAAGCTCGCGAAGACAGGGATGATCTTCCAGCACGACCCTCATCCCCGGTGAAGATGGATCCCGACATAGCGGAAGAATTCAGAGAGCACTACCTTCAGCAGTCCAAGAAGGTAAAGATGGCCGTGGATAAGTGGCTGACAAGCTGCGCGGAAGCTCCAGCGCCACCGCCACAAGAGGTTGACGATGAGACGTTGACCTTTGCAATTCTCACAAGTCTCGACCAGGAGGACCGTCCCTTCTTCAACGCTCTCCTCACGGGCTCCAGGGAGCTTCAACCAGCCCTTCGCGCCCCCACGCCACTACGCAAACCTCGAGCTGATTTCGTCATCAAGTCTGGCCTGGCCTTGCAACGCCTATATCGCCTCTCCCAGGCACCACGCGATGCCGAGGTTGTCTGCTATCTGGTAAAGTATCCCCAGATGCACGACCTGCTTAGCACTATATGCGACATCAACCCGCCTGAATGGGAAATTCTCATCTCTGGCCGCTTCGACGGCTTTCTCTGGTCCGGCGCTGAGGACGATGAGGCTGCCACGCCCACAGGCGGACCATCGCGTGGCTCGACACCAAACTTTTTCGCCCGGCCGCCGTCACGCGGTGCGGCTATGAGCCCCAACAACATCGCCCGCCATACGCCTGCTCTCGGCATCGGCTCTCGCAACGCGACTCCCTTCAGCCGCGGCGCGACCCCCGCCTCCTTTGTAAGCGGCGCGTCCTCTACTTATCCGGGCCGCCATCCCGTCTCCAACGATGAGGAGTCCGAGATTGCGGTTCTTGCCGAACTGGAGCGTGAGATCTATTTAGGCATGGAGGCGTTGGAGGACGCCTTCGAGGGCCTACATCAGCGCGCGGAAATGGTCCGCACAGCACTGCGGCAGCGTGGAGCAGGTCTCTCAATGAACCTACAGCACCGTCGTGGGTATGGGTTCGGCGAGGCGGGTGGTGTTCAGGTACTGCCGCAGAGCGGCGGGTCTGCTTCGGGCCTGGACCGGCCAGCGTGGGCGGATGAGTCGGAAAGCCTGGCGAGCGAGAGTGATGACTGGGGTATGGGCGACGAGTTCGAGCTGCGCCCGGACGACAGCGCGAGTAACATCAGTAGTTCCAGGCAGAGGAGGCCCAGGAGGAGGGATGAGAGGAGGACAACGCCGGCACCGATTCGGGAAGAGGATGAAGGGTGAGACATATCCGATTCTGCTTATTCCTACTTGGGGCATTGGAGAATCCTTTTGGAACGGGGAGGATGAAGATGTTATTTAAGGCCATGAACAAATGCAATAAGATGAGTGGATGATCATCATCATCCTGGGGACTGCATTGGATGCATGGAAGGGATCTTTGTGTGTTTTAATCGTTGTTGTTGTTGTCATTGCTGTTGCTCCTACGTTTTGGGATCGTTTTCCCCTTGTTCTTCTTTCTCTGTCAGGCGGATACCACTGATGTATGATGTTTGGTTCTGTCTTTCATCTTTTCATCTGCATCATTTCGCACGGCGTCTTATGCGAATTCCCTATTTTTTTTCTGGAAAGGGGGGGGGGAGGCTCTTCAAGTCAATCCAGGTTATCTACATGGGATAGGCAGGTACTTGAATGCCATGAATGGATACTTGTGCTTGAAAGTTCATACTATCCATGTGATCGGATTGCGTAGATGATGAGCTCGAGAGGTGAGGTGAGGTGAGGTGTTGCTACGTACAAGATCATCCAAACTAAATGATTGACTTGTATAAGAAAGAAATGCCTATCCATTTGCGCTGATCTGATTCAGGAGGGGTAGAAGAAAGAGGACGAGGACGAACGGGACGTTGATTGGATAGCGCGTCTCGTGGTAAGCTTATATCGATGATTTCCAGCTCCGGTAATGTGTCCAAACCCTGCTTGATGCCTTGACACGCGGGGTTGCGGGCATGTCCTCGTCTCTGGCGGCGATACAGGTGATGGTGCAGTCCTGCATGAGACAGGCGAGGTGGATTTGGCTTGTGACCTGAGCGAAGCCGTGCAGTTCCTTCGTCGTCATGGTGAGATTTTTGAGTCTGAAGAAGGTAGCGAAGCATCCGTAGTATGCTTTGGCCTCGAAGACGCCACTGGTCTGTCAGGGTGAGAGTCAATCTCATGGTGCTCAAGCAGTCCACGGTGATCTCAACCAGCTCTCCTGGGAGCTTTGCAAGAAGAATGATACCATTGTGCGAGGCCGATCTGCTCGAGACATGCTGCAGGATAATGTCCACGGGTAGATGAATGCATCTCTCGGAAGGGAATGAGGTCAAGCAGTTTTCGCTTTAGATTTGTTGGTATAAGAATAAAGAGGGAGCAAGAGCGTTGGAGTTTGACTTAGGTGTCGCTCTTCCGTATTCGAGAGAGATATACAGTCTCTCGTCCCTTCCTTGAACACCACACCACAGGATCAAGGAGAATCACATGACAACCTCTATCGTTGGAAGGCTGAAAAAAATACGTCCTAGTTCTCGACTCTTTCGACCATTTGTAAATACTTATATACCTACAGCCTCATGATGACTCTTATATTCCCGACGGTCTGTCAAGGGTGCCAGAAGACAGCTTAAAACCCTTGGTATAGTAGCTAAAGAAGAGTTACTAACTATCGTCGGCGCGACAGAGGACTGCGGCCAAGGATGCTCTGCAGGACAGCTTCACGATCTAGAGACGCTAATGGCGATGAAACTAAGGAGAGCAGCGAGACGGCGTCGAGTCAGCGCTGGATGGGGATCAGCACTCCAACTGTAGCCAGCCTTTTGTTCATCACCGGAGTATCATACAGCACAATGGTAGTACATACAGAGTAAATCTCCGACATAACATCATCATGAGGGAGAATATCAAGGCAGCGAGGTCGTTCTCGACCAGGCCAAGGCTCCACAGTGATATCAGCCTCGCACGCCAATATTTTGGTGCACATTTCAACAGGCATAATGATTGTACTATCCATAGTACTATAATGCAATGCTACAGTACTACGTAGTATGCAAAGTATGGTATTTATCGGCTGGAGGCGGCCCTTTGGGAAGCGCCTGGCCCACTTATGGTGCAGGATCTTAGTCTCAGAGATGCCACCAAGCCAGCCAACCACGAAGAAAATTTTTTCTCGGATGGTTAGAAAAAAAAAAGAAGATGAAAAAAAAGAGTGTGGCGGATCTGCTTGGCTACCCCGCCAACGAGGGAACCCCGCGCCTGTCGGGCTGACTTGGTCGTGCGCTCATTGTTGCACCCTCCGCCACAGTTTTTTATCCAGAAGATATATGTAGAGCTTAACAGAATCTGCTTGATGATCCTGGGATTAGAAAGCTGTGATGACGGACTCTAGAGGGTTTTGGTAACTCTGTACAGTGTTGACTCATGCCAGCTTGAGGAAGGTGGGGAGTTGATGGAGGGGTTACAGGCTGATGTGAGAACACACGGAGCCTGGTTTTTTTTTTTCTTTCTTTCCTCTTGTTTCTCATGGAGGGGCAAAAGGGTTGGGCATCACTGCCAAAAATTCGACGTGGACAGCGGCTAGGGCTTATGTAGTGCCTTAACACGACCCAGGTAGCGTTTCAGACAGGGCATGAGAGGGGTTATATTCAGCCTGCCGGGCAGTTGAGGCCCCTCCTTTGATGTGGTGCTGTCAATCAATGGCATGTCATCTATTTGTGTGCCTTCTTCCGTTGGGAGAGGCGAGTCCCCAGAGGGCATCTCAGGAGCCTTGTCTGTCTGACGATGGTTTTGCTATCTCGTGTGCGACTCCCTTGGGTGAGCCTTTGGCTGGAGCACCAAAGGCAAGCAACAGTCTAACCAGAACATGTTCTGCATGGTAGACACCATCAGAGAGAGCACGAAAATGGAAACAGATACACCCCCCCTCTCTATATCTCAGAATTTAGATCGTTGAAGTCTTTCCAAGAAACAACACATGTTCACCCTCCATTGCTGGTCAGACTGCTATGAGGGTTTAATACGGTTCACCGTTGAGAGCAGCGAGGCAGGTAAAGGAAGGAGGAGGTGCCACTTGCAGACCTGCGAGCTGTTAAGCAGTGACTCAGTCATGGTCTGTGCGCCAATACACTAGCGGCAAAAATCCAAGGGCGGACCCACAGGGCACCGCTTGAAATACCTGGCGCCCCTCGCAAATTCTTTGAGCTTTTCTCCCTCCTTCCTCTCCTCGTCTGCACACCGAGATCTATTGCGATCCATCCTGCAAACGTACGAACAATCCCCCCCTTTCCTCTCCCTTTCCATCCTCCATTCCATCTCTCGATCAATTTATCGAGCATCCCATCTAACTCTTGACTTTCAACAGTTTCCATTCGCGAAACCTTTAACTACTTTCACACAAACAAACCATCACCATGGGTGAGTACCACAACCCCGCCCGCGTCGCCGCTTTATCTTGCGCATCACATCAAAGATGTGCATCGCGAGAGCGTCTGCGAGAAGCGCAACATGGTAACTAACAACAGAGTAGGTAAGGAGGAGAAGACTCACATCAACGTGGTCGTCATCGGCCACGTCGACTCCGGCAAGTCGACCACCACCGGCCACTTGATCTACAAGTGCGGTGGTATTGACAAGCGTACCATTGAGAAGTTCGAGAAGGAAGGTATGTATCAATCAGCTGCACATATTAATCTCCTCCCCATCCCCAAATTCAACTTCCCATACCATCAGCAGCGGCTGCGCTGTGTTCTGTCTCAGTCGTCTGCCCTGTTTCGCCCAACGCACATTTTGTATTTTTTTGGTGCGGGGTTCAGCAACGGTTTCGCTCTTATCTCAGATAAACGTGACCACCCCTGTACACCGCCACCTCAAAACATTCTCCTCCCCCTCCCCCACCACCGCACCCATGCACCTAGATAAGCTCTTGATAATAAGTCTGTCGATGCTAACATTACTTTCTTCACAGCTGCTGAGCTCGGCAAGGGTTCCTTCAAGTACGCCTGGGTCCTTGACAAGCTCAAGGCCGAGCGTGAGCGTGGTATCACCATCGACATTGCCCTGTGGAAGTTCGAGACTCCCAAGTACTATGTCACCGTCATTGGTACGTCCCTTTCCACCCCCCTGCACAATTGCTCCCCCCTGGCGATGCCATGCAGGCCTGGCAGCTTGGTATTCCTTGACTGCTCGCTGGCCCGATTCTTTCCACTCCACAACTCCTGCTGACCCCTGGTCCTTACAGACGCTCCCGGTCACCGTGACTTCATCAAGAACATGATCACTGGTACTTCGCAGGCCGACTGCGCCATTCTCATCATTGCCTCCGGCACTGGTGAGTTTGAGGCTGGTATCTCCAAGGATGGCCAGACTCGTGAGCACGCTCTGCTTGCCTACACCCTCGGTGTCAGGCAGCTCATCGTTGCTTGCAACAAGATGGACACTGCTGAGTGGAAGGAGGCCCGTTTCGAGGAGATCAAGAAGGAGACCTCCACCTTCATCAAGAAGGTCGGCTACAACCCCAAGACCGTCGCTTTCGTGCCCATCTCCGGCTTCAACGGTGACAACATGATCGAGAAGGAGTCTCTGGACAAGCGTGCCTCTTGGTACAAGGGCTGGAAGAAGTTCGACTCCACTGGCAAGGAGATTTCCGGCTGGACTCTCCTCGACGCCATTGACGCTGTCGAGCCCCCCAAGCGTCCCACTGAGAAGCCCCTGCGTCTCCCCCTGCAGGACGTCTACAAGATCGGTGGTATTGGAACTGTGCCTGTCGGCCGTATCGAGACTGGTGTCCTCAAGCCCGGTATGGTCGTTACCTTCGCTCCCTCCAACGTCACCACTGAAGTCAAGTCCGTGGAGATGCACCACGAGCAGCTCACCGAGGGTCTCCCCGGTGACAACGTTGGTTTCAACGTCAAGAACGTCTCCGTCAAGGAGATTCGCCGTGGCAACGTCGCCGGTGACTCCAAGAACGACCCTCCTCTGGGTGCCGCTTCTTTCGCCGCTCAGGTCATCGTCCTGAACCACCCCGGCCAGGTCGGTGCTGGATACGCCCCAGTTCTTGACTGCCACACTGCCCATATTGCCTGCAAGTTCTCTGAGCTGCTCGAGAAGATCGATCGCCGTACCGGCAAGTCTGTCGAGGCTGCCCCCAAGTTCATCAAGTCTGGTGATGCCGCCATCGTCAAGATGATTCCCTCCAAGCCCATGTGCGTGGAGGCCTTCACTGACTACCCTCCCCTGGGTCGTTTCGCCGTCCGTGACATGCGTCAGACCGTCGCTGTCGGTGTCATCAAGTCCGTCGAGAAGGCTGTTGGCGGTACCGGCAAGGTATGTTACATACTCACATCGTCTCCCCCCTCTTGACAACAATCGCTAATGACCCCCCGTCCATAGGTTACCAAGTCCGCTGCCAAGGCTGGCAAGAAATAAATTGCCCCCGCCTTCTGATGATGCCCTGATGAGTAATGCGGTCACACATTCTCATCAGTTCAACCTTCTCCAACCTTATGACACATTGCTTCGGATCTTTGGTGTTCGTTCCGGGTGCCTGATGAGCTCTATGCTGTTGTCTGGGCACATATGAGAGGAAAAACCGTCGGTGATTTCTGCGGTCTGAATGAAAACAGATAGAGGTCCACTCCTAGACGAGAATAGGGTCGCAGTAATCAGGAATTCAGTTGTGTTCATGAATCATCTCCTAACAACCCTACCATACCAATGTGATATTCTCTACGTGTGCTTCTACTGGTTGATAATGCTGCTTTCACATTGTTTAGAGTGATGTTCATGGTTTTTGGAATCTATGATGCTGTGTGTCGCCCCCCCCCCCCCTGGGAGGACAGGAGCGGAACGAAAGTATTGATGTATCATGCAGGCCTAGTATTTCTTCCATAGTAAATTCGCCGAGCCCGAACCTCTTCAGAAATTATCATCTTTGGCATAACATTCTGCGGAGGAATCGATTTGACAAGTGCGTAAAGCATAGAACTGGTGGAGAGAAGAATTCGTTATGAGGACGGCGTTTGTCAAAGCGGCTCCCTGGGATATTTTTCTATCGACACCCACCAAACTCCGTCACCTTCTACAAACCAACACATCGCATATTTGTGGACAAAAATTCCCATCTTTCTTTCTTTGATCTGATGTCCCTGTTCTACTTACTACAATATCCTGTTACAGTTTCTTTTCCTTTCGGTCTGGCTCCTTGGTCTACTTTGCACCGAGCCACCGGATTGTAGTCCTGACCTCCTTACCGGCGTCCTTTGTGCGCATCAGATTTCCCTCCAGTCCCCTTGCAAGTGTATAGATGGACCGCAGGTACTGCTGCGTGTTTATGCTGTCCGCATCACGGCGCAGCTGCCTGTCACCGCTGGGGACGGCGTCGAGGCTCAGCTCGGCGCGCCGGCGGCCGCCCTGTCCGGCCTCGATGGAGGTGTAGTTGAGGCACCAGCCGTTAAAGGTTGTGTTGACCGGGCGGTGCAGTTCTAGGCCGGAAAAGGTGTAGGAAATGGGGCGGAGGGCATTGTAGGTAGAAGACCGGTGGGCCTCGGTATAGGCAGGGAGAGGTTCGAGGGTGGTCTTCGATTTGGACGTCCTCGACTTCGAGGAGCGAGGGCGTGATGCCTTGGTGGGATCTGCGGGAGCTCGCCTACGCGGCGTTTTCGAGAGGAATGGGCTGTCGGCGTCGTCCTCGGGCTGGTAGAACATCCACATTGGCAGTGCGAGGTTCTCTAGGCGCGGCGGCGTAACGAGCTTGCCACGGTGCACCTCGAGGCGGGCGTCGTCCAAGAATCGCACGAGGGGCGCCATGGCCTCCAATGTATAAATCTTCTCGCGGGGGAGCTCGGCGACCAGTCTCTGAGTCACACGGATGTCGACTTGCTCTGTGGGGAGCAGGATGTCGGATACATGGGTGTGAGAGATGGCACGCAGGGAGTCGATCTCGATGATTTCCTCGTCGGTGGCCTTGATACGCAGCTCAAGATGAGGTGCGAGGGGGTCGGGAGGCTGGCTGGGGTTTTCTGAGTATGGGCTGAAACGCAGGAGAACGAGGCTGGTCATCGATGGCGGTGATTTGTAGGGGACCCAACCAGGGAGTTGCATGCCGGCAAGAGGTGGGATGAGAGGGTGAAGAGCACGTGGAGAACTCGATGGGTCGACGTTGTCGGGAGTTTTGCTGTTAAGATCTTGGGCAACGCTGTCATCATTTAGGTGGAGGATGTGGCCAAAGACTGCGTTCGTCCTGACGCGAAAAGGTAGCCAACTTGAGGGCGTTGGCTCGGTAGGAGCTGGCTGAACCACTTTCTCCTGGGCCCTCGGAAAGGTCAATGGAACCCCTGCCAGCGATTTGTAGAATTCGTCGTGCTTGGCTTTGAGCGTTGACGTGGGTAGGATGAGGTCTTCTGGCGTAGCCTGCACTTTGTACTTTATGATGCTCTCGTCCAACGGCCAACTGGTGGCTATTTGTGGTGCTTCTGTATTGAGGGGAAGACAGAGCCGAGCCCACCTCTGATGCCTGTCCGACCAGGACAGCTTCTCTTTGCCACCGATGGCATCGACCAACCTGCCCTTGCCTTTCGTATTAGGGTAGATGGCCAGGGTTTTGCCTGTCCTAACAGAGGCATTCGTCGCCTGTAGGAGGCGGAAGACGACATCGCCTGAATCTTCCAAAGCAGATTCAGTCTCACTTCTGATGTGGATCCAGGTAACGATGAGCTATCGATGGAGTGTCAGAAAACTGCCGAGATTCGTACCTTGCGGCCAAGGGCTCTCTTGCTTACCTCTTTTTGATCTTTATTCAGTTCCACGGCGGTGTTGGTGGCTTTGCTCAGGTCCTCGATCATGCTGGTGCTGACTTTTTCCATAATGTTGCTCTCCAGCTTGAATCTCTTCGTCTTCATCTTTTGTAGCGTCTCGTTAATTGCTGACAAGCAGACCTCAGCAACGCCTTTCGGAGCCACGATTCGGATCATCTTCTTGGATCTAACGACCTGGATCGATCTTCCAGGTCCGTCACCGAGGTGAACTCGGCAGATATTCTGCAGCCAACGCTGAGCGCCCACTACAGAAGACAGTCTCATCAGTCTCAGCAAGCACAAGTCGGCAGCTATGGAACAGCACTTACATGTAAGGAGCTTGAACTCCGGATCCCTGATGCGGAGTTCCAGCACACCAGGGCCATCCATCAACTCCTGCGCCGAGATGCCCCAGCACTCGCGCATCAGCTGCATCGTCAGGCGCTGCTTATGCCGCATAGACTTGAGTATGTAGCCTCTCAGTTGCGGATCAACGTCTTGCAGGGCATTCGGAGTCTCTGGTGTCCATTGTGTCTGCTCGAGCGTCCATGGTTGTGGCTTCAACAGCTCAGGCAGGACACCGAAGAATGGGCTCTCGTCACCATCCGCCAACCGCTGACGATGGCGTTGAACATAACCGTGGAGCTGGGGAACGGTGAAGCCTTTCATCAGATCCTCAAGTACCCGTTTGAACTCGTTTGTTGGCAATATCCTATGTTGCGGTCGCAACTCGTCAATATTTTCCAGGACGATGTCCAAACTCAATCCCTCCTCTTGGTCGATGTGCTCTTCAATCCCCAAGTCTTCGTCAGCTGCCTCAATTTCTTCTTTCATGATTCTCCGCTTCCATTCGCCCCCTTCCCTCAAGACAATGATCTCGGCTTCCTTCCCTAGTGCGGCCACCGAGAGCCTGGCCCTATCTTCTCGAAGTAAGGTATTGCCCTTCCGATATGCGTTTGCTTTGGGCTTTGGCAGTTGCTTGGACTCGTGGCCTGTGCGTTCCCGAATGAACAGTGAATCGCCAACAGTGCCTGCATCAGCGTCGCCATCTTGCAGTGATTCAGTCTCGGGAAGGCTGTCCGGGCGCGCAGGCGCACGCGCAGGCGCATGAGAGGGCTGCTTTGCATCGTAGATCGGTGTCTCATCGAGGTTCTCTTTCTGAGTCTTGGTCGACTGCTTTCGGGAGGAAATTGGTCGGCGAGAACGGGCCTTTTCGTTATGGCTTTGCTGGGTCAGAATCGCAACCAGATCCTCCTCCTGGCGCCCCGTTGCCTCAGAGGCAAATCGCCGTCTCCGGACCCGACTTTGCGGTCGAGCCTGCGCTGAGGCGGCGATGGCGGGGGTGGCTCGGCGGGTAACGGCGCGCAGTTGGCATCCAATGCAGATGGAGCCACCTGCTACCGAAGGGGAGAACATCAAGGCAATTTCATGAGGTGTGGAAATGTCCTTCCCTGGCGTCGAAGAGGGCGGGGGAGGCGAAAGGCTATTCACAGCTTTTATTCACAGCTTTTTATGGCCTGCGCGGGACGAAGGAAAAAGCTCAATAATTTTTTTTTTTTGCCGGGGGCAACAACGGCAGAGTACAGGGGCAAGGATCGGCCCGCAGCAGCGCGTACAGGGGTCTTCCACACTTAAGCCAGTCGCGTCTCCCATTCAAGACGCTGAGCACAAGATACTGACAGCGCCTTAGAAGCATTGGTCTCAGGCTTGAACCGAGGTTTGCAAATCCAATTCTCACAAAACTGTGAAGACTGTCGACTCTAAATTAGCATTGTCTTGTCCTTTGTCCTGCAATATGCCACCATCTGCTAGAAGGCCACGCCGTGTGAGCTGCTCTCAGTCAAATTGTTGTTTCCCCTCCAGCTAATCAATCCATGCACACAGGCTGTTGACGACGAGGGAGAGGAGTCTGATGAGGAGCAGAGGCCTAGGCAGCGGCCTCGTATGGTTTTAGATCCAACCGAGCATGAACGGTCAGAGAATTACGAGGAGGAGGAGGGAGACGGGGAGGACGAAGTGGAAACCGAACACCCCCGGCGACAATCTCAAACACCAGAGACAGAGGACGACGCGTTGATCCGAGAGCTTGTCAGATATGCCATGGCTTGTGATTTTGCTCGGGTACCAATACGAAGAGAGGGAATCAAAGAAAAGGTCCTAGGGCGCGGGAATCGATCATTCAGGAGGATCTTCCAGGGAGCCCAGGAAAGGCTCCGCGATGTCCTCGGGATGGAGATGGTCGACCTGCCCGTCAAAGAGAAACTGACCAAGGAGGACAAGAGAAAAGGCGAGAGTCCCTCTTCATCTGCCCCACTGAAAATCAGACACACCCATACGGATGCTAACAACTTGACTTGCTCTATACAGCCATCAAGTCCCAAAGCAAGATCGTCCCATCTAACTCGTACGTCCTCGTCTCGATACTGCCCAAAGCCTACAAGAACCCCAAGATTCTAGCCCCCTCACGGCTCATCTCGGCCGACGAGGAAGCCGCCTATGTCGGTTTCTACACTCTCATCGTCTCTCTCGTTCGTATCAGCGGCGGCGAGGTAAGCGATTCGGTGCTGAAGCGCCACCTGCGGCGCCTCAACGCCGAGACCAACGCATTCGCCGATTACAAGACGGAGGACATCCTCGCGAAGCTGCAGAGGCAGGGGTATCTGGTGAAGACCGGTGATAGGCAGGCGCAGCAGCATGGTCAGGCGGACTCAAACACGACCTGGTTCATCGGGCCGAGAGGGAAGGTAGAGTTGGACGACGAGGCCGTGGCGGGCTTGATCAGGGAGGTCTGGGGCCCCGTGACCGACGCCGACGCCAACGAGTTGGAGGAGAAGTTGGCAAATACCCTGGAAATACAGGCGGGACAAAGCAATGGGGACAGCGTCGCGGACGCCCATGAGGACGAGAACGGGTTGGATTCCACGAGCGACACGGAGGAAAATGGCGGACCGAGCTTCAGGGCACCTAATCGGCTCACATCTCCAGAGGAACGCGAGTACTAAAAACAGACGAAGGCGTCAGACAAAGGCATTAGATGTACATGATTCGCAGAAGCGATGCGAACGAGGCTGTGTTTATCCTGTTCCAATTCCTGCGCCGGTGGACCAAACAATCGACGGGCTGGCTGCCTTTTTGCTGCTATATGAATAACAACTAACAATGATACCCCTTTATTATTTGCACGCAGATCCACCTGCGCACTATTGCGTCTACGCCTGATGACACTACGTAATAGGTGAATCTCCATAAGTGCTCTGCGTCGGGTTTCAACGATGGGGCTTCTCTGCCCTCCGCAGTGCACACGACAAGGTAGCGGCGCTGTTTGTTGCTGCTTTTCCCTTGCAAGCCGACTGTACAGCCGCAACCATGAGGCGCGTCGCACGCCCCGATGTTCCAAGAACCCAAAAATAAGGGACAAGACTCCTTGTAATCTAGGACCTGATCCAGAATCAAGCTCTTCAAGTACCACCGCCCTGCTGCTGTTGTGAGGCAGGCAGCGCGAGGAGCTCATCCTCCCTCGGTGGTGGGGGACCCACGGGCTGGACCATCTGGCGGATGAGCTGCGCTCTCGCCTTGGCCATGGGCTCGTTCTGTGCCAGGGACATGTAGGCCAGAAGGGGGGTGTGGCCGACGATGCTGGTCTTGGTGTCGCGGTGAATGTTCGTCTTCCACTCCCAGCTCGTCGTGTCCGGATGGCCGGTGCCGATGTACTTGGCCTGCAGGCGCTCGAGCTCCTGCTGGGTGCGGAGCTTGTCGGCCTGTAGAAAAGAAAACAGAGCCTTATTGTCAGCGACCACTTGTAGAAATGGAAGGGAGAGGGGACGAGATGAAAAGGGAAGGGAGGGGTGACATACCATCTTGACCTATCTTCACACACACACGGGTTGTTGCTTCTGGGTTGCAAGTGTTGCTGAGGCTCAGAGGCAAATTAATTGGTAGGTTGCCCGCTGGCCCAGTTCTGTTTGGCTAGTCACGGCTGTACTCGGCTAATTCCATGGTTAGAAAGGCCGTACACGTTTAGATGCATGCACCCCGCTATCTTCATCCGGAGATGATAAACTTGGCACATGTGAACTAAGATAAAAGTACACGGCCAGTACGCTCTTCCAGAATAGATTCAAAACACACTGCAGATGTTTCTGCAGAAGAGCATGTTAAGAGGTATACATTCTCTGCCATGCATGCTCCTGTGAGCAGGGTTCTATGTTGGAGGTGAGACGCACAAAGACCAACCTTTCAAGCTCAACCCAAGGCTACACCTGTGATTCTAGTCGTGCTCCAGCCAGAAAGACTAGTCATCCCATAGCTTCCCAAGGCATTTCCGTCCTTTCCACAGTTTCCACCGTACGCCAATATACAACGCCGCAGTAATGTACAGATGCCTCCTGCCAGTGAGTGTGTCAAGAGGACGGCATCACCGTCACGCACCTTTTGCGGCCGGTAACCTTGGCCACTTTTTGCCTCGATAAGGGAAATGTAGTTGTTGAGACAGGACCATAGAGTCCACGAAGGCAACTCTCAGTTGAAACTGACAAGGCAGCGAAAAAGATTGTCAGCAAGTCCGTCTCCACCAAGGCGCAAGAGAAAACATGGAGATTACGGCCGTGTATACGTACCCCTGTTGCTTCTGGCGGACGATGTCGCCTTTTGCGCCCTTTTGCTTGCCCTGATTGCTTGTCAGTACTATTTCATGACCTTGATCGGTGTCTGCAGCCGACATACCGACAAGCCCGCCTCCACAACCAACTTGTCCATCTCAAAGAACTGGCTGACCACCGTTTGCCGCTGTGGAAGAAGAAAATGTCAGCCACCGTCATTGCTATACACGAGACACGTTCGGAGAGGCCATGTAGATGGCAGAGGCAGCAGGCTTCAGCGCACCTTCAGCATCTGTAGCTCCTTCAGGCCCTTCTGTAACAGCTCCTGAACCTGTCTCGAGTCCTCCACGTTCTTGTTCTCTCGAAAAGCATCTCGTGTCCGCCTCTTCGCGTATTCTCTGAAATTGTACGATGCGAACTGCTCGCCCTGTCGGAGAAGCTGGCGGTACTGTGTTGTTTGACCGTCAATATAGGAAACTTCGAACCCAACGTGTACCTTGAGAGGCGAATTTCTGCCCTCCCCTCGCCTCGCCGATGTCGCCTCCAGAGGAGAGCAACGGAATAGAAGAAGTACTTACCAAAGATTTGACCTGGTGGGCCGAGTCGCCCTTGAGCGACGACGATAATGACATGGCGAGAGGCTAGTCTTTGCGCATCGAGAAGGGAGTGGTGGAGGTGGGAGAGACAGGGAGGAAGATCTGGGGCGGCAGTAAGGCCTTTTGAGCTTTGATGCCGCGGGTTCAGAATAAATTCGGGCGCGGCGTAATGATGTAACACTTGCCGATGCCGAGCGGCCGACCAAAACAAAAGGGAAAAAAAAGTTCGGCCTTTCCGATCTGCAATACGGCATACAGGGATGAGGCAATTTTTCTAGCTACACAAGGTCCCCGATAATTACATACTTTTCTAGGCTGGGGGTCCTCAGCACTCTCTCAACCATTTCTGCGAGAGGCTATTCATTCATTCATTCATGCACGACCAGTCACAATTGGAGTTAGTTAAGCTAATTGTATCTTATTTACATGGGGTATCTGCTAAAGACTAGTCTTTTTGGCTATGCGATATATCATGGCCATATCGTCTCGGTCGCTTCAATAGCATTCTTGTGCTGGAACTCGTTGAGGAGATCTTTCAGAGATGCCAGATGAGAACGGATGTTCTGAGGCCGATATTTCGTTTTACTGTCGTCGACGAAATGGAGAGCGCTTGCGTCCCTATCAACGTCGAGGTCTCGTTGCTTCCGTTCAGGAAAGTGAACGCCTTGTCTATGTCTCTGGAAGTTGAGGTCCGCGCATCGCACAGAGCAGTACACGGAACCTTTCCTAAAGTCATTCAGGCATTCCTTGCATAGGAAGGGGCCCGAGCCGTCCATGTCCATCTCAGTATCCTCGTCCACCAACTGCACGCAATTGTCACCACCGGCACAATCATGTGTCGTCTCCACGTGAGATTTCTGTTTCTTTCAGTTAGCTCCATTAGATGTCTTGGGCGGCCGCGACGCTGAGGTGGAAGCAGGCTTACCAGTCCGTTGTTACCAGAGAAACACGCCGATGAGCAAAACACTGTTGGTTTTGCTCGGACGCCACCTTCGACCAGGACTTGACAGAGCGGACAGATCATGTAATCCTGCAGATCAGGGTTTCTGCCACAATTGTGACATGGTGGTTGCTCGTACATTTCGTCGGGAATCTGCGGTGGCTTTGGTTGGCTGCCCTTCCGACCGGTTGCCTTCTTGGACTTCTGCAGCTCGTGCGCGTTCTTGGCTCTACGGAGCTCTTCGGCCCGCTGCCTGTGCTGTTCCTTCTGTCCCTGCGCCCCTATGCTGGAGCGTCGGTCCACCGAAATCTTGTTGATGATCTCGTCCATGGTTGCTCCCTCCTGAAGCCTCTGAAGATATGTCTGGATTTTGGCTGATGCTTTCTCGTCCGAGGTCTCCTGAAAAAAGGTCTCCTTGTAGACCTGAATTCTGGCCTCTGGCGTCGTGACCTCCACGAGGCGATCCAGGGCTATGTCTGCCTCCTCTTCCTCCTCCTTCTTCTTGGTGATGGCCTCCCCGTTAGTCGTGCCCGGACCCTTGAGGGCCTCCCTCACTTCTGACACGATCTGCTCGAAATCGACTCCTTTGGTGCCGATCTTGTCCAAGACGTCCTTCTTTTCCAGCAGTTCCCGGAGAGCCTTCCCGATGCTCGGTGACGCCCTCACCTGCTGCTCGTACCACCGCCGCCTCTCCAAGTCGATGCGCGCATCAATCCTTTCAAGGTCGCCTTCATACTCGCGCGCGGATGCAAAGAGACTGTCCAGATCTCGCAGCAGGCCGTCCCGCCCAGAGAACCATTCCCGCGGCGCATCACCACTGGGGCCCATATATCTGCTGCGCATACGGTCGATGACCTTCCCATAGCACTCGCGACACTCCAGCACATGTTTATATCGCGGGTGGTCGCGCGCGCATGCAGCGGTGAGCTGCGACACGTCCTCGGCGCATCGAGCGTGCTGCGCCCGCTGGACGGCGAGATAGTCCCATGCCTCAGTCATGACAAAAGGCTCAAGACTGATAGAGGACTGGAAAGGCGCCAGTATGCGCTGATATCTCAAGACGGGCGACCTCGTAAAGTCGTACTAGTTCCTGTTTGCGATCGAATGGCAGAGCTATCCTCAGCAGTGATCAGATTGTCGCAACCTCGCAAAGTAGCCCAGGTAGCTCCCAGAATATCCGCTGCTGATGAAGATGGCGTCCAAGAAGAGGCTTTCCTATCAGTCAACGGCACCCCTATCGATCAGAAAACCAGTCTATTCGTATATATCGTCTGACTTGCGGTTGTGAAGAATCGCGCATCCGGATGAAAGAGAAGGCTCTATGCGTTATGAAGCGTCGTGCGCAAGGCAGGGGGACAGCGCTGAAGGAAGGTTTGATGCCGTCTTGTGGTTTTGACTATCCAAGTCGGAGGTCTGCCAGAGATATTACGAGGGATATCCGCGATCTTATGAGATTTGAGTCCAAGAGAAAGGTTGTAAAGTCGCCATGAGAGGTACACGGTTGGCAAGGTTGGTGTTCGAAGTGAGATCTCGGAACTTGAGGCGCGTTGAAAATCAAGGGTTAGGGCGCGAGGGACCCCCCTGTCTGAGCCTTACCTAGCGTGAACGTAAGCTGCAGCCACTAGCAATTAGCAGTGAGCATCACCAACCTGCGGGAGGTGCCACTGCGACGCGACTTTCAACATCATCATTCTCCCGACGATTACTCAATTCCCACCGCCCTCCCCCTTTCGTTACAATCGGCGCATGTTTCTTGATATTTCAGCACCGCTCGAACTTACCAGGCTCGACGCAGGGCCCAGGTCGACGACTTATCCTCGAATAATACCAAACGACTTCGATTTTAGCCAGCAAAACTGCCTCTCTCTCGCCGGCGCGCGTATACGAGAATTCTACTCGACAGTGTGACGCGTTATCAATCGAAAGCCTGATATAAAAAAAGAGAGTTACAACAATGGCGCCGAGTGTGAGTCTATTAGATGAAGCATCAACGCCTAATATGATTGGTACGGCTCTGAAGCTGATGATTGACGGCGCATTGCAGTACAGGACCAACCCGAACACTCGACGTGGTAATCGAGGCGGTTTCCCAGAGCATGACGACTTTGAAGGTACTAAACCAGCGATCAATCCCTGCTACCCTGTGTTCTCTACTTCCTTTCCAGCCAAGCTGGCATATCTTGAAGGCCAGAAACAAACAGCCTCACGAGCAACCAAAGGTTGACCATGAGTTTGCAGGACTTCCGGTTCGACAATGGCGCAAGACAGAAATCACCGTCGCACCCCCTCAAGAGACCGAGGAATCCAAAAAGAACGACCGCTGGGCGGTGGAGCTCCCGCACGGCATGCCAAAAGACTCGGAGCAGCTTCCCGCCCACAGCCTGGCCCTTCTCAGAGCTGCACGGTCTGGACGCCTTTACAAACGCCCAACGCCTGATGACGAAGATGGCGACGGCGATGGCCTTCCTGGTGAAAAGAGCGACAGGAAAGGGACCGGTAGTCAAGAAGGCTACAGGGCCAAGGTCTGGAAGCAAGTGCCCCGAAATACCGAGGGTCCGACCATTTCGTATCTGGCCAAGAGGAAGCCAGGCACTATCACTCTGCCTTCCAAAGCCCTGGCGCTGCAGACTACCGGCCCGACCATCACAATGGCTATCGTGAAGCGGAATGATGCGGCCGGGAATTCATACACACAGGAGGTGACGATCGCCCCTGGTCAGCAGATCGAGGGTGAGATCATCTCGACGAGTGTCATCCCTGCGCCTGAGCAGCCAGGGCCGGCGTCCACAGCAGGTACACCTGCCCGGAGGAAGCCCCCGATCCCTCAGAAAAAGAAGGGTCGTGGACGTGGTCGGGGCCGGGGTCGTGGCAAGATCCCGCTGCCTAACCCCAGCATACGCCCAGAGCCGCAAGGTAGCACTGGTATGGATGGGGTGGCTGATTCCAAGAGCGATGCCACTGGCCCTAGTGTGAGTTGCAACCTGTTCATCTGTCCGAATCGGTTCTAGGCAGGAGGTGACTGACCAGAAGTTGCAGGGTGTCAAGATTGAGGGGTCCGAACACGACAAGAGTGGCCAGGACGTTGAGATGATGGACTCATCTGCAGTCGACGAAGACGGCGACGAAGGGGAGGGAGATGGTGATGACGATGAAGAGGGTGAAGGAGATGACAGTGTGACACCTGCTGAGAACGATGACCACGAGATGGAGGATGCCCCCTCTCTACCATTGTCAACTGCTCCCACAGATACCGCTCTCACATCAACAGCGCCAGCCCCGGATGCCTCAGATCCAGTCCTGAACTTGACAGTTCCTCCATCGAAACCTTTGGGCGCCGATGGTCCCGTGATTCAAGGCAGTCCCCTCAAGAATGTGATAGTGCCGTCTCCCGCGGAGCCGTCGACTCACATCTCACCCGTTGCAGCTCCATCCCCTCCAAGTGCTCCTGGCCTATCAGAAGTCCCTGGAGAGCCAACACTAGGCCTTCAACCATCACCTGTCGAGGGCAAAGACTTACAGACTGCAGTTCCAGAGTCGATCGCTGAGGCCATTGTGGAGGACCCTCCGCAGCCTGCAGAAGCGGCGGCTCCGACCTCGCCCCAGCCAGCTCCCGAGGAGACGCCTGGCGTTGGTATTGTCGCCATCACCGCTGCCCAGGAACCCGAAGTACCAGCTGCACCGATACCAGATCAGCCAGCCGTGGCGCTAGAGGCCGTCGAGCAACCTCCACCGCCTGTCGAGGAAGCTCAGCAGGCCGCACCCTCTACAGCTGATGTTCCACTGCCCACGAGTGAGGAGCCAATGCCAGGGCAGGTACCGGAAGTTGAGCCTGTGCAGGAACCCCCAACATCTGCCATGGGACCGTTCAAGGAAGAGTCTACAGAACCGGCCACAAAGTTGTCTACGGAACCGCCTACGGAACCGCCTACGGAGCAGCCTAAGGAACAAGCCACGGAAGCACCTACTGAGATACCTATGGAAGTACCCACAGAAAAGCCTACGGAACCACCTACGGAACCACCTACAGAACCGCCTACAGTACCGCCCACAGAGCAGCCTACAGACCCCATGTCGGCCGAACCTCCAGCGGCAGTAGAGGCTCCAGCTGTTGACATGAAAGCCCCCGTTGAGGATAGCATCGAAAACGGACCGGATCTCCTTGGCCCTCTTGATGCCGCATTAACCCGGCAAGCCGAGGAGGACACGCCACCAACTTCGGCGCCTGCCACAGCACCAGTTGAGGAAGTAGTGCCGCCGAAGCAGGAAGAGACGGTGCCTGCGGGTGGTTTGGGCGTGGATGAGTAGAACTGGCCGCTGCCTCCACAGCCTCTGGCAGGTTCATCACAGCCTTTTCCAGCATCGATGCCACAGAGCCTATTGTTCGGCCAGTCACCTCACCAACCTACAGGGCCTGGTTTTGAATTCCCCCAGCACGCGGGACACCAGGGCTCGTCCTACCTCGACCCACTGCCTCCACTCCCTCAAGTTGACTATCTATCCTTTTACTTTCCGGGGCTTCAGAATTCGTTTCTCCTCGGCCCGCCCCTCCAACCCTCACAAGTCCTCCACGAGACTCAGCCTATAGCGGCCCAAACCGCAACGGTCCCTTCCCAGGACCTCCAGGCTCCGGGTCTTGAACCTGCACCTCCTGATTCACAAGGTGAGGCGGAAGAGCCGGATATATGGGAATTTGTCCTGCTAGATGACGTGGAGGACATTCCGCCAGGCCCGTAACGGTGCATGGGAGTTGTCATGAGCTGGAAGCATGTATGCTCTGCTAATGATCATTGTTCCTTATCGAAATGGGAAAGGAGATAGCGTTCTGAGTACGCTGTGACTACTAAACGATTACTCCCAAGCGCAAAAAGCGTGTTACTCTAGACTTTTAGGGATAGATGAGGTCTATGTGGTTTTCTGAGTGAATGCATGGATATATCATTAAATGGACAAGAGTATTGTAAGAGATGCAGCGTGAGCCAAAATCCTCTTATGAAATGCAAGACACTTGTTGGTTTTCGCTTTTGATGTCACACTCGATGAGGTGTGCTGGTCTGTTCGAGGATTAAGCACAATCATGGGGATCATAAGTCTTTTCTTTGCTGATGAATAGCTGCGTTCTTGATTATGTGTGTAACTCAAGTTGTCACCCTGATGAGAAGAGTATCAACTACATGCTTACTTAATGATTGAGTACTCATGTACTCAGTATGCGCCCTTTTCAGTGTCCCTCGTCTATCTGCCATGCGAGGCTGACAAACACAAACCAAAAGGCACAACTCCCTCCTTCCCCCATTCTACTTCTCCCAATAAGGCATGTCCAACCCCACAGTCCTGCACTGGGAGGGTGTTAAAAGAAAGAGAAAAAAAGGAGAGAAAAAAAAAAAAGAAACAACAGCCGCAGCCGCGCGCCTCTTGCCCCTCCGTCCCTCGAAAAAGACAACCCAAAACACCCCCCTCTCCCCTTCCCCCCAATCTTTTTCCCTTTGGAGGTGGGGACCCACTCCATCACCCACAGTGCCGTCCCGCCGCAAACATTAGCACTGTATTGCGCCATCGAGCCCAAATATGCATGATTGCCGATAACCGTGCAGCCGACAGATGCGGCTCTGTCGTCGCATGGAGACCGGGGCCGACACCCGCCAGACCCACCGCCGACGTCCTCTCTTTCCCGTTGCCGCCACGGGAAAGCCTTCACGCCCTTCCCTCTGCTTTTGCCTGCGCTTCCCCCTTCCCGAACCGATCCGCGCCCTCAAATGTTTTCTTACGGTTATGAAAAGAGAGTCAGCACACACAGTAGGAGAAAGTTGTGTGTGGGAGAGAAACCCGAACCCTGGGGCTTGGTGGGACTGACGAGACGGGTTAGACAGACCTCATCGTCTTGGGAGGAGGATGAATGGTGAGTAGTAGCAACCTGAAGCTGGGTGTTTGATGGCGGTTCACTGCCAGCACTAAATGGATATTGGGACATTGGCAAGTAGTTACGATTTCATCGCTTCTTTGTTTCTTATAAGAAATTTTAAAATGTTATAATTGACTGCTCTATCTATTTTTGATAGCCGTTTTTATGTATGCCCGAGTGCTTTTTACCATGCAACAAAGTCTGGTTGGATGGCAAAGGGGAATAATCAACACTACACAGAATATGCTTCCGCCAACGCCAAGCAATGGAATCCCATTCAGTTTTTCAACGCCCAAGAAGGAAAAAAACACCTCCACCTTAGTCCCTTTTTCTTCAACAAGCCGATAAGAGCAACGCTTATAATTTCATCAGATCATCCTTTTCGCACCTCGTCACCCTATGACGAGACCTGGATGGCGGATGCATCGTGATTGCTACCGCTGGTGCTGATGCGCTCCTGGTTCTGCTGAAACGCCTGGGCCATCTCCTCCTCGCGGCGCTTCTGCTCCATCTCCTCGAGGTACTGGGCATATCTGCTCTTCTGGTTGTGGATGCCGCACTCGGTCTTGTCCTGGCCCTTCCACCGGCCTGCGCGCTCGTCCTCGCCCGCGGCCACGGGGCTTGTCGAGTGCCAGTCGCCGACGCTCTTGTAGCCCCTGTCGAGGAGGGCGTTGTAAGGAACGTCGTTGTCCTTGATGTACCGGTGGACCTGATCAAAGTTCCAGGTGACGAGCGGGTTGATCTTGACCACGCCGCGCTCCTCGTCCACCTCGATGACAGGGATCTTGTCGCGCTGGCCCCCTTGCGACCGCCGCCGGCCCGTCAACACCGCCGCCACATTGAGCTCCGTGTACGCGCGCTGCTGCGGCTCCACCTTGGCGTACCAGTCGTACATCTCGGCGCTGGTCTCCCACGAGCGCTCGCCAAAGATGGCCTCGAACTCCTCGGCTGTATTGCAGCCGTCGGGCTTGAAGACGTGTACTTTCGTGTTGGGGTAGCGCTGCCGCACGCGATCGACAAGGTCGAGCGTCTCCTGGAAGTGGTACAGCGTGTCTAGGAAGATGATGTCGACGGGGCGGGCATCCTCAGCCTCCAGCTTGGACAGCATGTCCAGCGTTACAAGGCCTGTGAGGCCAAAGGCGGTCGACTGGTACAAGTTGGGGAAGAGAATCTTGCAGAAACGCAGGATGTCCTGAGGGTGCATGGTCTCCAGGCGCGCGTTGAGCCACTTGAGGTGGTAGGGGGTGAAGGTCACCGCCGGAAGGGTCATGGTGGATGATGTGGCCGAGGCGTAGCCCGACTCAAGGTCGTCGGCCGACGAGGTGTCCGATTTTGTGTCGAGGGCCTTTAGGCGAGGCGATGCCTCTGCCGAGGATGTGTGTGAGTGGGTGTAAATGCCCATGTTGTGTGAGAGGAGGTATGTGAGGTGATGATGACGTGTGTTTTGGTATTGCTATACCACTGGGAAGCTTGCTTCCAAACAGTGCTGGGCTGCGCGTGTTGAGAGATGTTTTGAGGATATATAAGTGTGTGTAAATATATTGACGAAGTACTCGAGGGCTGAAGTCTCGAGCCCTTTTTTGCGATGGACAAGAAGCAGGTCGTTGCTCAGACGAGAGCAGATTTATAGGAAGAAGTGGGAGGAAGGAAGAATGCAAGATGTTTGTATGGATGCAGTATTTGTCAGGCAGAAAGGGAGGTGAGTGTGTGTGGTTGGTTATAATATCAAGGAAGGAACAGAAGAAGAGTAGGAGAAGCAGCAGCAGCAGGGTCTTTGAAAGATATTCTCGGCCGCCTTGGGTCCGTCATTTTTACAAACCAACCAGCTCAGGCCTGGGAGGGAATTGCGGCATCGCACATCATACGAAACGGAACGACGGGATACCTTGGCTCCTAATACCTTGCCTGGGGCCCTTGAAGGGCGACCATCTGTCAGTCCTAGTCCTCCGTGTCATTGTCCCCTCCTCTTGGCCCCCTCTCTACCACCCACTCGTCCTTCATCAAGCACGCCCAGGGCATGGCTCACAGCCCAATGGCCCATTATTAATCGCATCCTGACTACTGTTGACACCGTTTCCCCCCCCTCCCTCCCCTCCCGAGGTCATCTCGCTCTCCCACTTTCTCTGGTTTTCTCGACACGAGACTGGAGCAAAGACGGCTCCCCTACTGGTACAAGGAGTCTACCTCGAGGGGACTACCTCATGTGGAGGGGGGCCCCAGGACAAACTGGGGATTGCGCCATTCGACGCTTTGGGGCAGGGCAAAGAAGGCCATCTGGTATGTCAAATGGATGATCCGCCCATGTATGTGCCTGATATAAGCCATCGATGGTGCAATCCGCGCTATTCCTTTCGTGATCAGGGCCGGGCTCTCATTGGTCCCCAGGACGAAAAATTGTGACGGTACCTGACAGTGACATGCTGGTGTCCTCCAGAGGAACGAGCGTGGTGGCTGGTTCTTTTGTTTCCTGGACATTAGACCCGCCGGCTGTCATTGCTCGGACAGGAAGTCCATCAGTCAATGAGACCCGTCCTCTGCCCTCCCAACTGCCGGATGTTTCCTATCCTGTTGGTGGTTTGAGTGAGGTTGAGGTACATGTCCCCCAAAGTTACTCCCCTAGGATTAGTCGTCGACCAAGGTTGCGGGAAGGCTGAAAGGGATGGCGGGCTCGGCTGCGTCTAACAGAAAACAGACGACAGGGGTGTTATTGCCCCACAAACTAAATCTTCTTTTCTCTCTTGAGGCCTGACATAGCACGAACCCATACATAAGCGGTTGTACCTAAGTATCACTGTGTAAAGTCCACAAAAACTTTCTCTTGGACGCTCCCGGCAGAGACACCTCCCCCCTTGTCCCTGCCAAAACGCCCAAGCGCCCTTTCCAACATCGCACTGTCCTTGGCTATGTAAGAGCCTAGAAATGTGTGTCTCTATTAGATAATCACGCTTGCAAATCGAACCTCCTGGATCCAGAATCTTCCGTGTAACCAGCCGCGCCCTGTACGAGAAGTGATTGACTACCGTTTTGCAACGACATGGGGCAGGGCATGCCCACGCTACACACGCATCTTGCCTCTTCAACGTCATCCCAGATTTTCTCATCTCTCGACGTCATGAAGAAATTTGTCAAAGCTACAGATCATAGTACTTTCGTAGCATCCAGAAAGGGCAAAGACAGACGAGCTGCAACCCCAGACTTTTCCCCCTTCCATTTCCGTTTTTCTCAATGTTTTCCCTAGACATTGATTGCCCAACATGTTGTGTGAATGCGGGCGTGTGTGGCGGCATCCCCGTTTTCCGGCCGGATTAATCTCGCACAGGATTGTGTTGTGATTCTGATCAAGATGACAACACCGGCCCAGCCGGTGAGTCGTGCTCCCTTTTTATCTGCCTATCTCTCTCTCCCTTTTGATGACACGCAGATACATGTCGCACGGCAAGGAGGAGGTCAGCAAGCAGCATCGGTTGGCTGTCATGCCCTGAACTGTGTGAGAGCCAAGGTCAGACAAGAAGATTTGTCCGCAGGGGTGGTTGCGAACGACAGCCTTCTTATGGCGAGCTTTCTTTTCAGATCATCGGGCGGTGACTGTATCAATTTTACTTTCGTAGCAAAGCCTCCTCCCATGTTCCCTGACTCACGACTTAGCGATCCCCAGTCGAAATGAGAGTGCGCCCCCCGGTCTTGGCTTGTTCCCCATAGTCCCGAGTATCTGGGCTTTGTGAGTAGCTTGCTAGTAGTCTCAAGGCGCCCTCCCCCGGCGCGCCCAACTTTTTTCGTGATGCTCCTTCATCTCAAGAGATAATATTCTTCAGGCTTCTCTGGTACCTGAGTACATATCAAGGGGAGAGATCTATGCCTGTCCAATGAAGTTTGCGACGTCTTACAACAGCGTATTGCTTTTCTTCTCTTTTGCCACGACGCTTGGTTTGCTAGCCAAGCATGCTGCCTGACCACCCGGTCTGGTCGAGTCCAAAGACCAAGAGGGCACGGCACAACTAGCACGATGTGGCCAAGCAACCGTGGTAAAGCAAACTGGCGACTAACTTGAGAGGGAGGCAGGGAATGTCATTCTGATATACACAGTATGGAAATCCTGCGCAGAGACAACATTGTCAACTACCCAGAAAGCTTGGGGTCACACCGCCACACAAGAGAGTCACTGGCTACGTATCTATGATTATGGATCAGATACAAGAATCTGTAGAATCATTTATCGTCTGTAATTGTAGGTACTTGGAGGACTTGTCGGACGTTCCTTCAAGCTACGTAATCATTCGGCAACCCACAGCAAACCACTGGCCTTGCCTCTCTCGTGTGGCCTGGACTACCTAATGACGCTCATAACAGGACAGTCTAGTCAATTCATTTCCCATGGCTCCTATCATCAACTGAGCCTCCACGGAACAGGCAATCATGTCTCAATGGCCGCAGGCGCATGCAGAATCCTTGCGAGTACTATAGCAGCAGACCGCTGGGCTTGGCAGATCTGCTCATGGCAACATCAATTGAACCGGATCACGGCAAAGCAGATCGTCAATGTCTGTCACAACTCTTCACCTGCCCTGGTGAGAGTTGCAGGGTGTGACGTGGCATGACAAGACGAAGTTTCTGTATATATAGATCAGGAGGGGATCAAGTATCGTCGTGGAAGATATGCTGCCAAGTCAGAGCTCTTCCGTAATCTCAGCCTCGGAGTCAAGAGGGCAAGACTGCCGAGAAAAAGTGGGATGAAAACAAAAACCCCGAACCTAATACAGAGATGCCGGCACGGTATGTTCAATTTTCTGGACGGGTTCTACACTGCCAGTCACATACCCATTCACCAGTATTGGGAGCGGAAGACTATGAGAAGTTGCACAATGGTAGTAAGTAGCTGTGTTGTTTCCGTTTTCCGCCGACATCGGGCAATTTTGGGGAAGCTGGAGAGTTTGGAACAGCGGGAATTCGGGGTCGCGTCGCGGGTTGGCCCGAGGTGGCCCATGCTTCTGCGGAGGTATTTTCTTAGGTGAGGTACTTGGCAAAATACAGTAGGCCAGCAACCCAAAAAAAAAAAAAAAAAAAAGCAGAGGCCAAAAAAAAGAGAGGTGTCCAGTGACGAATCCAGAACAAGCAGAAAGTTCCAATTGGATATCTGTCAGGGCATTGGACAGAACACCCGCCTCCACCCTCCTCTTTTTCTTCTCTTAATGTATCCTCAAGCCTCGGTTCCCAGAATGCTACAGTCGGCACGAACATGCGCCTCCGGCTCGGCCAGGAGCTGGCTGCTTAGGCCGAGGGGCAGCAGCACGAGGGCTCTAAGCACATGCTTGAACTCCAACAAGCCGGCGGCAGTCAACCCCCTCCGTACCCCTCATACGTCACTCCTTCACAACACCACGACGACGACAAGATATTTCCACGCCTCGTCCACAAGAATGGCTGGCACAAGAACCGAGAGCGATGCCTTTGGCGAGATCCAGGTCCCCGCCGACAAGTACTGGGGCGCCCAGACTGAGCGGTCCCTCGAGAACTTCCGCATCAACCAGCCCCAGGACCGCATGCCCCCGCCCATCATCAAGGCATTTGGTATTCTCAAGGGCGCGGCTGCTGCTGTGAACGTGCGCTATGGTCTTGGTATGTCCCCTGGGCAGAAGGACAGATAGAGGTCCAGACGAACGCGAGAGAAGAAGAAAAGAGACAAAGAGACAAAGAGAGAGAGAGAGATATCCTGCAGGCATGGGAAGACTCACACGTACAAATGTGCACACAATCTAGATCCCAAGATCTCCGAGGCCATTCAGCAGGCCGCCAAGGAGGTCGCCGACCTGAAGCTGATCGACCATTTCCCCCTCGTCGTCTGGCAGACCGGCTCCGGTACTCAGTCCAACATGAACGCCAACGAGGTCATCTCCAACCGAGCTATCGAGATCTTGGGTGGCCAGATGGGCTCCAAGAAGCCCGTCCACCCCAACGACCACGTCAACCGCTCTGCATCCTCCAATGATACCTTCCCCACCGTCATGCACATCGCCGCCGTCCTTGAGATCGAAAACGAGCTCGTCCCGAGCCTGAAGAGCCTGAGGGATGCGCTGCAGAAGAAGGTGGACGAGTTCGACGCCAAGAACATCATCAAGATCGGACGGACACACCTGCAGGACGCCACTCCGCTGACCCTGGCGCAGGAGTTCTCTGGGTACGTGGCCCAACTGGACTTTGGCATCCAGAGGGTTGAGTCCAGCCTGCCAGCCCTGCGACAGCTGGCGCAGGGAGGCACCGCCGTGGGCACTGGCATCAACACTTTCCAGGGTTTTGCCGAGGCCATCGCCGAGGAGGTCTCCAAGATGACGGGCACCAAGTTCGAGACGGCACCCAACAAGTTTGAGGCTTTGGCCGCCCACGACGCTGTCGTGCAGTCGCATGGCTGCCTCAACACCCTCGCCGCCTCGCTCACCAAGATCGCCCAGGACATCCGATACCTCGGCAGCGGGCCCCGTTGCGGCCTGGGCGAGCTGATCCTGCCCGAGAACGAGCCTGGCTCTAGCATCATGCCCGGCAAGGTCAACCCGACCCAGTGTGAAGCTCTGACGATGGTGTGCGCCCAGGTCATGGGCAACAACGTCGCCTGCACCATCGGCGGCATGAACGGCCAGTTTGAGCTGAATGTGTACAAGCCCCTGGTCATCCGCAACCTGCTCCACAGCATTCGCCTGCTGTCTGACGGCATGCGTTCGTTCGAGAAGAACCTGGTCGCCGGTCTGCAGGCCAACGAGGAAAAGATCTCCAGCATCATGAAGGAATCGTAAGTTGTTTCTTCCTTCCTTCCTCCGCTTAGCTATATAATGCAGTTGGCAGCCCGAGTGTTTGTGCTAACGAATGGGGCCCTAGTCTCATGCTTGTGACCTGCCTGAACCCCAAGATCGGCTACGACATGGCCAGCAAGGTTGCCAAGAATGCCCACAAGAAGGGCCTGACCCTCAAGGCGTCTGCCCTGGAGCTGAACGCCCTGACTGAGGATGAGTTTGACAGCCTCGTCAAGCCTGAGCTCATGGTCGGCCCCTCAGCTTACAAGGGATGATGATCATCATCAAGCAGTGTATTGTGGTTCAGCGAAATGTCATAGAATTTGTACGAGAAAAATCTAAATAGGACCTGGAGCAGTGCCTACCTTTTACACTACATTCTGCTTTCCAAGCATGCCTTGTACAGCACAGTGACATCACAGACTCTTTTTTTCCCCTTTCTTTCTCTATTCTTCATTCACTTCCGTCCTATAGAGCATGTCTGGTTGGTTGCTACGAAGGTTATGTATATATAAGAAACCATCCCTATGTAGGATATTTTGTCCAGGGGGCTTTTGATGTCCCATGCCTACTACTCACAGCTAGCTATACATAGAACCATTGCTCTGTCAATCTGCAACTCTTTCCCTTATGTACGCCACATGTGGCTTGTGGTGAATGACGATTTTAGTCAGGAACGGGGCTTTTTGGGCGAATCGGAGTCTACGGCTGGTTCGGCAGGGGAACCCCCCACTTTGGGGCTTCTGCTTTGTCTTGGGAAAGTTGGAGTCCCAACGCAATTTCTCTCGACAAGCCCCTCAGCGTTCACTGCTACCTCAGCCTTCTTTCTTGTCCTGGGCCCCCCACCTCTCTCTCTCTCTCCCTCTGTGTCTTCTTCCAACCGAATACCCCGGCACCTAAGGCTCTGTCTCTTGTCTTTATCATTATCTTCGCTTTTCCCTCTTCCTTCCTTTCAACCACACTTCTCGAGGCTTTCCCGGCGACAAGTCCTCTTGAATCGTCACCAGATCACGACATTTTTTTTGTTTTGTTTAGTACGACCATAATCAATAGTCAGTACGAAGGTGTAATCTCGAAGCCCAACATCATGTCGAGCCCCACCACCCGCCCAGCTATGACCCGACCTCGTCTCGACTCCTCCAGGAAGAGCAGCTCGTACCTGCAGGAGTTCCAGCAGTACCGGCCGCCCAACAAGCCCGAGAGCCACTTTGGCATCGACACCGTCGTCGAGGATGTCCCTGGAGCTCCTGCGTCGTCTGCGGCCACGCCCCCCAACTCCACGTCCCCTCTCTACTACAGGGGCGTCCCCTCGGCCGACAATCCTCCCAAGGTCGTCGACGGCCTGAGCCACGACCTCTCGCATCCCAACTGCGCCCCACCCCGGGGACAGTCGTCAAGCAGGCTGATCGCGACGCTCTTCTACAAGACCAAGTCGCAGCGCGTCTCGAACAATGCCGTGCCCTCGCCCCAGAAGCCCTCGTCGCCCCAACCCGGTGCGGTGATATCTGAAGGGTCTGACATCCCCGCCAATATGGCCCCTACGACCGACCCCTCGACCTTCCCCCTCGAGCCGCCCGCCGCCGAGCCCGAACCCCTCGACCACCTCTACGGCTCGTATATCTCGCCGCTGTGCATCACCTCGTTCCTGCACCTCACATCCAGCTTTCCGCTGCCGCCAGGGTCCGACAACATGACCTCGGCGCACAGGTGCCTCGACAGCTCGGAGCACCCCCTCGTGGTGGAGCTCACGCTCTCGCCCGCGCCCGCGCCGTCGTATCTGTCGCTCGCGGACTTGCGCAAGCACGAGCTCATCTATCGTTTCGAGCGCGAGTGGAACGTCGACGTGGCGCTGCAGCCCGACCTGCTCTGGCGGCGCCATCCACGCCTGGTGGTGTTCGATATGGACTCGACACTGATCACGCAAGAGGTCATCGACTTGCTGGCAGCGACGATCCGCGACCCGCCTGACCTGGCGGCCAAGGTGGCGGACATCACGCACCGGGCCATGCTGGGCGAGCTGCAGTTTGAGAGCGCGTTCCGCGAGAGGGTGGCGCTGCTGAAGGGGTTGTCCGAGACCATCTTCACGGAGCTGAGGGCGGTGCTGGACGTGACCAAGGGCGTACGGCCGCTGCTCAAGGCGCTGAAGAGGCTGGGGGTGCGCACGGCGGTGCTGAGCGGGGGCTTCCAGCCGCTGACGAGCTGGCTGGCGTCGGAGCTGGGGATTGACCACGCGCACGCGAATGAGGTGGTGATAGAGGGCGGGCGGCTGACGGGCGAGGTCAAGGGCACGATTGTCGGGCGGGAGAGGAAGGCAGAGCTGCTGCAGGAGATTGCCAAGAAGGATGGCATCGACCTGCGCCAGGTGGTGGCTGTGGGAGACGGGGCCAATGACCTGAAGATGATGGCGACTGCGGGCCTGGGCGTGGCGTGGAACGCGAAGCCCAGGGTGCAGATGGAGGCCGGGGCGAGGCTGAACGGGGAGAGCCTGTTGGATCTGCTCTATCTCTTTGGATTCACAAGGGAGGAGATCGATACGCTGACTGCATAAGGGAGGACAAGGCCCCTTAACTCGGGCGTCTTTGCACAGGAAGCAAGCATTCAAGCTCTTGTTTCTTTCTCTTTTCTTTCAAAAGACTTTCAGACTTGGGCCGTCTCTCTGTACCGCACTAATACTGAAATATGTATGCCATGCATACAGTCTACATACTTACCCTTGTTGCTAAGAGTAGTTGTAAAGATAGCACCAGCACCAGCACCAGCACCAGCAGCACCAGCGGTAAGGTCCAACGGCATTCATTGATATATGAGGACGAGAAGAGGAAAAATTCAATAAACAAGTTCATGAAAAGAAAGAAAAAAAAAGAAGAAAAAGTTAATGCGGCAGGAGGTGCAAAGCAGAAGGAGAGGGAACAAGCGAAGGAGGAACTCCCAATGGTTCAGACCATTTCACGCTTCTCGTCCCGCCCCGGGCCGGCTACGGAACAGGACCCGTCATCGCGTGAGTACTTGGTGCAACCCACAGCAAATCTACGACCTTCTCTTTACTCCTATGCTTGTCCCTGGTTGCACATGGATCCGAAATAGCCTGTCTTGTGGTTGACTTTGCTGTGAGGACCAGCAGTATAATTTTGTTTCTTGTTGTTTTTCTTTCTCTTCTGCTTCATCATTGCTCAATGAAGAATACGGGCCAGGGATGAGAAGGAATAATAAGTCGCAGAGCCAGTCAATTGATCAATGTTTTCTTATCTCGGTGAGGTCTTGCGCCGTTGCGCAGGCGCGGATGCGAATCTACTGCCACATGCCACGGCACATGAATCATCCATGCCTGCCCGTTCTCACCTTCACCCTCACCTTCTCGATAAATAATTACTGCTTGATGATTTATTTATAACAGATCTGGCTCGGTCCTTAAGATATCAATGTATACAATAAGCTACGCACAAAGCTACTAGCCACACACACACGCTTTCTTTTTCTTTTTCTTCTTCTTCTTCCTTTCTTCCTCTGAGACGATCAATCTCTCAAATCTTCCTCTTGTTGGTCTCTTCACCCAACCAAAAACCCAATCCCATCCCTCACCCCCTTCACAAAAGCCCAGCGGCCCCTCCCCTTTCCATCATGGGCTCCATCACCACCCCACCCCCAGGCACGACGCCCAAAGCAGCCACCGCCCCAACCTTCTCAATCCGCAAAGCCACCCTCCAAGACGCAGAACAGATCGCCGCTCTCGGCGCCGCCGTCTTCACGCACACCTTCAAGGAGTCCGGGTGCACGGCTCAACAGCTCCGGTCCTACCTTGACGAGGCGTACACGGTGGCCGCCATCCGAGCCACGCTTACGAGCCCGGCGCAGGACACGCTTGTGGCTACTAGCATCGTCACAGAGGGGAAAGAGAAGGCGGAGAAGGAGAGTGGTGGTACTGGTGATGACGATGACGACGACAATGGCAACGGCAACGGCAACAGCAACCAAGAGAAGCTGCTAGGCTTCGCCGTTCTCAACCACACCACCTCCCCCTCCGAGCCAGCCATCGCAGGGTTTCCCCACCCTGTCGAGGTGCAGCGGCTGTATGTCGACCTCGGCGCACACGGTCGGGGGATCGGGACAGCGCTCATGGCGGCGGTGGAGGAGCTGGCGAAGGCCCAGGGGGGTTATGAAACAGCCTGGTTGGGGGTCTGGGAGCGGAATTTTCGGGCACAGAAGGTGTATGGACGGTTAGGGTATCGACGGGTCGGGGAGCATGTTTTTGATGTTGGGGGGGATGAGCAGACTGATTGGATTATGGTAAAGGCGTTGTGATGGGGGTAGAGAGAGAGACTAGACCTGGGTTGACTTCTTCTTGTATCATGGCGCTGGATAGGCATTATAGACATGTATATCTTGGGGAGGAGATTGTTGTGAAAGTAGATCACGGGGGGGGGGGGGCGGTTGGTGTTTGTGTACTTGGAAGGTGTTGGGACCTCAGGTCATGGCACTTGGTGATTTAGTGAAAAGCGGTTGGTCCATAGAGCAATAGCTAATGCTTCGGTAAGAGGACTTGGATATGCAGTCACGGCACTTGACTTTGTGAGGACAATAATTATGGTATGTCTCCTGGCAATATTGACACTTGGCTGTTTGGTGGAAACACTCGGCCTTGTATATGACATGGACATTTGGCTGTTTGGTGAGAGTATCATGAGGTCCGTACGAAAGCCAGGTTCCTTCAAGGAGAACGCTAGGGCTTGTAAGAAGGTCTCGAGAACTCATAGGATGATACTTAGGACTTCTGGTAAAAAAGCCTTGCGTATATACACTTCAGTTATGACAATTAGGTATTTGGTAGGGGGTGTTGGGCCTTGTAGGAAAAAGTACTAGACCCTGTAGAAGAGCGCTAGCACTTTCAGAGAGCCGCCAAGCCATCTAGTACAGGCGCTTGCTTCTCTACATGGCAGTTGGGTGTTCTGGGAACGGCATTTGGATGTCAGGGAGAAGAGGCTAGATTCTGTAATGACGAGAGCGTTTGGTCATAGAATCATTTATTTCTGGATAGCAGAGCATGGTGGTTGGAGGAGGCGGGCTTGATATTGAACGCCTTGATGTAAATCGGTGCCTTCTTGGGAAGAGTGGTGGTGGTAAGTCAAGTTGTGCTTAGGTGGCTGCTGGAACCGCACATCATAAACCTTGGCTCAGACCCCCGGCACCACGGGCCTAATTTAGAGACTGGTTCGACATTCTCAGGAAATAGAAAAAAGAAAAATTGACATTTTGCTGCTGCAGTATACAAAGATATCTATATAAAAGACAGATCACCGCCAGAAATGTACATATATATATATTTATATATATGTTTGTCCCCAAGCTTCACTCAGATCAAGGTTTATCCTGCTCTAGGGAACCTTTCTTCTTTCTCCCTCTTTAACCCGTTTTATATCTCTTCGCGCACATAAACAACCCCCCCCCCCCACACACACATCCACATTTAGAAGCGGTCCAGGAGACCCTGGCTCTCGAGCAACAGCACGATCTGGTGAACAATGGACCGCACGCTCTGCTTCTCGGCATCAACAACCAGGTCAGGCTTGGAGGGGGCCTCGTAAGGGTCATCAACACCAGTGAAGCCCTTGATCTTGCCGGCGCGGGCGGCCTGGTAGATGCCGCGCTTGTCGGTCTTCTCGCACTGCTCGAGAGAGGTGGCGACGTGCACAAGGTAGAAGTCACCGTACTTCTCGACGAGCTCGCGGGCGTGGCGGCGGCTCTCCTCGAAGGGGGCGATGGGAGCGGCGATGACGGCGGCGCCGGAGCGGGTCAGCTCGGAGGCGACAAAGGCGATGCGGCCAATGTTCTTGTTGCGGTCCTCCTTGGAGAAGCCCAGCTCGGACGACAGCTCGGAGCGCACCGTCTCGCCCAGCAGCATGGAGACGGACCGGCCGCCCTGCTGGTTGAGGGTGACCTGCAGGGCACGGGCGATCTGGTCCTTGCCAGAGTTCATGTAGCCCGTCAAGAAGACAGTGAAGCCCTGCTGCGACCTGGGCGGGTGTGACTCGCGCAGCACCTTGACGACCTCGGGGTATGAGAACCACTCGGGGATGTCGCGGCCGCTGCGGAGCCTGGATCGGAGCTCGGTGCCCGAGATGTTCAGAGTGCGCACGTCCTTGGGAATGGTGTCGACGGGCGCGTACTCGTCGCTGTCGGGCAGGTACGTCATCATCTGGAAGGGCACGACCTCGATGCCCAGCTCGTCGCGGTACTTCTCAACGGCGTACTGGGCGTCGTAGGGGCCGTAGAAGTCGGTGCCCTTGCTGTTCTTGCCGGGGCCGGCGTGGTCACGGCCGACGATGAAGTGCGTAGCACCGTGGTTCTTGCGGATGATGGCGTGCCAGATGGCCTCGCGGGGACCTCCCATGCGCATGGCCAGGGGCAGCAGGCCCAGGACGGCCATGCCGTTGGGGTATCTGGGGAGGAGGGCCTTGTAGACACGCACGCGGGTGAAGTGGTCAATATCGCCGGGCTTGGTCAGGCCGACGACGGGGTGAATGAGCACGTTGGCGTGGTGGGAGCGGGCAGCGCGGACTGTCAGCTCACGGTGAGCACGATGCATGGGGTTACGCGTCTGGAAGGCGACGACACGAGTCCAGCCCAGCTTGTCGAAGTGCAGACGGATCTCAGCAGGGGTGTCTATGTAGGGATTGCCAGTCAGTACTCTTTCTCTTTATACACAAGACTATGAAGGATGAAAAGAAAAGGAAGAACAGGATACGCACATCGTAGGTCGACAAAATCATAGTGCTGCAGGCGGTTGACAGCCTCCAGCTTACCACCGACGTAGTACTCGCCAGCTGTATGGTGGAGGTACTTGACGGCAGGGTGAGCCTCGTCGTTGTCGCCAAAGACCTCCTTGGCCTCGAGGACCCTGTAAAGATGCGCTGTCAGGAACCACGAGCTCGCTCATCATACTCTCTCATGTGCCATTGGTGGCACACACAGAGACAGGCGCAGCGAAGGCAACTCACTTGTCAGGCTTGTAAATGTCCTCAATAGTCATGATGGCCAGGTTGCGGTCATCACGGAAGTCTCTCAGGGCGACCCTCTTGCCAGGCTTGAGGGCAAGCTCTTCGATCTCGGATTTGGACAGATCCAAGGTGATGGGCATGGAAAAGAGGATGCCATTCTCGAGGCGGTTCTCCTTGACGACTCTGTTGTTGTGAGGTACATTTTATCAGCCTTTTTTTTCTTCTTTCTTCTTTCGTATGAACATTCAATTTAAAAATAAATCGTGCCATCATCCAAAATCTTTCGTGATAAATGACAATATCTTCAAGAATTTGTCGAAAATGATATGTTGCGTTGCGAAGAGTGAGTGAGTGAGTGAGAGAGAGGGAAGAAAAGACATACCCATTGTAGTCCTTCTCGTTCATGAAACCTACAACCAAAGAAAACGAGTCAGTCCACACACGTCATCGTAGCGAGGTCAGAGCTTCAAAAATTCCCACTCCCCAAACCCCCTGTGGCCCGCAAACTGCCCGTGGCGTCGCATCGCATTAGGAATCCTCAGCCAGCCGGCCACGCAATGAATAGCGGGGCTGCACAGGCTCCTGAGAATGCAAGATGGAGCCCCGCCGACAGGGGCACACGACAGCTCTTTTTGGTGGCTCTGCCCCTCGTTTTCCCCCAATTCCCCGACGCACTGCCTATTGGCAGGCAAAAGCTAGGGGAAGTTCAAGACCAAGAGGGCGCGTGTATTTGTGTGTGTGTGTGTGTGTGTGTGTGTGCGGCGCTCGAGTAACGATAGCCATACGATGGAGGTGGGGGAAAGCAAAGGAGGGTGGGAGAAGAAGAAGTATGAAGGGAAAAGGGAAGGGGCAGGAGGGGGACCAATAGCTGTTGCATGTAGTTCCCTTTCTGAGTCTACTTATTCCACCTGCGACACGTACCTTCGAGAGGAGAGAAGCCACCGTTCAGGATCAACTCGAGATCGCAGAGCTGGCGCTCGGTCAGAATGACAGCCGTCAGGGTCTCGGCCTCAGCCTCGAGCTCAGCCTGGCGAGGGGCATCGCGGGCGAGCAGGTCCTTGAGGACACCACCATGAGGGGGGTTGGCCATTGCGTCTTTGTGTAGAGGTGAGATCGGGTCTCGGGATGGTGATTCGAAGCTTCGGGGCTTCTGGATCTGGGCTTTCGCCTGTGTCTTGGATCCCCGGTACTTGAGGACGGTCGCTAGGACTCTGGAAGAGAGGAGGAGGAGGAGGTTAGGAAAGGAGAGAGGATGAGGACACGAAGAAGAGAGGGACGGTGGTAAGGAGTAGTAGTAAGAGTACTAATGTACTGATGAGGTGGCTCGAGGGGTAAGTGACAGGTCAGAGCGAAGAGGATGAGGGAGAGGAGGAGGAACAGAGATGACAACAACAGGCTGTCGTCTTCCAGAACGATGAAGGGAGCGGTCAAGTGGGTTTTATGTAGTGTGTAGATCCAGAAGCTCATCCACCGCGCATGCGACTTACGAAACCCGGTCCAGGGAGGGTATCCAGTCTTACCAGGTTGTGTGTTCAGGAGAAGAATACGTTTGACCGTCGGTCAAACAAGGTTGGCTGTGGTTTCGATCTTGGCCTGTCACTTCTCTTTCAGAGGTGGTTAGTTGATTTTCTTAATTTTTCTCTCACTGTGCCGGCAACGGACTGAAGACGGACTGACAAACTGCTACCGACAGGGCTTTGAGGGGCTTGAATGCTGCTTGTTGTCCTCTAATCTTGAGCTCCAGGGTATCTTTCCCGTCTTTGATTTCTGTTCTTGTGGATGTCCAAAGTGGTAGGTGTCATTAGCGATTTCCCTTATAGAGAGGAGACAAACATCGATGGCACGACAAGATATACCTTTTTTACAAACCCGGCGTTGAACCGGAGCATCGCCCAGCCCTGTAGTCCTGCAGCCCTGTAGTATTGATATCTGCTACCACCATAGGGCTTCTAGAAATTCTTTTCTACCCTTAGTGCCGGATGACGTGATTATACCACCCAAGGTACTCTTCCGCACAGGATCTGCTCAAAAGGTACACCCAACCGACTCCCGCGCGTGTGAAAAGGAAGGGCCGACGGCAACGCGGAGGCGCTACGGACAACTAAACTTTCAGACCTAGGCCGGCCAGACATAGAGTGCGCAGGTGCGTTGGAAGCTAATTAATTCAGCCCTGGGACCGACTGCCGCGCTCTGTTCCACAGTGCCAAATCAATACGTTGGGAATAGTTTTTTTTGGTGGCGCTATGGTCCTGGCGTACGCGGCCCTTCTCCTGAAAAATGACAAAGTACATACACATGGTAAATTGATGAGGAGGAACAATTAATTAATATGCTAGTTTATGGTCTCTTTTTCCTTGTTCCATCCGATCAACCTGGCGGAGAACTTCTCCTGACGAGGATTGGATGGACTTTTGCCAGGCTCTTTTGTCAATCACTCAATCTGGGAATACAATTCTCCACCCTTTTCTCCTTCTCTCCTTCTCTCCTTCTCTCCTTCTCTCCCATGCATCTTTCGTGGCCTTGCTTTGCTGCTGGCCTGACCATCTTGGACACCCGACTTTAGACACAAGCAAAGCTGAGTGACCACCAGTCATGAAGTCGGTGGTAGTAGGGCTGCGGCAGGCCGGTGGGGGGAAACGGATCCCCGGGCCAAAAACACCACCCGTATTCCCATTTTAGAATGTTTTAGGCCCTGTTCCCTTGTCTTAGAGCCATGTTGACTTCATTTGGAATCCCCCCCCTTCGGACGCCGAAACGCACCACCACTCTTTCCCTTCGCCTCGGGGTTTTCACCAAAAAAGCAAGCAAATAAAGATTGTGTGTGATTTTTCGATCACACAACCGGGTAACGACAAAAGAGCCAAGCAAACAAACAAAATAAGCCACGGACCGGAAGCGATTGGCGCTGCGGCCGCTCGGGGATTTGGGGCAGCCGACAGCTATGAAGCATGCCTGGATGAGGCAGGTCTCGCTATTCTTTCTGATCTTTTCTTCTGCGCTGTCAGCCCTGATAACGAGGCTGGCTACGAGAGCTGACGTCCTCCGTTCGAACATTAAAGAGGACAGTGCCCCCCCCCCCCCCCCCGGGACTGCCCGTGGGTTCATGTCCTCGTCAGCTTTTGTCCTTGAATCCCACGAACTGGTGGTGGTGGCGGCCGTCGCAGTGCAAGTGCAGTGCAAGCAATAAGCCCCTGTTCGACAAGCCACGACGCGTGTGTTTTGGTCTGTGCGAAAGGAGCCCTACCTTGCTGGCCACGTTGCAGGGTCATATCCCGTAAATATGATGCCACGCTGCCATGGTGTAGTGAAACTTCAAACCTTGCTGAGGAAGACAGTTGCCATACAGCTCAGCTCCGACACCTTTTGGTGGGACATGGAACGGGTCGCTGACGACTATACTCAGGCTGCTGCTCCAGCCCATCTCTGATCAGCAAGGCTACGTTTCAAGAGTGGACTCTATTTCCTCTGTTACCTTTTCTCTCTATGAATTGCAAGCTGACCAGGGGCGGGGCTCATCAGCATCTTTCTTGACATGGCTTGTCTAGGGGGCAGCCGCCTGTTGCAAATGGATTATTATCCGCTACCCCGCCAATTTCATCATCACAACAGGACAGCTTGCATCCAGTCCCGGTAAGACTGTTGTTCTCACACTCTCTGATGGAGCTGCGAAAGTTGGTTTAAAATTGGGTGGGTCTGGGGGGTTCTGTCTACTCCCTGCGTCAAAATCGCTCGGGTCCATCCGAGAAATGATATAATTACCCTCTAAGTCAGGATGCAGGTTGTTACCACGGAGAGCGAGCAATGAAGCCGGAAGGAGAGAGGCCATGATACTAACATGGTCAGGTAGAGGGTTTGAAAAGCCAGGCGCGCATGAAACCCGTCATCTTCCCGCCGAATGCGTCTAGTATTTGTCGCAGATTGTCGGCTTTGGCAACGAACGGCCCTGGTCTTTTTCTTCTTTTTCTCTTTTCTTTTTCTTCGGACGGATGGACGGTGACGTCTGACGTCTCAACATTAACTATTGTGATAGCCAACAACAGGAGTGCTCAGCTGGAATGACAAGTGTCAGCCCACTCTTCCAAGAGGAAGTTGGCCCTGCCGGACTCTAATCAACACGTCGATCTTGTCTTTCTCCTGACGGTGCCCTTATTGTCTGATCTCTCAAGGTAAGGATGAGCTCCTGAGAGCTATGGCGATCACCAGTTGGCGTTCCCACCCTTAGCAATGGATCATTTTCCGATATGGATGTGACCATATGCGTGCTTAGGCTGAGTCCACATTTGAATATGTGGGATTCATTGACAGGCCAAGGGGTGGGCGATGGAAACTGCAGGATGAAGTGAGTCTCGACTTGAGACGGGTCAATCCGTCATCCTGTATATACTTCGAAGTATGTACGTATCTTTTTTATGATTGGAATTGCTTCACCCTTTGATGGCGGTGAGGTAAAAACAGCTGCAGCCAAGGACAGACAGCAGCAAAGGCAAGGATGCAGTGGCACAAGGCACAAACAGGCTGAATTGTCCTTCTTTGTTATGCCCTTGTTTGGCTCGCGTCTCCTTCCCTCTTTCCACCTTTTTGTCTCTTGCACGGTAGCTCCTGTCCCCTCCCCCTCCCCCTCCCCCCCAAAAAGACCCAAACCATGACAGCAACATCAATGAGCACCACAGAGACACCAGGCTCTGCAGACGATACAGCCAGATCGCCTTCGATGATGATCTCAGAGCACCTACGCATTGGATGACGGACAGTTACAAGCATGGATTCCTCAGAGCGCTATGACAAGAGGAAAGCAGCGCATTTCCAATGTGACTAGGACTGCGCGCTCGAGGAGCACTTCTGCGTGCCAGAGCAGCAGCAGCAGCAGCAGCAAGATGGATGGGTGCCTTCAAGTCATTCTTCATGACCTAGGAGGGCGACCTCGACTTCGAGAATCAGAGCCTGTTCGAAATCTGCGCTGCCGCCGTCAAGGAGTATACGAGGAGGAACATCAGCCCTACCAATGAGGTGAATTGTTGGCGGAGACCTGCTCCCCAGCCTGCGGGGACGGCGGTATCAGTTCCTCGCCCTGTCCCACACGACACAGTGGGAGTTTGACAACCCGTCGTGGATTACGTTTACAAAATTTTACCGCTCATGGACACATTCTGACTACGGGAGGTCGGACAACGTCGTGTATCAAGTAGGTTAAGGCGTCATGATTGTAAGAATGATGATGACGACGATGGTGATCACGACAATGATGGAGACGAAGACATGATGATTAACTCGTGCTGGGATACGACGTGAAGTATGGTAGGCCCATGGTATTTCGGTCGCTGTACAACGTGCTGCTACTTTCGGGGCATCGAGATGGCGTCGTGGAGAGGCTGGGAATCGGGTACATGTTGATGCGATTGGTGCTGCCTGTCGGGAACAGGTTGTGCTGCTCGGGTAAATTTGTAACGGATGACTTGTGATTGTTGGTTACGGAGATTAATCCTGAGAGAGTTCAAATAAGCATATCAGTGCATAGACAAGCAACTAAACACAGAAGTACTCAAGTAGTTACTCACTCAAACGGCACAAATCTCCATATGCAGTACATACAGTACAGGTATACGTCGGATCGCACGTGGATCTCCTGTGTACAAGCAACGCACACCTTTAACTCCCTTTTCCCCACACTCTCCCTGAAGTTTTAACTTACCAGAAGATGCCCACATTAGCCAAAGCGTACGACAAGAGTAAATCCTCGAACAACATACTCAAATTCAAACAAGATTCTCATTTCCATCTTGAAAAACCTAGAGCCGGTGTCCAGATCTGATATCCCGAACACATTCCATGCCTGCCTCCTCTAGTAGCGTCCATCACCAACCAGCAAAAAGTCTCGGGTCCAGACCCGCCAAAACGATCCGCCGCATTACCATTCCGTTCTCCGTGCCAGGCCATGCTAAGTTAAAACTTCCCGAACAGGGGACCCGCTAAGCATGGTGGAGGAGGGGTAAAGAAGTGGGCTGCTGTTTACTGTGAGCCGACGGTGACGTGCGTGATGCACACTTCCCCCGCACCCCTCACCTTCATAGTTCGAGAAGAGAAACTCTTTTATAGTGCTGGAAGGGACCAGGAGGAGGAGAAGAAGGAGATACTACCATTGCCGTAATTCCGCAACTCCGGTTAGACTACTAGAGCGCGTGTTTGTACTACCATCTCAAAGCGCCTCGTTACCTTCTTGGCTTTAGAAAAGAAAGGTCCCTCTGAATCACCTCCAGACATCCTCAGGACGTGAGTAGGTTCCAAGTTGCAAGGTCTCTCTTTCGGAATCTTTGTATCACGACTTGCGAGTGAAAGAGCATCGCACAACTGTCACGATTTACGAAGTCAACCGAGACGAAGACGTACCACCTTTGCCTCGACCTTCATCGCCCTCTTCTTGTTAGCTAGTTCCCTCCCGTCCAGAAGACCCTATCGCAGCCATGGCCCCCCAGGAGGTACAGACACCAGAGCTTCTGGACCTGACCATCGACAACATAACGCCCAATACCATCAAGATCAACAACCAGACAAAGGATGCGCGTCTCAAGTATCTCATGGAGCGCCTGGTCACACACCTGCACGACTTTGCGCGCGAGACGCGCCTGAGCACTGAGGAATGGATGGCGGCGCTGGGCTTCCTGGTCCAGTGTGGACAAATATCCACTGACGTCCGGCATGTACGTTGCATTGGGCTCTTGTTCACAGCACGAGGTTGTGAAAAACACTCGATATTTTCTTTCGTGTAAACTGACCACGCGTGCCCTGGGCTCTGCTCTAGGAATTCATTCTTCTTTCCGATGTCCTCGGACTGTCCCTCCTGGTCGACAACATCAACCACCCGAAGCCGCCTCAAGGCACTGAAGGGTCGGTTCTAGGTCCCTTCCACACCCACGATGCTCCCACGATCGAGAATGGCGCCAGCATGACATCTGACCCAGAAGGTGAGCCGATGCTGGCCATCTGCACTATCAAGGACACTTCGGGAAAGCCTATCCAGGGTGTGAAGATCGACATCTGGGAGACGGACAGCAGCGGCCATTACGATGTGCAGCACTCGGATCGCCAAGAGCCCTCGGAGCGTTGTGTCATGATCTCAGATGAGCAGGGCCGCTTCTTTTTCAAAGGCATCAAGCCAGTCAGCTACCCCATCCCGCACGACGGCCCTGTAGGGAAGCTATTGGCTCTGCTGGGAAGACACTGTTGGCGGCCGGCACATGTGCATTTCATGTTCCAGAAGGAGGGCTGGGACCATCTCATCACGTAAGTCCAGTCCCCGTGTGAGGTCATATATGGAGGTGAATGCTGTTTGTGTGACGGCACTGCATGGGCGGCGTCTCTTGCTGACAGCCACCTGGATACAGTGCATTGTATATCCGCGACGATCCATACGAAAAGTCTGATGCCGTATTTGGCGTCAAGAAAAGCCTGGTCATCGATCTCGATAAAGTTGACAAGGAGACGGCCAAGGAATACGGTGTGACAGAGGGAAGCTGGTTACTGAAACGAGACTTTGTCCTGATAACCGAGAAAGAGAGCCTGGACCTGCGGGACAAACTTGCAGCCGAAGAGCTCAAGAAGCTTGGTCTGAACATGAAGTTGGTGGATCACTTGCCTGTCCCCGACCTTGATTGAGAGTTTGGTATAGGGCTGCACCCCAAGATCTTGAGCGCTCTGTGTGTAGCGCCACCCGTTATAGGTACTCGGGAATGATGACTACGCATCACTGAGGGTTGTCGATGTCCACCACTTGACCGAGGTCATGAGTCACGATGGAAGACCAAGTTCCAAGCGGTCATGAGGCCAGTGATGTGTTCTGCTGCTTGCTGTCTTTAATGGCCCCGGGCCGATGCTCTGAACAGCTTGACGACGTTGTCGTAATAACCACCAGTCCCACCATACTTGTACAACAGAGCGTAAATATCCAATTCCTCCTCGTTAGCAAGGCGCCGCCCTACCAGCGCCACATTCCGAGTCGATGGGATGCGCAACACCTCCTTCTCGACCTCCCAGCCGCAGTCCTCGGCGATCTCAGCAACCCACCCACAGAGCGAGTTGTAGGCCGAATGGGAGGCCATTTTGTCCTTCGGTGGAGGTGCCCGCCACCTGTCGCCACCGAGGTTATGGCTGCAACATGGTATCATAATGAACGGGCAACCCGACAGCCTCGCGAGAATTGGTGTCCATGGCGTCAGCTCATCGGCATGATTCGAGATAATGAAAGTACCCTCAGGAAAAATGCCATCGTGGGTCTGGCCCTCACTAATCTTGATTCCGCTGTTGTCCGTCGGCTTCGCGGTAACAGCAGGGAGCAAGACATGCGCCTTCAAGGAATCCTGGACGTGAAAGCCGCCGTCTAGGCTGCGGACGGAAACACTCGAGTTGTATTTGGCCCAAGATCTTCGCACTCTTGCATCAAATCCCCAGCCCGCGTAGTTCTCGCAATTTAGGATGTGGACGAGGAGGCCATTTCCACAACCGATATCGACGAAACCAGGAAAGTCAAGGTCCTTGTACATCTCCTTCCAGAGCTCGATCAGGAAGGCGGCGATGCAGAGGTCCTCAAAGACGTGTTTCGAAGGATCCGTCACCTCCTCCCAGCCTTCGACAAGAGATTTGGCATACTTTTGCTTGAGTGTGGCGTAGGTACTCTGCAGGGAGGCTTGTGGAACCAAGACATCGTGATGCACTCGTTTCTTGTAGCCAGCCACCTGGCCCTCACCGTGCTTGTGCAACACTCGGAGCAGATGCAGGGCCGTCCTGGTGAGCTTTTCGGTCCTGCTGCCTGAGTCAAAGAAGAGGTACTGCGTGGAGACAGTGCCCTTGCCCTCTGCTGGCCTCCAATCATGGAGAAAAGCTATACCTCTCACGGCTGGATGGTAAAAAGGGATGTCCTGCTCGGATCGTACATGTGGGAGATATATAATGAGAGACCTCTGGACACCTTCAGAGATGGTGCCTTGGTAGAAGACGCAGCTCTGCTCCAGAGGCTTATCCCTAAGTTCATTCCGAGGGATCATCCTGCGGACGAGGAGCCTCTTGATCACCAGACCTTTGTACCCTGGTATCAACGGTTGAGGGCTTGAAGCGGAGGCTGGGCACTCGGAAACTTCTGAGACGACCCGATCGAGTAGAATGTCGGCCCTGAAGAGCCATGATGAGTTGATGTTAGGATTCTTGATCAGATTCAACATGACCCTCTCGAAGATCTCAGCGTCGAAGTTACACTCGTCCCTGAACAGAGGCGTCCATCTGGGAGAGGGGCCATCCTGATTTTCATCCTCCTCGAATATCTGAACAGAGGCAGCAGCGGCCTGGTTCTCGGGCTGATTGAGATCGACAGGCGCAAAGGGCATATCTTGACCACTTAGAGGGCAAGCAGCCGATGAGATGGCTGAGTGAGGGTGGGAAAGTCTTGTGTCTTTTCTTCTAGAATGTACGGAATGAGCGATCAGAAGATCGGGAGCAGGGCCTTTGGCTTCTAGGCCGATGCCAAGCAGGGTTCAGAGCCTGGACCATTGGTTGGGGGGCAGGGGGATAAATGGAGGGGCCGCTGCAAGCTTCAAGCCACCGCCTTCCTGCAGGGCATACGTGCTATCACAGCATAGGGCCTACTCTGTAATACAGTGGCACTGGCACCGCCCTAGGGTACTCAGCAATGGTACGTAGCACCGCAGTACGAAGGTAGCAGTTGCAGCAGCAGATGATTGGCGTGGCCGAGCACGGACCTCTCAGTGCCCACCACCCTCCCCTGCGTTAGTCACCCACTCGGGCACCCCGCTTCCTCGCCTCCTTGTGCGAACAATAAAACCGCGGAGCATCACACATCACGCATCTCTCTCTCTCCCTGTTCCCCCTCCTCCACACCAGCCCACCAACAACGACACCTGTCTTCCATCATCTCGAAACACCACGACTTACTACCCGATACAGGACTTCTACACAACACTCGCAGTCTCCATTCCTCCCAACAAATAAAACCTTATTTCCCATCAGTGAGACGTCGCTAGAGCCGTCCGTCGCTGCCTATGTCAATCGAAAACAACAAGGACCTTGGTAAGGCTGAAAACGGTGCCCCGCCCTACGCCCAAGTCCTGTCGATGCTGACCTCACCTCCTCGTCTAGTCTCCTCCGCCGATGTGGCCGACGGTCAGATAGGAAAGGAGCATCCGGCCCAGGTCGCTGAGGGAAACCTCAAAGACTCTGGCAAGAAACAGAAGTCATCCAAGGCCGACGATCAAGCCAAGAAACAGAAGTCAGCCAAGTCCGCCGACGCTGGTGAGGTCATCGAGAACCTTCGATCTTTTGGTAAGTTTCAAGAATACGGTTCCTCCCCAACCTTGTCGCTTTAGTATACTATCAATGGTTAAGACCCTGACGCTGACCGCCTCTTACCGTGTGCAGATCCTTTCGCCGAGGTCGACGAAGACGGAGGTGAGGGCGAAAAGAAGGCGACCAAGGCTGCTGAGAAGATCGAGATCCGTATCCAGCGTATGTTGCATGACTCCTTTTTTACCTATTCTGTTATCCATTCTTCTCACACAAGGAGTACACGTCGCCGCCACACACGTGCGGCGTGGCTCCTCCCTCCTTTCTGCGAAATACAAAATGAAAGTGCAATAGCCCGCTGACAAAGGACCCGATGGTACAGAGCGCAATGGACGCAAGACCCTGACCACGGTTACGAACATTCCCAAGAAGTGGAACCTCAAGAAGATCTGTAAGCAGGCCAAGAAGCGGTACAACTGCAATGGCACCGTCATCGAAGATGAGGAGCACGGCCAGGTGATCCAGCTCCAGGGCGATCAGCGCAACAACATGCACGACTTCCTCTGCGGTGAAATCACCAACGACGAGAAGACCACCGGCCTTGGCTTCGACAAGGAGATGGTCCGAGTCCACGGTTTCTAAGGGCCTTCATGTCATATTGGCTCCGCCCACGAACACGTCCGTGCGGGAATAGCTGGCCGTAGAGATACGGCCTGCACCGGTGACGAGGACACGTCTCGTCTTCTGCAGAAATATCTCGGGCTACACGAGACTGTTTATTTTTGGCTTGTCGAGCGTTACATGACATGATCCCACTTACCAATCGGTGGTGATCTCTGGACTTATCGCAAAGCGGACGTATCTTTGGAGGACAGTGTCAGGGAGCGAGTCTGACGATCACGCTTGACACCTATAGTAGGTGCAAACAGGCACTATGTCCCTTTTGTTAGTGAATTTGGGGGTAGATGAGAATCCACAGTCCCCTAAGGCAATGGCTATTATTCTTTCTCCTGATGACTTGCTGTATGTATGGCTGATCACACATCGTGAAGTCTAAAATCGTGAAGCTTAAAAAATCCATATATTCTCTCCACGCAAATCGGGGTATCATGAGCAAAAAGCGAACGATATTTTCCAAGCAGAAAAATGACAAGGACGTAAAAGTTGTATATTTCCTCGGCCCCTCCTTTCATCAGGGTGCCACCGTGATATTCGCATACTTGGCCACCCAGACCACCACCTCTCCGCCACCCCTGAGAACCCGACAACCCAGCGCAACGAATGGCAGTTCGAGCCAGTCGGTCCTATCCCAATGCTGCTGTATGAGAAGAGCCACCATGCTAATATAGCTTGCCATAGAGAAGACACTGATGGAGGTGGACGTCTCTTTGCGGATGTTGATTTTGCGGTATGTGATATGGTATACTAGAGTAAGAGTCTGAAAGAGCGTGTGTCAGCGATCTTGTGAACATGTATTGTCTATTTCTCTTTGTCTGTATGCGTGTCTAGAACCCCTCCACCGTCGAAGGGGAGGGGGAGGGGGAACGGGAAGGCGGGCGAGGGAAAAAAGCTTTGGGAGAGAAGAGACGCACACTGGTAATTGTGATCCAGGTAGGAAGGAGGAGAAAAGGGTCCTGCGAGCTGCCGCTCAGATGGAGAGTCCATGACTGCAGGTAACCGTTGAGGGCAGATATGGAGACGAGGCGGAAGGCGGTTGCGGAGGGGGTGTAGTTGATGAGCCTAGGAGCAGAGAAAGTGCATTCACGATCAGTATCATTCTCTCGCTCTCTTTCTCTCTCTGTTTGGTTGGCACAGGGAAGAGGGACCAAAAACTCACCATCTGGACATGAGGTAGTCTGTAAAGTAGAATGAAAGATATCCCGAACACCCACACTGTTTTATCAAGTTAGCCTAACCAGGCCTGTGTTTCACGATCCGGAAAAGAAGAACGAGGGTGGTTTAATACCCATATGATGGCCAGCATCAATTCCGTCAGCAACAACCTCTCCTCGCCCACGCCGCCACTGTCTTCCCCGAAAATCCCAGCCTGTCCATCCCCCGTCGCCGTCGTCGCAAACGTATGCAGCATGAGCAAGAAGCGGATCGTAAGCGGGAAGCCGAAGCCGATGGCTGGCAGGATGGACAGCAAGCGTAGAGAGAATAATATTGGATGCCAGTGTCTGGAGACGCCGAGGACGGCGGCCACGCGAGGCTGGAGGAAGGACGGTGTGGCTACCGGCTCGCCGTCGAGGGCACTATTGTCGTCGGTTCGCGGGAAGGAGGAGGGAGACGGTGAATGTGAGGACGAGGATGCATGTTTCGTGGTGGCGGTGAGGCGAGCGTGGGTGTGGGTAGAGATGGTATCCTCGAGAGACGCAGCAGTGGTTGCGGTGGTCTTAGTCGTGGAGGCATAGGACGGAGGGAAGGAGGACGGCAGGGTGTTCTTGCGTGTGCGCGGTGTGGGATAGGCGTTGGTCGACCAGGTCCGCGATCTGGTCGGGGCTGACATCGCTCCCCGACGCTTGGGATCAGGGGTCCCGAGTCTTCAGCGACGGTCTTGTTCTACCGGCACGACATGTATGCCACTCTTGCGCGCTGTTGGATGATATTTCTTCTTCTTCTTCTTGGGGGTCGCTTTCTGGGTAGGAGACGAAGGAAGAGGGTAAGACTTCCGGGGGGGGGGGGGTGCGAGAGCGAGACCCGTATTTCGAGAGATGAGGTCACGGCTCGGCTCTGGGATCGAAGCCTGATCGGTCTTTTCTTGAGAGCATGGCTACAAGCTCATGAAAGGCGACCGGGCAGGTACGCAGGCAGGTAAGTTGTGACCAGAGTTTCTCCTATTAGATACAACCATCGTCGCATACCTCTTTCTGCTGTGCGACAAGATCAGAATCGCGGGTTGATGTAACCAAGCCTGCATACTACAGCGAGAACGGCTACGCGTTTGGCCGTCGAAACCGGCCTCAGAAGCTCGCTGGTACGCTACGGCGGTCTGGAGGGGTCTCACTGGGGAGAGGGGGCCGCCTGGAACCCTGTCCGTGCACGCGAGACAGAGCTTCAGCACGTGATCAAGTACGTACACTTGCTGTACCTGTACGCTGCCATTTTGTGTCTGCTGTGCCTCCAGTCTGCCTGGTCCTTTTCTCCCTCGCTTTTCTCATTATTGTTACTTCAACATACCCGCCACGCATGCGTGGCTCTCATCATTCTATCATACGGTGTCAACTTACATGCAGTGGCTGTTTGCACCGGCGCGTTATTCATATCAGACAGCAGCTCGAGGCAACTTCATACAGAAGAGACTAGCTGATCTGCGGTAGCATTTGAAGACAGCAGAGTGACGTTGATGTTACAGAGGCCAAACCCACCGGCAGAAAGTTTATGAAAAGTGAAAGCCGACAGCTGCAACCCCCGTCTCCGAAGAAGAAGAAGACAGAAACAAATTCCTTTCTATATTTGCTTTTGATAATCACACATTTGTTGCCGAAGTTTATTCTCACCAAATTATCACCCAGACTCATATACTGGTCCTCCCGACAAGCAGGACGTCCTTCGATACAATTCTTCGTGCGTGGACAAGCGGAGCGACAGCATTGTCTCGATCACGTTCAGCGTACCCAGGCACCACGCTGTCATCTCTTCCGACTCGGTTGACTGCCCCACGGCTCGCTCCCCAAGCCGCTGCCAAGCTCCAAAGGCTATCCTGAGCGCGGGGAGATGCGCAATTTGAGCGCAAGGGAGTGTCGAGTCGATCTGCATGCAATAGTCAGCACACATGGCAATGGCATGGGCGCTCTGAATGTCTGTCTCATAAGCGGCTGCGAGGCTGAGGGCAGAAGGAAGACGACCCGTATCCGCGAGCCTCTGAATACAGCCGCACAGGATGACACGACCTGCCCAGAAAGTCACTATGAGCTGGTACAGCCGTGGAGACTGGAAGCGATACGAGTGAGTGACCAGGTGATCGTTGGCAACGGAGGGGACCACCAAGATCCCCCCAGATCCCATCAACTCGCCGATCCACGCCTCTATGCTGCTCCCAAATAGCCGGCCGGCGAGGCTAGTAGCATCAGAGCGCAGGGCGACGTCGTGTGGCTTTTGCTGGACCCGCCGGGTGAGGTGGACCAGCCGCGCAAGCTTTGTGAAGCCCTGCATAGTATCCTTCAGGGCTGCTGCGTATCCTGGCCATGTGTTGTCAGCGAATTGGGGCGCTGGCATGTCGGTCCACGCAGTCTTCTCGAAGGCCGATCTTTCTCCTCGAAACATAGCGGATGTGATCTGTCAGAGGCTGGCTGTCAATTTCCGTTCCCTCATCCCTTGATTGGTATTGTATAGATATTGGGCCAGGCGGGGTCTGCGTACCTCCGTAAAAAAGTGACCGTAGTATATAGATTGAATTGTGTCATCATAACCGTGATTCTGTGAATATAGCCGGCGCAGAATATTCACAAGCCCTCCAACGTGGTACTGATGGTCGTGCGACTCAGGGTTGATAAGAATCTTGCGCAACGCTATCGTCAGTGTCCAGTACTCTTTACTTCCCATTCGAACAACTAAGCTTTCGTCACATACCTCGGCAATATACAGGAGCTTCGTAGCTACCAATGCCATTCTGCTGTCGCTCTCCTGGTTGTCCTTGGCGAGAGACAGCCGGAGGACTCGCAGGGCGTTGATATTCGACTCACTTGCCGTCGCAATATCTTCTTCTGCTCTGCTCGACAACGCTCTGGCCCCAGATACGATAGCGATCACCGCCGCATCCACGACATCGCCCCTGCCAATGTATCTTTGCACAATATCCATCCAGTCACCCATACAGTACAACGATGACTCTCCAGAGGGCCCGCTCTCGAGATATGACAGCCAGAGGGACAGTAGTGACGCCTGATGCTCATTCGCTTGCGGCGATTCATCTCCACCCCCGTAGCGAACCTCTCCTCCGTGGCTGGACTTGTCTCTCTTGTTGGCGGGCACAAGGTTGAAAGTTTGCATCAAATTGTTGCCTGACTGCAAATTCTTGGATGATCTTAGACTGAGGACCATCTCTTGGTCTTTGGGTCTGTGCTTTCGGTCTGCGCCTTGTTTCGAGTCTCCCTTTCCCGAGGGAGAGGATGATGAAGGGCCTGAGCTTTCATGCTGATAATTGACGAATTTCGACACATGGCCGTAAGTATATTTGCAATCTCGCCTGACTTTCTTGCACGGACCGCAAGTCGGGTGAACCTCATCGCACTGAAATGAATGGACTGTTAGACTTTCTTGTTGCCCAAGATACTACCAGTATACCAATCTAAGAACTCACCTTGACCTTGCGCTGCCTACAGCAGTCACACTTGCCGGCCTTGGTCATCTTCTGAAGCTGGACAGTTTCTCCTGGCGTAAAATCTATAACAAAATAAGTGAATACATCCGTGCTCTCACGCTTTTCTTAGTCAAGGACGATAGTTGAGAGAAATCGGCGTCCGAGTTTGCGAATGAAGCCATGAGAACTTCATTCCCTCCAGCTCGCCGGAGTAGGAGGCCTTTATCTCATCGCGACCAGACACGAGACAACCTGGCCACACGAAATGCGACGTGCCAGGCCCAACAATGCCATGAAGCTCACATAAACCTTCGGCGCTTCTATCGTGCAACGGACGGACATTGCTGAACACACCCCACAACGCATCGACCGCATCCTCCAGCATGTCTCCTCCCCCACGACACGAATGGTGGGAGTACGGAGTTCATACTGCCTTCCCTTACACATGTCTGCCCCGTATGCTAGGGCTGAGCGGCGCCTCTCCAAGACTGAAAGAGCCAGTCGTTGAACTCATGAGCCCTGGCAGGAAAGTCTGGGCTACTAAGCCCTCGGTGCTCCTTCAAAGACGCTGACTTTGAGTTCCTGGATGTGGGTCCCGCTTCCGTCGCAGTTCAGTTCCGAAAAGAGTAATTCAGTTTAGTTTACTTTTCAATCGTTCGGCCGCCGCCGTCAGATCTTTAACATCCCAGAAATTCGGTCTCATCCTACCGCTGCAGTGGTGATGACCCCTGCTGACAGCTGATGAGGGCGCAGGTTTGCCCTTGCAGGTTGGCTGATTCCCGCTCGGTATTCACAGCGCTATCTGACCAGACGACAAAACCGTTGTGGATATTACGAGATGTGTGTGTGTCTTTTCGAGATAGCGTCTTGGAAGAATGCCTTTCCCGAGGACTTGGTCGCGTGGCAGCAGGGGTAGGAACCGAGATTGACCCGTCCCCCCGGTTACAAGTGAGGCTGTATATATCGAGGGTCACGGCGATAGCTTCTCTTGATTACGAGATCACCCTGTTGGCCCCCAACACAGCCGCCCTGCCCTTTGCGAACTCCCCACGCTGCGCTGCGAACGCTGCACTGCCACAGGACTAGCCACTTCGTATCGATTACTCACCCGAAATGCAAATTGCGATAATGGCATTGAAGCAGATCATAGTGAATGCCTCGTTCTTAGGATCGGTAATTGCTTAGAAATTCATCTTTATACTATCGAATAGGTAATCAGCGCTCTTGAAGTTTCGCTAATACTCATCACACATGTGCTACTAGGCCTTGCAAGTAATGAATGAGTCTATTGCTCTGTGATTTGTATCGTCACTGTGGCTCAGGATTATTGCCTCCCGAGCTTAATACCTAAGAAGAATCTCCCCTCCATTCTACGTATAGACAATGATGTACACATGGGCGTGCTTTTCTGTACGTACTAGAGAGGCTATGCCTTGGTCAGGGCATGATACTTCAACTAAACAAATCTCGATGAGACTGATCCTTACAGAGAACCTGGACAGGGAAGTTATCAAACAACCTTCGTGACCCTCCACAAGACACTGTGCATCAGTGCAGATCTTGGGGGGAAATGCCTTTCCATCAACAACTGTCACATGGAGCGGCCTTGGCGAACACTGGGATGTTTGGCGCCGTATCTCGCCCAAAAGCAGACTTGACATGATTCCTTTAACGCCTAAAGCTGAAGCGAGTCTCTGACTACAGTACGATGTTGGCGTGGTCTATATTCAGTCGAAGACGGACAATTGCTTGGCAGTCATCGCTTGGACGAGATCCTCCTCGTTAGTTAAAGGACGCAATGCATACATACTTACCCAGCACCACATTACGTGGGTGGCAAAGAGCAAGTGCACCAATCTTGGACTGAATATCAGGGACTCTCAACTGGCCCCGATCGTAGGAAATTTGCCACTCTATTCTCGGACAGTATTCATCGTTAGGGATAGGCAATGAGCTGAACTACGCGATGGCGGTCAATACGTGATAGTGGACCACAGGGTTCATTCGTTACGGGCCTCTAATAGAGGCCAACCATATTGAGTCTACCCCAAATGGTTGTAAATATCCATACGTTATTGGTCAGTTCACAGTCTCGAGCCCGTGCGGAAATATGTAACTCTCACCATATTAGGCAAACAAATGCGATAAAACATGGGGTCAGCCCTGCGAATTGTGCCCAGTCCTAAGCGCCGTAGGTTGTGAATGCTCTAGCTTTTTGGAGAATCAGACGGCCTCCTGCTGCCCGCATCGTATTAGGAGAATGATGTTGAACACCCATTTCCCCGCCCTCCCTTTTGCTTCTTCTTGGTGTATGTTATTCTAGGAGAGGGGGGGGGGGAGGGCAATACAACTTCCTTATCAACGTCCAGTGTTTGGCACGAAATTCCATAAGGGAAGCCCTTCCCCTAGTCGAAATATCCCCATGTAAAGCTCGCCGATACGGTGAACTGGAACAGAAACAGTATCATTCGATTAGATATCCCTTACTTATCACAAATAGGTTTAGACAGCATTTGAGGTCGACGAGCACGTGGCTTCGAATATCGTGAAACTTGGAACCCAAGCTTACACTGCATGCGCCTGTCGCACAATAAACTGTCCACAGGTGCCAAAGTGAAACACATTTGGTCAGCCCTCGCATTCTCACCCACGTGGTTTTCCTAGAATGGAGAAGAAGGGGGGGGGGGGGGAACTTGGCTGCGGGAGATCTTAGCTGACCGTGCTACATCACCGCCCGGGGTTAGCCGAAGGAGGATCTGGTGAGGCTGCCACTGCTTTGCGCTGACAGTCTCAATTGGGGCTTGACACAACTACGTAAGCTAAGCAAGTAGCAGCAACAGTGAAATTTGACGTATTATGATGCAAAATTTGTTGACTAGAATCTGCCTTGGCGGGTTGCCTTTCCGCCAAATCAAATTCTCACTCTGCACTGCCTAGGAATTATTATACTGCTTTTGACAGATACTGGCAGATTACATCCAAATAACTCATAGACGGGTTTTGTATGGTGACATATGGGGTTGGATCCTTTGTATTTCCGCCGAGTGCGCAGGTGATTACTGTGTAATCGATTTATATTTGGTAAAGTTGTGAGAAGGGTCTCGAATTCTTTCCTTCCCCAAACCAAACAGAACAGGGATTCCCAACGCGCAGAGGATACTTACTGTTTCTCAATCTCTACTTACAGTCTCGATCATGGAAAATTTGAACTCTAGATTGGCTTTGTCCAAGTTGTGGGTTCCCCGTTGCGGAGTGCCTCTCTGGGTGGCCCCCGGCCCCGTTTCACAAATTGGAAGTCTATGTTGTTATCATCGATAATACACGCCGTTATATCCTGACTTTGCCGCACTATAGGAGGTAACATTTGTCAAGTTATATTTATCTCCCACTCGCTGAACACAACCACTGTCCAACTTCTGCCAGTTGCTTTCTCACACAGTAGGTATGATTCAGCTTGGGGAAAGAAACATGAGACGACCCGACAATAAGGCCGTGGGGCTTTCATTAGAGTTTGATGCTTGGCTCTGGTCATGAGTCCGGACTATCAGCCCTATATGTGCTGTTTTTAGAATATCTAGAATGGTAAGATCGGAGCCTTGGTGCGAGAATGAACACTGCTCAGAGTCTGTGCGTATGTCGCATTCCGATTAGGGTCCAGTTTTCTAGGCCTGCACCATAGTATGCATGCTGCTTTTACGGGCTGTCATGAGACTTGGAAACCCTCTCGTTCATGAATTCTCCGTAGGTTACCCCATGATTGCTAGCCTAGTACAGGTGCATGTCTCTGCTGAACTCTTGACGTTCGAGCTCAACGTTACTTGAAAACAATCGTTGTACCTTTGCTGATTGCCCTCAGTGCCTTGGCTTTGCTGTAGGATCCAAGGCCAACTTACTCAAGATCCCCCCTCCATACCGGTTTTGCGGATAGCCAGGCCAACAGGGCAGAGTCATTCCACTGAGACTGCCACTCTATAATCACCTGTTTCACTGAAATGTCCTAATAGTTGAGTCCTGTCCTGTCTAAAGAGTTGAAGTTGCCCCAGGCGAAAGCAGATCAAAGGCTACCAGCCTTGACCGGGCAAGCCATTGTTTCGGGATATTTCCGACTACCACCTGTGTTAATAATGTGGAGGTCAGAAAACAACAGGGGCCAAAAGCTGGGACGTTCACACATGTACACTGACCAGGGGTGAGGTCTGCCCTTCCTTGCTTCTTGTCTCGTCTGAAGAAAAACAATGAGAACTTTTGGGGGGGGGGGGATGGCAACAAGAAAAAAAAGGCAAGAAAATAAAGATCCCAGCCACGGCGTAATGCGGCGTCCACGCAAGTCATCCCAGGTTTTCAAACAATGATTGAGGCGCAGTGCTGTGACTAGCGACAGCGAAATGGGACGATCAAAACATCCTTGAAGATTTACACTGGTACTTTTTTTCTACAATGCTGCTCGGCAGTGCGGCATTAACCTGAGTCAAAAGCTGAGGTACTGTTCCAACACATACAATTGTGATGAGTCTTCTTTGGTGAGCGGAAGACGCTTTCTGATCTAGAGTAGACGCTTGATGGAATGTGGGCGGTGGCGTCCAACATGCAGAACACGGAGAAAAATGGACGGAGAGAAAGTGAAGGGAAAAGGAAGAAAGAAAATAAAACAGGGGGGAAACCAACACCACAGCTGCGTATCTTTTGGTCGTCGCAGTCCAGATAGGCTGACCAAAGATCCTTGATGATAAGGCCGAAGTTTTGCTTTTCCCCCTCCCTGAGACTTGCATATCGACGGTCTACTTCTACTATGGTAGAACTTGGAAGGTGACTTCAATAGTAGCTTTAAGCTCCAGCAAATGGTAAATTCGTTTCCCCTTCAAGCCTGCAATAACACACACACACACACATACACATTCGCAAATACGAGAAGCACAATGGGCAAACCCTAAGTGAAGCGTACGAAGCAATGAGGCAACCCTTACTTGTTGGACCACGTTGCGAGTCCGGGGGGAGATTCATCCAGTCTGGGTTACCGAGAGCCGTCATGCTGGTCCTTGTTTGAGCTGCAACCTCCAGGAGTCGACTTGAATCGTGGGGGAGGGGGAGATGACGGGGGTCGGTCCAAGCTGCTCTTGCATAGTAGTATATATTGTATTGTGTTATCGCCGTGAAGGCCGGCAGCCTCGCCATTGCAAGTGTTGTCTCGGTGTCGCTTCGGCAGATAAAAAAGGCGGCCAAGCCCACATACACACATACTATGTACACACACACACACACACACGCATACTTCATGCAGGACAAGATGTCGATCTACTTCTGTATGGAGATGTTATCCCCGCAGCGCATCGGACTCATGCAGTTTTTGTGTTCACAAGGCCACAGCCATATAGAGAGAGAAAGAGAAAGGCCTCTCGATGAAGACCGAAATTAGGGCGAGTGCTCGGAGCCGATCGTACCCCAAACCCCAAGGGGATGATGCCCTGACTTCCTCACCAACTGAGACGGGGGCTTAGGACACAAAAACGCCGACAAACTTGCTTTGGTCTAACCCCCCACCCCCCATCTTTTCTCAAAAGTGATGAATGTTGCGAGAGATTTGGTGACGAGGAGGTGCAGCTGTGTCGGTCACGCTCAAGTGTGCTGATGGCGTTGTTTACTACTACTGTACAGTAGTCCGTCGAACTACCTATGCGTCATGCAGGAACTACTGTACCTTTTCCTCGACCCAACCAGTCTCCGCTCCTCGCTTGGTTGACGTGCAGCGGAAATTGCCCCTGACGTGTCTAAATTGTGGTCCATCTGGGGCAGAGGCCACCCCGGGAATTTTTTGATTTTATTTTAACTGAAACGTGGCCCACATGCCACATTGTGCGCAAGAAGAAGAAAAAAAAGGCAAAAAGGAAAGAAAAGGAAGATTGAAAGAAAAGAAAAGGAAAGATGTTCAGGCTATTTTTGATGGAGTTCCCCCAATGTACAAAGCCAACCTCCGGCGACGAGTATTGCGCTTCCAGGTTGGATGGTTACAATCCACGCGCCACCACTTTACATGCCCGAGGACCCATCTCCCGTCCTCCTTCCCCTGCTAGATTAGACAAGGCCCTCGTGCGACGAGGTCATTTCTTCCTGCGCAAGTCTCGGTCACTAAATGTCTAGTCTCGTCCTGTTACCATAGTCTGTATGAACTATGCCGACTGCCACCCACCCCCAGAAAGTGAGGAAACGTGGAGAAATTCAGGCCCTCATGCAAGGGCCCCGCCGGCTGAATGCAATTCTTCCACGCTACACAGCCGTCTGGGATAGATGTTGCGTGACATTGAAGACCTGGACGCACGATTTAGCGGCAACATGGTAACATGATAAATTGATTCATAGCAGGATGGAGGGAACGATGCGCGTCTTGTCATCATCCCTTTGGGTGTGTGTGGGTGGGTGGGCGTGTGGGTGTGTGTGTCACCCTCGCTCGTACGGCGACTGAGCCCGGATCTTCGTCCGGACTTATACAAAGTACAGACGACTCGCGAGGGAAGGGCGGCCCGAGGGGTAGGTAAGAGAAGGGGGCAAAAGGCACTGAAATAGTGAGAACACATCTATTTCTAGAGAGCCAGGTCCCCACAATTGTCAATTGTCTCGTCCTCGGATGCTTGTCTCAGGCACGTTCCGAGGCAGCAGACCGGATAGAGATCTCTCTCACTGTCTGGAGAGAGGGACACACACACACACACACACACACACAGAGAGAGAGAGAGAGAGAGAGAGAGAGAGAGAGATCACTGGATATGATTTGAGGCCACCCCCCCCGGGCTTTTCGGGTCCCTCCACAAAATCGCAACCACCTCAGTCCACACCACGCAACGCGCCAGGAGCGCATCGTTCGCGAACAAACAATACAACATGAAGCCCGGTGCCAACGCTGGTGGGATTCTGGCTGTAGCAAGTATAGCCATCGTTGTGGGCACCCTGGCTGTGGCTCTGCGGCTGTACACGCGCAAGTTCGTCTTGAACCAGATATGGCTTGATGATTATCTCGCCGTCGTCTCTTGGGTAAGCTCAGTTGTGACCGTGTGCTATGCACACATATACACACGCGCACACACACACAGACAGAGAGAGAGAGCTGACATTCAACCTCGGTTTTACGTTCCAGGCCTGCCTCATAGCTCTGGCAATACAAAACTTCCACGCCGTCAGCACAGGTCTCGGATCACATTTTGACCAGATCCCGCCTTCGGGATACAATGCATTCTTCAAAGTGAGTACAGCCTTTTTGTTGTCAGCCCAACACAGCGCATCATGGGTTATGAATACTGACCTCGACACATGACCATGGACAATAGGATCTATGGCTGGGTCTCGTGATATACAATATCACTCTTCTCTTCACAAAACTGACCCTCTTCTTCCAATTCTACCGCGTCATCCGGCAGACAAGTTGGGGTGGGCTGAAGATGTTCAATGCTTGCGCCATGTCCATCATTGCAGCATGGCAATTCGCCCAGATTTTCGTCCAGGTCTTTGCCTGCGTCCCCGTCGAAGCCGCCTGGGACCAGACCGTCAAGGGTGTTTGCCAGTCCATCCTCGTGACGCGGACAATGAACAGCGTGGGCAACATCGTGACCGACTTTATCATCCTTTTGCTCCCGTTGCCCATCATCTGGCGTCTGGCACTGCCCCGAAAATCAAAATATGCTGTCATAGGCATCTTCTCTCTGGGGTTTTTGTGAGTGATCGCCCCCCCCCCCCCACCAACATACATCATCTCCCCACCCCTCTCTTCTCGCCCTGAGATGAGATGACCGCAGCTGATTTAAAGGGATAGCACCTGCATCGTATCCATCCTGCGTATCACTCTCACCCCAACGGGTGAAAGCGATATAGCGTTCCAGACGGTATCAGTGATTGCCTGGACCACAGCAGAAGTTCTGACAGGCGTCATCATCGCCTCGCTGTCGACTATGCGCCCGCTCATGAGCCGCTATGTATCTGGTTTCACGACCAGGGGAACGAGCAAGGCCACGAGTGCCACGAGTCGCAGCCGCGCAAGCTACGGCATGCAGAACCTGTACGCCAAAGGAACCCCAGGGACGAGCAGGGCCGACCGCAGGTCTATGTTGGCGTCTCCTGCTAGGAGGTTCAGTGGCGGCGGCTGGCTGGACCTGTCTGAGTCGGATCGAGAAGACATGGCGAGGCATGGGGTTGCAGGTCTCAGGATGCCCGACCTGGCGCGGCTGGAACCTGGCATTGGTCGTCATGGGAGCATTCGAGTGACGAAAGAGTGGTCAGTCCGTGGCGAGACTTGATTCCGTGGCGGAAGAAGAAAGAAAAAGAAAGAAAAAATACGAGAAAAAATCGCCCCACCGCAGATACAGGACGTGTGGAGGAGAAATATTCGGGCGAAGCTTTATTCACTATATTATCCATTTTAGTGTATAATATTCAAATCGTCACTATCTTGTCTACAAGCCAACAACAATTGCTGACCTCGGGATCGTTTGGGTGGGTACCCTCCCTGACAAAACAAGATAGAAGGATCAGGATTCATGTGTTAAGCTTGCTTCACTCACATGATGTGTAGCACTGTTTCCAGGCTTTCCTGTGACAGGATAGAGCCATCTCTGTTACCTGCTTCATCCTCTGTTGGTTCAGGTGGTTGGTGGATTTCGCCCAGCAGAAGCTGTTTAGGTGTTCTCCATGAATGGTCAGGCTAAGTCGAAGTCGATTGCAAAGCATGCATACTCTTGATGAACAAGTTCCTAAGCATTAGCAGACAGACAGACAGACACCCTTCATCCCTAGTCAGCAGGATGGAAATCTCAAAAGGATCAGAAGGTCATTTGTTGTTGCTGTAGCTCAATCAAGATTCATTACTACAGTAATTGCAAGATCACAGTGCCTTGCCGCAAATCGTGCAGCTCTGATTTTTGGGGGGGGTTGCGGGGCAGCTTCCTTCCAGCCCAACTAATCGGTATCTTGCTGTGCTAGCTCTAATGTGCCATGTACCCCAGAGAGTGTTTGGTGCCAATGGACCCCTGTCTTTATGTGAAGAAGAAATCCTTCCCCCACTACAGCTCCAAAACTTCCGATCCCAAGACAACAATCATCATCATCATCGTCCAAGGCTCGAGTACACCACACACACAAGCACCCAGCTCATGTGGAGGCTGCCGCCACCATAGATCACACTTCCTACAAAGGAATGAGACTGCTAAAGCAAAGACCCATCTCACCACCAAGAGCCGACTTTGTCCTCTGCTATCACCACAGGTGCCTCAACCTGCTAGCGCAACAATTCCTCCTGCACGACGCCTAAATTCTACCATTTCAGCTCCTGCGGGTTCCTCCTTCCGAGACATAGGGTCCTAGAAGCCACGATGAAGCCAAACTCAAGCCTCTCAGCACATGCTGCCACAGGAAGGTTCCTGTCCAGCACCCTCAACAGATCCTCTCCAGTCCTACCACCAATAGTGGCTTTGGCACGCCACCGCTCACTCCACGCCTCGTCTCCTGACCCTGCCAATGTCGCTCCCTTCTATGCTACTGGTCCCCCTCCAGAACCACCACAGCCAGCAGTAGAACACCCATATGCCAAAGCGGAGAGGAGGCGGAAGCAGGCTGAGCTGCTGCGCAATGCAAAGGAGATCCGGAATGAAATCAGGGCTGGGAAGAACAAAACACCATTGAGGAAGCGATTCTGGAAGGATGTTCATGTGAAGGAAGTGGATGGTGAGTTGATCTCCCATTGTCTCTAGGGGCTGGACATTTGGTCCCTCCCTAGCAAAGTCCCCCAAATACAAGCAAGACTAACCAAGAAACTCAACAGGTGTCTACCAAATCTACTTGGACGCCCGCCCCCTCCGACACCCAGAAACCAAAGAAATAGTCAATATCCCTCTCACCAAGCCCCTCCTTGCCTACGCCCTCGCCTTGGAATGGGATCTCCTCACATCAGCACAGCAGGCGACAAAACAGCACCTGATCCCCCTTACATCCCTAACCTGCCGTGCCCTCGACATAGCAGCCAATGATGCTGTGACCTCATCTGACAGCACATTCAGCCCCATACGCACAAGCATTACAAACATGGTCCTCAGGTACCTGGACACTGACTCCCTCCTGTGCTGGGCACCGCCCCCCAGAGAACCACAGGCAGAGGGAGAGGGCAGCCTGCGCGAGCTGCAGGAGCGCACTGCTGGGGCTATCATAGGCTACCTGAGCACACATGTCTGGCCTGGAGTAGAAATTGAGCCTGTCCTAGATGAGGGGAGCATCATGCCCAGAGGCCAGAAGGAGGGTGTCAGAGAGGTCATCCAGGGCTGGGTGATGGGCCTTGATGCATGGGAACTTGCTGCTCTGGAGAGAGCTGCATTGGCTGGCAAAGGGCTGCTTGGTGCTGCGAGGCTGCTCGTGGAGTGGAGCGAGGGCGCTGCTGGACAAGTTGGTCGTGATGTTGCTGCTGCAGAGGGGCTAGGTGCCAGGAGGAAGTTTGACGTGGAAGAGGCTGCAAGGGTAGCAAGCCTCGAGGTGGACTGGCAGACAAGCAAATGGGGTGAGGTAGAGGATACTCATGATGTGGAAAAGGTTGATCTACGTCGCCAGCTGGGAAGTGTGGTGTTGCTGGTGTCAGGGACTGGACCAAGATAGAACTTCACACTGTAGAGAGGCCAACATGGAGACATCCATGCAAGATACTCCCAGATCATGAATTTTGGCTCAGGATGCTGTGTGAGTCGAATGTGTCAAATTGCACCAAAATTGGCAAATTGTTTAGCTAGCTACCAGGGCAGTCTTGGTGGATTCGCTGCCCATATGTGCATTGCAAATAGCAAATGTAGGAGATCAAATCGATGGCAAGATCTCCTTCACCCCAGAATTCCCCATACTTATGGAGTCCTCATCAAGAGGTTGAAATATCCCTCCTTCAAGATCTGCCTGTAGTTGCAGTGTGATCATGAAGAGTAGAAGAAAGCTCTAGCTTCTTAACTGTGCCGGAATTGCAGAGTCAAAGCAACAGTCGAAAATCGACCTCTTATGCTTATCTTCGTTGTCGCTGCTGCAGAGTCAGGGTGAAGGGGGAGCATCCCTTTTGGAACCCTGCCTGTGATCGCAAGGCCAGAATGGAAGGGATTGAAAAGTCCCTCTTTCAGAATTAGATCAAAAAAGAAAAAGAGAGGAAGAAAAAAAAAAGAAAAAAAAGGCAAGGTAAGCATGGTTTGTTGCCAGTCGGGTCTCCTTTGTAAGGGACTGGCAGGGAGCAGGCCATCACTGGTCAATATGAGGCTCGAGGTGAGTTCCTTGGAACTCGTAAGCGCCAGCATGCGCAGGGATGTGACTGGCCTCAAGCATCTTATCCCGGACTTTCTGGTCCTTGTAGTGGCTGATATTGATTGTGCGGCCTGTGAGGGCGAATCGTCGCACACCAGTCGGTGTTACCTCATGCTGTCACTTTGTTAGAATCGTGTTCCAAATTCGAAAGGGTAAGGTGTTGAACTCACCTCGGACAAGGCCTGGAGCTGCGTGCCGCACATGGTAACGGCATCACCATGCTTTAGCTGCACCTTGAGGACAACCTTGGGGCTGTTGTCGGCCTTGTTGACCTTCTTGCTTTTCTCGCCTCGCAGACGCAGACTCATCTCAGAAGGTGAGCCACAGGAGGCTGTGGTAACTGTACCATCCAGCTGCTCCTCTCCATCATCGTGCCACTATTCAGAGTCAGCTAGGATCCTGTGTATTATTATTGCTCAAAAAAACTTACGCGGATGCGGTTGTCCTCAAAGTATCCAAGGACCAACTCTTCATTGTAGGCCTTCCAAGGCTTCATGATATCTGAGGATGGCACATGGACATATGAGCCCTTGTCATTGATGAGACGCTGAGTGGTCTCAACAGCTTGCTTGCCGTAAAAGGTGAGCATGGCAAGTGACTTCAGTACGACATGAGGTGCATTCTTGAATGCCCGAGTGGGAACATCAACCCGGAATTTGTAGGCAACACCCTAGAATCAGTTAGGAGACATGGTTCTGCTGATGTAGTCTTGTTGGGATGGGCACTTACAAAGTTGACGGAGAAGTGTCGGCATAGTGTCTCTCGGTAACCTGTAGTTTTTTGGTCGGTAAAAGTTCCTCCACTGCATATAGTGATGGACTTAACTTACCACCTGCGTGCAGAGCTGCATTGCGCTGCAGCTCGAGATCATGGGCATTCTGAAGCTCTTCAAAGAGAGCATCAGCACCATTCTTACCAGACCTGATGGCCTCACTAGGTCGAGAGTGAATCAAGCTTCCAGCAAGCTTCCCATTCTTATCCTTGATCAGATAAGCAGTCACTGTAAAGTCGTTGTCTGTGATGACAGTTTTGTCAACAAATCTCTCATCAATGTTGAACGTGACGCCGTCTTGCTGTATCTTGAGGCTGTGAGTCTCATTCTCACAGCTGATGTGGTCCAGAGTCACAGGTCGGAAGAGAGCCCGAAGCTCAAAGCTGCACTTGTTGTTCTCGCAAACCCAGCCTTTCCAATGCTTGCGACGACTGCAACAGCTGCATTTTGGGCAGACCATGCCGTTGAACTGGCCCTTCTCAGTTCCGTACATGGCATTGTCAGCACTGGGCAGGGGTGTGTACCACGTAGGCACATCCAGGTCAGCAGGCAGAGGCTTCGCCCAGTTGATGAACTCCTCGCTGTACTCCAGACCTTCATTTCCCATGAGCTTCACGCCATTGTGAATGAAGAATCTGTCGCACTTGTGGTGGAGACAAATCCACTCCATATTCTTGAAGATCTTGGGGCTCTTCATCAAGCAGGTGGCGCAGGCCTGCTCAGAGCAAGTGGGGACCTCGCTGTAGACCCGCTTGTCATCAGTCTTGTCCTTAGACCAGACTGGATTCTCGCTGCCAATACGCTGTAGTTTAACTTTCCACAAAGGGTAAGAACCCAGCATACTGTGAGGTTTAACCATCTCCTGCCATAGGGCAGTAATGTAGTAGCGACCGAGCACAATGCCAAAAATTTTCTCTCGGTCCTTGTTGTCGCAGGGGATGATAGACAAGTCGATCTCACCGGACTTCCAGCTGGTGTGTTCCTTATCTGATCAAGGGAATTATTGTCAGTGCCAATACTTGGGCTACTGGGTTAGGGTACTTACCCATAACAACCAAGACAGACTTCTTTGTCTTCATTGTGTCCTCCCAATACTGGGCCTGTGCGGGCATGGTCTGCTTGCGAATCTGGATCTTCTTGGCAGTTCCCTTGGGTCCGGCAGGGAGGCTCTTTCCAGTTATAGGGTGTTTGGCCTCGAAGTGATTACCACCACTAGTGAATGATAATTAGCCTCTCGTTTTTGCTGTGATAGATAGGATCAGGCTGACAGGACTTACGAGCAAGTGATGATGCAGTCTCTCTCGAACATGTCTCGAGGTTCACCATAGCCACCAGTCCGGACTCCGAGGACAAAGCGTTGCTTGGTGTAAGTCCCACTTTCATGGGCCTTGTAATACTCCTGGCTATCACAGATAGCTTGTAGGTTGTAAGACCACACTGGAATACCTTTGTTGTGACTGCTAAGCAGCTGGTTATGATTGTAGACTCGGACCTTGGAACTTCCAGAGACAACAATGGTGCCAGGGGTGGAGGTGGAGGCCTCGTCGACAGAAGAATCGTCGAAAGAAGGAGCGACAGGAGTGGACTTGCCATCAGTTGGGGCTACGGGCTTGTCGTCGCCAGCTGCAGAAGAGGACGCAGGACTGGATAGGGTATAGTTGGAAGCATCCTCGATAGAAGATTCATTGGTAGGAAGATCAATAGTGATGGACTCAGCTGATCCATCACTGTCACTGAGGGTCAGGTTCTGCTCAGCTTTGCAGCGCTTCGGAGTAGGGGCTGATCCAGTCGAGCAGCCTCTCTTGAGGCTCTCGCGTGATGTCATCGTGACTTCTTTGTTAGCGCTATGGCGCGTGAGTGGTTGTTTTTAAGTGAGGAAGGTACTGAGATATTAATAATTGTGGGTTCGCAGGTAGGGCTTGGATGTATGTAGGCAGGTGGAAATAGATGTGGTGCACAGGTAAACTGGCAGATCAATGTCAGCGCATATGCAACCCCGACCACTGCTAACAAGGTCTTGCACCAATACTAGGAAGGGATAGAGTGAAGAGGAGGACGGATTTTGATAACAAATGTAGGTGCGCAGGTAGAAATGAATACGGTGGAAATGTAGGGCTTGGATGTGGTGCTCAGGTAAGAAGTATGCAGATGGAGTCAAGGCAGGTATACTCAGATGAGGATGGGTGCCAAATCGGATCGTTTTCAGAAACACAAGCAGGAAGGTGCGTGGGACTGAATGTCCAAGTGTGCATGTAGATGTGCCAGGACTGAATGTCTAGGTCTGGAGATGGGTGTTTGGAACGAAATGTTCTGGTACTTACTGGAAGCAGTTGCGTGATCACAGACAAGATGAATGTGTGAGGATAAGGTGTGCTGTTGTGCGGGTTAAGGCGCTGACACAGGGTGCGCGCAGGTATGCTGGTGAGGATTCTGGAAGAGTATGTCCAAGTCTGCAGGTGGGTGGTGACGATGTTGATGATGATGAACTTTTAACTGTGTTATGATAAAGGTTGATGGCGAGACTGGTGTTCAGGCTAGAGGGTGGGTGGGGCTGAGGATTGTTGTCGAGAAGAAAGATGTGAAGAAGGGAGGGAAGAGGTTGTTGGAGGATAGAAGGTGGAACGAGAAGAGAGACTTGGTAGTGGCAGGGAATTGAGGTTAAATAGATGGGTAGTGGGAGAGGAGAGGGCTGTGACAATTCGAAGAACGTGACAGGCGACGGTCTGCAACAAGAAGGAAAGAGTGACTGTTTACTTAGAAGCAGCTTGTCGAGGGGGACGAGGAAGGAGCTCTCCTCAGGGTGCACCAAGTAGGAAGGCACATCGAGGGGTAAGTTGCAGGATAGAAACCGACATAAGTAGCCAGTCGGAGAAGGACTGATCATTATGAAGAGCCCGACATTTTCATATTCCCCAACAAATGCCAACAGGATTATAGTAGTGCGATCATTATGCGCAATTGAAGCAGCTAATACTGGAGTATAATCGGATTGTTTATTTGCAGTAGACTGTGAAATTTGAGCCAGTATCAATTGTACAACTTGAATGATGTTCTTCAACTAACGTGGGCCATGTAAGCCTGCCAATCCTCCTTGGAAGACTTGTTCATCATATCATCAGGAATCCATACCTTAATTCAGATAAAATACAGACACGTGCACTCTCTAAAATTCAATCTGAAGAGTACAAATGAGAAGCTGGGTAGCACAGACCTGAACCGAATACCAGAGCAGATCCCAAGTTTGACAGACTGGGGGAAGGGGTTTGGAGGCTACTACTGCCTGAAGGTTTGAGCGGAATTTGGAAATGGAAATGAAGTCATCAAGAGCTTTGGCACAGGCCAAGAGAAGGGTCTCGCCCTATGATTTATTAGGACACCGAGGATCGGCACTGGGGGTTTTACTTTTGAAGCAGACATTTCTCCAGAGTAGTCGAGGACTGGTGCAGGTTCTGAACAGATGGCCTCAGTGTCCTGGCATGACGGGCAGCTCTGGTCTCATTCTTGATCCTGGAAAGAGGAGCAAGAGAAGCTCTGAGCAAGAACACCAAGACAGAAGTACAGCTGGCGATTTTATGTATAACTGAAAATAACAGAAAAAAGGATTCAACAAGATGTCGACCAGGCGGCGCTCTCAAGCCTGCGAGGTCCCAAAAGCAGATGCTCCCAAAGCTTGGCAGAGAGATGTCTTTAACATCCGGAATCTCAATCTTGAGCAGGATGGCGGTTTAGAAAGAAGGACAGGTGAAGAAAAGGCGGGAGAAGATACAGGTATTTATACCTAGAGGATCATGATGGTGTCCTGTGGACAGCTCTCCACAACCAATGACAAGAATCACAGTTTGACTGACGTTTATATTTGCCATGAACACTGAGTTTGATTTGCTGCCAGCAATCCACAAACAAACTTTGCAATACGCATCAAACTGACTCACAACAGGTTTGACGTTGAGGACGGAGTTTGCGGACTCAAACATTTCTCCTTTGGGCCGCAGGTTCCACAGCGGCTCCGCGACGCCTTGGACTCCTGGGAGCCTGGGGTTTTCATGGGGGTGGGGAGGGGGTGGGAGGGGCGAGGAGGAGAAAGGAGCTCAAGGAGCGCCGTTGTGGGACGCGCTACCCTCTCCATGCAACCTGGCTGGCTACTGACTGGGCCTGACCTGCTCGCTTTAGGGCTCTAGCGATTCGTGAGAGAGATGAGACCCGGGGGGTGCGGGGCAGAAACGGCATTGTGTAGCGGCTGGTGGTTTTGGTAAACCCTCCGTATACCGAGGTCTTTCTCCCTGGGCTCGCGTCATCGGACCTTCCGGCCATCTCTCTTCCCACACACAGCTGTGTCTGGTCTTCTCTTGTGACCTCAACCAGAATTTTTTCACACACACATAGAGACTTGCTTCTCTAACTTTTCGGCCTTTTATTGCCTCCAGTTACCGACCTTGATAAAAGCGACAAGACCTGATCTCTTGAAAAAGAGAGGGAGGGAGAGAGTGAGAGGGAAATTGCGCAGGATCGAGACAGCAGCGTGAAGATGGTCTTTGAACCGCCGAGCTGGGTCCCCAAGCTGCCATTCGGTTAGTTTTCACGTACAAAATTGGTTGCGCGCCGAAAATATAAGAAGGGCTCGGGTATGAAGGAGAAGAAGAACAAAAGACAAAGGCTCACTCTCGTCTCAGATCCTCCAGACAGCATCCCTGTGGCTGAGTTCACCACCAACGACAAGCATGGCCGCCACCCCGCCGCCCAGAGCAGGAATCCCTTCACCTGCGGTCTCACGGGCAAGACATTCTCCCTAGGCGAGTTCAGTGCAAGGCGTGAGGCCCTCGCACGCGCGATCGGGAAGCGTCTCGGGTGGCAGCCGAACGAGGAGACAGAGTGGGATAAAGTGGCATGCATATTCTCATTCAACACGGTACGTACTGCTACTACTGCTGATTACACATGATTTGCCCGCGTTCTTTCTTTTTTCGGGCTCTTTAAGACATCGAGGAACGAAAACACGTGCCTGTGCGACAATGCAGTGTGCCGCCCCCCCCCCCCTTCCCCACACACTGTGCTGATTGGATACCTCTCGATTGCCCGCAGATCGACTACATGACGGTCGCATATGCTGTTCACAGGCTTAATGGCATTGTCACGCCCGCCAATGCGGCCTACTCGGCGCAGGAGCTCGCACATCAGCTTAAGTCCTCTGGTGCAACGGTCCTATTCGTTGGGGGCCCGCAGCTCAAGGTTGGCCTCGAGGCAGCCCAGGCTGCCGGGATCCCCAACGATCGGGTGTGGTTGATGGGCATGCCGGGTTTCGAAAAAGCCGATGGCTTCGTGAGCGTCGAGGATCTCATCTCCGAGGGACAGAAGGCCAAGGAGCTCGATGTGCTGAGGTGGACCAAGGGCCAGGGCGCACGCCAGGTCGCGTTCCTCTGCTATTCTAGCGGCACCTCGGGCCTGCCCAAGGCCGTCATGATCTCCCACCTGAATGTCATAGCGAACACGATGCAGTTTGCCACCCATGAGAGCCACGCGAGGAAGAAGTTTGGCATTGGCCTGCAGGCCTCGCTCGGGCTGCTACCATTTAGCCACATCTATGGTCTCGTCATCATGGCGCACGGCAATGTCTGGCGCGGTGACGAGGTCATTGTGCTGCCCAAGTTCGAAATGCCAACGTTCCTCGCTGCTATCGAGCGGTTCAAGCTGAACACATTATATCTGGTATGTGATATAACCGCATATCGCTCGTTATGTATCGCCGATGTATCAATTTTTTTTCTTCTTTTGTGTGTGTGTTGACATTCTGCCACCAGGTCCCACCTATCGTCATTCGCATGACGAGAAGCCCCGACGAGTGTAAAAAGTTCAACCTTGACAGCGTTAGGGTGGTCTACTGTGGAGCGGCACCACTGGGAGAGGAAACTGTTGCGGATATGAAGAAGCTCTATCCAAAGTGGCGAGTAGCACAAGGATATGGTAGGTTTCTTTCGCTTCTTCATCCCTTTTTCTCAGGTCCATAAATTGCAGCGACGCGTGTGCTGGTACTGAACATGTATGATCTAGGCATGACCGAGCTCGCGACATTAGCTGTCTCCTCCAGCGAACACGACATCATGCCCAAGTCCTCTGGCTCCATCTGCCCGGCGACTAGGGCCAAGATCATCGGGCTGGACGGGAAGGAGGTCACTGAGTATGACGTGCCCGGCGAGCTCTGGATACAATCGCCGTCTGCGACCCTCGGCTACCTCAACAACGTCAAGTCCACTGCCGAGACCTTCGTGCACGATCAGGATGGCCGCTGGGTCAGGACAGGCGACGAGGCGCTGGTGACGCTGGCTCCTTCTGGTATCGAGCACGTGGTGATAGTCGACCGGATCAAAGAGCTTATCAAGGTCAAAGGTGCGCATGAACACAAACCCCCCACCCTCTATTGCAGCTGCCTACGAGGACACATGAGGGAAAAGTGACTGCTGACATCGACTTCCACCATACTTAGGCCACCAGGTTGCCCCCGCCGAGCTCGAGGCCCACCTGCTCTCTCACCCTGCCGTGGCCGACTGCGCTGTCATCCAAATCCCCGATGACCGAGCCGGCGAGGTTCCCAAGGCGTTTGTCGTTAAAGCGCCGGCGTTCGCAGGCAAGCCGGAAGACGAAGTCACCTCGGCAATACTCAAGCATGTCGAAGAGCACAAGGCCCCCTACAAGTGGATCAAAGGTGGCATCGAGTACCTGGATGAGGTACCCAAGAGCCCCAGTGGGAAAATCTTGAGGCGCCTTTTGAGGGACAAAGAGAAGGCTGCTAGGGCAAAGGCTGGCCCCAGATTGTGATCGATTCATGCAAATAGAAATAGAGAATGTATCGATATTCTGGACATACATATCTTGGAGTTCTGGCTGCTATGAATGGGAGGGGGGATAGAATTAGTTAGCAGCACTAGCAACATAGCAATTCGTACACAGCAAGAGCTTCAGGAGCTTCTAATCTTGTATTGAGATATCTGGCATTGTGTGTCACTACTAAGCAGCAATCTAGCATCATGCTATCGATCCTTTCCCTTCCTTTTCCTTCCTTGGTCACTCCTGTCGTCCATCCTCACCCTTCACCTGTTCAACCCAAAATAGTACACTAATTTTCTCACCATGGGTATTTGGCAGCTCAACATTGAGGCCTATCATTGTCGTCGAGACCCAAACCACCCTGACCAAGAGCCCATTCCCCCTCCCATCTTTCGACCTGCAACCCTTCTCTTTCCCAACGAGATGGAGCCTCAGGATTCAGGTAAGCAGACAATCGCGTCCTCTCTCGCCTGCCAATCAATATCCCCACCTCTCTTCTACCCTGGCCTTAATCTCTCCATTTCACTCGCCATAGTCTTCTGCTGACAAGCTTAATCGTCTTATTGCAATGATTAGGCTCCCCTGGTCGACCTTCTCAGCAGGCTCTTCGTGCTGATTTTGGACGCATTGGCGGCCTGCAAGCTGGCATTCTTGCTGATGCTGAGACGCGTCGTACTCTCGCTGACGTGACCTTCATGGCCACGAGCAGCTTCATGGCCTACCATGTGCTGAAGCCCATTGCTCAAGCCAAGCCTGTTCATGCTATCGGTGCGACTCTGGGCCTGGCAGCAGCCATGTTCCTTCATAGTGTTCGTCACTAATCCTCCTTTCGACGAGATACAATAATCATTCACAAGAGTGAGCATAATTCTTTTACTCCTCCTTCATCAACAAGCTCCTCATGATCCCCTGGATACCCACATTTTTGTTTTCTTTCCAGTTTGCAGTATGTGTAACAAGCTAATATTTTTCTCGTGTTTGGAACTACAGAAGAGGTATTCGGACATGTGCTTAGGAGGGATTCAATGGATGATTGGGATAGGAGCAAACAGGACATGGCAGAGCAGGGCGAGCTGGACCAGATGACATCTGTACACAAGGTAGAAGAAAGGACAGAACAAGCCAGCTCATCAGCGCCTGCAGTGAATGACAAAGGGTGGACCTCAACAATTGCATAAAAGCGAGCACTGCGCAAGACGATGGCCCTCCGTAAAAGAATGAGATTCTCTTCAATAGTTGTCGTACTGTCTTCTATGTTCCGCTCCCTGAGAACGTCAACGTCTGTCCTACTACCGACTTCAAGACTGTATCCGTAGGAATTCCCGGTACCGTCCCATTTCCACCTTGCATGATGGACGCAAAGCTGTTGGAGACCAATTGGATGCCGCTGGAGAAGCCTGCGCCATCAAACTCGCAGTGACCTCCATTGGGCGTGTTGTCTGCGGTCTGGAGGGCACCCACCTGCTGGGCGCTGAGGCCCGCGTCGGTGGCGAGCTGCTCAAACGCGCTGATCGACTGGGGGATGGACTGCTGCAGCTCGGCCAGGTCGTCCTGTGAGGACTGGAAATGGATCTTGGTGGTCGAGACTACCTGGCTCGCGTTCACAAATTCGACCTGCGGGGCCAGGCCACCACACATGAGCAGCACGCCCGTCCCTGCGAAGCTGGCCATGTGCGCGGGCACGAAGAAGCCAGACAGCGTGAGCGAGCCGCCCGACACGCCCGTGAAGAAGACGTTGGACGAGTTGAACGCGACCATCTGCGGGAGAACCTGCTGCACGAGATCGTTGACGGCCTGCGAGTGCGCGACGCCGTCCGGCCGCTCGAGGCCCTGCGGCTGGCCTGTCGACTGGCCCCAGAGGAGCTGCTCCGAGGGCGCGAGGATGACGACGCCCATCAGCCCTGCCTGGACGGCCTGGTTGGGGAAATCGAAAAAGGACTGGCCTCCGTCGCCGTGGAGGAGGACGTTCAGGCCCATTGCGCCTTGGGCTCCGGCCTGCTGGGTTGCGCCTTGGATGCCGGTCGTCGTTGCGAACTGGTCTGCGGGAGCGCTGATCCTGAAGCGGAGGTTGAGGCCACTGTGTGAACGAGGTGTTATTAGCTGATAACTTTCAGTGTGCGAAACACACAGAAGTACAAGAAGAAGGAGAAGCGAAAGATGGCCTTGGCTGGCATGTGATTGCTTACTTGACCGTCGCATTCGTGTCCATGATAGTAGATCCATCTGTCGCCTGAGATATCCCTTGAGGGATCGCTGCCGCCTGCTGCTGAAGTGTTTGAGCCTTTACACTACCGCTTCCTCCGCCTCTGTTCTTTGGCACCGCGCAGGCATCTTTGGCGAAGAAGCTGAGGAGGGCGAGGAGGGTGACACCGACTGGCGAACGAATGGTCAACATTCTGAAAGTATAAAAATTAGAGAGACGAATGTAAATTGTGTAAAAGGTCTGGACCAGCCACCTCCTAATCAATCAATTATCTTTCACCGCAGGTAAGGAGGAGAAAGAGAAGCAGCAGTCTTGCACCATGAGAAGAGAGAGACACACACATACCCATTTTTTTGCAGCGAGCCCCTACATTTCAATTGATTTCATCAACACTAGTTGACCAGTTGACCTTGACGAATCGGTTTGGCGCTCTTGGCGTTGTAGAGACTTGTCGTGAGTGTTTTGGGTCGGTCTTACAAGACTGCAATGCACTGCACATCACCCCGACAAGTCGACAGAGCCCATGATCTTTTCCGACTCCAAATGTAAGAGAATTTGACGAAACATGGGATGATCTAGACGAAGCTCTCCCGCTTAGCCTTCCTAGGTTTGCTCACCTCTTCTTGGCTGACACTCTCGCGTGGCTTGTGCCAAGCACAGGGTGACCTCCGTTTCTTGGCAGCTGTTTTGGTCTGCAGCGAACAGCTCGGATCAAGTTATGAGTTTACAACCCCTTGGGGTCTCCGCCTGTCAACTAATAATCATTTCATACTTTCAGAGAAGGGATGAACCGACCACTTCTTGAAGCAGAGCATGGGCCTCTTGGTCAAGTGCTGTCTTTCATATTTAGTCTTGCGTGTCTATTTCCGAGCTGTTGATCTTCAAGTAGCCTTCGAGATCAACAGAACCTCCCAAGGCTGATAGTATGAATTGCGGTGGATGCCAGTGAGGTGTTGTTTCTCAAGGCTCGAAATGTCGCTCGAGGACAGACTAACAGCTTGAACCTTGGCATCAGTACCGACATTGGTGAGGATCACACACATCAAACTTACAAGTGATTTTGGTCTGCAACATTGATATCGACATTCTGCTCCTTGACTAGTAACTTAATTGTCTCCGCCTTTACAACAGATGCAGCGGAACTCTAGCTCTTTAGTCACATCAACAAGGCATTAATTAAGGTATGCAAGGACAGAAGAACTGATCCTCTGTGTTGCGCACTGCAGTCTGGCCTATCCACGTCTATGAACCCGACACCTGAGCAGTTGACCACTACAATAAGACATTCAAGCTTCTCAAGACTTATGCCTGAAGAGCGATCGAACGGTTTCGATAAACGCTTGTCGGAGAAAAGGAAGAAGGAAACGTTCAAGATCCCGAAGAAGTGGACTAGAGAATCCTTTCCTATCTTTGGTCCCCACCACAACGCATCGTGGAATCCAAATGCTCAGCTTCTGGTCTCTTCGATGGAGTCCACCCAGCTCATCACATGCCGAGAGGAGACACATGGACTCTACATTTGGACTGCCTGACGCTACCTTAAGAATATGCTTCAACCCAAAAGGCTCGGCGTGACAGTGGGCGGGATCTTGCCAGCTAGACCTCTGAGCCCTGGCAGCCGTATGGAGACGTGCACTGAATAGCCTCACCGAGCTTGGCCCCCTGTTCAAACATGAAGATATTGACACGAACGATCTACCATCCACCGTTCTAGTCTCCAGGGTAAAATTTGTTCCCGAGCAAGAAAGATCTATCATTTCATGAACCACCAGTTCTTCATCTTGCCGTCATAGTTTGACCAGTCAAATAATTCGCAGACTCTAGCCTGGAGATCCGCCGGCCAGTCTCCACATTAAGACTACAGTACTATGTATCAAGTAATTAAATTCCTGACATTGATGTTGACGAAACTATCTTTGGCTCATGGTTACGTTTTTGACAGGCGTGGATAGCCCAGACAATACCACAAACGGTTCGCTGGTGGGTTATGATGATAAAGAGGTCCACTGCCCTTCGCAAAGTCAGCCCGGTTCGAAAGGGCAATACAGAACCGAATTGACAAGAGCCAAGAAGGAGTCCTCAAGGGGTTCCTCAAGTGGCCATAGCATATGCATGCTGTCCTCCTATTCCTGCACCCCATACTTGCCATCAACATACCATGTACGCAGGGTCGCATTCGGCCTCTTTAGCGAGCTCTTGCTATCGATTTTGGGCGAAGTGGACATGGGTACTGTATGGCTCAATGCCAACGTGACCCAGAACCCGAGGCGAGCTTTTGGACGACGAAAAGCCCCCTGGTATGTTAGTATGAAGCGGCAGAGGCAGCAGCAGCACAGCGGCCCCTGATTTCAAGGACGGCGTACCCTGCTCAGGGGAGAACACAAAAGCCAGAGCGAGAACCAATGGGAGGTTCAGGGCCCTGTGGGGAGAACCACTCTGCCGTTGCCACCCTGTGGTTCCACAAATAAATACTACTACTACGGTGAATAAATATGCAGATCCAATCATGCACTGGCTCCTCGATCCAGGCCACCCATGCGCCTCTATAAATATTGAGAAGACTCGTCGTCTTCGATCTAATTCTGCGTAAGATTGGCAGCTCGCGAGATGGGACCTGACAGGTGTAGGTGTGTGTGTGTGTGTGTGTGTGTGTGTGTGTGTGTAAGTTGTAAGTACTTGGACTCCTCAAACATTCATTGAATGAGGGGGGGGCATGAGTCCCGGGTTATATTATTTAACCGATGCCTTTGACACGCACGCAGTTGGCTGCTCAGGCTCGCTTGCCTTGGTGGCGTTTTTTTGCGCCGCAGGAGATTGATAGCGCAATTACAGGGTAGCGAAGATCGTCGGTAGATCTCCACAACACGCACCATAATGGTATAATTTTGTGATAAACTACGTATAATAGCAGCATAAAGTACTATGTATCGACCCTCTCACCCCTCTCTCTGCCTCTTCCCCCTTACATAGTACATTGCCTACGCACCTATGTTACAGCACGAGTGGACGCCTGTCGCAACGCTTTTGCCCCACTGCCCAGGGCGTATGGACCGGGAAAATCAAGTTATATGGTTCCAGACTACCGGAGCTCTGTGCCAAAAGCAACGGGTAGACCCGCGACATCATGGGTCTGGTTTGCCCAAGCCACTTTGTTTGATGGGCTCCTTTTTCTTCCCACAAACCGAACGTCTGGTCCTGTACCATAGTAGTAAGATGGATAACAGGAGAAGGGCATCTATCTTGTCACAACATGTGGAGGGGACGGAGGGTACTGAATCCTCATTGGTTCATCTGCTGTGCCTAACAGGATCTGACACCTGGCCGTTGAGAAATGACAAAAATTCCTCCGAATTTATAGTTCTGGCATTCATACTAGCAATCAATGCAAGTCGGTGTAGCCGAGCGTCAAACTTCTGCAGGGGACGCATAGAACCGCTTAGCTTGTGAACCAGGTGACATGACCCACCGACGAAAGAATTGCCTACTACAGTAGAAAGATAACAGTCAAACCCTTGACAGGTTTTTCTTCAGGGAGGGGGGAACGTGACCCAAGCCTACCGTACCCCAGAGATCCGTCCCATAGGCCACTTCCAAGGTTGCCAAAATGAACTGCCCACTGGCGATGGGACGGAATTTGCCATTCGGACGATCGAGTCATTCGATCTCTAAAATCTTGAACCCCCCCCCCCCCTTTGTCAAATGTCCTTTCTCTGCCGCCAAAGTAGGGACCATATTGCGTGCCATGAGACAGATGGGTGCATATTGAACAGGTCCGTCCGGCCGTTCCCCGAACCAAAATACGCAAGAGTGCCTTTGACCATATCGCTGTGGACGAGTTTGTAAATGGGCGACGAGGCGACGTTCCGGTCGTGCCTCCAGGTTCTTCTTGTCTTGCCTTCTACTTCATTTCCTTGTAACAATTTGGCAAGCCTTTTCTTTTCCTTTTTCAAACAAGGGAGTCTTCCAGTGATATCTTCAACTTTGGGCGTGTGGATGTGTATATGCCCAGAGGTGTAGGTGTGTGTGTGTGTGTGTGTGTGTGTCCAAGGACTCACAATGTTTTGACAAGGACTTTATGTGTTCTGTTCTTTGTTCTTTCTCTCCTCTGTTTCTTTCCTTTTAGGGAATACCGTTATCGCAGAGTCGCATAGGGTGGGAGGATAATGACGGTGATGATGACGACGTTAACCGAATCACTCTCGCCTCTACCAGCAGAGACTCGAAACATTCTAGTGGCCTTGACCACGGCTGGCTCTATTTCTCTCGTGTCGACAGGCATACTACTCATTCACATCACATGGAGTCTTGTTTGCTGGAAGATCAGGGACATCCGGTATCAGAGACAACAGCTTGAGCAGCCCGTCGAAGCCCCCGGCCCAATTCAGACGCCCATCGACTTGAGCCTGGGGCTGTCTGAGAACCACTACTACCAGACCAAAGTGGTGAGGAAGGACGCAGATCTCAGCATCGAACCATCGTCGTCCTCGTCGACCCAGCAGGATTTGGAGACTCTGGGCACAACGCTGAGCGCCCGAGGGGAAGGAGACCAAGCACAGCCTGCGCCCTCGACACATCACGAGAAGCCTCCAAACCCACTGCTGCTGCTCATCTTCAACCTCCTCATCGCCGACACCACATTATCAACTGCATACATCCATAATGTCTACTGGCTCAAGATCGACGGGATCCTCGTGCCGTCGTGGAACTGCAGCACGCAAGGATGGTTTGTGAGCTTTGGGTGTCTCACTACCAGCGGCTTTCTCTTCACCATATCTATGTTCAGTTATCTGGGCATCATCCGAGGGTACAAGGCGACCTCGCGAGACGTCATGTTGGCGTGCTGCGTCGTTTGGGTCTGTTCGCTTCTGCTCGCCAGCATCGGGTCGATGTACTACCAGAGCCTCGATTTCTACGGAAGAGACACTGCCTGGGTATGTTGTTGATAAACCTCGTCGAGCTCCGTCCCGTCCCTCTTCCTCTACGCGGGCGGATCATCACTTGCAATCACGCTCCAGATAAAAACTAACAAGACCCGCTACAGTGCTGGATCAGCAAGCATCGAAGGACCTGGCGACTCTCGGTCTATCTCTGGGGGTTCGGAGCCATGTTCGCGACATTCGGCATTTATTGCTTCATCTTCTTCAGCCTCAGACGCCAAGGCCGCTCCTCTCGCCTGATGCCCAGGCGCTCCAACAGCCCCAGCCCAGACAGCTCGACGACGACGACAAGAGAGGAGGGCGAGGCCAACGACCACAGCTGCAGAACCGGCACGGCGCTTCGACCATCAGGTCACCACCCGGCCTTCCTCATATACCCGTGCATCTACTGCGTGACGGGCACGCCGCTCATCGTAGGCTCCATGGTGCCGTCGTTTGAGCAGAACAACATTTTCATGGCCGTGGCGGCAGTTTTGCTGGCCACGACGGGTCTGATGGACGCCATCCTCTGGTCCAGCATCATTCTGTTCAGCAAAAAGGAGGATCTAGCCGAGATTGGTCTCGACAAGTTCACCTTTATGCGTACACCCGAGGGGCGCACCCTGGGAAATATCGTGTTTGTGCAAGGAGGCAAGGCCAGGGATAGCCGCATAAATCCCCATCGACAGTCATGGCACTCGAAGAAAGACCAAGGCTGGTGGCGGCTGGGGGACAGGAATAGTAGTCAACCATCGTTGCCTCAGTATGGGCACGACGGGGACTTGGATGGTGGCATTCAGATGCAGATCATCACGAGTGTCGTGGTTGAGGAACATGATCGGCCAAATCAGTCTCGTAATTATAGGAAGTCCTCGGAATCACAGATATGAAGACGAAGTTGACTGGCTATATACAAAAGATTGGTGCATTTCTCTACACAGTGTTTTGTGACTCGAAGCTTTGGATTGACCAAGGAACGAAGAAAGGAAGCAAGCCAGCCAGGCAGTCCTCTGAGGTGATCTTCGGAGGCCCAGGTGCCACGTACCGTCTACTTCTGGATGTGTTGGGCAGCGGCCTCTTTCGAGCCTGGCTATCTTCCTCTCTCGCCTACCCCCACGGCCCTTTGACGGGTGGGATACACTTATCATGAACTGCTCCCAACTCACCTTTTGCTGGACAACATGACAGAACACAGAGCAATGGCGTAGAAAAGTTGAAATCATGCATCCATTTCCCATCTTTATCTTTGTTGCCCTCGTTTCAATGTCTGTAAATATTATCCTAGCACTACTAGTTCCAGGTATCGATCGACATGAAGCCTTCGTCCCTCGTCCGATCAAGCGGTTTATAAAAATACCACGCCATGACTCTTCACAGGCAAGTACCGAGTTTATGTCAATGGACAGATTTAGTGCTGTTCATTAGGCTCATCAAGGAGAAGAGCTCATTGGTCCGCTCATCTGTTGTGGGACGACCTTTTTAGGTTCTCCAACAACACAACACCTATAGAACGGGATCTGCCTCTTCAGAGAAATAGTCCATCCTGGCCTCTCAAGTACAGTAGCCAGAATCATCGATCCCTAAGAAGAACCTGGACAACAAACCTTGGGACGGCAGAGGACCGCTCGACCGGGACGAGTCAGGGCAAAACCCAAAACCAAAGCAAATTATTGTCTAGTGTCAACCCGTTGTCGCCGCCAACATTCAGACCATCCCCTCCCGGCCCGGCAGTCTGAGGGAACTGGTTGCCTTTTCTTTCTACTCTGGCGGGCATGTCTCACACTCAGACCTTCCAAAAGGCTTCCATCGAAGGCAAGTTCAGTGGATCATCTGTTGCATGTGCCGTACTCGGCCGTCCCCTCTTTGTGGGACGAGTGAGACATCCCGCAGCGCCCACCATGGCCCCATCACCGTTGCGCTCGAAAGCGGCTCGATAACAATTTAGCACGCTTTCCGCAACCGTCGAGCCCACGTCGAGCCTATTTTTCTGTCCCGCGAGAGCTGCCGCGAGCTTGCTCTCCCTCTTCCTGCACGCTGTCAGGCGAGAAAAGGATGGGCCCGGGAAAGAAGGGGGGGAGAGGATCTTGGTAGCTAGCCTAATGGAAGGCGAGTGGTGAGTTTGCACAATGTGATCGGGATGAGGTGCTGGGTCTTCAAAAGACAACTTCGCTCTGAAGAATCTCATCTGGAGCCATTTTACTCTCTTTCGATGTCATCGCATGTGTGCGCAGGCGTGTGCGTGTTCACAATGCTTCTTGGACAACACTGTACGTTCATTCAGTACAGTAATTAGTCTGCCTATGCTCTTGGAATTCCACCTCTCTTAGACACCCAACTTGAGATCATCATCACTCTATGATTCTCTTCAGAATAGGGATATTTGCCGCTCGCTCCGTGCCCCCCTCCTGAATCGTGGAGGCCAAAGGGCTGCCAGCAACGCAACTAGAAATCATGGAGTCGACATCCTCCTCCTCCCCCTCCACCTCGTCGGACAATAGCGACGGCATGCGGTCATGGCTCATCGGCGTCGTCTCATCGGTGGCCATACTAGCCACGCTTCTCGTCGGACTCCGTCTCATCAGCAGACGACTGGCGCATCAGAATCTGTGGTGGGATGACTGGGTCATCCTCCTCTCCATGGTAAATCAATGTCTTAGTCCATTCAATGAAACGAGATCCTCAAGTCTGACCATGCTGCTCTTCGTCTTCTTCTCTCTCCTCGCCTACAGTGCTGGAACCTCCTCTGCGTCGGCTTCTTCATCTCAGCCATGTACTCCCAAGGCCTAGGCTTTCACGTCCTACAGGTCCAGCCCGACCACATCGTCCGCATGGCCCAGCTCCTCCTCGCCGCCGAGATCATGTACGCCTGGAACCTTTGTTTGACCAAGGTCTCGATCCTGTTCCTGTTCTCCAGGACCTTTCGGGCCCTGTCGGCTCGTTCCAGAGCCTATCTCTGGGCCACCGGCTCGCTCGTCGTCATCTGGGCCATCACCGCCACCTTCATCTACGTGTTCATGTGCGTGCCCGTGCAAAAGATCTGGGACCCGAGCCTGCCTGGCACCTGCATGGACCAAACAACCATTTGGATCGTGACTATGATCCCCACGGTCGTCACGGATCTTGCGATCCTGTTGTTCCCCATACCGCAGATCTGGGCCTTAACGTTCAGACCGATCGAGAAGGTTGCTTTGGCCATCGTTTTTGCACAAGGATTGTTGTAAGTCGTCTAGAATCTTTGGTCTTCTATTCCCCTGGTCCGTGGTGTTCATCCAAACTGACACCTTCTTTTCTTCCACTTTTCCTTACTGCCAGTGTCGTCTTCACCTCAGCATATCGTTTCAGGACTCTCTTCCAATACACCATATCCGACCCAACCTACTCTCTGGCCCCCGTCGTCGCCTGGACAGAGATCGAGATCGCCGCTGGCATGATAGCCGCCTGTCTGCCGGTACTGAGACCCATCATGAGCCTCTTGCTTACTTGTAATGGAGCACGAGAGCCCGTTAGGAAGGTTGACCTCAACAACATTGAACTCAACAGCCACCAGTCTTCTCGGCGAAAAGACAGCTCGTGGCGCACGAACAAGCTCTCTGCTTCCGACAGCGGGACGCCGCTCGTTCCGGTGCTCATGAAGTCGCCGCAGCTCGCGTCCAGACCAGACGCGTGGGAGTGGGAGCAGAACATGGAGAGAGCAACGCGGCAGAGCGAGATGTGTGTTGTGGAGAGTGAGGTTGTCAGTTCGGGAAGGAGATGCACGCCGGATGGAGAGGAGGAAGGGGATTTTCCAGAGAATGGCATATGTATCACGACAGAGTTTAGACGGTGGAGTGCAGCAGCCCCAATGCCATGACTTCCAAATTATATCATGCCATAAGATGGGCCTCTTGTAGAAACACAGAATGTACTGCCGCCATCGTGATGGATACACCACCCCCTTGATGTTCATTCACCCCTGAAGCCACACACACACACACACATACACACACACTCTCAAACTCTCGGTCCGCCAAACCCAGCAGCAAGGACCACCTCCTTTAGTTTCTTCTCCTTCTCCCTCTCAAAAGCATCGACAACTCTCAGCCCAGACCGATCTTGTCTAACCTCAACAGCCCCCCAGTTCTGCTCCCTGCACGTCCTCGGTCCTCCCCCTCCGTCCACCACCTTCTCCCGACCCTCCCACACGCCCATATCGTCCAGCAGGACTTCCACGACCCGCGCGTACTCCACCTGCCTTGCCACACCAGTGCCCGGCGCGTAGAGGGACTCGGCATCCGCCCTCGTTTTCGGTAGTGTAGTACACAGCAGGTGCATGTCGAGCATCTGGGAGAAGATCAGCCCAAAGGAGGGTTTATTGCGGCGTCGTGAGTGCTGCTGCGGCGTGTCGTATGCGTACACCGAGCTGATTTCGGATATTGGTAAGGGGGGCTGGTCAAAGATGGAGCACAAGGTTGGGTCGAGGGGTCTGCTGTGCGCTGGTATGTGGTCGGATGGAACATTTAAATGCTCAGGTTTCTCGGGACCTTCTGCATCTTCTGGTTCCTCAGGATCTTCAGATTCCTCTGGGTCTTCTACATACGCAGGGTCTTCTGCGTCATCCTCATATTGAATATCCTCTGGAGCGGCAGCTGCGTTGGCGCCCGAGGATGTGGTGGAGTTGAGGATCATGATGAGGGGTCCGCCGTGCTCAGGGGAGCGGCTGATGTAGCGGAGGTGCGAGGCAACGAGCTGGACCATCTCGTGGGCTGTGTTGCGTTGGCGTTGGATAAAAAGGGAGCGAAGGAGCTTCGACATGTGTGTGATAAGAATCATGTCTGGGCGTGTGGATTCTTCTTGTTTCTTGACATGAGCAGGTCTCTCGAGGGCGGGGTCTTCGCCTGGTTTCTTCTCGAATATCAGCTCAGGTTTCATCTCTTTGATTGTATCACCCGCAGCCGTATTATCGTCGTCGCTCTTGCTGTCGTCATTGTCGTTAGACACTTTAGGATCTTCCCCAAACGTCTCAGCTCTGCTCGTCTGTTCGTGCTCGAATCCAGGCTCAACAGTCTCGACATAAGCTCTCGGCGACAATGCCCTTTTGGGCTCCAGCGGAGACGACAGCAAGTCCTCCTCTTGACTGTCGGGTATCTCTTCCCTCTGACCAGGCGGTGTCCTCCGAGGCAACTCCACCTCCCGTTGTGAATCAGTGTTCGGAGCCTCCCAAGGAGGCGTGTTGGGCAAGCTGCTGGGCGGGTCCGACAACGGGCTGGAGAACCTCTCTTCTCGAGCAGGGAGTTTTCTCTCGACTTCGTCCTCCTCCGTAACCATCGACAAGGGGTCGTCCATCGTGGAATACTGGAAATCGTCGTCGGTGTTCCTGGGCTGGCTCGAAGGCGGCTCTTGCCCCTCCCCGACCTCCTGGCTGGGGGGCGGCGGCTGGTCCAGCTCGGCCAGCGCCTCCCACAGGCCAATAATATCAAACACTCTCGATACCGCCACCCTTTCAAGACAGTCTGTCAAGAACGAGCCCGTCTCGGTCCCTTTCTCTTCCCGTGCTCCCGTCTCCAGTCCCAGCGCCGTTATTTGTCCTGTAAGCACAGCCCTCAGCTCACTCACAACCGACCTCACCGCCGCCGCAGTGATGATCATAACCCTCGGCTTCCCTTTTCCCTCTCCGTCTTCCTTCCTTGCCAGCAGGCACCTCACCAGCGTCTGCAGCCCAAGGACCAGCCCGCAGTGCTCATCCTCCGCGCTGACCCCCACCACACAACCCCTCTCGAACCCGCCACCCACAAGCACACTCTCGTCGATCTCCCGGCACCCCGTCGTGATGTTGCCTCGCCCATGGTCCCAGAGGATATCCCTCCGTCTGGCCTCAGTTTCGAACAGGGTTGTGCCTGAGATTGGTTCCTGGGGAAAATGAGAGGATGTCTGGCTAGGTTTGGGAGGGCTTTGTGAGGGGTTGGGGGTGTTGTCATTGCTTTCGTCATCATCCTCAGTCATGGTAGTATCCATTTGGGTAGTTTTCGAATACGGCGTGATTGATAGAGTAGTTAAGGACCGAGTTTCTTGGTGGAAGAGTAGGGGTGGTGAAGAAAGAAAGAGGTAGACACTGATCACACAGGGGGAGACGGCTGATGATGGGTTGTTAGACACTGCTATAAAGAAAGAGATGCAAATTCCACTGCGGTCTGAGAATGCGTCCTATCACTAACCAAGTTAGAAGTTGATTTATTTTCTGATTGAGATCAGCCCATGATAATGAATGTAGGAAGAGGTTGAAGGCTTCGGCAGCCACGCTGATGAACTTTTTTTTCCTTTGTGAAAGACAAGAGGAGCTTGATGCCTTCAGTGTTGGAAGTCACTAACAAAAGTGCACCAGGTAGATAGCCCCCAGGGAGGGGGCGGGAAGCGTCAGTTAGGGCCTACAGTAATAGTACCATGTTCTCATTTCAGCGCACGCAGGCCCTGTACTGCAGCCACTAAACAGGTATCAAACAAACAGTCAATGGCTCTCACCACTTCTGCGGACATCCATAACAATTGCCCTGGATTGAATCTGACAAGGAGATGTGTGTCTATCGCATTAGGCATAGCAATTCACAAACAAGTATTACTTCCACACCTCATCCCACTTTGCACCTCGGTCCTTTCTGTAGAAAGAAGAGAGAAAAGGAGCTTTTCGTCCCATAAGGACTTGCTTTAACGCTCGTTATGAAGCAGGTCCTACCCACAGCCAGTCTGCTGTCTTCCATCCAGTCCCTTGATCCTGTGTCTGTCCTGCTTGGCCCTGGCCACTTTGCTTGCATAGTCCATCTCATAGCTGTTCCATGTCATTGACCATGGGCTTGTCTCTACAACAGGCCTTTATGCACAGCTGGGTCCTCTTTCCCTTCCCTTCCCTTTCCTTTCCTTCCCAAAGACGCCAGAGTGGTAACAAATAGGCATCTTACCAGACTTCTGAAAAATGCTTATTTCAACCAATACCGCAAGAAGGAAAAATGTACAAGATTTGCTGATGGTCCACCATGAAGACTCCCTTTCCAAGGTCAGGTCCCAGCTGGGATGCAAGTAGCCTAGACGTGAACAGTTCTCGTGTGTTGTCACTACATGGCCATACCTACTTAAAGGATGATAAAAGTGTTCATGGGGCACAGAGAGCCTCGTCCACCCGACGTGTCACCCTTCTCGAAAGGAAACCTGGGCAGTGCCAGCGGTAGCAGGGCATCTTTCTGGGGACAAAGAAACTCTCTCACAGGAGAAAATAATTGTCACTCAGACATGTCAGCCTACTCTGCATTTCCGAAGTCTCTGTCGGCAGGGCGCGATCGGGGTCCTCCCTTGAGACTCTTCATGCGGCCAAGGAGGCCAGTCTTTTGCTTGGGCTGGTCGCTGAGTGCATCCGTCGTAGCGCGTCGCTCGAGTCCGCCGGGGGGCGGAGGCGAGGTCGGGCTATTGCTGTTCATCTTTTTGACAGAGATCTCCTCTTCACCGTCTTTGCCTGGCTCGTATTCGGCGAAGAAAGGATTGTTCTCACCGCCACCACGGGGGCTCGAGACGCTGCCGCCAGATGGACGGTCACGGTAGTACACGCCCTCTGGGTTGGTCATGCGACCAGAAGCGCCGAATCCCTCACGCGGTGGGCGGTTTATGCCTCGAATGCGCTGCGCCAGTGACTTCTTCCGCTGCAGTCCTCCATCTTGGCTCTGGGCACTTTCCTGCTGTGCCTTCTCCACAGCAGCTTTGGCAGCTGGTGTGCCCTCGAGGAAGGTCGAGCTGCCGAGGCCGACAGTCTCGTCGCCGTGGATCATAGACGCGCGGTCGTGAGGGTTGAAGAGCGCCACATCCTTCTTAGAGGGTGGCGCAACAGAGATGCCGTAGTCGGCGAATGCCTCATCAGTCGCCCTGCCCATGAACGTAGAGTGATCGGCCCGGGCGTTGACAGGGCCGGAACCACCGATAGACATGTTGGCAGAATCCTTGGCAAAGGCTTCGAGAGGCGAGTTCTTCTTCTTCTTGCTGAAGACAGCATCGTAGGGGCCGGCGTGATGGACTGTGTGGGGGGGGGGGGGGGTCGCGTCAGCTCGTCGTATTCACAGAGAGGGGCAACAGACGCGCCAGTTATAACTGGCGCTCGCAGACTTACCCAGAGAGGCGCCGAACGGGTTGGTCTCATCCAGCTTGTCAATCAAGTCGTGGTCCCTGTGGGGTCTGGCCTTGCTTGACTTTCCGTCGCGGTGTTTGCGTTCGTGCTCTCGACGCTTCTTCTTCTCTTCCTCAGTCAGCGGCCTCCCAGGGGGGCGCGAAGCTCGTCCAGCCCCCGACGCCATACGACGCGGTGGCGATTCTGGTCCCCGAGGACCGCTGCCGCGCGATCGGTGGCCTGGTGGAGGGGGGCCCCGCCGACCAGGAGGAGCCCCATTCTCGCCTCGAGGTGGTGGGGCACGACGGTTCGCTTGGGGCGATTGAGGGGAACGAGTAGGGCTCTTGCCCTTTTCCTTGTCATCGATGTTGAGGCTTGCCTGATTGAAGGGTCATATTTGTTAGTGATGATGAAGAAGCCTGAGTCGGGCACAGGTGCTACTGCGCCCTTGACAAAAGACGAGAAAGATCAATCATCACCAGACTGTTGTCCCTGGTCGGAGCAGGAGCAGGAGCAGGAGCAACAGCGAGAGCAGCAGCAACAGCAAGTCAAGGGAGGCAGACAAAGGATAGACATACAAAGAGGTCCTCAGTAGCAGAGGTGGTGGTGGTGTCCTTTTCGTCGGCCATGGTGATCAGGGGCGGTTCTGCAAGTGGCCTTGTTGTTGTTGTTGTTATTGGGCTGGCAGGCTTCTGCGATGGATCGAGAAAGGGGTTGTTGGAAACAGGTCGAGCAGGTTGTGTCTGGGTCTGCGAGGAGGGATCGTCAAAGGGGGACGAAGGGCTCTTGGGCAGCGGCGATCCTGCTCGGTTGCGAAAGGGATTGTTGGAGGAGAGGTTGATGGAAAGACCAGGCGAGGGCTGGTCGTCTAAAATGCAAAAGAAAAAGGAAAACAAGATGTTTAGTTAGCAGTCTGGTCTTTGGTAAGGTTGAGATGGGTCAGGAACGCAAACGGTGGGTTGCAATGCAATGCAAATGACGACTGTGATAGGGGACATGAAACAGCAATCTCCTTGCCACAGCGGGTTGAGCGTTATGAGTGGACCCAGCCGTCCCCCCATCAACATTCAACCCAGCACAGGCAGCGCCTGCTATCAATTGCTGCCACAGAGAGAGTGTGTGTCTGGCTAGAGTGCCACACCCTCCACCCCCCGTCTCTTGTTTCTTTTCTCCCGTCTTTTTCCCCCTTCTTTTCTTTTTCTGTTATTTTAATACACAATTTAATGGAGGGTAGCACCAGACCCCATTGATTGGGACCGGGCATACCCAGCCAAGCAGAAAGAACCCACACAACCTAACCAAGTCCCTGTGACTTCATCTTTGTAGATAAAAAGCAAGGAAAGGGGGGGGGGGGATTGGGAAGGGAGGTGGGCAGCAGAAGCAAAAACTGGGAAGTCGGCCAGGGGGGTTTGTGGTGGCTATCGGCAATATCCAGAATGTAGAGTTGCAACTTGGCACCACTCTCACCACACAGACATACATCCACATAGACACACCAAGAGCAGATCGCTGTTATCTGGCAGGGGTTCTTGATGCTTACCTAGTAGTTGTGGTTGGGCAGCAGCCATTTTTGTTTCCAAGTTTGGGCCGATCTGGGATGGATGCTTGAGGGGCAAAGAGTGGATAGTTGCGCGTCCTTCTCGAGGATCGTTTCAGGGGCTGTCCCGCTTCGCTGAAGATCAAATACCACTAGAAGCCCGACGACGTGTCCGGATTCAATGCCTCAGGCCTAAGCTCGGAGCGACTAGGACAAACACAACACAGCGCTTGACTCGACCACAAGATGGACTTCTTCCCTGCACGCCAGTACGTTCGCAGTGATGCGTGCGTGGTGCAGGAGGAATCGGACTGCGGGAGCAGGAGGCCACTGGGAACAGCGTTCGTTGTCTGAGAGACTCGGTGACAAGACTTCTCGACCGTCAATTGCGCGCTCGCTGGTTGGTGAAGTTACGCTCGCGACCTCTCTCAGAATCACGGCTAGACCAGATCAGCCTCAGTCACAGGGCGAGGTGGTTCTTGAAATTGTTGCAGCACGTCTGACGAGTCGTTCCGTGCCACGCTCTTCTCGTGTTGAACCGGTGACTCCGGAGTACGAGGTATCGTCCACAACGGAAGGGCGTGTGTGTGAGTGTGTATGTGTGTGTGTGTTGATTGGTATGGTAGCAAGTGGGCGACGCTGGTCCCAAGGGTGATGGCCCGTTGAAATACAATATCTTGTGCTCGAAGGGACGGTTCGTTTCAATTCCTCTTTGGTTTTCCCCCCTTGGTTACGTCCCGCTTCAGCCGCCTTGGGTCCTGGAGAGTGCGTGGTGCAACGTGACGTGAGCAAGCTTCGTCGGGTCGGGATTGCTGTACGCTCCAAGAACGAGGTGCAGCAGTGCAGCAGTGCAGCGCGATCGAGAGTTCGAAGGCCGTGGTTTTCGCGCTCGCTGGGTGTGTGCAGGCACGAGGTGAGGATCTGAATGAGAAGCAGTCGGGCTGTGGCTAGCAATCGGTGGAGGAAAGGCCACTGAGGTGGTCTAATAAGAGAATTGAGTAGCGCACTACCGGGGCCGGACACCTGGAGTCCGGGTCGGAAGAACTTGGCGTGGCATGCGTGGGTACTTGGGCTTTGTGAAGCACTGTACTATGTAAGTTCTCAATGATGACGGCAGAGAGGAGCTCAAAAGTGCGCCCCAGATGGGCCAGACAGTGTGGGAATGACGTTGGGGAGTTGCAGGCGCTGTCGGAACTCGGATTTGATTGCTTGATCCACCGCTCATAGATCGTTAGAAGAAGGGGGGTGGCCACGACAAGGGCTATTTCGCTGACTCTTGGGTATCGCTGGGAGGGTGGAAGTAAGGTTGGGAAATGGTACAGAACCAGGAGTGGCAATGCCAAGGCAAAGAGAAGGCAAGGTAGACTAGGCTTGCTTGATGACAACCCTTCGGAACAGAGATCATACGGTGTATTCCTCGATGCTGGCCTGGGGGAGAACGGGTGAGCTGACTGGGCCCCAAGCAAGGAGGGGGGGAGTACGGAGCCTGTCCTGGTAAATCTTCTCTCAATTATACAGGTGGTGGTAGATTATCACAGCTGTGTTGAGCGCAGAATAATGGTTCGAAGAAGAAAGATTGTTTGTTGTAGCACCTGGGTGGCTGAAGCAGAGAGGAGTGTCAAGTCTTAATTTTACTTTATTTGTGCTGTATGAAAGGGAGAGAGTGAGAGAGGGAGGGGAGAAAAACTGTGAATTCCAGCACAGACTGGCTGACGACGTTTGATGAGCTGTGTGCATGCAGGATTACATACGATGGGTACTAGTCCATGTATGTGCCAGGTACTTTCTCTGCCATTGCTATTGAGCCTCCAATTCAGCTCGCAATTGCCCTTACCATGGTACTGTAGTTGGCTGCCTCGTCCTCACCTGTCTCGGCCTGTCAAACCTGTCTGTGAAGGTTCTTTCCTTCCTACCCTTTTTTTCTCTCCCACTGTGCGAGATCCTCACTGGTTCTAACACCTAAAGACGCCATCTTCACCTTCTGCGGACCACAGTGGATCCTCCTGCAGGGTCTCTCCAGCTTCATCTCAATTTTTGCCAGCCCCCTTCTAATGAATGCTATACATTCCTACCCCCCCCCTTCTCTTCTCTCATCCAGGTCTTAGCTATTTTCATTGCATACTGTGCATTATAGTTTTTATATTAGCAGGGGAGACCAGTGCAGGCCATCTGTGCCCCTGAGGCTAGGAGCGACAGCCTGGACGGAAGAAGCTACAGTGGCCTAGGGGGCAGCTCTTGGTACCTGACTAAGTGTTGACCATGGACAAAGCCATAGCATGTCGCACGTCTCTCAACCAGCACTATAATAGCTCCATGGGATAAGTTAGTGTGGCGTCAGCAGAGGATAGACGAGGGTAACCTGCCCATAATCCAGGTGATCATGATCAACAAGGCGATCATCCCAAGGGCAGATCTCGCTGCCTATGCGCCTTTTTTTCCTTTTTCACTTCTTCTTGATGCTCTATGGAGTAGCCCAGTACTATGTAGTATAGTAACACCTCGCTACAGTCTCTACAGTACAGTACAGCCATGAAATTGGGAGCAGCAGCATTTCCCACAACCCTTTGACCATCACTGGAACAAGCTTGGATGATCTGCACCCTTAGTTCTTGTTCTCTCTTTCTTTATTTCTTCTTGCTGTTGCCTCTCAACCATGCTTGACAGAACACATGATCAATCCTGCTGATGCTTGGCAACCTTTCAGGGACATGGTTGCCAAAGGCATTCCATTGTTTGATCTTGTTCCCATTCAAGCCCAACCCGGCTTCGAAATTATCCCAAGTCTCATAATGATTTCATGCAATATCAACCAAACTTGCACTTTTTCCCCCCCACTCCAGCAGCAACTCATACAGTACTGTAGTAAGTACAAGCTTTCCAACCTTTGAGGAGAGAAAGGGCCGGGGGGGGCAGAATGGAATAGACCCCTATTCTGGTACCCCTGACTTTTCCAGGTCATTCTGACCCTCTGGATCCACTAATGTTGCGGGGTAGGTCAGATTGGCATCTCATCCCGAGGTGCTAGAGGGCCACTTCAGCTGCAACCACAGCAAGGGCCGTCGTCGCCGCCCGTTTTATGCCGCGCCAGAAACAAGAGAGACAAGAGTCGACCTACCCCTTCAGTGTTCCCTCCCGAGTTCTCAACACGCCCAAAGGATGAATCTGCAGGGCATCAAAAGTCGGGTCAACTCCACCCGTGAAGACCTTTTAACCCTTTATCTTTTCCTATTTTCATTATCAAAAAATCAAAGCCAACCAGGGTACAGTATGGTACCATACAATAGCAGTTGTACTGTGTACTGTGCTATGGTAGGACCGACCCTCAGAATGGCTTACCATTCAGCCCTTCTGGCTCGGTCGACCGTTCTCGTGGTGACTGGCACAACCATGACAGGGAGAAGGCCACATGTGCTTCGAATAGGGCTGCTGCACAGAGAGACAGAGAAACAACCCTACGGCGTATACCCGGCTAGGAGTACCACCCATGATTTCATGGTCAGACGGGCCTCTTATTTGCGGCTGAAGGAGTCGTTCCACGCAGGGCTAGACGCGTGCTGCTGCGAGCTGTCGCGGAATGGGTGGTGAGGCTGACCTCGGTGCTGAGGCCTGCTGAGTCGGGCTTGGCATGCCTTCCCTCCCTCTCTGCGCAGGTATATACAATCAACGCCAAATTCTTCAGTCTACGAAACCTGCAGGGGGTGACATCTCACAGCACTGCTGCGAGGCTGCGTGCAGTATGCCCCGGGAACATATGAGCGAACGAGATCAAGTGTGACAGTTCTTGCTGGTCACAAATTAATTTTGATGCGCCTTCGGAGCTCAAGAAATCTGCCAACGTGAGGTCGAGAGCGAGCGTTTCAGCAACCTTGGAAGCTTCACGCGATTGCCAAGAAAGAAGCAGAACCAGCCAGGATCTTGTCTCTCTCTGTCTGTCTTTTCTTCTCTTTCCTTTCGCCTTTGTAAGGCTCCTGATCGGTAGCAGCTACAAATTCTCGCGGGCATTCCAGATATGGCGACGACTGCTTCTTGGCACTCCTCACTTGTTTCAAGGCGAGACAACTTCTGCCCGTTGTGGGTTCAATCATCCCGCGCAGGACGCACGTCTGTCTCAAACGCAGCTGTCAGTGTTTACAGGCTCGGAGACTAGTGCTCAATTCTACGTGACGTGGCGTGGCACCTTTACGATTCCCCCCCACGCAGTCTACAATAGGCTCCATTCGTGCCCGATATTGCTCGTGGTTCACTTTCGTTCTGCGGTGGAAGCTCATAACTTGGGTGATCATGTGCCAATACACGTGTCGCGAAGAAAGGATCACAACAACGACGTGCATTCTTGCACTTGGCAAGGAAACTCTATCGGCTCTTGGGATGTGGATGTTATAATCTCTGGTCCAGGAGTGACGGGCCACGACGAGGACGGTAGGGCCGCAACGTCGAGTGGTGGTTCAAGCTGGGATGCCCCAGACCCGAGTGATCTCTGCCCCTCTGTTTTGCGGCATATGACTTTTCAGCCTCATCGGTGTCGACGTTGGGCTTCCTGGTGTACCTCCAAGTCTTCCTTTTTTTTTTCCCTTTTTTTTTTTTTTCCTCTCTCTCAAAGCTTCAGACAGTCCTCTCAGTATAAATTTTCAAGATAGTCTCGGCGGTGCTACGTCTTGTAGTCTGTCGCTGCTCTCTGTCCTTACTTTTCGTACCTTCAAGCTCCCCAGCACAGTGAGCAGTCAAAATTGAGCACGTCTGTGGTAGACCAAATCACCACCCCCCCCCCCCGGGAAGTAACAATCAGAATCCATTATGGGCAGCACAGGTCCGATTCTATCTTGAGAATCAGCTGCCAAGTTACCTTTAGGTCCCAAGCCATACGCCCGTCATCTTCTCAATATGACATCTTGGGATGAACGGACCACCGCGAACTCAGCACCTGGAGCCCTTTGAGACAGGACTTCCCCAATAGTGCTCACCCAAGTTTCACTTTACTTGGTAACAGCCTCGTTAAATCCTCTCAGACCGGGCTCACCATGAGCTTATTCACTCATGTATTCGAACTTCACGGCGTGTAAGCTGTGGCTTCCGAAAGGCTCGAACTGTGGTCAACGCGCCGCCATCGTTGCAGCCAAACGACCGCACCGTTGATCCGAAATATGATCAATGCCTCGTGCAAACACGAGCCCGTTCGCTCTCTTCTAGGCACTTCACAAGCAAGTATAAAGCGGCTGTAATGTGATGTTGGTCGGCCTCGAAAGTTTCCTCCTCTCCCAGCTCATCACCTCTCCTCGTTCATTTCTTCATTCCTCATTCCTCCAGACTCCTAGCCTAAGCTCACCCCCCAACCAATCCACCAATCTCGGCATGCATCTCGTCCTTATTACCTCTTTGGCCCTCGCCGGACTGGCCGCCTTCGTCCAGGCATCCCCGGCTCCGGCTGCCACAACACCTGGTCCTCTAGCAGGCCATCGGGGAGGCAAACAATGTGAAGCGATCCTCGTGTGAGTCATCATGACGCCCGCACATTCACATTCCAAGGGGCTAATCTTTTCTCTTTGTGGTGCCAGATGCGTGCAAAAAAACTGTGGCAAATGCCTATGCGGGTAAGCATCCCATCCCGAGTCGCCGGCCTGTCCTCTCTGTGGGGATATGGATGTGGATTACGGGTGGCTCTCTCTGTACTTTCTATCCTGGTTGTCTGTTTCATGGAACAAGCGACACATGAGAGGAAAGAAGGAATGATAACTCTTGCGAATAACGAGGAGTCCGCGATCGGTGTTGTGTTCTAGACCAGTGCTGATTTCTACTCCCAGGCACTGTTGCCCTCCTTGCAACGCCTCCGCCTCATTTGTGCCCTGGGCGGGTGCAGTTTAATACAAATATAGCTTTCTGCAAAAAGAAAAGAAGAAAAAAGAAAATAAAAGAAAGGAAGAAAAAACCGCTGCTGGTGGGAAGTCTGGGCTTGAAAGGCGGTGCGAGGACAGCGTCTTCGTTACCTTTATTTGTGCCAATCTGGCCGTCGGACAGCTATACTCAATCATCCCCAATCAGCGGGCAACGCCAGTTACTCCTTTTCCCTTGTTGCACACTACCCAAATAATACCTTTATTTTTCCAAATTTCTTGAATATCTTGAAACAAGCTCTTTTGGAAGGCCATGTTTCTCTTGTCTGTGTCCTGGCTTGATGGAGGAGAAGCGCGTCGGTGAGGAGCTGAAGAGCACGCCTCTGTCCGAATCTTTGCTCGATCATGCAAACAGATAGATTGACAGAACAGAGGCACTCACTCGACTCATTCTTCTCTTTTTATGTCCCTTATATATCTACATCTATAAGACACAGCTACTTCATCCTGAACTCCTTTCCACCTCCAGGCCCAGGTAGGGCCTTGTGGGAAGGAAATATAAGGTACAGCCACTTCTGACAGACTGCGTGGCGATCATCTTTTCCCCCGACGATTCTTGCCCAGCCTACGACGCTATCCTATCTCGCCCTCCTGCCTGGCACCCACCCTCATCAGAAATACCTGCTTCCGGGCTTTGAACTTCGTGCCCGTCTACCAAGAACTGCCGCCCTGTACTGTATGTGTGAACGGCAATAATGCCTACTGCAGAACAATGTGACTAGACGTCGATCAGACTCGTCCATACTGTATTATTTTCCAGTGTGGTCCTTTTTCTTTCTTTCTTTTTTTTCTTTCTTAAATAAAGGAGGATTTGGCATTGATATTACGACTTGATTGCAGCAATTGAGTTCTGCCCGGTGATGCTTTTGACCTCCCTCCATATGCCCCTGAAACGCCGATTAACAAGCAGTCCATAAGGTATACATTACTTCGAGGACTCCTTCTTGGCCTTGTCAACAATCTCCTTGGCCTTTTCGGACTTGCTCTCAAGTACCTGCTTCAGCTCCTGCAGAGTCTCGCGGACCAGCTTCTCGCTCTCGTCAGTGTGCTTCTCTGCAACCTCCTTCAGCTGCTGCAGCTTCGGCAAGATCTCGCTCCCATTGGGGATCTTGCCCAGAAACTGCTCAAGCCCTGAGCCACCTGCCACCTGCGATCCCTTGGACTTGGCCTTCTCCACGGCCTGGTTGACGTAGCCCTCCAGATCACCTGTCTCGCCACTCTCCACCGCACTGCGGGCCCTGGAAAAGAGCTCTCCGACATTTCCCTGCTTCAGCGCATCCTGATTCTTCTCGATCAGCTCCTTGATGCGAGGGTTCTTGTCCAGAAGGGGCTTTGCCTCTTCAAGGCCTTTCTTCCACGCCTCGTCCCCCATCTTCTTGACTTGCTCCGTCTTCTCCTGGATGAGGTTCTTGGCCTTGCTTATGCTCTCCGCAGAGAAACCGCCCTTGATAATATCGGCCACCTGCTTCCATGTCTCGTCGACCTGCTTCTTGGCCTCGGGGCCGTACTGCTCCCCCAGCTGCTTGAGCTGGTCGATGCTGCCGCCGAACTTCTCCTTCACCTGAGGATGCTCATCGAGCAGGTCGCCGGCGGCGTCCTTACCCAATTCGGCCACACTCTTCACGACGTCCGCGAGGACGTCCAGTCCTTTCCTTGCCGTCTCCAGGCTCAGCCCGCCCTTGCTGACCTCTTTGAAGCGGTTGTATGCGTCCTTCAAGATGGCGTCCGCCTCGTCCTTGTGGTTCTTGCGTACCTTCTCGTAGTCCTTGAAGGCTGTGTCTACGTACTGCCGGCCGCCGGGAATCCAGCCCACGTAGCTGTAGCACAAGTCTTTGATGTAGTTGACCGTCTGGTCAGCGTCCGGCGTGGACTCTTGGAACTTGGCCGCGGCCTCCTTGTACTTCTTTTGTGCCTCCTTGGTAGTTTTGTTGATGGAACGCGAAACCTTGCCAGCAGGGCTGACGAGGTAGATGCCATACAGGGCAGCACCAGCCGCGAGACCGCCGACAGCGCCTGCCAGGTATGGTGACTGTGCAGACCCGCCTGAAGACGACGATGATGATGTCGTGGTCGACTGCAAGCGAACCTGGTGGACACGAGGCGAGGCGCGAGCGGAGCGGGCAGCTCGGGGCAGCGCGGTGCGCGTGAGGGATCTTGCTGGAATCATGATTGTTGAAGTCTGGGAAGAAGATGGTTACGGTTCACGCAAATTCTATGTGGACGTGGCGAGGAGCTTGGGTGAGTTTGATGAAACTGCTGTGGATGTGTTGAAATGTTGGATGAAGGTGAGGGCAGCTTTTTAAGAGAGAAGAGCTAGGGGACATTTAAAGCTCTTGGAGCTTCCTAGCTTGTAAGGAAGTCGCATCTCGCTGATTCTAAGCGTGCAGTGACATCAGTTCTAGCTCATGGGCTTTGGTATGACGCGTGAACGACTTAGGAAACGAGACGGATGGCCGTTTGTGGAGTAGAAGCTCCGGCGTGCATACAAGTACAAGCCGCAGCTGTAAGCGCGTCGTGATGACGTCGGTTTGGTGGTGCCCTTCAAAGAATGTGTCACAGCTAATTAGCGTCTAAGGCCACGGATAGTTTTCGGCCAATTTGATTACCAAATCATTTCTTCGACAAAAGCCAGGATGGATACAGCAAGAAGAAGAGAAGTAAGAAAGAATGCACTGGGCCTCGCCTCGCAGGCTGTACTAAAAATTACATCTCAGGAACAGCCAAGGGCATTGAAGTATCTCCTTCGACGTGGAAGGGAAGGAAGAGGGATTCTTCTAACAGGTGCACAGCTGTCAGAAAATAATGCCTTTTGCGTTACTTGTAGTAGCACAGAGTAAGACGACAATTGATTAGAGTTCATCTAATGGTCTTGGATGCTCTTTCGTGGCCACCAGAGCAGGCCACCCAAGACACAAGGTGACACTCAAATGGAAATATTTTCTACATCAGTCCTTCTAACAGCAAAAGATTGGCTTCATCAACCTCTTGTTAGTGCAACAAGGGCTGGGTATATACAGATTAAGTTTGGTCACGCAGAGAACCTAATACCGAATCCTGTCATATAATCTGAGGTAATAAAATACCAAGGATTTTCCATTTCACCTTCTATAAACACTAAAACAAGATCAAGCAGGTAAACTGCACCGCAAATTTCTTTGTTGAATCTCAGATCCGACATAAATAACCAACCCCTGTCGAAACGAATTTGAAATGAAACGCCATGATGTGTGAGCGGACTTGCGTCCTCTGCTTTCTATATAAGTATCTATGCCATGATTTATCGACCCAAGTTACCGATATCCTACACCCACAGCCGGATTCCATCAAGCAGTGTTATTGTGGTATACAAGCCTCAGAAGGCCGCCATGCCTCTGCCTGTCATGAACCCCATGACAGGTGAGATATAGGAGACGGGAAGCTTTGTTGGAGACATGAGCGCCAACACTGCCAAAAGCCCGGCAACTTGCGACATGGTTGGACAGGTGATCCCCAACGCCACTGTTCGCCTTGTTGGACCGGCCTTCGTGTGGGGGATTTTGATCGACAAAGGTGGCGAGAGCGGCCGCCCATCATTCGTTGCACATGGAGCCTCGACATCGTCGAAGGTCGTATCTGCCACCAGGGGGTTCGCGGCGACCTCACGCCTCGGCAAGTGGTCGATTCTGCCGTCGTTCGTGGCCATCGGCTTTGTGACTTGCACTGGAGAGGCCACGACCGTAGCCTCGAGGCTCTCAACAGCAGCATCAAACATGGTGTCTGAAAAGGCAAATTTGACGGCGGGCGTTGAAGTGGCTCTAGACAATTGTGTCTTGCTGATGCCAATGGTCGTTGAGAAGTTGATGCTCCCGTCGTTTGTTGCTTGTGGTGCCCGTGGTACAGTAGGCTTCTCCCAGAGGTCGGCAGCGGTAGCTGCGCTGGCGAAGAGGGCCAGAGTGAAAGAGATAAGTGGCAGCTTCATGATGATGATTCGAAATGGTCGAGACACGGTGAAAGACGATTGTTCAGATGGTCTTTGCAAAGTAGGTGGTAAGTGCTCCTAGTCCAGTTTCTGATGGAAATTGTGTCGTTTGATCATCTTCAAACACTTTCCTTGGACAACGGCCTCAGCTGCCTTATATGCTCGTGCATGGTGTCGACGTTGACGATCTTGACAACCAACTACAGTCATACAATAGGCACCATGCTCTAGCCCCAGAATTGTTATAGTTGCTCATCGGGCAAGGACCGGATTCCTTCGCAGACTGTTGGCCCAACGTAGGCCGATTATGGCGGCCAACATCTGGACGGGTGAAAGCCCCGAGAGCGGCTTTCAGTCATCATAGCTCTCATGATCCTTCGCAGACTGTCACCCGCCGTTTGAAGTTTTGTGGCTGAGTTTCTCCGTACGACAGTAAAAAGTAGTGTTTTCGTTGGGGGCAGGAAAAACTTCTGGAGGCTTGAAAGACAATCATGGCTCGGGGCAGAAAGCATCATTTCGGAATACTATTGGACAGGTGGACGAAGTCGTAGGCAGTTGTTCTCTGTCCAGTGACGTTGTACCCACATCCGATAGTGGTAATGAGTCCCGCCGTCAGGCTTCAGTGAGCCGCGGCGCGCATTTGAGCAGGGCTGGGTCGGCCTCGCCCACGGGAGGTTGGATGATGTAATAACTTCATGACCAACACGATATTTGAAAGAGATTCTTCTGGACACTTGCTGTTAGTGTCCACTGGTTGGGACGAGCGGAGGAATGTGTCCTCTGCGTACATTACAAGGATGTTGCAGAGAGCCCTCTCGGAATGAAAATCGCGACACTGACTGCCTGAAGCGGTCGTGACAACCAACGGTGTCGGATATTTAGTCTGATTGGCCCACTGCGCAAGCCGTGTCATGAATCTTGTGTGGGAGATAGAGAGATATCACACTAGGCAGAGAATGCGCTGCCTATCCTACAAGGCTAAAGCATATCCTCCAAAGGAAGGTGCCAGGGAATTGCGAAGACGTAGAACCAACAGGGCGTACTATGAAGTGATAGTGAAGAGCAAGGATCGAGGGTTGATATCCGTATATTGCGTCTATGAGATTCGGTACCGCATTTAGCACAGTAACGGGCGTCAGTTTTCATGAACAGATCGTGCTTCTATGCAGCATCTACCCCACGTGCTATGCGTAACAATCTTTCAGTCCTGCCAATCCTGATCAGCCGAGGTTTTAGCATGAGGCTAGGCCTAACCAAAATGAGAACAAAGGTACATGCAGTGCTTTTTAAAACAGGAAATACGGGTCCATGAAATGCGTGGGCCCTCCCCCCCCCCCTTCCTTTTCTCTCTCTCTTCTTTTGTTCTTTTGTTTCTAGAAAGGAGTCACGTAATTCTACCTTTGGACGGCAATCCATTCACACTGCGAGTGGACCCTCAAAAAAAATTCCTTGGTCCGGTTATTCCCCTTCCTTTTTACATAATTCGGGAGAGGGTGGAGCGAGCCACACTAATTATATGTCACCCGGCCGGCCGCGACTTGTTCAGAACCAACATCAATATCATAGTAACGTTCTCGAATTAGCCTGCGCCGCTAGAGCTGCGCATCTGTGCATGCAGGGGGGCCTTCCAACTGCCGTCCAGGTTTCGTCCACTCAGAGCCCTGGATGCCATGTCCATATACACAACACTTATATAGGGTCATAAGCTGATGACGTGCGGCGAGGTATGTTGGTTCTCCTAGAGCCACCAGGAGCCAGTCCTATCAGAAACCTGCAACTGCCGTCGTCTTGCCAATCTCATTGAGGTGTGTACTAGGACTTGAAGGCATGCAGAACGCACATCTTGGTGTTCGGAGGTCTGCACTCCCGCGGCATTGTTTTGCCGACCACGTAGCACTGCGGGTGGGTGTGTCCTGATTAAGGTGCCTTTGCTTTCCTTTTTTTTTTTTTTTTTTTTTCATCCTTTTCTTACGCTTGTTCATCTACAGGACAACAACTTCTAAAAACTGTGCACCCGCCTCCATGTGTTTGAGTATCCTTCTTAAATTTCCATGGCATTGTACCTGCGTCTGTGCTGCTTCAGTTTTCGTTCCCTCAGCCCTACCCGCACGCTGAAAACCTTAAGTTGGGCCCAGCGGCGTAATCCTCAGCGCAGGGCTGCGGCTTACTCCCCCCATATGGTAGTATCCAGCGTGCTCACGGCGTGGCAAATGCACAAGGCCCCCAAACATGGATTACACTACGGCCCAATTTTTGTGCAGTTGGCTTGCTAAGCAAGTGATTGGCTGCGAGCTGGCAATAACAAGGGAGTCATATTTGTCAGTTGATTCTCCTCGGGAATATGAGTCAACCCGGTGGCAGGATGCTTTGACACGGTTTCAGTGCCATCATAAGCGAAGAGACGGATCGGAGCCGAGCTTGGAGAGTTGTCCTAAAATAGGAAGAAGCATTCTGTCCTAGACAAGAAACTGTATGTAGATACGAAAGGACGTTAAGCAAGTATTCCATGTGGGACCACCAGTTAATTATTTCCGAATCTCCTTACGCCAGTGGACAGGCCAATACATGCAGGTGTCCAGTGCCTGGATGGTCACGTGAGGTCCCGTCCTGCCGGTTTTCATTCTTGAACCACTCTCTACTAGCCCAGCTGGACGCTGTTGTTACTCGGACGTATCTCGTTAAAGCATTAGGCGGTCGACCTTCAACACGGATGGCGAAGTTAACCTACGAAAACACATGCAACATCCACATGTAAACACCACGAACTGATGAGCCCCTCAACGTCGACGTCAAACATTCTACCTGAGCAAAGAAATTAAGTCTAATCGCAGGATTCTGTGGTTAGTTGTATATGTGGGGCCAACACAGTTTTTTCTTCCTCTTTCGTAATTAATGTAATCTTCCTATGCTTCCAATCTATACCCCAAATCCTTATGCAAACAACATCATTGGTTCATGTGGATCTGACTGGTTGGCTCGATGTTACCCAGCCAGCTCCGGTTTAAACCAGAAGTTGGACCCGAAATTATATAGGTAGGTAGTATTGGGCCAAAGGGAATCAGGAAGCCCTTGGCTGTCCTTCCTTTCGACGACGATCAATAGAAGAGATAACCTGCACATAGTTCCTCCACTGAACCTGGCAGCGGTGGTCATCAGGAGGGCACCAACTGTTTGAGGACGCTGATTGTGTTGGATGTGACCGCATAGTAGACCCAACAAGCCTTTCTTTTCAGAATATAGCTAAATCATCATTGAAGGAACAAGCAAGGATAATTATAGTCACAGATAGGGCAAGATCGAGCGAACAAGATAAGTGATAATCACCTTCATTTCCACCTGAAAGATTCAGTATCACGAACTTCAAGGCTTTTAGGGATTAGTGCCACAGAAAATGGTCGCAGGACACGGAAATAAAGATTGAATTACTAGTCATACGCCTCTGAAACATAGATGAGCAGTCATGGCGACACGCTTCGTAAGATGTAGTATATAGTAATGATCAATTATGACGGCCTTCTAGAATCTGCCCGCCGAGGGGGGGTTTGTCAGCATTGCAACCTTGAAGATGAGACTGTTTTGCGTGGATGACCACAGCTTACAGTTGTAACCGTAATCTTTGATTGTGTTCTAATTATCTTCCACGTCCCGCCCCCACCCTCTGGCCACCTTGACGCAAATCTCAGCCTCCAGGTGAGGACTTTTCTGGAAGGGTCTGTTCCTGGTTTGCCCCTTCTCCCACCCCCCTTCTTTTTCCTTTTCTCTTCCATTTGAATTTCTTTTGGTAGGGGGGGGGGGCACGCTCTCTTGACAAACGTGATGGCGAGGATCGGGTATGTTAGTGAAAAATGTTGTTGGTCGACGATGTTGAAGGAGGCTGGTGGAGGGCACCCATGGATCTAAAGATAGACCTCACGTGGTTGCGTTTGCAACGGGGCGTGGACACCATAGCCTGCATAGTTGACGGCCGCCGACCGCTCACGGCTCTTCTTGCCCTCTGGAGAGCGAGAGAATGAAGGGAAAAGGAAGAAAGGAAGAGGGGATAAAAGAAGAGAAGAAAAGAGCAGGAAGCATTACCAAGTTGATGGACTTGGACCAACTAGAATCTGACGACGAATTTCCAGGTCAAGCTGGACTCATTCCCGTGTATATCATGCGCAGGTCATGCAACGCCTCATTCATAGCCCTCAACTTGGATTCAGACTGTCAACCAGTATCGAGAGGGACGATGGCCAAGTAGCAAGATGCTTTGGTGCAAACAAGATCAAGGAGCTCGCTATACGGATCTATGTCAAAGCACACAAGAGGTATGGAAAGATGCAACCCTAAATTATCATCTGTGACTGCTTATGCGGATGTCAGCTCGACCAAAAGGAAAAGAAAATGTACATGGATGCTCTGCTTTTGTTCCTAAAAACCTCCCAATACACGCCCTCCCGCCAAATCAGTCTCATCGATCCTGCAGACGAGGCTGCGGTTGCCACCCGTTGATGTAAGCCATAAGACCCATACCTATCAACACCACGCCCAGCATCGAAGCATACGGGAGTGATTCGGTGATGGCCTGGCCCGATACTGCTCTTTTTGATGGTGACCTCGCGGTAGGTGTGATGGTGTTGGCTCGGGATAATGTTGGCTTGTCGTCGAGCGAGTCTTCTGCGATGCTGTCGAGGCCAGGCTCGCCCCCCACACTGGACGCAGGTCGGCCCCGGCTGGCGGACCTGGACGCAGTGATGGTCGAGCCCCGCTCCCTGCCGTTGGACCTTGACCGTGTTCGAGCCCGAGCCCGAGCTGCTGCCTTCAGAGCTGCTGCCTCCTCGTCCCTCTGCCGAATCTGCCGCACCATCTCTGCCAGTGTCTTGCGGTCCGCATCCCGTTCCGCTGTTGCCTGGTCTGCCTGCTTCTTGTACACTTCAACCTGTTCCCTCAATCCCTTTACCTCTGACAACATTTGATCGATTTGTGATTCCAAAAACGTCGTCCTTTCATCCTTTGTTTCTGTCACTGGCACAACCTCCTCTGGTGCCTTGGGCCCGCTAGGGGTCTTGTCAGACAGGGGTTCGAAGGCATCTTCTAATGTTTTGTCTTCAATGTGTGACTTTGTTGATCCGTTCATGCGCAGTTGAGCATCGCCCTCTAGTCGTTTCGCGAGCTCCTCCGCGGCCTCGCGTGCCTCCCTCTCTTTCTGTAACATTTCTTCCAGATCTCGCATCTTGACGGTCTGGTTATCTATCTCGCGCTTCGCGCTGTTGAGCGCTTCAGTCAACTGGATGATCTGACTTAGGTTGTCCTGGCGAATAGGTGACGTGCTCGTGGGGGCAGGCTTCGGGGGCCGCTCGGTTGTCGCGCGCTTCAAAGAAGGCACATCACCTTGGGCTCTAGCGGAGTCGGGTTTTTCAGGCAGAGGCTGCTGGGGCGGGGGAGCTGGCGGGTCGGAAAATCGTGTTTTGGCATCTGATCGGAATGACAGAGAGTTCCCATTCACAACTGCTTGCTTCGGCGGTTCCGGGACCTCGACCTTTTCCTGATTCTTGATATCTTCGTTTGACAAAAGCGCATCCAAGAATTTACTGGTGCGGGACAGGTCTTGTGCCTGCTGGCGGGCATTGCGCATCTCGTTCTGCACATCGTGTGTCAGTTATCTCTATGTCGTCAAGAAGGAGGGCTATCATCTCACAAACGAGGATACTCACTCGTAATTTCTTCACTATCAGCTCGGCTGACGGGTGCGTGTTGATGAAAGCACGGTTATTGAATGCCATGTTATTAGCCTGATTGTTCATCATCTGCGCAGCTGCGCCAGCAAGCCCTCGACCGTTTGAGCCAGTCGATGCTTGGCTGCCGGTTCTGCCTCTGAATGGCATTCCGCCGCTCTGCGGCATCATCATGCCGCCAGTGGCCGGATCCAGGTCGCCAAAGTTCATGTCCAAAAGGTTGTTCGAAGGGTTTGGAAACCCAGCATGTTCCACTTTTGCCGCGACTTTGTGATGTACGACCGATTTCTGATCCTCACTCACGATGTCTATACCCAATTCAAGATGATCTGAGGTCTGGAGCTCGTGGGGTTCTGATTCCCGGTTCTCTGGAGACAGCCGTGAACCATTTACAAAGGTTCCATTGGAAGACTTGACGTCGCGGATCCAGATCTTCCCCTGACGATCTGCCCATATCTCTGCATGTTGCCGGGACAGCACTTTACTGTCAAAGAAGCCATTTAAAGGGGTGGGTATCGTCTTGTTATTGGTCTGTCGGCCGACGCGTAAGGTCTCTGGATAGAATGGTACCTGGATCGTCTTCCTCTCGAACGTGCCGTTGAGAGACAGGAGGTAGAGCACCGGCTGCCCCGGGGTCAGGGGTTCAGCAACCGGCCTCTGGGGCGCCATCTGCGCTGGAGACTGCAGTAAAGGGGCCGGGGACATCGGCGAGGCGCCGTTTAATCCGTTGGCCAGCTGTGGACGACCAGCAGGCATTCGTCCCAGCTCTGTACCGCTCTCTAGCCGCGGAGCGCTCCACTGCCCTTTTCCCTGTGGCCTTTTTCGTGGTGCAGCATTGGGCCAACCGCCGAGCTCGCCTGCTGCAGACTGCGCAGTCACGCCGTTGGTCTGGCCGTTGGTGCTGCTGACGGCCGTGGACGAAGAGGAGATGGAGGAGCTGGAGGAGATGGAAGACGACGAGTTGTTCCGCGGGATCGTTTTTCGCGGCATCAAGGCGCCCCTGACGTCGTCCGAGTTGACGGAATTGAGAGACTGGCCACCATTAAGCCCCCATGCCGGCCTGTTGATGTTCGCAAAACTGGGAGGGCTGGCGACAGCAGTCATGAGGAAGGATCGAAGCCAAGATGCGGCAGACGAAAGGAGAGGGCTGGTCGATGGGACGAGGCCAAGGCGTCGCGAGGGACGAAGATGGTAATGTGGGCTGTCGCAGGTGTCGTCTCGCCCGGGACTGCCACCATGTATGGCCACGGGTCGCGGTCGCGATCGCCGTTGGGAGAGCAAAAGACCAGCAAGAGAAGGTCGTCGAGGGTCCGCGGTCGGCGGACGCGCGGATGCGTGTCGTCTGGTCCAAGGGCTGGTCCGACTTTTTGGAAGGAATAAAAATGGTAGCGAGCACGGGACTCTGTTGACTGGAGATGCTGTGGCTGGCGCTGGAAGTGGAGATGATGAGGACGTTAGCCTTTTTAGCCCTGAGGTCATCGGCTGGGCAACGACGACAAACAGCGGCCAGATCACGCGTGCCACGGGGCCATAGGGGTACAGAGGCTGCTTCAGAACGAGAGCTCCTGCTCGAGAGAGACAAGCAGACTTACCAGTCAATTGAATCTGGGCTGAGGAGGCCTTGGTTGATGGTATAGAAGTGAGGATGCTGGGTTGCGCTGTGGGATTGACAATGGCAACAGTGGATGGGTCCAGGTTTTGGTCGTTTCGCTCTCACTGTTTGCTCTGGACCAGTGATTTGCTCTGTCAGCAGTCCTGCGGTCCTGGTCTCTCCACTGGGCAGTCCCCTGATTGATGGGCGCTTAGTGCTAGTGTTACCGTCCACACGCACGCTTCACGCCCTGGCCAGTCACACCAGTGGACATGTACCAACCAAACACCTAGCGGAATGCGTCGGCCAGAGAAAATCTCACCGGGAGCTCTTCAAAACGAGAGGAAAATCTGTGGGAGCAACAAAACTTGAGCAGCAGACCAAAAGAAGAAGAAAAAAAAAAATCATCTGCACTCTCAAAGTATCAAATCGCTGACACGGGGCCCTCAGAAACACAAAGACTTTTTAGATAGGAGGAGGCTTCAGTCCGAAGCCACAGTTGCTGTCAAGCCACAGACCACTGAGAGACAAACAGGGATAGACGCTAGAGCAAGTGTGGCTTGACAGGTTGGGGAAAGGGTCACCAGGTGGGGAGGCTATTCCGTCACCCCATTGTCGCTCCACCCCAGAAGATGAAGAAGAAGTCCGAGCTTCTGATTTTCTGAACTTGGAAGCCAGCCTGCCACCACAGACAGCTTCAACACCAAACTTGTCTGGCCTCAGAAGAACAAAACACCATGCCAGTTCCAATCAACACTGGCCATGCTGGCCCTTCCAACATTGACAAGGGTATGGGCCCTTTCTGCAGACATGGTCCTTAGACATGGTCCTTACTCCCGTCGTCGACCAGTATGGCTAATTTGAAGCAGCAAAGATGGGTGCTATGATGGGCGGCAGTATGTCTCATGTCTTTCCCCATTGGTTTTGACAGATTTCTGATGGTACCAAAATAGCTGTTGGGGTGATCATCGGCTTCATTTACGGTATGGGATGGACCACATCTCCGCTTGCCTCCGCCCTTTCCACGTCCTGACAGTCTCTCTAGGAACCGTTAGCATTTTTCGGTACGGTGCTGGACCCAACGGTATAATGAGAACACTAGGCCAATATATGGGGGCATCAGGGGCAACATTCGGGTACGCATCAAAGGCAACATTTGCGAGATGCTTGCTGTTTTGACTGACACGTCCTCCATCCATAGTTTTTTCATGTCCATCGGTAGCATCATTCGGACCGACGCCTCGCCCATTGTCCAACAAGCCTACGCGAACTCTCGACGAAGTCCGATCATCATGGCAGCGTCTCATCGGGCACCCTTCCCAGCGCGTAACCAGTCCTAAAGCGCGAGGCGTCTGGGCGAATGTGAAGATGCACCGAGCTGAATCGACTCGCCACCCTCAACTGTTATGTATAACGACAATGTATATCCCACAAACCAAAAGCCGGCAGCGCTTGGCATAGGAGTCATCGGACGCTGCTCTTAATCAGTGAAAAACGAAGAATATCAACTCATTATACTTTGGACACGTGCTTGGACATTATGTACCGTGAAGAGCGTGAGCGCAATCGTGTTGGAGGACCAGGCTGACCCGCTTTGCCCCCAAGCAGGAATATCTGGAGGCAGGACTATGATTCACTGAAATCTGTGGACTTTGCGCGACCTCTTGGGTGCATCGGCGATGCCTTTCATTGTCGGCACGAGGACATGACTGCTCGGAAGTTCTCGTAGTCTCCCAAGGGTCGTGTGTAACCCTCCACCTTCGGCCGGCCACGCACGACACTTCCTGAGAACAATAGCGCGACTAGAGACCGTGCCTCTCCAAGGCAGATTCTCAGGACAGAAGCCAGACCCGTTCTTAAATCCATGTTGAGGATGGCCCATGAGGAGCCCGGATATTTGTCCGCCTGCGATCGATCCTAGCGTCGGCTGAGTAGACGGACTGCCAATAGTGCGCGCTATGAATTCTTTCTTTGTCAATCTTCGTGCGCCTTTTCTCGCCTTTTGGCCTCAACGACATGGATTGTTCTCCCGTTCTTCCGACGACATTGGTCAAGGTTTCGGCAACATGAGGTTACGCCAATGTATCTTTTTCACCCGTCAGGGTAGCGTCAGAATGTCTTGTTCAGCCCTCTCTCACTCGACGAGATACTTCTTCGGGACGGCTTGAATCCTTGCGAATCTTTTTCAGCAGACTCGGGTTGTTCAAAGTCCTCACGGCGTTCCTGGGCATTGACTATGAGTCTCACGTCAGCTCTCTGTGAGAGGACTGTCCTAGAGAAGGTTACATGGCGGATCATCCAGCATATACTTTTCTCAAGTGATTGACTGAATCTGGTAGACGACCAACCTTGATTCCCTACCCGGGATCAGCCGGCCTCCGTTTACGAAAAGTTTTGCATGAGCTCGGACGCTGTGGTCTGATCGCTTCTCTAGCCCCGAAGAGGGAGGGAGCGTCTACTGGTGCCGTTTCAAGGCTCATACTATCATATGCTCGAGCTCTCCAGCGGCGCGCAGCTCTGAGGATAGCCCGGCGTTTGTTTCGTTTCGACGCTGTCCAAGCGGCTCAAGCTTTTGGGCCGGTGCTTACCTAAATTTAGCTTTTTGCCGTCTCCTCGGATCTTAGGGCTTCGATACGCCCCAAAAGCATCTGTTGCTCCCATCTGTGCTAACATGCTGCTGGCCTTCCCGCTGGCGCCATCTAGCTTGGACGATGCTTTCCAATTGGTGTCCCGGGCCGGCGGGTTTCTCTTTATGCGTCCTCGAACAAAGCGCAGCAAGGCCGTGAATAGTTTCATGTGGTCCTGTTAGCAGCCATGGCGTATACTGTGTATGTATGTGTCTCGGCTCTTATTCAGTAACGGCCCTCAGGTATTGTATGCCATTTTCATACTCGAGAAGCGAGCTTCTTGAAAGTGTGGCGTTGTTGCTGGGCCCGCAGCTGAATATTTCGGCCGAGATGACGGTCGACGAAAGCTCGTGTGCCCAGGTCTGGCGCTACTTACCTTTTCTTATCTCAACACGGTCATTTTGTTGCAGCGGGCTCTGCGCTTGTGGGCCGAAGCCCGTGAACTTAGGGGCAAGCACCTGCATGGTTCAAGTTCTCTCGAGCCTCTAGGCTTAAATCTAGCGGATCGTGTTGCTCACGTTGGACCTATACGAGGCTCCACCTACCGACAATGATTCGCAGCCATGAGTGACGGTGGCTGTTTGGTACTCTTCTCGTCCAAAACAAGAAAGAGAAGAAGGTAGCCGTGCATCCAGTTGGAAGGCATGGCTATAAGTATCGATAAGTCCCTGGGCTCTCTATTGCTGTGAAGATATCGTGTATCAAGGCTCACTCGTTCAGTTGCTTCTTTTGTTCGCCCTTTGTTCATTCTCTACTCCTCCACTCGTTCGACCGCGGCGCGGCCTTCATTCGTTACTTGAAATTCTTTTTTACTACACCTTTCGCTTAGGACTGTACCACGAACTTTGAAAGATGGCCGTTTTCGGTGGCATTCTCAGTGGCATATATAATGCCATATCTGCAGCCCTCAGCTGGTTGTTCGGCGTCACACAGGCTTTGGCTCAGGCCAAGACTAATGGGTACAACAACGAATATACCTGACATTAAGACACAAACAGAAGCTGACTCAATTCCCTCTAGGGCGTCATTACTGGGAACTCTATCTGCCGCTCTCTTACCTCTATTTTTAACGAATAATCCACTACCCAATGGTTATCCGTGGGGCCCCAGAACTTCAAGCAATACCAGCCCCTACACCCAGTCTCCGACCACCGGAATCATCCGCTCGTACGACTTCACCATCAGTCGAGGCGTGATCGCCCCTGATGGGTACCAGAGGGATGTGATGCTCGTGAACGGTGCCTTTCCTGGGCCGACCATCGAGGCAAACTGGGGTGATACGATCCAGGTCACACTGCACAACAACATCACTGGCCCCGAGGAGGGAACTGCTCTCCACTGGCATGGCTTCTTGCAGACCGGAACACCTTGGGAAGATGGTGTGCCTGGCGTCACCCAGTGTCCAGTCGCGTCAGGCAAGAGCTATACCTACTCGTTCAAGGCCGAGCTGTATGGAACCTCGTGGTACCATTCTCATTACTCGTCGCAATATTCTGGCGGCGCCCTTGGACCAATTGTCATCTACGGGCCCACAAACAAGGCCTACGATATCGATGTCGGCCCAGTGATGCTCTCTGATTGGTACCACAAAGACTACAACACCCTTGTGGAGGAGACGCTGAGTCCTGGCACCGCTCCAGTGCACTCAGACAACAACCTCATCAACGGCAAGATGAACTTTGACTGCTCTACCGTCACGGCCGGCGACAAGACGCCCTGTACAAATAACGCAGGCATCTCCAAGTTTAAGCTCACCTATGGCAAGACGCATCGCCTGCGGCTCATCAACAGCGGCTCTGAGGGCGTGCAGCGGTTCTCGATTGACGGCCATACACTCACCGTGATTGCCAACGACTATGTTGAGGTGCAACCTTGTAAGGGAGATTTTTTTGATTTTTTTTTTAATATGCTCGTCCTCCCCCTCAGTAGATCAGTACCCTCTAACATCCCTGACTAGACACGACCCAGGTCGTTACGCTGGGCATCGGACAACGCACCGACGTGCTGGTGACGGCGAACGTGGGCAGCCCAACGTCGGCGTTCTGGATGCGCAGTAATATCACCAGCTGTTCGATCGCGAACCAGCCGTACGCTGTCGCCGCGGTATACTACTCGTCAGCAGACACGAACAAGGCGCCAACCAGCACCGCTTGGAATGTGCCCGACCCAGGAACGTGTGCCAACGATGACCTGAGCAAGACGGTGCCCATGTACGCGATGCCGGCCCCGACACCAAGCTACACGCACACGTACAACATCACGTTATTTCAAAACGGGTCCGGCGTCACGCTGTGGGATCTTGATGGAGAAAGCGCACGGGTGGACTATAATTCGCCTACGCTTCTGTCGGCCAACACAGGCAACCTGGTGTTTGATGCCGAGGCGAACCTGAGGAACCTGAATACAAACTCCAGCGTGCGGATGATTGTGAACAACACCTCGCCAGCCGCGTAAGTCCTTTTTTTCCCTTCTTTTTCTTTCTTTCCTCCTTCTCCCGCTTCTCACTCAACATGCCCTAAACCACATAATCGTAATTTTTCTTGTTTTGTTTTTGATACAAAGACAGAAAATACAATCGCTAACAAGTTTTGTCAAAATTAAAGACACCCAATGCATCTCCATGGATTCAACATGTACGTCCTGGCAGAAGGAACAGGCTCCTGGGATGGGAAAATCGTGAACCCCAAGAACCCCCAGCGCCGCGATGTACAGCAGGTCCGGGCCAACGGCTACATCGTCCTGCAGTTCGACACCGTAAACCCGGGCGTGTGGCCTTTCCACTGCCACATCTCGTGGCACGCAAGCGCGGGCCTCTTTATGCAGTTCATTGTGCAGCCCGCCGCCGTCAAGGCCTTCCAGATCCCGATGAAGGTCGCGAATACGTGCACGGACTGGGCCGCGTACACGAGCGTGGACGTTGTGGACCAGATTGACAGTGGTGTTTGAGAGGGACGGGCGGCAAAAGCTTGCTGCTTCTTTAATTATCATGTAATAGTTTATACCCTTAATCATTAATCATTGTCATGTCACATGTTGTATCAGCAGCTTGGACGAGATTGTCTCTCTCAGAACTTGCATCAGGCGCTCCGCTTGGAGGAGTCTCGTTAGCGACCCTAATGTGTAATGTCTTTGACTTTACATAGAAGTATGACTAAGTACACATGCAAAATGGGAATCAAAATCTGAATCTTGATTTTTTTCCCCCCCCCCTTCTTCTTCATTTAGCACGTCTGCCTGATTTGATGGAGATCCAGCCGAGAAACCAACATGCCCACCAGATACGGATTTTCCGAACAATACTCTAATCTAGAACGGTCAAGTTTCAGCCACCAGCGTTGTGCACGAGCCGCCACCACCTTTATAGTCCAGCCCGCTCTGATTATCAGTCGGACGTAGGTTACTGTTTACGTCGCAAGCGTAATTGAATATAAATTTCAAGACTGGTGATGAAAAACGAACATGGGTGGCCTTGTTTCGTGAACGGGCTGCTATTTGACGTGTGGATCAAGGAACTTGGTTCGTTGGCTTGAATAGCGACGAGGTTCTAGACATAGGCAGACGAATAGTATGGAGAGTGGATTTTTTTTTTTCTTTTCATTCTCATCATACTATCTGGCACATTAGTTTGTGGTGCACGCTTCGAAACTGCGAAGCTGGCTGGATTTCACACATGTAGCGTCATCCAGACTTGTACAAATCGCTACTGGAGCCGCATCGGATCCTCCTATCACGGGAGTGTCGATAGCAGGATTGTGACATTTGCATGTCAAAGCCAATCTTGTAATCCTCTCAGCAGCTCACCCATGCCACCCCTCAATCCTCCTCTAGTCTCAACAGGTTATTCTCCCTCGGGGGCTTCCTTCCCCTCTTGGTCCTGCGCTCCGGCCTCTTGCCCTGCACGCCCCTCGTGCGCGCCGCAAACATGCCATAATCGTTCATGTCAACATCAACAACGGTGGGCTTCCCCTTCTTGGCCTTCCTGCCCTTGGCGTCGAAGCCATTCAGGGCCTGGGCTCGTGCAGCCCGGACACCGCCATCGTTGGGCACCGACTCGCCCTCCTTGACGCCTCTGCCCAGCCGGATGGAGCGCCGCACGCGCGTTTTAGCGCCGAGGGCCCAGAGGTCACCCCAGCGAGCCTTGCGCGCGTCGTGGTAGGCTTGCTTGCTGAAAGACTTGGGGACGGTCCATCTCTCGATAGATCCGGAAGGCGTGCAGAGGTCGAGGGTGACGTGCCCCTTGCGCTTGAGCGGAGGCAGGATGTTGCGCGGGAGGGAGAGGGGGTGAGGGCGGGAGGTAGACGTTGAGGGCACGGATTCGTAACCTGCCAAGGCGGCTGTAGTGGCGGACTCGCCCTGGAGGATAGATTTCGGAGTGAGGACTTGGGAGTCGTGCTCTGCTTCTGGGGCAGTTGATGAAGAGGCCTCAGCCAGCCCGGCCGCCGCGTTTGCTGGTGGGACGGGCATGCCTCGCCTAATAGCAACAAAGCTAAAGTTGATGTCCTCATGGTTGCGGTGGGTGGCACCAAGCACGTGCTGCAGGAACTGGGGCCGAGCAAAGCGCTGGCTGAAGTGGCAGAAGTCCTTGCGCCCTGGGCTGATGCCTGGAACCAGGTACATGGGGCACTTGGAGTGGTTTGTGCAAGGGGCGACAATCATGCCGGGCTCGCGCACTCGCTGCTCCAGTTCTGGCTCGGTCGTCTCTGGCCGTGGTTGTGATGTTGTGGGTGGAAGAATGAACTCGTCCAGCAGCCTCTGGCGCACGTCCGCCACTGCCTCGAAGCCTCGCGGGTGACCCTTCTCCAGCACGATGAGCACGCCGCCATCGGGCGACAGCATCGACCAGAGGTTGTCAAGGATGTCTTTTCTCCTCCACTCCTTGTCGAGCGGCACCAGGAGATGCGTCGCAATGATCACATCATATACCTTGCGTTTCTGCGGCACTTCTGGCGCGTCCAGCTGTTTGCCTCTGTTTTCGACAGATGCGTAATTTGGTAGGCGTGGCAGGAATTGTGTGTTTTGCAGGAACCGCGAGATCCTATGCCGGAGGTTGTTGGAGCCCACAATGACCGTCCTCTTCCCTGGCGGCTCTGTATCAACAAGGCCGTCGTCCTTCTCCCGCATGAGGTCCCACTCGGCCTGGAGCACATTCTGCCAGGCCGAGAGACCTGCCCCGCCAGCTCCAGCGTCCAGAACGCGAGGTCCTGCATCCTCGCCGTCTCTGCGCTTCTTCAACAGGCCGGGGAGCCAATCTGGCCCCAACCGCTTGCGCACCTCGACGAGGGCGCTCATGACTGATGCGTAAATACCAGGCAGGGCAGTCGCTATGAACGCATCAGCCTCGATTTCGGACATGCGATGATGCCCGGCTTCGATTCCGAGACCCTTTTGCTGCAGGTTCCTGGCAGACATGGGGGTCGCTGGAGAATGTGGCAGACCTGGCCCGCCGAAACCCTTCTCAGCGGCAGCCCGGACGTGTTTCGTGTCCGTTCTCTTTAACATTTCTGTGATAGGCTCGATGAAGTCGTCCTTGGGTAGGAATAGCGTCTTGGGTGACGTTGTGAATCGACCCTCCACGGTGTACTCGTGCAGTCGTGGGCCCTCATAGTCAGGATACCAGGCCCTCAGCGCATCCAGTTCCGCGTCCTCCTCGTCCTCCTCTTCGTCACGGCCCTCATCCTCCTCCACTTCCTCCTCTTTCCCATTCTCGGCCTCTTCTTGTTCCCCCTCCTCTTCAGCCGCGAGCTCTTCCTCGACATCAGGCCTTTGCTGCAGAGCCCTTATTCTCGCGACCTCGAAGTCCTTCTGTAGCTGTAACAGGGCCTCGTACTCCCTCTGGTTACTCGCGTTTGCCTCGATGAAGTCAATCTGCGCCTCGCTCGGCGGTCTTGCCATGATTTCCACTTCCTCCTCTTCAACGAGCACTTCTTCACCGTCCTCGCTCACCTGCATCGCCCGCAGCTGCTCCATGGTGTACTCCACCTGCTCGAGGTTGCCGTCCTGGTCCTCGCGGAACAGCAATGTCTTGGTCGCTGCGTCCCGAGCCGCATCCTCCTCCTCCTCCTCCTGCAACTCGCCAAACGAGCCGAAGCCGACGTCCTCTGGTACTGTCGGTCGCAGCGGGGCCCCGTAGAAGCGCTCGTACAGCTTGTATTCTTCGGCGGAGAGGTAACCCGGAGGCAGGGTGTTGCCAAACATGCGCTTTGCCTGGCGGACTATGGTCTCTGGGTCGGCGTCTGGGGGCGTTTCATCCCCAAGGAATTCATCCGTGGCGTCGTTGTCTGGTTCAGGGACATCCTCGCCGGGCTGCTGCTCCTCCTCGGGAGCGAGGTCATCTCTTGGCGGTTGGGCCAGCTCGTCGGGAAGCTGCCCTGGTGGCGCATTTGTATCCCTCTGCTCGGTGCTGCTTCTACCTTGTGATCGCCTGCAGCTTGTCGACAGGAGTCGTGCACCGTTCCTCCGGGCGTGGTCTCTTGATCTGGGAAGAGTATGGCGGATGGCTCGACGCGGCGCCGCAGTGGCTGCTGGGGCAAGTTCTGCAATTGAGCTCATATAGAGCCTGAGAATCTGTGCCGTGCACGACGGGCAGCCATTTTGCAGTCTTCTAGCCGCAAGCATGGCAATGGATGTGGTGTTGAGGGTTATAGTAGGGCGAGGAAGAAATTCCAAAGTGGGCTGGAAGAAGAGCGTGCTGGGCTGTCCAACGAGAAGGTCGAAATTTCTAAAGTCGATTGCTTAACTTTCTTAAGCGGCAGAATCGCGCCAGCGCGATCTAAGACGTATGCACTTTGGCATTCCCCACTACTGCTACTACTACAAATACTACTGTGGCGATGCCCGGGACAACGGCTCCTGACAGTTCAACTGGTAGGTTATTCTCGAGGCAGAAAAGAGAAAGAAAAAAAAAAATCAATTCGATTTGCAAGTCCTCAAACTTGGGGGAAAACGAAAAGTCCATCCCGGCGCATGGAAAAGTCCTTCGTGGCACATGGCAAAGTGCTGTGCTTCCCATCTTGCTCCGCAAACGCCATGCCCGTCCAAAAATCCTGCCGTCAGGTCAGTCCTACCTATTATTCGCCACTCAGATCGGCCAAGGTCCTGAATGTTGCCCTTGGTGCTGGCTTCTTCGCACCCCCATTAGCATCAAATTCTGAGGCTGGCTTGGTCGCGACGGGATTGTGGATGTTGTATTGGGAGTTTTGTGCGGCCTTGAAGGGGTCGAGCTGTCGCCACAATCTTGTTAGCCAGGCCATACATTCCCATCAAAAGAAGGAACAGCCACGCTTTTGGGTGTGCACACACCGAGAACAGTGACACCAGATACAGGCCAAAGAAGCCAATGATCGAATTAACGAAATTATTGAGGTCCCACTTCAACGGCCTCCGTAGGCTCTGTCCAGATCCGGTGCCCGTGTCGCCCAGCGTCCTCCCGGGTGCGCTGAACCCCGAGTTGGCAACAGGGCCAGCCATCTTGACGGCGTTGTCGACGGCAGCGGTCAGCTTGGGCGGGTTGGCGCCAGAGATGGTCTCGATAGCGACCCCGCCCTTGAAAATAATGAAGGTGGGCATGGCGCGCACGCCGTACTGCGAGGCGACGTCGCGCAGCTTGTCGACGTCGATCTTGGCGAAGACGATGCGCTTGGGCTTTGCGTACTTGGTCGCGAGGGACTCGAAGGTTGGGGCGATCATTTTGCAAGGGCCGCACCATTCGGCGTAGACTGTAGAGAAGGGGAAGGGAAAAGTAACCCTGTTAGCGAACACAACACTACTCGTGGTGCGCCTGGAGTCTGGGCGCAGGAGGGGAGTAAAGGAAGCCTGTTCGTGTGTGGACGTACAATCAGCGACCACAATATTCGATTGCAGGATTGTCCGCCATTCGGATGAGGATCCAACGTGGACAGCCATCTTTGGATGCTGTGGGTGAACAAAAAGACTGGATGTAGCGAAAGTGTAGGTCGTTGTGGACGATGACGAGTCTGGTTGGTAATGATGTTTCTCGTTGCGCTTGGAAGTAATCTGGCCGGATCCATCCTGCATGGTACAATAGCGCAGTTGCCTTGCATCTCCCCTCGGTGCGTCAGCGTCCCAAAAGGGAAGGCGGACAAGTATAGGTCCCCACCGATAAGCCGATAAAGACCCTCTCAGTGAATTTTACGCCAGGGTTCTCTCATATGGGACCTTTTCTTTTATTTCATTCTGCGTCAGTAACTAGAAAATACTGATTATAGCAATTCCGTCGAGAACTTCACAGAGAGGAATACTCAAAATGGGCTATCCAACAGATCACAGGGCAAAGGTATGTCAGAGTCTCAACTTCACAACCTCATCACAAAAGCCAATCTCACTGTCCTTGGACATGGCATGAGATGCAGACGCCAATTGTGGCTGTACTTGGGCAAACATTTGCTTGTGCACATGCCTCCTGCTATGCTTTCCCCATGAATCTCATGCTAATGATTCACAGAAGCGCAAGATTGAGGACGAAGGCGGTGACGGTGGCGCAAGCACCTTCAAGCCATGCGCCAGGTTCCAGCCCACTGGTGGTCGTGAATACACGGTCTCCATCGCTATGCCCGGCAGTATCATCACTGAGTGAGCAGTCCAGTGGTCTCTCTTTTGCTCTCCGTGGTTTGCTGATGAAAGAACAGCTTCAAGACTGCCGACCAGAGGATAACATCTCCAGGCCGGATAGCAAGGGCTCTGGCCGTCTTCTGCGTCGACGAGATTGTGGTCTACGACGATAGTCCTCAGGATTCTCGGCCGCGTGCCGTCGACCACGACAGATACACAGGAGACACTGACCCATGTCACTTCATCACACACGTTCTATCCTATCTGGAGACGCCCCCCTTCATGCGCAAAGCCCTGTTTCCCTTGCACGACAATTTGGCAAAGGCAGGGTTGTTACCGAGTCTGGATATGCCCCATCACCCACACAAGGATGAGTGGCTGCCGTTTCGAGAGGGCTTCACAGTGAAAGGGAAGCCTGATAGCGGGAAAGGGTGAGCCTCTTGGTACATTACCTTTCGTGAGAAAGAAAAGTCTCTGACGTGTATTATAGAACGCTGGTCGAGGTTGGAATGCGAAGGCCAGTCACCATAACCAACGACATCCCGCCAAACACCCGAGTGACGCTTCAGTTCCCCGAGCAGTCCTTCAACAACCCAGAGCCAGTCCACCCTCAGACGCCTCGCACAGAGGCAGGGTATTACTGGGGATACAGTGTCCGGAGCGCCAGCTCACTCTCGGCCGTCTTCACGGAGAGTCAGTTCGAGGGTGGCTACGACGTCAGCATCGGCACTTCCGAGCGGGGCACACCGGCCTCGAGAGCATTCCCATCCTTCAAGAAGCCCAGTTTCAATCACCTGCTCATCGTGTTTGGCGGGCCTAGAGGACTGGAATATGCGGCTATGAACGATGGCGAACTAGGAGGCATGGGTATCAGCGGTGGGCGGACAAAGGAGCTGTTTGACCACTGGATCAACGTCCTGCCGAACCAGGGCAGCAGGACAATCAGGACGGATGAGGCGGTCTTTATTGCACTGACGAGCTTGAGAGGTCTCTGGGACAACAGCTGAATTTGCTGCAGCTGAGGGTAGGAACGCTTGATCAACCTTGAAAAGGAGAGCCAATGGGTTCTTGGCGTCGGACCAAGCCTCCAGAATTCCTGATGGAGTGCCAAAAAGAGTCGGGGGCTCTGAGCCTATCAAACTTCTCGGGTCCAAAGTTCCTTCTTCCAGAAACATGTTACCTGCGCTCGACCAGCCGTCATACCGCACAAGGGAATGGCGAGGCCAATACATCAGAGGCTTGGATGCCTTTGTGTGTAGAGCTTCCGAGAGCCTCATCAGGGCATGTGAGCTTGCGGATTCGACCGTGTCCGGCGAGTTACGATCCGAACCCAGTCAAGGCTCGGCCACGACGGGATAAATGAGTTGCCCGTCGAATATACACATTGCTATCTATCCAGTCCCTGGGTCATTGTCATATACTGTCATCATCCTGTCGATTATTTTGAACGGACTTGATTAAAGTCATGGCATGCAATTAAGCTCTCATCCGATCCAGAAGTCTGGTCCGCGGCTGAAATACTTCGGACGATGATGTTCCTCCGACTTCCATGCCTGGGTTAGCCAGACTAACAAGATGCACCCTGAACATTGTTCATACATCCGAAACGACGTTCCATAAAAGCCGGCGCGGCTCAAGAGGCTGAATGGAAGTGAGGGTCATCTATGTCATTGCCGCTTTGCACATTTTGCAAGAAGGAAACTGACAATCCGCGATATTACCCAGGCAGATCACGGGCGACCGGAAGGGACATATGAACAGCCATGGCCCAGCAACTGGAAGGTCCTCGGTTGGCATCATACGCACTTGTTTGACCGATCCATCATTCTAAGACCGAAATAATAATTACCATGAAGTCCTTCCATCTGCTCTTGCTTGCGGCCAGCTCTGTCGCCGCTCAGAGCGGTCAGGCCACGACCACCGTTCGTACATACCTTATGACTACATGTCCTGTGCTCGCGTCAAACTAGGCTGATATGCATGCTATAGCGTTATTATGATGGACAAGAGGGGGCCTGCGGCTGCGGCTCGAACAACCAGCTTTTCTCCTGGCAGGCGAGTCTCTCTTGGACCCTACTTCCCCTCCTCAACCTCCCCTCCTAAGTAACAATATTGGCTCTTGTCCTCAGAAGAGCAACATGTTGAAAAAGAGCGGCTCCTATTCCTCTCATATTCCAACCATACACTAACACTCTGTCCCGCCCCTCCCTCTCAACAGACGGGCGGCAACGGCTTCTACACAGCCGCCGGCTCCGCCGCTCTCTTTGGCAGCGGGACCTGGTGTGGCTCGGGCTGCGGAAAGTGCTACAATCTCACGTCGACGGGCAACGCGCCCAGCGGCCAGGGCACGGGCGGGGACAGCGGGGCGAGCATCGTCGTGATGGTGACGAACCTGTGTCCCTATGCGGGCAACGAGGCCTGGTGCCCTAACAGCGGCGCCTCCAACGAGTATGGGTACCAGTACCACTTTGACATTATGGCGCAGAGCCCTGTCATTGGAGATAATCCGATTGTCAACTTTGCCGAGGTCTCTTGTCCTTCGGCGGCGTCGAGCGATTTTGCCCAGTGCCAGTGTGCATCCTGAAAGTGAGGGGGGGGGGGGGGCGTGGGCGTTGCGGTCTGAGATGCTGGCTTGGGGGTGGAACAAGGGAAAGATGCATCTCCTCGTGGCATAGTCAAGTGATGAATCGAACTTTTCACCGTTCCCTTTCACCTGTCTTTTCCTCCCTGCCAGCAGAAGATATAGACTTTCAGTCGATGCTCTCGAGTAGTGAACCAGATATGGACTACATGGAGTGAAGCATCGTTCTCTAAACGACTTCAAGTGCTTAACATAGAGGGTGAAGCTAGAAGGCAATTGAGGTATGATCCAGGCAGCATACTTACCTATATGGCAGGACGTAAGAGCCGCTGCGCAAGGCTCAGCTTGATGAGACGTAGCGAACTTCTCTTGTTTTGCCCTCTGATATCGTGCGCATTGCTCACAGACACTGGTGCCTGAGCGTCAAGGTGGAAGTGAAATTCAAGGAGGGGGAATCCCCCGCTTTGCGGTGCCATACAAACCTGCGGCCACGCCCTGCCGAACTGGTGTCGTCGCTCGCCATTCTGCTGTGTAGTGTTGGATTCTGTGAGCTAGTTACACCATGCGATGCACCACGCGGATTCCAAGACGCAGCACGGGTTAGACGGCATTCCATATACACTACAGCAGGTGTACAAGAAACATATGATTTAGGAGGCTTCATCTCATTGAGAGCGATGACCGTTGTTTCCAAACAGTCCTCGTTTCGAAATGTTGGAGGGAGGGGGAAGAGGGGCGCCTCTGCGCAAGGGTGAATCTATAGTACACAATACTATGTATAATCTCGCATACACACACACACATACACACACATGGGACGGAAATTCACATTGATACCATCGTACGAACCCATCGTCATCTCGTCCTTTTCCTCCGACGGCCTGGTGCGCTTCACGGTCGGGATGCTATGCTCCATCAGTTACGCGAGGCAGGAGAGAGAAAAAATCCACGAGAATCGATAGGTAGCCGAAAGCGAAGCGTAAATGCATGCGGACCCGGGACCCCTAAAATCTCCTTGAGTGGTGGTGTTCTGTGTGGACTTCCGTGGGGAACGTGGTGAAACGAGCGCCCCCCTGGGTTGTGTCCTACGGCGAGCGGCTGCATTTACCGCATTCATGCTCAACCGCCGCCGAGTCCAGGCATTGGACATAGCACATACAAAGACGACCATGGGAATGTCTGAGCTCTGGGTCCGAATCCCTGATGAAAATTGACGGACATTTCTGGATGGAACGACAACCTCTCTCCAGCTCGAGGCTGACGTGGAATCGAGGACAAGAGAGGCTGTCTGTCAGCTTCGGCAGCGGGAAAGCAACGGGCCGCACGTTGCGCATAGCTAGCTAGGGCCTCCAGGGACGTACAGAGGCTGAGAAGGTGGTGAGGACGGGAAGTCGGTGTGGCAGCCCAATCTTTTAGTCGCAGTGCGGTGTGTAGGCAGACTGTACAGGTTGGGTCGTGCGCCTAACATCTCAACCAACCATTTCAGCCCTCGGGAAGTCCACACGGCCATGACGGCGGTCAGCACGGGAACGTGCGTCCAGGTACCGCGTCGATGATTAGCTGAGGAGACACCAAAGCTTAATTGGGCGCCTATTGTACTCGCCATCTGTCTTGACGTAGGCCAATAACTTTACTGCCTCATTAGCCCGAGCAGAGTCCATGAGAGGGAGAGAGGCGCTTCTCTCATTTTTGGCGCAAATTAGCTGATAGGCGTAGTAGTTTAATGAGCGCCATCAATATTTGCATCCCATAGGATTGTCGTGATCGGCAGGTTCGTCCAGATCGGAATGGGCCGAGCCACGAGGCAGAAAGTTGGGTCTGCAGCACAAGAGCTGATCAGCCGGGTAAGGTTGTGTGTGTTGTACTCCAGGTACGTTACATCTGCGCCATCTGGTCGGATTCCCTTTCGCTTGTTCATTTTTTCTTTCTTCCAAAGTCCGAAAGCCTAATGCAGGATTTTGCATGGCCACCAAGAAGAAGAAAGGTTGGCTGGTTGCCGTCTTTGGTGTGCAGCGCCAACGCAGCATTGTGGTCCGTCCATGAGGTCGGCTCGCATCATTCGCGTGGGCTGTGGGTCTCTCTGTGAAGCGCGGCTCGCTTGGAAGACTGACCGACCTAAAGGGCCTCAAAAAAAAAAAAAAAGAGACGAGGGGAAATGTGACAAGTGGAGCAGACGTTGCAAGGTTTCAAGGGTGCCAGTAGAAGAGGTGGTAGTCCAGGCTGCCTAGTTAGTCGCTGGGCTCATCTCCCTCCTTCCCTTGACCCCTCATGCCCTCCTGCTCCTTCTATGGTGGCATGTCATCGTGCGGATCTCAAAAAACAGGGGTTGGGCGTCAAGGGGTCACGAAACTAACGTCGATCTGGTCAAGAGCTTATTCAGGCGGGCAATTTTAGGTTTAGCGTCAGGAACCGACCCTTGGCCTTTGCGCAGGTCCCAGAGTCAGATTGATGAGGTTTTTCTGCAAAGGCCAAAACAAGTCCCCCCCATTGCGACATTGGACTCCCAATCCATGACCCTTAACCCATGGCTGCCACCTGGCAACACAACACAACGCTGTGCTGCGCTGCGCTGCCACGACTATAGTAGGATGGAATGGATGCTTTGCATAAACCTTATGAAGGATCCTTGAAGGAAGGGGGCAGGGGAAAAGCCAACCACAAAAACAACTGGTTACGGACGGATCGACGGTGAGGCTGGCGGTCGGGCTTGCTGACGGGCTCAGAGAATTGGCGCACCCAAAATTGGAATGAGGACAAGATAAAATTATAACGATCTGCGCGGCACACCACCAAAGAGACCGCACACCCACACCACGCATACCCAGTATTGTGTAAACATGTTCGCCCAACCCCGAGGAATGAGGAGTCACACAGTTCGCTAGGCCTCTCCGGTCACTTTCATGGTCCAAGAAAGTTATGTGTGGGGAGAGGGGGGCTAAACCAAAGGAAGCACAGACTGGCCTGACTGGTTAAATGAGACTGGTCTCGAGGCTTGGCCCCAGCTTTGTCCCTGGCCAAACAGTACAATGTTCAGCCAGCGGACCACCACAGCCCAGCCGGACCTCCTCCGTCTGACACAAGAGACCCCAATCAATTCCCGCCCCAAGGCGCAAAGAAGTGAAGAAGGCAAAGAGCATAGCAGGAGGAGAGGGGGGGGGGGCATGAAGGTCTTGGGTGCGCAGCGGTTGCAGGTGTGCAATTTCCCACCGGCCCTCCTGGCGCGAATAGGATTCTTCCGAGTCCAGAATACCTAGGCGCTTGGCATCACCAACAGCATCGTCACGTGTACCAGGAACATTCTCTCTATTTTGTTGTTGTAAGAGGAAGGCAGGGCTGGCCCGGGCTTTCTCATGTTCGAGGCCAGGAAGCATGGTAGTCAGTACATGGCACCTAGGTCTGACCTAGTCTGTCTACAGCCATTGTCACGGGGATGCCCAGTACCGTATACATGGCCCTTCCTCCCATGACAGGGATTGTGTGACCGCCTCAACGTCTTGTAATTTCGTCTGTGTGTTAAACACCCCTGCCCACCACCTACGACCCATGTCCTACCCCATCCTGCCCCCATCATTCTATGGTAAGGTTTAGAGAGAGAGAGACGACACACTGAAATCCCTCGTCGTCCCCAGCAAGTCCCATGTCCACCCCTCTCTTCCCCTCTCACTCTCGATCCCTTCATCTTCCATCCAATACCCACGGACTTCGTTGGCAAAGTCTACCACAGTTCACTATCTTTCTACCCCGTGTTACGATACCAGTGTTTGAGATAGATTCAGCCTCTGCTCGAACCCCGGACCAGTCGGCAATCTTTGCTCCCACAACGCTCATTCTCAGAACATTGTCTACTTTCATAAAACCGTCACAAGATACCACTTTGTGCGCCGTGCTTTCCATCTTGTCGGATTCATTCGTTTTCGGGCAAATCGAATCAGACAATCGCCGGACGACTGCACATACACACACAACTTCACAAAACAATTCTTGCGACGGACAAGACTACAACAAACCAGAAAACACCTGTGTCGACTTGGACTTTGTCAAGAAGATCAGGAGACTATAGATCTACAGAGATCACGACGAACGATCAACGCCATCACGCTACGAAATACCTTCACCGTGGATTCACACGCGACAGCTCGCATTCTCTATCCATCATCATGCAGTTGACCAGCATCCTAACAGCAGCTATGCTGCCCCTTGTCGCCCTGGCGCAGACAACCACCGCGTCTGGCACGACCACCTTGACCGCAACCTCGACCAGAACCAGGACCATCACACTGGCCAGCAATACCGTGACCATGACTGCCAGTGCCAACACCAACTCGACCGTCGTCTACGCCACCGGCTCATATACCGGCAAGGCGTCCAACACCGCCTCTGCGACCTCGACCGGAGCCACAGAAGTCCCAGGTGTCAACGGCCTCGGCAGCGGCGCTTCCTCGCTCCACTCTGCGCATGTCGCCGCTGCCGGTCTTGCGGGTATGCTCGCTGTGGCCTTAATGTAAAGCGGCTAAGAGATGGTGCTCTTGGGGCAATTCTGGCCCACCCACAATCTCTTTTCTCTCTTTATTCCCCCACTGTCAAACCCGATCATCTTTGATGCGAGCATCGGACCAGTCCATTTCCTTTTTGCCGGAACGAAGGCAGCGATCCATGGCGCACACGTCTGAGATATAGTTATCAGCGCATCAGCAATGGTAACAGGATCATCAGGCACCCAGGATCAGCCTCAGGACAACTTGGATGACAACATCCACGGTTTCTTGAGAATATTGCAGGCGCCGCGCGCTTGCTTCTGCTTTGGTTCCGCCAATCAAGACAGCAATATGGTACTCTGCCGATACACACACAAACAGAAAGAAAAAAAAGAGAGCATTTTGCACTAGCGGAGTTGGGAGAGCGCAAGAGTTTGGTGGCATAAAATTCCTTTTTCATATCATTTTTCTCTATCCTCCTTTGCCCTTCACCTACGGACATTTTCATGTGGAGACTGGTGGTCAACCAAGTTGCATCGATTGCGACTTTGGACGACCCACAGCGACCACATGACCATGTCTGGTTGGTTGGATCGACAAAACTTTACCTTACAACTTATCACCTTTCACGATCTACGAATTCACCGACTTATACATATCTTCGGATGACGGCGCGCATGAGTTTGGAGGACATGCTTCACACTTTTTACCTACCGACATACGGTATTATTATTTAGTAGCTCCGGCCCCGTCTCCCGTCTCTACCGCCGAGGTTCGGGACGGTCCGGGGTGAATCACCCTTGGTTGATACCCTTTCATTTCAATTCTATCATGTTTTTCTTTGCTCTTTTCACATCTTTTCAATCTCAATGCAATGCATCTGGGGCTGGGAGTGTAGATGGCAGTGCTTGGGTCTCCTGTCGCGGGAGGAGATGAGGCCTGGCTTGGGGGGTTTTTGACATACTGGATGTCGGATCTTGAAGGAATTCAATCAAAGCTTGATGCCACATTGAATACTTGGAGATGGCCGAATGGGGAACAGAGGGGAGGTTGAGCTTGGTGTCATTTCAAAAAGGGGGAGCTTACGCGCATGTACAAGATACAAACCCACACAAAATTCCATGAGTGTACTCTGCTCAATCGCATGTTCCCTCACGAGTGTCAATGTTTATAAGAGCAAATTGTGTCCTCACCGCTGGCGCAGCCGTGCGTAAAAGAAAAACCCACGGTCCCCTCCCCCCCTCCTTCCCCCCCCCCCCAAAAAAAGAACAAAAGTTCAGCTTCTCTGTACAGCATGGCCAATTCGAACCACACAGAAGATTACTGTCAGACAGGACGGACAGACATGGGCATCTTTGTGTCTCGCAAGACTTCTTGAGCAGTCATCTCAACGCCACCCCCCCCCCCCCCGAACCTTCTTCTCCCTTCAGTTCTGAGGTGAGAAGATAATCGTTCGGCCGAAAATACTGTAAGCCTGACCGAGGGCTACGTGGCCGGGGCCTAGTGGCCATAGCCTTGGCCTGGCTGGTTGAGGCCACTACTACTTGGCCTCACAGCTACGAAGACATGCGGCTCCCGGCTTGAAGGCTTGGGGCAGAAGAGTATTTGGTGTTATGTTTTTTGTGTGTAAGTGATGTGTGTATGTACCCGGGATCTGGATCTAGGTTCTGCTGCTGAATTGGCTTTAACTTGCATGATTTCTATAATTGGAGGCACACCTCTGAGGGCAAAGTGGAATAGAAAAGTAGGTAGATGGAGGGAGAGGTTTTGTCATTGAACGACTCAGAAACACCTCTGTGTATTCTCAGCTTGGGTTTGCGAGTATATTCCTCTTCTTCCCAAGATGTCAAGTGGTATCGGGTGCGACAGACTGTCAACAAACCTTCAACAAGTCAAAGACATCTCTTCCTTCCCGAACTGTTCATGCTCTGTTGCTGGTCCTCTCTCCTGTTGTTCCTCCATATTAGGCCTCCAGCTCCCTCCCCTCAAAAGCATGCTTGTTCAACAGCCTCACGGCATTGCCCCGCAACCGCTCGGCGCTCAGTCTGGGACCCCTCACGTCGTTTTGCACGAAACGCGTGTGTTCCAGCACAATGTGGTCGATGGCGACCTGTGGGGCATACGGGTAGTCACTGCCAAAGAGTACCCTCTCCTCGCCGCCCCTGCCGACAAAGTCCAGCAGGCCGTTAAGCTGGGCCGGAGTGGTGGACAGGGCAATGTCGTAGTAGAAGCGGCCAACATCCGTGCGGGCCTGCAGGACGCCGACGGGGAAGCGGGAGGCGAGGTTGGGCATCATGAGCGAGCCGAAGGCACGGGTGCCGACAAAGGGGAGCGCGCCGCCCGCGTGGGAGAGGATAAAGTCAACGTCCGGGCAGGCGCGCACCGTGCCCGTGATGACGAGATCCACGGCGGCGCGCGTCGTCGCGAGGGGGTAGTCTAGAATGGGTTGGGGCAAGCCGTTCTCGCCGCCGACGAATTTGGGCTGGACGTCGAGCATGGTCGGGTGGATGAAGACGAGGGCCTTGTACTTCTGCAGCCGGGCGAAAAAGGGCTTGAAGTCCGGGTGGCCCAGGAGCTTGCCGCCGTACGAGGTGAAGAGGGTGATGCCGCTGCAGAGCTTCTGCTCCGTGAAGAGGTAGTCAAGCTCGTCCAGGGCGCCCTCGAGGTCGACGAGGGATGGGACGACGCCGAAGAAGCCGAACTGCTGGCTGTACTTGTCGGACGTAGCGAGGCCGCCGAGATAGTCGTTGAATGTGCGGGCAAGTTTTCGGGCTTCTGGGCCGTGGCCGAGGATCGCAGCACCGGGGGTCGAGACGGAGAGGATACCTGGGAATTGCTTTTGTTAGAGGTATGGCGACAATATGTGACAATGACGGAAAGAGAGAGAGAGAGAGAGAGAGAGAGAGAGAGGCGACAGCTTTATACCGAGTGTGGTGCCGATTCCTTGCATTGACTGTAGACAGGACTCAGGCGTCCATTCTGGTGTGGGGAATCCTGATGGGTTGCCCTGGACATTTGAGGATCAGCGTCTTGTCTGCAGAGGGTGGTGTCGGATGATAAGTAGAGACGAACCCCAGCCTTGTTGAGCTCCGCAAGATATTGTGGCGGCAGACAGTGTATATGCGTGTCAATCCTCCCAGCTCCAGCTTGTATCCTCGATGCCCTCTTCGCTGCAAACCGCACCACTGGCTTCATCACCGCCTGGATAATTTTGGTGAGATACTGCCCCATGTCTGAGGAGCAAGAGTGGTGTCGAGGACCACCTCTCCGTTGCTAATTTTGGGGTTTTATGTCAAAGCACGCTTCCAGCAAACACACTGAACAGTCGGGGTCAGCAGGCAGTGGGGCTGGCTACTCCTTTGAAGGGAGGTTCTCGGGCCAAGGTGCTCAGCCTACCATATTGAAGTCAGTGAGATAATTGGGAAATGAATCAATTCTCGACGGTGCAAGCTGCCAGAGCGCACGTACAGGGCCGTTATCCATCCTATTTAAGGCTCAGGGTCCACGGCGGGAAGACAGATTTCATAGGCGGCAACTCGAATTCGGCGACGCCTCGGATGTCGGTAGCAGGTAAAATCACACCCACAAGGGTAGGTAGGTGACAGAAGCCTGGGTTTTGGTTGTACGGTGCATTCAAGAGGGATAGAAATGCTGGCGTTTTCGGTGCCCGAGCCTCGGGGCTCTGCAGGGTGTGCCCGGGACCACAAGGCGGCAGCAGACAAGAGGCATACAACCCACGAAGCTCTCGTAGATTGACACTCTCTTTGGAGCTCCCAATAGTCAGATACTGGTTTTGTCAAGACCGCCGAGATGTTTTGCATGTACCTTTTCTAAAGGTGTAAAGCCAGATTCAGGGACGCAAGAATAGAGTGCCGGTGTCTCGGTCCCTTGACGTTGGGGGAATGGAGGCCCACTTTTCGGTAGTCACTCTTTGCAGCCTCGCAGCAGATTTACCACTGTTCGGCTTTCTATGTTAAGAGAGCTGGCGCTGTCGGATGTCCATCATAGTGGTTGAATGGAGGTTTTGGCTGTGTATAGATTTTGTCGAGTGTGCACTAATCTTCTTCAGATTGACTTGACATGCGCGCTTTGAGGGCGACATGCACAATCTTGGAAGGACCTGAAGATATCAAAGCTGGAGCTCTGGAGAAGTGATGACTTTTTCTCGACTCAAAATTGATGCCAGAACTCCCCACAAATTGAGTGGCTAGGAAGAAGAAACCACAAGCGGCCCAGCTTCACGAGGTATCCAGATTGGCGTCATCCTTGGTCCAACAGGTGCAGGTCATGCTGTGTCGATAGCCGGGAATCGCAACCAGGAAGCTCACAGCTGCAATAACATAGGATCCAATGGCAAACCCACCAGAGACATCATTGTGGATGAAGGACCACCACAGAGACAGAGCCAGACTCGCAGTGAGCCCGAGGAGGCCTGTTGCTATCAGGACATGGCAGAAGCGCAGCTTGATAAACTGAACATGGCTGCGCCTAGGCTTGACTGTCTTTTTAAGGGAGGATGCTTCTGGTTTGGCTTGGTCTTGTTCTTCTTCTTCTTTTCCTTCCTCTTCCAGTGGGCCAACTCTTGGTCGCAGACTCTCGACATCACCATTACCAAGGTCTACCGCAGACGAGCCCTCTCCTCGTCTGACCTTCTTGCGTGCCATTTGATCGTCAGTGAGATAAGGAAAGAAGAGGGGAAGCAGAGAAGAAAGGAGCAGAAAAGAACGAGAAAATGCACTGATGCATCAAAAGTGGTGAGTCAACATAAATGAAAGTTGTATGCATCCGAAGAAGGGTTCTTGATGGCGGCAGCAATGATGGCGGGAGGCTAAAGATAGAAGTGACAGATTAGCAATAGGTCAGCTCTCAGACCCCGATTCTGGAGTTTGGAGAAGGCCCGGGTCCACTGTGCCACCCTACCGCACCTAGCGGCTGTGTGTCACTTTAGGCTTATCGTTTATCGAGCGATAAGGAGGAATATGCCGAAGGACCCTAAAAAAAAAAAAAAAAAAATCTAAATCCTGGAAGGTGAGGGGCTTAGCCTTGCGCTGGTGGCACTTAGTAGTCTTTTTTTCTTCTTGATTTTTTTTGGCCCATTGCATAGTAGATGCCCAATGCTGCTGACTGACTTACTGACCGACCCCCCAGTATCTTCTAAATAAAATTTCCCCTATCCGATCTTCTTGATTTTCTTTCATTCATTTCTCATCCGCCACCACCCATAAAAACCCCTCCAACTCTTTTTCCCAGGCCCGTCTTTGGGCCAACCTCTCCACTCCTTCATCTTTTTCTTGTTTCTCTTGTTTTGCATTTCTGGCATTGTAGAGTTGTTTTCTGCAGAGTTCCCAGAGAGAGAAGGGAAAAAGGAACTTCTGCAGTAGACGATGCCACACCCCGTTTCCCCCCCTTCCGCGATGAATCCTCCCACGGTTGTCGCTAAGGGTGACGCTCCGCCACCATCGCAGGCGGACGTCTCGGCCTTCCTCGATGCGATTTTTAATGCAAAGACTTCCAACGCCTCCATAGAAGCCGCCTATGGCCTGTGCGAGCTCCTCCAGAACGCCCCCTCGGTCGGCTTCCGCGGCCTGGAACAATACGGCATTGTGGACGAGATCAAGAAGGCTGCCGCAGACAAGAAGTCGGGTTTGAGGAGAGAGAGCGCCCAGAACCTGCTGGGTGCCCTCTTTGAGCGCTTCCCTCCCAAACAGCCCATATCCGAAGTGGTCTTCCTCGTCAAAGATGGCGGCCTGGTCGGCACTGCCTTCGATGCGCTGGCAGACAAAGGCGCCGTTGTCCGCGACGCTGCGCAGTACGGTCTTGATGCACTGTTCAACCAGCTCAGCCCCGAGGCCCTCGTGGTCGGCCTCCTCCCTGCGCTGCAGGCCTACCTGTCCAAGAAGACTGGAAAATGGCAGGGCACGGTCGGCGCACTCACGATGATGCAGAAGATGGCCGACAAGGCCAAGCTGGAAATTGGCACGAGCAAGGAGGAGGCATACGACAAGGAGGTCCTGCGCGAGATCATGGGCGCCAAGCTGGCCGCTCTGATCCCCCTCGTCGAGGACGGCATGCACGACCTCAAGACCGAGGTCGAGAAGCAGGCTGTCAAGACCATGGACTCGCTCACGGCCCTGCTGCAGAACGACGATGTCGCCCCGAGAATACCTCTGCTTCTCGAGTCGATGCAGAAGCCGTCGGCCCAGTCCGTGCAGAAAGCCATCCACGCCCTCTCCCAGACCACCTTTGTCGCCGTCGTCACCTCGCCCGTCCTCGCCCTCCTCACCCCTTTCCTCGAGCGATCTCTCAACAACCCGGGCACCCCGCAAGAAGTCCTGCGACAGACCGTCGTCATCACCGAAAACCTGACCAAGCTCGTTCATGATCCCATCGAGGCTCGCACTTTCCTTCCCAAGCTGCAGCCCGGCGTGAAGGGTGTCGTCGAGAGGGCGTCTCTCCCCGAGGTTCGTGAGCTGGCTACACGGGCGCTGGGCGTCATGGACACGGCCATGGCCACGGACAAGGAGGTGGTCGAGCGCATCAGCGCCGAGGACGTCGCCAAAGTTGTGGACGCCGAGATCAAGAACAACGGCGGTCTGTATGCTGGCCATCTAGACTCGTACAAGCTGATCCGGCCGTACATGTGCTCGATGGCCGCCGAGGACGTCAATCACCGCTTCGTCGACCGCATCGCTGCCAGGATTGCGCCGTACCTCCAGGGTCTCCTCCAGAAGAAACCTGATGAGGCCCCTAAGGCCGTCGCCGAGGCCGTCCAAAAGTACTACGTGGATGAGGATCACCGCAAGTACGGCGAGCCCGAGAAGGATGATGATGGCGAGGTTGAGATTGTCAATGCCAACTTCTCTTTGGCCTACGGTGGCATGCTCCTGCTGTCGCACACCAACCTGCGCCTTCTGAAGGGCCACCGGTACGGTCTCTGCGGTCGCAACGGTGCTGGCAAGTCGACCCTGATGAAGAGCATCGCTGGTGGTAAGCTGGAGGGCTTCCCCTCGCAGGATGTCCTCCGTACCTGCTACGTGGAGCACAACCAGGGCGAGGATGCCGACATCAGCATCCTCGAGTTCGTCGCCAAGGATCCTGAGATTGCCAAGAACGGCATCGAGCGCATCTCCGAGGTCCTGTCCGAATTTGGCTTTACCGCTGGGCCCGAGGGCAGACAGGCCGAGCGTGTCGGCTCCCTGTCTGGAGGCTGGAAGATGAAGCTCGCTCTCGCCCGCGCCATGCTGCAAAAGGCCGATGTGCTCCTCTTGGACGAGCCGACTAACCACCTGGACGTCGCCAACATCGCCTGGCTGGAGAACTACCTCAAGACGCACCCAGATATCACCAGCCTGATCGTCTCTCACGACTCGGGCTTCCTGGACAACGTCACCACGGATATCTACCACTACGAGCCCGGCAAGAAGCTCGGCCACTTCAAGGGTAACCTGAATGCCTTTGTCAATGTTCGCCCCGAGGCCAAGAGCTACTACACCCTCTCGGCCAGCAACGTCCAGTTCAAGTTCCCGCCCCCTGGTATCCTGTCGGGCGTCAAGTCCAACACACAGGCCGTCATCCGCATGTCCAATGTCAGCTTCGCCTACCCGGGCGCGGCCAAGCCCTCGCTGTCTGAGGTCTCGTGCAAGCTGACCATGTCGTCCCGCGTGGCCATCATCGGCCCCAACGGTGCCGGCAAGTCGACCCTCATCAAGCTGCTCACGGGTGAGACCATCCCGAGCACCGGAAAGGTCGAGAAGCACCCCAACCTCCGTATCGGATACATCAAGCAGCACGCCCTGGAGCACGTCGAGATGCACCTGGAAAAGACGCCCAACCAGTACCTGCAGTGGCGCTATCAGAATGGTGACGACCGCGAAGTCCACCTGAAGCAGACCCGTGTCATGTCGGACCAGGACCGCGCCCAGATGGAGAAGACTATCGATATCAATGATGGCAAGGGCGCTCGCCAGATCGAGACGCTTGTCGGTCGGCAGAAGTACAAGAAGTCCTTCCAATACGAAATGTAGGTTTTCTCTTTCCCTTATATCTCTCTCACCATCACACCATACGATGCCCCGATCCACACACATACACCTTTGCTGACCAACCCACCTCTGCAGTCAATGGAAGGGATGGCTCCCCAAGCACAATAGCATGATGTCCCGTGAGACCCTGATCGAGCTGGGCTTTGACAAGCTCGTCCAGGAGTTTGATGACCACGAGTCGTCCCGCGAGGGTCTCGGCTACCGCGACCTGCAGCCCGCGGTCATCTCAGAGCACTTCAAGGACCTCGGCCTCGACCCCGAGATTGCCAACCACAATGAGATTGGGTCACTGTCGGGCGGACAAAAGGTCAAGGTTGTCCTCGCTGGCGCCATGTGGAACAACCCGCATCTCCTCGTGCTCGACGAGCCCACCAACTTCTTGGACCGTGATTCCCTCGGTGGCCTCGCCGTGGCCATCCGCGACTTCAAGGGCGGTGTGGTCATGATCTCCCATAACGAGGAGTTCGTCGGCGCCCTGGCCTCGGAGCAGTGGCTCGTCCGTGACGGTCGCGTCGCACACAAGGGGTCCTCGGCCATCGCCCTCGACCGCTTTGAGGACTCGCGGCCCGGGTCTGCCATCCCGTCTGGCGTCAACACCCCCATCGGCCTTGCCTCCACCGTCGCCTCCACTGTGGCCTCGGCCGTGTCCAGCGCCGTCAACTCGGGCGTCGAGGACAATGCCGACGACGTGCCGCTCAAGTTCCGCGCCAAGAAGAAGAGAAAGAAGACCAAGAAGGAGCTCAAGGAGCAGGAGGTGCGCAGACGCCTCCGCCACATTGAGTGGCTGAACAGCCCCAAGGGCACCCGTCACCCGCCCGACACGGACGAGGAGGACGAGGGCAGGGGCCGCAAGGAAAAATATCCCTGCTGCAACGCCAATGCTTAATGGTGCCTGGGGATCATGTGATATGATGTTCATTTTTTCTTTTGATTGCTTTATTTCTTTCTGTTTTACCCCCCCTGAAGGCGAGAGGGGAGACGAGACGAGAAACCTACAACAAGATCACGACTGCTGCTGCTACTTCTACTATTACTTTTTTTAGTACTATGATAGAATGAAAGTGCATGATGATAGATAGATGGGAGGGCTGCTTCACACCAGAAAGAGGAGAAAAGCATTGGGTCTTGATTTTTTTTTTTTTATAGACACATAGGCGTTTGATTTAGACTGGATCGGGTGGCTCAGCTCTGAACTTTAGACTGGACATGAATGCACAATTTTATTGGTCTTTCTCCCCCTGATTCTCGAACAGTTCTTCGTGTTTGCTGCAGATGTGTGTGAAACTAGTACACCTATCACCTGGGTACAAGACAGAGAGGCCCCCCTTCATGTCCATGAGTGTGCCCACGATGCCCTTTCCACAACAGTTGCTATCATTGGTGTTGTTATTGTTCTTAACAGGGGGGTTCATCATTGATTCAAGTCAGTCCCCTTCCTGCCTGTGACATGGAATAATTCTAGCGCAACTTTCTCAAAAGGAGAAATCAGGAGCCTTGTCTGCGCATGCTGAGTGATTGAACCGGATTGTAACTTGTCTTTTGCATTTTCAAAACATTGGGGCAAGTAGATGGCCCTCACTGTACCCAGGTCGTGTCGAGCAGTGTGGGTGTTGTCGTCCGAGGTCCATGAACACAAAAATAGATATATATGTTCATACCTGTCTCGACGAGGCAGCGTTCTTCAATGTTTCCTCATGTCGTCTTTGAAACCTTTGTCCTACTAAAGCTCTAGAACTTTTCTTCTCATTGCTTACTCACCTGCCAGTATCAGCACATCCTGTAGCATGATATGCATGAAAACCGATTGCCAAACAATTGAAGCAGGAACCTCAACATGACAACCTGTAGATGATTTCAAGTACATTGATGAAATATAACAACGCTGCTGCTAGTAAAATTGCTATGAGCTGCTTGTAATTCATGTGTACCGTAACGCCTCTGCTATGCCCAAATGCCTCTCTGCTGGAAAGCCTTTCTTGCGTCCTGTTGGTCTTCTTTCCCCTTTCTCGGCTCTCAACAAAACAATGAAGAATTTCTTCCCTCATGCAATACCTTTCTTATCCCCCGCGCGGTTCTCCACCGCCCAGCCCACCAGTGCGTCCCAGTCCCGGCACTGGTGCGTCGAGTTGGCCCCTGAGAAGCCCGTCCTACGCCCGTCGCCGGCGTGAGCCTCGGCGTAGTCCAGGGTCGTGTCGCCAGCGCACATGATGGACTGCCGGAGGTAGTCGATGCAGTGGTACTCGTGGCCTGCGCCGGCGAAGCGGGATTTGGAATGAGACTCGTACTTTTTGATCACATCGCGGATGACGCCCTGGCCTCGTGTGTAAGCTACAGTTTTGCGGGAAGGGGGAAAGAGAGAGGTCTCTAGTGCACAGCAGGGCCGGGCGGGGGGGGGGGACGATAAAGTGAGAGGATCGACAAGGTAGACAGAAATCCATGTATAGAGAGAAAGGTGGAGGGTCCCATCACCTACCAGACAGTGAAGTTGGTGAAGGGCAGAGACAGAGTATATCTCTGCGTCTTCCGGATCGCCCTCAATGGCCTTGCTCGCCGGCATGTCGTACTGTCTTGGGTGCGGGACACGCACGAAGCCCGAGCCAACTGTTTACATCCCATTCATCCGCGGTCAGCCAGAGAAATTCCCGACAGACTACTGACCAGGAAGGAAAAAGGAACTCTAGCTCACCTGGCATGAGATCGTCCCACAGCTTATCACCATCGATGCTCGTATCCTCATACGCCGTTGGAAAGTCAAACTTGACCTCCTTCATCGGAACTGCCGCAACACACACGCAAGCATCAGTTTCTTTTGGTTTCTCCGAATTCCATCACTCTCCTCTCTTGCTCCTCGCAGAGTATCATCCTCCCATCACGACTTTGGTAAACGTACTCTCCGCGACAAAAGCCTGTGCCGGCAGCAGCCCATTGTCCAGTCGCCCCCCTGACGACCCTAGCCCTACTCCGCCGCCCATGTTCATCTGCGGGTGCTTCCGCCCGACACAAAACCCCAGGACGATGGCCAGGAGGAGCAGGAGGACCAGGTAGAGCACATTCTTTACACCCTCGTACAGTGACCCGCACCTTCTTCTTCTCCTGTCGCCGCCGTCCTGTGCGTCCAGCGCTGCGCTGTCGTCCTCTGTGGCGAACAGTGGTACTCGAGTGTAGTCGTTGCCCATGTTGTTTTTCTGTGGCCGGGCCAGCGGTGATAAGGATAAATAATATACAAGGAAGTAAAGAATGAGAAATGAGGGGAAAAGAAGGGTTGCAAACGAAAAGAACTTGAGATGGTTGAGAGAATGAAAGAGAGAGAGAGAGTGTGTGTGTGTCTGTGTCTGTGTCCGCGCACGCAATAGAAAAAAAGAAGGATGACGGGAAGGAAAAACAAAAGTCTGAGGACTGAAGAGACAGAAAATGGGAGTGAATCTTGGTGTGGAACACCGATGAGGTGAGGTACACAAAAATACACACGACGGTCGACTTCGTATGGTCACGTAGTCTGACCACCATGGAGAGAGGTCGCGGTGCAAGGCCGGCCGGCCCAGGGAGAGGAAGGCGCGGCGCACCGTGGCACCGTACGACAAAAATATCCGGGGGGGGGGGGGGGTGGTTCCGCTTGCTGTTTTGGGACGGGGCTCATCTATCCGCGACAGGCCCCTGTCGTGCCTTACTTTTAAGTACATCAGTCATCTCCATAATTGTATATGGATATTTACTTAGTGCTTAGGTTTTTTTGGTATCAAGTCCTGACCCTATAAAGGACCCTAACCCCCGAGCTTGATGGACTATGACCACGACGACGACCAAGATGGAGACGGTCATGTCGTGCAGTTCACATCACTATGGCCTTACTTCTACGGTGTACTTGGTTGGGAGTGGGTAAAGAAGGAATGTAATTGCGTTTGTTGCTCGTATGCGTGTGTGTGTCTCAGACATGCTAATCTATGTGCTTTTTAACAGATGCTCCCGTGCGTGTGCAGTACCGTCTCTATGTATAAACCTTGTGGCGTGAGCCATGACCCATCTAATGCGCCCAAAAGAAAGTAAGAGGGAAGAAGGAAAATTTCTAGCAAAAAGGATGAAACAAGGGAACAAATGAATGTACGTGTCTGTATGCCAGGTGCCTCCAAATCGACCTCGGGATGATATGTCTCGTGTACGCCATGATCGCGTCCCAGGACCAGCATCGAATGCTGTTGTGACATCGCCCGTGTGCTTTATGATAACGTGAGAGAGAGAGAAATAGAGAGAGAGAGAGAGAGAGAGAGAGAGAGAGAGAGAGAGGGAGAGGGGGGGGGGGGTAATAAAACCAAGGGAAAAGCCCTCGAACAAGCTTAGACCGGCACAGGAGAAGGAAAATCGTACACCCCGCAGTGACACCGTTCGGTTGTTCTAAAAATACCAACACGCAGCGTAGAAGTTGGCAGCAGAATGAGCAGACTATATCCCGTAGCCGACTTTTGTAGCTGGTCGTACCGCCCAAAGTATCGTCTCCCTCACCGGATCACCATTGCAAGACGTCGTCAAAACGGTGCGAGGTAACATCCTCCTGCACCCTATACTGAAGGCTCGCCAGGCCATGACTGCAACCAGAAAAAGAGGATAGCCCCGCGAACCACGTTCCTTCACCATCCTAGGGGGTATGAGGTGGAGTGGGCGTGCCAGGAGGCGGGTTCGGCCGGATTGGCCCCGGACGAGGGCGAGGGCGTGGAGAAGGAGGCGGTTGTGGGGTAGGGCAGACGGTAGGCCGTACAAGAAGACCGAGGGCAGTGAGGGGCTTCTCCGCACCCAGCTTGGCCAGTCTGAGGACCGGTCTCCGAGGGGTGGGTGGCGGGGTCGGGACGCCTGGCGGCGGTCCAGGTTGAACAGGTCCAGGACGGGGGCGAGGACGGGGCGAGGGCGGCGGTTGGGGCCTCGGCAGGGTGATGATAGCCGGCTGGCCTCTGACGAGTATGCAGATGGTTGATTGTTCCGAGGCAGGATATCTATCTCTGTCCACAACTCGCCGATGGAGTTCTCCAGTGGCTTTCTTGAGCCCGGGGTCTTTGGTGGTACAGGCCTCGCCGACGCCACCAAGGGCTGAATATGTATGCATCCCCATCTCCAATATTGTACCCGTTGGCGGTGTTACAAGGTCAGTGGGGGTTAGTTGTTACTGGAGGTGGCCGTCAGTACAACTAGTGGCAGAAAAGTATGCGCTTGAGGGAAATTATGTTGTGTCGAGGGAGCTTGTAGGCTAGGGATAAATAAAATTCGGGAGCGTCTTTAAGGATACCAAATCATCTTTGGATGGATCCTCGGTTGTCTACTTGATGCCCATCTCGAAAGAAAGGGGAACCATCCACGTCTTATACAGGTCTTGATGACACATCAATGATCAGACGAATGAGTAATAATAAAGCAATGCCCCATCACCAAGTCGATGCCTGATGCTGTTTTGAACACTGTCCACAACCTGAAGAAGGATAAATTCATGGTGACACCAAGGATGTGCCGGAAAGAATTATACGACCGATCTACCTCATCGTCCTGACAGACCGTAGAGGTCAGTGCTATTCTGGTTCTCTCGGCATCTAGGCGTAGTATCTCAGGGGCTGTTGGTAGAGACAACGAATCTGGACAGGTAGGATAGCCATCCTGAAGGATTGAGCTTGGGTTGCAGGAGGAGAAGACATGTCGAGAATCCCCCCAGCGCTGTATGTGTACAGGCTATGATCTGGCCACCTGGATTCGCGCACATCCTCTCTCTCCCTCGAGAGAGCCTCGCAGGATGAGACTATCTGATGCAATATCCACACTCTGGCGGGGGCCAAAAAAGAAGAAGAAAGAAAGAGTGGTCGCCAACAAGGCCGGTGACAATTCCTGGTATGAACAAGGTCGTTGTCTGTTGCACTCTCAGGCCCGGGGTAAGAGGGGGTCCGAGTTCTGGGGCCCTGGGTTTAGGCATGCCATAAATGGGCCGCCATCGAACATGGATTTCAATTTGTCAAGGTGGCTTTGGGCCTTGATGTGTGTTGTGCTCACCGGTCCCCAATCGAGAACGGCGGGTATTCGGGGAGGCTTAGGCGGGCGCAACACTTCCGATCAAGGTTGCCTAGGGTCACCTCAGCGACCTGTCGTTCCAGCTCGTGGGGATCCACGTGCTGTGTGCTATGCAGGAGGGGAGGGTTCCAACTGCCGCAGCCACCTGCAATTGTCCGGTCCGGGATGCGACCCATCTTTCCGCTATGACCAGCCTTCTCTTGGGTATAAGCAAGTACCCTGAAAGAGCCGCAAGATATCTTCAAGTGTCAGCGTAATCAGTCATGTAGCACTGCTGCTTACGGTCTCTGCAGTGTGGCTCATTCTGCTGCAGGACATGCAACGTAGCGTGGGGAAGAGTTCATTTATTTGGTAGAGATGTGCGCTCTAGACGCTCTAGTTGACGCCTCGTACGACCATCCACGTGCGAGTGTCTGTAAGCGACGCAGTCAAAAGTATGGGTTGTCTCGCCTTGGAAAGGATAGTTCAGCTGATTTGCTCACCTCGATCGAGAGACGCACTGTGGTTAACGCAAAAAGTGCACATACATACTTCAATATGCGCCCACGTGTTTCCTCAGAACTTGTGTGCGTACTATGTTTCCATGGTTCCAAGGCGTCGCGCAAGTCCAGAAGGACAGAACTCGTCGGCACTCGTCGGCACTCAGGCCGCCACCAGTGTCGTAGGGCTGAAATGGAGGCAGCCGAGTGGCAGGCATGTACAGGAATCTCACCCCCCGTCCCCCTCTGTTCCCCAATCGGAAAACCCAAGCGTGGGGCTGCTTAAGTCAGCGATGTTGGACACAGCATAACCGTCAGTTGGATGGCGATGTGCTAAAGGATCCGAGTCCTTGTTCCATAGCTGTGTCCTGACAGGTCAGATTAGACGCGCTTTTCAGGACCTTGGCACCTCTGTGATACCTAGAATCTCAGTGCGCATGCGTCCAGTTGCCTGATCTAGGTCTGGCGTGTTGCTATCAATACAACTCTCCTCAGTCTCAAAATATCACATCCTCAGCCTGTAAGCTGCCGTCTCTCTGGCGGCCTCCGTTCAAGGCGTTGAGTCGGAGAAAAGACTGTTTGACAGCGCAAAGTGAGTGACGCAGCTTTGTCTCGGGCGATCTCCCAGGAAATGAGACTTCCACAGGCGCGTGGCTCGGAAATTGGTCGAAGATGCCCGCATTTTGAGCCATGCTTGGTTGAGTGTACAATCTCGCCACACCATGGGTCATTATTCACAACGGACGACAATGTTCGAGAAAGAGGTCCACTCTGACGTTAGCATAGCTGTAGATAATTGTTACCAGCTTAGTTTGTGTAACTGTTCGAGGATTCGAAGACTTACTATGCGCAAAGTACTCTGACCTGGGGATTCGCAGGCACCCGGTAAGGAGCACAGCGGCAACGGTTCTTTCCGAGCGGTTCGCGCAGGCAGAAGTCGCTGGCGTGAGCTTATATCCCTCCGGAGAGCATCGCATAGCCGTTTCGAGAGTCAGCAACTCACTCCTCTGCAACAGCGTGCGCAGTTGTGCCTTCTTTGACGTCTGCCTGTGGGGACAGATATTCAGATTGTGCCTAGTCATCTGGACCTGAGCCTCCATCAAAAGGCTGAAGGTTTGAGGGTTTCCAATATCCGCACTTCGCAATCAGGAGGAGCATAGCTTCGGACGAAGACACAGAAGCTCGCACTCCTTCGGCCAAGGCGAGACCGAGAGGCGATCTACGCGTCAAATACCGCAACCGCTCTCAAACATTGGTATTGCGGCCAGGTCCCATGCAAGACGCAATCATTCCGTGTCCGATGATGCCAATGTATGTCGTACATCTAAAAGTGAAAGGAAATCGGATTCAAGGCGTCGTGGTGATCTCTGAAAGGACGGAAGGACCATGGGGGGCCTCCAAGTTTCCGTAACCGCCCAGCAGCCATCCATTCATCAAGGTCTCAGCCAATGAGAACACGAGTAATCCGACAGCTCGACCATGAAAAATTACCAATTGGACAGAACAAAGGTCAACGTAGAGGTCTTTCTTTTTCTTTTTCTTTTTCTTTTTCTCTTCTTTCTTTTTCCTATTCGACATCTGCCCACCGTCACTTTAGCACGGCGGCTAACTCACCATAGCCCGGGGGTCGGTGTCCAGAACGACCCGTTCCCACGTCAGATTGAGGGAGACTAGCCCTCGAGGGCTACATGACGTGTTCAGCTTTTCCATTTGCTAGTATAGCTCCCTGAGATCATTATGTGGAGTCAAGATGTTTCGATAGTGAAAGAGAACAAACCTAGACGCTCGAGGCTGCGCGCAGTGGCCTGGCGCCGACGACTTCTCTTCCACACCACGGCTAAACAAGACAAGATGATGCGAGAGGGATTGCTGTTTGTGGTACAGTTCCATTCCTTCCTGCTAAAATCCCGATGCTACCAATTGCCTCCGAACTCGCCGTGATTCAGTGCCACGAGGATCCGACTGTTCATCGGTGTCGAGTCCTAAGCGCTCCGCTTTCATCAGCTCAGCCAGCTCCTCGTAGGGCAGGACAAAGTAAGTGGTGGTCAGCCGCGCCAGCCCACCTTTCACTGAGTATCAGCACCTCTCCAATCGCACAGCTGCATCAGTCAGAGTCCTTCGTCCGCGAGGCTGGCCTACAGTCGTTCTGCGAAGAGGTCTTGTAGACAGCCGCCAAGATATGCTAGATCCACGCAGTTCCATCGCGGAAATCGTGCTGCTTGAGGTCATCTCACTGTAGGTAAGAGTGGGGATGTGCTCTTTGTCAGATCTCCCGGATCCATCTCTTCACACATATCGGTAACCCGAGCCTTTTTCAACGATGGCTCCTTCGGTCTCTTGAACGGCTTCTGCCTGCTCGGTGGCCACCATAGCTCTCATAGCTTTCGCGACTAGGACTACGCCGCCGGTTGTAGTCGTCCTCGTACCGCCTGCCTCTGCCGCGCCGCGATGGTGGTGAGCTGCGCGACCTGCTGCGCGAGTAGGATGGCGATCGTGCGCGGTATCGTCCACCCCTTGTGGAGGCGGCAGGGGACCTGGATCTAGATCTTGATCTTGAAATGGACCGCGGCCGCCAAGTGTCAGATGGAGGCGCACCACGACCATATCGGCCGCCTCCCCGTGGGCCTCGACCACGTGGACCACCATCGAAACCTGGCGGGCCACGGGGGCCTCGGGGGCCACGACCTGGAGGCGGAAGCCTAGGGTCGAAGTTGGCTCCACGGGTAGCTGTTGGTGGCGGGGCAGAGAACTTTCGGCGCGGCAGGACTATCGAGACGCTGATGGTGGCACCATCCAGTTGTGCTTCGTGCATATGTGCAATGGCGGATTCAGCGTCGGTCTCGTTCACGTAGAGGATGTAGGCAGCTCCGCGATTGGTACCATCTAAAAGGCAGCGTGGTCAGCGCCGGGGCAAGGCAGCACGCAGTGAGTAGAGGAGGGGAAGCTCACATTGTCGGCTCAGAGGCACGTCCATGTCGTCAATGTCACCGTATTGACCAAAGATTTCGCGCAAATGATCCTCAGTCACATTCTTGGTCAATCGCTCGACAACAATCTGCTACAGAGGTCAGTCTTCCCCGTTACATAGTTTCTATAGAAAGACGAGTCGGAGAAAGGAGGAGCGACGGACCTTTGTACTCCTAAGCGGGCTCTCGCTGCGGGAGCGACTGCGACCACGGCTCAGGCTTCGCATCCTATCATCGTCCCTGTCATAGCTGCGGCTTCGACTTCGGCTCCGAGTACGGCTCCGGCTGTTGCGATCCCGGCCATTGCGACGTGGTGGAGAGCGACGGCGCGAAATGGATTGAGACCTGCTTCTGGATCGCGACCGGTACGAGCGCGAGCGACGAGAGCGGCTGCGCGAACGAGGCAGGTCGTCACGGGACCATGATCGCGAGCGTGAGAGCGATCCTGATGGCGATGGCATGGTCAATATGTGGATCTGTTTCAAATTGTAGATAGAACAGGGGAAAATAAAAGTTGAGGTTGGAGTGAATTTAATCCACGAGCAAGAATCCCGTCAAAGAGTTGGAGCGCGTACATGCTGCCGCCTGCAAACAACTTTACAGCCTTGCAGGGTTAGGCAAGCACCTTCCTTGGTCTACCATAGTACATAAGTTGCTTGCTATAACTCAGGGATCCTTGTAGAGGTCTATAGGGTTAGGGTCAAACAATATATTCCGCCATCCCCATTAGCCAGTAGAGAGTGATAAGATGTCATCAACCATGACGCCCCCCAGCCAATGCCAGGAAACAGACATCACCAGTCAATCACTCATTTTTGAAAATGCACAGCTTTCTAGAATTATGTTCTACATTCATATAATGCAGGAGACAGGATTTTTGACAGGATACCCTGTCAGCTATTGTACATTATTCAAATAGTCTTACTAAAAAGCAGAGGCAGCAAGGTGTTGAGGCTGACATATCAGCTAATTAGATTACACTTTTCTGGGACAAGTGTGTGTGATGAAGACTGCCGCATATCAGGTGCTATCAACCCCCTGGACTTGAATCGCGATCTGATGAAAGCTATGATTGAAATGGAGATTTACATAATTTGTATATTCTAAGCTGACTAACAATACACTTTTTGCATATCACAATCAGTCTACATTTATGTTGGGGTAGTGTTGATTTGACAGATCCTGAGGGGGAGCATGGCCAATGTAATCTCCCTGAGAATATTACTAGCATGGGAATCAATGCCCCTCGAGGGACTGTAATACAGTATGGATAAAGGGATACACCGAAGGCATAAATTTTCGAATAATCACCCTTATGGCCAGCTTGGAGAGTACTCATGGGGTCACTGTATGCACTTCGAGGGAAGTCCACGGACACAAATCGAAGATGCATCATGATATCTGGCGTGCATTCTATTTTCTCTTGATATTTACTTATCTCAAGTGCCCACTTACTACCTACGCGCCTGTCTACTTACTTCTACAGTGGTCACGCGTCAGTCAGTCTCTCCAGTAACCGCATCTTACCTCAGGCTACACCCACCTGTGCAGTTTACACCGTGTTTTGTGGGACCTGACTTGCGTTACCTTTGCTGCACCTTCCTCTTTACCCAAACACTACCTTCTCCCAGCATCCACCTGGGCAGGCTCGAGTTTGACTACAGCTCCTTGTCTACACTAGTCGACGCCTTCTTCACCTCGACCTTCAAAAAGCTGCTCTCTTCTATCCTCGAGCCATCCTCTCCTTCGCCCCACATCTTTCCCATCCCATTTGATCTAAAAATTGCTGCTTCCTACCTTTGCCATACCCTTGAGCCTCGTGTCTACTGGTATCAAAGATGCAGGGCTGGACGATGATCCTCCCCATCATCTTGGGCATCTCATGCCTCGCCCAGTTGGCATCTGCCTACTGGATGGATGACATTGCCCATCAGGGAGTCGCCTCTTTCAATCCACATGCTGCTATGTACCAGGTCTTCCGCAATGTCAAAGATTACGGTGCTGTGGGTGATGGAGTAGCTGATGACACTGCTGCCATCAATGCTGCCATCAGCAATGGTGGTCGATGCGGCTTTGATGGTGCCTGCTCTGGGTCTACTACTACGCCCGCCACTGTCTACTTCCCAGAGGGGTGAGCTTCTAGCTAATTGTTCCTAAACAAGACTGCAGGATATGGTCGCTAATAATTGCTTCTACAGAACTTACCTCGTGTCCTCTGCCCTCTTGGTGACCTACTACACGCAGATGATCGGTGATCCCACCGCTATGCCTGTCATCAAAGCCTCGCCTTCATTCAACATTGACGATGGCATTGGCGTCATTGAGAGCGACAAGTACAACAACACCGATGGCCAGCTTAACTACGTTGCTACCAATGTGTTCTGCCGCCAGGTGCGCAACTTGGTCATTGACACTACAGACATGTCGCCTACCATCAATATTGCAGGTATTCATTGGCCTGCAGCCCAAGCCACCTCCATCCAAAATGTTGTGTTCCAGCTCTCCCAGGTTCCTGGAAACCAGCATGTTGGCATCTTCATGGAGGGGGGCAGTGGTGGCTACATGGGTGACTTGACCTTCTACGGTGGCATGATTGGTGCTCAATTTGGCAATCAACAGTACACAACCCGCAACTTGACTTTTGTCAGCTGCCACACTGCCATTCTACAGCTTTGGGACTGGTATTGGGTCTACAAGGACTTGACCATTGTGGACTGCAACATCGGCATTAATCTGACTGCCCCTTCTGTCGGCTCTGCAATCATTCTGGATAGCGTCTTTATTGACACTCCCATGGCTATCGTCACTAATTACAGCAGCACCACAGACCCAGGCAAGATGCAGAGTCGGGGCACATTGCTCATGGAAAATGTTTCCTTTGGCAATGTCACTTCCATCCTCCAAGAAGGTACCGAGACCACCTTGCTCCAGGGTACAGCTTATAATGAAACACTCATTACTGGCAAAGTGATTGTATGTTTCTCTACTCCACAGCGGTCAGGGTTTGCATGCGGCGACTAATTCATATCTCTCCAGGGCAATGTCTACACCCCCACCGGCCCAGACTACGTCTTCTCTAGTCCTGGCGACTGGTTTCCAGAGATCCAGACTTTAAAGAACCGCACCCAATACTACGTGCGCTCCAAACCTCAGTATGACGACGTTCCCGCCAGCCTCTTCGTTTCCGCTCGCAGTTTTGGTGTCAAGGGAGACGGCATCACAGATGATACCTCTGCCCTCAACTCCTTCTTCTCGCACATTTCCGAAAACTTTGATTCAGGCTACATCGGATTCATCGATGCAGGGTACTATAAAGTCTCAGATACCATCAAAATTCGAGGCAATACCCGCATTGTTGGCGAAGCACTGGCGTCAGTCATCATGGGATCGGGCCCCAACTTCTCTGACATGAACAGCCCACGTCCGGTGGTGCAGGTCGGAGAGCCGGGAGAGAAGGGCTATGTTGAGTGGAGCGACATGTTTGTCTCGACACAGGGTGGCACGTCTGGAGCCGTCCTCATTGAGTACAATCTTGGTGACTGCGACTGCAACCAAGGCCCCTCTGGCATGTGGGATGTCCACATCCGCGTGGGCGGTTTCGCGGGTTCCAAACTCCAGATGGAACAATGTCCTAAGACACCGAATCAGACTAACGTCATCTATTCCGACTGCATCGCTGCGTACATGGGTATGCATATTACAAAGGGAGCTTCAAACCTCTACATGGAGAACACTTGGTTCTGGGTCGCCGAGTAAGTGATAGGCCGCCGGCATTTTATGCTACTCTGCGCTTGTATGGGGCTGCCTTGTGGGAATCTGATGCTGACTTCTATCCGGCCAGTCACGATATGGAAGACTTCCACTCCACACAGATCACCGTCTTTGGTGGCCGTGGTTTCCTCATTGAGTCTCAAGACGGTCCAATCTGGGCTTACGCATCTGCGGCCGAGCACTGGACCCTGTATCAGTACCAGTTGTACGAAGCACAGAACATCTGGATGGGTCAGATCCAGACGGAGACTCCTTACTACCAGCCCAACCCCCCTGCGCCGTATCCATTCGACATAGCAAACATCGTGCTGAACGACCCAGACTTTGGCACCGACTGCGCCAGCCTGATCAAGGGCGCCATGATCCCTGGCGCCAACCTCACGGCGCCTTGCGAGATGGCTTGGGGTCTCCGGATCATCGACAGCAATGACGTTGTCATCTACGGTCCAGGTCTCTACAGCTTCTTCAACAACTACAATACCACATGCAGCAATGGACCATACGGCGGATCTATGCGATGCCAGTCTCGGATGGTCTGGATCCAAGATACCACCGGCGCCTCGGGCAACAACGTGGTGCTGTACGATCTGAACACCATCGGCACCATCAGCATGGTGACCTACAACGGCAGCGATGTTGCTTTGTGGAAGGACAACTGGAACGTCTTTGGAGAGACGCTCGCCATCTTCCAAGGTCAGGTTTGAGATCCTGTCGACGCAATCTAACCACAAATTTCTGGGATTGTAGGGGACACTACCAATTGACTTGTGGTGAATCAACGTCGTAAGCAAATCTTGGAGCGCCGCAGTATTTTCCTCTGGTGGATGTTCATTCCAAAATTCGGGAACAAACAGTGAATTGATTGCTCTTCTTCGGTACCTGCATTTTCACAAATCATGGCGGTCAGCATAGTCACCTCTGAACATAGTAGGAAATTCAGTACATAGGTGACACTGAACACACACAATGATTTTTACCCCAAGTGTTTGCGTCGGGTATGTGGCGTGCGTGATACATCACCTGCGATTCTGTGTTGGTCCGAAGTCCCCTACAATGTGTATTCTTGAGACACGTTATGCATCTTGACTATTCGAGGATTTTACACTACGTACACTTTCGCGTCTGCGAGAGCAGGGCTGACTGCTGGATGGCTGACACTGTAGAATTCAGGCAGGTTTTGCAGGAGACACTCATGGATTAACCTGCCTGTTATCTCCCTCCTCTAAGGCACAGAACGAATCCCAGCCCAATCTAGTCTCATATTCCTTGTGAAGGAAAGTCATCAAAGTTCTGGAAGCATCGAGATCAGAAGGTACAGTACATAGAAGCATGCAAAGCATACACTCAGGTAATCAATTCAACTTGCTACTGAATCTCAGAACCCCCCACTATACCAGCAGATTTCGTCCCAGAGTGTATGTATCAACAGCGACAGGCCAGACTTTTCACTGAGCTGTTCCATCTAATTTTTGCCTCATCTCCTGGAGAAAAAGCAATATTTCCCGGACTTGCACCCTGTTCTCTCTTGAGCACAAATCTGTTTTTTTCTTTTCAAGAGCTTCAATCTCCAATATCGCAGAAACCAAACAAAATGAATTGAAGGACAAGATGGATCCTGCTGAAAGGCATAGACCTGGTTGCCGTGTAAGTCATCTCGAGGTGCACCCACCACTTCAGGGGAAATCAGAAGCTGTGGTTTTCACATGTTCATTTTCAGGTCAATGCACACAAGACTGGAAAGTGGTGCTGGACTGACGATGAGCTCAAGACCCTCAAGTCATGTCTCGTCCCGTCCCAAGGCTTGACATGGAATTTCTCAGGTATGATGATGTCTTCTATTCTAAGCCTAGACCTTGTTTTCTGTAGCAGAATCTGTAAAATGATTACTGACGAGGACAACGTGGCACTCTAGCAAAACTTCAAGGTTCAGAAGCAGAACGGCACCTGGCTGTACCGCCACCATTCCTTTGATACTCAGAAACAAGCTGTGAAGCAAGGCTGGGGGTAGAATCGAAGCATAGCAGGAAGCACTGTGGGGATGGGGGGTCAAAATTGTTAATAGTATTTTAATAAGTAGACAGGCTACCAATAAAAGGCGTGGCTTAAAACTTGAGGGTGCATGGTGAACATCAACTAGAGCATGAGACCTGCTTGCTACATGGGGAAAGCCCGCTTTCGGGCCTCAAGATAAGAAGTGCGTGATTGCAAAAATGGACTGGCATTCCAATTTATGAACCCCCAATTTGCACCACTGTGGTATCGAGGTGAATCAAAGTTCTTGCGAGCTGATGTGTGGAATGGTGACCTGTTGAGATTGGAAAGAGCAATATGATATAAACATGCATGTAGACAGGACATCGAGAAACTTTGACTTCCTCAGTGAGTGCTAAGGATCTCTTTAGTGTCTGTCTCTGGCGAAGCTATGCTTCAGTGCCCGATCTGTTCATATCGGGCAAATGTAGATCCACCGTAGAAGGTGCTCATTGACATCCGAGCGAAGGTATATGGAAGTTTCACCACATGGCACAATGCAAACATTCTGTGACAAACATATATTTCGTCGGGCCCAACCTTTGTTTTCAGTCGATGACGATACCTTAGCCTTTCTGGGAGACTGACATACGAGACAGGCATGATAAAGCCCGAGATATCAGGACAGGCATCTTTTATTCTCCGCATCCCCTCCCCAACCTCTCTTTCATCCCTGGCAATAGCACATGGACAAAGCCATCCAACAGCAGGCAGGTCAGGCCCAACACCATGTAGGCATGTCCTAGCTGGTGTTATCAAGTAGGATGCGGGATGGCATCAGAGGTCCGAGAACGATGATGTCGCCTTGCAGAGGCCCTGGTAATTTTGGACCCTGCATATTGGCTGGAGACTTTAGGGGTCTTGCTGCACCCCTGTCGCGCCCTGCCTGACAGGGCCATCAGTAGGCGCCCATGTTATGCTATTGGCTGCAGCCAGCCAGCAGGGGTAGCCACACTGACGTCATGTCATGATCGCAGCTGCTGCCTCTGATGGAAAAGCAAGTTTCGTAATAGCACTATGCTGATGGGAGGGTGGGATGGATTGCGACGGTGATGACAGGGCATTGGGGGGTGGAAATCAATGAAAAGGGAGTCGATCTGCCCCCAAGAAAGAAGACAAGAGACAAGACAACAAGACTATTCTCCTCGATTCATCACTTCAATTACTGATCTCCAGCCGGTACCCTAAAGACACCGCAAAACTCCCGTATCACTAAACCATTTGCATCTTCTTTCACCACCAATACACAAATCTCCAAAGATGCCTTTCTTCTCCCGCCGTGAAGACGAGGTCGAGCCAGAGCCCCAATACGAGGAGCCAGCCCACAAGCGCGGCCTCTTCCACCGCCGCGAGGCATCGCCCACCCCAACCACCTCGACCAACAGGACCACGTCCACATACCGGACCTCACAGTCCTCGGTTTCCGACAGACCCTCTCGCGGCGGCAGCCTCCTGCACAAGTTCGGCAGGGGCAGCAATGAGGAGCTGGACCCCAGCATCGTCCAGGCCCGCGAGCGCGTCATGAGCGCCGAGGCCGCCGAGAGGGAGGCCGACCGCGTGCTGGAGACGGCACGCCGCGAGGTCCGCGAGGCCCGCGAGCATGTCAAGAGGCTCGAGCTCGAGGCCAAGGAGGAGGCCAGGCTCGCCAAGATCAAGCAGTACCATGCCAGGGAGGTGTCGAAGCGCGGAAAGGCTCTTGGCCGTGAGTACACTCTAGAGGAGGATGACGATGTGGCATCCGCATTGGGACTTGAACAACCTGACTGACACATCTCTCTCATCACAGGTCACGATCTGTAATCAAATGGGTCTATCCACCTACCACCATCATCAAAGTCCTCAGGAGGACTTTTCACTTTTCATTTGTTTTGGGATCTCCATATCACTGTACATTTTAAGATCCACATGTTATCTATTTCTTTTGTGCTGAATGATTTCACGTCTTTGGGATTTTGAGATTGGAGCGGGGAGTTGGAAAGCATCAGTATACCACGCGCAAAATTACAAAATATTCCAGAAGAGACAGAGAGAGGAGAGATCCTGTATATTTCCTGTGTGACTTGTCTCGAGTACTTAGGTAGCGAACGTTAACGTTGACTGCCTGTTGAAGCCACGCTCTCAAGAAGTCCACATGCATGATAGCCCTTGCTACTCTCAAGGTATAAGACCAAGAGTAACCCTGCAGTCCAGATTTGATACGGTGGAGAGCCCATAGCTGCCTCCACGTTCATGAGACGGCGCGGGGTGGAGAGGTATGGTCGAATTTTGTGTCGGGCACACACCACAACCACTCCGCACAGCTGTTTCTCGGCGCCCAGTCGAACGAGTCTGAGATCAATGTTGGCACGGAGGCGGCCATCGACTTCATGGTCCTCAGGTCGGAACGGGCGGTTGATCCAGTGCCTGGGAGATTGGAGGTCAAGTTCTGCGCAGCCGGACCGGAAGAGGCCTTTATACGCTTCACGATAGTGTTCGTTGGGAACGCCCCGTTGCATATAGTGGTTGGCGAGCAAGACAGGGACGTGGCCAGGCCTCTATCGACAGCAAATAATCCATTTGGAAGACTGTTATTGGCCCCAGCAGCCGTGGATGATGGTGGGGCTGTCACAACAGTCATGAATGCGTCTCCTTGGGTTGCGGTTGGAACTGTGTTGTTGGCCCTCGAAGCCGGCACCTGGGAGAGGAGTTGGGCTGCAACTCCAGTAGCCCAGGCTGCAAGAAACCAGACGAATGAGACTATCTTGGAAGGCCACATGCTGATATTCTTTGTTGAAGTCCTGTTGATGAGAAGGAGGAGGAGGTTGTTGTTGTTGTTGTTGCTGTTGATGATGATGATAATAATGGTGGCCGCATAGCAGGTCTTGTCAAGATGAGGCTCATGGTGGGCCTTTTAACCTAGAGTGAAAGCTTCAACTGTATCTGAGTATACCTTCAAGGTTTGGAAGCGACAGACGTGACACACCAGCTTGATCACAATTCCAGAAATGTTGAGATGTAGTGACACCAATAAGGACTGTAGTCGATAGAGTCTCACATGTGCAGCCTCAGCCTCCGATGATGATGACCTCAACAACTATCTCTTCCGGTTCTACCTCCTCAGCCGTAATCATTGTTCCTTGTCTACTTACACCAAAATGCCAGTTTATTGACCGAAAAAAATACTTACCAAACAAATACATCCTTTGAATTGTGTTGCTCAAGAGCGCTTGTGAAGGCCGGGATGATTGTTGGGTAGTGTTACAACAAGCTCTGTACTCATTACCATGCGACGCGACGAGGCCTCAAGACAACAAATCTGAGTTGTAAGCTCCTCCGTAAAGACTGTAGTGGAACCTCCAAGTAACACTCGGTTCCTGATCAGAGGGATCTCCAGCGTTTTCAACTCATCACCAGCAGGATGTCCATGGATGGAAGCTGCGAGATTATTATCCAGGTTTTCAGTGTTTCTTCGCAACAGTTGAGTGAGACAAGACAAGAAGCAGTGAAAAGCTCTCTTACGCGTCATATTCACACATCTACTTGCTTGAAGCACTCTCGATCGTCTGGCTAAGCCAGTTCTCTGTAATCAACTCTTGTCCAGCTTTCCTTCAACCCCTTAGGTGTGGGATACACGGATATCGTGTGAGCTGGCTACACGAGCACACCCTCCTTGTTTCGACTAAATAACGGTTCCGGTCTTTTACAACTTGAATTGCCGTGGTGAGTATGACTCGAGATGGCGGTCAAGTCAAACAGTCAGATCAACAATGGCCTCGGTCTGCTCGGAAGCAATGGATGAGGGACACCATCAATCCCTCCGAGACAGATGGATGCAGGGACTGTCTGTCCATGGCATCTCATAACAGCCAGAGTGAACTGTTCCAAACATTTTCCCTCTATGTTTGAAGTCCGTTTCCTGCTGTCCAAAACCTTGATGTCATTTGACATGAGATCGAGGCATACCTCGAAGCCAAGGAACATATCTCTCTTCACCTTGGCTCGCCCAGAAGCTAGATATCATGTTTGGCCAAGTCTCTGTGGGGGAAAATATAGGTACAGCCAGTTCTGAGAGATTAGCGATGGTCTTTCCCCGGATAGTCTCAGGTCATGGGCAGGCGTTCGAGCTGTCAACTGAATCGTGACCGGTAAAGTGGTGATTTTGGCTTGACTCGTGCGTACCAAATCAGAGAACTGACGAGACAATTAGCTATGAACCAGACCCAGTGAAGGAGGGTTTAGGGTGTGAAGCTAAGAAGTTTATTCGATTCATCACATCCACAACGTTGAGACACATCACAGACTATATGAACTTTGTCTGTGTGAAGATGGGATTTGCGTTCAAAGTTCCTGTAGCGTCCGATTTGAATCGTCCAACACTCGATTGGGGACGACAGGGACCCGCGTGGCGACCTGCAATCTCAACACCAAAGGGACCCATCAGAGCTAATCCTCTTCCCCCCCACCCAACGACGTGATCCAAGAACTGATGGCACGGGAATCGTTTTGGAAAATTGTCAAAAGCCCACGACAAGTCCGTGCTCAAGGCAGGTTTGTGCCACCCGCGGAGCCAATCCGGTCTGGCCGTCTGGTCCTCTTTTTCACGACTAGCGTTCCCAGCCGTTCCCAGTCGTGCCAGTCTGCGTCTCGAGGCTGACCTATCGGGCGGGGCTAACCAAGACGATCGACTCAGGGACCGTTGCATCGGGGCTCATTGTTGGCAGTGTGATCCGCGCGTTTCTCGAACAAAACGGATAACTGCTCCGGACCACGCATTACACGAGGTAACATGGATCATAAGAGATCTACAGTGTCAAGTCATGTCGACGACATTTTTTCGTGATGGAGAAGGAGACGGACTTGGGGGCTGGGCAAGCCACATTATATCGCTTGCGTAGCTGAAGTCTAGATAAGTGCTTGGTAGATCAGAACCTGTTCCTGATTAAGAATGGAGAGGAAGATACCCCATAAATTAAGCTCCCAGCTCAGGTCACACTATCTTTCTCCTTCACACAAATGCGGACGTGCGCTTTTTCATCAATCTCGGCCACATTTATGGGAATACACACAATGGCCCAGGGTTTTCTACCTTGGTCCCGCTCCGTGGGGCATGTGGCCGAAAGGGGGATTTGATCATCTACGACCATAGTTACATAGTACATATTATTTTTCTCTAAAGGGGATCTCGCATCCATTTCCCTCCCTCGTTACTTTAAGTACATAAAATGTAAAGTCTAGCGTGAAGAAGAAGCTGTCTCGTCTCCTCCAGCCTGGCACGTGGTTTGAACAATACCATTGTCTTGTTCAATTGACAAGTGCCTTCAACACTGACCCTAAGGGAACTAAGAAGATACATGGTGAAACCGAAAAAGACTGGATCGTGACGGAGACTTGCGTCTTTTGATGGCGTAAGTAAGGGGGCCGGTTCCTCCCCCCCTTCCTCTCCTCAAAGGGGGCTTTTCTTCTTTTTCTTTCCACAGGGTCTGTACGATGCCTTGGTTCCGAGTGTGAGTCTGCAATGTGTGTGTGTATGCATGAAAAGTCTGTTATGAGCATAGGAGAACATGCCAGGACGTTATATGGTACAGGTGTGGGACGCCAGGGAAATTCAAACTGCTGATCTCTCTGATCGACGGGTGGAGCAATCACATTTACCCTGAAGAGGAGTGGACAAGTTCAAAGCTACCATAGTACTTAGAGTTCAGGAGGAGCGCAGGCACTGAATCCTTGGCTGCACCACAGAGGAGGCACTGGAGTGAGCACACACGGGCCGCGCGACATCGTATCGTCGTGATGGCCTAGGATATGACTCGCACCCAAGGTCTTTATCGCTATTCTGTCTTGTTTCTTGGTTCTCAAATCCGGAATGCGGGGTGGGTTGGCTCCAGAACCGTTACCGGCAAAAGGAAGCAGTAGATGAAATAATACCAGTGACCGCTCCCTTTTCTGGATGTGTGTGTGTGTGTGTGTGTGTGTGCGTGTGCTCATTTTAGACTGCCTTGGATCCGGAAGACAAAGATGCTGGTTTTGGACATCAATTAATGTCAATATGGGTTTCTGAATAAATCCCTTTTCGTTTTTTCTCCCCCTTCAGATCCATTTAGTGCCGTCCTCTTCGATGGACGGACACTCACAATTACCACCGCGCTGGTCGTAACCAACCGCTCTCCAGATCGAGAGCCCCCCCCCCTCCGGTTCCTATCGCCGGAAAAAAGAGATAGAAAATAGGGAAAGAACAAAAAAAGATGTCGTCGTCGACAGAGGCGGCGCAAGGTCCGCTACTGTCCGACCAGACGTCTTGGGAGGCAACGCGACCGCTTGTCCACAGCGCCATCGTGTGCATCGCCATCGACACTGTCATCGTCCTGGCCAAGACGTACTCGAGAGTGCAGATCGCAAAGCTGAAGTTCTGGTGGGACGACTTTTGGATCATCGCGGCCTATATCCTCCTCATGCCGATCTGCGCCATCGGCCTGGCCATGGTGAGCGTGGAGGTGGCCTGGAGCGACGAGGACCGCATCATCTACGACCTGGACGAGAACGAGATCCTGCTCAAGTACATCTACGCCTTGATGCAGGTGCTGTTCGCCTCATATGCAGCCACCAGATACTCCATCCTGGCCCTCTACCTGCGCATCTTCTCCGACCGGCGGCTGAGAATCGCCCTATGGGTCGTCATCACCATCGTCTCGCTGCAGTGGCTGGTCTTTGGTACCATATCGCTTTTTCAGTGCCTCCCGGTCCAGTCGTACTGGGATAAACATCTAACCGGCAACTGTGTTGACTATGACAAATTCTACCGTTCTGTCACCCCTTTCAAGTAAGCTCTGACTCTTCCCAATCATCACGAAACCCTGATCCAACATTCTCAGCACTCTGTCAGCCTAGAATTCATCATGACTAATCTTGCTTGCTTTCTCTCTCTTCCAGCATGGTCATCGATACCGCTCTGGTCGTGCTGCCTCTGCCGACAGTGTGGAAACTCAAGGCGACAAACACGCGCAAATGGGCACTGTCGCTCCTCTTTGGTGTCGGCATATCGGCTCTCGTCACCTCGTCCATCCGGCTGGTTGTGTACAACACCCACACCGCCGACTATATCGGCCCGTCATTGACCAATGTCATGATCATGTGGTTGGTTATCGAGCCGTCGGTATACCTGATCGCGGCCTGTTTGCCTGCTATGCATGTGAGTCTTGTTTTCTCCCCCCCTTCCTTTTTCTCTCTCCAACCTTCTTGCCATGCTGTATCTCTGCTGTGGGTTTTGGCCAAACGCTGACCCTAGAATTCTTGCATTCAATCTAGCATATCCTCGCAGCCGTAGTGCCACAAAGAGTAGCAGACTGGCTGTCGCAGCGCATGGGCCGGCTGTCGTCTTTCTCCACCGACGTGCTCACCCGGTCCAAGACGCGCAACATGTCGCTGACCAGCGACGATGCCGACTATGGCTGGGAGCTCACCAACAGCGCCTTTGCGGCCAGGACTGGAGTGCGGGCCTCACCGACCCAGGAGGACAATACGGATTGGGGCGAGCTGAACAGGGCCATCGTTGTGACGAAGGAAGTCCATGTCGAGTACTCGCAGGAAGAGAGGATAGAAAGAATCATCGGGTTCTGACACTTACTTTATAATGAATACTATCTTGTGGCCAGGTGCTGCAAAAGCTAAAATTAATTCAAACCTAAAGTCATGGATACCTAGAGTACCTTTACGTACTTGATGGCTTTGTTGTCCACACAGTTGATAACAGCACATGCACTGACCATATTCAATGACCACCAAGCGGCTGAATTTACCTTACAGCCTGCACAGAGCATACTCGGGTGATAACAGCCCATCTCCAAGAAAGCCTGTTCAACCATCGTGTTGTCTTGTTTCGTATATTACTAGACAGCTTGCTCTCAACGAGTATGGAACAGCTTTTGAGCCAAAATGGAGTATTACCTTCTCAATGAGCAATTGCAGTCTTGTGCCTGGGTTCGACAACCTAAGACATTTCAACATCAGTGTCATCCCTGCTATGAACAGCCAGGACTTGATGTGTCTTCTTGACTCGAGTCCATCAAAGTCGCGTCTGAAATTCCTCTGATGGTAAGTGGGCATTGCTACATTGCCCACTTGCATCTGGGTATTAGTGAGAAAGAAACATGTTTTATGTATATGTATAACTGAAATTGGTGTCTGTGTTACGAGGCCACTATGCCTATTCAACAGGACAAATATTTGAGACGTTGCAACAGCCACGTCAAGACATAGTTGTGAAGAAACAACACAAAGAGACAATCCTGCACAATCAGGACAGCCAATGGAGCGACGTCTACACGGCAACTCTCCTGAACATAAGCTCCTTGGTTGGATCTGGAACAAGCTGGATGACAGTACAAGTTAGCCGCGGTTTTTAATAGCACAACAGTAATCACACGTGATTCATCACGGCGACGTGACGTCGGTCCAACTTACAGACTCTGCGAAAACAACGTTCTTATACCTCTCCGTCTCCCCGTCCACCATCTTGATATCATAGTCCAGCAGCGCCCGGCCGACAATCATCTTGATCTCGTTGGCGGCGAAGAACCTGCCCGGGCAGGCATGGCGGCCGTAGCCAAAGTTGAGGGAGACGGGCGATACGGTGACCAGCTGGTTGGCTGCGCCGACACTGGCTCTGTCGACGCCCTTGACCTCCTCGTTCTCGCGCAGGCGGGACCAGCGGAAGGCGTCAAACTTGTCTGGGTTCTCGACCATGTCCGGGTCATGCATCGTGTGGTACGAGGGCACCTCGATGATGCATCCTGCGGGTATGACCTGGCCGTTGGAGAGCACTATGGGCTTCAGGACCTTGCGGCTGAAGGAGGCTGTGTCGGGGGTGTGAGTAATTAGTATACAGAGAGGAGGCAGGATGAAGGAGGAAACTTGGTATGGAAAAGAAAGAAAAAATTGACTTACCCAGTGAAAGAGGATACACTCTCATAGACTCACGCAGAAAGCTATCCAGCTTCTTCATCTTCTGCAACGCGGCCGACGTGAAGGTGCCGTACTCCCTCAGAACACCCCGAATCTCCTCGCGCAGCTCGGGGATGAGCTCCGGCATGGCGGCGATGTTGTAGAAGGCATTCGTGGTGCTCAGCGTGGTTGTGTGGATTGCAGCAAAGGTCAGGCCCAGCTGGATCTCGGTGAGCTCCTGGTCGTCCTGCTCGCCGTACTTGGACTGGCCGTCATCCAGGATCCATTGCATGATGTCGTCTGGCTTCTGGAAGTCTGGGTCCTCCTTCATCGCCTTTTTCCTAGCCTCGATCATGGGCTTGATGAAGGTGTAGCTGTTCTGCTGGCGCTGGCGGAGCTTTTCGACCTCGGGCAGCTTGAAGGTCGTGACATCACGTTTGGAGGGTTTCAATTGGCTGATGGCATTTACGGCACTCATCAGGTCTAGCGTGTAGTTGATGCCCATGTCGATGTACTCCTCGGTGCGGCAGAGCTCGGGGCCGACAAAGATGCGTCCAGAGACCTTGCTGACGACGCGCAGGAGGTGCTTGTTCAGCGGCACCGCAGTGAACTCCTTGGATTGTGGGAACTCTTCCTGGAAGGCTAGATCAACCTCTTCAGCAATGACGGGGTTCAAGCGGCCTGTCGTTTGTCCTTGTCAGCCAAATGCATCGTTGTAAGGCCTATGTATATTTGTACAAGACAATGACTTACTGAGGCTCGGAGTTAGATCCCTCTTGACGACGTGAGGGACAATTGCCCGGTCTGATCGTATGTTGGTGTACCTTGGGTGCATAATCTGCCAACTTCTTTTCAGCTCGTTATGCCTTGCGAAAAAAGAGAGATTTCGGGAGGTCCAGGCAAGACATACATCTTCGATGGCGCCACTGAAGCTGAGAACATCATCGGGCAAATCCTTTAGCTCTCGCAGGAACAGAGGGTCGACAACAATCACATGGGACTCTATAATTCATTGAAGCGATTAAGGAGGAAGAGGTCAGCAATGGGCATTCGCGCTCGTATTGCCTTGTGCGTTCTCACCTCTTGACGAAGTAATCCTGAACAAGCTGTTCTTGAACTTCTGGTATCCATCTGCGTAGATTGCCTTGGCATCTTGCATAAAAGCCACCCTGCGCTTGTTCTCGTCACCAATGTCGCTACCGGCGAAAGGTATTTTAGACAGAGGGTCCTGCTTGAACAGTAACTGAAGGAGCCACGTGCCCACGAGGGCCAGAAGTGTGGTCAAGATGAAGGGCCATTTGGTCGACAGGCCCTCTATCGAGCCCGAAGCGAGTTCACCAAGAGCCATCGTGATGATCTATGCAAGAGTCCGGGTATCTGGAGTGGGGGAGGGCGGGGTTAGGTGAGTATTGTTGCTCTCGAGGGTGCAGTTCGTCCAGTGTATATGACAGCACGTCTAATGCAACTCAAGAATGAACGACGTGGGGGGTTGGTCGTTTGCGAAAGACTAACGGTCTAATTCTGGGGTTTTGGACCCTTTATTAATACCAGTCGAGTCGGCCTTGTCCACATATCTTTGAGGTGCATCGGTAAAGTCAAACAGTCCGTTGCTGCATAACGCATCTCCGCACTCTCAAGTCAACAAGTATGGGACGGGCCGTATGCTAATCAATATCGAACATTGACTTGGAATTTAGGCCAGGTATGGGACCCCCCCTTTTCTTCTCCCCCCACTTCAGAGCCCTAGAGCCCTAGACGCACTATTTTTCACATGAGTCTCCTCAAGGTTACCACCGAGGGCGAATTGTACGAGGATGCGGGGAGGTACCATAGTAGGCATCGCTATTAAGCGCCCAAAGTGCTTCAGATCTGCCGGCTGGTTTCATTATGTCAAATACGGTTGCGAGAGAGAACAATTGTGCTCACCAAGGGGAGCAACAACGTATTCGTAATCGTATCAAGTCGCATGCACACACCCTGGCAAAGCACACCAAAGGATGGATCTGCATCTCGACTGCTATGGTAGGACAATGACTAGCATATCTGGGGATAAATTGGCCACCACAATTTCGAGCGACTACTGCACAGATGAACGGCGAAAATCGAAGAGTGGATGCCTACTTAGGCAGGTATGCGGGCGGACGTGCCTCGCTTGACTCCAAGTGTAGGACTAACCAATCACCTCTCTGAAATTACCGAACACATGCAGCTGTGCTTGCATTATCGGCAAGCACGAGCTTTCAACCAGACGGTATGACGCGGGTGGGTGTAGTGTATGGCAAGAAAGCCGGGCTGCTTAAGGAATGGGGGTTCTCAAAGCCGTCCCGAATTGTTTCGCTGGGGACTTGTTCGCTTTTTGGTGTGAGATCAACGGAGTCCGCCTAGTATCCGAGCAATCGATTCACGAAACTTCGTGAGCGTGATGAAGATTCCAGGAGACCTCATCTTAGCACGTTGAGCCTATGTTGCAACCGAGGAATGGCGTTGGAGGGCTTCCAGACTGAGGTGACGAATTCTCCATCACCACCTGCCGGAACGGTCCACTTGGTTGCTACAAGCCTCGGCTGATGCTAAGTCCATGCGGGCCGGGAGTTGGCCTCGCCAGTGTGGTCTGCCTCTGGAAATGATCAAATGGAGAGCTTGCTGTAACAATGATGAATTTTATGTGTTGTAGTTTGTTGCTGATGTCGATTTTTGGTTGAAAAGGCCAAGTCTGAGTGAGGCTAGGGCGGGCTAGCAAAGACCATCAAGTGTGGAGGTCGGGTATGGCTCTTTCCGACCCGCTACAATCCAAATTCGTTAGTGGATCATCCAGGCTTGAGGTCTGTGCCTTGCACCGGCAATTTGCCCACCTCATCTTTCTCTTCCTGTTCCTTTTCCAGGTGCCAATGTAGAGAGGCATCTAGACGGCTCAAGAACAGGTTCGACTGACTGCTGGTCTCGAGTCAAATTGAGAATGTGCTTGTCATCAAAGAGTGCCCACAACACAAGACTGAAATCAGATCGGAGCTTGCAGCAAGCCTCGATCTCTGAGTTTCCATCTACCGAGAATGCATGACTGCAAGACTGATAGTGCGATGGGGCGGGGAAGACAACGTTCATGGGGAACGCAAGGTACAACAGACCTTGAAGACCCTTGTGGCATTAATTGCTGCTGCGACTTAGCTCATTGGCACTTGGCTTCCTAGAGCCTTGGCAATTTTGTGCAAGAGTACTTGAAGTGCCTAGGGAACTACATTCCCGGATTACCTAAGCATTTCTTACCTATTTGCCTGCCGCCTGCCGGTGGCACCTGCAGCAGGCAGAGCTCCCATTGCGACAGCTTCCAGCATCATCCATCAACACCCAAAAAATCCCCAGCAGCCATCTTCATTTCCACCAACACCCCAGGCCGTACGCATTTTCGTCGATTTCCCTAACCACCGAAGATCGTCCGCTTTCCATCGAACTTCCTCTCCTCACCAATTTATCAGTCAAAATGGCCAACACCTCGTTGAGACCAGACAAGGACTTCACCAAGGAGGTTGACCAGCAGATTCCCCAGGCCGAACTGCTTGCCAAGGTGCGTTGTATTGCGGATGAAGAGGGCCAACGCATTTCCGGACTATACGGAGCGCTAACCATGGGCTCTCGTGCCTCAGACCAACCTACAAGGTGCCATCGAGCAGCTTGGCCTCCTGGAGAAGCAGACACGTCAGGTAAGTCAAGGGTGTACCCTGAGCGACTGTTCTTTTCCCCTTCTCACATGCTTGGTTCGTTCTAATCAAATATATGGTATATTGTATCAGGCCTCCGATCTTGCGTCTACATCCCGCCTTCTTATTGCCATCGTAACACTCTGCAAGACCGCTGGCGACTGGGATCTCCTCACAGACCAGGTCACCATCCTCTCCAAGAAACATGGCCAGCTCAAGCAGGCGACCCAGAAGATGGTGCAGTCTGTCATCGACTTCCTGGGTGACATCTCTAGCATCGACAGGAAAGTTCAGGTCATAGAGACCTTGCGCACAGTCACCGAGGGCAAGATCTTTGTCGAGGTCGAGCGAGCCCGTGTTACCAAGATCCTGTCCGACCTGAAGAAGGACCACTACGGCGATGTCAAGGCCGCCCGCGACATTCTGTGTGAGCTGCAGGTGGAGACATTCGGGTCTATGGACCGCAAGGAGAAGACGGAGTTCATCCTCGACCAGGTTGCCCTCTGCATACAGACACAAGACTGGACCCAGGCAGGCATCCTCAGTAGAAAGATCAGCACCAAGTACCTGCAGAGTGCCGGCGACGCCACACCCTTGAAACTGCGATACTACGAGCAACAGGTCCTCCTGGCCAAGAGCGAAGACAGATACCTGGATGCGTGCAAGCACTACCGAGAGGTTCTCGACATCCCCTCTGTACAGGAAGACCAGACTCTCTTCAAAGCGGTACGTTATTGAAGGCGTGGTTTCCCCTTTGTATCCCCACCACCACCGCCAGCTTGGCTGTGGATTCTGGACAATTGACTGACTGACCGTCGCGGCGCAGACCCTCGCACGCATCATCTACTTTGCAGTCCTGGCTCCTCACGACAATGAGCAGCATGACCTGATGCACCGCATCAAGGCGGACGCGCGCAACTCTCAGGTGCCCCTAGAGGCCAAGCTCCTGGAGGAATTCACAGTGCAGGAACTGATGCGGTGGCCCAACGTCGAGCAGATCTATGGGCCACACCTTTGCCAGACCGACATCTTTGATGCCCAGCTCGGTGCTTCTGGGGACCCCAAGGCCAACCAGCGCTGGCAGGACCTGCGCAAGCGGGTCATCGAGCACAATGTGCGCGTGATCGCCAAGTATTACACCCGCATCCGGATGGACCGCCTCACACAGCACCTGGACCTCAGCGAGGACGAGACAGAGAAGTACATCAGCGAGCTCGTGACGTCTAAGATGGTCCATGCCCGCATCGACCGTCCCGCCCGTGTCGTGAGCTTTGCCAAGCCAAGGAGCGTCGACGACGTCCTAAACGAGTGGAGCTACAATATGAAGGACCTGCTCAACCACCTGGGCAAGATTGAGCACCTCATTACGAAGGACGAGATGATGGCCAGCATACAGCCGTCGGGAAAGAAGGCTGCTCAGAACAAGGCTTAAGGAGAGGATCTGTCAGATGACCTGGGGCTTTGTGTGTGTGGGTTGGTGGGTTATGAATTGGACCAGATGTTAGGCGTTCGGATAGACCTGGGAGCATTTTCTATAGTCTCAGGGGCGGAACTGGCAATTACGAGCAACATGGCATTATCATAATGACATAATGGTTTGACCTTGTAGTAAGAAGTATTACCGTCTGTAAGGGAAAAAGTACTTGCTTCTATGCGGGGTTTGCCTCTGTGGCCCGTGACATGAGACCTTTCGCAAGGAAGACTGTGCCCAGGGCGGATCGTTCTGGCGCGGGTGAATGACAAACGACAAGACGTGATAGCCAGTCAAGCATGAAATAGTTGCAGCACTTATATTCTTCCCCAGGGCCTGCTGCTTTGTCCTTGAAGACCCGGGTAGAAGGCCGTATGGTCGTAGGTCCCTCCGGTGCGGGCCGCTTACGGAGCACGAGTCGCGCGGATGTCGTTCGGCCGGTGGATCCTGGAACATTGGACTCCCCTCCCCGGTGAAACCCGGTCTTTTGCGCGCCTGTTGCGGCTTCATCTCACTCAATCCTTTCTCGACCTCGCTCATCCATTCGACTCACTCAACTCACAGCACGCGCCACCTTGATGTACGCCGTCTCGAGACTTGGGCGGCCCTATCTCAACTCAAGACAGAAATCCTCGTTCTTGTATATTTCCTGCCGGTGTTACACAATCATGGCCGACGTGGGTGCCTCGGCTCAGAAGCCCAAGGACGATGGTATGAGGGAGGTCAGAATACTGATGCTCCATGGTAAGATGAGTCTAGTTCCCTATTCCTCTCTCTCTCTCCGTCCCTCTCTCTTTCTCATTCATCAGCCTTTATGAAGTGTCAACTTCACTTCTTCAACAAGCTCTCAAAACGTCTTATTGCCCTTACAACAACAAGGGAACCGAAAGAAAAAAAAACCCCAAAAAAAAAAACCATCTAACACCACTAATCCCCTAGGATACACTCAATCCGGCCCTCTCTTCCACGCCAAAACCCGCGCCCTCGAGAAACTCCTCATAAAATCCCTCGCCCCTCTCAAGATCAGGCCCACCCTCCTCTACCCCACGGGTCCCAACCGCCTCTCGCCCAGGGACATCCCAGGCTACGCACCCTCCGAGGGCGGGGCCGCCGCAGGCGAGGAGACCGAGACGGACGCATGGGCCTGGTTCCGCAAGGACGAGGCGACGGGGTCGTACCGTCTGCTGCGCGAGGGCATGGACAGCGTGGCGCGCGCGATCCGAGAGGAAGGGGGTGGGCGCGTGGACGGCGTCGTGGGGTTCTCGCAGGGCGGCGCCGTGGCGGCGATGCTGGCGTCTGCGCTGGAGAGGCAGCGCGAGGCGACGACGGCAGAGGCGGAGGAGTGGCTTGCCCCGCTGCGAGAGGCCAACGGCGGGCGCCCTCTCAAGTTCGCGGTCGTGTACAGCGGGTTCTTTGCGCCGCCTGGGGACCTGGCGTGGCTGTATGAGCCGCGCGTGAGGACGCCGACGCTGCACTACATCGGCAGCCTGGACACGGTGGTCGAGGAAGGGCGGAGCCGGGGGCTGGTGGCGCGGTGTGAGGATCCTGTGGTTGTGGTGCACCCTGGGGGTCACTATGTGCCGGTGAGCAAGGAGTGGGTGACGCCGCTGGTTGGGTTCGTGAGGAGGTGGTGTGAGGATGATGCGGATGAGAGCTGAGTGGGGGGTGGTGGTTCGTAAGACCTCGGTCTGCTTCAAGATAACCTGCATAGACTCCCCCCCCCCCCCCAAAATATGATGGGCCTTTTCAGACGAGAGAACTCGAATACATGCATATGAATAAGTATTTTGCCATTGTGTTCGAATTTCTACAAGCTCATGCCCACGGCCAAATCAGTCTTGAAGCTTCATGTCCAGAAGACAAGCTATACATTATCCTCACCAACCTGCCCCTGAAGCCTCACATTCATCAACACCACATCGTGGCGAGCTCGTGTGAAATCCTCCGTCCTCTTAACGCCTACAGCATGTCATCCCGAACCAGCATGTCGTGACAAAGCAAATGTTGGATCCACCTGGTATGACAAAGAGAAAAACGCCAACCCTATGCTTCCAGTGGCTTCCGATCTTCCTCCGCGTGTTCAGTCGCTCTTCGAGACGACAACATACATGGTAAATATGTGTGTGTAAATATACATATGCGTATAGTAATTCACAATGGCTTAGTGAGCCACCGTAAAGAAGGCGTTCAGGATCAAGCACACCACCATGACACAGATACCATAGATGGCCAGACATAATGCCAACTGTCGCAAGAGGCCGTGCTCAATATGCTCTAGATCCCACCTCCACCTCTTCCGCAGCCGCGTCCACCTGGTTTGAAGGACGCTCCTGCTCGACCGGACGCTCCTGGAAGGCTCTAAGACGCCAGAGCCACTGGGCGCAAAGCCTGCATCAGGCTCATCATCGCTCTCGCTGTTTGCGGCATCCACGTCGTCATCCTCCTTGGCGAGCCGCTGATGGTGGATGCTGTCTGGGTCACTGATCTTGTAGTAGAACAGCCCCGGGAGAATAAAGCTGATGGAGGTAGAGCCCGTGGCACCGACGTACGCAAGCACGCGGTCGAGTTGGGACACAGTCAGCGCGGTGATGTACGAGAGCACAATGATGAAGGTGGTGAGCAGGGCGAAACGGAACTCCGAGATGCTTGCCACAGGCGCTCCATGGCTGTCGGTCTGCACCGCGGCGGTGGGGAGCATGCTGTGGCCGTTGGAAGAGTGCTCTCGGTTGTTGGAGCGGTTCGGTCGCCACTTCAGGACCGCGTCGAGGGACGCTCGGCAGGGGTGGACCTGCAGTGGCACGCTGAACATGACGAGAATGACGATGGCGGCTTTGCCGATGGTCGAGGCGATAGATGGCGGGTACATGCTGACGATGTTGCCTAGGACGTCGTTGCCAAATGTAAAATAGCCAGTGATGGCCACCAGGACGTAGATGCTGGCTGCGGAGCCAATACTGGTGGAGATAACGCCAACGATGCTACCTGGTGAGTTATCCTTGATCTCGTTGAGAACGGAGAACATCTACTTTCATGTTAGCCATGCTTAAAAAGAAGAAAAAAATGTAAGAAAAAGAGGAGTCACGTCTGGAGTGTGCAGCAAAGGCCAGACTTACGTTTTGGTGGCATGTATATGCAAACACCACCACTGGCAGACTGCTCAAAAAAGCAATCGGACCGTTCCAATGAATGATGTTGACTTCCCCCCGGTTCTCGATCGAGTCCGAGGCAAAATGATAGACAACCAATATGATCAGATATCCGATAGAAATCAGGGCAATGACGCTTGTGTACTTGAGCGAGTCCAGTCTCCGCAGGAAACTCAACGGTATGATCACCAGCATGAAGGCTGTGATCCAAAAGTGGCGGTCCATCAGGAAGGGATATGCATCCGCATTCGTGTTGAATCCCCTCATGACCCCCGGCATCAGATCCCCAATGATGATCAGGTACGAGACCCCCACCCCGAAACACTTGACAGCAATGGCAGCATCGAAGATAACGGCGGCGTTCGGGTAGGTGAGTTGTGACAGCGCGAAGAAGGAGGAGCTCCCTCTGTCGAGATAGCGGGCGCATCTCGACTGCAGGTAGAGGCCGAAGGCGGATGTGAGGCCCGACCAGATTATTATGATTGTTCCCAATAACATTCCCATCTGTGACATAGCGTGTGGCATGGCGAGCGTCCCGGCGCCAACGATCGTGTTCAGGAGGTTGATATTACTCGAGAGCATGGAGGCCTGGCCACCGCCCCCTTCCTTGGGGCTGCGCCCTCGTCTTGGTCTACCCAGCACACAAAAGAGATAGTCAGTACCAAGTCTTCTCCCCCGCGACAATGCAGAGGCGACTAGAACGACAACATGTTCCTGCAAGAGAAGACACTTTCTCTGGATTGTCGCAACACATATCCTTCTTCAACCAAGAGCAGAGGCAGAGGACATCTAGCATACCGTGCCATATCTCCGGGGTCAGAGCCGGATGCAGTTCCATCAGAGAAAGTCGAGTAGTTCGTCATAGCACTCGTACCGCAGCGCAGGCAGCCAGATACATCCGGCGCAAGGGAAAGTCCAGGTAGAATTTCGCAATGTCAGGTCGGCGTTCGTTGTGGCCTTTTGGAGGGGGGGAGGGGGTTCTCGCTCTGGTCTGTCGCCTGCTTCGGAGGCCTAAGAGAGAGGGGTCGCTTCAAAGGGTCGCGATCGGATGTGGCGATGATGTAGTAAGGCAGTTGTCGACACCGAGGACGAAGGAAGAGGAACAGGAAGACGTCGTTAGGTTGTTGAACAAAGATCCAACAGAGTAAAGTTGGTCGGGACGTGAACCGGCCTTTTGCCCCGGCGCTGGTAAACCGGCAACGCTAGACAGCGAACTTAACGCCTTCCTTATTCCCACACCTGGCCCAGTTGAGGGCCTGGTCGGGTGACGGCTGGCCTAGACCCAGAATTTTGTTGACGTGATATCAAAGCAAGACACAGTCAGCAGTCCAGATAAAGGAAGTAGTATATACGATAACAAAAAAGGAAGAAGCCGCCAAAAAGGGAATCAGAGCAGGCTGATGCTGGTCAGCATGCTTCAGGCAAGCTGCTGACCTGGAAAGAAAATCAGAGAAGAGTCAAGTTGCATGTTGACCTGGCTTTGTGGCCAATTTCAACCGTCAGCCAATGCAGATTGCACCAAAGCAAAAGAAAGACCCTCAAGGTGTAACGCCCCCGTTCTCCCCACACACAAACACACACTATACCCACAGTGAGACGGGGCAGTGGCCAGGGGGCCAGGTTGGCAAAGCTCGGCCCAGGGACCCCCGATCTGACGTAAGGAGAAGCCCTGAGCACTCTCAGGTACTTACAGTACTTGTCAGTGTGTTGTCAATGAACCCTGGCTTCCACTAGCCAATCCACTGCAGACGCGTTAATGGAGGAACAGCTCGCTATCACCACGCGACATCTCCACAACTTGTCGCCATTAGGGACAGCACCTTGAAGCGAAGACCATTGGTCTCATCGAAAGCTCAAACAAGTCTCATTCCAAGGCCGGGATTCAACTCAAAATGGACAATCAGACTCTAGACAAAACCACCCTCACCACCATCTCCCTCCTGGAGGCCCGCCTACTACGGATTGAGCAGCTCCTCTATGGCACGACATCAGCACTCCCCTCACACACGCCCTCCGAATCAGCCCTCAGCTCCCTAGGCGATCTTGAGCGGCGCTTCTCAACCCTCATCTCGCGCTTCCGTGTCTACGCTGACATACTCAAGCTCTGTGCGTCTCCTCTCCTCCCACGCTGACACCCACCTCTCTCTTTCTCTCTCTCTGTGTGTCTATGTCTATGCAAAACTGAGCTGTACTGACAAACAATGACCTTCCCTTCCCAGACCGCGCCCACCCAACCTTCTTCTCCCCACCGCCCGACCCCTCGCAACCCCCCTCCGAGCTCGATGCCCCTGCCCTACGCGCCACCGTCCTCTCCTTCGCCTCCTCTTTCCCCGGCACCGTCTCTGCCCTCACAGCTGTCACCTCCGATACCCCCGTCCCAGACCCGGCCCTCTCCGCCGAGCTCGTCGCCCTGCTGCCCAGGATGAAGGCCGTCGAGGCCACGCAGCTGGCCCAGGAGGCCGAAATTGCCGAGCTGAGGGCGCGGAGCGAAGGCGTGGTGGGCGCGTGGTATGAGCAGAGGGTCGTGGGGTATGGGGGCTTTGTGGCGGATGTTGAGGGACGGGTGGAGAAGGTGGAGCGGCGCGTGAGGAGAGTCGAGGCTGCGAAGGAGAGGGATGAAGTTTGAAAAGAAGTATTTTCCAGAGGATTGAAAGGGGCTCATTTTCGGATACGAGATGATGCTGGACTTCATGGCTAGGTGTAGCCCAATTAGGCGCTACAAGACCAGCCAAGATCCTACCTGATCAGTGAGCATGGCGCCCGTATCTCTTCCACCTGGCCCGGCGTGACTAGGACCCACGAGCTGGTCAGCACGCACTTTGGAGCACAAACCGGCGTGGTGAAGCACCGGGCCATCAAAAATCCGATGCCCGCAGAAGGCAGTCGGGGACTACAGAGGGCGGCACTTGTCGGTACATTGAGGCCGAATGGTACAGCACCAGGCCGGCCTCAACGACGGTGACATGACAAGTGGCAAGCACCTTGAGCTGGCCTACATGTCCTCACGGGTAGGACGTCTAGGATGCAGAACAATGGGCAAGTCTCCTCGACCCCATGACAAGATGGGCGATGACAGAGGTGGCGGTCGCGCCATATTCCAAATGGACTTCATTGTATTAAGGTCTTTGACCAATTGATGTCAGAACGTACTTGAACGTAGTCAAGAAAAAAAAAATTCAAAAAAATCAGAAGCTCAAAAAAACCGATGACGAGGGAAGCTAAATCAAAATGTCCTCGACAACGCCAGGCATGCAGATCAGATTGAGCTTGCGAACAAAATCTATATGCAAGACCAGTAGCCGCCTTCTAGGCCGCCTAGATAAGCGAGCTGTATAGTTTGAGGCTTATGAGCGGTACGTTCGAGTATGTAGAGAGACTTCAACATATCCTTGGTGGTGTTCTTTTCTTTCTTCCAATGAAAGAATGCGGAGGGCAGCAGTGAGAGACAGGGATAATCAGAACTTCTCACGATGTAAAACAAAGTGAGAGATCGATTCTCTCCCAAAACACTATGCAAGTGGTAGCCCCGGAGCAAACGCAACTTAAATCAAAGGCGTTTCTAACCAGACGTGCTCAGATCGTTTCTACAGATTGTATCACATCACGAACATGTCGAGTCCACGCTATCATACCCATCATGACGGGCTGTCCTCAATGCGTCTCAAGCCACTTCTCGGTCCGCATCGCAGCCGGGAAGATGGACCTCCGAGTTTCAGCAGCGCCACGCTGCCAACCTTATTTCATGCAGGAATGGATCGCCTCCGGTCCGAGAAACTCTCTCTCTCTCTCTCTATCTTTCTCAAGCTCGTTTGGAACGAATGGCCGAAAACGGAGAACCCCAGATTTCAAGGTTTGTTCGGTTGTGCTGTTGGCAAGTGAGGCTTGTGTGTGTGTGTGTGTGTGTGTGTGTGTGTGTGACAAGATACGCAGGGTATTCCTCACGGTGGGTCGGGAGGGGGGGGGGGAGTAGATGAGAAGGGAGAAGGGAGTCCTTTCGGGTTCACCCTGCGCCGCCGCCACGTGCAGGTCGTGGTAGCGAGGAGCAAGAAGAGAACCCGCGTGCCAACGTAGAGAAATTAGACGCAACGGGCGCGCGGAGTACAGAGTGGGTGATATTTGAGCCTTGGCAGGGGATCCGGTCCACAGTGCGTCGAGTGGAAGAAAGGATCCTACAGTACTATACAGCCTACACTGCGTTTAATGAACGAATGTTAAACCTTCTCCCGTTGTACGCAGATGAGGAGTATTCCATGGCAGTGGCACCTCATGAGCACATGACCGGCCCGAAACATTTGGTGTAGTTCGCTCTGATGAGACGAACTGCTATGAACTGCTATGAGCTGCCCACGCCAAATCTGGGGGCCTGGGCTTCTTAGACGCCTCTGCTATGACATTGATGTGATTAAAAAAAAAAAAATTTAAATAAAAAAAATTAAAAAAAAAAAAGAAGAAGAAGAAGAAGAAGAAGAAGAAGAAGAAGAAAAAAGTCTCCGGATACATCTTCTTGGTCATACATTCCCTGACCTGACGACTTGATCTGTACGATTTGCCCCGAGTGAAAGCTGGTTATGGTCTCGCCTCGATCGACAGGGCAGACCCACTTGTGTATCCAGCCCTATACTCAGGAACAGACGAAAAAGTCCTTGGCCCAACTGCTTGGGCGGATTCTACAGTCCGGAACTGGCCCGGATTGGCACCGTGGGCTACTGCTGCTGCAGGAGTCGCCTGCTCCCCTTTATGTGTGTGTGCTTGTCTAAATAGCAATCACCTGGTCAAAAATGCCAAGTTCATCTCACGACCAAAAGGCCCAGAACGACCCGATCCCATAGCTACAGTATGAGTACAGGTGTAATCTGCTGTGTCTTGCGTAAGACCCCACGGTCCCAATCAAGCCATCGGTGGAGAGCGAAGGAGCCGTCGCATTGGCAAGGTTATTTTTATGAACCACCTAATGCGAAGACACAATGTAGCATAGTAGAAATATCGAGACTCCGAGCCAAGAGAGAAGAGAGAGATAGGAAGGCCATGTTGAGGTGTGTAGATAAGCCAGTTTCTAGGGCCGGGCGCTTTGATGTCTGGCTCGCTGGTGATATGGTTTCGCACGCGCCGCCAACGGGACAGACGTGGGAGAATATCTAGTCAACGGGCAGCGATCCGAAAAAAGAAAAAGGATAAAAAGGCCGAGATGCTCGCTTCGACGAGGTCTAATACTGGGTCGGCTGGTCAGCTGGTCAGCACTATGTTGGGTGAGATTTTTGACGAGACCTGTTGGCTTGCGGGTGACGAGCAGGCATGGCCTGCAGGGACACTTTGTATGTAGTCCGTGTGATAAAAAAAAAAAAAACAAAGATCCTTTGACATGATTCCAAGCGAGAAAGTGTGATCGAGGAGGAACCTGACCGCTATGGGCAGCATGCGACGCTAGACTGGCGCTGACGCAGGAACGGCTTCAATGTGGGCCAAAAATCTGCCCCAAAAAAATTGTTGGTTCGGTATTCCACACGGTGCTCGTTGCTGAGACGATTCCCGCTGCGCTGCTTTGGAATGTGCCCAAATGGCAATGATGGACTGGCGAGCCGCCTTCGTTTCAACCTTTTTTGGCGAGAACCTATTCTCTTGCATAGTGCGTGGTGCTCGAATTGGGGAACCCTGTCAACCTTGTCGAACCGACTGCGTGTGGAATAATAATACCCTTGGCTCGGGCCCCCGCTGGGTGCGGTTGCGCCAAAGCCCAGATGACTGACGACAAAAGCTTACTCAAAAGGCGATGGTACAGCAGTAGCTGCCAAGTCGGGCAGCCGGGGCGTCAGACTTGTGCCGCTGTAGAGCGGAGGATTGCCTCGGTGTTGGACGATCTTCAAGGTTTCTGTGGTTGGCGGTGCGTCCACTGTGTATGCAGAGCAACGGGGCTACGGCATGCAGGAGCACGCAGTAGCGGCTCACACCTCTTCGCTGCCGTTCGTCCAATGAAACAGCGCGCGGTGATCGAAACCGTAACCCTTCTCCTCACGGGTTCCAGCAGCCCACGACCAGAAGAAGAAGCTCGCCAGTCCACAATCGTTTCCATCAGCTGCTCCCTCCCCCCCCCCCCCCAAAATGGTAGAGCCTGCTCATCCATGCTACTACTATGGTAAATACAGTAGATCAGAGTTTCGTCGCATCGCATGCTGTGACTGAGCCGACCGTGGAAACCTGGCGGGATGTTGAGGGTTCGTCCTGAAACCAAGACAGCTTTCGTCGCCGCCTCCCCTCCCCCCTGCATTGTCACATCCGAACCACGAGGACTACTAGGTCATGATGGAGAGCGGTGGGCCGTGGAGAGATCAAGCTACCGCACAGAGGCCAGTCAAGAAAAAGAAAATCGACGGATGAAAAGCAACCATCTGCGCGGATCACGGCTGGTGTCAATGGCAACGTCAATGTCGGGACCGGAGAATAAGTTGGCTAGCCACCCCAGGGGCTGGAGAGCGGCACATGGCCAGGGGCAGACTAGACAAGTCAACGATTTTCCTGTTCTTTCTTGCCGGAGGTTTTGGATTTGAGCTTGAAGCCAGACTGCCAGACACAGGACGTGCCAGCCTATCGCCCACGTGGAGTGCGGTGCCTATTGTGGGCATGCGATGCCCCTGGCTTATCCTCAAACGCGCTTAAAGGACGGTCCGGGTCAAGGCTATCCCCTCCAAGAGCCAAGGTTGTGGGAACCTGCTCAAGGCTTTGACCTCATCGTTGTCGAATAGGCAGGGGCTTGGATCGTACGTAGTGCTTGTCTGTGACCACGCTTTCTGCGACAACGCATGAGAAGAAACTGTTGTGGTCATTCCCAATCGATCGTAGTCATCTTCGAAATCTCCTTCGCCTGCTCGCTCAGCAGTGGATGAGTTTAGTGATCCATCCATCTATACGACCGGGTCATGGAAGCATTTTCCGACCCAATCTTTCATTTTCTAGTAAGCGTCCAAGGGCTGTGAGGACCTGCAGCAGATAATCAATATTGATGAGAGGCTTACGGAGCAGCTGAGATTGGAGCGGGAAGCAGGAGGGAGGGGTGAGCAAGAGATGGACCATGCCTCCACACACTGTCCATCTCTTTCCCTCTAAGCCTGCCTGTACTTACCATGGTAGGCAATCACCACCACGTCCTATAGTCGTATTTTTATGTACTAGGTACCGCAGCGAACGCCCTGCACAGTGCCACAGTGGGGTTGACAGGCCCTTTCCCACCCATAGGCTACCATGTCTTCCAATGTTACTTTGCGCCTACAACCCCTGCCTTGGCTGCAACTGTTAATCCAATCCCAACTGGTCCCATACCCACCCACCCGAGAGCCAAGCCCATTCTTCCTCTCCCTCCGGTTCTTCTCGTCCACTCCAGGAGCAGCGTATGCAGCAAACGAAGACCAGGCCAGACAAACGCCAGCCAGAGGTTCCCTGCAGGCTACCCTCTTCGCCCTCCCTCCCTCCTTCCTTTCCCCTGCTGGTCTCTCCAACCTGCATTCTCTCTTGCATTAACCCACTGACTTTGACTGTCCCTCGTGGCTGAACCCAAGGGCCTGGCTACTTTGGACAAAACCATTCGATTCCCTCCTTTCTTTCAACGCCTTCCCTGACCTTACTTGGACCTTGTATTGACATGAACATTTGACCCGACCCGAACCCACGGCCAATCCATCTCTCAATCCCTCCCTCTCCCTTCTCTCCTACCAAAACAGCCACCTAACAACCCCGACACGACAAACATTCCATCTTGTCGATAATTGTTCACTCCTCCCTACCACTATCTGATCCAACGTCGACCGATCAGGATTCCTGCGCTGTCTGGTACCGCGAGGAAGATTCCGCACTGTCTGTCGCTCGGGAGCCGACGTGACTGACTGCCAGGAGGGAACGGGACAAAGGGCACCGCACCGCTGATCATCTCGCAAGCGGGATCAGAGACTCTTGGAGATCGGCGGCTGTACGAAAGACAGGAAGGCAAAAGGGGACGGAGAATACACGGCCAGCAATCATCACCATTGTCATCCCCGCCGCCGTTCCAACCACCAAACCTACCTTCCGTTCTCCACTCGACGACAGCCCGGTCCTCAAGGCAGCTGTGCAATCGATCGAGGCCTCCTCGAGTCAATTCGCTCCTCTTTGTGCCGCTCCAATTGTGTTCCCCTCCCTATACAATAATCTCGCGGAGGCTTTTTACGAGTCCTCTTTTCCTCTCTCGTCAGAGCCACATTCCACAGGGCGGCTTCGCCAGCCACCTCGACGCTAACCCGCTGCCCACCCAACCACCAACCACCAGCACCATCATTGCATCACCGACCGACCGAGACACAACATCGTTTGCAGCCAGGCCCAATGCTGTATTGACATACTGTCTTCGCCATCAACTTCGTTCTAAAACCTCTTTTGAGTCGCGCTGTCCGGAGGATAGCCCGTTTCATTCCCAACTCGACCACCGCTCCTTATGCCGAATTACGGTTCACTACACTCACCATCCCTACGCAAAATGGAGAACAACAGACAATACGGGCGCCGCGGCGTCAGCATGGGCAACATAATCGGTGATCCATTTGCCCTTGCGACAATCTCCATTTCAGCGGTATGTTTGTCCCCTTCCATGTAGCCACGGCTCCTTTGTGCATCCTACAACCTCGCCCGCTTTCTGCCCCTCTCCCCCTCCCCCATGGCATTTCACCCCTGGCGATTCATCTTGTCAGATTTTCCTCAAGCTGACACTGTTCTAGCTGGCATGGGTGATATCCTTTATCGCTTCTATCATCGCTCAGATCCAGTCAGGCTCGAGCTTCCCGACCTACACTTGGTGGACTGTCGTATACTACTTTTTTGTCATTGGTGGTATCTTCATCGTGATCGCTTCCGATACTACCCAGACCTATCACGTCGCTGTGGTGGGCTATCTCGCCTGTGGCCTGGTTCTCACCACGTCCTCGGTCAACAGCCTGGTCTACTCGGCCAACGGCGCAAAGGAAGCGGCCTCTGCAGGATTTATTCTGTTGTCTATGGTGACAGTATGCAGCATCCATTTCTCTGTCTGTAGCAAATCCGTACTAACAGTCTTGGCAGATTGTCTGGATCTTCTACTTCGGCTCTGCGCCTTCGGCTGTCCCACGCGCCTACCTGGACTCCTTCGCATTGTCCAAGGACTCTCACATGATGAACCGCCAGACCATGGGCACGTATGGTGGCGGCCGTCCTGAGACCTCGACCTCTGTGCAGCCGCCGCAGATGTACACCACATCCGCCCAGCTCAACGGGTTCGAGAATCCCTCTCCTGTTGCCGGTCTCTCTAGCGCACCTGGGACTCGCAATAGCATGGCAGCCAACGGCTTCGGCAGCTCTCAGGGCAACAAGCCAACAGGCAACCAGGAGGGCGAGATTGTCCCTCCCACCGAGTACCCCTATCGCGCGAAGGCCATCTACAGCTATGAGGCGAATCCCGACGATGCCAACGAGATCTCGTTCTCGAAGCACGAGATTCTTGAGGTTAGCGACGTCAGCGGTCGTTGGTGGCAAGCCCGCAAGGAGAATGGCGAGACCGGTATCGCACCCAGCAATTACCTGATCCTGCTATAGGCGGTCGCTGTGAGAGACCCGTCCTGTTCAAGTGCCGCTCGTGGGGATGACTTGAATGTGGCGGCATAAGATGAACTACGGCCCCTGCAGCTGCGGCTACCCACCGCAGAAGGGGGCCTGACCAGCTGTTGGCTGCGTCCCACCGAGCCTTATTTCTCAGTCGAACATATACCCAGTGGCTCGGTGGGTGGCAGGATGCTTGATCTCCGTATGAAGAGACCAGGCACAGAGCCGCAGTTGGCTGGTACAGAACGGCAGAGGAGACGCGAGCCGGCCGAGACACCAAACAGCCTGAGAAAGGGCTCGAGCATACACCCCGACGAGACTATGAGACTCACGCTTGTTGTCCCGCCACTTTGGATGTGTAGGAGTGAAAAAGAAACCAAAAATTAATCGGGGCGGACGTTGGGTTTTAAGAAATGGTATTTGGGATACCCACTTGTTCTCTACCAAGGGAACCCGTCTGCACGACAGACGCCATCCTCTTCAATCGCATTCTGCTTTTTATCTTACTTTCATCGAAATTCTTTTATTTTCGTGTACACTGTGTTGTGCTATACGGATCAGTCGAGTCCGGGTTTGGCCATCATCATCAAAGCCTGTTCTGCTCTTATTGTTTGTTGGCCTAGGTTTTTTATCAACTCTTTTTTTTCTCGTTTCTTCTTTTCTCTTCCGATTTCTTCTTCTACGGCGTTCTCTACCGGTACATTACTACTACCCTTTTGAGGAAACGGTTCACGATTGTATTCATGCTCTCAGGGTACAGGCAGCAGAGGAAATGTTGAGTGCGTGGATGGGTGTATGGGTGTTGTAGAGCACAGCAGGCGAGACGGGTAGATACACATTGGGAGATGGGCTGTGATGGCACCACCACTGTACAGTGCCTGTGGTTGGAAATGGGAGAGGCGAATAGCTGTCGCTGGTAGCTAGAGTTGATGGAAAACAAATGACGACCAACTGAGATTTTACAATTTTATGCTTGCCTACTAGTGATATGTGTGGCATGGCCGAAGGATCATGGCTTGAGCGCATGCGATGTTTTGGTAAGTAAAACGGAAGTGATTGTGCGGTGTATGATACTGCCTGCGGGAGTTAAGTTATATGGGACACGAATCAACCTCGACTGTCCTGGTGTCGCATGTCTGTCACCCAGATCTATACTATCGTATAGGACGGGATGTGGTCAGGCAACCCCGGATGACAATGACCAGCACCAAAAGGTCATTCCAATAGGGCCACGACAAGCCCCGACTCCGGCTCCGGCCCCGGCCGCTGGCGAGGTCGTCATGACGAGGGCGTTTCTGAGGTCCAGCATCTGGCGAGTTCGAACCGTGATGCCTATGTGGACAGACAGCACCCTCATCTCCACATCGTATGAGTTTGACAGCTATGGCATCGCCCGTCACCTCTTCCGGGCATTCCAAGGCAAGACCGAGCCGTGTAAGCTGTTTTCTTTTTCGTTGTTGTGTTTTTTCTGAGCGCGCCAGCATTTCTCGGTTTGTCGCGGATTAGGCGACCCGATCCATGCAGACACACACACAAACTCGCACAGACTCAAGCGTCCTGCAGCCGCAGCCGGAGCTCCCTCTCCTTTTGCACCACCTCCAGCTCCAGCCTCTCGACACTATACTTGAGCGCCTCCTTCTTCTGCCGGACCGCACGCGCCCGCAGGCCCGCCCCGCCGTCGAGGGTCTTCCTCGTCGCCGCCGCCGGTGCCCGGCCGCCTCCTCTTCCCCTCCCCAGACCACCACCGCCTACCCGCTGACCCTTGGATGATGACAACGATGACGGTGCACTGCCGGGCTCGGGCGAGGGCCCACGGCTGAGGCGGCCTGCGTTCAGGTCGGAGCGGGCCTTGAGGGTCTCGATGCGGCGGGCCTGGCGCTCGACCTGGCGCTCGGCGCGGTCGAGGAGATGGGTGACGAAGGGGCCGATCTCGTCGCGGAGGGAGGCCTCGGCGGCGGCGAGGGTTGGTTGGGGGATGAGCTCGTAGTGCTGTGGTCCGGGTAAGCTATTTTATATCCAGCCAGGAGTGGAAGAGTGAACTGTTTGGGGTGGGAGGTTGAAGGAGGAGGGGCAGAGTTGTGACGTACGCGGACTGTCTTGAGCACCGAACCCAGACGCGGAAAATCGGCTACGCCGGAGCCCAGAGTGTCGACGGAGGACTCGAGGAGGGCGAGGGATGTCCGGAGGGAGGCGACGCAGTCGCTGTAGTTCGAGGGCGCAGGCGAGTGAGAGTGAGACATGATGGGTTGGGTTGGGTTTGAGGGGAGGCGCGTGGCCGTGATACTGCTATGTTCGTGTCTTGCAGTATGTACTTGTTTTCTTCTCTCGAAGGCAGAGTGCAGTGGTTGGCGTGTTTATTGTCGCGTCAAGAAGGGTTCTGGTGTTCCCAAGGGAAAAGGTGCGGGCTTGTGGATGTACAGCACTACCAAGTAAACAAGCCTAACGTCAGAACCGCGACCTGATTTGATGCGCACCATAGCAGTAGAGGGGAGGACGGGCGACAGGGTTTAGGGATCCCAGAGCCCTGTGCTGCTGGGATTAGTAGTGTGGTCTGGGGAAGGTGGGAAAGCCCCGGGATCGTAGCCGCAGTGGAGACTTGCTGTCACTCATCGAACCTCACTCTCGAGTCTGTTTGTTTCCTGGTCATCACACGCACCTCGCTCGTACTGTACGTGCTATGCAAGCCATTTTTTTTTTTTTTTTTTTTTTTTTTTTTTTGATAAACAAAACCCAGTCTTTTCCCGAGTATATGTGTATTTTTTCTCTCAACGATGATAGTTGTCTCACGCACAGGCGCACGGGCGCCGATGTATGTTTACATCTCCTTCTGCACAGGCTACACGACATCTATCGCAGGAACGTAAGCTGCAGTCGAGCTGCATGCGCCAGTACATACCTACGCCGCTCTCATTCGACATCGTCCTAGTCACCATGTGACCTAAGCGCCCTCGGAGGCCTGTGGGTGTGCGGGGCTGTTAAATATCAGGCCTGCTCCTATTCCAAGCGTCGCACTATCTTTCAGCGCATTTGACTACCTGATCATCATGATCGTTGCGCTCTTTGCACTTAGTAGGAGGGCGTACGTTACAGGTCTACACTGCGAGATGCACCACGACGGCGCCACGACGACGATGACGGCCAGCACCTCGCAGAATGCCCAGGAAATCATGGCGCGCGACTTCACGCAAAGCTTCCCAAGTCCGCATGCCTAGAGGACTATGGTATGCGCCAATCACGAAAGTCAGTGACCACCCTCTCTGCCTGTCCCGTCGACATCGATACCAGTCTCTCCCCAATGGCGATCACATCCGCGTGTTGGTTCTTGAGCCCGGCCAAGGCAGCGACGCTCTTGTCTGCCGTCTCAAGACAGTACAACTCCAAGATACCCTTCCCAGATCCAGTTCGAGGCAATCTCATATGTCTGGGGCACAGATCTCCAGGATCAATGCATCCTGGTCAACAACAATTTCTTGACTATCACCCGCAATCTGAGGGGCGCCCTTGAGCAAGTTCGCCTGCCAGACAGGCCTCGTGTCTTATGGGCTGATTCGATCTGCATCGATCAGCAGAACAAGAGAGAAAAGGGCCATCAAGTTGGGCTTATGGCGCGGATCTACTCGTTGTCCATCTGTACCCTGATCTGTCTGGGTACCAACCCTGCACACCGCACTGCTGCTGTCCATTTCTCTACCTTGATATCCGACATCAACCAGATGATGACGCGGGTTTTTAACGATCCTGTGTTCCCTTGGACCCTGAACAGCTTCCCTTGGCCTCGGGCGGACGACCCAATCCTTCAAGACACGAGATGGAGCTCTTACAATATCTTTTAAGGCTCTTCCGTGGTTTCGCAGAGGATGGGTCGTGCAAGAAGCTGCGCTGGGCTCCTGCGCGACGCTGTTATGGGCAGGAGTCCAGATGGATTGGCTTCACTTTCTCAGGGCTGATTAATGGCTCGACCGCGGCAAGACAGCTTGTGTGCTCTATTCTCAGACCCGCACCTCGCGCCTACATAAGCGAGCTTATGAGATCCGTCAGCTTCGTGAAGCCATAACGATGATCTTCACGATGTCTCGGATCTCAGAACCCGACTTCCCCAGCGCTTTACAAGAGACCTGGAACTTGCTATTTAGCGATCCAAGAGACCGGATATACGCCTTGTTAGGCATGCCTTTTGCCGAGAAGATGAAGCACCGGATAGTCCCGAGTTATGAGTGTTCCGTGGAGGACCTTTACCAGAAATTTGCCGTCGAACACATAACGTCCACCTCAAATCTAGATTTGTTAACCTATATACAACACAACGAGACAAGCTTGTACGACGTTCAGCTTAGCTCTTGGGCACCTCAATGGAGCAAGTATGAGAGGCCACCTACGATTTTTCCTCGCACAGAGCTGAACCATCGTCCACAATGCGACGGGGCTTGCATCCCGGCCTTTAAGCTTGAAGGTACCGGAAGGATGATCGAGGGCCAAGCATTGGTTTTCGATGAAATCCAGTATGCCTTTGAGACCTTGGATGGGAAGTTGGAGACTTTCGAGGATCTGGTACAGATTTATAGAGCTACATCTCAGTGGTATCAACAACGCTCGTCTGCAAACTATCCATACAACATGCCTCTGAGCCGGGTCATTGTATTTAGCATCTGCAATGGCTTGCAATGGGGCAACTCGCAGGTCTGGCACGAAGTCCTAGACTTAATATCTACGGCTCTCGAGGCCTCTGTCTCAGGCAGCCCTGACTTGCTCAAGCGGGACTTGCAAGCTCCTCTCATCCAGATTTACGTAAACCGACTTCGCAGGATATCCCACCGCCGGCGGTTTGTGATCTCGGAGCGGGGATTCTGTATGCTGGCACCATCGATCACGACCCCCGGCGACATTATTGCCTTTGTCGCTGGCTATGACGAGCCCTTGATGTTTCGTCCAGTATCCGGAACATTGTCGCCCTCGTGCGACAATCGTTACTATGTGATCGGGGGCTCACCCATGATAACCCCACATCTTCGCCAATCTGGGAGACCGCGGTGGGCTTACATGGGCTGTGGCCGTTGGCAAAGTCTCAGCAATTTACTAAGGACAATTCGTCTATGCTAATAAAGGCTTGGTGTTGTATTGTCTGAAAACCCTCAGCAGCTTACCGTTTGTTCTGACCTTGCGCAAAAGAGATAGACATAAGATCGGTGTTTCATGTATTTGATTCCGAGGTATGTCCATGGCCTCTTTTCATATTTTTGTTTGGTAGTATAAACAATAATTTGTTTTGCCGTTGAGGCGAGCTGGAGTAGAATGAGGCTCAGGTCAACGGGTGTTTCTTCGAAAACTATGAGTAGAACCCCATGTTTTCATGCCTTTCTCTCATCTACTAAGTACATAGAAAAGTCTCACAAGAGCATAACACGCCTGTTGGAGACAATTATGGTTGGTGAAACTTTGGTGAACTATTTCTCCCTATCTCAAAGATGCCTATACACACACACACACACACACACACACACACATATATATATATATATATATGTCTGGACGCCTTCACTTGGACCAAAAAAAAAAAAAGGTTCAATTTGTTTCAGGCATTGACAGAGAATCACTTGTCAAAAAGTAATCATACGATTCTACGGACCCATTTCAACCTGATCTGCCAAGGTGAAATGATGGTGTACACTGTCTGCTACCCGTCCCTGACATCAAAATGTACTGTCCAACCAACTACCAAGGATACTGTCCATCCGAAGAAAGAAACCCACCATGCTCATCATCCCGCTCGCCGTTGAGAATCCTGACTATCGGCGCAGCCCCCTCGCTCGTAGGCCGCGCACCGCTCTCCGCATTGTTATGCGGCCCCAAGCCCGACACCGTAAACCCAGGCGTGTAGGCAAACACCTTGACCCCCTCGGCGCCGTAGACGGCCGACTGTGCCGCCGTGATCAGGTTCAGCGAGGCCTTGCTCGCGCAGTACGGGATCCCCCACATGCCCAGCTTGTTCGTGCTCGTCGTCGGGTCGAGGCGCTTCCGGATCGACCCGCCGCCCGAGGACACGTTGATGATGCGGGGTGTGTGGGTGGACGCCTTGAGGAGGGCGATGCAGGCTTCTACGAGGAGGAAAGGCCCCGTGGCGTTGGTTTGGAAGGCCTGGGAGAATTGCTCGGCCGTGGAGCCTTCTGGCCAGCCCACTGCGGCATTGTTGACTAGCACATCGAGCCTGAAGAGGAATTGATCAGTCTATTTACATCAGGAACATCAACTCTCAGTCAAGGTCCGCCGACAGCTTGTGCATACTTACCGGCCATGTTTGTCTGTCACGGTCTGTGCGGCAGCCTCGATGGAGTGAGCATCGGCGATGTCCAGGTGCAAGAGCTCTACGGTGCCAGATAGGTCTCGAGACTGAAGATTCTTCACGGCGGCTTCACCTTTCTCGACGGAACGGCTGCCAAGGAGGACGTGCTTGGACGGGACGGCGAGGAGCTGTGAAGCGAGCTCCAGGCCGATACCTGAGTTGGCTGTTCGATTGTCAGTTCGTGATAATGTTCAGAGAATAAGATATGTATTCAGAGAGAGTGTATCACAATACTCACCACCAGTGATCAGGACGACAGTTTTGGCAGAGGCCATTATGAGTTCGGAAGAGCACTTACTACGAGATGAACCAGGTCCAGTCTATCTAGACAGGATAGAGGAGACTGAGCCTGGCTTTTATAGCCATGTTCTCCAAGTTATTTTATGTGCAGACTCGATATTGATGTTTGTCACTGCAGTATTGCTTCGAGAATCAATACGTTACGGTGATAGTGTTAAGCCCGGAGCAGCATCACGTACTATGAGCAGGGGTTCAGCTCTAGAGCTATATGCGGAGTTGACCAAGAAAGACTGTCCGAATCGATCCGCTTAGCATTAGCAAGGGTCTATTCGATGAAAATGGTGTATTATAGTTTTACAGAATCACCAGGCTTGTTGAACTGTTCTGCTATAGGATGTCTTTAACATTCACACTTGCCCATTTCGTCCTGGCGAGGCGAATCCCAGCCTGTCGAAGCTTTGAAGAGGGAATTTGCTGCTGATATGCAATCATAGTATTCAGACTGACCCATTGACTTTGATAATTGCCTTTCAATACCCTAGGCATGATATTGCGCCGTGGCTCGACAATTTTCGCTATATGCTCAGGAGTGTGCCTGGCAATTCCTCAACACAACGGAGTGAGTGCTTCGGCAGGGAAGAGAAAATTAGAAAATATATAAGCTTGGCCAGACAAGGGGTCGCTCGTTTATATTCTTCGTATGATTGACACCAAAATGTGTAGAAGACATTGCGAGACCTTGGTGGACAAGTAAGTACTTATTAATTACCAAGAAGTAGGCAGGTATGAAGAGGCAGAGAATGTGAGGTTGGGTTTACAGTAGCTGGCTGCAACTCCACCTCAGTCCTTGCTACCCCTGCAACGCATCGTACTGTACCTGCTTATATAAGTAGTCAGCAACTCGCAGCTTCCTTCAGCCTCGACCACTTCGGAGCCCGTAATACATAATTCGCCGAACCGATGTGAAAACATGCCTTCTTTAATGGCGAGTTCAGCTCATGTGTTCACGTACGAAATGAGCTGATTCATTATTACAGCTATTGCTTGTTCATAACATACAGTGCATCTCTGCACCCCCACATAACTTGTGACCATAACCAGGCGTTGCTTGCTGGCCATGGTGGAACCTCCGGCCCCAGGCACGCAGCCCGTGATTGTGCAGTGGCTCGTCGACACGCGCAAGCTATGGCCCAAGGCCGAGAAAACGGCGCAGCTCGAGACTGAGGTAGATATAAACCCATCCAAAACCAACATTTATCCTCACATCGCACGCCCTCACTGACGCCCCAAATACTCACAGGCGGCAAGAGCCCTGGCCCTCCTCAACCCCGAGGAGCGCAAGTCGGTACTCAAGTACCTCTTTGTGCGCGACGCCAAGATGTCTCTGGCCTCACATCTGCTTAAACACTACGCCATCTCGCGCCTCGTGGGGATCCCGTGGTCCAAGACCAACATCACCCGCAACGCCAAAACGAAGCCTGTCTACGTAGACCCGGCCACCGGCAGGTCGCCGCTCGACTTCAACGTGAGCCACCAGGCAGGGCTCGTGGCCCTCATTGCCGGTTATGGGTTTGGCCAGGAGGAAGCGACAGGTGCCGCCGCCATCGATGTGGGCTGCGACGTGGTGTGCGTCAATGAGCGGGAGGACCGGGACCACGGCGTTATTGCGCGCGAGGGCTGGCGCTCGTTCGTGGACATGCACGCCGACGTTTTTGCACCGGGTGAGGCCTCTTACCTCCAGCAAGGGGTCGTGGCGGCCAACTTCCAGCAGCAGGACGGGATGGGCACGGGGCCGAGGGCCCTCAATAGCTTCAGGCTGCGGTGCTTCTACACGCTGTGGTGCCTGCGCGAGGCGTATGTCAAGATGACGGGGGACGCGCTGCTTGCGCCGTGGCTGCAGGCGCTCGAGTTTAGGAACTTTGTGCCGCCGAAGCCAGCGCCAAAGATGAGCGAGGAGAGGGGGGATGGGGAGGATGTCGTGGAGAAGTTCGACATTGTGTTTGAGGGGAAGAGGGTGGAGGATGCGAATGTGTGTCTGAGGAGCGTTGGCCCGGATTACATGACCTGCTCGGCGATCCGCACGCCGCAGAACAAGGAGGTCGGGCTGGGGATCAGGCTGGGGCCATATGAGGTGGTGGAGATTGAGCAGATTCTGGATCACGCCGAGGCCACTCAATGAGGCAAGATAGACAAAGAAGTTTCTCTTATTTCTTTTCTTTTTTAGGCCCGCCGTGTTGGTGACCAGTGGGGGTAAGCCGCGGCAGGATGAGGCCATATCCAGACGCCAGCAAGGAGAGCGAGAGCGAGGTCCACACCGCTGAGACGCCGTCGTGCTGACTTGACTAACTACCGTCACCTCAGTCCGAAATCAAAATAGAATGGGGGAATGGCGTTCCTGCCTGCTTCTCCCAAAGTCTATAGTGGTCTTGTATTCAAATGTGTCAGCCAAGTCTGTTGAGATAAGGGAAGTACGGCCATAGTTCAAAGTGGCAAGCATAGTAGAAAGCATAGTGCAAGCATAGTACAGTAAGGGGACTATCACCCACCTGCCATGAATTTCTCAAACCACAGTGGCTCCAATCACAGGTGGCCCTTGATTTTAGGGTAGCAGGAGCCAAATTTAGCGCGGCAGAACAACGTCATCTTGAGCTTGGTGAGATGGACATGGGGTACCATGCCCACTCCACTGTACTGTGCTGTCATGGTTCTACTACAGGGCTACAGCAGGCCCAGCTGGTTGTCTGGGCCCTTGGAACTGGCCCTTGCAGTCATACATGGAGCTCTCTTTCTGTTGATCCTCTCCCCCAAAACAACCTAGATCACACACCCTCCTGTCCAAGGCCCTGTGTAATTTTGATATCTACTAACTATAGTAGATAGATTCTTTGAACCGTCGCCCTCCGAACCCCTCCTTTTCTTCCTTTTCCTTTTCCTTCCTATTCAGTGCAAGCACAGCACTGCTTTTTATCTCGTCAATCGATCGATGGCATCCATTCCTTTCGTGTATTGATTGAAGAAGAGAAAGAGAGAACAATTATCTTGGATAACAACCCAGCTTGTCCTCATCCTCGCCTCTGAGGCAGTTTACCACTGATACGAGCCACGATCATACCCCACTCGGGAGCCAATTTCCACTTTCACGTGCAGACTGAGGCCACCTATTTACCTGCCACCATCTGTCTCGACCAACACTGTTAGCTTTGCATGGTGTAGCATCCGAAGAAACGAAGAAAGAAAGAGAGAGGAACATTGTATATCTCTGTGGTAGAGTCAAGATATCCTGCCATGTCTGAAGCTGGTGAGAGGTGAGCAGGCAAACAACCAACCAACAAGTTCCCATGGCAGTTTCCTGGCTGAGACAATGTCTCTTGCTAACCACTGTGGGCCCCCTCTTTGTGTAGCTCTCACAAGCGCTCCAGGTCGGCAGCTGCCCTGTCCCTCCTACGGAGAGCCAGAGACTCGAGCGCCGATGCAGCCTCCCCCTCGAACCCCGTCGGTGCCTCTCCCTCGGTAGAGCTGCCTCCTCCTCAAGCCGCCGCCGCAGCCGCCACCGTCTCCATGTCTAGCCATCAGGCCAACAGGAGCCAGAGCTCTCGACTCTCCGCCGTCGCCTCCAACAACGGCAGGACGCCGTCAATCCAACCCCCTGCCCCCTCCGCCTCGAGGGCCTCCGGCAGCCTCTACGACAAGGGCAACTCCCTCGAGCAGTCTGTGCGCAAGTTCCGCATCGTCGAGGCCCTGCGCAGCGGAGATACCGCCTCCATCTCCAAGGCCATCCGCGACACCTCCGACAGCGGGCCCCGCGCCAGCACGTCCTCCATGAGCACCCTCGCCGGGGGCTCTCTCGAGGATACCACCGTGCTGCACCTCGCCATCCAGTGCGCCGAGTTTCCTGTCGTCGAGTATACCGTCTCCGATGGTGCAGGCTACATTGACATCAACGCCCGCGACAAGGATGGGAACACGCCTCTGCACATCGCCGCCACGCAGGGCCGTACCCAGGTCGTGAAGCTGCTACTGGAGCAGGACGACATCAACGATGCCATCACGAACAACCAGGGCCGTCTGCCCCTCGACCTCGCTCGCAATGCCGACATCTTCCAGTCGCTGCAGCTATCGCGCTCGCTGTTCGCCGAGGGCAAGATCAGACAGGTGCAGGAGCTGATCGGCAGACAGGACTATAAAACCCTCGAGCAGGTGTTGGAGGAGACGCGCCTTAAGACGGTGCTGGACATCAACAGTACTGAGTTCGTCCTCGACCCGGTGACGGTCCAAGCTGGAGGCACACTGCTGCACGAGGCGGCAAGGCGCAAGAATACCACGTTGATCCAGCTGCTGCTGCTGCACGGGGCAGACCCCTTCAGGCGTGACCGCAAGGGCAAGCTGCCGCAGGATGTCACCAAGGATGATGTGACCCGTGCCATGCTGAAAAAGTCCCCTGCCGCGGTGGCTGCACAGCGCGGGATTCAGGAGAAGGCTGTTCTCGGGACCGCGTCGCAGGTTGCCGCCGCCACCCCCGGTGACCCCCTGCTGGGCAAGGAGGCGAGAGAGATGAAGGGATACCTGAAGAAGTGGACAAACTACCGCAAGGGTTACCAGCTGAGGTGGTTCGTTCTAGAAGACGGAGTCCTCAGCTACTACAAGCACCAGGACGACTCGGGGTCCGCCTGCCGTGGTGCCATCAACATGCGCATCGCGAAGCTCAACATGTCTCCGGACGAGAAGACCAAGTTCGAGATTATCGGCAAGTCTTCGGTCAAATACACTCTGAAGGCGAACCACGAGGTCGAGGCCAAGCGCTGGTTCTGGGCCCTGAACAATGCGATCCAGTGGACCAAGGACCAGGCCAAGGAGGAAGAGCGCCAGCGTGCTGCCAATGCCGAGATGTTGAGCAAGGCCAAGGAGCAGGCGCAGGTTGGTGTAGGCGGCGAGGCACCGAGCGAGAACAACAACTTCCTTGAGCCGGTTCCCAGGGGCAGTACCCAGCTCAGCCGCCTAGCATCTAACAACAACAAGTCACAGGGTAAAATGACGAGCACGGGAGGAAGTTTTGTAGAGGACGATGACTATGCAGAGACGGAAAATGAGACCAGGGCCGGTATGTCTGTCATGCAGGAGGACCACGACGACGACGACGACTACGGCGAGGCGTCGAGCGGCAGGGATCAGCCGGGCGCTGGCAAGGACGCCTTCAACATCACTGCACAGTCTCTAAAACTGCAACTGGACACGATGGCCCAGGTCAACGCTGCCCTGGTCGCGGAGGCCAGCCAGAACCCGGGCGTGAAGTTGTCAGACCCTAAGACGGCCGGTGCCTTGGCTACGTACGACGCCGCAATTCGCTCTATGCTTGGGCTCATTGGCGACCTGATGAGGATCTCTCGTGATAGGGATGCCTTTTGGCAGTACCGTCTCGATCGGGAGACTGACATGAGGAGGATGTGGGAAGAGAGCATGGCTCACGTCGCCAAGGAGCAGGAAGTCTTGCAAGCACGCATCGGCGAGTCTGAGGAGAAGCGCAAGCAGACGAAGCGCATGCTTAAGGAGGTCGTCGGCAATGCCAGCATCACCGACAGCCCTAATCTGTCCGAGGTGCCAGAGGAGGGCGAGGTCTCGGCCGCAAACACGCCTGCCTTGTCTCAGAAGTCGCCAGCAAGGTTCTTCACCCGCCGCGAGACCGTGCTGACGGAACTTGCGAACTTATCCGAGGACGACTCAGATGTGGATGAGGAGTTCTTCGACGCGGTTGACTCTGGAGAGATTGAGGCCGAGCCTTTGCCTCCCGTCACTGCAACGACTACAGCAGTTACCACCGATGGCAAGAAAGAGTCGGCGGCCGATTCTGGCATCATCGACATCAGCAGCTCTTTTAGCGGATACGAAAATGGTATTCGTTCAAAACTGAAGATTGATGCCGACAACAGGCCAAAGATCTCACTTTGGGTAAGTCACACTTGTCTTTTGGGAGACCTCCTTAAATCTAACACGTCGTTTCTCCAGGGTATTCTGAAATCTATGATCGGCAAGGACATGACCAAAATGACACTGCCCGTCACCTTCAACGAGCCCACCTCCTTGCTCTACCGCTGCGGCGAAGACATGGAGTATGCTGACCTCCTGGATCTTGCTGCTGACCGATCCGACTCGATCGAGCGCCTTCTGTACATCGCTGCTTTTGCTGCAAGCGAGTACGCTTCGACCATCGGCCGTGTTGCCAAACCTTTCAATCCACTCCTTGGCGAGACGTTTGAATACGTCCGACCCGACAAGAACTACCGCTTTTTCATCGAGCAGGTCAGCCACCACCCACCTGTCGGTGCTGCCTGGGCTGAGTCGCCGAGGTGGACGTACTACGGCGAGTCACATGTGAAATCCAAGTTCTATGGCCGATCGTTTGACATCAATCCCCTCGGCACGTGGTTCTTGAAGCTGCGGCCGACATCGGGCGGAAAAGAAGACTATTTCACGTGGAAGAAGGTGACATCTTCAGTCATTGGTATCATCACAGGCAACCCCACCGTCGACAACTACGGACCCATGGAGGTCAAGAACTGGACGACGGGCGAGGTATGCTACCTGGACTTCAAGCCGCGTGGCTGGAAGGAATCGTCCGCATATCAGATCACCGGTAAAGTCGTCGACGCGAGTGGGCACGTGCGCATCTCCATCGGCGGCCGGTGGAACTCGAAGTTGTACGCGCGCGTCACACCAGGCTACGAGGCCACCGTCGAGGCACCCTCAGATGCCGCCAACGACTCGGCTTCCATCTACAAGGGCAGCTTCAACGACCCCAGCAAGGCATTCCTGATCTGGCAGGCCAACCAGCGGCCTAAGGGGATCCCCTTCAACCTGACGCCGTTTGTGCTCACCTTCAATCACATCGACGACAAGCTGCGACCATGGCTCCCGCCAACCGACTCGCGGCTGCGGCCCGACCAGCGCGCCATGGAGGAGGGCCAGTACGACTTTGCCGCTACGGAGAAGAACCGGCTGGAGGAGGGCCAGCGCGCACGGCGGCGGGCGCGCGAGGCCGAGGGAGGCGAGTTCGTGCCGGCATGGTTCACGAAAGCTAAGTGCGAGATCACAGGCGAGGAGTACTGGAAGTTCAACGGCAAGTACTGGGAGCAGCGGGAGAAGGCGGGCAAGGGGGATGCCAAGGCCTGGGAGGGACTGGAGCAGATTTACGAGTAATTTAAGCAAGGAAATTGAACGTTGAAAGGCAAGTGTTGTGGTGAGCATAACAAGAAATGGTGCGCGCGCGAGAGAGAGAGAGCGAGCCGGATGGAGTAGTATTTTTAGTTGACGCGAGAGAGGGAAGATGTTCCATCTTTTGGTGTTGCTCTGTTGTTGATTTTATTATGAGGGATGAAGACCCATGGTACACAATGACGGGCTCCTATGCATCGTCTTTCCTTGTATAGACAAGCACATAGCAGTCTGATTCTGAATATGATGTTCCATTGAACACCTTGATACCTTGAAAATTTCTTGAGGGCAAGAGGCATGATACACATCTATCCTTGTGAGAGAGAAATACAGTTTACCTGTTGTGAGACACTGGATATTGTTTGACTGCGACATTGATCTCGCACATGGCGATCATTCCGTGGCCGGAAGTCAGCCAGCTCAGACGGCCTCCCATCTACCCACCCATCCCGTCACCTCTCCAGCATTCCTCACCACACAGACACGCCCTTCTTCCCGACTGCCACCCGCCATCAGCAGCGACTCGAGCGCCTTCTCCACTGAAACGGCACCGATGGCGACGCCCTTTCCCTCAGACAGGCTGAACTCCCCCTTGGTGACGTACCCGATGAGGTCCTCCTCGCCGGGAATGAGAGGGTGGTGAGGATCGTTGTTGTCACAGGAGGCCATGTGCATTGCAGGCGGCGGGAAGGGGACCTTGTTGGCCACGAGGGACTGGACGAGCAGGAGCTTCTGTGTGTGGTGGTCCGCGTCCGTTGGGAACCGGGTCGGCTGGTTGGCAGTTTTCTTCTCCTTGTTGTTGTTGCCAGGGGCTGCCGGTCTCTTGGTGTTGGAGCCGGGTAGTTTGGCCAGCCACTGGTTGCGTAGGCCTGTGGGGAGCTCTTTGGTCTGTGGTAGCGGGTGTGTCGCTGGGATCTCAGGCTGGGTTGTGGACTGGGGCTGCTGGACTGCCGCTTTGCGTGAGGGGAGCCGGTAGATGCGGGCACAGGGGTTCACGACGCCGCGGCCGGGGAAGGTGATCTTGACGGAGGCGATGGAGTACTTTGGTGGTTGGGTTTCTGGAGATTTTGTGGACAAAAGTGTGTTGAAGGTGGTCTTGGAGAGGTGGTGGACGAGCGTCAGTGGATGAGGTAGTATTTCGTGTGTCTTGACAGGTTCGGCTTTTCCGGCATCGTCAGCCTCCTTTTCGTGGCTCTTATCCGTGTTCTCTGTTGCGGTATGTCCTTGGTCCGATTCGGGCTCCTGTCGAAGCCCAAACAGACTTTCAAACTCACAAGCCCAGCCAATACCAATCTCTCCTTTCCGGCCTGCGCCCAAGTCAAGGGATTCCCACGCGACGCGCTTCGATTTTGGCCTTCGCTCCCAGTCAGCATTCCTCTTCTGACGCTGTTCAAGCTCCCAAGCAGCACCAGCTTCCGTTCCTGGAAAGTCCCCTGGGAACCAGGGCAAGCCTTGCTCAAAGGTCACCTGGCGCAGCTCATCCAGGCCACCGACGCGAGGGTTGCCGCCAGTCGAGAGAGGGTAGTGCACCAGGCTGTGCCACAGAGGCAGAATACATTTCCACGGTGCGAGCAGCGTCCAGGTGCTCTGCGTAGATGTTTTCAGGCGCGAGGACAACAGGATAACGGGAAAGGGAGGGTCAGCCTTGCTGACTTGGAGAGGGTGGCCTGGTGGATTTGTGCCCCTGCGTCGGTTGAGAGCCTTCTGTGAGGGAAAGCAGGACGCTCTGAATCGTGCGTTGCGGTCAAACAGCAGGTATGGTGAGGGAGATCCAGCAGAAGATGTCCTGTCCGAGTCGTCTGGCTGGGTCGTATCCGCTGTTCGCGCTTGGACTGTTCGTGGAGGGTGTCTCAGACGTGGATCTTGAGCAGAGAATCCCAAAACAACGTCGGAGGGAAGAGCAGCATCATTGGCAGTGGCGAGGAGTGATCCAAACAGCCTAGCATGATCTTCCCTTTTCTCTGGTCCCTCATGGTATGGGTGAATGACACCCAGCAGCGCTTCAGTCGCCCCGGGGCCCGTGAGCTCAATGCTGCCAACTTCGAAGCGCAAGTCCTCGACATAAAGCCTCGGGGTCTCTCTCTTGATGAGTTTGGTGAGGATGTTGAAGACTTCAAGGAAGCACGAAGGATGCAGTCTTATGAACACTTGTCTCTCCAACTTTTTGGCTGGTTGAGACGAGTCCTCTGCATTCTGGACTGTGACTGGCTCAGGGTCCCATATGACTGTGGCTGGACCCACTGGTCGTCTGATATCTCCCTTCTCTTTGCTCAACATGCCAGACCACTTGCGGCGGCCATCCCTCCACTTTTTGCCTCGGTCATCCCATAAACTGCCATGAGACATACCCAAGGCGCCCAGGATCCTCTGGATGCCAGCCTCATGACCATAGAGGCCGATCGTGCTCATATAGCTCATGTCCCATACCATAGCTCCCCTGGCGGTCGATGCACGGTGCGTTGGCCTGTAGACCTTTTCGTTCGGCGTCAGTGGTATGGCAAACCTCCACAATGGGTCTTTTGGCGGGGTCATCTTTGCCCTCTTCGCATGCCACAGGTGTGTTGGCAGCCAGGTCTTGTCAATCTGGCGTTTCCTGAACCTTGCCTTGGGCCTTGGGGGTTCGTTCAGCAAGTTTCTCCGGACCTTAGGCCTTGCAGGTCTTGTCTCGATCAGCTGCCTGATCGCAGCTGACTCCTCCACTTCCACTTCCACTTCCATCCCCTTCCCACTATCTTCTCCCTCGCCATCCTCCCCAGCCCTTTTCCTCGCCTCCCTCAACTTCCTCTGCCTCTTCTTCTCCGCCAGGACCCCGAGCCTCCTAGCGACCTCGGCCCTGATTCTACCCCTCGAAGTCTTAGGCTTCCTCCGCCTAGTCTCGACGGTAGGTGTGTTGTCCTCTACCTGCTCCCGACGTGCCCTGGCCCTCAGCCGCTTAGGAAGCTTCTTGGCGTTGTGTGAGGCGGTGCGCCTCCGCATGGCACGGGGCACAAGCTGGAAGGCGCGGCGGTTGTTGATGTGCTTGGAGGCGCTCATGCCGGAGGTCAGAGCGCGAATCTCAAACTCGCGAGCGGACAAGAATGCCTGCAGGTCGAGCTCACCGTCGCGCAAGGCGGCGTCGGCGGGCTGAGCGCGTATGGTGCGGGCATCGTGGACCTTGGCGCGCTTGTGAGAGCGCGCACCACCGCCGCTGCCGCCTTCTCTGGCGTGAGATGGCCTGGACGACGAGGAGGCCCCTTGGTCATGAGGCGGGTCCTTGCGTTTCCTAGCAGGTCCAGAAGGCTGACCCCCTCCTGGCTTTTGAGAAGGTGGTGGAGCCATGGCTGAGGGTGGTGTGTTGTTTTGAAAAAGCTGTTGATATTAACACCTTGAAAAAAATTAAAGTGGTGTTGAGGCACGATGTACATAATTGCAGCAGGCACTGTATGGGCTAGCTGTCGCCCCCCCCAAAAGGCGTGTACCATGGTAGATTTTTGAAGAGCTACCCTGGAGAGCCTAGTAATGGAAGGGAGGGGGGGCACCGGGGGTGTAGCGCACGGGGGGTGTAGCGCCAGGGCCAGAAAAGGGTGAACCACAACTGCCCCTGCCCCTAACGGTAGAACCAGTACGCAGGTGCTATGTTTGTACAGTACAAGGTACAGAGTGCAAGGCAGCGTCGAGGTCGAAGCAACCAACTGCAGAGTTCCTTCCTCCTTACTACTTCTTTCTTGATATGACGTATGAGCTTCAACAACGAGTGAGCTGCTGCTTACTTACCCATTCACTCTTCTTTCTACTGTAATTGATAACCACTCAACAGGGCTACTGGACATCTCCATTTCAATACTCAAGTACTTTATGGTACAGTACTTGTGGTGTGTGTGCAGCCCTAAATCCTACTATACTCCACAAGTTCCAGATGAGCCGGTCACTCATCTCCCCGTGGTCAATCATCAATCTTCCCTTTATTTCTTCTGTCTTGGATTGGTCTCCAAGGGGGGGGCTGACCGGTCTGTACTCTGCATACCATATACATATTCAGTAGAGATTGCCAGCTTGACTGATGCTTGACAGACACACCACCATCCATCTTCCTTCTATCGTATCTTTTTCTTCTTCTCTTGAAACAAGGAAAGCCCTTCTCATTCTTCATACACTCACAGACTTGGTCCTGTTTCACCCTGTCATCGTTTCGGCTGGAACGGAACTAGGCCCGGGCCTTCCGACGTCACTGCCAGTCACTGCTGCTCACTAGCCAGAGTCCCATCCATCTATCGATCGATCCAGCCAAAACCAGGGCAAGCACACTTGATCAAGTAGCAGGCAGTATCAGTCCTCATCCACAGTACATATATAACGCACCTTTTGGCCCCCATGCGGATGATAAGCGATATCATCTTGGTCACCTGCATGTGAGCCTATGCGTATACGTGATGGCGCACCTCAGTAAGCCCCATCCCACTACTATCGTCTTCTTCATCTTTCTCTTGACCTTGTACCCTGTCCATTGAAGAGGGATAGATACTGTTAGTTGAGGGGTTCTGGGGCTAGCGAGCTGTAGGAGGTGGCTTGTGGCTGACGAGGACGACGACGGTTGACTTTTGACATTGCCTCTCCCAACCCGATTGTCGCCCTTGTCTCACTTTTTGTTCTCATTTCACACACACCTTTGTCTCTCACACTTGAACTCCATCCTCTTTACTGTTTCTGTCTTCCCCCGACAACACTTTCTCTCCCTCTCTCCCGCTCTGTGGCCTCAAACAACATACCATGAGATCTGAGCCAGCCACAGCTGTTGATCCTTCCTCGTGGCTAACATGAACTTGCACCTTCTCCCCATAGTCAACAAGGCTCGTAGGGTAAGACAATTCTCTTGCTTTCTTGCCTCTCCCAAAGAGGTCTAAAATTTCCTGGAATGAACTTCTTATCTAACTCACCCTCACTAGCCAAAATTCGAGGTACACCTCAAGGTAATTTACGATGCCCCTAACATCACCCGTTCCGTTCTCTCTCTCACAGACACAACACAACCATGCTGACCGAGCATCCTAGATCTATGATCTCAACAATGTTCCTCTGGTCCATGGCTCCTCTTACATAAAATGGCATCTCCCACACTCCATCCACAGCAGCCACCATGGCCGCACCGCCAAGTGTCCCATCGCCAATCACCGCGTCGAGTACAACTACGGCAAGATTATTCCTGTTCGCCTTGCCATCGACAAGACCAACAGCCTGGCCGAGTGCCCCATCGAGCTCGAGGTCCTACAAGAATTCCCCACAGCACCACCCTCCTCCGCCGGCCCCGGTGCGGGCGGGGGCGGGGGCAACAGCCGTGAGGAGAGGATCACCCTGGGCCGCCTGACGCTGAATCTAGCCGAGTATGTTGAGGAGAGCGAGGCGTTCGTGCGGGAATCGGGATTCCGGCCCAGGCCTTCAGGCTCTGGTGGCTCATTTAGTGGGAACGGTGGTAGCTCTGCATCGACGGCACCCAAGCCTCCTTCCTCCAGCCAGGCACCGCGAGGCCACACCCGCAAGAGGTCCAGTCTATCGACCACGTCGCCCGTCACAATCGCCGATACGAACGGGCCCACGAGCCCCAAGACCTCAATGGACAGCCCTAGGTCACCCTCTATCGGCAACGAGCAGCAGCAGCAGCAGCAGCAGCAGCAGCAGCAGCAGCAGCAACAACAACAACAACAACCTCCACAACCACAACCTCAACCCGACTTGGCGCACGTCGAGGACGGCGTGATCCGGCGGTATCTCATGACCGACTCCAAGATCAACAGCACCCTCAAGATCGGCATCCTGATGGTCCAGCTCGATGGTGAGCGCAATTACGTCGCACCTCCACTCAAGACCGCGCCCGTTTTCGGCGGCATTACAGGCATGGGCATCACAGGGAGCGCCTCGGCCGCAGCTGGTGAACTCGCTGCTGGCGGCCCCGGCGCGGGGGGCGATTTTGGCCAGCACTTCCAGGACGCCCACCCAGAGCACGATGCTGCGAGCCTAAGCGCTCAGTTCTCAGGTGTCGCCGGCTCCAAGCCCGGCGGCGATGTCTACGAGTTGCAGGACATGTATCGCCGCGCACTCGCCGCGTCGTGGGCCGGCCACCCAGGTGAGCTGGCTGCCAATGAGTGCATCGAAGACATCTTCCAGGGCGGCGACGGGTTCGGATCCGACAGCGACGATGTCAATCATCGTCAGAGCCCTGGAGACGTCACGCCGCGTGGCCACGGGAAGCGCGGTGGCAGCCTCGGACGTGGCAAGATGATGCAACGCGAGGACAGTGGGTCCTCGACCGGCGGGGCAGGTGATGACTTTCTGCGCGCAGGCGACGCCAGCAGAAGGGGTGGCGCTGGCGCTGGCGGAGGATGGGGAAATGCAAAGAGACACCACGCCCGCCACGGAAGCGGCGAGAGCGTGGGTGCCTTGCGGCACGAGGGTGGTGGTGGTGGACATGTGACTCCCCATCATCGGCCGCACAGACGAGACGGGAGCAGAGACAGCGAGACGGGCAGCCACCGGGGCGGCGGCTTGGGCATGCGAGGGCGGAGCGAGAGCCTGGCGAGCCTGACGACTATGATCGAGAGCGAGAGGGGCCGAAGCGGGTTCAAGAGCGCCAGGGAGCTGAACGAGTGGGAGGTTAGGGACGATTTGGTGGCCTGGAGATTACCTGGGACAGCGTCTTGAATAAAATAGTCGGCAGCAAGGCGTTTTCCGGTATGGAAACTGTGGGGATTATTACTGAGATGGACAAAAGAGGAAATCTGTCATCGTAATTACACGGAGTTTCACATGGTAGCATGAGGCTCGGATTGATCCTTGGGAGGAATCGTTTTGGTATTCATTGAGCGAGAACTCTTGTGTGCCTTCTACATGCAGGCTCCTTGTGTTCTCTTGTACGCCCTGAGCAAACCCATGGTTTGATGGAGCAGTGCTTCTATAGTTTCAGCTGGGCGTCTTGCGCCTCTGGGATGCGCCCTCTGTCTTCGAATCCCCAGTTGAGGCTGATACAGTGCACTCTTGAGAATCGAAGGCCACGAAGTCCGGGAGCTTCCCCCCCATCCCCCCCTCTTACAAGAAGGAGGGTAGTTTGATAACACAACCGCGATGATCTTCGGTGGTGCTTTCTTCCAGCCATATCCTGTGGCATGCTTATGCTCATTTTCCTTGCGCTGTATCATCACCGGTGCTTCTGCGACAGACAGACAGAAAGACAGATAGACATATGCCCCAAAAGTCTTCGTGGCAAAACCGTCGCTCTACATCTCCCACGCGCCATTAGCACCTCATTCGTCTTAGGCATTGTTTGTGAATTCTTGCGGCCTTGTTCCGTTCTTTTTTCAGACGGCTTGTTTCATTTTCGAGCTCGGATGGTCCTTTTCGTACTCGTCAAAGTCCTTCTTGATCAGCTCACACTCCTTTCTAAGGTGCTGAAGCTGCTTCTCGTAGTCTTCCACGATCTACCCATCTCGTTAGCTAGAATGGCCAAATCCCCTTCCTGGAATGGGAGCTTCAGACTCACCTTCTTGACCTTGACCTCCACCTCGCCATCCAGACCTTGATCATCGCCCAGTCCCTTCTTGGCCAGCTCGTCCTTCAGGAACTGAGCTTGCTCCCGCAAGAAGATCAGACGGCTCCACAGCTCGTCCAGCCTGGCGTTAACCGCAGGATCCTGCACAGCCTTCTCCATGTTCTCCAGCTTTATGCGCAGCTCGTCCTCATCGCCTGACAGCGCGTAGCCCCGATTCCGCAGCACTTGCACCTTTCTTGCGAGCACTAACGTCCGCCGCCGGAGGACCTCATGCTTGCGACGGGCCTCGATCATCTTGACGCTCCAGTCGAGGTCGTGCTTGCTCAGTATGGAATCCAGGCAGTTGTTGATCTCGTGCAGGCGCTGGTTGAAGATGCTGATCACGTTGCGCTGGTTCTTAAGGCGCTCTGCAATAGCAGTGAAACCAGAGGCCAGCACAGGCATCATACCCGGTGCAGGCTTGTTCTGCAGTGCCTCCTCCCATTCCTTGGGGTCGTCGTTAGGACCGGGGTGGAAGAAGGGGACGGTGGCCTCGTCCACCTTGTTGTAGAAGTAGTACTTGAAGGCGCACTCCGAGGTGCCAGGCTTCCATTTCTCGACAATAGTGTTGAGGCGCTGAGGCACAACCTGGTCGGCTTTTACGCGTCTGTTAGCCCAAAACGGAACCACGCAGGCCAGGTGACAGATCTTGCTAGGCAGCAAAATGGTTGAAGAGAAGAGACTCGCCAACAGGAAGAGATAGGTGGGAAGATGGAGAGCACATACTGTAGGGAACGCCTGTCTGGAACTGTAGACTGGCACCATGATTGGTTTGAGGTTGACCCAACAAAGACAAGCCGAATGATTGCTGTTGCTGCTGTTGCTGCTGTTGCTGTTGCTGTTGCTGTTGCTGTTGCTGCTGTTGCTGTTGCTGTTGCTGCTGCTGCTGCTGCTGCTGCTGCTGTAGTAGTAGTAGTTGTTGTTGTTGTTGTTGCTGCTGCTGCTGCTGCTGCTGCTGATTGTTATTTGGCCCGGCAGTGCTCTGTCCAAACAGACCGAGAGACTGTGTTGGCTGTTGTTGCTGTGTGGCAGTGGTTGACTGCCCGAATGGGTTGGAGGATGCATTGGTGGTGTTGCCGAATAACGACGAACCGCCTGCAGGTTTGCCAAACAGAGACATCTGAAAAGGTGAGACACGATCGGTTGAGGCGAGGATCGATGTACGGAAGTCGGTGGAGGAGAAGAGAGGAAGAGGAGGAGAAGGGGGAGAAGGAGGAACAGAAGGAGGAGGAGGGTGTTGCTGGGAGTACGAGTAACCAGGTCCGAGTCGACAGCAGCTGTCAAAGGTAACAAGATAAAGAAAGGGTATCAAACGAAGTAGTTGAGTGCTGCAGAGTATAGAAGCAGATGAGATTAGGAGCAAAGTGATTCAAGAAGCAGGCCTGCCCTGAAAGATGGGCCAGAGTGTTGGTGATAGCACGACGCTTGGGTTGAGATTATGTTGTTGTCGCGACTTTGGCAAGAAGCTAAGCCTTGGACCCGTGCGCGTTGCTCTGCGTGTGCAGGTGCAGAGTGCAGGCACAGCATAGAGAAAAAAAAGTCCAAGCTCTGGGGGAGGTATCCCTGCAAGCTTGGCCCTGGCTCTTCCCTCACCTCTGGGACTGTGAAGTGTGGGTCCTTGGAAGACGCTGCAACCAATTACGCCAACGCCAATCCGGTTACCAGACGACCTCACTCACTTGCTCAAGCTGGACGCTGCCAAATCCAAAGGGAAACCTCAACTGCCCGTCACCAACCACGACCATCTCCTGTCCCTACACAACTGCCAAACATGGCGTCGCGTCCGGCCCAGTAAGTCAATTGGCTCCAATCTCAGTCTCACACCAGCTCGAATCGAGCCTCGCCGGGGCACCCAATCCTCCTCCAATATAACTGCCGGGGCATTCTCGCAGCACCGTTGACTGACAATGCCCACAACGACAGGTTCTCGCAGCAGCAGCTCTACGACACCACGCCCCTGCCCGAATCGATCCCCAAGGTCAAGGAGCTTGGCGCTAGCTCCGCGCCCCTGCTGTCCGCCTCCTTCTTCATCGGCGCCCGCTGCAAGGATTACAATGATGATTTCATGCAGTGCAAGACCGAGAACCCCGGCAAGGGCGAGTTCGAGTGCTTGAAGGAGGGCCGAAGGGTCACGAGATGTGCGAGGAGTGTGTATGTTTACCCTATCCCGCGATTGCTGCATCCCGGCGGAACCATGGAGCGAACGACATCCTAGGTCAAGAGGGGGATCTGGGAGGGGACAGTCCTGAGAAGAATATCAAGGGAGAACCTCGGTCGACCGGATGAATCCCGGAGCCTTAGGCTGTGGATAGAGAGAGACATGACTGACGGAGCTTTCCACACAGGATCGAGGACGTGAACAAGCACTGCCTGGAGGAGTTCCGAACTCACTGGCAGTGCCTCGACAACAACAACCACCAGCTATGGCAGTGCCGCCCAGCTGAGTGGAAGCTGAACAAATGCGTCTTCCACAACCTTGTCAGTTCTCTCATTCCCTCTTCATGTTCTTCTATGCTGACGAAGCGATCTATCTTGCAGAAAATCGAGAAAACCATCCCCGACGCGGGAGGCAAAATCCCCGTTCACATGCGCTCACAACCCATCTTTGCACACGCGCCCGTGCCACACCAGCGGATCGCCAAGTATGAGGATGTTAAGGAGTCATAGACAGGCACTGTGGATGCTACATCAAGACGGGGTGGCATGGGGCGAATCGAGAAGATGGTGGCCATAGGTCCTAAGGCTCAGTGTGTGAAAGACGAGGCCCCGAGAGGCGTGTACACTCTAGACGAGGAACGACAATCACAAAACACAATTTAAAGAAAAACAGACATATATACCCGACACTATGTGTCCTACTGTGTAATCAGGAGAGAGCATTACCCCGGTAGCCCGACCACATCTGATCATGCCTTGAGAATTACTACTCAGAACAGAGTAGTGACGCTTCATTGCAACCCCCCCCCCACCCCCCCTTTGAATACAGGCATATGGAGAGGTCAGCAAATATCTTATCAGTCATTGGTTTTTCAACAACTCCAGTTCACTTTGTCTGACCTGGCGCGGTCGAGGTGGCATCCAGGGAGCCCACAGCATTGCAGGAGGCTTCCAACGAGGGGCCAGAAGCAGGACAATTGGACTTTAGAAAGCCCTCGTAAAATGCAGCCACAGTCTCATCGCCAACATCTTCCTTTACTCTGGCTCCCATATACAGAGGAGGCCTTCGGGGCGAGTAGAAGATAGGTCAGTATCATTTTGGCATTCACCACCCGTGGCTTAGTAAAACACGAGAGAGTGTCCCTACTCTCTGCAGCAAAGACATATTATACTCCGTTAGGCAGAATTCATAAGTGCGATCTGGCGTCACGAGCATCGACTGTTTCTCAAATAGCAATTGGCTTCCTTCCACATACTTGACTATAATTCCTTACTTTCCAATACTTGAATAAGATTTGACATGGCGTTCTGCCTGATCCCCGATAAAATTGTGCAAAAACTGCTTCAGCGGAGCCAGGCTCCAGCTATGGAGAAGTTCCTGGCCAGGCTGAGCACAAACTGTTCAGTATCGCCTGCAGCTGCAGCCCAAGTTACGCCTAGAGAACAGCGCCGGGAAACCGAGACCGAAGCCAAAGAATACCAGGTGAAGGCTCACAAGAGCATACGAACCAGACAAGTCAACTGAAAACACGAGAACATGTTCAGAATCCAGCCACCAAGGCGAACAAGTGGTACAACGAAGCTGCGGCCGCCCACGCGCCTCGGGCGTTTTGATTCTCTTCCTGTGGTACCCAATCACTTGGCCAAACATGCATCAACCGGAGACTGGCTACAGTTGACTTACCTGCAGCAGCCTGCTTCATCTTGGAGAATGCACAGGTGGTACAACACACCCCACATCCCAAGGTCCGCAAAGTTCACTCCGGAAGGCCACCTCGTCCTCCTCACCGCCCTTCAGCCTGACGGCAAGGCATTGGATAAGCGCTTGCACAAGAGAACAACACCCGAGAGGACACCATAGAGAAAGTCAGCAGCCTGATGAGTGGCTCTGGGAAAAGAGGGAGGGCACAGCAGACGGATGGAAGCCTCTGTGAGATTTGTGTCGTCCGTGTGGGCCACACTGGCGGCCTCCCTCCTGACTGCCGAGAATTCCTCCTCCAATCCTCAGACGTCTCGTTCTCCAGAAGCATTTGGCAAAGAGAATCAAGGCCATCTCCACTGGGAGATCAACGAGGACGGAGAAACCCCTTCAGTCCCATCATTCTCCCTCCTTCTCCCAAGACAACCTCAGCCGGCACTGCAAGTCCAACCCAATAGCCCAACACGATTCCCGAGACAGAACAAGGCCAGGCGACATCGCACGAGGCAGACTCAGACTTTACTCCGAGGAGCCTATCAGGACCAGATCCTGACAGGTCTAGATTTCACAAAGAAGGCTGCTGACCATCCCCCCCCCCCCTCTTTTCCTACCCTTTCTCACAGCCCAGGACAACCCCGAAACATTCCGACCTAGCCAAGGTGGTCTCTGTACTACAATAACAACGATAGATCATGTACTATAGCAGATGAAGAAACCGAACGTAGTGCGGAGTGTCGTGCAACCACATTGAACCTTCATCCGCATGTTGTGAAGTCTATATTGGTGTGTGAAATGTGGGGGGGGGAGGGGAATATTCCACATCTCGTCCCGCGTTCTTAGCATGTATACAGATATTTTTGCGTACTTTTTCTCTGTGGGAGGAAAGTTGTTAGCCTCATGGAAAGCTCATGGCGCAAAACCCAACCTCGTCGCGCCCCCCTCATGCGGGAATAGGAAAGCCCAGAGCTGTGCAGAATGTCCTCAAAGGAAAACCCATACTACAGGCGGGAAGCTTTGAGGACGACGTAGGAGAAGAAGAAAATTCAATTATGGGGAGAGCAAAGTTCCAGGCCGGCTGCTCGGCTCCCCCGCCTTGCGCCAAAGTGGTACGCGGCGTGCATTTCTCTCCCGTGCCGTGTCCGCACAACAGACGGCGTCCGTCTTGTTGCGTTCTCAAGCCTATCTCACTAGTCAGGGGCTTGGAGACCAACAAAAAAAAAAAAAACATAACTCCTTTTTTCCCTCCCATCAAGTGAGAGAGCCCTCGTGGCCATTGGCGTGGCGATGCTGTCGCGTTGTCCCCTGAAGCCTCGTCTGCGGGAGTGCGAGCATCTCGGAGATACTAACATAGTACTTGTGGAAAGGACATCGTCCTTCCGGCGCCGTCCTTTCGTTAGCCACTTAGCCACACGTGCTTGACGGTCTGGTCCCGTTTCCTTCTTCTTCTAAGTTCGCACAGCCGACTTTCGTCCCGTTCTCCTCCTCGTCGTCCTCCGGGCGGACGATTATCATAGCGTGGATGACCCTTCCTCCACAACGCTAGACTAGCAACAAGACACGGCGTCCCTCGGAAAGCCACGCGGTCTTGTGTGTATAGGTGCGTGTATTCTATAGATAAGCCACGCGAGATGATGAATGGATGGGCCCGATATACACAGCCGTAAGAATGGGACCGCACGTCTCCACCGACGAAGAAGCGGCAGCGGCAGCAGCGGCAGCAGCGGCAGCAGCAGCAGCAGAATGACAGTACACTCGCAGCGTTTCTAGGCCTCGTAGAAAATATTGCCTCGCTTCTCCACACCAACATGTTTTGTTGATTACTGGCCTGTGATGCCAGCAAGAGACTCAAGGTCACTCACTCCTTTGTGAGACCGACTCTCTTTCCACACTGAGCATCCAGAAACCGGCCAAGACGGCTGGCTGGTGGCACAGATCGCACCACCAAGATAGGTAGTTCGCGAGATATTTGGCGCCACGGCACGAATATAAGGCCCAGCCTGTTCTCGGCACGATTAGCGTTGGGCCATTGAGCACAGCAGCAGGTCAGCGTTACGAGACGAAGAACACACGCACACACTCTCTCTCTATCTCTCTCACTCCATCTACCGGTGTGGATATCTTCGTACTCGGCGAGGGTTTTCCTAGTTTTCTCGGTGTGTGTTCAGCGGACGGAACTTGGCGCAAGCACGCCGAGTAAATCTGCCACAAAAATTCCGAGTCATGTCACTTTTTGCCGGATCATGAGTTTGGACTACTCGAGAGGAGATAGGAAATTCCACCAAGTGGTGGGAAAAAAGGCTCCAAGCCATCCCTGACCATCCCTTGGAATCTTTTCTGGGCATATTTTTCTTTCGCCACGCTTCCGTAGTGCAAGAAGAAGGAAAAGAAAAGTCCAGACTCGCAAAAATGCTCCTATAGGGACGAGACGAGATGGTGGCCAAGGCGGAATAAGGGTCTTGGCCGGTACAGGTCTTGTATCGTCTCGTACCTTGACATGCATTTCATTTGATGGTTGGAGTCTCCGAGGTGGAACCAATCGCCTGTGTATGTATCCCCACCAATATGGAACAAAGGTGCGATCAGGTCTGCAATGGATGTTTTTTTTGGTGAGACATTGTCCGACGACGACGGCAACGACAACTTACTGTGTGTCAACAGATCTAATAGTGACTTTGGCCTGGGAAGGTCAATAGGCGGCACACGGCAGCCTCGTGTGGGGGCTGGCTGGCCTCGGTGGGTCCGCTTGGTTCATCGCTTGGGCCGGCCCCAAGTAGAGAGAATGAACAAGCACTGGGTAAGCCTCTCCTATCGACTACAGGACTGGTTGATGCAACGAGGCCCATTAGTTGTCGAATGCTGGGGGCGGGAAATATTCCACCATCCCACGCACCTACCTCCTCACTTACTTGAGAGAGCTCGGATCTGTGTAGTCGAGTTGGCCACGCAGAGTGCGAGGTAGAGGAGGGGGTGCAAAACCGAGAGATGACGAGCAACTCGAGGGCGCCTCGCACCGGTCCCAAGCCTACCGCCGTCCCGCCCCCATCGGCATTCAAAACACTGGCGCAACCAGCTGTTCAGCCAATAGACAAGTCAAACAACTGCTTCTGAGGGGGAGAGTGAATAGCTTGCTCTTCTTGGGACCTCTGTTAAATCTCTGCCGGTGGCTGCGCTTATTTTTCTGTGCAGGAAGGCTTGTCTTGGGGTGGTTTCAAGCCTCGGTTGTTTCGTTTGTCTTTCTCTCTTGAGCCCTTCAATATCGCCGGAAATGGCAAAGACTGAACAACTGTGACGATTTTTGGGGCCGGCGCATAGTAGCCTCAACGTGGTGGCCGCGTATTCCCGCTTGGTGAGGTGGGCGGTAGTCTAAAGCTGTGGCGGGGAGAGGGAGGGAGCACTGAGATCACATTTCTATATGCATAATATACACAGTACAGTAGCAGTAACACTTCCTTGTCCAAGACCGTCATCAGAAAAGTGTGTGCACTATGTATGTATTTGTTTGTGTCCACCACGGACAATTCTTGATGTTCTCTTGCAGATCTTCGGACAGATTCTTGGAAGGGCTGAGAGGATCAGCAATACTGCAGTGGCTGTTGCAAGATCTGGTGGATCTCGACATATTGCGATGCGTCAAAGGGAAGGGGGAGAAGAGAAAAAGCTTTCCGACCACAGCGAACGAGCCACCAGGAACAACTGTGTCTCCTGCAGCAGGGTACACAAATGAGCAGGGCGGCGTCGTGCTATTGTTGGTCTGAAGCAGTATGGCTGGGGGGATATTGCCTTGTTGATGACTGCCCGCCACCTGTACTCCCCTTTGTAACGTATAAAGTAGGGGGAATGGGAACACGTCTTGGCCCCAAAAGCCTCAAGCGCTGCCGAGCGTACGGAAACCGGCATGGTACAGGATTAAAATTCGCGCCACAGGAAGGAGGATCATCGACACACCGTTCGCCAATGGGCCCCCTCTTCTCCTCCTTCCCGTCCCGAATGTGCCGTTCCCTGTCCTCCCCCTGAGGTGGGAAGCGGTGGGATGAGCGATGAAGACCGAGATGAGAGAGAAAAAGAGAAAACAAATTCAGTCATTTCGCTATTGCATGACCATGAATGCATGCAAGTCATGGTTCTTGTTTCCTTCTCTCTGCTGGGGGGGGGGGGGGGGCCATCAAACGAAACAAGGCCAAACCCCGCCCAACAGGCGGGATGAAAAGTGTTTGTGTGTCAAGGTCAAGTAGATTAGATGGTGAGGGTTGAGGCCGGGAAGGTAAATTAAGGCTGTTTCAGGACCCAAGTCCCTGCAGTGCGTTGAGCCAATCTGATCCCACCCAGCAATATGGGGAAATAAACAGAGCCGCCCTGGCTACCCTGCAAAGAAAACCAGCTTGACCTTGCAGGAGATCCCGATCGTGGCAGGGGTCCAGGACTGTACTATGCCTGCTATGGTACAGGGGGCGGGCTGTAGGGCGTCAAGGGTTTCCAAGTAGTTGAGCTAAGGCAGGGGCAAGACTACGCACTTAATTTCAAAGGCAGCTTTAGACCAAAGGTCGATTCAACGAACCTCCTGCCCAGAAAACCATCACCTCACTTCTTGTTGCTCCCTTCACCTCCACACGGCCCGCCAGCCAGCCAATCAACCTTGGACAGGCCCCTAGACCAGGCCTACAGATTCTATGAGGAGAGGGGCATCATCAGGCTAGCAGCCCTGGGTATGGGGACGAGACTACTTACTCTGATCAAACCACAGGTGACGACTTCATGCAGACCAGGTAGGTGGATAAGGAAGGAGTCGACCACACAGACGGGCGGAGGAACATCATCAACTCCAACCTTATCCCATACCTTACCCGCCCGCGGATGGACCTCAACATGCTATGCACATACGTAACCTCACCGCCGTCCCAAGACCTTCCCAAAGAGCAAACGAAAGACCCCATGCGGAGAATATTCCAGGAATAGGGATCGCCGGGCGTACGACGCTCTGATATATGGCCCACGCTGGTGGGGCCTCTGCAGCAAAACGCCATGCTATGGCAAGGACCCATGAGCTGACACAACACGGTATTCCCTTCACCTAAAATTATTCCCTCACCAGTAAATTGGTCGAGGGGTAGTCCTCAGGCGAGCCGAGGACGAACAGGGCGGCGGTGGCGGCGGTGGCGGCGCTGCACTGGATCATGGGGAACCAGCCGTTGGGTCAGCAAAACCCTATTCCTGGCCAGCATGGGGCGAGGCTCGGGCCAAAAGGTTCAGTTCGCCCTTTGGGTGGTGTTGCCGAGTTTGTGGAGGAGGATCAAGGAGCGATGAGGATTGGTTTGACTGACTGATTGAACTGACTGACTTCACATCTTGACAATGGCCTGCAGCACATATTATAATCACAAAACATACATGCATACATGCTTGCATGCATCGGGCCAATGGTAGTTCTGTTTCGACCAGGGGGTTTCCCCAAGAATAGCAGAGAATGACTGACAGGACAACCAGAAAAGAAGCAGCAGCAGTAACAACAACATGTATGGTGACGACAAGACACTACGAGAACAGGCGGCACAAAGCCCCTTGCAGATAGATGCCTTCCATGAACCCAGCCTGAACCTGATGAAGGGCCTCGACCATGGTGGGGCAAACTGGATCAGAACCCAGGCCCAAGCCAAGCACAGCACGTCAGGTGGGGTACGTAGTTGTGGTACAGTAGGTAACCAGAGTATCCAAAGTATCAAGTATCATTTGATCTCCTGAATGATCTGGCCCACCTTGTCCCTCTCGCTGGGCCCGTCTGGCGAGGCCACTCAACGGCCCTGCTCAGGTTGCTCAAGCTGAACGAGTGGATCCCCATTTGCCGTGCGGGTTCCGCCACGACATTGGCACACATAGAGCAGGGCACGGCTGTAGTGGCACTGGGCTGCTGCAAGTGGCTTGCACGCGAGGGGGACTTGGCCCTGGTCCCACGATCTCCCCCCCCCCCCTCCATCCCGTCCCCAAACCTTAATATCTGCAGTGCATACCCGAATGTAAAGCAACCCATTTCTCTCCTTCCTCTCCTCCCTCCTTCTTTCCCTTTCCCACAGCGCTGTGATAACCTTTTACCTCCAAAAAGGGCTTCTTCATTGAGTTCGCTGCTCGGCCAGTTTTTGCGCCATCCATTCCTTCATACATTCATTCATTCATTCTCTTCACAAAAACCCCCAAACGCACTCTCGCTGCTTGTTCAGCCGTCCGTTCCTTCGAGGCACCCTTATCCCACACGAAAACTTTCGGTGCAACGTTCAACTCGAACCCAAGTCAAAAGTCACGATCCCCTCGATCATTCCGAGCCTCGACTCTTGTCCGACAACGTCTGGACTCTTGTGTGATTCGTTTTCAGGGCCGGCTAGTCTCGCCCCAGATTCAACCTTTTCGAACCAGTCTCAATCCTAGACGGATCACAAGCTCAGCAGTGCTGCTCTTCTTGCCTGTTGTACTCTTTGAGAGGATATCGTTTATAACTGTCCCCTCACTTTCCTCCTTGGTTCCATCTGTCGACAAGGTCTTTTCCCAAGGCTCATCACAGGGACTCAACAAGGTACGTCTAACTTTGACTATTTCTTTCTTTCTTTCTTCCCGTCTGGGCCTATTGTGTCTACCTAAAATAATGTCTTCTTGTCCCCACTTGTGATTTTCTATCATGGCCCACGTCTGCCATTGTTCTTGTTTCTACCCGCAGAGCACCAATCCCCGCCGGCCCTCGCCAGTGGAACTCGTCAACGCTTGGCTTGTTGGGAAGAAGAAAGAAAGAAAGAATGTGCCGTCCCATTTAAGCACGTTGTCGTAGCTTCGAAAAGAGGGCTTCTAGAAGTACATCTGGGAGGCTAGTTCGGGCCTATTGCGTACAATGACACGCAACTCATGATTCACTCACCCGCCACACCAAATTCTCTCTTTGGAATATTTGTATCCCTTCCTTTTCAATATATGCCCTCCCCCCTTCGTTCGTTTTCTGTTTTTGCCTCGCTGCCATAATTCCTTAACTTTCTTTCCTTCTTTCGCTTCTTGCCCTATCATTCTTGAGGCTTCTTTCCTGTCCTTAATTTCCCCTTACCTCACACTACTTCTTTCGTTTTCTTTCTTTCCTACTATTCCCTCTTTTTGGCCCAAAAATTAAAACAACAGAGCTGACTGGTCGACCAGCCTTCGATTCTTCTCTGGTCAATATCGAAAGCAAAGAGAATCAGCCAAAATGAGGTCTTCTCTTCTCCTGCTCTCCGGTGCCGCCGCGACCCTGGCCAGCCCCCTGAGGGCCCGTGAGGTCGACGTCGTCGTTGAAGTTGTGACGCAGACCACTGTCGTCGACGTTCAGTACACCGTCACCGACGTCGTTGCCGCCCCTGCCGCCACCCCTACCTCTACTGAGGTTGCAGTGGCTCCTGTCGTCACCGTCACCGTCGCCCCCAGCTCGACTGAGGAGGCTGGCAACGTCAATGTGATCGCTGCTCCCACCACTTCCTCCAGCTCTGTCGTGGTTGTTGCGGCCACCACTTCAGCGTCCTCTGCTGCCACCTCCCCTACCGACTTTGCCGGTATCGCCGTGTACCAGCACAACATCCACCGCGCCAATAGCTCTGCGCCTGATGTCACTTACAACGATACGGCTGCTGGCTATGCTGCCACCCTGGCTGCTCGCTGCGTCTTCGAGCACGACGTGTAAGTTATTTTCATTTTCTCGCCACAAATTGGATGTCCCGACACGCGTGTGTACCGACCCAACAAAGTGAAAATACTAATTCTGGATATCTTTTAGGACCATTGGCGTCACTGACGGACAGGCGTACGGTCAGAACATTGCCTACATCGCAGGCAGTGACCTCACCACGGACATCAACACCTTCCTCGCCTCCAGCATCACCAACTCGTGGTTCGACAACGAGATCGAGCTCTACCCCGGCTACGGCTCCGAGCCCGACATGACTCTCTTCGACAGCTGGGGCCACTACTCCCAGGTCGTCTGGAAGGGCTCTAACTCCATCGGCTGTGCCGTCCAGGCCTGCGAGGCGGGCACTCTGGACGCCGACTACCCGGGTTTCTTCTCCGTCTGCAACTACTGGCCTGCCGGTAACGTGGAGACCGAGTACGCCGACAACGTCCTTGCTCCTCTGGGCCAGGCCAACGTTTACATCTCTTCTTAAGGAACAGTGGCGGTCATCGAGTCTGCATAGCCAAATGAGGGGTGGGAAGGGAATTGGGGGTTTCCCTGGTTCCCGATCTTGTTTTATCTTCCATTCCATCGCACTGGCGGCACAAGTCAAATATATTCCTGATTCCTTCATATGACACACGTGCATCAAAAATTCTACAAGCCGTCCTGGACACACATTTGCGCCCCAACATTTGTTTCTTTCGGCGTCTTGAAAGGCATGCATGCTTGTTCTGGCATTACGACAATGTGAATCCTTCTAGGGATATGGATGATAACGATGCCGGCCTATGACAATTAAGATAGGAGATGGACGCGAGACGGAATAAAAGGGCGAGGATAGGGACGGAAACTTTCGAGGGAGGGAGGCCACGTTGTTGTGCCTCTTGACGCCCGCACAACCACTTGATTTCTTTATTTTTTTGCTTTCGTTGGCGAGTCGCTTCTTCCTTTTCTCTCTTTTTAGCGCTCGACCCCCTCTTCAAAGAGCGTTGTTTTTCTTGCTAGATGAACAAAGAATCAAACTAGTGTCTTTCGGTGTATATAATTGCTATTTCCTAATCAGGAATCCATATTTTCACGATCGACCATGGAAACAAAACTTATGATGTGCATGTATGTTTTACTTTTCCATTCGCGTTTTGAAACTTGGGCTGCGCTGACTGGCTGGGGGGGGGGGGGGGCAATGGTGCGTTGTGGCGCGAGTAACTGAGGTGAAACATTGCCTCGACACAGGAAACTGTGACTGCGCGCCTAGAGGCCAGGATAACCATGCCGGCCTCTGTCTGGTATGGACAGTAACTGGGACTGAATGAATTGGGCGGCACACACCAGCCCATCTCAACCACGTGCGGGAACAATAGAGCGGGCGGGGCCTTGCACCACTGTGCCGTGTCCGCCTCCCTTTCTTTCCCTCTGTTAAGCAAATTTGAATTTCAACAGGAATGTTTGTCAATGTTAGCGCTTGGCTTCTTTGTGGTTTATTTCAATTATTTCTGGAGGAGGGTACTTTTTTCTCCTCATTTGATTTTTGTTTCTTAAGATTATTTGAAGGGGGTTTGATTGGTCAGGTTTGTCGATTCACCTCTTGGCACGGCTTGCAGGCTGGGTGACTCAGCTGGTTTTTGGGGTGATAGCCTTGCAGTGCTTTCATTGGTTTGAAATGGTAACTTGCAGGGATTGCTGGGACGAGGCTGAGGGTGGGGAGACCTGCTGGGCTGCGCAAGGCTGTTATGAAATGACGATTCTTTTGCCCATCTCAAGAGTCAGAGAAATAAAATGAGAACCGCAAGGCGATGATAAATAAATAGTGCGTACTGGTCGCAACAATCATTGAGCCAGTTCTCTGCAGCCAAATTACAGAGGTGACGGTGAAGAGACAGACAGCTTGCTCGATATCAGCCAAGAGTCTCTGACGAATAGAGGTCCCTAACCAAATGTTGAGAAGGATCGAAAGAAGAAGAAAAGTTCTTATTGTAAATAATTCAGAGGGTCGACTCATTTAAGATTGATGACACTTCGCAACAGTTGGTTCACCAAAGTATTGTCTCCATGGATTTTCGTGTATCAGACTTCAGGATACTTAGTTAGGAAGCCTTTAGAGCTCATGGTAGGCATTTTTCTCGTGGCATCCTCCCCCACAAATCTATGACATGATGATTTATCTTCATTTTTGGCGAACAATCTGCCAAATGTGTGTTCTGCTCCTGGTAGAATTCGCGGGTGGCTCGACGGCGTTCATAAGTCTACTCGTTCCGATGGGTCAAGGGGAGGCGGTCTTTGACTCTTAAATAATTTCCTTGACTGTAGAGATACCATTCATACCTAAATATTCTATTCGGCCACGGTACCAATGTGTATCTTACTCATGACTCCAAGATACCAGTTCGATTGACTACCGGCGTATAGACCATCTCCTGTCCAGACTGCGTATCTCCTCATCACGAGCCTTTTCTAAGTGAAAAATTAACACGATCTCCTCCTCTACTCTCATCTATCCACTAAGTATCTGGTCTGGACCGATCGTACGTCGAGCCTAAAAAGCCTGAGCACTCAGCCGAACCTGAGGTCTAGACATCAATGACATGAATTATCAAATCGAGGCCCTCGCTACTTGGCCCCGTGTATACCTAGCGTCCTATTGTGATTGCTGCACGACCCCAATTCGTATAAGCTCCCGTATGTCCAGCCCTACCCGGCGCAGAGCCTCAAGTATAGTCTGCATTGCACGGCCGCGGTGCGTTAATTACTTAAGTATTAGTTAATGGTGATGGTCGGGTCGAGACTAATACGCCTACTGGCTTGGAAAATTACATTCATCACAAGATCTTGCATCGTCGACTCAGAGGACTTGTTGACTAGGCAACTCTTTGGTTTGATATGAGGACAAAAGGGCACATTGGAGAGTCGTCAGAAGCGAGACTTTCTGTTCGGCACTGATGTCTACGAAGATTTAGTGTCTTAGCACAAGAGGACGACGATCAAAATCACAAGAGCACATAGACCAAGGCTAGAGGTCTAGTCGCTTGAGCCATCGAAATTCTAGGCACGAACCAGCACTTCGAGCACTTCTTCCTCGTGTGTTATTCCAGTGCCCAAATAATATAAATACCTCCGCTCCCTCCCCCAATATCACTCCCCTTCTTCTTTTTCCCATTCAACATTATCAACACACACCCTCGAGACTTGGCACTGGCCCAAAGAGACTGAGCCACTTCTTCTTTTTTTCTCTTTACATTTAAATCTTTACACCCAGCATCGTTTAAGATGATGGGTTTCGTCTTCTCGCTCTTCCTGGCGGTCTGTGCCCTCCTGTCTGGGGTCCTCGCCGCCCCTGCCGCAGCTGCTCCGTCCGGAGCGGCTGTGACCTCCACCGCCCTGGCTTCTGTCCTCGCTTCTGTCTTCCCTGTCGTGCCTGTCCTGCCCGAGGTGTCGATCCTGCCCATCGACCCAATCGAGCCCGCCGACCCCGTCACCGTCCGCCCGCCAGGCGCCCACCCGCCCCCGCCCTGGTTGCCCATCGAGTGTATTCCCGAGGGCCCCGAGGGGAAGATGCCCATGCCGTGCTACTTTGCCAGGCATGAGGCGGCGCGGTCGGCCCCGGACCTCGAGGCCACCACGCCCATCACTCCCGCCCCCGTCCCCGTCCCCACCCCCGAGCCCTCCTCGTCTCCTCTGCCGACCTCGCCTGCCCCGGAGCAGCCCACCGGCTACGATTGGGATGCCAGGCCAGACTGGGCCGTCGGCCTGAGCGACGAGGAGTGGGCCGGCCTGCGCGCCAGGCTGAGCTCCATGCTCGGGGGCGTTCCTGTGGACACGGCCACCGGGACCAACGGCGGGGCCTTCGTCCTCCACCGCGACGTGCCGTCCGGTTTCCCCGAGGGCATGTTCGCGAGCATCCTGGCGGCCCGGCAAACGGCGACGACCCTGGCCACCGTCACCAGGACGCAGGAGCGCGGCCAGGTTGAGACGTTCCTGGCTAAGCGAGAGGACGGTTGTGCCCCGGCGTGCGGGCCCATGATGGAAGCTGGGCCCAAACACCCCTAGTCCTTCCTCGGGCACTGGTCGTTGGTTGGGGCTTTGTTTGGTCTGTTGAGGGGGATGAGCAACAGGAAAGTGTTGGCTCATTTGTAGGAAGACGGGAGGATGAAAGACCTGTGTGGTGATTTTGGGACCGAGGCGGAGTTGAAAAGTTTGCTTGATTCTTAGCTTATTGGAGTTTCGTTTGAACGGGTAACGAGTGAGAGCATATACGGAATCATTTCTCACTTCATAATGGATACCTAGCTAGCGGTTTAGCGGTCTTAATTTTGATAAAAAGTACCATTTCAAAAAGTTGGTGTTCAAGTTAGTACAGTAGAAGCCTTCCTCACTGTGGCTGTGACTTCATCAGGAGCCTCCATCCCACGTAACGGAGACCATTTGCCCACAAAGACCATGTGCCACATGGCACGCTCATCTGATGGTAGATGATCCACGTGTGTTGTAGCGAGTGCTCAAGTCTTGGACACTTTTCATGATCGTTAGTTAGACTTAGGCCAGGTCAGTCACCGCCTTCGGCCCTGGCGTCATCCACATGTCCCTTCTTTCACTCGAGGTAAGGTAAGCAGACAGTCTAGTAGACCAGTCCGTGTTGATTTGGCGTAGTCATTTCCAAAGGATCGTTCGCTGCCGGGGTTCTCTAGGTGTAGTCGATTCAGCGATACTTGCTTGCGCTTGACGCCCTTCTTAGTGATTCTTCATGAGCCCTCTCCTGTCCCTTTGCTTGTCTTTTCGGCGCCCTCCATGTTATCGCAGTGGCGATGTGAACGTGGTTCTGGGCCACAAGACCAATAAATAAGTTCCATTCCAGACCCTGACATGAATGGGCATCCTGCCTGCCGGATGCCTCTGGGTGGGGCGGGTATAGGTAGTAGCTATAGCTGTTTCGTGAACCCAGGAATTCTATAATCGAAATTGAGAGATGACTTGCAGATGACTGGCACGTCGAGACAAAAAGGGGAGAACCCATACAGTCCAAGCCGTGATGTCTCCAATCAAGAAAATCCCGACCACTTTTCCCTTTTCCCGCGCAACCACGTCAACCACGCCTTTTCCCGTTCCATATAAGTAATGAATCGTACAGACTCCTCTCCCGCCGCCGGAAATCGCTCATTCGTTCATCAAGAGCAGACAGAATCGGGAGATATCTAAACCAGAAGTGAAAACTCCGCAACGCCAATTTTTGGTCTTGTGGTATGTGGTATGTGGTATGTACGAAGAGAAGATCAGATGTCGCCTGGACATCACACAGACCAGGAGAAAAGTCGTAAGATGGTGAGGTGTTCTCATCCATCACGTCGTGCTAGGAGTCCGTAAGGGCGAATCCGGTCCACGCAGACTTCGATTGCCGTCAAGTCCACAGAGGATCCCTTCTAAGGAACCTCGAGGTGCCCTGCCAGTGGGATACGGCGTTTGGCATCGGTCCTTCGGCACATAGGAATGCTGTTTGCAACTCAGTCGACCTGCTTCTCACAGCCAATCCGGCCCAACAATTCCTTGCGGTCGCTGTGGCCTGGCAAGCTGACTCCAGTTGCTGTGGTAGACGTCCTCTTGACACCGGTCCTCCGCTCCCAGCTCTTCAGATCAAGCTCCTCAACGCCCACCTCTTCCTCAAACGGCTGGGCCTCTTCATACACAAACTCGTCCTCTTCCTCCTCTTCATCCTCGCATTCGTCATCGCTCCGGACGTCATCGGCCCCAGCACCTCGCACGACACGAATGGCAACCTTGACAATCATGGCGAACCAGACAATGCAGATGACCTGCAGCGCAAGCAGGAGTGCGAGGAAGCTGTTTGTGACGATAGGCTGCCAGCACACGAGCCCATCGGCCTTGAGAAACGGCTCGAAATAGGGACCATACCCCGCAGGCTGCTCAAATGGCCCCTCAAGTTCGCTCTGGGGTCCTCGGAAGCATCCACGGGTGAGAATCTCAGAAGGATGCTTGTAAATGGACCAGCAGACGATGTTGAAGAGTACATGACGGTTCACGAACCACGACAGCATGAAAAGACCAAACCCGACATCGCATGCGTTGGTGAAGCCCGCATATTTCAGGCATTTGGAACCCTACACAGCGAAGATTATTAGCTTCTTCGGCACCATAGAGTCGACATCCGAGAGTGGAACATACCGAAAGAAGGATGTCACCAAGGTCGAACAGTATAAACACGGCGTTACCGATGTAGTTGAAATGATACCGGTACGACGCGTGAATCAGGACAATCGTAATGAAGTGATGGCTCAGCATCTGCCAGTGATCCTTGCGGCGCTCCTCGATATTGATCACAAACACCTGCTGGAACCAGAAACCTAGCTGAGTGAGGACATAGAACTTGAACAGACCTCCAAGCTCCCGATTCGGCCAGGTAGCCCACAAATTTCTCAGATTGAGCCATGCTGGGGAGGTGTAGTGAAGATACTGATTAGAGGGCCTGGGTTAGCGGCTGAGTCGCAATGACCATACAAGAAACAAAAAGGAAAACCCCCCTCAGCAGGGACTTGAAAACTTCGGCAATGTACTCACGACACCCAGCGACCAGAAAACCACGCAATATATCACCAGCCAAGCCTGTTCACTGAACCGCGTCACCTCCTTCTTCTTGCGGAGGCCCAGGTAATTAGCGAAGGGGGCCAGGATGTACTCCATGGTGGCGGCGCGCAGGCCGGTAAACAGCACGACAACAAAGAACACATAATATGTGTCGTCGAAGCCAAGGCCATATTTCTGAGACTGCTCGTTATAGTACTGCAGGGTGAAGAATTTGGACGTGTAGGCCTGGGAGCGAGGAAGTAGATAGTGGGCGCAGAACAGGAGGGCCAGGAGATTCAAGGAGAAGCCTAGATGAATAATTTGTTAGTTCTCGGTCCCAAAAGCTCTTATCCACAGGCAGTGCTCGACCCAGAATGACAGACTGCCGCACAGCGCCCCATATCCAAAGGTATGCGCTGCTATGCTGCCGCCGTTATCTGTACTTGATGGGGAGGGGAGAGGAGGGGAAAAGAGATGGAGTTTGAGGGACTCTTTGTCGAGGGGCAGTTCTGTTGGGACAGTGATTGTGGCCTTGGGTGAAGGAGGCATTGAAGTAGCATACCAATTTGATTCTCGACAAACCAGCGGGCCAATTGTTTCGCGGGGCTGTCTCCCCTCCGCTTGACGCGCCGGACGAGGACAGTGCTGTTGCAGGACTGCATGTAGAGGGGCCCATTCATGTTCTCCTTCTTGTGGGAGTAGCTGTGCCTAATGGAGCTCGAAGATGGTCGTTTGGACTCGGTGCTCGACCTGTTGGAGTTTGAAACTCCCAAGCGCTCTTGTTGAGGGGCGCCTTTGACGGTTGAGGAGGACATGATGGCGTGCTTCGAGTACAGAACGTGAGAATTGGCGCGATATATTGGGGCCCGAGGGGGGAGAGGGGGGGGGGGGGCGAGGCAGTGGAAGAGGCAGCGGTAAGTCGTGACCAAAGGAGGCCAAGATAGGAGATGAGCCGGGTGCCAGGCCAAGCCTCTCAAGGTGTGCGACCAGATCGAGGAGAGGAAAACGACGACTCGAGGCCTCACAGAATGGCGACGGATGGATGGTCGGTCGAAATAATTGGTGGAGGCGGTTCGCAACAAGAGAAAAAACGAGTGTTTGGATTCTCGTGCCCGCCCTCAAGGTCCACAGGTGGTGAAGCAAACTCAAATCGAGATCGATTGTGGGGTGGTCAGTTCATCTCTCGAGCTGGGGGAACAGAGAGAGGCTGGCGACAAATCGGGAGGTTGGATTTGTCTGGTTGAGGCGCACAGCTTCGAGGAAAAGCGTAGACGAGCAATCAATTGAGGGGAGCAGTGGCCACCTCTGTGCCTAGACAACCTTGAAACTGCAGAAGCGAAGCTGCAAGTCAGTGGAGGACCCTGGAAGATTTTCTTGGTTACAGGTTCCTCCCGGTGCGGTCTCACTGGCTCAACAGTTGAGACCCCTGATCTGGTACAGGTCCGTGTCGCCTGAGGCGGCTCTAGATTGGCCCACAGGGTTTTTGCCCTGGGGGGAGGGGGTTTTCTCCCTCAGAGGGGTCCGCGGGACGGGAGCTTGGAGCAGGCGGTGAGTTAGCAGGTCAGGAGTGGGCACTTGGGGACCCTGTGGAGGGCACTATCGCAGTGCTGCAGCGGGCTAGAGTCGTATGCTCCAGGCCTAGGGGCTCTTCTCTTGGAATTTCCAATTCTGGCCAAAATTTCAGGGCTCCCAGAGGCGGGGAAATGAGGGCGGTACTATAGTACCATAGTAGATGCAGCCTGCAAGTAATACTCTATCTGTAAATGTTGAGAAGATCCCCGCAGCTCGCAGATCCAGCCACGCCAACCCAAATACAATCTCTTCTTTCTCTCCTCTTTTCTTCCTCTCCCCCCTCTCGTCGTTAGTCAGTCAGTGGATTCTGCATACAACTTGAGATCATTAATTCCCAGGAGACTTTCTGGTTCTTGAGTTTTTGCCTCCCAACAACCCTCCCTTGAAGCAGAAGCCTATGCTTGGTCTATGTGGCAAGCTAATCCAAAGCTAGCGACTGTTATGGACGATCTCTATATACTATGCTATATACACCGTCGCTAATGACTGATCTTCGTATAACCCATGGTACCGTTGTAGTACGGCAAGTGGCGACCTGGTGCTCGAGTTCCCCGGCATCTTTGACCGCTCAATGGTTGGTGAGACGTCCTTCAGTACGGCAGTTACACAACTATAGTAAGGGCGGATTATCTGCAAAGTCAAAACTTGCGTGACAGCAACCAATGATGTGCATATGATCTGAATTCTCGAACACAAACCCCCTCTGCCTTTGGGACCGATTCACGCTTCAACAATACTTTAAGCGATAATTATGACTATACAAGGACTGTGGTCGCCCCATCATCCATGGACCTCCTCGGTGCCGGTATCAGAGCCGCATATGAGAATGAGACCTTCAGACGATTAAGGAGTGATCGAATTGTTCTGATCATTCGGTGCCAACTTGGTCTCTCCTCTTCGCACAATTTTTGCCCCCATGTCGGCCTCATGAACAAACATTCTCAAGTTGAGGAGGGTAGAATCACCACGGTCAATAATTAAAAGTTCAAGCATCCTTTTACCAGTCGGAACCACACAAATATGCATCCCACCCTTCTTCTTCTTCTTTTTTTCTCTTTCGCTTTTGCTCGCCCCCCTTGAATATATTAAGCATCTGACTGAGAGCCTTTGACATCACAGCAAATTTTCTCAGGTCACCTCATCTCTATACAGATGCTTAAGAGATTGCTCGAAAAGTGGAGCCGCACTTAAAAGATCATGAAAGTTCACTGTGAGATCAATAAGGGCACACCCGCACCCTGTAACTTCATGCTGGCATTTTTGTAACATCGAGATTTGGAGCTCAGATACATATCGGGCAGATTTGCTTACGCTTGCCGAGATTCGGTCTGTCCCTCCATCCATCTCTGCAGGATGATGGATCTCACATATCTGAGGCACGCGGTCAGCAACATCATCACCCCTGACAATCGTCGCGGATCCATACATACTCGTAGACAAAAATAACCTTCACCAAAGGGAAGTCCTACTCGATCTTCGTCTAGTAGCTCAACACTGTGTCAACTAATACAACAAAAACCCTTCTTGGGAGTTCGTGGGCCAAATACTATATATAGATTGTGTTAATAATTTCATGTAGCCTTGGGCAAAAAGCCTCGGGAACGTAAGGCGTTCTTAGCTGGTAGAAGTGCAAGAACAAACTGCTTAGTCAACATAGTTCCACCACAAGTCAGTGACTGACGCCCTAGCACTGCCTGAGCCCAGGTTCAGGGTGGCGCCGAGGTGAGCCGCAAATCATCTGGTCATCGTCGTCACTAGCACTATTGTAATAGTACACAGCCCGTTCACCTTCTACAACCTTCTGTGGCTCTTGACTCCGACGCCTCATCCGGCTGACACTCTTTCTCTCGCTTCGCACCACCACCTATAGACTTTCCTTTCTTCCTCCATCTCGCGTTTCAACAACATCGGCGTTCCATCACCACCCTGACGACTGCATCCTCCCGCCATCCCCATATTCGAACAGGAGAAACAGCTCGCCACCATGTCCAGCACCAAGTACACCCCCGCCCCACAGCACGACCCGGACGCGGTACCTGCAGGTGGTTCCGCCCCGGCTCCGGCCTATAGCCAGGCGCCTCCTTCCTATCAAGCCGACGATGACGAGGCGCGCCTGTTCGCTGGCGGTGATGGTGTCGCTCGGTCTAGCGAGGACAATGTCCCGGACGACTTCAAGTTTGGCGGGAGCGTCGCCGAGGCCACCCTCGACATCCGCAACCAGTTCATCCGCAAGGTTTACACGATCCTGACGGTCCAGCTGATCGTCACCGGCGCTGTGAGCGCCATCAGCTTCGTGAGCGAGCCCTACAAGCAGTGGATCCAGAGCCATCCGGCGCTCGTCTTCGTCTCGGTACGTTCTCACCCCGTTCCCATTCGTCCCCTGCTGCTTTCCTGACTTCCCCCACCCTGTGGTGAAAGGGAGGGGAGAGAAGGGGGAGGTTTAGTTTATCAAATGAAGTGCCCTATGCTGCCAGAGCTTGACTGACTGACATGTGCTTGATTTATCTGGTCCAGATGTTCGGAGCCATCGGTATGATGATCCTCACTTACTGGAAGCGCCACTCCTACCCGACCAACCTCCTCTTCCTCTCCGGCTTCACCCTCCTCGAGGCTTACACTATCTCCGTCGTTGTCTCCCTCTACGAGACCTCCATCGTCCTGAACGCCGTGATCCTGACTGGAGGCATCTTCATCTTCCTGACCGCCTTTGCCTGCCAGACCAAGTATGACTTCACCTCGTGGATGCCGTATCTCTTTGGCGGCCTCTGGGGTCTCATGCTGTTTGGCTTCATGGCCATGTTCTTCCCCTACAGCAGCACCGGCGAGCTCATCTACGGCGGCCTTGCTGCCCTGATCTTTAGCGGGTATATCCTGGTGGACACGCAGTTGGTCCTGCGCAAGCATCACGTCGAGGAGGAGATCGCAGCTGCGATCAGCTTGTACCTGGATATCATCAACCTGTTCCTGGCTATCCTGAGGATACTGAACAGCCAGTCGAACAACTAGAGACACAGAAGGGTTGTTTATCTTCTGACGGGCTGTTACAGTGGACAAGATCAACAAGGCGAGAATGTCTATCCTGTTCAAGGAGCAGGGATAAAAAGGGCTGGGCTTTTGTTTTCAAGCTTTAACGTTTGTATGTCAGACGAGCAACAGACGGCGGGTAGCCCGCTGTGGACTTGATGTATTCACTATTGATGTATTCACTATTGATGTATTCACTATGCTTCCTTTCCTTTGTGGGAGCCCAGTAGTATCACGCGGCCCTCTTCTCTTGTTGAGTATGTAATGGTATGCAGTCGAGGAATGGTTGGGACTTCGGGCGTTTCTGGGAGGGCTTCTGTTTAGTGCTTTTACATTGTTCCTTCAGCACAATCGAAATGGGATTTTACCAATCCAAAATTGTATACATTCAAGTACAGGAACACACACGACAGCTGTGACGCATCATTCGATGAGGCCTCCGGCCACTGGGTTCCTTAATTCAATATGGGAATAAATTTAGGTTGTCTGCATTAGAAGTCCTCTACTGGAAATAAAGTGGTACAAAATGACCCAAACGTCTGTAGAGAACGATCAGCCCATCAAGTGATGGGCCGACACCACAATTGGAAAAGACGTATTGGAAAAAGAAATGCGACAAGCCCCCTCTTTTCTCTCGAGCTTTCTCCCTTCTGCCTTACTTCCCCTGTTGACTGTTTTCCTGAAGGCACGGAGGGTATCATTATCAGGAGGGACGGGCAAGCCCGGGGTTTTTTGTGTGCGCGCGCGTATAGAAACTGAGTTTCGTTCCGGACCGTGGAGACCAGAGCTGCTGGCGCCGCAGTGCATCGGCAACCAACAAACCCACGCTCTCATTCGACATGATGGCACGGCTTGGCAAAACGTTCGCATGCGAAGTGGCAGTCGTAGAAACAAGGGGCGAATCTTGTCATAAAAGTGGCCAGCAATCTGCAACAAACGCATGCGCTTGTACCCGCCGAAAAAGTGCCACATTTACTCCAGGCCTGTTTAAGCAGCTTCCGTCTCGCCGTTGGCCTCGGGAATCGGTGTCCCAGAGTTGGCTGCCTCCCGCTGCATGCGTGCCTCGATTTCGCGGAGCTGAGACTCCCGAGCCAGGAGTTCTTGGCGCTTCTCGTTGATTTCGCGCTGGACCTTGATCTCGATCTCGCGCAGCTTCTCCTCCTCGCGGCGGAGCTGCTCCTCCTTGAGACGCACCGACTGCGAAGCGAGATCCTCGGGATTCATCGAAGAATCGCTGCAGCAACAGGGTCAGTTTCAAGTTGGGCAAATTAGGGGTTGCAGGATCAGGAACGTACACTCCAGCACCACCCTCCACGCTCTTGGACAGCTTCTCGGTACGGTAGTTCTCGTACAGGAAGTCGTGGGTAATCTCCTTCAAGTCGGCCAGATGGCTGTGCAGCAGGGCCGATCGGATGGCGAGGAAGTCGGAGTGGCGAGGGTTGTCAACCTCGACGACACCCCACGGATACTGGCGAGCGCGAACCTTGCGACCGCCAATCTCGACCGTCTCCTCAGAACCAACAATGGCGAAAGGCATCAGACCCCGGAGCTCGGCGTTCTCCTCGACGGTATCCTCGTCATCCTCTTCGATATCGTAAGGGAAGTTGTATACGGGGATGCGGTAGTGCTCGATATCCTCCATCACCAGCTTTTTGGACTCGGCCAGCTCGGCAGGGGTCAGGGAGTCGGCGCGTCCGATGACCGGGATGACATTGACGCGGGGAGCCAGACGCTTCATCAGCTCAATGTCCAACTCGCGGAGACTAAGTCAGATATTAGCACGGTCCAAGTAATGTTGCCTGGCGGTCGAAACGTACCCGTGGCCGGTGGGTGTAATGAAGTAGAGCATGGCATGAACGCGGTTGTCTCTGAACCGAGGGTTACGCTTGATACGCGACTCCTCGGACAGAATGTCATCATATTGCCTCTCGAGGAAGCCAACGATCTCGGAGAAGCTATAAGCTCGATGTCAGCGGCGAACTACCGAGAACATGTCCAACAGGTCCACATCGGACGAGGGGCTTCGTACCTGGCCTCGTTGTCGACCTGGTCACCGAAACCTGGAGTGTCTACAATGGTCAAGGAGATACGGGTTCCCTCCTCGTCAAGCTCGAGCTCTATATAGCCAGTCAGATCACAACCGTACATGGCGGAGGGCTTGACCGAGACTTCGTACCAACAGTGTAGGGCTTGATCTTGACGCCATCCTCGACGTGCGCACCAGTCGGGTCGTCCGAGTCCCTGTGGCCAAGGACGGTCTTTCCGCAGAGGGTGTTGACGAAGGTGGTTCTGCCTGTGATTTGGTGGGCGACGAGGTCAGTAAACTCAATTTGACCGGCGACAAGGAGAGAATCATGGGCCGGATGGGCTAAGATATGTAAATTGGGGATGGAGATTTCAAGACGTACCAGTACCAGACGCTCCGCAGACCATCAGACAGAACTGGATGCCCTTCTTCACGTTCTTCTTGCGGCGGATCATCTTCTATAGAATCGTTGCATGTCAGCAGTCGAACGAGTGAAGTGCGTCAACGCGATGCAGCGCGATGCAGCGCGATGAGAGAAGCTGAAGTGAACAGTCTACTATGCGAGAGGAGGGAAAAGGGAGAGATGGTGAAAATGCCAGGTTGACTCGTGCGATTGATACACAACACCAAGAGGAAACGACAACAAACGTACGGCCGGGGAAGACATGGCTGCTCGTGATGGAAAGAATACCAAACAGAAATTCTCAGAAAATGCAAGAAGAAAAAAAGCAGCCGCAGAAGGGTTGTCAGTACCTGCTGTGTAGACTGACTGCTAAGTATTCTGGTCAATTGAATAGTCGAGGTCGAACGTTGGTTGAAAGAGCGAGGTTGTTGTGTTCGTGACGATGGGTCGCCGACGCTTGGAGTGGAAAGGGGGAAACGGAGAGAATGCCAACAAGGGTCGGCTGCTGCAAGTTGCACTCTGGGGACCAAGCAGAAGCAGAGTGGAGCGACAGGTGTAATTTCACAGATTGTTGCACTCACCTTGTCACTTCTACCCGTCCCCATGTCCACCAGTGCAGCAGCCCTCTGCTGCTGCTACTGCTACTGCTACTGCTGGCGGTGCGCTCAATCTACCACTGCCAATCTCCAGTTCCACCCAGCAAGCTACCCGTGGACCCCCCAGCAACGAATTCAGGGGCCAAGCAACCCAGCACGGACCAAGCATCACCCAAATTGAGGCCATCCCAGCTTGAGCTTAGCGTGATTGCGGCAATGGAGGGATGCCACCAATCGCTCCTGCAGGGGGACAACAAACAGCTCCCACCAGCCGCTGCCAGCTGCCCTTGACCTTTGCTTCCCTTGTCCTCCTGACTGGACCTCATGCGATGTCAGCCTAGAGCCTGGACTTACACCCGAGCATATCCTTAGTTAACTTGTATGTACATATACCATCTGTCTTGTCATTTACACCCTCTTATATTACTTGCATTGCAACTGAGTTCACTCCTCTCATAAGAGGCTAATCAGACCTGGATCGTTGCTGAGATTGTCCCAGTTGCTGTTTCCTGGTGACACTCTACTGTACCGTGTCCTTGACTCTTAAAGGGCGCTGGTCTGACTGGTTTTATATTCACGACAACCTAATCTTCCATCCACAAGGGTTCTCACCACTTGGACCCATTCACCCGTACACCATAGCTCAGCATTGCAGACCTGCTTGCGACATCATTATCGCGCATCATGCTTCATAATATATAACGACGGTCAGGCAGCTACCTTTCTGGTGCCTCCCGTTTCTTTCCGGGCTCAAGTCTTGGTAGTTCAACATCGACTTCTTTGGGACTCGATATCTAGACAATCCGTCTGTCCGTCGGCTTCATCCAACCGTTTCTGTCCCTCAATCCACTAGGCAAAGCATCACGCGTCGCCATCATGGATACACGCCCGAAGATTGAGCCAGCCAAGCCCAAGCGGGTCTTGTCTGTCACCTTCAACGAGGACAAGTCCTGTTTCGCCGTCGGGCTCGAGACCGGATTCATGGGTAGGCACATCTAGCTGAGTCATTTTCATGAATGACAGCAACTGTGCTAACACTGGAGTGCCACAGTCCTGAGGACAGAGCAAGGCACTTCTATGCTGAAGAAAGGTGAGCATTGTTGATGTCACGTATCCTGTCAGACGAGGCTGACGCGTCCCTCAGATCTCGCTGCTGGAATCGGTCTCGCGCAGATGATGGGAGTTTCTAATGTCATCGCTATTGTTGGAGGAGGGCGTCGACCTAAGTTTGCCTCTCACAAGGTTGGTTATCTTCCCTCCACGCTGTCGTGTTATTGTGCCAATATGTTATAGGTGATCCTTTGGGACGAGGCCAAGCAGAGAGCCAGCATTGAAATCAATGCTGTCAGTTCTATCCGCGCAGTCAAGGTTGCTGTTGGAAAAGTCGTCATCGCACTCCAAAACAGCGTTCGGATTTATAAGCTACGTACGGGCGATCTTCTTATGGCGTATGAGACTGCAGACAACCTGAATGGTCTTGTCTGCCTCTCCCAGAAGCAAGTTGCGTTTCCCGGCCGCACGCCCGGCCAAATCCAGATTGTTGAGCTCAGCACTGGCAATGTGAGCATCATTCCGGCTCACGACACCCCTCTGCGTGCTCTGTCATTTAGCCCAGACGGCCAGCTGCTTGCTTCGGCGAGCGACAAGGTGAGTCTCTTAGCATTCGCTACTCAAGCCCTAAACAATGCCTGGAGATATTTACGTTGCCCGCAGGGAACTATCATCCGCGTCTACAGCACCTATAACTGTGCGCTGGTCTGCGAAGTCCGCCGCGGTATGGACCACGCCACGATTTACGATCTCTGTTTCAGCCCCTCTGGTACCTTGCTCGCCAGTACCTCCGACAAGGGCACACTGCACATCTTTGATGTTCCTCATCCGGGCGCCAAGTCTGACTTTGCACCTCTCAGCCCCATCACCGCCCCCACCATGTCTGGTAGCCGGCCTGGTAGTTCCGGTGGCGCCGGTCAGTCGAATGGCAATGATGGCAAGGGCAAGTGGGGTTGGCTGTCCCAGGTCCCCGGCCTGCCTCGTGTGTTCTCAGACACCTACTCCTTCACTTCTATCCCCTTCAGCACGGATGAGCCTGCAGGGAATTTCGCCGCTGCCGCAGATGGAGCCACTCTCGGCACGACCAAGGCCCAGAAGGGCCTCATTGGCTGGTATGACGAGGAGAGCCTGGTGGTCGTTGGAGCTGGTCTTGATGCTCGCTGGGAAAAGTTCCAGATGGCTCGAGATGATACTGGCAAGCGCTTTGTTGGCCGTGTTGGGTTCAAGCACTACTATAATGAGCCTTGAAAATTGTGCATCTCTTGCCACAACGTGGAGGTTGTCTCAGGAATTGCTATTCTAGGGTTCATGGAGAGGCTCGTTGTTAATATTTCGTTTGTTTAAATCATTGTCGGGAGGGCACCACTGCTATGCCCTTGGTCATCTTCTACATGCTCACAACGCTCGAGCATAGAGTTCTGGGTCATTTGGTTTGATGCGCAATGCAGAAAGGCGTTGGAGGTTTTCAGACGCCGGGCTTTACCTCTTCATGTACAGGTATGCCTTTTTGCGCAGGAAGAACAGGACTGGCGGATAGACAACTAGCCTGACCAGTTTATGATGGCAAATATGCATCTCTTGTTCCAAGGGTATCGTATCAATTGATTTTCTGTCTGGTGCTTCTTGTGAGTCTGGCTCATGGTGATCGACTTCTGTGCCGACGACTTCTGCGGTCTAGGTCGGAGTCTTGATGTTTGCGACTGTGGTAGTCTTCAGACTGCTCACGTTCACGTCGTCGACGATCTGAATCGCGGTCCCTATTTCTCCGTCTGTCATCATCCCGTCTGCTTTCACGATCTCGAGAATCCCGCCGCCGCCTTGCCTGACGGTCACTATCCTCGTTGTGCTCATCCCTTCTTGACCTCTCTCTGCGTCCATCATCTTCGGCTCGCCTTCTCCTCTGCCTACGCCCTTCCTCCTCATCTTCATCACTGTTATCGTCTCGTCTTGAACGATGCGACACATGACGCCGGCTCTTGTGCTTCTTTTCACGCTCCTCCCTCTTGCGCTCTCTGCGCAGCGCCTCGTCGACCTCTTTCTTCTTCTCCTCGATCAGAAATTCTTTCATCGGGTCATCGTCATCGTGCCCCTCTATCAAAAGCTGCAGCTCCCTCTCTTCCTTCAACATAGGCCGAGCCCTCCTGATCTCCTCCTCCGTATCCGTCCCGCTCCCCATCTCCGTGTCGCTGGCCTTGGCGTCCTCCCGGGCCTCTTTCTCCCGCCGTTGGATATCTTCCCACCCGATCTTTCCCTCCTCCCAATCCTCGTCATCTCTCATCTTGTACCGCGTATGGTCCACACTCACCATACGTCCGCCGATCGTCGCGCCGCCTAGGTTGTCGACGGCGAGGTCGGTGCTACGCTGGTCCTCGTACTTGAGCCAGCCAAATCCACGGCTCTTTCCGGTCTCGCGGTCGCGGGCGAGCTTGAGGAAGACGGGCTCGCCGTACTGCGAGAAGATAGTGATGATGTCGCCCTCGGAAAGTTCGTAGGGGAGGCCACCGAAGTAGATGAAGGCGGTGTCGCGGTAGTCGACGTGCCAGGAGGCATTTGGAGAGCTATAGATTTTAAATAAGAGGAAGTATTAGTATTTGTGATGCAACAATCTAGAGACTCTTTTGGGTAGAGGTCTGCACGTACATTCCCTGCTCGATCTCCTTCTTATTGAGCTCCTGTATTGCGCGAATCTTGTTCATCTTGGGCTGGTGGTCGAAGCGCACGCTTCTGGAAGCAGTAAAGAGTTGTTGTGCCTTGGTCCAAGAAGATTGATAATGCTAGGTGCAGGAGCAGGCACTGCCTTGGCTCTCTGTGGTAGACCTCCAAGACGTTACAGTATTTTGATGTACTTGGGAATGTCAACATAAGGCTGACCTAAATTTTGGGGTGACGTCTTGGTCAAGACTGATAGCGGCAGGGGATCATTAGTGTGGGGCATGGTACTGATTGATGAATGTCAGGACCTTGTAGACCAGTTGCTTTTACAGCCTGCTGTCAGTCCCAAAGCTAGCATAAATTGATCATTACGTGCAGATCAACATCAAATCTAGCTTGTGTCATTTCATAAATGCTTCATGTACTATGGTAGGCATCCATCATAAGTTGCTGCTGTCTTGACAAGATTTTGGGTACCTGGGAAACTAGTACACAGCCTGAAGGCGCCTGCTACCAACAAGAACTTGCCTGTTAGGGTCTTGAGGGGAAAGAGATACTAAATACATGAAAATGCAGGACTGTTTCAGACTGTCTGTCAGGCGCTGAGGAGTACTTGAGTGATCAAATAGATATCGAAGTGTTCAACAGGTCTTGGGTGCCAAACCCTCATTTCATGAAAACCCCTTTCAGAGCGTCTTTGCTGAAGCTCTCATTGAGGTTACCCCCCTGCATGGAACTATGCATGGGTCCCTCGTTGCAGGCGATATGAAGTACTATGTACATTCGATATTGAAGAGGCTCAAACAAAACAAACCTTCCCACCCCCCATGACATACGGGCCTCAGCTGCGGAACCACATTTCAGCGGCATCTTTCAATCTTCGCAGCTCTCTCACTTAATCTGGTCCAGGTAAATTGGAGAAGTTTCCAAGCAGCCTGTCATAGGTCTTAACTGTACTGACGCGTACTTAAGTCTAGAGAACAAAAAGCGCGTCCAGGCTTGCCCCAAAACACATCCACCCACACCGCACACCCCACGCTACTAAGGCTCCTCCAACAATAAGCCAGCAATGAGTCGCAACTCTTGCGCCCAACCTTGAGGATCTCGTGACGGAGCTGCATCGAAGAGCAAGTATGGCGGCGACCAACGCGAACCGTTTCTCGACATATACCAGCGCCTCCGGTTCTGGCGGCTCCGAGGGCAAGAATGGCGAGCAGAAGAAGGACATGTGGAGCTCCATGCTCGACTCCGTCGCCAGCGGGAAGCGCCTACCGGAGAAGAACCTGCTTGTGATGGGTATGCTGCCTCCTGTCTCGGAAGGAGACGAGCTGTGATGCTGATCTGCTGCATTGTCTACCAGGTGGCACCGTCGAGTCGCAGAGGGACTTCATCCAGTCGCTTTCTAGCAACGAGATGCGGAGGAACTTGGACAGACAGAATAAGATCCCGCCTGTCGCCAACCAGTTTGCGCTCGGCTACACCTACTACGACCTCCTTGATGCAGACCACGAAGGTATATTGCCATCCATGCCTTTTGTGAAGGGGAGGACCGCCTGCTGACACGTCCCTAGATATCCTCGCCCGCATTTCGACGTACCTCCTCGCCAGTCCCTCACCCTCCTTCGCCCCCTTGATCAAACCTCTCCTGACACCGCAGTCCATACCGAACACCTTACTTGTTGTCCTATTGGACTGGTCTGAGCCGTGGTCCTGGGTCCGGCAGCTCAGGGAGTGGATGCTTCTTCTGCGCATCGTCCTGCTAGCCCTGCCGGACGAGAGCAAGATAACCATGGAAGAGGTCATGAGCCAGTGGAAAGAGAGAGGTCGAGGCGGCGCAGTAAACCTGGACGGTACCGCCGCTACGGCTGCCGCCGATGGAGATGTGTCGCTGCCGCTGGGACCAGGAGAGTGGGAAGAACCATTAGGCCTGCCACTCTGCGTGGTCTGCCAGAATGTAGGTTCTCCCAAGGGGTCACTGGGAGGGGGGTGAGAAGCAAGCTGACAGTTGCGCAGGCTGAGCAGATGGAAATTCTGGAAAAGACGCAGAGCTGGAAGGAAGAAGAATTCGACGTCGTCCTGCAGTTCATGCGGACAATATTACTCAGGCGTGAGGATCCCTCTTCAGGTAGCCCTGAAATGCTGGTATACTGACGATGGCATAGACGGCGCCTCTCTGATCTACACAGCACCTTCGGTATCCTCACAACTACAAACCCTCGTCCACTCGAGTCTGGGCATATACTCCCTGCTGAAGAAACAACCGCTGAAGCCTAATGTCATCGACCGGGACAGGGTGGCTGTGCCTCCAAACTGGGATTCATGGGGTAAGATCAGAGTACTGAGGGAAGGCTTCGATGTGGAGGCCGTGAGCGAAGGGTGGTCCATCGATCTGGAGAGCAAGTTCCCGCCCCCGGGTCGGAATGCCAATCCCGCAGAGAATGCAACGGTCACTGGGACTGAATACGACGCCGACGGCTACGAGATCACCCCCGGATCGGCGGTGATCATGTTCGAAGAGTCGATCCGCAATCCAACCCACGACGCACTGCAGATGGCCGGACGAGACACGCATTCCACAACATTGGAGGTCGAGACGCAGGACACCCAGATCTTCCTTGAGGCGCGAAACAAGCAGCTGGAGGCATACAGGCAGAAGATCGAGGAGGAGGATCGGGACCGCGCAGATGCAAAGGCGCATCTCAAGGACCAGAAGGCTAAGGAGGCCGACGAGGACAGCAAGACCACCAACGTCAGCGATCATATTGGGCCGGTGCAATTCAACGTCGGTGGGATTCAAGTAGACGCCGATGACATGATGAAACGCTTACAGGTATGTCTTGAGTATATGGTTGTGGACAACATAGTCATATCACTGATCTGACACATCTCTATACAGGATCGTCAAACATATGCTTCATCACCTGAACCGGAGAGCCCGGCTGAGGAGGCCACAGACCAGCAGCAGCCCATCGATACCGAGAATTTGCAGAACTTCTTCGCAAATCTGATGAATCGTAAGGGACCAGGGGCCAAGAACGGGGCCTAGAGGGTCTTCTCTGTCCCAGAAGGTACGGACTATCGTCATCAGATATCACCACGGCGCGACCATTTGAGGCGATATGGCAGCGAACGCTGAAAAGAAGAGTCACGCTATCTTGCACGCACGATCACCGCCAATACGCCACCGGATTCTTTTGTATTCAGCACAAAGCACCATAGAGGAGCACAATTTGCGAAGGACAAAACTATAGCATGTCACATGGCGGCTGACAAGAGACGAGATTGAGACGCCTAAGGTGGGACGGTCCAGGAGAGATGAAAGCAGACAGCCTCGAGTAGAGTAGATACCCCAATGATGAGTTGAAAACCAGTTGTTGGTTCTCGTTCGAAGCGCTGGTGAGCTGATGAGACCGCAACATTCATCCCATAATTAACAAGACAGGGTTGCTAATACGCCTCCATCTTTCCATGGCGTACGCTAGCCCTTCCTCCTCTTTTCCCCTCTCCTTGAGAACCCACACACTTAAGTACTGATATACCTCCTAAATTGAACAACAGACACGTACTTGCAGTTCCCAACACACACACACACACACACACACACAAAACAACAACAGAGAAAAAAAAATTAAAGAGGAGAGAGATAGAGAGTAAAGAAGACGGTGATGGCTGACTTCTCCCAGAATAATTAGTTCGGGTATTTCTGGATCTTGGTCCATATGCTTTGTCAAAATGCTGAATCTTCGGTCCCAATGTTGACCTGTACAACGAAATCACTCGCTCATTTACTGTACATGATGAGAAGCTATCTAGTACAGGGTCGTCTCGAAGAATCTCCTTGTAAGCACTGCCCGTTAACCACATACATGGAATTTGCCCTTTGCGACTGTGCTGGCAGCACACCAAACCATGTCCCAGACACCACAATGTAGTAGGGATGTGCCCCCTGCCCCCATAACTGCAGCATGCCTCCTAAGGATGAAGAGACTGCGCATTAGCAGCCATGGCAAAGGGTACCACAGGTGTATGGATTCATTTTCTTGATCCAGCCTGAAGGCCACGGAGTGATAGGACAATTTTTATAAACCATATAACAAGGATATTTTGAATAAAATGCCAGAGACCAGAGCGTGGGCGCCCCTTCCCCCCCCCCCCCCCCAAAGAAGACAATACAAGAAAGAAAAGAGAAGACATTCCACAGTATGTCGAAACACATGTGAAATTCGGGTCAAGGTACACACAGCCATACAATCAGAACTGTCAACCTACCTTGGAGAGTGTAGATGCAAAATAGATTGGCAAGGGTCTGCAACAGGGTCTCAACGCCAAAGAGCTAGTCCAACCTCTAAGGAACGACCGTTTTCAGCCTCATACATCGACAATGTTGCGATGAAGACGCCCGCCTGTATTGTCCCGTAAGTCATGCGGACATTCTTCTTAAATTGCTGTGGTGTTGTGAGGGCTTTGTCCTAGCAGAGACATCGAACGATCAGTCTCACTTTGATATTGCGCCAGTCCGCAAACATGCCATGCACTGCAGCACAAGACCCAATAACTATGGTACCCGTGCAGCCCGTGCATAAGCGCCGTCTTCTTCATGTTGCATTATGTGTCACTGCTAATTCATTAGTATGACCAGAAAGAGGTTCGACTGTGTGTGCCTCCGCCTGGAGAGAGGCGGGTAAAATCGGAATTGGGGTACCCCAGCTTTCTCCCCCCCTTTTTTCCATGTCCTTTCCCCAGCCTTTGACCGCACCCGCCGTGGGCCGATCCGGTGACTCCCGATCATACGACTTTCCCGTCACAGTGACCGTTTTCGAGGCCTTGTCAACGTCTGATGTGCTACGCTGTCTCATTAATTTGTGCCACTGTGGAACCAAACCTGGGGCCAGATTTGCGGAGGGACAAGGCCACCTCGAGACAATGCCGTCTCTGAATTGTCGTCAATCAGCCCATCTATGCAAATCTGCCCGTCATAGGTGGCCGCATGCTGATGTACACTGGAATGGCTACTCCATCTAGCACAATGCCGTGGCTGCGTAAATATTGTCTTCGTGCTTTATTTAAGGATGGCGCCCCGGACCTGCCAGAGATGTTGAATGCCGTTGAGTATTTATATATTTGTCCATATCAGTGCAAACAAACCGCAACCTTCAAGATCAATACAAAAGATCAACATACATAAACCTGAGAAGTGATATATCATTACAAACAAACACCACACACACAACACCTCACCAACACATCCCAGTCTAAAAATAACAACACCACCACCAACTCGCCCACATTACTATTCATCTACCAATCATGGCCACCATCTCCCACCACCAACAACACCACCACCGCCATCATCCTCATCACCAGCAGCCAGCGGTCCACGATTCCACATTCTTCTTCGTCGGCCCCTTCGACGACACCACCTTCTGCCGCGGGCCCCAGCTCCTCAAGCCCATCGACACCTCTCTCTTTACCAGTCAGATCGCCGCTCTCTCCAAAAACTCCTCCCTCACCGCGTCGCCCATCTCAGAGCACGGCGACTTCTTCTCCTCGGAAGACGAGGACTGCGCCGTCCTGGGCGACGATGAGGCCCACAGCGAGGACGAGCTGCCCCCCTCGCCCAGGCGGCGTCACTCGGGCGCCATGTCCATCAGCGAGGAGGAGCTGCCCTTTTGCTACGACAGGGAGTCCCTGCGCAGGGACACAGCCGCGCACCGCGAGAGACACCTGCAGCATACCATGAAGGGCCGAGCGTCCACCTTTGCCGCCCACGAGCAGTGGGACAGCGAAGTCGACGGGCCGTCGATGGCTCTGTGGACCCCCGAAATGCAGCGCTCAGCTATGAGCTGCAAGAGGAGACGGGTCGACAAGTCGCAGACGATGCCTGTCCGCTCGAGCGCCCCAGCGAAGAAGGAAGTGCTACCGCACAGCCACAGCGCAGAGCTGACGGGGCCGATGATGGTTTTGTGGGGGGTCTAAGAAAGAGAGGAAGGGAATGAGGAATGAAATGAAGAGACTGAGAGAAAAACAGAATCTCAAAACGCCTGATGCGATGCATATTGGAAAACTAGAGGCGTTCGATCTTGCATTTCTAACTGGTGACGGATTTCGGGGATCAAATTGTATGACAGGCGTTGCAAGGCGAGGTTGAACGGGCATGGACAGGCGTTTGGAACAGGACATCATCATTACCTATATGATCTCCACACAGACATCAATACTCAATTCAGTGTTTACAAAGTACTCATGGCGACTATCAATGTCAGCAAAGACTTTGCAAGTCTTGGGCGTGAATGTAGGATGACCGTTCCAGCTAAGCACGAAGACTAGAAAAGCCACCGAGTAGGTTGTTATTGATAAATGAAAAGCCCTTTAGTGCAAGCCGGCTCTGAAAAGCCCCTTTTGTACTGCAAGTATTGTTGACCCCGTGAATTGCTCCTTCCGTACCCACAGGCACTAAACAAAACACTCGAGCTCCTAGCTGCGGTTTGCGAAATAAAATGCTATTTCGTCTCCTACAAAAACATCACCCTGGTGCTCAACTTACGCAATCAACTTCCTATCTCTGTGACTCCAGCTTCAAGTTAGCGTCCTTGCTAGCCATTCGCACATTCTGTGACGCAAACAAGTACCCAAACCCGAGAGCCTTGATCCGTCCAGTCCAGCGAACACCAGCCATCGTGGCATAGCCCGCTGTGTTGCTAACCTCATCGTCCAAATAAGCCTTCATGTCCTGTACGTCCACGCTCACATCGCACTCGTGGTGGAAGAACAGCGCGCCATGAGGTCCGTTGGTCTCTCTGTCCCCGCGAGCAGCTACCGCACCAGACAGCCTACTCGCGGCCTGCTCGGCCGGCATCATGTCGATACATCCCTCCCAAGCATCGAAATCTGGGACTAGCTTGGACAGATGCACGAACCGCACGACCTCATGGAGCACTGTCTGCATCAAGTCCTGCGGTGTTGTGCGCCCAGATGGCGTGAACCGGTGGATCAAAACAGGCAAGCCCCACGCCTCAGCCGCGCGCTCGAGGATCCTCTCGCTGGCCCATTTGCTCGCTACGTACCCGTTTGAGCCGTCAGTGGGAGGAATATTGCCTGCTGCCGAGGCTGGAGTAGCATTACAAGGAATATTGCCTTGCGCCTGTGCCAGCACGCCGGCCGACGATGTGAAGTGGATCGGTATGCGCCGCGCAGCCGCTAGTCGCACGAGCTCCCTCGTCGCGCTCGTGTTAGTCGGCCGCAGTGTGTGGTAGTTATCCCAGAACGACCGCGCAGCGCCCATATGAAGTATCACATCCACCTCGTTGGATAGGGCTGTGAAAGTTGGCTCTGAAAGGCCCAGTCGGGGCAGCGTGAGGTCGCCGTTATAAGAGACGACTTTGGACCCTGTGGCGGCGAGCTTCGAGGTGTCTCGCACGGCGATGCAGTAGATCTTGCTCACGCTGGAATCTGCAGTGAGTTGCGGCAGGACGTGTGTTGCGAGAAAGCCCGTGGCACCGGTGACCAGCACAGTCTTCTGTTGGCTACGAATGGACTGGGCGACGTATCCATGGACGCCGATTTGCTGTGGAGCATCCAGGTCAGGAAGTGCCGTTTCCTTATCCCAGTCAATGGTTTCGACAGCACTGCTCTCCTCGATCTGACGTGCCATCTCGCCCAATGTGTTGGCCCCGAGAAGGTCTATAAGGTTGATCGCCACCCGGAACGAGTCGCGGATGCGGGATTGTAGGCGTACAATCAAGAGGGAGTTGCCACCAACGGCGAAGAAGCTGGTCGTCGGTGTGATGATGAATTTAGACCGATCTCCCAGAATATCTTCCCACACCTGTCTGAGCTGGGTCATGGTCTCAGTGAGCTCGAACTCGTCGTTACCCTCGAGGCTTCCCATCCGCTGTGGGAGTGGTAGCTCCTGGATGGCTTTTCGGTCTACCTTCGAATGATTGCTCAAGGGAAGACGTTCGAGAGGGATTGCCACCACGGGGATCATGTATTGGGGGAGTGGGAGCCGGATGAGCAAGTTGTGCAAGAATTCCTCCCTACCTGTATCGGAACGCTCGCCTGATGTTGCAAACACGACGTGTGCAACCAGAACATCGTCCTCGCGAAGCGTCACCGCTGCTTCTTTCAGCTTGCCACGGCTTGCTGAGAGGATGTTGCTCTCGATATCGCTGAGATCTATGCGGAGGCCTCGAATTTTGACTTGCGTGCTCCCTGCCACGCGGTTGTGGAAGACCAGGGCGCCGTCCTCGGTAAGATGACCGATATCCCCCGTCCGGTACATGCGCGTCCAGCCATTAGTTGCGTATCCAGGATGCCGCTCGGCGTACAGGTCAGGAATGAATGCTTTGGTGTTGAGGTCGTCTTCATTGAGATAGCCCTCGGCAACGCCTGCACCGCCGATGAAGACTTCTCCTGGTACACCAGGCGGAAGAGGCCTGAGCTGCTCGTCCAGAATGTAAGTTACATAATTTGGCAATGAGTATCCACAGGCAATTCTCCCCTCTGGCGTTTGACTACGGTAGTTGACCTCCATCTTGTGCGAGGAGATCGAGATCTCAGTCGGGCCGTACGAGTTGAATAGTCGGAGCTGTGGGAGCTCGAGGGCCTGAACGTCGCGCAGGACAGTATGTGTCAGCGTCTCGCCTCCGCCAAAGGCGAACCGCCAGCTGGAACACTGCCGGAGGTTCTGGACGCCGTACTGCAGCCAAAGCGAATATTCGGACGGCGTCGCTTTGGTGTATGTAATATTGTGCTGCTTCATAATATTGGTGATCTCAATTGGGTCGCCTCGCTTACTCCATGGTACGATGTATACCATGCCGCCATTCACCTTGCGAAGCAAATCGGTCAGTATTGTTATTGCCTCGTTTGTGCCTGAGAATCCAGGAGAATGCTTACCAAGCCCGTGTACATCTGGTCAGAAGAATGGTTGAAGCTAAAAGCACTCTGCTGCAGAACCCGCACGGCGCCAAGTTTCCAGGTTTTTGTGTACCCTTCAATCTCATTCCGCAGACCAGAGTGCTTGACGAGTATACCCTTGGGCGTTGCTGTCGAGCCGCTCGTGGACAGGATAGCCGCTGTGGAATTGCCTCGTGCACAGTTTGGCACGCGTGCCATCGGCTTCGTGGCTATGTTACCGACGTCTATGATCTGAGCAGCAGGGACACCTAGCTGTGTCGCGTCGTCAGCTGTGGTAGCGTCCACCAGGATGCCACTGGGCTGGCAGTTTTGGGCGATGCGTGCTAGCCGTGGCAGAGGGCTGCGTAGATCTAAAGGGACATAGATGCCCCCAATGCGCATGATTGCGAGCATGGAGCACACCCAGTCCGCAGCGGCTTTCTGGAAGACAAGAACCCTGGAGCCACTGCCCATACCGGCCTGGATTAGTGCCTCTGCAATGGCTTCGTTGCGCTGGCTCAGGTCTAGGTATGTCAGAGAATTCCCATAGCCGTCCATGATGGCTGTTTTGCTTCTATTGACTTCAGTGATCTCGTCAATGCGATGAGGGAGAGTTTCGGGCCAGTCAGACACCAAATTCGGACCTGTGAGACTCATTTAATCAGTGCCAATGTTGATATTATGAAGGGGAGAACAAAGTTGAGACTCACCCCGTCCCAATTCGACTGCGCGTGTCAGTTGTTTGGCTCCGAAAAGAGGAACACTCTCCCACGGCTGAGAGACGTTTCCAGAGAGCATGTCAAGGAGCCCAATGTAAGTATTCAACAATAGGTCCGTAGCGGCTTGATCATACAACCTCGTCTGCGTCCTGATGGCAAGGATGGTGCCTGCAGAGCTCTCGTTGATATCCAACGTAATGTCGTACGCAGTCCGCCCAAGGGAGGCGTCTTGCATTTCGAACTGGCAGGTATCGAAAGCATGCTTGTCTGTCGTGCCTTGCCGATAATCGAAGAAGGCCTGGAAAAAGGGGCTGTACTGAGAAGACCGGGGTACATTGAGTTCCTTCAGTAGAACGTCGAATGGCACACTTGAAGCAAGCGCTGCATAGGACGTGTCGCGCGCCTCGGTGACTGCTTCAGAGAACCGCTGTTGCCCCGATCCAGTCCGTTTTCGGCGAAATCGCAACGGAAGCAGGTTGAGGAGCAGACCGATCGTGCCCATGGCATCGCTACCACGGCCGGCGTCGGCAATGCCCACTGTCAGGTCCTGCGCCTCAGTGAACTTGAAGAGCATGCATTTGAAGACAGCCAGGTACAGATGGAAGGGAGTGCATCGCTGAGCCTTAGATGCCTTTCTCACACGGGCAGCCAGGTCGGCATCGAGACGAAGATGGACCTGGCTCGTGTTGTACCCGTCCATAGGCATCCGGGATGCGACCTTGGCCATGGGAAGCAGTGGTAGGACTGGTGGTTCGTCTGAAAAGACACCGCGCCAGTATCCCAGGGCTTCATTCATGTTACCAGACTTGTAGGCTTCGTGCTGTGCTTTGGATAGGGTCGTGATTTGAGTCGGCGGGGGACCGAGCGTCATGTGCTTGTATGCCTTTTCCAGATCCTGCAGGAAAATGGTGACGCTGATTCCGTCTAGGATGATGTGGTGGTAACTCATGAGGAGATAATGTGTTGATGGGTCGAGCGACATCAGCATCATGCGCATGACTTCGCCGCGCTCAATGGCGAACTCGTGCACCTTGATCTTTGCATATTCGGCAGCGACATCTTCCACACTGTTGATCTTGACGTGCTCCAACCTCAACCTGGAAGATTCCATGATCTTTTGATAGGCTACGTCTCTCTCCGTCTCGCTGCCGACAAAGGCCGTACGGAGTGTCTCGTGTCTAGAGCCAACAGAGGCAACAGCCCTCTCCAGATCACCGACGCGCAGATTTCCAGTTACCTTGTAGCACAAGCCCACAGTGAAAGTCGTCTGGTCCTGGATCAACATTCTGAGGAACCAGAACCGAGACTGCGCAAAGGACACTGGCTCGCTCTTCAAGAACCTGAGCGGAGGCTGCACAGCTTTCGTCTCAGAGATATCGAGCAGGGAAGACGAGGCTGCGGAGGAGATGTCCGTTGAAATATTCTCAGACGGCAACCTCTCAGATGTGGACTCGGAAGACTCATTTGTGGAATCGGGCGTCTCGTCGCCTGACTTGGATGACACCGCGGCGGGAGCGGTGGCGGTCGGAAGGAGGGGTTTCTCGACTGAAGGTTGTGCGTTGCCTTCTTTGCCCAGGTTCGCTAGAACCGCCTCGGGGAGATTTTCCAAGGCGTATTCGCTGAGGTCGGAGATGGATGCGCCTCCTAGGATCTTGAGGACTGGCAGGTCGACTTTTAGTTCCTTGACGAACCAGGACCGCACCTCGACGGCGACCAAGGAGTCGATCCCGTGATCTATCAGGGGATCGTTTTCGTCAATATCGCGGTCTGTGATTTGAAGTATGATCCTCAGCTTGTTGACGATTGCCGCTGTATTGATTATGATCGATGTGAAATTAGCAGATGCCTAAAATGGTCACACCCTCGATATCTCGTTCAATCTCTTCAGCACGACATACCTTTTAGGATTCCTAATGCTTCCTCCATGTTCTTGGCGCTCTCAAGCTGCTCGAAGACCGGGAGGTTATTGCTCTTATCATCCTGTTGTGTCTGCACGCTCTGCGAACTATTTCGAATGCAGTGTGAAAACCGAGGATCCTCAGCCCACCGAGGTCTATACTCGTCAACAATAGCAGAGAACACAGCTGTCGTAAGCACAGGAGACAGGGCATCCACATCCGGCCTGCTCGCCAGGATTGTCTCGGCAAAGAAATGATGGAAATCGCTCTCCGATATGGGCAGGTACTTTTGCCTGACCAGCTGCTCCTTGACGATTGGGTCGGCGCGCTCGACATAGCCGATGCCCACCACGCGGCCAATGTCAAAGGTCGACGCAGCCAGGCCGCGCTTGCGTCTCTGTCTGGCCAGGCTCTGCATGTATACATTGGCCGCGGCGTAGTTGGACTGGCCCGGGTTACCGATCACGGCAGAGAGGGACGAGAACATGACGAAGAAGTCGAGGCGGTTGCTGTCGTCGTTGTTGTCGCTGAAGATGTCGGCGAGGTGGTTGCTTCCATCAATCTTGGGCTGGAGGACCTGTTGCATCTGATCTAGGGACATGTCGGCGAGGAGGACGTCGCTGAGGACCATGGCTCCGTTCGCTACACCTGCGATGGGTGGGCAGGTGGCTCTGATCTCGTCTATGCATCTTTGTACTGCCTGTCGATTTGTGACGTCCCTGCCAGTCATCATGGTCGGATCAGTATACAAGCTTGATTTTGGGACAGTTGATGGGGAACTAACATGGTCAGGATTTTGACGACAGTGCCGAGTGCTTTGAATGACTCCAGCCACTGCTCGCTCACGTTGGGACGACGACTCGTCAAGCAGATACATCCTGCACCGTTCCGCGCCATCCATTCGCACAGGGACTGTCCAATCTGTCCCGTCAGTCCCACAAGGATATATGTCTTATGCCTGGAGAAGAGCCGCCTGGCATCGATCGGTGTGATTTGCAGAGTCACATGTTGGCTGGCCCTCCAGTCGATTATGGTCATGGGTTCTTTGATTTGGCTGATTTGAGCCAGTGGTACAACCAAACTCGACGAGGTGGTATCGAATTGTTGATTGGTATATGCCCCTCCGCGGGATAGAGCAGCCTCCAGCAAAATTACCAATTCGGCCTCGTCGTATGATACTGGACGGCGACGTTCATGACTGAAAAGATCAGAAGGATCAAGGTACCTGCAGGATGACGGCAGGGCGCGGCCCAGGCTGAGACTGACGGCGTTGAATTCAGCGTTGGTGGTGAGATCCAGAAAATGCGTTACTCGGGTAGGGAGTTTCTTCTGTAGGAGATGCTTAGGTGTCCATGCATCTATCTCTATGCAATGCAGGTTGTCGTTTGCTCCGTTTCCTGTCGATGAGGTACTGAATTGGACGTGGACGGCTTTTTCTGTTGCTTGTCTTGTCAATGCGTTGGCCAAGAATGGAATTGTGGATGGCTCATGAACCAGGAGACTGCTGTTCGAGGGCAACGTAGCAAGGAGAGATGCCGCCAGGAGTTCAGCAGTGACTGGCAACAAGATGCTGCCGGAAGACTTCGAGCTGTGATGCTCGATAGGTACGGCCGCAACCGGTACGACCCGAGAAGCTATGTTGCTGGACAGAGCAAGCACTCGAGTCCCTGTGGTCTCGTCCATCCCAATGATTGGGTACAAGAAGACTTCGTTGAGAGAGACGTTGAGTGCAACCAAAATGGACTGCTCCATTTGAACAACGCCTTGGCAGCCTCGCACTGGAGGAAGGATGTCTTCTTGCAAGGCAGGTGGCCATTCACCAGACTCGGAGATGCAGATGGCAGAGCGAGACGGTGACACGGTCTTGGTGACGGGCCGCACTTGAGCGTTGAACCTGTCATTCTGGTCGTGGTTGGCCACTAGGCGAGGAACCATCAGATGCCCGTTTTCCACAACATACTCTGGCTCGACAGACCAGAGCAGACCCGAGGCCGATGCCGGCAACGAATCCAAGGCACATTGGCGGAGCATACACTCTGCAATGACCTTGGAGGCATTCTGGCTCGAGCCTACAAGGTCGAGGAAAGTAAGGGCCAGATATGGTATCTCGGGGCGCAGGGCACGCCCAACACCAATGCTGGCCATGTGGTATGGCTCTGCATCGTGGGCACCACGAGTAACCCATACGAGGTTTTTGGCGGCCTCGTAGACACGTTTGAGGCCGTCCCATCTCCGCTGGGTCAGGTTCTTGAACACGGGCTCGTCAAGGTCGACAAGACTAATTAGAGTGTTCATCGGAGAGAGGGCGTCTGACTCGGTAGGTAGGCCGTCGAGAATGGTCACCTTGTTACAGAAGCGCCTCAGGAACTCTGCCGCCTCCTCTGCAATCATCGAGGTCTCGACAGACCCGGTTCCGAGGATAACAATTTCCTCAAAGTGCAAGTGCTGGGGCGAGGGCGCTGTCAGGGGTCGTCTTAGAAAGTCGACCTGATCGTTCACAGCCTGCGAAACAATGACAGAGAACGGCCAGGTTAGGTTGTCGATGGGCGGCGTGAGGGCATCAGCACCAGAAAATCCAGCTTTGCGCAGGATATTATGCCACGCACCAGGCGTGACCAGCGGGCCGTTCTCACGACCATCCTTTGCGTTCCACCACCCTGGGAGACCGGCGGCCATGTTGGTAGTTCGCAGTACCGTGGGTTGTGTGATCTCGACCAGTATAAGGTAACCTCCTGGCTTCAGGAGTTTTCGTGCATTCTCCAGAGATCGCTGGCAGGACGAGGTGGCGTGCACAATGTTGGCGGCGATGACAATGTCGTAGGAGTGGTGTTCGAAACCTTGGGTGGCAGGCGACTTTTCGATGTCCAGGAACTTGAATGACATCTTGTGGCTCTGGGATTTGAATGCGTCCTTGGTCTTCTCGAAGTCGTCTAGGAAGCCATCCGATATATCGGTAAAAGTGTAGGATGCGAAAGCGTCGCCAATGGCTTGCAAGACCTCTCTGGTAGTGCCACCGCTTCCAGCACCTGTAAAAAGGACATTGATTCTCAGCCATGGGTTTCTAGATAGTCTGAGAGGGTTTATGACAATATAAATGAAGAAGGCTGGAGATAGTGAACTTACCAAGTTCGAGTATTTTGGCTTGCGGATATCGATGTACGAGCTGTTTCACCATGGCAGCCGCATACTCACTATATTTACCGAACCCAAGTCCGGTAATATACAACTCGGTTCTCATGTCATTCAGGTGCTCCACCATGGTCGTTTCCCCCCTTATCACGGCTCGAAGGTTCTCTCCAGTCGCCTTAATGACTCTCACATCGACAGAATCCATATGCCTTTTCAATAGGGTCATATTAGTGTTTTTACTTGGAAACAGGTCAAACCAATTTGTATTCATACCTTTGAATCAAGGGCTCAAGATCCTCAAAGGTATCATGGGCCCATTCTTCCTTCAGCACAGGATGTTCTCCACGGGCTATGGCTGCCAGAGCGTGGTCCATGTAAGCCCGGAGACGATGATGCTGCGCTTGCCCTCTGGCCCATTCCTCGGCGAGAATTTCTGCATTCCACTTTCGAAGGTAAAACCACGACATCCTTTCGCAGAGAACTGCAATCTCCTTGTCCACCGCATTTGGTTGTTCATTGATCGTAATAGACGTGGCATCGGGCCATTCAACATCCCATTTAACATACGTGAATGGGCAGCGATCGTCCTTGGAGGTGGCCGAGTATAAAGGCTTCATGGTCAGGTCCTCGGCCTGTATAAGCGTCTGCTGACCATCTTGGCTGAAGACGTCGATGCTGGCACTGAAACCTTGACTGCCCCCGTTGTTCTGTTGTTCTCTGTGTATACTGGCACAAACGGGTAACAAGGTCGGCGAATTGGGCAAAGCAGCACATAGCGCTGGGTTCACACGGATGCGTCCGATCAGCGTGGGCACCGACAAGGTCCTGAAACTTTCGTCTTCAGGGTGGGCGCCGGCTGCGAGGACGCTTTGGATGGCCACGTCGAGCCACGAAGGGTGTACCAGAAGCTCGCGCACATGAACATCGTCATGATTATCGTTCTCGGCCGGGAGGCCTGTGTAAGTCGACACGAGAGCCGATGCCTGGTCCAGCTTGCGTCTGATCTCTGACATGGCTCTAAAAGGTCCAGTATAATCGTAGCCGATCTTGTGAATGGAGGAATAAAAGTCCTCCGTGTCGATGCTGTTCATTGTGGATGTTTCCAGCGGTGTCGAGGTCAGGATAGCGGGAGACGGAGTGTTGTACACGATCAGCACCGAGCCAGTCGCCACGAGGTCCAAATGCGAAGGCCCATTTCGGGCGCCTGCGTGACAGGAGAAGTTCGCAGTCTGGCTCTGCTCTTGTTGTTTTCCCGCGGCTGTAGTGACTGTGGACAGCGTGACAAGAGTCTCGACACTGAAGTTGGCGTCGTCCTCGAAAGACACGGCCTTGCTAATCACAAGGTCACGAATCTCAAAGAGCTTGACATCTCTATCCCCAGCCAGGCTTCTGGCGGCCTCCAGAGCCATGGCAATATACCCTGCAGCGGGGAAAATCATCTGACCTTCCAGCCTATGTCCGTCCAGCCAAGGAACTTCAGATGCCTTCAAGAGGTTCTTCCAACGCCGGTCATTGTTGGTCGTGTCTGCGGTTGCGATGCCGAGGAGGCTGTGGAAGGGCTCAGACCTACATCGTATCGCTTTGGACTGACGAGATTCATGCCAGTGCTTCTGCTCGTGGTTCCACGGGTACATGGGAAGCCCGGCGACATATTTGGGAGGTGGGCCGTCGGACATGAGGTCTTCGTAGGCCCGGAAATCGACAGATCCGGATCCAAGCTGCGCCCATACAAAACCCAACGCATCTGCAAAGGCCTCGATGTCATTGGTGTCACGGCCCAGGACGCCGCTGTAGGCAACTGGCTGCCGGACTTCCATGATGTTCTGGCTCGCCGGACCTCGTAAAGCAGGATGAGGACCGACCTCGAGTGCGAAATTGATCTTCTCGGAAGCGGCCGTCTTGATGGCATCTGCAAATAGAACTGGTTGGATCATGTTGTCTCTCCAATACACGTCCTTTAGAGATTCTGTGGTTTGCATTGGGTCGTTTCCTGGGACTACGCTGGAATACCAGGCGCACGATCCGGGTCCTTCTCGATTCAACAGTTGAATGTTGCAGGCCTGGAGTGACTTGATGTAGGCGTCTCCACAAGGGATCATATGATGAGAATGGTATGCTGTATCGACTTTGAGCATTCTTGCGAACTTCTTCTCTTCGTCAAACACTTTCTTGGCATGAATAACAGCGTCGACATTGCCGGAAAGCGTAACACTAGCAGACGAGTTATGCGCCGCAACAGTGATACGTCCCCTGAAAGCAGGAAGCTCAACCAGGTCGCGCGCATCCTCAAGCGAGGTCCCCACGGCCAGCATGGCGCCTTTCTGCCCAGAGCCTTGGGGATCCTCTGCACGGTGGGCGTGCATGCCTCGGTAATAGGCAATGCGGATAGCATCGTGGGCCGTGATGAACCCTGCAGCGTACGCAGCCGCAATCTCACCAGAAGAATGGCCCACGACCGCCTCAAAAGTAATTCCAGCCTCTCGTAGGAGGTCAACAAGCACCAGCTGTACGGCTGTGCAGAGTGGCTGTGACAGTTCAGCCTTGCCGATCCGCGAGGTCTCTTGGCCGGCCAGAATCTCGTCTTGCAGGCGCCATGTAGGACGATCCGCCACAGGTAGGTTGGTGAGCGACTCCTCGAGGTCTTGGAGTTTGGCGCGGACAAAGGCTGATGAGCGGATCAGACAGCCTCCCATGCCTGCCCATTGCGCGCCTTGGCCGGTGAACACTCCGAGGATGCGAGGTGTCTTGGGAGGGGAGCGGAAACTGTGGATGTTCTTGTCGTTATCCTTCATCTTCAGGACCACGTCGTCCAGTTTGGAGACGAGCTTCTCGACACTCCTGGCTGCGAAGGTCATCTTGACATTGAGAGCTGACTTGCATGTCTGCAAAGTCCAGGCGAGGTCGCCGAGGTTGATGTCTGGGTGCGCCTTGAGATAGTCCGAGTATGATTCCAGTAGCTGGAAGAGACTGCCTTCTGATGCTGCAGAAAAGGTAAACGGGGTGAAAGGGGCGGTGATTGGTTCCTCAAGGCGTAGAGACTTGCTGATTCTAGCCGTTGAAGGCTGATAGCTTTCCAGGATGGCATGAGCGTTGGCACCACCGAAGCCTGAATCAAGGACATTCATTTAGTGTTTGATGACGAGATGAAAATTGAAAGAAGTAAAATACAACAACTGAGGAAAGATAAGTCATCCACGTACCAAAGCTATTGACACTGACCCGTCGAGGGACACCATCAGCCAATGCAGGCCAAGCCTGGGTGCTAGTCGGAACGTGGAGGCCGTGATAGAAAGGCTCGATGTCAGGATTTAGGCTACCGAACAGCAAATTGGCAGGAATCAAGCCGTGTTGGATGGCAAGAGACCCTTTGATCAGACCGGCAAGTCCTGCAGCACCCTCAGTGTGACCAATGACGGTTTTGATAGATCCCACGTAGAGAGGATGTTCATTGTCGATATTAGTCTCATTAGGAGTGAAAGATATACTTCTTCCTGTGTCTGCAGCTGGACCAAAGCATCGCTGGATCGCTTCAGCCTCACGAGGGTCTCCGGCTCGCGTTCCCGTCCCATGGGCCTCAAAGAACTGAGGGCGGTCGTTGACATTGCGAGGATCCAGCCCAGCCTTGGCGTACGTTTGTTGTATCAGTGCCGTCTGCGCTTCCGAGCTCGGGACCGTCAGGCCTGTCGAGTGTCCGTCCTGGTTGCTTCCCGTCTCACGGATCAGACACTCGATGCGATCGCCATCAGCAATGGCATCGCTAAGCCGCTTCAAGATCACGACGGCAACGCCCTCGCCACGCGCGTACCCGTTGGCGTCGGCATCCCACACTGGTCCATTCGTTGTCAGCCAGTTTGCAATGAACAGATACATGCACTACTGCAACAATTACATTAAGTGTCTGACAAATCAGACCCAAGAGTTAAACATAGGCACTTACTGCGGGAGCGGCCATCGGGAGACAGCATGTTCAACCTATTCTCCGTCATAAACGGGTCTAACACGGCGATTGTCAACCAATCATTAGCTGAAGCTCAAGTCACACAACGTTCGAAAGCTGGTTTATGGGGCAGCTGAGGAGGCTTGTACCTGGCCCTAGAATTGCAGTCGTTCCACATGCCACGGCTAGTCGGGACTCGCCAGTACGAAGAGCCTGAACACCCTGGTGGACAGCAATTAAGCTGGACGAACAAGCGGTGTCAATGGTCAGGCTCGGGCCGTGCCAATCGAAAAAGTAAGAAATACGATTAGAAAGGATAGCCCGCGAGATGCCAGTGGCAGTGTACGTGGGTATATCGTCCACATCCCGCATCAGGATGCCCTCGTAATCAAGGCCCATGACACCGACATAAACAGCCGTGTCACTGCCGCGCAGTTTCTCGATAGTGTGGCCGCCCGAGTCGAGGGCCTCGTAGACGGTCTCCATGAGCATGCGCTGCTGTGGGTCGATCGAGTCTGCCTCCTTGCGGTTGATGTTGAAGAAGCCGGCATCGAAAGCACGCACATCCTCGTCGAGCAGGTATGCATAGCGGACATTCGTAGTGCCGTGATGGGCGGCATCCGGATGATAGTATCCTTGGATGTTAAATCGATCCAGGGGGATCTCCTTGCGTATGTCACGCGGGTTCTCGAGAAGCTGCCACAAGCATGAGGGTGAAGTGGAACCGCCAGGGAAACGACAGCCACTGCCTACAATGGCGACTGGCTCCGGTCGATGCAGAGTCATTGTCACGGCTTGCCCTAATTAATAGTTTCCGTCGTCGTACCAACTGTAGTTCAGAGAGGATCAGGGTAGTTGGTGTGTCTGATTCAAGAGCAAGTACTTTGTTACTTTGATTTTCCACTGTCCACGTTCCCATTGAAAAGTATGGACTCATCATGTATTAATAGCCAAAAAAAGGTATCCTTTGGGCATTCGGCATACACCTATCCTTGATACTTACAAGCTTGCCAAAACGAAAAGATAGAATCAAAACCTCAGAAACGTGAATTGTTGCTCCAAAAGCGGCTTTGCTGCGTGCTGAACCAAAGCGGCCAGACTTGCTGAGGTTACAGTAGTACCCAGACATGTCGCCGGGAGAATTCGGCGCAAGGCCGCACTTGAAGCTACACAAAGGTGTCGATCACGACGACAACGCCCCTGGATATAGTGGTCTGTCTCGGAAATGCTCCGATCAAGTTGATAGATAATGACACACCTCCACTTGGTCCGTTATCGCGAGAATTGCCTCCTTGCTTCATACATCAAGCTGTAATGCGCCGAATGACGATGCATGCCTTGATCTTCCTATCGTTGGCAATTCTTGTCTCTGGCTCGTTCAACTTGAGGAAAGATGGTTTGTCGTCCCCTCTTTTTTTTCTTCTCTTTCTATCTTCCTCCTCCTCTTCTTCTTACTTCATTATTTTGTTCCTTGCGAGACTTGTGGCGCGCGCCAGAGATGTCAGGCCTGGTAGTATATCGGGCGATAGTAGTCTCAAGATGTCTGTCTGAGACATACACCTTCGGGAGCTTGTGAGCGCCACACCTCTTCATAGATTCGTAACCACTCATTGCTTCTTCTTCTTTTTCATGTTGCGGTGTGTGTAGATTCGTCCCGTGTGACGTGATGCGATTTTCTATCTAGAATTGGTGATCAAGATAGCATACCGCTTACCTAGTGTCACTGTTATGATAATTAATATGACACTTTGTATTTCGTGCTCCCATGGTTTTCTTGTAGTGGTTCAGGGTTTCATGGATATCATTGTAGAACAATTGAGATGTGGTGATAATGAGTAGCCTTGACTGGGTTTGGATCTCAAGATGATGAACTGACTTATAGCATTGTGTATTTTCAGTCATGTCGAAAAGACAGCTGGACTTTTGCATACAGTAAGTCTAAGGAGATGGGTAAAATAACATTATCCCAGGTCGAGCTAGGAAGAAAGCAAATACTAACCAAATAAGTCAAGCTCTTCGATAATTGTCATCCCTCGAGCATACGGCCCCACGGGCCCACGGCAAACGGTTTCACAGACGACGGCATCGTGCGCCATCTAGCACAGTTTCTGAAAAGTCCATTATTCATACTTTTCTTTCTCTGTCGAAAGGGACGACTGAAGAGAAACAACGGTGAATGCCATTTCCCAATCCTTAGCGCGGCATGGTAATACTGTACTCAAATTTGACTCGCTACAGCATGACTACTCGCGAACGCTCGACGCAAAGGTTGGCCTGTGATCGGTGCCATGGCCAGAAGCTGCGGTGCATTCGAGGATCACTCCCGACGGGCGCTTGTCAGAGATGTATCAAGGCGAAGGCTATGTGCCAGTACAGCTCACCTCTTCGCCTAGGAAGACCTGCTAAGCCGGACCCCGCCAAGAATATGCCTCCTACTACTGGTGGGCGGAGACGGAGCAGCACCGCGCTTCCAAGCCCACACGAATCGTCTACAAGTACAACTTCCACAAGCACAACAGACGGAATACCCGAGGGGCAGTCCGAGGAAGACTGCACCATGAACTTGTCACAGCTTGAGTTCTTTGATGTCCAGGGAATGTTAGCCCTGCCGCTGCAGGAGGAAGCACATGGTATGCAGTCTTCCCCAATTCCAGCCGCCTTTCTATGCGTGCCAGAACCTAGATGGGGGTTTTATTCATCTATTCATTCTTTACTGACAAGTACCTCGTATTGAATTAGTCGGAAAAAATGTGCCTACTTTCCCCATCAAAACTTTCGAATGGGACATGGAGGATCGAACCGATGAGCATAACTCGTCTATCATACAGAGCAGCACCCAGACGCCGCAGGGACTGGATGTGAAAGGCCCGCCAAGAGTAGCCAAGACAGACTCTTCTTCAGAGTTCATCCTAGATGATTATATTCGTCACCTCGCACCAGACTCGGCAGACGGCATACAGTTTCAGACACTCAGTGCAGCAGACAGTTTCAATACCGACCCGGTCGACGCCTGGGCTGGAAGCCTCTCGGTCGACACACTGCTAGCCCACGGCTCTCTGGCCAAGACCAGACCACCACCAGCAACAGCACCACTTCAGTCGAGTGCGCAGGACGATGTGCAACGTCAACTGAGCGAGCTGCTCAGGCGCCTGCACGAGACTCCACATCACAGTCCGATGATGGCTTCGGCCACGAACAACCACAACAGCGCCTCGAACCCGCAGCTGATGGACGAGACAGTCAAGGCTGCACATGCGTTGATCAGCATCATTGACTCGGTACACGTGTCGACTGCGCCCTTAGAGTCCCGCCATAACCCCGACGCTGTCGATCCGACCACGAGTTTCATCGACGCGGGCACGGTGTTCCTCGCCGCAGCCTGTTACTACCGTATCTTTCGCAACAGCAATACACTGGCCGTGGTTATGCATGATGCAGTCTCGTCCAACGATATGGCAACGTTACGCTCGATGCCTAGCATAAAAATCGGCTCGGTCACGCCCTTGCACACCACCTCGCCAGCCATCCAGTCGGCCCTGTGGGTCCAGCTCCTGTGGCAGTCGCTGCGGGAGCTCGAGAAGCGCCTACTGATGCTCTCCCACAGGTCTGCCGTTCTGAGCCCATTGGCGACGGAGTCTTCGCTGCAGCCTGGAAACAGGTCGCACTTGGCTGATCTGACCGCAGGCATGGACGGAGAGGTTGCAAGGCTTGAGGTTAGCGTGAATCACCTCCTCAAGACAACGTTGGACACTTTGCGCCACAAAAGCTTCTGACGAACACCTTGGAGGATACTCTGTCCTAGAAAAATGAGCGTTGTGCCACGGCTGCGCACTCACAACGTGTCAAAACAAGTGAGGCATGATCCTCATGGGCTCAAGATGTCCCCGAGTGTCTGTAATAATTACTGCACTCAAAATTCCCTGTCCACGCTGCCACACAGTCGCTATGTTTTTAGACAGGCCACTGTGCCCGAAGCACATCTTCTCTTAGTTCCAGATTGTCCATCAAAACTATGGCAGCTCTTAGGCTCCACTTGTCAGCATGGATTGCAGCTGTTTGTTCTCTTGTCGTTAGGTGTATGGAAATACTTGGAAACATGGCAGACGGGACTTTAATTTTTGCTCCCTGCAGCATCGAAATTTACAATTTCTCACGCTTCTCTATTATGGTGTGGATCGGCGTATTAATTTGGAAGGTGATGGAGGGCAATCCGGGTTCAGTGCGGTATCACAGATTAATTTGATGTAACTATGAATAAACGAAACATCATTACTCAATACAGCAATTCTGGTATATAATTTGCGGACCCAACATCTAATTTTGCAGACCATCAGAAGGAGGCTAGCCCATGTTCGTTCTCACCATGTTGTTCCATCCGACAGGCTGGGCATCAGAAAGCTGAAAGAGCGCAAGGGGCTTCCAGGGAAGGGCAGCCGAGAATCGTTGGGCAGACCTGCTGCATCTTGGCCTGCGCTTTGGTCCTGCTCTTTGGAAGCCAATTCTGCTTCCCAAGATGCCTTCAAGGCCTTGAACTTTTTGATGCTCAGGGACAGACCTTGGTCTTCCACATTGCCAGGACATTCTGTTGCAAAGGCTGCGGCTACAGTCTCGAAGGTATGAATCACCCTGTCCAGTGTATCGAGCGGGTCCAAAGCCTCTTGTGCTGCAGCAGGACTCCAGGAAGCATCTCGAGTTGTGGTCATGTGGTGCAGAAAGCGCACAACATAGCACAGTTGCGAGTACGTGCTGTAAGGCACGCTTGCGTACATGTGCAACGGCATCGCGAAGAATATATCGAGCCATGCCTTGACGGAATGCACACAGCGCTGACACATTTCGTACCGCCCCAAATCTGGTTCATGACTTGGACTGGGTGATTTGGCCATAACCCACTCACGTATGGTGAGCGTAGTGTAATGATATAATCCGATTTGTGTCGTTGCTGAAAGCTCTGTCAGTCCCGCACATAAAGCTTCAAAGAAAGGAGAAATTCAAATGTAAGAAGAGAAGGGGCAAGGGAAGAAACCAAGGAATCAAAGCCTTACATTGGCTCCCAACTCCAGGACTTGTTTGGTTGGCAGGATCTGCTATTTCGTCAAGCTGCAATTGTAAACTCTGCACCCAGCCCGTTGGGATCTCAAGATTGCGGATCTTCCACGAAGAGTAGCGGCATTGAGTGACGATGAGCTGCATCTTCACCTGTCTCACCAGAACTGCATCCTGTGGTACAGTGCTGTATTTGGTAAGATGATCTAGGTACTCGTCCAGATATGGTGACCAGCGAAACCCATCAGCCGACTTGAAGGTTTGCGACAGCCTATTGTTTCACTCAGTTTAGCAACTGGTAGTAATTAGGAAATTGAGCATCAAGTGAGAGCAGATAAGAGCCGTAAATATAGAGTAATTACCTACACAGACGTAATGATGAATGCCCCTAGTACAGCACGCTTTTCCTCCATCGTGCGTTCTCTCCTCGAAGACTGCGTATTCACATCCAGGGAAAAGTGAGCCAGGTGCTCCGGTGGAGGCATCTGAAGGCCCATGTCCCAGATCAAGGAGACAGCGAGCTGAGATGCCAGAGAGGCGAACTGCTTGTCCATGGGAAACAGATGAACCCTGACCTGTTCATTAGTCGGTGATCCGCTGTGAATTGCCCCTAATGAATCTCAAGGACTAACCAGTTCACAAAGGTGAGTAGCCCAAAAAGTAAGTCGAGGCTCCTTTCACCACCAGCCACAACCTTTTCGATGATGATGCGCCGTATTCGTAGACTGAGAGAGTTGCGCGTCTTAACAGCCTTCGATGTGACCCCCATGATGTTCAGCCACAAGAATGGGTAAGTCCGTCTGACATTTACAGCTCTTATTCCTGGGTCGATGTAGATAAAAGGGGTGAAAGTCTACAGGTTGCAGGTTAACTTGATATCACGCGTGTTCGTTCTCATCAAAATACATCATGGCAGTTGGTACACTTACTATCATCTCGTCCCGGAACCTGGCAAGAGACTCGTCGGCTTGAGAAGGTGACGCGTCGTCCTCAGAGTAATCCTCATGATCATCAGTCGATGATGGGGTGGAGACTAGACTTATTGACGGCGAATCGACTCTGTCGTCCGAATTTACTGAGGTTCTGACAGCATGATCCCTCTGTGTGGGTGCCATGGGCAGGTTCCCTGCTCGAAGAAGAGCGACTAGATCATCCAATTTCTCTTCAAGCCTTGCTGATCTTGAAGCTGCACCGCGTTTGGGTCCGCGTTGCTTCATTGGGGCTGAGAGTTTACAGACCTTGCCTAGCCGATGGCATCTGGTTTCCATCCTAATGTGAGCTTCCTTATGAACCATGCATTTTTCAAGTCCAAAGGGAGCAGAATCAAGACGCTGAAAAGTCACAGTACACACCTCTCGCAATCATTGCCATCGGCCCGGAGGATACACTTGCATTTGACGCGGGCACAATTGGTGCAGGCTTTCCCGCTTCGATGCTTAGGCAACGATGATCGAGTGTCGTCAAGCTCAGCATCCATGATGATGATCGTCAACGAGGACAGACGTGATGATCCCCAACAGCATATATTCTAGGATCCGGGTCCTGATGTGGCTTGCTGAAAGCAATGGTGTCTTGGAAGTTGTTGGGGAGGCGAAATGGCATGCTGGAGGCCAAAAAGTCCGGCGGTGGCGGGCCTGGGCTTTGATCCGCCGGCAACAGGCATTATTTTTCTTCCCGTGTCCGTCCCGTCTCTTCCTTTGTACTACACACAGTATGTACTTTCACAAAGAACTCCTCTAACTGACTGGAAATGGCCAAATTAGACCGGCATTTGACGTCGTACAATTTACCTGATCCGGTCACACAAGCTGAACAAACAGTGAACGCCTGCAGGGTGCCTCCACACGCTAGGTGAATCAGATGTCTCTCTGTCTGGGCCTTTTCACTAACAACATCCTTTATAATTCTGAATCACTTTCCCCTCAGTTTCTCTCAGCTCATAAAGGATTCTACCCTTTCCCCTGTGCCAGTCCGTTTCTTATTTTGCTTTTCCAACATGGCGAGCGCGCAAAATCCTAACACTTGGAAAACCGAATCACCAGTTCCCGAGCAAAACGCCATGGAGCGTTCACACTCATCGTCTGCGGACCTTGAGGTTCGAAACGATGAACCGCTCAAAAGTGATAACACAGAGCCGGTCACAGGCATCAAGTTCATTTTCCTGCTCATCAGCCTGACCTGTGCTTCGCTTTTGGTTTTCTTGGATACCTCTGTCGTCTCGACGGTGTGTACAATCAATACAAACAATTCCAGCTTTTTAAGATGAGAACTAAGACCATCCATCTTATTTACCAGGCAATTCCAAAAATCACCGACGAGTTCCATTCTCTCCCAGATGTTGGCTGGTATGGAAGCGCTTACCAGCTTGGAAGGTAATTTGGCGGTTCGATTCTCCTCTGAATTTCCGTGCTGAGCACGTAACTAAACTGGGCATTGCAGTGCGGTTTTTGGACCTTTGTCAGGAAGGATCCTGCATTACTTTAGTTTGAAGGTAAGAAGAGACAGTCGAGAACACGCGTCCATATGGGTTCCATCTAACATCAAGACATGCAGTGGTGCTACATAATCTTCTTCGCCATCTTCGAGTTGGGATCTGCTCTCTGTGGCGCGGCGCAGTCCTCCAGCATGCTGATCGTCGGCCGCGCCATTGCTGGTGTTGGAGCGGCTGGTATCAGCAGCGGCGCGTACACTATGTTGTCCGCTTCAGTTCCTCTCGAGAAGCGACCCGGTAATCTTCATATCGAGTTGAATTGAACACGTTCCCGAGGCTAATCGTTTTTAAAACAGCAATGCTAGGACTTCTCATGGGGATCGCTCAACTTGGCACAATACCTCTCTTTCGCCCTTTCCTGGACTATCGACAAAATTCCCTCAATCCAGAGTTAACCCAGGGCAACAATACCTTGAGAGGCAGTAGCGAGAGGAAGAGAGGAAGGTACAAATGACAAAATACTATCTTTGTACTCCTCCTGCCCCAGTCTCCCTTCCTAGCCATCCCTTCCTGTGTTTAGTCCCAGCAGCCCAGCTCATCCAGCGTCAAGCATTATGGCTCACTGGGCTGGTCTTCTTTCTACTCTGTACATCTCGATGAGTTCACCATTTCCCGATCTGGGCTGCTCTCCTGTCCTCGAGGATGCGACTGACTGTCGTCATAACAACTGTGTGCCCTGCCAGGTTCCTGTCATGGCGTTCTCGTTGAAACGATGATTATCTATCTTTCTACTTTCCATGCCTAGATCCAAACCCACGATCTCGATCGTCTCCCCCTCACCCCTCCCTTTTTTTTCTTCTTCCTCCTCTTTCCCCTTCATCTCTTTCTCGCTCTCCCCTTCTCTCCTCTGTGGCTAGATCATGATAAGGAATCATCGGACAGACCACGGAAACATCACACACAGATATCCATCGCCGTGGGGGTGTGCTGGCTGACTCGATCCATCGTGGAGCCCAATGTCGTATTGAATCGCTGGATTTCCACACAGTTACCGCTTCCTCCTCCGCCCGTTGTGTCGGGTGCACTTTACACTTATCGATATCTGCCCTACGTCCCGCCGCCCACTCTGCAAGCACTTCCGAGCCGACCGTTGGCTTATCTGTCCATCAGTCTGTCAATCAGTATGTTCCTTGATCCCCATTGTGTCCCGTCCCATCCCATCCTGACGTGACGCTCCTCTCCTCATCGTGCAGTAGTTCCAAGGTCACCACCCCAAGCCTCTTCCATCCCACCACACAACATGTGCCCTCGTCCCACACATTGCATGTCCTCGATTCCCGAACCCCCCAATATCACATGGTCTACTTCTGGATACCGGGGGAAAGAGAGAGAGGGAGGGATCCTATCTCGTGGGCCTGAAGCCTGGCCTCATGCCGTTTTAGGTAGCACTATAGCAGCAGCACTCGATCATGTGCCCATCCTACAATTTACTACTCGGTCTTCCACACACACACCAGCCACCGGTTTCACCAGAACAATCTATCTATTGGACCTTATGATCACGCCAGCAGACATGACTGGGCCGGGGCCATATCACAGCCGTCCCCTGAAATGCAACAAACGCCTCTTTCGTAAAGACACGACCAGGCGCTGCTACAAGACGAACTACTACTATACATCTCACCACAATATACGCCTCAAACCTCAAAGAAAAGGGTGTGTGTGTGTGAGTTAGAGTGCGACTATACATGGAAGAAGAGAGAGCAGCTTGGGACGGTCAGAGGTCGAAATCGAAGGGGGGGCGCTGACATCCTGAGACGTGCAGTTCAAGTCCTGACGCGCCTCAACGCGACCAAAACGCGTCTCCACTAGTGCGGGTACGCGTCGACGCGGGATAGTGGACCCACCTTCTCAGGCTGACCAATTGTATAACACGCCGCCCTACATGAGGTCGCACTGTTAGTGGGGCATCTTTGACGCGCTTATCCTAGCCGTGGCGCCATGGGATGGATGGATAGATGGAGAAGAGGGGGGAGAGGTAGTGCGGTCCCGAGTTCCCGGCTTTCAATCTCTCGTGTTTCCCCGTGCGCGCTGTTGCGATGATGGGATGAGGGGGGAAAGACAATGAGGTGGTAGTGGAGGACAGAGCCCATGCATCTTTGTGATCGATCTCCTCTCCTCTCGCACTGCAACATACCGGCAAGTCCCGGGGGGAGCTGGACAGACAGCTGTTTTCGGTGAGTGCCCACCGTCCAGCATCTGGACTTCAGTATGCATCATCTGCCGTCTCGTCACGTTGAGAAGACTAGGGTATTCGTCTCTCTTGCATACATGCAGGAAGGATTTACTTTATTTGTGCAGGCACAAAAGGTACAAGTCCTGCGCACGCACTCGCACGCACACGCACACACGCACACACGCACACACGCACACATATACATAGTACACACAATACAAAATATGCAATGCATAATGCACCTACAACTCACACGTACATGTACAATACAACACACAGCTCCCACGAACTGCCCAGCGTCGCAGCAGCGGTGAGGCTAGCCTGACCTCTGCTTGCTCCCAGCTCAGCTCGACAAGCGCCCCAAGCCCTTCTTCCCTCCCATCCCGAACGAGGAGCCCTACCAGTGTGCGGCCCTGTCCAAGCCTGCGTGGCAGCACGTCCGGTCCGCGTGGAGCCCTAACGGCCTAGCCTGCTGTGACTACTGTATGGATGTATGGACCAGGATTTCGGGTTCTCGTGTTCTGCTCAGTTCGTCATCAAGGGTCCTCTGAAGGCCCGGAGCCGTTGGACATGGCTTGAGCACAGTGAAATCTCTGCTCCGCTTGCCACGTCGCACCGGGAGGAGCCAACAAGAATCCAAATCCCCAAGTTTCCAAGGGCCAAGGATGAATGGATTACGGGGTCCTGTCCTCGGGTCAGGTCATGAGAAAGTTCGTCGAGCCCGGGTCGTTCATTTGCTGGTCAGTCAAACAAGTAGTCAGTTAGTCGGTTCATCAGTCCAGTCAGTCAGCCCTGGAATCACATATCCTGCCCTGACTCTTCCCCTCTCCACAGGGCGTGGGGCCGCACAGTTTGTCGGCTATCTCGCGAGCAATTGCCCATGTTCCATTGTATGTTTCCCATCGTTCTAGTTTGCTTCCTTGTCTGCACCTTGGGATGTTCTTCTGGAAAACCTGCCGCCATGCCTGCACAGAATTGGCCCCCCTGCTCCTACGTTAACCACCCCTCCTGCTCCCCATTCTGCACGCCAGCAGCTACCATGCTACCACTACCATGCAATCACAGCCATTCAATTTTTCTTTTCTGCGCCCTGGTCCGATCTGGTATCTGGCAAGGCAACCTCAGTCTAACCTTCCTTGCTCCCCCCCTTTGGTACCAACCGGTCGGGCCTTAATGTCACACTTAGGGGTGGGCAGTGACAAGGATGGCGGTTTTACTTTTCCCTTTTCCCTTCTTTTCTCTTTTTCTTTTCGTGTTCCATCTACATAGTACTTGCTTTTCTTGGCTGTTCATTTCGTGATGAGATTTCATTACATTAATCTTTTCCAGAAAGCACGGGCATGTTAGACTGACTCGTGCACTGTCGAAATGTTCTACCGAGCATGCTCTGGAGGTGGTGGTTATGGGAGGAGAGAAGAAAAGCCACTCTTGTGACTTTGAGCAACATGGAGGGCATTCCCTAAAAGGGTCAGGCTTCGGAAACCAATCTACCTACCTGCCATCCAAGGTAGGCTGCGCTTTCAAACTCCTATAAGCAATGCATGCATGCAGCCTTTCCTCCCACCATTCCTCAAAAGTACCACCACTCCAGCCCCGTTGATTTCTCTTTCTTTTTGTCTTCCGAGGCCCAACCATGACCCTACTACTGAATGCACGGCAACCCGGCTAAGGCCACTCAATAGCCAGTCGATTGGGTTGATGGCGTCCCGTCCGCGACCCCCGGAGGGGCCGCCGTCGAGGGCATTGCTGCAATTTCGGGGGTTCAGCCCTGCTCCCATCCGCGGCCTAGTCCCGAGTGGCTGGCTACTTTACATTTAAAGAAGAAGAAAAGGAAAATTCGAAATTCAGGGTCCTTCCGAGGTTAATGAGGACAGTCCATTGCCAGGCACACATGCGCTGGAGCCTCATCTCGGCGGCAATCTCAAACACCTATTTACCTTGCTGCCCAGGCACCAGGGTTTTTCATAACATGGATTGATTGTCTACAGTACCTTGCCGCCTGCTCAGTCTCTTTCACACACACTCTCTCTCTATGTCTGTGTGTGTGTGTGTGCCAGGGCTGAGGAGGAGGAGGAGGAGGAGGGAGACCCCTAGGATGGACAAACCAAAGAAAATTGCTGGTCGTTCGGGATCTTCAGATCCAGTGTCGGCCCATCCCCGTCGTTTCGAAGATTAGGGTGTGTTCGTATGCGTGTGTCTGTCCCGGGAGCTAGTCTGCTTCTTCTCAGCTTGGCTTGTAAACTTCGGATCGCCCCGGATTTGCATAAGACTATCAGCCTGGTGCTGCTGCGCTGGTCATTGGAGGGGGGGGGGGGGGGCTTGCCAAGAGTCACGGCTCTGAAGCGACTTCAACTACACTTCTGTTGTCGCAGAGTCTTGGAGTGTTATAATCTTGATCACAAGCATTTTGAGGAAAGTGGGATTTCTCTTGGCTCTGCATTGGGTAAATCTGTACACCACAGTGCACTTTGTGTTTCTTTTCTCGCGTGGCCTTGGATCGTATTTCCGGCGTTTGGTCGCATTGACTGTACGGGGTGATCGATGGCATCATCAGGCTGGCATTACGAAGTCTTTTGGATACTTCTTTTATTTTGTCTAGTCTTCTCCTCTATGACTATCCCTAGTCTACCTAAGGTTGCTCATCCATCAAAGAAACCATTTTGTATTCCTTACCACGTCTCCATTACTATGTGCTTCCCAATGTTACATCAGCTATTTACCTTAGCATTGTATCATTGTCTTCGGCCTTGTGGTGTCACCACCTGTGCAGTCACCAGTTTCACCCTCAAAGTGTCGAGTCTCTTATTGCCAAAATATAAGGACCGAGACAAGGAATCTGTCAACCTCATCTAGGGGTGGTGATGGATTATCACATTGTATTGATGAATATTGACCAGAGCTGGAATGAAGGATCCATGGTCTTGTACTGTTGTCCAGACCTACACTCAGAAAGTGTACCAAAATAGACACCAACAGAGTGGCATGTTCCTAAGTGGTCTTATTTTCTCTTGTATTTCATCCTACTCTGTATCATCGTTCTGTATTTGAACACTTTCAACTGAAAACCATGTACTTTCTCGCATTTACCTTGTCATAACGACTAGGTTGGAGTGATTCATGTATACCAGAGACTCATGCAAGGCTTGCAGGTCACACCTTTGTTAGAGTAAGTAAGTACAAGGGTTTTGCCCTTCTATGCAAGTTACATGATCAGACATGATGCCAAGTCTGCCTCTCTGTGCCTTCCTCAGGCTATTACCATTGTCCTTCGTGGGGTGTGGGGCTCTTAATGCATTAATTCACTTTCTGATATAGCAACTTCTTGTCAAAATAATGGCAATCCTTCAACTTTGGAAGGGAAGTTCTCATCAGGATATGTCGAGTGACTAGCAGAAAACAGTTCAAGATATGCTCACTTGGGCTTCACTTTTGCCTTACTGGAGCAGATGTGACAAGACCAAAAGAGGTCACGGAGCAACTTGAACAGTTCATCTTGCTCTGGAACCATAGCACATTGTTGATAACCTGACATAATCCTAGTTCCAATGTTATGGGTGCTGAGCGAAACGTGTTGGTTTTCCTAATTTTCATTGACTCTGACAGCCTGTCTTATTGTGTTGCCTCCAACACACGCTCTCTCTTATGCCCTCCAGAGTCCCTGGCCTGAGCTTTATGTTTAATATAACCTGGAATAATAACAGACTGTCACTACGCTTTCTTTAGATCATCTAGATACATGTCGTCTTGAAACCCATTTCAAAGTTGCTCACTGTCTACACAAGCCTATTGTCCTCGCCCTGTAAACATTGAAAACTATCCTCATCAATATTCAATCCCATTTACCAGTGACTGTCAGAATATGATCCAATATCATGTAATACAGACAGCCACCATTTTCATCCAATAGCACAGACCCACTCAAACAACAGTTGATAAACAATTATAAGTGACTGAAGCCCCGCAGTGATGCCAGAGCAACTATAGTGAATCAACTGATAGATGGGCAGTGAATGTAGTCAGCTAGTGGGTAAGCATATATACCCACAGCTGCTGCTGTCTCTCCCATACTTATTGACATCTATTTTTCTGAGAGTGTGTCCCAAGCTCTCAAACACCACAAACTAACAACAACCAAATCGTCGAAAACTCCTCTTGATCAAGGTTGTCTCTTGATCAACAATCATCAGCATGCCTGACTTCCTTGATCCCCTATCCAGTCCTTCTCCTCCTCAAGAGCAGGTGAGTAGTCCCCTCTAGCTGCCTTTCAACACGCTTTTGATCACGCCCTCTCTGGATGAAGCCCCAGACGGCCACCCGCATCCCTCCCTGCATTTCCTCCTTTCTTCATCACCACAGTTCTGTCCAGTCCACATCAATGCTGTTATTGTTCATTGGCCACTGTTCTAATGTAAACATTACTTTGTTCTAACAAATACAGGCCAAGATGCCGGACCAACAGGACAAGCCCACGCCTCCAAAGCTCCCCTCTCCTCCTGCACGTCAACACGAGAACTGGTCCATCACCACACAGGCCACAGCCAAGTGTGACTTTTGCAACAACAAGAAGGCCATTCTTCAGACCTGTGGAGATTGCCACATCAACATCTGCAAGCAGTGCGTCGCTGACAACAAGCTGGAAGACGACCCCAAGCATGAATGGGACTGCAACACATACTTTGGACTATTGTATTGGTAATTACAAGCAGCAAAGCAGTCCTCCTCCTTATATTTTTGATCCAGCAGTCACTGATGGTTCTTGAAAACAGCCCGCATCCACTCTGGAAACAAGAGAAAGTCAGCCAGTCGTCGTTCACGCCACCACCAGGCGGACCACCATTGTCACCGCCCTTGCAACAGCTGTCTTCTTATCCTGGTCAGGATCAGATCTATGTTCCCAATGCCAGTGATGTGATGGATCAGAGCCAGCTTGGTCTCGATCATGCTAATATGCCGCCACCTCCTCCTGGTGTTTATGGCAGTGGTTCTGTTGCCTGTCAAAACCAACCTCTAAGTCTCAACAAAGTCAGTGTGCCACACCCCTTTTCTTTTTCCTTTCTCACCCTCCTTTTGATCCCTCGTTTCTCAGCCCGGGCACGCACACGATGTATCCACTATCCCCTTATTCCACACATTACTAACTATGTAATATCTCTTTATCTAATCCATAGCTGTATGGGCAGTACTCGCCTATGTATCAAACCCACTTTGGTCAGATGCAGACAGCCCTGCAGGGTTCCTACGCTCAAAACTTGACCCTTTCATGTCAGAATCATAATGGATCCCAGGCCCTGATGTCGAATCAGCTCAACAATAACTACACCCAGACACCCTACGGCTTCCCAGCTGCCCAGGAGTCCACTTTTCCTCCCCCCAGTCAGACCATTACGGACTATGAAGCAGCCAGAATCCTGATGTCCATGAGCCATGGCGACAATGAGGCTACCCAAGGCACACGCCCTGCTGGACGGGTCCCCTTGAGTATTTCACCTTCCCAAGCGCATGTTGCTGCCGCCTCTTCATTGCCGCCAGCACGCCTGCCCGTACAGGGACTTGGGTATCGAACTCCTGCCGCCCAGCAGGGTCCGAACATCTACCAGCGTCGTGCGCAGACTCAGTACACCTACTGGCGACCTTATCAGCCTCGGTACAGCCGCCACCAGCCAACCTCTCTTCCGGCCCAGCAGGTTTTTCGTCCATCTCCTCAGTCTCGGCACGTCTACCAGCCAACTGCTCAGCCTTCGGGCGGCGTCTCCTCGCCTCAGAATCTTGAAGAAGGTCAAGCTCCATGGCCTCATGGGACATTTCCCATGTCTCAGCGCCAGTCCCGTTTTGTATGTATCCCCCCTTCCCTTCTCCTTTCAACGACGAGATCTGACATGGCCTTTGGAAGAACTCGACATCTGATGGTTTCCCCCCTCCCCCTCCTCGGCGTATCCAGCGTGTCCAGTCTGTCGATGACGAAACAGACAACGATACTGCCAACGGTGCTCCTGGCCCAAGCCGTGGAGTCAAGCGTATCGCAACCAGCGATTCCAGTGGTCTCGCGAACATAGACGACATGAGCCCCCCCGCCACAAAGCGACGCGACGCAGTGACCAGCGCCATCACTGATACTACTACTTCTTATTCTTTCCCTTCTTCTACAGCTGCTGAAGCTGCTCCCATGCCAGCCAGCCCATCCTCTCTCAGCCCCATCAGCCCCTGCACGCTCAAAGAAAACAACGGACAGAAGCAAAAGGACAACAACAACGAGAAGCAGAAGAAGGTGACAACGATGACCAAGAAGCAGCAGAAACAGAAGCAGCAGCAGCAGCAGCAGCAGCAGCAGCAGCAGCAGCAGCAGCAGCCGCAGCCGCAGCGCAGCGTCGACGACGACGGACCCCCTCCCTACAACCGCTTCTTTCACGGCATGCACCAACACCTCCCCAGCTCCACCAGCCAGCACGACGCCAACGGCCAGCCCTTCCGCAACCCCTGGCGCGACCTGGCCACCTGGGTCGTGGCCCGCTACGGCTCGCCCGTCGACGTGCCCGAGGGCGCCCAGCACACCCCGTTCGGCGAGCGGTTCGCCATCGCCTGGGACCGACTGCGGCGCGCGTGCATGAGCGGCGCCGAGGACCAGGGCGGCCGTGTCCACCGCTTCTACCGTGATGTCGTTGGCGCGCGCGTCGAAGGCCAGCTCAGGGCGGCCGCGCGTGATGTGAAGGGTGAGGACCTCGTGAGGGAGGAGGAGATAATACTCTGATGAGGGGCTGTTTTTTTTTTTCTCCTTCCTCCTTCACCCAAACCTTCCAGTTATTTCTGTGCTGTTGTTTTCGAGGGTGGATGGGAGCTGCCAATGGTAATTGAGGAAAGTTGGTTGTCTTGTGGTCAAGGGAGGGAAAGAGAGAGACGGAAGGTCGTTGTGGGAATTAGTCGCCAGGCCAGGGTTGGGACATGCTCTGCTAAACGGTCTTGGTTGGATGATGGAAATTGTAGGATATCAGAACAAATCACAAACTTCTCTCGTCTTTTTTATTTATTTATTTTTATTTAAATTTTTTTCCTTCAACTTTTCCTCGTCGTTTCTTTCTAAGCAAGTGGTTTTCTATCATGTATAATTTCATGTTTTGTCTCTGGAGAACCTGTCGAAACCATTCTATGTCGTTACCATTTGGTTGCATTCTCTTATCGGGAAGGCCTCGGTATTCGTAGCATGATGATGATGACTCTTGACTGACAAGTTCCTGGGTATAGAGGAAAGATAACGAAAACAAATTGGGTCTGGGATTGCCATCAGACTTCCACTGAGCTGAAGACTAGGTCCATTGAATCCACAAGAGGGATATATTCAGGTAAACAAACACATCTTCCCGAGTTCCTCGTGTGGCAGGAGTTGTTGTGCGGACCCCATTGCGCTTTTGCCCCTACAAATAAGGATTTGTTTCAATGTTCCTGTTTGACAATGTCTTCCATGGTATATCCTCTCATTTACCTCTCGCCCCTCTTGATTGTTACACTTCTAGCGTTTTATAAACCCAATCCATCTATACTCTCTACGCAGCCTCTCCAGCCCCAAGCACCATCTCTACCAATTTGTCCTTCTCCGCACTACTCTGCACCAGATCCCAGAAAGCCCCAGTGCCATCAAACTCCTCCTCTTCAGCATCAGCAGCAACCTTTTTCCCATTCTCATCACCATCTCCACTGCCAACCCCGTTCCCTCCCCTTTCCGAGGCACGTTTCTCATCCCTCGCCATGCCTCTCTCGAGCAACTCCTTCGGCGTCCCCATCTCGGCCATCCGCCCCTTGTCCAGCACGAGAATCTTGTCAAAGTCCGCGACGGTGCTCAAGCGGTGTGCAATCACCAGCACCGTGCACCCTGCCGCGGCGAACGAGTCCCGCAGGCTGGATTGGATCGCCGCGTCCGTAGCCCTGTCGACGGCGGACGTGGCCTCGTCCATGATCACGATCTTGGGCCTGGTGAGCAGCGCCCGTGCGAGGCACACGAGCTGCCGCTGGCCCTGCGAGAGGTTACCGCCGCCCGTCGAAATCTCCATGGACAGGTTGTTGAAGATGTCGGTGCTGTCATTGGTGGCGGAGGACGACGACGAGGTCGCTGGCTGATCATTGGAAACCGTGGCTGTCACGATGGCTGCAGATGGGGCGATGTCCAGGCTCTCGACGTCTGGAGCCGGGGCTGCGACCCCGGCATTTGTGGGAATGCCGACAGTCTCTGTGGTGGAGACGAAGGTTTCTTCGTGTGAGGCTACAGCAGCTTGGGTGCTCGTCCTCTCAGCATCTGATGGCTGCGGCTTGGCGAGGTGTACCCGCTGGAGCGTCGTCTGTATCTCGTAGTCATCTCTGTTACCCTCCATATCCAGATTCGACCGCAGTGACCCCGAGAAGAGGAAAGGGTCCTGCGGGATGATGGCGAGTCGGCTTCGCAGATGCGTCAGCTTCAGCTCGGCTATGTCGATGTTGTCGATCCGGACAGAACCTTGCCGTGGCTTGAGGAGGCGGAAGAAGACCGACGCCAGTGTACTCTTGCCAGCGCCAGTGCGGCCGATGATACCGATGCGCTCACCAGGCTTCACAACGAAGTTGAGATTCTTCAACACGGGCGGCAAACTTTCCTTGTAGGCGACAGACAAATCCTCAACCTCAATTTTACCCTCCGCCGGCCACGCTGCTGGGGCATCCTTCCCGTCCTCAGGCTCTGTCTCGATCTCCGAGTACTCGACGACACGCTCCGTTGCGTTGAAGCTGAGCTCGATGGACGTCATGCTTTGCAGGAGTCCCGACAACCGCCAAGAATACCTCAGTGCGAAAGTCAGACTGAATCCTGCAACTGCGGCATCGACGTGCCCGCTCACAGCTACGATCGCGACGATGGTTACAAAGACGGTGCCTATCATCGAGAGCCTGAAACTCATCCACCTGCCAGACAAGTTCTGGGCCCAGCTGGCCTTGTTGGAGTTATCAATGAGGTTGAACCTGTATCGAGAGGCAGTCAGCATCAAGATGGAGGACTTCTAGCGTAGACAAACACTCACATCCGGTTCATGTAGAAATTGGTACGCTGAAAGGCCCGGACCGTTGAGAGTCCCGACAGCACGGAGCTGAACTGGTCATATATCGGGGAGTTCGAGATCGAGTTGATCCTCTTCACCTCTCGTGCGACATGGATGTAAATGCTGGCTACCCGTGCGTACATGGCCATGAGCACTATTCCGGCCAGGATCACGTAGACAGAGACGGACAGGGTTGCTGCGATGGTGAAAATGAGCGAGAAGATGCTTTGTATGAAGTTGCCAAGTTCACCAGGAAGTCGTCTGTCAACCATGAACATGTCGGTAGTGAAGCGATTCATAATCCGACCCGAGGGGTTGGTGTCGACCCAACTAAGCGGTGCCCTCAAGATGGCGTGGGTCATCCTCTCGAAGAGGATCTGTGATGTACGCAGACCGATTGCCGTCATGGTAAGAGATCGTATAACCTGGTAGGAATGTTAGTGTTTCCCGCGAATCATAGATATGGTACGAAGCAAAAATAGACTTTACAAATAAGAAACTTCTGCACACTCCATCCGACGTGCTCTCGCAGGTAGTCTGGAGGTGGACACAATGATAACGTTTGAAAGAAGGAATGTAGTGTCACTTACCATGGCGAAGACCATCAGGACATAAAACAGGACCGACATTCCGATCCAGAACGCAACCGAGTGGCCTTGAACGACGACTGCATGGAACGACGCCTTGTGAGGCATCAGCTCTGAGTAACGCACCCCCGCGTGAGGGGCCTGAATGAGGATTGACTGATGTCCATAGTGCGAGAATATGGACAGGTTGTTCTCATCCTCAGTCGCTATATTCTCTGTGAGCGCCTTGAAACTCCAGACTCGGCCGATACTCGCAAGCCCGCCAGCGATGATGAGGAGGAACACGAACGTCCAGAGCACTGGAGCTTTGCTGGCCTTGAGATACGTCTTGTACACCTTCCACTTGACGCGACCCGTCTCACGCTTCTCCTCGTCGTCTTTGGATTTGGATTTCTTCTGATCGGCAGTAGTCTCGAGCGGAACGATAGTGGTGTGACTGGAGGGGACTTGGTTCTCTTGTGAATCTGCCACCGTCTGTGTCTCACTTTCGTCCTGAATTGAAGAGCGCTTTGATCCACTGGGTGAAATTACAACCAAGTGCGAAGGATTGAGAGTCTCGGCGCTTTCCAACCTGCCTTCATGGAGACGGACGAGGTAGCTGGCTTTTGGCAAACATAGTTCCGCGTGGTGTGTGGCAAGGATCCTGGTTCGACCATCTGACAATTCTCCCGTCAAGGCCTGGTCAAGCATGGTACGACCAACATGGGCATCGACAGCGGAAAGAACGTCGTCCAGAATGAGAATGCCTGCGCGAGAGTATAGCGCTCTTGCGAGCGCCACCCGCCAGCGTTGACCACCGCTCAGGGTCACACCCTTGGGTCCAACCTCAGTCTTGTCTCCATCGACGAGAAGCTCGATATCCTTCTCCAAAGAACAGGCTACTAGGACTTTCTGATAGCGTGATTCAACAAAGGGCAGGCCGAATGTGATGTTGGCTTGTACCGTTCCTGTTTCGATCCAGGGCGTCTGAGATACGAAAGCCGTGAGCGAAGGTATGAGCCACTCCGATTCGGGTATGGGCTTCACATCGTCAAGCTCTTCTTCCAGCGGTGGGGTGGGAACTTTGACGGTCCCAGAGATAAGTTTCACCTCTCCGAGAATGGCCGCCAGAAGCAATGACTTGCCAGAACCGGTCTTGCCAGATACCACAGACAGTTTGCCCCCCGGGAACTGAAGCGAAATGTTGTGCAACATGGACCGTGCCTCGGTCGGCTCAACAGGACCTTCCTCATCTGCATCCTCTTTTTTGGGCCAAGCTACAGTCGCCTCCTCCAGTATAATGGCGTCCCCTGCGGTGGTGACGGGCTCCTTGTCAGGCTGTCTCAGGTATTTCTCCAGTCGCACACAGCTTGTCCAAGCTTCCATCATGTACACCTGAAGCAGGGGCAAGAGGGCGGTCGCTTCGTCAAGCTGGTCGAAGAGGCCGAGTGACGCGAAGATGACCGAGGCTTTGATGTTTCCACCCTGTTCCCAGGCGTACACAGACTGCGCGACACAAGCAAGGAGCAGAGGACCCATGTTCATAACGAGAATGACAGCACACATGAACAAGGATGCTTTCCAGTACTGTCCCAGCTCGTCACTTCGGCTCTGCATGATCTTGTCCTCCCAGTGTTGTTCTAGGGCCGAGTACTTGATCTGTCGCATGCCCTGAAGGGCTTCAGTAAGAAGATGAACCTTGCCATCGCGATACTTCATGAGGCCACTGTTCCGTATGGGCATTAGTAAGATGGTCATATGAAAGTACAGAGACAGGGATATCATTATAGCCAAGCATTGAGACACTCACAATTGGATCTTTGCGTATTTCTTGGATATCCAAGTATTCAGGGGAATGACCAACGCCGCCGAGGCGAGGCCCGCAAGGACGGCTTTCCAACCCAGGAGAGTCATCAAGAATCCACCTGCCAGCACAAGCTTGACCAAAGCCAAGGGGAGGTAATACTGCTTAGTGTTAGAAACCATATCGTCGAGCGCCGAGCGCTTCAGGCCAGGAATGACCATGGAACTGTTGACATAAGAACACGGCATGAGGAGTAAAAGGACTACCAACATTAAAGGAACAAAACATTGTCACTCGCCCTGAATCCAGCTTCATATGGTTGATAACAGACTGCCGAACTTCATCTTTTTTGTTTGGGCTCTTGGGTGCCCCATCTGCATCTTTCTTGTTCTGATTCTTAGCATTCGCATCCTTCTTGGAGCTGTCGCTGGCGTCGCTCTTCTCGTCCTGCGCCTGGGGAGGAGGCATCGCCGTTTCGTGCTCCTTTAATGCCTTGCTGAATACTAGCGTCTGCAGCACCGAATTCATGGGTATGACGAGATGGCTATTAGTCCACCAGCTCATTACGCTGCCGACAATGCTGTCCAGGGCCAGACTTAAGCTGAGCGCTAGAACCCACGCCAGGTTGGTCGAGAGCCCGGTCTCCGGCGTCCTCGGCTGTTCGAGGCGCTGGAGGAGATTATACATCACGTACTGCGGAAACAACGCCAAGACCGCCTCGATGAGCACCAGGCCCCACTGCTGTGCCAACTCAAACCAGTGGAACTTGAAGAGCTTCCACCACAGGCGCCCCTCGGTCTTCTTCTCATTGAACATGCGGTGGAGGTTCGAGGAACGGTTCATATAGTCGAGCTGGGGCAGGTCTTCCATCTCCAGCTGCCGCCGCCTTGAGATGTCGAAAACGAGGCTGTTCCATGAGAAGGAGATCTTGGATAGCAGCGAGACAGTGTACTGTTGATCTACCACCGTTCCTTTGAAGTAGACGTCCGGTCTCCGGGGAACAGAGCCTAGTGCGAAGAAAGCCACGAGAGCGGCGATGGCCTGGAGAAGCCAGCACAAGCCCTCAGCCAACTGATGAGAATCCTGCGAGGCATCCAGGACGTCATCGAGCCTGCTCCGGTAGATTAGTGATGCCAGTGCTAGCACCGAGCACACAACTGCGCAGTTTGCGAGTCGGTACTTGGCCTGGTAATCGCCTCTTGGAGGTAAGAAGACGCATTGGAAGAAGATGAGTCCCTGAGCCCCCAGTCAGCGAAGCTACACCAAAATTTCAGAATTTATGGCCCATCACAACCCACCCAAGCAAATACGTCTGCCCATGTGCTCAAGAAAGCAGAAAGAGCTGATCCGACCTCTTCTGACGAATCCGTCTTCTGCACCAACACAGCGGCCACGATTGCGGCAGCCAAGCCGAGGGTGGAGCTCAGCCATGCGGCGGCCCGGGAGGGCAGGTCCGAATACCCCAGGGTCGATTCTTCCGTGGCTTCTCCATCTCTGTCCTCGTAGAAACCTGTTACTGTGCCATAGCCACTGGCTTTTAGGAGCTTCGTTCTAGCGACGAGGTGTGCGGCAGCCGGGACAGTCAGGATAGCGACGAGGACGACTTCCAGTCCGACGACTGCCGCCTTCAGATCATCATGATCCGTCATCTGGCACCCAGAGGCCCGTTTCCTACTTGTCGGTGCTTTGAGGTTTTGGTGCTTCGGAAATATTTAGGCAGCACTTATTACGCGTGTGTGCAAGTGGCCAAGGATGTCAGGCAGGCAAGATAGAGAGAGCCAGCGAGAGAGAAATGTGAGAGAGAAAATCGCTGGGAGACAGGAGGATGCCTTCTTGAAGGAAAAGGGGGGATGAGGAAGTAGCGATAGTATTGCCCAAGATGGTACATGCGTTGCCTTGGGAAGCTTCAACAGTTGTCGCCTCAAGTAAGAATATTGGTCATGCGCACAAGCAAAAAAAGTGCACGGATGAACTTGGTGGTGTCGTGAGACGTCGGTGAGAGGCCTAGAGGAACACCCCCCTGTTTGGTGTGGGTTGGATTGGAGTCGGAATGCAGCCGCGTCCAAGCCAGAACGTTGAGGGTGGGTCCGGTTTCACACTGGCGAGAAGTGATTCTACTATGGTAGTGGCCCTGGAGTGCCTGGGTACGTGTATCCTTTGCGCCGGAACGTTGTGCGATACCCTATAGCCTTGTGTGCCTGTGCCCTGTAGGGAAGCCCCACCGGGGGCCAGAGGCACCATAGCAGCCGTGCCCCAGTCACATATTATGTACCCAGATGTCAGCCCTGTGGGCGGGTAATGATTCCAAACCTTAACTAGACAACTCTATTCAACAACGTCCATTTCATTTTCCAATTTTGGCTTTCTGTCCACACAAGGATGGATTGTACAGGTGCTTCATAAAAGAGTTTCAATTTTGTGGGAAACGCCTAACTTCATCGCCAAGTTATATGCTGTTTTGCTGTTGTTGATGTTGAAGATCAAATTGACCGATCATTGCCTTGCCCAACAATATTCAAAGATGCGCCCCCCCCGCCCCCCACCTCCTCATCGTCATCATATCAGCCATTCACAATAGTACCGCCGTTGCAATGAATAGTCTGGCCACTCACGCAGCTGCTGTCCGCACTCGCCAAAAACACCACACACGTCGCAATCTCACTCGGCTGCGCTGGCCTTCCCATAGGGCTCGTAAACTCCTTCTGCGCCTTGTCATTCATGGTCGCCGGGATGAGCGGCGTCCAGACGGGTCCAGGAGCAATGGCGTTGACCCGGATGCCCCGCCCAATGTACTGATTCGACAGCCCTCGGGTGAACGAGATGATAGCGCCCTTGGTAGATGTATAGTCCAACAGGTCTGGTCGGCCAATGTAGGCATTGATTGAGGCGTTGTTGATAATCGAGGCGCCACGGGACATTTGAGGGAGGAGGTATTTCGACAGGTAGAAGAAGCTGTGGATGTTGATGTTGAAGGTATGCACCCATTGGTCCCTGTGGAAGGTACAGATACTGGTTAGTCCCATGTGCATCGTGCATATAGCAAGGGGCTCAAAGAGGAGCTCTCTCTTACTCGGGCAGGTCCTTGATATCCTCCACCATCATTTGGTAAGCTGCATTGTTGAACAGGATATCAACGTGGCCCTCAAAGAGGCTGGAGACCTCCTCGGCCAGCTTTTTGCAATTCTCTTGTTTGGAAAGATCTGCCGCGAAGAGATGGCACTTGCGGCCGCGGTTCTCGACCTGCTTCTTGGTCTCCTGCGCATCCTTCTCCTCGTCGGGCAGATACGCAATCAAGGAGTCGGCCCCCTCCTCCGCAAAGAGGATCGCGGTAGCTCTCCCGATGCCCGAGTCGCCTCCCGTGATCACGGCCTTCTTGTCCTTGAGCTTACCAGCTGCGAGGTAGGGGACCTGCTCCCCCTCCTTGGGTCCGGGAAGGAAGGTCCTCTTGGGATCGGGGTCTGGCATATCATGCTCTTTTCCTGGAAACTCCTGCTTGGTCACAGGGATGCTGTGGCCTGTACATAATGTTTAGTCAGAACTTGTTTATTTCTCCTCCATTTTCTTTCAATTTCTTGCCGTGTTTTGTGGCAAAGACGGCGCTGCCCTTCCAACTTACCTGACTTGAATTGGTCTGTCATCTTGGCTGATTGGTTTGCTGTTGGCCTTTCTTGTTGCAAAGGGACAATTACAAAGCCCGGTACAGCTTCAAGTTTATAGAGTTGGTGTTGTATTTGTACAAATTCTTTTCAACCCCCTCTGCCGTCCACAGGTCAGGACTAATGTACTCTAGACCGGAGCGAAAGCTCCCTACAGCGCTCGGTCGCCTCATCCATGACGCCATGCGCGACCTCACATATGCGCATCACGACGTCATCTTTCGAAGCCGTTATAGACCCACAATTCCTTTTCTTTTCTTATTCATCATGACGTTTACCGTAGTGGGAGACGAGGACAAATAGCATTTGGGGAGTTCTTTCATGTGAAATTTGAAGTTGGCCTGCATAGGTGGTGGTAATGTAGTGTACCGCCCGAATTGGTGGTGTTCAGAGAGACTTATCGTTTTCGCTCACGGATGTGCATGTGCTGTAAATATGGCTTGGATGGTCTGTCCTATTGCACAACAAGAGAGTGAGGGCTGATCCCGACCTTCCCCGCGGCAAATCCCTTGATCGCAAGCACCGGGGATTGGTAACGATTCTATGGCGCGACTAAATATAAGCATAGTAGCTGGGGGTCGGCATCCCAACCTTCTCGGCTAGTATTCCGCTCCACGGCATGAATGCCAGGGATCGTCAAGCGCCGCACTTAATCCGACGTTGACTACATGCTAGACTGACTTCGTGATGCCAACGCCAACATGTGATGGCACTTGATGGGCCGACGTTATGTGAACAGCAACTAGCAGGCACCGTAACATCAATTCAGCAGAGTCGGGTCATGAAGTGCGTGCGGACTGTGTTTGCAGTGTATTATTGCGTTTCGAAATCCCTCCAGAGCCGCAACCGAAGGCTCTGGCCCAACCAACCGACTTTTCTCTTTCCTTGCCTTTTGGTTTTGTCTGCTCTGGACTCCTAACTACCAGAAGCTGGCGAAAAACAACGCGAAAAACCTCGAAAACCGAACAGGAAAGGCTTAGGGAATTCATAGATCGCGACAAATAAAAAGAAGAAAAAGGTCATCATCAGGGAAAACATCACCAATTTTCTCACCACCGCCCATGCGTCAAGCTCCCTCCATCCCACAACCAAGCATCTTTATTAATCACACCAAATCCGATTTCTCTTGGCCTATTAGGACCTTCGTTCGCCTATCCCGAGCCGTCCACAATTTGTAGATGTCCCTACTAGGAACCGTTGGCAGCCCCCGCCTGTTGAACAGATCCTCCAGCATGGCTGTTGACCACACCATTCCGAACCGGCGTGTCGACGATCTGCAGTTCTCCCTCGCCATCCCAGGCAACACACCCCTCATTGACAGCCTGCACCATGGTGTTGTTCAGCAATGTCCTGTCGCCCGTATGGGGGTCCCACCACCAGCCTTCCTTCATCCACATCCAGCGTAGGTATGCGCGCAACTCCTTGTCTTCGGGGAGAACCCTCATCCACTCAGGTTGGAAGGTCGGTCCGCGGCCCGCGCCCTTCCAGTCCTCAGCACGACCGAGAAGCACATCTCGGCAGAAAATGCGCCAGCTGTCGATTGCATACCGCCCGAACGTAAGATGGCCAATTTCCCAGGCCGTGCCATGGCCTCTAGCCTTGGTAGTAACGGTGGGCTCGCTGCCAGCGTGATTTGGACCTTCAGTGGTTTGAGTATCTTGTCCGAGTTCTTGCTCCGCCCCAAAGACCTCACGTGCTCTGACGTCTTTGCCGTCGCCCTTACGCGGGTAGTCCTTGACACCGTAGCGGGCGTCCTTGTCTGGCGGCTGCTCGCACCACATCCTCGCATACTTCTGGATCGCTTCGCAACGTTGGTTACATAGACCGAGTTTGCGAATCATGCCCTTGATGTCGTCCGGGTTCGCCGCAGCCAGGTCTTGTGGTGTTGGCCAGCGTTTCATCACGTCCTCAAAGACAGGAATAGACGTCTTGCCAGGGGTGCGGACCAGGAATTGAATCGCAATCAGGAGGCGGAATGGGTCTTTAGCGAGTCTCTCTTGGACGAGACCGAATTGATCGGCTGTCAATGGAGGCATGGGAAGTGCTGACACAGTGTTGCGCGGCGGCCGCTTCGTCTTCGGGCTTGGGGTCGCCGCTGTTGCGGTCTTGTCGGCATTGTCATTCTGTTTGACCGAGAGCCCGGAAAAGTATGGGGAAACATGGTTGTTGGGAGTAGGCTTTGGCTTCGTCGGAGTTTTGAGAGAAGGGGCAACGGTAGCTGGAGGTGAGATACAGGACCCATTGGCCTGAGAAACTGGATTGGCGTGATTGGCAGTCAAGATATCCATACTAGGCTGACTGAACTTCGTGCGAGGCTTCTGCTGACGATCCCCTGGAAGACCGTTTTCAGAGTCCTCCCTCTTGCGCTTCTGAGGAGACGGCTCAAGCATCTGAAAAAGCTCGCCGCTTAGCCCTTGAGTCGGCGCCTGTTGGCTGACCAATGGCCAGCCGCTTAGCTCCAGTTCCGCTGCCTGGTGATCCGTTAGTTGGTGTCCGACTTGTGCGGGGGCATGCTGGAACAAATCGAGCCCGGCTTGCTGCTGCTGGAGACCGGCGAGGTAGGTATTACCATAATCAGTGTGCATTTCCCCAAGGATGGCTTGCGGTTTGAAGAGATCACGGGTGAGTGTTGGATCAGAGTCCTGGACAGATGCCGCCGCGAGGGACATGGCGCTGTAGTGAGGGTTTGGAAAGTGTGCTTGTTGGAAGGCTGGCGCCTGTTGCAGCGGCTGTGCAGGGATTTGCCAAGAGAAGTAGGTTTGGGTTGCCTGTTGAAAGTCATCTACCGTTAGCATCTCCGGAGCTACGGTCCCTGTGGTCTGCTGCGTTGGCGATGGCCAGACTGGGCCATCGAAGGCAGGGCTCATGTCGGGTTGAGCTACAGCCACGGGGGCATGGTCTTGCAGCTCAGCTATCGCATCTGCCCCGGCGGGCGGTGCGGGGCTCACGTCGTTCTTGCCCTGGGAGTGAGTACTGTGGCTCGAGGCGTGTCGAGACAGGTCGGCTACAGCCGGTTTGGCGCTCGAGGCCGAATTCTGCTGGCTCAATGATGGCGCCACTGGGCACCCACTTGTCATGCGCAAAAAGCTCTCCGCATTAGCCGAAAGGCCAGAGACGTAACGCTCGGGATGAGCTCGTCGAATGTGCTCCTGTATCGAGCGGTATCGCTTATCGCCGAAGCAGCGCTTGGTACAGGCAGACCCATCTGGCATTGGCAGCGGACAGGTTATAGTCTCTGGTTTCTCGACCACTTCAGCTGTGTTAGTAGGATAGCTATCTTTCTCGGCAGCGGCCCGGGCGTATAAATATCACGATCGCCCACTCAAAAGGTTATGTGGTGGGGTACACTTACTGATTCGGAAGCTTGCCTCATTCGCAGGGAGAGCAGGTACAAAGTGCTCGGGGTGAGTATCACGAATATGGTCTTGAACGGTCCGATAAGGCTTCGAGCCCGTACAGCGTGTACCGCACGCAGAACCATCAGGGCGAGGAATGGGGCAAATAACACCCTCGGTGTTGACCATGGCCTGAAAGCTCTCCTCGTTCGCCGGCAATCCCGCGATGTACCGATCAGGGTGCGCACGTCGAATGTGCTCCTGTATTGAACGGTAGGGCTTGGCTCCACTGCACCGCTTTCCGCAGGGCCTTCCATCGGGGTCGTGCAGAGGGCAGATCACCTCGGCTCCTCCACCGGTGTTATTGATATTTGGCGGGGATGGTGCCTCGGACTGATTCGATGACGCCTGCGTGATGGGCGAGGGGAGGCTATTCTGTTGCTCAAAGATTGCTCTGTCTTGTCCTGGAGCCATAGTGCTGAAGTTCACATTCGCTGCCGTGAGTGCAGGCTGAGCCAAGGCAGTGGGCACGATGTAATGGTTGTCACCCTGCTGGCCGAACTTAGGAGCAATGTCATAATGCAAGTGAGCGTGGCTGCTGTGATCAGGACCTGCAGCAGGCGTGAAGGATGGACCATGCTGAAAGTTCTGGGCCTGAGGCGGAAGGAGCGTATGAAAGTGAGGCGCATTCGGGATGATATGTGAGTTCTGCTGGAGAGCCTGGGCCTGCTGGCCTTGTTGGGTGCCATCGATGCGAGCGGTGTCTGGCCGTGTGGTGTTGCTGCTCATACTGCCGTTGGTGTCCTTGCCCCCAAGATGCTGCTGCTGCTGCTGCTGTGATGGTTGTGGTTGTGATTGTGGCTTCCCTCTCATAAGCTCCGAAACGCGTGCCAATATCTTCTCGAAAGGCTCATTGCCAGCCAAGCTGCTAATCTCGTGGGCCGATTTGAGCTCGCAGCGTTCAAGCCCAGCTGCCCTGAGTTTATTGAGGAAGTTCCTCGCAATCTCATCTCCACCAGAGGGATCAAATAGGTCCTGAGGCTCGCCATTCTGCCTCTCTGGGGAAAGTGGCGCAGCTGGTATCGCCTGGTGAATTGCTTGAGCGAGGGCAGTCATAGCAGCGTCCTTGTTGTGGTGCTCCTTTTGGTCATCCAAGAGTTTGGTGAGACAAAGGTCATAAAGCCACTTGACCTCTTCCTTGGAGGCAGTGCCGATTGCCAAAAGGGATGCAAGACTGTCCTTTGCTGCCTCATCTTCGGTTGGGAGGTTGTCTGGAAGCCCTTGTGCCTGGGCATCTGGAGGACTGATGGGGGTGTCTGCCCATGGTGGTGACTTATCATCGCCTGTTGACTTCGGCGCGTCAAACGTGTCTGCGTTTTCCATATCCGCAGCGCCGATGTCGCCTCAAGCCGCCGCCTCAATGGCCCATAGCTCAAAGCAAGATCAAGTGAGAGATAAATGTAGTACTATCATGGACGGATGTTTTTGAATAAGTTTGCGGCGCTGTACCGGGGGCTCGAATGACGGTGCGGTGTTGAGGTGTCGGCTTGATTGTGGACGTGGGCATGTGTGGCATTTTAGGCATGTGTAGTAGTCGCTGTCGCACGGGCCCCTTGGCACTTTTGGTACGTACTTGGAGCGAACGATCGAAAAGTAGGCGCGTTCTGCGGCCGCCGCCTGCCAGTCAAAATGCCGCTGTCACTTCGGCTAATGAAAAGCGTGAGCCTGGAACACTGGTGCTCAACAAAAAATAAAAAAAAATAAAAATAAAAATTAAGCTACACTTTACTAGAATCGATGACAGATAATTCTAGCAACAGAAGCCGTCCACGTGTGACCAGCACCACCGCACCAAGATCGTCCACCCTCTCTATCAATGTTACGTGGACAACTGGTTGTGCATGCACAGTTTTCTTGCATTTTTTTTCCCCCTACCCAGCCTGCATGCATGTGCAACCCTGTCCATGATGCATGACAGTAACACCACAACCAACAAATTTACTGGGCTCACAACGTGCAGTGTGTGATCATTGTACAACGCAAAGCCATAGTGGCTGGTCATCATTGACGCAAAAGGAAGAAAAAAAAAAATGTTGCATTGAGACCTGAAAGTTTGATGTACACTCTACCGACCCCTCTCGGATTACTCCATTCCCCATCTCCATCCCATTTTCTCTATTCGTCGATGCGAGTGATGTAGGAAGGCTGGGAAAAGGGGGGGGGGGGGGGAGTCTAAATTCGATCATCATCATACACTCGGCGCTCTCGAGTTCAGTTCCCTACAAAGATCACGACCAGATCCCCCACCTGCCAGTCCTTTGCTTGACATTTAGTGCCGTGTGTGAGTGCTGCTTGGTGGGTCGTAGACGATCTTCCGGGTCTTGATCCAGGCCCATTTGTACTTCTTGACCCAGATGCTCAGGGCCATCAGGACAGATGTCACCATCAGCACCTGCATACCGTACTTCTTCCGCTGGTCCATTTCGGGCTCAGCAGCCCAGTTCAGGAACTCAACCACATCCTTGGCCATCTGCGACGTCGTCGCAGGGGTACCGTCTTCATACTCGACCAGACCGTCGTAGAGGACACGAGCCATGGCGATACCGGTTCCAGGGAAGTAGGGATTGAAGTTCAGACCAGCACCGACTGTAGCGCCCGCTGGAGGCTCCTCGGGGTAACCGGTCAGGAGGGAGAAGATGTAGTTGCAGCCACCGTGGCGAGCCTTCACAATCAGAGACAGATCTGGGGGCAGGGCACCGTTGTTGGCGAATCGAGCGGCCTCGTCGTTCTTGTAAGGAGCGGGCAGGTAGTCGGACAGCTTGCCCGGCCGCTTCTCGATCTCGCCCTCATCGTTGGGCTCGTTGTCGTACTCGTTCTCCTCAGCCATCGCCTTGGCCTCGTCGACGGTCAAAATGGTGCCAACCATGGCTCGGTAAGGGACTCTGCTGAGGGAGTGGCAGGACGAGCAGACTTCTTGGTAGACTTGGAAACCGCGGCGGAGCCTGTTCAGATGTGTCAGTGCGCGAGCCCTCCAAGAAAGGGAGGCCGGGATGAAACGTACGCCTGGTGGTCGAAGGTCTTGAACCACTGCTCGTGCACCCAAGGGTACTTGGTAGCGTGCAAGCTGTGTCTTGTTAGCTTCCTGCCGATCTCGATCTCATGAAGAGACTTCTTCCCCCCGGGGCTCTTATATGGCTCAGCTGGCTCGAGATGCTGCATTCCAGCTACAGTCTTTTCTATGTACTTACCCTTCCTCTGCAGGTGTCATCGCATGGGCCTCAGATCCGTAGAGGTGGTAGTACCAGGCGATGGAGCTGACGGCAGCAGCAGTCGAGGCAGCGGCGGCGATGTTGAGCCCGCGGCCCTGAGCGGCATTTGCATTGGTGGATGTGGACGACGCGGCGCGCTGAGCACAGAGACCTCCGTTAGCCGCCAGTCAAAATCGCCAAGCAATGGCTCGAACGTGTCTTCATGTTGTTGACAGCAACTGAGCTGTATAAATCTCGGTGCATTGAGCCTCTCGCCATCGTGGAGAGATGGCTGGATTGTGAGGGATCGTCTTCGTACCTTGGTGAGGTTGATGGCGCCATTTCTTGCCCCGGCGGCGGCGCGCATCGAGCGCAGGCTAGACCGGGCAAACATCTTGGGCAAGCTGCTGCTCAGCTTCGGTAGATGTCGCAAGGTGGTGATTGAGGTGGTGACGGCTCCCAATGACTGGCCGTTGGACGTCAAAGTTGCTGGAGACGGTAACGTTGGTGAGGTTCCCAGCAGCAAGCTTCCTTCAAAGTTGTTCGAATCCCGGCCAGTTCCGAGTTGCTGTTTGGGCCAATCAGAGCCCCGCTATCTCTAATTTAGCACGATGACTAAGGTGCGCGAAGGGTTTACTGCCTCAGACCGGGGTCTGCTCCACCAACCAGATTTTTAGTGAATTTTAACAAAATATCGGGGTCTGGAATAAATCGAATGAATCTGACGGTCACCAATGCACCTGTTCTGCGAACCGAGGCCTGGTGCAAGAATCATAGCAGCGCCTTCGTTGTATGTGATCAATGTAGTGTGAAGTATAAAGCAACAAGCATGGTATTTTTGGTAATCTTATCAAATGATCCTTTTTGGCAACCCATTTTCAGTTTTTGTTTTTTGGAATCCGCAACTCCATGAAGCAATAATATCATGTGCGAAATCCGGGCACCCTCACTCCCTCGTTGTCCTTCTGAGACCAATTCGGTCGAGGTCAGAGTGGAAGATGTGCGTTCTACACTGCAGCCTCCTTCGTTGCGTTCTGGGACAGCACCTCTCTTCTCTTCTTCACGGCCTGAGCGAGGACGTCAAGAACAGACTCAGTGTCTTCCCAGCCAATACAAGCATCAGTGATGCTCACACCGTACTTCAGACCCTCCTTGCCCTCCTTGGGCACCTTCTGGTTGCCTACATGCACAATCAGCATATACTCGGTGAAGAACATCGGCTATTTCAATTGACTTACCCTCATTGATGTTACTCTCGATCATGACACCCATGATGCTAGCTTCGCCCTTCTCAATCTGCTCTGCTAGCGTGGCAGCTACCTTGGGCTGGTTTTTGTGGTCCTTCAGCGAGTTGCCGTGACTGCAGTCTACCATCAGCCTGTCGCGCACGCCAGCCTTCTGCAGCGCCTCCTTCGCCTCGGCGATGCTCTTCGCGTCGTAGTTCGTTCCCTTGGTGCCACCTCTCAAGATGACGAAACAATCCTCATTGCCAACAGTACCCACAATGGCCACAACACCAGGCTTAGTGACAGATAGGAAGTGGTGGGGATGCCTGACGGCTCCTATCGCATCAATGGCAACACCCAAGGATCCGTCCGTGCCATTCTTGAAGCCGACTGGGAAAGACAGACCACTCGCCAGCTCTCGGTGTAGCTGACTCTCCGTCGTCCTAGCCCCGACAGCACCACAGGACAGCACATCAGCCAGAAACTGTGGGGATATGGTGTCTAGCATCTCGCTAGCGATGGGCATGCCCTTGGACGTCAGGTCAACAAACAACTGCCGCGACAGGCGCAGGCCCTTGTTGATGCTGAAGCTGTTGTCGATGTCCGGGTCGTTGATGAGACCCTTCCAGCCGACGGTTGTGCGGGGCTTCTCGAGGTATGAGCGCATCACGATCAGCAGCTCATCTTTGTGTTTCTCTTTCTCCTGTAGCAACAGGTCGCAGTACTCGAGCGCCGCCTTAGGGTCGTGTATCGAGCATGGCCCTATGATGACCAGCAGCCGCTGCTTCTCGTCGGTACCTTGAACCACGGAAGCGACCTCATTGCGGCTCTCAGTGACAGTGCGCTTGGATTCCTTGGTCTGGGGGATCTCGTGTTGGAGCAGGTCAGGTGGGGTGAGCGGGTTGTAGCCGCGAACTGGAAAGTGTGGCAGCGTTAGCTAGAGTGCAAAAATAACTTCGACAGTGGATGCTGTAAAAAAAACAGTTGCGTACTTCTCCAGTCTTCACTGTCGGCCTTGTTGCCAACATTCTTGTTCTCGATGTAGAAGGACTGCGAAAGAGAAGAACAAAGGCACGATTGAGTCAGCAGAAGGACCGCGAGGGGCAGCATTTCGCTGCGAATCTGTAGTGGGGCATTCGTCACCTACAGCCATTGCAAGAGTTGAGAACTTCAAACAAGGTCGATCAAATCCTGAATTGTATACAAGTTCAGTGCCTTTTGGAAGGAGACCACAGGCAGAACGAGGCAGAGGAGTAATAGTTGAATGGGTATAAACAAAAGGCCTGAAAAGAAATGTGGCACACTTTGTGAACTTTTTATGGTGTTCAAAGAGCTGGGAGGCCTGTCCATTTGACGTATGCTCATTTGAGAAGTGCGCCGCTGCACTTCGGTTCCGGCCGCTGCAGGGGGTCTGAGTCACAAGCCAAGCTCCATCCCAGGGTACTATGTACTTACTGTCCTGTACGTTCTGGCCTGCCGCACTTCTGCAGAAAGTCCTCCTTCTGAAGACTCGTCGCGCTGTCTACGATTCGGCCAAGAGAAGAATCATATCACATAATATCTCTGGGCAGGATAATATAGGTCAATTACTTTCAATTCTGTGCAAACAAGACGCAGAACATTTTCAGTCAACTTGGCTGGCATTTTCACAGCTGCATGGGCCTGCCATTTTAGCCCAGATGTAGGTTGTCTGTCTACTATATTCTACTTCTATACTCTATGCAGTATCATACAACTCTCTGGAGACACTTGTTCGTTCAGCTTCCATTGATAGTGAACGTGGTCAGACCTGACGCTACCTGATTGCCCTTGAGGAAATCCCCACCATTTACTCTAGCTTGGCCGGGTTGATAGCTTCTTTCTTGAACTCCTCAATGCCGTTGATCTTGCCGTATAGCCACTTCAAGCCCATCGTACTAATGGCACAGGTGATGCCTGACCCAACGAACAGCGCAATTCTCTGAGGTGTGGTGAGAAGCGTGAAGATAGGATATGGATATCTGTCTGAAGATCAGCTGATTGTGCCACAGTCATGTCCTTCTAGCGGAGGTTACCCACGTCTGATTGTGAGAGAAACAGTACTCGATCCACGCCCAGTACATGAATGCGATCACCGTGCTTAGCATCATTGCTCCCTGGAATTTGATGGTCCAGGGCGGGCTCAAAAGCAGCAGGTCGAGGGCTAACATGATAGCCGGCATGGCATGGAAACCAAAGTCCGGTACTGTAACTGTCAGACTATTTTCACGAGACCGGAATGCTTTGATCTAAGACTCCGAACGTCTGGGAGAAGACACCGCGTGAAGAACATGAAAACTACTTACGGAAGGGCAGTTGAAGCTCCTCAGGAACTAACAGCCTCTTGTCGATGAAGCTGATACCCCAGTACAAAATGCTTATCAGCACTTCCAATGGAGTTGAGCAGACGGATATGATATTCTTGATCTTGAACAGGCTTTGATTCAAGGTCAGGTCCGCGAGGAGCCCGAAAACCATGCTTGTAAGAGCAAGAGCCAAGCCGATGATCGTCAGGAATTGGAAGCTGCCTGGAAAACTGTACATGAGCTCTTTGTTTTCATCCATGATTCTGAGCCTTTAACAGTGGCTCATCAATGTGATTCCTGATATTGGGGGAAGGGAGGTATTACCGCCAAACTCCTGCTGTTGAGGACTAGGGTACATGACGAGCCATCGGAATGACAGGGAAAAAGAAGTTATGCCAAGAAGATGGACTATTGCAGATAGAGACCTTGAAGGCGAGGCTAGCCTCTGGAGAGGATGTGTTATATTGGCCATGTGGCGAGGCGTTATGGATGGAGTAGCTGTAAATGTCCAAGGTCAAGACGTGTGTACTAAGACACGACACAGGGCACAAGGCAGGGGACTGAAGAGAGGACCTGGTGAGCTTCTACACCCCACTGTATTCGACAATCATCAGATGGAATTGAGAAAAGAATAAAGAAAGAAAAAGAGAGAGAAAAAGGACCGTTCAAAGGTGAGATCAGGATTCGGGCAGGAAAAGAAGATTCAAACCATTTATATTACCTCAGCGTGACGTGGTGGACGGAGTCGCAGTCTTGAAACTTTCCGCTGGCCACACGGATACTGCCGAGGCCTGGTTTAACCACTAAACCACATGTTCAAGAACAAGAATACTGTTGGATCCAGCCGTTGCCATCATTTTACTTAGAACACATAGATCTAACTCATATGTATGGTCCTTCTCGTAGTGCCATAAGCATGCTTTGAGGAATTGGCCAACAAGACCAAGACAGAAAGTGCTTTTGCTGGATCCCATTGCCTTGCCTTAGACAAAATCAACAGAGCTCTTGTTCCTTGTTCCCATCCTTCATGGCACACACATCTTTACATAAACAGACCTAGAAGCTAGACTCTGAATCATATCTTCAGGGGTACATCGTTCCTAAGCTTATGACAGGGGAGCCTCTTGCCAAGGCTGGGTTCCTGCAGGCCCACACAGGTCTTATCGATAGTGGACTGCCTCGTGCCGAATATCTGAGCTTTTGGATCTTCCAAATCCTTTCGGTCGCCAAAACAGATATTCAGCAAGATTACTTTGTTTGGGGATAACACATTATCCCTAGGAATTGGCCAGCACAAATAACTGAGCTGTCTCTCGGTCTGAGCGAGCAGCGACCCTATCCTGGCCTTCGACATGGCAGACGACGATGCGAAATCGCAGAAGCGAGATCGCTCCAAGTTCGAGGATGATGGCAAGCCCACCCAGCATCTCTCCGCCGTTCCCTGATCCTAGATCGTCCCGCACTAACCGCCATTACCAACAGATGATTCCTCATCAGACGACGAGATGGGCCCGCAGCTCCCTTCCGTGGCCGTCCCCAAGAAGAAGCGCCGTGTCCTGCCCTACGAGAAGCTGTACGTGTCAGCGCTGCCCAAGTCGACCCGGTACTTCAAGTCGCTCATGCACAAGGAGCAGCTCTCCTTTGTGACTATGACACCATGCGGCACCGACTTTCTGATCACGACGTCTGCGGACGGCGTCGCCAAGTTCTGGAAGAAGGTTGCCGAGGGCATCGAGTTCGTCAAAGAGTTCCACGCTCACCAGGGCGAAATTCGTTCCGTGTCGGTCAGCGCGGACGGCCGGAGCTTTGCGACGGCTGGTGTGGACAAGACGGTCAAGATTTTTGATGTGGTTACCTTTGATCTGTTGGCCATGCTGCCTCTGGACTATACACCACGGAGTATCTGCTGGGTGCACAAGAAGGGGGCGAGCCTGCCACTGCTTGCAGTCTCGGACGAAGGCAAGCCTGTGGTGCATGTATATGATGGCAGAGGGGAGAAGCAGGAGCCGGTTCATACAATCAAGGGACTACATAGGAGCCCGATCCACCTTATGGCGTTCAATGATGCATACGACTGTGTCGTCTCGACGGACGAGGGCGGCATGGTCGAGTATTGGAGTCCCGGCGCGAACTATGAGAAGCCAGACAACGTCTTCCAGTTCAAGAGCTCGACGAATCTCTTTGAATTCAAGAAGGCAAAGTCGGTGCCGACGTCTCTCGCCATATCGCCCTCGGGACACCAGTTTGTCACAATGTCGACACCGGATCGCAAGATCAGGGTCTTCGAATTCGCGACGGGCAAGCTACACAGGACGTATGATGAGTCCATGCAGGTCATTGAGGAGATGCAGCAGGCCGGGACGGCCCTGCAGAAGCTGGACCCGGTTGAATTCGGACGGCGGCTCGCTATTGAGCGGGAGGTGGAATCCACAACGCTCCGGAACAAGGCCAACGTGATTTTCGACGAGTCTGGCCATTTCATCATCTACGGCTCCATCACAGGCATCAAGGTGCTGAACACGTACACCAACCAGGTTGTCAAGGTGTTTGGAAAGGATGAGCCATTCCGAGCTCTCAACCTGGCCATCTACCAGGGCGCACCGCAGAAGAAGGGTGTCACGACCGTCGAAATGGCCGCCTCGAGCAATCCTCTGCTGGAGGAGTCAGAAGCGAGGGATCCAATACTTTTCGCAACAGGCGTAGGAAAGGTCCGGTTCTACATGTTTACCAACGAGCAGGACATATCAAAGTCTTCGCGGGACATACAAAACGAGAGATTGACGCAGGAAAGCAAAAAGGCCAAGGTCGTGAAGGAGGAGAAGGCAGAGACGGGCACTGCAGCTGTGATACACACCACGTATGGCGATATTCACATCCGGCTGTTCTCGGACGCTGCGCCGAAAGCCGTGGAGAACTTTGTGACGCATTCGAAGCGGGGGTACTATAACAACACGATATTCCACCGTGTGATTCAGAAGTTCATGATTCAGTGTGGTGATCCGCTGGGGGACGGGACAGGTGGTGAGAGTATCTGGGGCAGGGAGTTTGAGGACGAGTTCAGCACCTTGAGGCATGACAAGCCATACACAGTCAGCATGGCGAATGCGGGGCCAAACACGAACGGGAGCCAGTTCTTCATCACCACAGAGAAGACGGTAAGTGTGTGCAGCATGGGATGATTATTTTCTTCTCCTGTTCCTTCCCCCTTTCTCCAAGGTGGATATCTGCTGACGAGAAATCTTGAATGCAGCCTTGGTTGGACAATAAGCATACCATATTTGGTCGTGCCTTTCAGGGTCTGGATGTGATACATAGAATTGAGAATGCTCGGACCCATAAGGAGCGGCCGGAGGAGGACATCAAGATCCTCAACATTGACATTATGTAGCTTCAACCGCCCAACCTGGACCATCATGCTGGCTGTGGCTGTTGGCCCAGCAGGACTATTCACCCCATTAGACATCCGAGTCACTACTGTTGCCTTGAGGACCGCCCCCGTAGTTTTTTTGAACATGGAAAGATTCGGCCTCAGGAAGAAGGAAAGAAAGAAGGACATTACAAAACACAAATTGTCCTCATAATTAATGCAACCTTGAGTGAAAGTGGAACCACATGCAGTATGCACAATAGCAGCCCATGCTTGCAGGTCTTGAAAAAGTTAAAAGAGAAGAGAAGCCACCACCACCCACGCCCAGACCCTGAATCGGCAATTAACCAAGGCTGCTGCAACACTACCCGGTGCCGGTGGTGCGGCGCCCAGTCACAATGTGGCATAGCGCTGATGACAGGGAGAAAATGTGGGTAGTGACAAGTTCCATGCTTAGCCTTATCAGCGGCCCCCCAAACAAGGCCCCTCGCTCCTCCTCTGCTTTGGCTTGTTAGTTTAGTCTCCATCGACACGGACACACTCCCCTCTAGACGATCCCGTATCTGGCATGTTCTCCAAGCCTAAAGTCCATCTCTCTCTCTCTCCCTCCAAGAAGGTATCCTCTCCTTGGGTCATGACTTTATGTTGTCTGCCTTGAACGGTCGGACCGTTGCGCCGAGGTTGGTTTACCTCTTACGACTCGGAACGCAGAGCAGGCACGACACACGCACACACTGAGAGACGAGACCACAGCAGTCGTCCCCACTCACCCACTGCTTCTTGCTACAACCCCTCGTGCTGATACCACCTTGACAATTTGAGAGTGGATTATGGGGGTGTCCATCATCAACGCCGCTCTTATTGGCCCGTCAACGACTGAGGAACGACAACAGGCCAGAGTGCACAGGAACAGAAGAGGGCAGAGGCGATGCCTCGACCCAAGAAGCCTGGTGCGCCGGAACCGAAGAAGAGGAGCAGAAATGGGTGCTGGTAAGCAAGCTATGAAAAGAGAGAGGGGGGGGGGGGAACAGAGGCTCTTATTTCGTCCCAAGGTTATGGCAAGACATTATACTAACTCCCAGATAGGAATTGTAAGGCGAGAAAGGTAAAGTGCGATGAGGCACGCCCGGTCTGCGTCAAGTAAGTTGACTCTTCTCTTTTCTCTGCCTTTCTCTCTTTCGACTGCCCCAGTGACTGCCTCTATTGTCTTTGAGTGAAGGCTTGAAGGGGGGAAGGGGGGCCGTCTTGATCACCAGTTTGGGAACCTTTAGTGCTCCACATCATCGGCACACTCTCATCCCCGCCGTCCATTACCCCTGCGGCGTGGGCAAAAGAAGACAAAAATTGAAAATAAGAAGGGAGAAGAAAAAACAAAAGAATGTCTTCCTGACCACCCAATGTCATTAGCTGCCAGAGGACCCGTGAGGTGTGCGACTATAGCATTCGTCTGAACTGGGAGGGGCGAAAGAAGAAGAACCCAGGCTTCGAGACCATCTTGTTCCAGACGCCGTCAGAATCATCATCAAGCTCGTATCGTCCACATGCCCGCCGGCCATCCGATACCAAGAGCAGCTCGTCTGCGGCCACGACATTACGGCTGCCAGAAGATCACATCTCGCCCTCCGCAATTAGCCCTAAAGCTGGAGAGAAGCTCCTGGTCCCACGCTCGGAGCCTCACGCTGCGGCCCCGGTTCAGCCCAACAACTTCAGGCCGGTGGTTTTCACTGGGCAGCCGCCTTACTCAGCCAGAGAAGATGGGGAGCCTCCGCCCCTATGTTCCCCTGATCTTGCCAGTCCGATCTTCTCGCAACGTCGAACCCGGCCCAGCCCGGCACACGGAGCCTATGTCGCGCTACCAGAGGCCGGCCAGACCGGAGCAGCACGTCCACCACCCAACAAGCGACTGAGATACAGCGTCGACCTCGATGCGCCCCGTCCGCTTTCGCAGATCTCGCCTCCAGTCTCAAATAACGATCCCAGCTCCGAAGCCGCGACGCCGAGGCTCTTCTCGTCGAGTACCGCCATCGTCCCAGCAGCCGGCTCTATGGATTCGCCCTTGACGCCGGCGGCATCCTCTCCCTACAGCGAGGATGGGGTCCTGCGCGCACCTGGGTCGATACAGACGTCGTTGGCTTCACCAGACATGCACCGAATGTCTGTCAGCTCTCTCTTGTCCGGACCCCCGGGCCCGGCTGGTCCAGTGCACTATGCACCACCATCACAGAGGACGGTGAACGCAAGAGAGAATTTATGCCTGTCAGATGTCACCACGTACTATGGACTCGACCCCGGCTTCCCAGATCTAGATCTAGGGCCAAATGACGATGCCCATGGGATCATGGACCTGCAGCTGGGCAATACACAGTCCCGGAGCGAACATAAGGACCCCTCTTCTGCTGCTGCTGCTGCTGCTGCTGCTCAGGACGGCACGAGGAAAGAGTCAAAGGGTCCAAAGGGATTTTACGAACAACCTCTGCAGGTGCGCATACCTCGAGACCTGGAGCCATTACCGGCCAAGCTGCTCGAGAACCCGATGAACCTGCTCTACTTCCATCACTTTATGAACCATACAGCAAAAGCCCTTGTCCCACACGACGACGAGCAGTCCAACCCCTACAGGCACGTTCTTCCGCAGATGGCTGTCAAAAACGACAAATTGCTTAGTATCATGCTTGCATATGCAGGTAAGTCTTGATTGCTCTTTCTTCTCGATCTCTCTCTCTCTCTCTCTCTCTCTGCTGACACCACTTTAGCATCCCACCGTGCCCATCTCCTTGGCCATCCGGAACCAGCTACACGTATTGCCCACTGGATGCAAGACATCTTTCCCGCCCTCAGAAACGCACTGAACGATCCTTCTCAGTCCATATCCAACGAGAACATCGCGACGGGAATCATGCTTGCCTCGCTGGAGATCGTCAGCCCCACAGCCTTTGGCGTGGCGATCCCCTGGCAGCGCCACCTTGGCCTCGCTCGGGAATTGATCAACTCGCGGAACGACGGCATCCGGTGGACACGAGAGTGGAAGGAGGAAGACCAGGTGCGGGCCTTCTTGTGGAGCTGGTTTGCATATCTGGACATCCTGGGCACGCTCAGCGGCGGGCGGGGCCAGAGCTCGACGGCGTGGATCCTGGACTACCAGCAGGACGAGTATGAGGAGGAATGGGACGAGATCGACTGCATCATGGGCGTGACGACGCGCGGGGTGTATTTCCTGGCCCAGGTCGCCGACCTGGTCAAGGAGTGCGATATCTTACGCGCAGGCGACTCCCGCCACTCCGGGGCTGCGGCCCTCAGGGGCGGCGATACATGGCAGCCGCCCAACGAGATTCTGCACCGGGCATGGGCCCTCGAGGCGAAGGCGACGGACTCCATGTCCAGGTCACCACAGCCGTGCAAGCACCTCCACGCGTCAGGTAGCGTCGCGCGCTGGGAGCGTCACGAGATCACAGCGCTGAGCGAGGCATTCCACTGGGCGGGGCTGGTGCACCTGCACCGGCGGGTGCTGGAGCGCCCGTCGAGCCACGCCGACGTGCAGGCGGCCGTGCTCAAGATCCACGCATGTCTTGATATCGTGCCCTATGGAGGGAACGCCGAGGCGAGCATGCTATTCCCGCTGTTTACGGCGGCGTGCGAGACGGTCGGCGAGGAACGACGGCATCTCGTCCGGGAGAGGATGGACAGCCTGAAGCGGACCGGCTTCTTGCAGGTCGAGAGGGCGAGGGCGGTGGTGGAGCAGGTGTGGGAGACGGGGCAGTCTTGGGAGTCCCTACTGACTACCGAGTTCATCGGGTGAATGATGATGTGTGATGCAGTGACCTGATTTTGGTGATGTTTCTCTGATTTTGGAAAGGGGTGTTGGGGGGGGGGGGGGGTAGTTCTTTGGAAGAGCCTGAGCGTGCAAGCGTCCCAGTTGAGAAGAGAGGAGGCATGATTAACAACAAAGCGAGATCGCGAATGCAAGGAAAATTCGCAGCGAAAAGCTGTTACCCCGTCACCATCATCAGCTGTGCGGAATATGTGTTGCTCCAGGTCCTCCTGTGTTACTTGGCACACGCTGGTCACACTTTATCATACGTCCTCGTGTGTCCTCGTCGTACTAGGTTCACACGGGCGTCTCTGGTACAGTAAATTCATACTTGTTGGTGACAGAGGACGGGTTTTTGAACACTCAGCATGAGCTGGTGCCTTCTGGTTCTTCTAACATTTTGCAGGGCCTGACGCCTTGGTCCGAATGCATGTTTATTCTTCCCCACAGAGAATCTGATGGAATGGAGAAAGACGAACATGAAGCACAAGCTCTGGCATACACAGCCTCCCCCACCTCGAGGTACCATCAGATTCTCCTCTTCCTCCTTGGCCACCCAAGAGATCAAGCTCAGCCTTTCCTCGTCCAGCTAGCCTGTCTCCCATCACCGCCATCCACCACCACCTTCAGATCAAGCTGTGCTGCTGTTGGTTCCGTAGGGTGTATCATACCTCTGAGGCCGATCCCCCACATCCATCATCTTGAGTGTAATCTCAACAATAAACGGCGAGAAGCGGCCGCTCTCCCTGCAGTAAGCAGCGACAAGATCGTTCCCATTCGTGACGCCGCCTATTTTGAATACATCAGTCAACATCAGAACTTTTTCTCTCTCGCTCAGACCTCTCACACCCTCGCCCTCACCCTCACTCTTCTTCGTCTTCCTACATCCATATCGAAAAGAAGAAGAAGAAGAAAAAGTCAAGGGGTGGCTGGAAGCATCGAAAAGACTTACCACTGCTCCAAAAGTTCCCATCCCTGGTCCAGCGCAGCTCATGGCCGACCCACTGCACCTCCTCGCCGAACCGGGCCTTGAGAGCCCCTTGCATGGCGGCGGGCCCACATGCTTTCTTACCGGTGGTGGTGGTGCCGTTGGTGGTGGTCAACAGGCCTGCGGCGCCGCAGACAAACATACCGGTGCAGACGCTGAGGATGTCGACTTGAGGGGTGTCGGCGTGTGCTTTGAGCCAGGCCAGTAGTTCTTTGGCCCCTGTGTACTCGGGATTGGTCGGTCAGTTGACACGATCTGGAGAAGGGACAGGATATTCCGGGGGGCCGAGAGAAGGGGGGGGGGGGGTCTTCTTCTCTACTGTGGAGGAGGTAAAAGAAGAAGAAGAATAGAGTGGGGGAGAGAGAAAGAGAAAGGGGTCATTACATTGCTCTCGAGGGTCAGGCCCCGGCACAAGCACAATATCCAGCTTCCCCGGCGCAACATCCGCGTCCGAGAAGTGGTGCGTGAGCTGGATCTTCATCCCCGCGGTGAGGGCCACGACGGACCCGGCCGGGGAGGTGCCGATGTAGGAGATGGTCACGTCGGGGGCGTGAGCCAGGATGTCGGGCGAGGGGAGGAGGGAGACTATTCCTTGGAGGTAGTTGTGGGACAGGGCGCCGAAGATGTCGACACAGGCGGTATCGCTGGTTTTCGGGAAAAAGAAGGTGTCAGTTGGTGGTTTTGTGGGGTTTACCCTTGGGGTGTTGAAGGGAGAGGGACAAGGAAAAAGTGAGAGAAAAAGGAAGCGATTGTGGGTAGAGGAGGAGGGAGAAGGAGGGATATATTGTTGTGACTTGGACGTACAGGAGCTGGGCTCCCATTCCCACCTCTGGCGGGGACGGGAAGAAGACGCCGACGTGAAGGGACTTGGTTGGGGCCATGATTGATAGTTTCGTTTGCGCGTGTTCTGTTGAGAATCTCTGTATGTATTGGACTTGAAGCTAGAAGAAATGATAGAGTATTGAGCAGGTTGCAATGCATGCAAGCAATCATGACTCTTCAATGGCAGACGGACACTGGACCTCTTATACATCCTTCCCTCCGTGCCCCTTCTCCTGTTTGTGATGATGCGCCGACCGCCATCTTTACTCCGAACACCAATGTACAAGAAACAAACTCTCCATTGTGGGAATCTAGAAAACCCCTCCGTTGCCTCGCGGAGCGTAAAACGCTGGACTGTGACTGGAGGAAGCCCAGCCACAACCTCCGTGCCTCGTCGGGACTTACACACACGCCTGCACAAGGGCAACTGCTGCTGCCTCCCAACTTACCCTCTTATTGAGTACTAACTCACTTACTTGTTCACTCATCCATTTCTTGAGCATAAACCAGAACAGGAAATAGAAAGAGAGAGAAAAAGATTCTCCCAGTCTGGTTTGATAAAACGTGTGAATACAATCCAAAGAGGAAGCACACCGTCTCCGTTCTTGTTTTCCTGTGTTCGGCCCGAGCCCGAGATCAACAGGGAGGTGAGCTCGACCCGAGCCAGGCCGTATTTTCTTTTTCTCTTTTCGAATACTCTTAAAGTGATCGTAAAGTCTTCCAAGTTATATCATAGTATGGCACATTTACCATAATAGAAAAAGAAAAGACCCCGTACTGCCAGGTGGGGAGACGCAAGGAGGTAACTTGGGTGCACTCGATAGCTTGCGTATGTACATGTAGTTAAGGAGACCGAAACACGAGCCACCAATTTCGACCCCTTTCAAAATACTACTAACTATTCCCAAGTGTGAGCATACAATATTACATAAGTACGTATGCCATCTGTTGAATATCTACTTTACTGTATCGGAGTATGTACGCATATTCAATATCGCTGTGCAGCCAAAGATCGGCGCTCCCACAGCAGCCCACACACCCCACACCTCATCCGAGTATCTCGTTCAATCTACAGACCATGCCACGCCTCCTCCTCCTCCTTTCCTCGTACATAACACATAACATACGTACACACACACACACGAACCATAAAACTACCCTGATGGCATCCAGCAAGGAACAATGTGTATCGAGTGGGGACCAACCCCCCTTCTTCTAACTCTTCTTCCCCACGAAAGTGCCACAACTGACGCGCGTCGCATGTTTTATTCCCAGCTTTTTTTTTTCTCTTTTTTCTTACTTTGCTTTTTCAATTTCATTTTCCTTTTCTTCTCGCCCCAGCGATAAACCCGGCACGTTACGCAGCGAGGCGCAATGCCTTTTCTTTCTCAGGCCAAGTTTTGGGTTCTGAAGCCCAAAGATGCGTGTACAGTTTGGCGAGGGCTTCAGCAGACTGGATATTAGGTATCATGCTGGGGCTGCCCTTCCCTCTCCCCGGCCCCTGGCTGAGGCCTTTTTTCTTGCTTTTCGATTCCCCTCCCTTTTTGTCTTCTCTCCTTTGTGGCCCTTCCCTAGCGGTTGGACTCTTGGCCGGGAGTTTTCACATTCAATATTCTTTCAGTTGGAGAGGGTGGGGGGTTCACAACAAGTAAGTCATTTGGTTCTCTTGAATCCCCATTCATGCTTCGTCCATCCAATGAGATATCGTCATTGGTCTTCAACTACCTCGGGCCTCAGTAATAGTGGCCACCATATGCTGGAGCTTGCGTTTTATCACTTTCTCTGTTTCCTTGTCACACTCTCTCTGCTCGATCATGTTTGATACACAAAGCATTCCATACAATATGTCATATCTCTGTCCTGATGGTAAGGAGGAGCCATCCACTTGTCCCAAGGTCTCATCCCATGGTGGTGAAAGCTCCTGTAATTGGTCCTTCGTCGAGAGGCCACACACTTGTCTCTCCCCCAAGAGCGTCCCACAAAGTTGTCCCATCAGAGTTGGTACATGATAAAATTAGATATTATCGGGCTAGATTCGCATTATCCCTGGCGTCCTCCATTGCCAAAAGCCCCTCCACCTCCCTTTCGTGAGGCGGCCGCCAGGTTTGTCTGACTGCCCGGCCGAGCTAGCCCTCCCCTCAGGCCCGGGGCCAGTCTTTGTCGTGGTCCATTCCCATGTCGTGCAGCGAGGGTGGTTTGTCCGTAGAAACCCTCCATTGTGTTGGTGTACGAGACCCAATTGTCCTTTCCCTTCTTTCTGCTTCTTCTTCTTCTTTCTCTCTCTTTGCCATGTAGCGAACGTAATGCGGCGAAGCAGGATACCTCTTTTCCATACCGTTCGCCGCGATTGCTCCTGAAACTCCGGATAAGAACCCCAAAAGCTGTAGTTGGTCCCCATTTCTAGATGCCAAATGCCGATGCCATGCCATGCAAATCAACATCATGCCCTCTATTTACACACGTTCTTCAGAAAAAGGTGTCCGCTCCAAAAAAAGAATCTCCATAGTCTCCAAAGGTGTGCACAGAATCGAACGTATACGAGGCGGATTGGGGCGGAGAGGGGGCGCGAGCCTCTCCTTTTTGTCTGGGTCGAGACGTGGGCAAAGCTTCCAGTCCAGTCGAAGGGCAAGTCTTTAAAACGAAAATAAAAAGGGTCGTTGAAATATCGTAAGCTAAAAGAAGCGAAGGGACGGGGTTTCTTTGTTGTTGTTTTCATCTTTTTGTTCGTGAAAAGGTCATTATGCCAGCGCGGCTGCTGTTGTCACAGATCGCGATCTTTGTCTGGTCACCTTCTTGCTGACTGTGTAGACCAGGTCCAGGGTCCAGAAATGGCAGATCTGTGCCTGGGCACACGGGATGGCGCCAAACAGAGGAGCCACCATGGGGACCATGCAGTAATCCTTCCAGTTCTTGGTAATGTTCCGGTGGGAGAAGTTCATGCCCTTGGCCAGGCCGGCGTCGTTCATCTCCTTCTCACGGCTCTGCACGCAGATCTTGTGGAAGCCCTCGTACAGGAACAGGAGGAAGGCCACCTCCATGAAACCAGCAGTCCTGAGGATGTTGCAGATGTCAAAGATCCAGTTGACGCCGTGGACATCAGCGTTGCCCTCGGTGACCCACACGTACAGGGTGGAGGCAACAATGAGAATCGTGGTCTGCAGGGGGAGGAAGTGCGCCTCAAAGAGCCGGTGGAACAGGTAGAAGATGCGCTCCCAATTGGGCTCCTTGAGGGTATCATGCGTGACATCGGAGAAGACGCCGTTCTCGACAGGTGGCGCCTCGGGGTCCGTCTGGCTGTCGGGAACGTAGATGTCTGTGGTGTCATTGAGAGCGCTGTGGATGGGGCGGAACGACCTCGAAGTGTGCTTCCTATCCTGCCAGAGCTCGACGACCTTGCGCATAGCATAGCCCGAGTCGAGGGCACCCCACATGTGTCGAATCGCCTGCTTGTATCGGGCCTTGACGTCGGCAATCACGCCCTTGTAGCCGCCGCCGGCACCGCCAGTGACGTTGCTCTGGCTGACAGGGCTGATAATGGTCCGCACGGTCAGGTTGCCGTTCAGCGCAAAGAAACACTTCAGGTACATGTGCAAGTCCTCGCCAATGGCCTCGGGGTCGCAGTCCCACCCACCAACACGGTCAACCAGCTCGAGAGGGACGGAATAGACTGAAGTCGGGGGAGCGATAGTAGAGCCGCGGTAGAGTCCAGACAAGCCGGCGTTGGCCCAGAGGATATCAGCGACGCGAACGAGGGCCGGGACACTGTGCGCATTGCGGTCAAAGATGATTGGTGCAGCGTACAGGGTCGTGTTGGCGGTGTCAGGGTAGGACAGGTGCATGGACGTGAGGTGGGCAAAGTAGTTGGAGGAGAGGTGGCTGTCAGCTGCAGGCACAGGATGTTAGTGTCTCATGTACGGTAGGAGCATGCAGCAATTGGAAACACAAAGCGCGGCAGAACGTTCAAGCTCTCGGGAGGGAGCACGTACCATCAATACCCGTGACAATCACATCTTTGCGGGCTTCCAGAGAGTACTTCTCGCTCAGCTTGCGGACGGCCCAAGCCATGTTGCTACCCTTGCCAGCGCTTTCGCCAGGAATGTTGGCCGGGTGAATCGTGAAATCCATAGACCTGAATTTCTTGATGAACTCTTGGACAAGACCCATGGCTTTCAGCTCGACGTTATTCTCGCGCACTTCCATTGCCAGGTAGACCTGCGTCGATCAATGTCAGCTTTCCATTGGTGATGCAAGAATGCCGAAGCACGATGTGAAGCGGGGGAGGGGGTCAAGAGGTTTGATGCTAGGCAAAGGGAGTAAGTGGTAGGGGTGGGGGAGAGGCGTTCCAGACATGCGGGCCTGCAGATCGTGCCGCGTCCTTGCAAGTCGCGATAATGGGCTAAGCCAAGAGCTGGCAACTCACATCGTAGCTATTGCGAGCCTGGGGGTGGCTGCCCAAGACCTCCAACGTCTCCCTCAGCGTATCCAGCTCCTCCTTGTAGTTTGGAATGACGATAGCGTGAACGATATTGTCGGGCTCGGCATCGCCGTCGGTGTACAGCTCGGCCTCGAAGTCGCCAGCCTCGCTACTGGTAGAGGAGCCGCCGTGAGAGGAGGTCAGAGTCTCGGAGCTGGAGAGAGAGGTCGAAGAGCCGCGGCGACGGTGGGCAAACTTGAGGTTCTGGAGAGCCTTGCTGTGGGCAGCATTTCTCATGGTCCTCGTTATCTCCCAAAGAGCATAGCAGGATCGCAGGGGGAACATGGCGACGAGAATGTGGATGAGGAGGGTGTAGTAGGCGAAGACAACCGTCCAGATGCCCGCACCCTGCGAGGGGGTGGTAGGGTCCATGGGTGCTGCGGCAAAGCTATCTCTCTGCTGGTGATACTTGAAGATGTCGTGGTAGGAGACGGCGGCCTCCTTGGAGATAACCCAGTAAGAGAGGGCCACCGTGGCAAGCATGGCCAGCCCGCCCGAGCGGCGAGTGCACCATGCAAAAAGGGACATATTGACGATGTGGTGACCTTGCCGATGTGTATGTGTGTGAGAGAGTGAGAGAGAAGGGCCAAGCTTGACGGCGGCGGAGGATAAGAAAAGGGAAGAAGAAGACGAGGCGGGAAATAGGGGAGGGCGGGCGCGCGCGTCTCGTTGAGGTTCCCTTCCTGTTGGGGGGGGGGGGGTTGAGGGAGGAGGACGTCGGGAGTCGGGTCAGTGGTTTGTCAAGTACAGAGAAGTGAACTGGACAGTCGTATTATGGATGCGTGTTTCCAAAGCTGAAGAAAAAATATGCGAGAGGTGAGAAGAGAGGACGCTCGCTCGGCCCTTTGGGGGGGGGTCTAGGTGTGGAAATTGTATGGAGAAATTTGGAAGAAATGAGGACAAGAAGCGAGGTCCAGGTTCCAAGGATTGAAGAGTGCCACACAGTCTAGCGACTGGTTCCCGTTGGATGGCCAGGTTAAAGTCCTGTGGTGCTGGGCAGTGTTACGATTCGGTTGCGGTACAGCGCGGTTTGCAGCGAACTGCGGCTGTGGGTAAGGTAGCCTAGGTAGCGTGGATGCAGTGGGTTCAGATAGTCTGCGCGCACACACATACGCACATCCACACACACACACACACACACACACAGACTTGTGGTCGAGCTGGCTGAAGTGGCTGGGGCGAGAAACGACGACCTCTTGCTGGTGATGACGAGGTTGGTTCAGTGGACGCGCCCTTTCAAGTCTAGCGAAGAATGAAGGTTCGAGTTCCGTTCCTGGGTGCTCCTGAGAGATTGCTCGTTCGTTCCTGAACCTGTTTCCTGTGGGATTAATGTCGAAGGAGAGACTGACAGAAAGGTTGAGAGTTGGTGGTGTAAAATCAGGACGAAAGGAACGAAGTCTTTTCTTCTTCCTCTCTATTTTTTCTCCTTCCTTAATTTTTTCTCCCTATGGGGGCGAGGGCGATTTTCAGCGGCGGATTGTTCCTTACTCATGTTGGAAATAAAGGAGGGAGCAGGCACTAGGCTCTCTAGGCACTCTCTAGGCACTGAGCCAGTGGGCCACCAGGGCTGCACCACAGGTGGGAGGACGCACTGCCAGAGTACTACTAGCCTGGGCAGTGTAGCAGTACAGCAGGTTTTGGGGGCATGTACCTAACCAGTACGGGCTAATTCCAGTGCTGTCACTACGTACTTACTTAGCCAAGTAGCGCAGTGATTAGGGACAGGGGCTGCAACCGCCTCAAGGGGGGGGAAGGACGATGAAGGCTTATGCGCTTTAGGCTCTAGCGCAGCACATGGGTAAGGGACGTGCTTCAGCCAGTGGCAGTGAAATTGTAACTAAATGCAACAGGATTGATTGATGATTGGGTGCCTCGGGTCCTGTCTGTCAGAAATTACGGCTACACAGTACATATTAAGGTAAATACTAGCTGGGGGGGAGGAGGCGGGGGAAAGAAAAATGGACATTCTCCCATGCCGTCAGAAAACAAGGAGAGGCCGACGGATGAGGACCACTGAAAAATGACATCGTCACAGGTAGTTTGTACCATTGCTTCCTACGTACTATGTAAACGTAGAGTAGCAGGAAAAAAAGGTCTGCGAAGCTGGGGCCTCCAAGCGATCATGTCCACGGTTAGGAGCCAACCGCGGGCAAGGCAGCCCATCTCATTTTAAAATCCTGCCACGCCTATCTATTTGGGGGACAGCAACTTTTACGTAGTACAACCTGGAATACTTGGCAAGACTTGCGGGGAGGAGACAAGTGGACCCTTTGGGGGGGGGGCTGATCTGACATAAGAAGTCTGTAAGGAGTAAATTACTGCATATGCAGATAATCACTGATTCATATGCAATTACCCAGCACGTCCCCTGGTACGTAGAAGATACCGGCCTCCCTATTTTCTCTACTTCCTAGTTTCTCATTCCGCAGACGGTTGCGGCAACATCTCAATTTAAAAGATTCCAGAAGTCGTGACACCAGCTGTGGTGTTGACAAGTGACTATGGCTGGCCAAAATAAGGAAGAAAAAATGATGAAAAAAGGGAAAATCAAGTCACAAGCATCCTTGCGCGAATTTGCTGTACGTTTGCATCATGGCACATGAAGTAGGGTTGCGAAGCAGGCAGGACGTCTAGATCGCGTGGGTATCAGGACAATTTTGCGACAGCCGCCACAAAAGGTACCACAATAGTCTCAATGTACTCGCCCCGTCACATCAATCACATTTTTGCATCCTCTCTCTCCCTCACACACCTCGGGAGGAGGCCAGTGTGAACGACTGCGTGTTTGAGATCTCGTCTCTTATGTTCGTCTCATCTTTGATTTGTTCTCACAAAAAGAGCAGCATCTTGTCAGCCCCTCCTGTCACAGGTGTCAGTTGTCGGACGTTGTACCGAGGTTGCAGTGTAGTTAGCTATTTATGCAGTGTACCTTGTACAGTGGTATGTCGATGCAGTCAGCAGCGAAATGAGGATGGGTTTGTTCTAAATCTATCCAACTCTGCATGTCAGATTTTCGAATCAGATTGGCTGCTTCAGATCCTTTACCTCCTCCTGCTCCTCCTGCTCCTCCTCCGCCATCATCATCGCTCACTACCGACATATTATTTCTTTAGTACCATGATGGAAGTAGTGCTGAGTGAATCAACTGCATCAGCCGCAAGCCGGGAACAGCCAAACCCGTTTCAGGATTGTGTCTCCCCCCCACCTTTCTTGCCTTGGGAACCTCAGTCAGAATTACTACCATGGCATCCAGAGTATTATGTTGTATCAATTGTTTGGGACCTCAACCAGGCTGGCACATTGTACGATAGCAGTCGTGTCTTTCCCTTATGCATATGCAAGTACACCCTTCCTCACCCTACCCCCCTCCCAGACCAGAGGGCACATGGTCAACGTGACCCAAGGACGGAGCCATGGGACTGCTGCTGCAGCACAATAGAGATAAACAGCCGAGATAAGACTCGAGTGACGTCGCAGTCTATACTCCGATTGCCGCTGCAACCACACAACAGCAGCTTGTAAGTAGTTAGACAAGCTGCAGTGCGCAAAGGTCAACCAGGCATAAGTCTGTACCGAGAGGATCGCGCACTCGGTAATCTGGCTGTGGCCATTCAATGGACACAGTACTGTATGATTGAATCACCAGTTCTTTTGGTGTTTTTCTCCTTCGTTCCTTTTTTCTCTTGCGCTTCAAGCTTTCAAATAGAGAATGCACAGAGTGCTACAATTTACTTGAAAGTACGCACTATGCTATCGGTTTGGTGGCAGATCCGGGGCTATCTTTTTAACACACGTCGGGTCTCTCTTTCCGTTTCATCCAATGGCTGGGGAGGGAGCCTCGCTATCTAGAGAAGGTCCCTGGAGAAATAAAATCACGTCACCGTTACTTCCTCTCCCTCCTAACGTCCTACAGAAAGTGCATCAGCCTCAAGCCCTGCATCGGCAACTAGTACCAGGCGAAACATTAAATACGATAGCAACAACGAACATGAGGAACGGGCCATGATCCGCCCGTCTTCCGGAAACGAGTGGCTCGAGAGCTTCCTTCTGGCCCTTGTCTAACTTTCTATTCATTTTTAGCTTCTACTGCTGTACCATAGTACTTCCCTTCTCCCTGTTGCGTTGAGAGGAGGGCACTCCATCCTCACACCGACTGTGCGGCCGCTTTATTTCCCTCATGATACTGTTGGACACCCTAGCACACCGCGGTCTTGTCCGCTGTGCCTTGCATGGGGAGTGCTTGTCTCACAAGATGGGTCCTTGACATGGGAGGACGGGTCTTGGCCCACACAAGTGGTCCATGGTGGCACCTCTTTTTCTTATTGTTTTCCCACCCGCTTCTTTCCAGGACAACCTGCCATCGCTGCATCTTCGACATCATATCCTTCACCCATGTCCCATCTCAATTGCCCAGAGAGTTGTGGTCCACAGCAGACTGGAGAAGGGGACGAAAAGGGACGCGCAAGAAGGTTGCTGATTCCAGTGCAAATCATCATCTGCCTTACCAGGCAACTCCTCCGCCAGGGACCAATCCAACATGAGCGCTCCACAGTCCTTCAGCGCACTGAAGGTCAATGGTCTGGGAGCAGAAACAATAAAATAAGCCGCCAAGCTGGGGACCTTTTTTCTTTTTGCGCCTAGCATCAGCATCAGCACCAGCAAACACCCATCAGCACCAGCCTCAAAGGAACGAGCCTATCGTGACGATCGCTGTGCGAATGAGAATATGCGCTGCCGGGACCCACTACCGTCGTAGTATGGAACCGTCAACGGCTGGGAACATGGACCCTTGGACTCGAATTAACTCAACATTGGCAACGCACCATCTGTGCTCTCCCCTCCTTCCCCCCCACAAGTACCATAGTACAGAACCATTGTCCACCAAACTTGCTTAGGGAGACGCGGATTGAGCGCGGGTCCGCCTTGCCAGATGTGGTCCACATATCCCTCCAGGACACACCCTCTGGAAATGAGGATTGCTGCACTGTGACAGAGAGATGCCAGGGAGTCTGAAATGAGAGTGTGTGAAAGAGTGGGACCGCAGGATGTCCCCTACCCAGCTGGACGAGGAGGAGGAGGAGCCAAGGCTTTTCCCAAGACCTTGCGCGAGCCCGTGCAGGCGCCTTTCTCTTGATCTGCCAATGAGCCCATCTCGGGGACCGGGGTCAGCCATGCCGACACCGATCCGCAATCTCGGCTGTGCAAAGCCTGGCGGGATGTTGCTCTCGACAACCTCGCGCTTGGCTGGCTTGTCAGATCAGCCTCGCTCTCTCTCCCCTCCAACGCATCGGCAGTGGCTCTGCGGCCCTAGGAGAGCTGGTCGCAGAGTGAGCCGTGTATATCGATGACGAGCGGCAGCCCGCAGGCCCTTCTGGTATGAGGAGCGCAGCTCGGCACAGGGCATTGATTGTCTGGCTGTTTGTGGCTGATCTCATCTTGTGAATAGTGGCGCAAGCGCACCAGTCCAGCATCCACGCGGAATCAGAGCACCAATCACCCCGTCGCCGTCAGCACAGGTGTGATCAGGGCCCGCTTGCGTGCGGACTAGGTTTCACTACGCAAGGTTCCAAGAACGGTGCCGAGCTGGCGAGCAACCGTTCCGCTCTGGCTCAAGGAAAAGACTTGGCCACAGGGCCAAGCCATGGACAGCGCTATTGTTTCGCATGATGCGCGATCTCGACCGTCTGTCACGCCAACCTGCATTGCCATCAGACGTCCGTCTGCCCTCTGCGAAGTCTGCTTGGGTCGCTGGCCCAGTCCCCAAATCCCCGACTGGGCACCTCGCTAAGTAAAGTGCAATCTAGCTAAGTCTGCAGTAGTACTGCCTAGGATCACAAATTTGCCTCCCAATTATCTATTCATTTCAGGGCTTTTTATGGCCGAAGGAAGGGCACGAGAAAAGAAAGGAAAGGTGAGGTCAATTTTCTCAGATGAGCCAAGCAAAGTCAACCACTGCAATCGCTCTCACGATCCTGGTCGCCTGCATGGGCGGCTGGGTTGCTCTTCGCGTGCAACGCGTTGAGGCAACATTGTCTCGTAACCTACACGCGACATGTGCCTATTTTCCCCATTAGGCCTGTCTCACCCCCCGTGGCGTCCAATTCATCCTTCGATTCATTATACTGCTGCTACATGCCCTTCTCTTTGGTCTCTCATTGATAAGCTCGGCCAGGATTGTTTTGATTAAGTGTGTCATCGAAAATTTTCCGTCGTCAGACGCATTGTCTGGGCCCACGCCGCCTTATTTCCCGCAGGATATCGTGAGACTGGAAATTGCTTCTGCTCGTCGAGCCGAGGAAGCCATTCCCATGGCACAGATACAGCACTGATCCACCTGGCGCTGGCTCGACCTGGCTTATTGTTTTGTCTACAATAGCAGCCCCCTCTCGACCCATTGTCATGGGAGACGCCGAGGCTTTTTGGGATCCGGGCTACCGGATACTACGAGCGGACCGTCGACTGACCCCTAAGGGGCACGGACACAGCACGCGACAACCACAAAGCTTCACAGCAGCCGACGAAGTGACCTCAGCTCGGCGGATCAATGGGCTGACGGCAACCGGAGGAACATGCGACCACCTCCAGCGAACGGCCCAGGCCGACTCGCAGCGGTGTAGACAGACCCTGCCTGCTCTACCCTTCGGAGTGGATGGGCTTTACTTCTTAGAACGTTCCTCACTTGTATCGGATCGATCCAACACATACCGATCCGGTACCGTTCGTCAGCCTTGGATTGATTTGGACGAGGCTGGACGGGCGAGGCTGAACCATCAATGCCATACTGCTGGATATCATTGGCTGGGCACCGACTTGCGGGGATAGTATTGCACTGTTTGTGAATTTCCACAGTGGTCCATCAATCTTCAGGACGTACAAGCCATGGACTACGCCACACGCTTATTTTGATTGCTCTATTCAATATCTCATTTGCCTGCCACCGTCGCCTCCCTATACACGTGCTCGCCATATGGTATCTAGCAAGTGCTAGTGCTCTTTCACCCTGCAATATCCAGATCTTCTCAGGAGCCCTCACTCCCTCCTTGTCTGAGGTGGCCATGTGTGGCCTGCCGCCATCTCGATACCTGTTCTTCTGAGCCCGATGTTTCCCCCAAATGCAAGGCAGGCTGGACTTGGTGCCTACCTGTCAGAAGGCTCTCGTAGCCACGGTCGTGTTCCGGGGCTCAAACAACCGTCGTAGACGCACACAGTCCTCTGAATTGGGGCTCACGTCGTCAAGATGGGCGATGCGTATCACAGGGGCTAGGCCATGGACGGGAACCCAACTCTGACGAGCGTACTGATGAGGGTTTGAAGGTGGTAGGTCCAGTGGCTCCTACTTGCGCCTCCTTTCTTGGGGGTGGTCATTGGTCAGTGTTGACGGCCTGGCTCGTGAGTTCTTCCATGCAGCCAGACAGTACCGTGGTCTTGAGGTCCATGCCCAAGGTCACTTGTCGTGGCCGTGTGAACGAGCTGTCATGCATTCAGAACATGCTGTATCCGAATTGCTCAGCCTCTTCACAAGTGGAAGCGTGCAGTAATTCATCGACACATAAAGGCGCTTCCGAGTCTCTTGCGATATCACATCATCATGCTGCTGGCGAAGTAGCATCATTGCAGACCTTTCTTCCCCCAAGCACAAGACAGATTGCGTTATTGTGTGTCGACAGATCCCCAGAAAGTACCTTAACACCACAGCTCCGGAGTGGACAGAGCCAGGACATGCCCTTGCGCTTGATCAAACCTCACCGGCTGCTTGAAGGCCTCGAGGCTCACGTCTTGTGGAAGCACAATGGTCCTCGTTGATAGTCCATCAGCTTGGCAGGGGACAACAGGGAAAGAATGTATGATAACGAGCTCCCTGCCTCATCACATTGAATGTCAAGGTTGTGCCTCATCCACTTCTCACTATACTTTCGCAGCTTCCGTGCCTAATCGTCTCGTACAGCTCAACAACACAATCTGCTAAGTTCTATGTTTGAAGCAATCAGGAGCTCGAGCAGAGACGTAGCAGCTGATAATGGCCCAACCACATGCCCATTTCAGCAAGTATCAGTGGAACAGTATAATCTCGGCCATTCTTGTGGTCCTCGCTGCAGAGATGCAAGAGGTCGTCTGCTTGAGAGCAATCTTGAGTGAGTGGCCCCTATTCCGAGTGATGGAGTTACTGGAGCTGCTCCAAGTCTGATTACTCTACTCTCTCGGTCAAGAGCAGACTCGAGAAGATTCACGCTTTCAATAGGAACCTGCTCCATGGCGGGAGCGTGGTCTCGCTTTGAGAGGACAAGAAAACACTCCCCTTCCCTTCCTTGCTCTTTTCTTTCCGGTTTGGCTGGATTCCAGGTGTTACTGCACCAGACAGTTAGGCAGCCAAATCAGATTGACGAATACTGAGATGTATCTATCTATCTATCTATATATATATATATATGTGTGTGTGTGTGTGTGTGTGTATATCATGTGAGTCCGACCATCTACGCAGCTATACAGGCCATAGTCATTTCCATTCAGCTGAGAGTGGACACTTCTTTCAGCTGTCGCATGTACATATATATATATATATATATATATACACATGTATGCATGCTTTATATGGGATAAAGCCTTGATCTTTATTTCTGAACCATATCGATTATGCATATTTAGGCCTTCGCATGAACCCTTTTCAGCCTGCGTCAGTCTAGAAGCCTTGACTCCGGCAATGTGAGAGTCTCTTGCGTAAGTATTCAACGTTAACATGACCTCATAAAACCAGGGCTCAGCGGAAGAAAAGGATCTACGGTGAAATCTGCAGTCACATAGCAAGTTCATAAGACAACAATGATCCGATTAGGAACATGTACAATTTCCAGTCTTATATGTCGGGTCTGTCATATATACAACCGAATCAAAAGACAGGCTGCACAAAGGCCAACCTCGCCTCATCATCACACAACCAAGATTTTCCCCTTCTTCCCTTCCCTAGATGGGACTTGAACTTTGTTCTCCCAGCGCTCAAAGAGACCAAAAAAAAAAACCAAAAAAACCAACAACAACAACAAATCCCCTCTTTACTCGACAGAGATGGAGTAGGCAGAGGTGGAGAAGACGGCATCAGTACCGGTGAAGGGCTCGGTGCCGGCCTGCAGCTGGGTGATGTACAGGGAGTCCGAGACGCCCTCGTCCTCGACCAGGTAGTTGAAGAAGTCCATCATGTCGCCGGACCAGTCCTCGATCTCGCTGCTGGCGACGAAGGAGTAGACGGTGGTGTCGCCGTTGGGGCCCGAGTACAGGGACCAGGTGTAGCCGCCGATCTCAGGGGTGGCGATGGCAGAGCCGGAGGACGAGATGGGGCCGGCGCCGCCGAGGGCCGCGAGCCAGACCATGATCTCGTAGCTGTTGGTGCCGCCTGAGGTGGGGGCCAGCCAGAGGTCGTAGGAGACGTCGGCGACGAGGTCGGAGCCAGTGTAGCTGAGAGAGAGTTAGTTTTCAGTTGTTGTTTTTTTTGGGGGGGGGGGGCATATATATAATCATATATCATATATATATATATAAGGGCTCTCTGTGTGAAACGTACCTCCATGTCCAGCTGGATGGGATAGAGCTGACAGCGCTCAGCTGCTTGTTGACGCTCATCAGGCCGACGTTGGAGTACGACTTGACATTGTAGGAACCACCAGCCCAGGTCCAGGAGGTGGACCAGACGGCGACATCATCCGAGACAGAGGTGACGGTGGTGCACTGGGAGCCCGAGGTGGCCTCGGCGGCGCCCCAGTTGTTCTGGTAGATGGTGTATGGGGACTCGTCCCACTCGTAGAAGGAGTCGCAGCTCTCGTCGCGGCGGGCGAGAGGGGAGGCGGCGGAGGTGGCCGGGGCGGCGAGGACGCTGGTCGCGGCCAGCACGAGAGAGGCGATCTGAGCGGTGCACTTCATCTTGGGGGATTGATCAGGAGTACTGAGGAGGTGTTTTTTTTTTTTTTTTTGGTGTGTGGGTGAGAGAGAAGGAGGAGGAAGTTGACTTGGTGTAGAATAAGGGTATAGAAGAAATAATACAGAGAATGTCGACGGCACCAAAGGCTGCGAGAAAAAGAATGAAAGATACTTGATGTAAATTTGTAAGACTGGGAAGGGGAAGAACTGGTTTTGATACCGGATGACCAGCAGAAAAAGAAGAACAGAGAAGATGTCTTCCAAGAGAAGCTCATTTATATATATATATATCTCCTACCGCAGCCAAGAATTCTCCACAATACACATACCATAGCAACAACATATCATACTATGTACAATGTAGTAGTCGTAGCAGTATTTCCTTTCGCCTGGCTCAATTTGAACCCACTCTTTGCTCCCCCTGAATGAATGAGGCTTCGGCGCAACAGGCGACCCCCCGGAATGGGTATCGAGCGAGGATGATATCCCATGTTTGGCCATCTTGTTTCAAGGAGCCAGTCCATGGCAATCAAAAGATGATCCACCAATCCCGTCCTGAACGGAGCCGAATGCCCCGTATTTTTGGGTAATGGAAAAGGAAGGGAGAGGAAAAGGAAAAGGAAAATAACAAAGGTAGGTAAAGAAATCCCGAAGTAGTCCACAACTTCTCCGAGTCGAAGCGAGAGGCGAGTACGAAAAATAAAGGAGGTTCAAGGATGGAGCCAAAGGAGGAGGCGGCGTGCGTTCGTCGTCATCGTTTTGAAGGAAGTAACACCCATCCTGCATTGGTATGGGTCGATGCCGGGCGGCTTGACCAGTTCAACGACCGACGTGCCATCGTCATAGTAGAAAGGAGAATTGAGGCTCTTATTCTTTTCTTCCTTCCTTTTGAAAGAGAATCTCGGCTCGGCAGATACTACCGAGCCAATCTGCCGTGCAGCAAAAAAGCAGGCCGCTTTGGTCACGCGTCATGTAGCTGTGTGTACATTTTTTGTTTCGTCTTTTCTGATCTCAGTTTCCCCATAAACTTCTTGTTGCTTTGTTTTGGCGATCATGAAGATCAGGAAACGTCCCAAGGTTATCCAGCTGCCACTACTATGATCTGCACAGCATGTGCCCAGCCAGGATAAGAAAAACCACTGCATCGTTCATCCTAGCCTGCCCCTCTTCGTCTGAAATTTTGGAATGAGAAAACGAGGGAAGAGGACCAAGAGAAAAAGGGGGGGCCCCGGGGTCCAGAATCAACTCTCAAATCTTAAGACAACCTAGAGGGGTGTTAATTTATACTTTGTTCGAGACAGGACTGAGCGAGGAGGCATTCATGCTGTTCCCAAAAAGAACTTGTCTGCCCACCGTCTTGTCTCCTCTTGGGTTGCTCCCCCCTCCCCCCCCAGTAAGCTGTAAGCTGTGTGTGTCCACGCGAACATCCTTTAGCTGTATGGCGACGGAAGTTGACATGGAGGAAGGAGAGGAGCTTAAGAGAATGGATTTGGATATTCTTCACCTCCTTCTCCCTTTCACCCCAAATAAAACACGAAAATAAAGATAAAAGTCCTCAAGAACAGCGACATGATCCTCTCATTCCGTCGCTTTCATACATGGTAGCATAAGAAACCTTATTATTTCTCCCCATCTCTCTTTTTGCTCCAGCGGCGGCGCAAAAATCCGAAACACGATCGACGCACATTATTTCCGCAAGAGGAGGCTCTGCGGGACAGGCTCTCCCCCTTGCAACGTCGTCACCCTGGATGCTGTGCCCATTCTCGGATCCTAGGCCGGAGGATGGTCTACCGGACACGAGGTTCCACCCCTTCTCCCTCCTCGGTTACGCCAAAAAAAAAAAGAAAAAAAAGCTGGGGTGCAGGTGATGGAGTAAGTATGTAACCGTACCGCAGGGCAGCTATGTCATCCGGAGCAGGCCCTTTGAGATTTGACTCACGTGTGTGTTCGAGGAGGGGGGGGGGGGGAGATATACTACAAGGCCACGAATGAACTTGGCGGTTTATTGAACATCAGAATGTAGTGACTACGTATTATGTATGTCTCCTTTTCGCCCACGTGGGCATGCAGTAATGACATTCCAGATTCCGAACCAGGCCATGGTGGTACTGGGATGTCTGCTTTGGAGCTGTTCCTCCAGGGGCCGGAATGGGCCGTCCATCAGGACGGGTTTCCAAGGCTCATTTGCTGTGAGCTCCTCCTTGATCCGAGGCGAAATCCCACGAGATGCTTAGTTACGAGTGTAGGCTTGGGTACATGACTGCTTCCTAGCAGCCAAATCTTCCGCTGCCGAGATGCTTCTCGGAGATCATATCAGGTATCAGTGTTCTAATGCAGCGAGAGGCACCAAAGGCCGCGCGGACAGAGAATTCACGAGGGACGAAGTTCGACAACAACAGGTAATATTCGAAAAGTCATACAGAGCCAAAGTGCGGCAAGGGGATATCATGAAGATGTACCAAAAATCCCTCCTCCGTTCCCTCCACATCCTGGGGCAACAAACCCTCGAACATCCCAACCGAAGGGGGCAATAATAGAAGAAAAAAGTAGAATCCAGCCAGAGATTACTGACTCTGACTGGCGAACGTGCCATCTCGTCTATGCAATCCGCTGCTATACCATGCCACACAACCAGCGCTCTCATGCCGTCTATGTTCAAGTTGCTTAATCAGATCCAACAATACATAAATGTGAACGTGTATGTGTGTATTTCTCCTTTGCCCCTCCAATTAGATCGTAGAACTCTTGGTCATCTTCCACCTCAACATCGTGGTATTAACGCAGAGACGAACAAAGAACATCATTTATACATTCTTTGCGTCCTCGTCTTCGCCAGTCGACCTGGGCTCCGCCGACGCCCTCGCCTCCACGTTGGCGATGGCGCTCTGCAGGGCGCTCGTGAGATCCACGTGGAAGAGCGGCCTGTTGGCGCTGTGCACGGCAACCGCCCTGCGCTGTCTGAGCCTCGAGCCCTGGTCCCTTGTCGCTGTCTTCTTGATCTCGTCCTCCTGCGAGCTGCCGCTCGCGCTCCCCGTTTCGGCCACGTTGATGTGGTCCGGGTTGTGCAGGCCCTCCTCGACCTTGCCCGGGTGCTCACGCTCGCGCAGGGTCTTCTCGTTGAGCTCGGCCTCGGCCTGCGCCGCGGGGCTGTCCTCGCCGCCCATTTCAGCCACGCTGAAGATGCTCTGCCACCTGTGGTGCTGGCCGTCGGGCCGCTCATTGGGATAGCCAAAGCCAGCAGCCACGAGGGCCCGTTTCGCCCAGCGGTTGTTGATGCAGGCGATGTGCCAGTCGACAAAGTCGGGAGCCGCGTACCGGTCGAGCTGGTTGCGGACATCGATCAGGGCTTGCACCGAGGTCACGTCGACAAAGTTGACGGCAGAGAAGTCGAGGATAATTGCCTGCACGGTCGGTAGGTCCTCGTGGCCCGCGTTGAGGTTGATCTCGCCCCGGAGAGCCTTCTTCAGGGCACGCTTCGACGGGCCTGGGTCATTCCATGGACGGTCACCGGGACGTGGATACGAGTTGAGGCTCGTGCGGCGGGTCTGCTCGAAGATGCACTCCACCATGTATTCCAATGTGTGGTTGGCATTGGGGTAGTTGAAACCCTCGGAAAAGCGGTAGATGAAGATACCGGGGTAAGGCTGCGAGAGGGCAATGGCTGGGTTGGAGCCGTCACCGTGGTTGATGGGGAGGTAGACGTTGCGCGACAGAGGATGGTCGATGTGGCTGGTGGGGTTCGAGCTCGAGCTGCCGAACGTGCCGTACTCGCCAAGGCGCTGGTCCGCGTCCTTGCCGAGGACTGAGCTGCCCTGGACCGAGTTGACCTTGACACGCCCGAGGAAGCGACCGCGGCTGCGGAGGATGCGGTACAGGAGCATGGCCGCTGATATGCAGATAGTGGTGTAAATACCGTCCTCGATGCTGCTGAAGACAGTGACGAGCACACCTGCGAAGAAGATGATGACCTCGAAGGGCGAGACGCGCCAGAACTGGTAGACGGTGTCGGGAGGCGTGACTAAGTCACCGACAGCGTGGATAATGACGGCGGACAGAGAAGCCGATGGAATGTAGAAGAAAACGGCAGGCAGCGCGTAGATGGCCAGCAGGACCACGACGGCCGAGATAACACCGGCGAAAGGTGTCCGCACGCCGGCCCTTGCCTTGATGGCTGTGCGGCTAAAGGAACCGGTAGCAGGATATGCACCCAGGAAGGGTCCCAGAAGGTTGGCAATACCGATGGCCACCATCTCCTGCGACGGGTTGATCGTGTAGTTGTTGACTCGACCGAAGGACTTGGAAATGGCAATGTGCTCGATCAAGAGGACAATAACTGTCGATGGGAGGTATTCAACCAAGGCGCTGACCAGAGACTTGGTCATGAGCGGAGCACCGGCGTTCTGGAAGCCTATATTTATATTATAACAGTAATTAGCGAATGTTCCCACAAACAAAACCAGCTGGGGCCGGCTATTGAGAAAGAGAACTCACCTCTCGGGACGGTTCCCAGAATCTTGAACTTGGGATCCGAACGGTGGTGCATGTTGACGAGCCAGCTGATCATAGTGTACAGAAGGATAACGAAGACCGTGCGCAGAGTCGAGATGAAGAACAGTAGCTTCTGATGCTTGGGGTTCTTCTTGGCCAGCCACTGGCATGCATGCCGGATAGCATACAGCAGGACAAGGGCCGTGAGACCCATAGCAGAGTCAAGCGTGGCGGTGGGAAGATACTTGAGTGTGTTGATCATCACACGGTATGTGGGGTCGCGGGTCGTCCATGGCTTTGGGAACGTCTCGCCCAGCAGAGTGGGCACCTGACCGACCAAGATGTTTATAGCCGAGCCTGTCATGTAGGCCGAGAGCGAGACCAGGGGAATCATGTCGACAATCCAGCCAATGCGGATGAAGCCGATGAAAAATACGATCGCGCCAGCCAGGATAGCCAAGCAAGATGCAATCTGGTATGCCTCGACGTCCGGGAACTGGTCCTGTAGCGCAAGAACGATGTTGCCCGTGAGTTGAGACATGACAGCGACGGGCTGTGGCGATCAGTCAGCTATCGTCTGTGTGTGTATTGTGTGTGTGTGCGTGTAGGAACAAGGAATGGAAAACGCTCTGGGAGGGCATGCTTACTCCGATAGTGATATCCTTGGAGGTCGCGAAGAACCAATAGATCAAGACGCCCATGAAGGAGGAGTACAGTCCGAACTCGACGGGGAGCTCAGCAAGTTTGGCATATCCCATACCCTGGGGAACAACCACAGCCCCGATCGTGATACCTATTGGAATTCTATGGTGAGTAACCCTTGCGTGGCACATACACGAAAGCCCTCGGACTCGAGAGGAAACTCACCAGCAACCATATCACCAGCGAGCCAGATAAAATTGTATTTTCCAATCCAGGACAGGAAGGGGAACAAGGACTTGACATAGTTTGCCACGCCCTTGCCTGTGGGCGAAATGTCATGAAAGTATTCAGAAACGGTCACGGGCTGTTCAACGAACACCGCCGTGCCGGACTCGGGCTCTTCCCTCGAAACCTCGTCCAGATAGGGCTCATTCTCCTGGAGCTTGATGTTGAAGAGCTTGGCCAGCCCATGGCCGATCTTGGTGCGCGTGGTTGCCATGCTGTTGACGGCCGGCGCACCGTGCGAAGGAGGAGAGGGCTAAGGTAAGAAGAAATAGATAGCAGAGCAAAGACTGAGCCCGGTCTATATCTGCTTGATGATGGTACCCTTCAAGACGAAAGAAGGAGGAGGAAGGTGGGACAAAGGGTCCGTAGACTAACGGATGACAGCCGTGATATATATCTCGCTTAGGCAGGGTCCGTCTCAAACGCCGTAAGAGCCCAATCCGGGGAGGGTGGCCGCGGAGGTAGGGCCGTAGAAGGGCCAGGCACGGTGAAAGTCAAGCCCTATACGCCGTGCTGGGTCCGTGACTTGTGATTTAGGTTCCTCGACGCCGGGCAAGCCACAGGATCCACGCAACAACAGGCGACAGAGGCTAAAGATGAATACTAATGCCACGTGCTAAACCTCGAGGACCGCACGGCTGGGACCAGATGTTCAGCTGAATCTGGAGAGGTGCGATCGGTGGTCGGGACTAAGAAGTAAATTGCACACCTTGGGGGTGGCGGTGGCCGGCTGACGGGTGAAGGCGTCCAGAAGCACTTTGGGTGTAACTAATAGATGGCGAGGATTGTTGGATGATGGCGCAATTGCATCTAGATAAGGCCCAGGTCCAATGGCCCAGAGTTCAGCTCCTCGGTCTGAGCCTAGGGAAGAGCGGGAAGAAGAAAAAAAAAAAAAAAGGTTGGCAGCCGTCTGTGGTGAATAGGATAGACCAATAAGAAGAAAAATAAGAAGAAAAAGAGCACGTTGGGCTGGGTTGAGAGGTCTCAGTCAAGAGATCCAGGCCGAACTGGTGAGGCTAGTAAGTAAAGAGTTGACGCTGAGTCGGTAGGATAGTACTAATGGTATCGTGGCGTGGCGTGGGGTCTTTTTTTAGTCCACCAGGGGGAAGAAGGCAGGGCCGATGAGCTGAAGGGGAAAAAAAAAAAAAAAAAGTCGGCGGCGACTGCCCGGAGATGGATCCCAACTTGTATCCTTCGTCCTTCGTCCTGGACTTGGCTCGAGAGTCGAGACTCGCGGAGAAAAGGCAAAAAGGTATTGAGTGGATGGCGAAAGAGATTATCATTGGGATCGGGGGGGGGGAGGGGCAGCAGGTAGAAAAGAGACAAGCCAACATAAACCTTGCCCCAGACGATAAATGACATTAAGCGATATCCAGCGTGAGGGATGAAAAAAAAAAAAAAAGGAGGCATGGGTTATTAGTTTGGGAGTGACTGATGTACATAGTACGCTCCTCCAGGAAAGGAGTGGGCTACTCATCCTGGGAGAAAAAGTCGATGGGTTACGATTGCGTGATTCACACTTTGCCCAAACAAGCCTCGTTGAGAAAGGCTTGTGGGAAGGCTCGACAGGGACTCTGGGGGGGAACAGGCAGGGGAAGACGAAAGACGGTGACGATTGGATACCGAAAAGCACGGCGAAGAACGATCCACCTCATAGAGAATTGCGTACGCACCCATGGCAGATCGACTCTCGCCGCAGTCAGTCCGCCACCGGTAGCCGCACCGCAGCGGGCACTTAGTGGCAGATCTGCCGTGGCACTTACAGTAAGGAGATTTGGTGGGTCGGGACGCGACAAGTTGCAGTGAATATCCATTATCCAGAGACAAACTTCCCTGCATTTGGTAATAAAAAAAAAACGCATACTTGCTCATTTTGTTGTACTATGTATATCTACGCCCGAAACAGCTCGACGGCTGTTTCGAAACTTTCCCCCTCGAGATCTGGGTATGACCCAGGTAGGGCTGAGATACTGGGTACTTGTTTCGAGGTTGCATAGCAGAGAGGAAAGACCCGAGACCACCCTATCTTTTGGGTTTTCCTGCTTGGCTCATAGAGGCAGAAGGCCGGAAGAGGAAGGTCTCCCAGAGAGATGAGAACTCTGATAAAGCCACCTCCCACCACCAGGGAGGAGGGGGCGAATTCCGTCGGCAACCGCTGTGCAGGTCATCAGACAGACAGAGAACTCTCTGGTCGTCTACTCTACAATAGTAGGTTTGGTAGTATGAAATAGTGACCACACTGCCAGTCAGCTTCGTGCGTATCCACGAGGAAGCCAAGGAGCTAGAGAGCGCCTCAACTCTTCCCCTTCATCCCGTTGCCCCCATAGTGGCATGGTGGTGACCTGGGTACGATGGCCAAAAAAAAAAAAAAAAAAAAAAAGCCATCCTCGCAAGCTTGACACAGAATCTGAACATGTCGTTTCTGCTATGGGATGCTGTAAGTCTTGCAATACTATAGTATACCTCAGTAGTCGGCAGACCCGCAGCCCTGGGCCCTGTGGGGGACGGCTTCAGGGATGAGGGCAAAGTAGCCAATCATGCGGTTTCACGGGAAATGATGTGATCGTCCTGCAGTTGATACCATCGTCCTCCGAGGAAACGCTAGAGTAGCCCCATTCATGCGACGCCATCTTGGTATGGCCGGGCGCCTGGAATGTTTTCTTGCGGCTGAGGAAGAGGCTAGATTCCTATTAGCGGTCACGATGGTATCTCGAGCTGAAATGTATCTCTCAGGTGCGCATGGCATCGTGGGGATATGTCGTAGTGCAAAGAATGGCCTCTTTCTGGTTTGATGATCAGCTTCTACTTTTCCATATTCAAGACTGTGCTGCGTGGGGGGCGGGGGCCTGTTCCATGTGCTTAGTGGTCTTTGTGGTCTTCATTTGTCACTGAAATCAAACACCAACGTCACGACCGCGTCGTCTCTGTTGAATGCGATCCAGTCTGTGACGGAACTGACCCCATTGAACCTCGGAGATCGAAATAGGCAGTGTGGATCCGGGTGAGGTCACCGACGGGTGTCGCCTCGAAAGGGGGATCCAGAACTTCCTTTGGGTCCATAGTAGTGCCAGTACGCGCACGTAGTTTTGGTATTACACCGAACAATATGCAGACAGTAGCGATGCTGACATAAGCAGAAACAATGTAGATGGCGGGTGCTTGAGACGCTGCTATCATTGTGTGTACCAATGCGAGAGGCGATGCTGCAGACATGGGATGCAAACATGAACACACGAGCTGGCAGGCAAGTGGCAAGGTGGTGACAAGGCCAAGAAGTTGAGATTATGATGGCCTCCCAGGCAGGTTGAAATGCAATCTGGTGGAGGTTTCCTACTGCGGTCAACTTGTCTTCTTATCCGGCGATGTTTCTCAACTGCATCCGTCAGTCAGACGGTGCATGTCTCAAAGCACGTTGTTGAAGCCATTGCTTGGTGCCCCCACCCCCTTCGTCTCTCTTTTTTCTCTCTCTGTCTTCTTTCCCTCCTTCAATGTTGCAGATAGATTCAGACATTAGATTGATTGAGAGAGGAGGACAGAAAGGAGAGGGATAGGTGGATGGGCGAGTGAGTGAGGAGGGAGTGAGTTAGCTTACTGTTGTTGAGTCTCAGAGGAAGATTATCCATGCACTTTTACTGCTATGCACACCATGTTCTTACAAAAACATAGCAGTGTTGACTACTGTACATCAAACAGCGGCCTGCCTGCGAGGCTAAGGAAAACCAAGCTCGACAAAACGCGTCCACAAACGCGGTTGGGCTGAAGCAGGAGGAACCTAGCCAACCGAACCAGCCAACCACCTTTCATCACTAACAGCCAGCTCCCAGCCCCTCGCGTCTCCGGACCTGTGACCTCAGCTTTCTTGATCCTTCCCCTCTTTCTCTTAGAGATTCAATTTAGTCCATCCATTCATCCATCAATGTGTCTTGTCGTGAGCTCTGTCAATTGTGGATGAAAATTGTATGTAACCTGGCTCGACCTGTCTATACAGAGGGAAAAAGAAAGGAGAGAGAACGAGCCCCTGTCCTTTGTTTGTGGAATCGAGGACTCATGCTCTGAGTGGGTGTGGCTCCAACCCCCTGGCAAATCGCCCTGCAGCCTCTGCAGCAGCCCCAGCAGCAGCAGCAGCAGCTGCAACCTCGTAACAACCTCCTACTTACTGCCTGAGCAGGCCTCTACAATCACAACCCACCACATCGGCGAGAGCTTCCTGCAAGGCCCACGACAGAATCGATAAGAGAGGGGGAAAAGGAGAAGGAAGAAGGAAAAGAAGGGAAGGGGAAGAAAAAAGACAGAAGGAGAAGAATACTTCGTCGTCTGCAATCTATACAGACAGCCTGCACGTGTGCAAGCACGCACGCACCTACGCACGCACGTACCAGGTGGTTACTGTACTACACTGCACTGGCACCGTGCAGCGCACCACCGTCTTCTCGAAGATGCCGAGTCCCCTCAGAGAGCCAATCCCCAGGCTTCCTCCGCCGACAACCTCGTCGGCTCCATCTGCACCAACCACCCAGTCCCCATCAGTGCTCCACCCCCCATCCTCACCAGTACCTGCTGCTACTACTGCTGGTGGCGGCACTGGTCCTGGCGCTGGCACTGGCACTGGTCCTGGCAGGGCAAGTCCTCAGCGAACCCTGCGCAAACTGGCATCTGCTCACAATCTGGGCCACGGATCTGCTGCGAGCCTCAGGGTCTCGATAGCGAACCCACCCTCCCTGATTGCCCAGCAACGCCTCCACCAGCAACATCACCATCACCAGCCACATCAACTGCCCCCGCGCCGCAACCTCTCCCCTCGACGGAGGAATGTGAGCACCACCGGCGGTCCTCCCCCCCTCAACAACAACAACAGATCACCGACCCGTGGCAAGCGAGCCAGCACACTCGTCGACAATCCTCCAATCGCCCATCAGCTGGATGCTGCTGCAGCAGCCATGTCCTCCATTGCCCTGCGCAACAGTGGGGCTCTCGGCGGCCGCACTGCCTACGATCACATACCACTCGAGAAGCTCGTCCGGGACGGTCCTCCAGACGGCGACTGGGAAACCGCTCTCGAGTGTGCCCGGATGAAGATCCTGCAGCAGGAAATCAAGAGCGACAGCGATGGCATGGTGAGTGACTCTCATTCTCTCTCTCTCTCTCTCTCTCTCTCTCTCTCTCTCTTTTGTGGTCATTATTTTGCGGGTCTACCTAGACGACTACGCGACGGGCCTTGGCAAGTTGTGGAATCAAGACAATACCAGCCTTGCTGACACAACTGGAGAGGGGAGGGGCATCTCCTCCCTCCCTCTCTCCTTTCTCTCTCTCCCAGTCTAACCTGCGCATCTACGTCTGGTTGATCATGCTCGGCGCACCCGTACTCAGCACCGACGACTACCTCGGGTTTGTCCATCGCGGCGCCTCACCCGCCTACTCCAAGATCCGCAACGATACCTTCCGCACCCTGACCACCGACCCTCTGTTCCGCCGCCGGGTGAGCGAAGCCTCTCTCATCCGCCTTTTGAACGCCATCGCCTGGAAGCTCCATGATGCCAGACCTCCTCACCCTCCAACCAGTCGTCAGTCCCTCCCCGCCAGCCAAGAGACTCCCACCAGGGGCTCACAGGGCATCCAGTCCCACGGGACCAGTCCCGCCGCGAAGCATCGCGCACGTGCGCTGACACTCACCACCGAAGGTTCTGAGAGCAGCCTGGCCCCCGAGGCTGGCATCTACGTGCAGGGTATGAACGTCCTGGCTGCCCCCTTCCTGTACGCGGCACGCAGCGAGGCCGAGGCGTTTGTTGGCTTCTACCAGCTGTTGACCAAGGAGTGCCCGGGCTATATCCGCGGTGCCATGGACGGTGTACACAAGGGTCTGGCGCTGGTCGACAAGGTCTTGGGCATTGTCGACCCGAGGCTGAGCATGTACCTTACCTCCAAAGGTCTTTCGGCAGAACTGTACGCGTTCCCGTCGGTCCTGACGCTGTCGGCGTGCACCCCTCCCCTGCCAGAAGTGCTGAGGCTCTGGGACTTCCTGTTCGCGTATGGGCCTCACCTGAACATCGTGTGCATTGCCGCTCAGCTAGTCATCCACCGAGATGAAATCATGGCCTCCCCCAAGTGAGTTTGCTGATTGAAACAGAAGGAGAGAAGAAGAAAATAAGCCCCACTATGACCTGGATGAATGACCTGGGCTGACAACCTCTTTCCTCTTTTTCCCTCTCACCAGCCCCAGTCACTTTCTTCGAACCTTCCCAGCCTTGAACGCAGAGAAGGTCCAGGCCATGACGCTGGCACTCTTGGCGAAACTACCGGACGACGTATACTCTGAAATTGTGTCGCATGCAATGTAACGGACGACGTCGTAATCAACGTGGCACGCCTGCACGGCCAGGAGTGACCAGATTTCAGCTTTCGGCGGCGGCTATTTTGGGGAACCACCATCCCGGAGGGTCGAGACGACGACACGGTCCGCGACGGAGACCAAGACGTGGATGGGGAAAGAAGTGGGAGCATCTTACGTCAGCCCGTCGCTGAAACATCTTCGAGAAACAGTTGGTGGCGTGTACCGGAGACCGAGCCCACCACCGGGCGATGGCTTTTGGAAACTGAGCTGACGTAGCAGATATGTTTGATGAGAACGAGAGGACGTGTACGATTACAATACTACGACTAATTGACGAATCATGAACGACTTGAAAGAGGGAACACAGCCCAACAAAGGGACGCTATATGCATTATCATCGAGAGGAGTTTGCGTGTTTCGCTCGAAAAGAAAAGAAGAAAAAAAGTTACTCCAGATATGCTGCATTGTCGGGCGACAGACATTGGAAACGATAGATGAAAGGAGAAGCATGGATATTGTGAAGCCGGACATTATTATGGAACCTAATGCATTGGTATCGTTGTTGTTGTATGATAGATATTGTAGCAGCATTGATCGGGTCTCGGATGAAATAATAACATGTGCGATGTGCGTTGATGGCAACAAAACAGGAAATGCGTTCTGTTTAGCAGAATAACAACAACCTAGGCGAAATTCTTCAGTTGCTTCCTATGTACGGTAGGCTGAATGCTGTCGGTCACAGAAATGGACAGACAAACATTGGGAGATCCAACAAATTGGGGGGGGGGGGATTGTCCTAAGAGATGGTGGCTTCTAAAAATTGCTGAAGATGAGGCTCACCCGCAGGTGGCTTGCATTTGCATGCACGCGCACGCACCTTGCAGCAGAAGCCATCGCTCCGTCCCCCCTCGACCCTTGATGAAACGCGGCGTGCCTGTACTAGAACACATCCCTGACGGGCCAGTGCCGACTGACCTATAGGTATAGAATTTTCACTTCATTGCTGCTGCATCTGTTATATGTACAATTTGCTGGGCGTTTTGTACTTGAGAAGTTGGGTGGTTTGCCTTCTTTTTCTCTTCTATTTTCTTCTTCTCCCCAGAGCTGGGGAAAAAGGTTTAAGCTTGGGCAAGTACTTAGTTTAGGTACATAGTAGCTGCTAGCGCCATCTTCTCCTCACTGCAGATCAGTGACTGCACTGCCTGAGCAGCTCTGGCAGTGCAGCCTGGAGAACTGCCGCGTCCTTTTTTGGGTCACACAATGCTTGGCTCGGAGGAGGAGCAGCAGCAGGCGATGCATTTTCACAGACTGTTCCTCCTCATCCTCCGCCTGCTGATGCCGCCCCGCTTCCTCCTTTGTTAATCATTCATCCATTCTCTCCCCCTCTCCCCCTACACCCTCCTCAGCCCTGCTCTTCTACCGCTGCTACAGAAAATTTTCTATCAAGCTAGAGCGGAGCGCCCGCGCCCACACGTTAACCCCAAATTTAGAGTGGTCTCCCCCCTCAACCCCCCCCCCCAAAAGCCTGGGCAGATCAACTAAGTCAAGTAGCCTCGAACCTAGCGCCCAGCGCGCCAGCAGCAGAAAGCGTGGCAAGGCACGCCGCCAGGCACCAGGGGACAATGTGGATCCGCACCCCCCAGGCTCAGCCTTGTTATCTGGGGAACTCTAGTGAGAGGAGGCAAGGAACGAGAAAGAGTAACAAAAAAAAAAAAAAAAAGTCACTCAAAAAAATCATCAAATCAGGGCCGGAAACGCCATGGCTGTGACAAGGAAAGCTCCCCCTGCGCGCATCATATCTGCCGCACAGTCGATTTCGACATCACTGTAACCATGCGATGGCTGCGACAATAAATCACCACCCAGAAACAACCAACCCTGGACAAGTATGACGTCGCGGGGTCGCATCCGGCGAATTTTACATGCAGCATTCCAGCTTTTTCCCCTTCTTGTTCTCTTTTTCTTCTACCTGCTTCGTCTCTCCAGGTCGCGTCACTAGTTGTGTGTGCGTCTGTGTCTGATAAACCTCGTGTGTAATCATGCACATTTACCATATAACATAGTTGCATTAATACCATAGTAAGCCTCTGGTGGTGACTTGCAAGAGAACCGAGGGAGGAGGAAGAAGGAGTGCAGGGCAGGAGGAACAAGAGCTGATGATTTTCGTCTGACCACATCCAACAACAGGGCCTTGCTGCACTGCACACCTCAGGATTGACGGAGGATCCACCGATCTGGGACTGGCGTTCGAAGTTCTCCCCAAACCAACCCCTCCAAGGCGGAGACTGGGTTCCCTGCCTTGGCCTTTGGCAACCAGGTAAGGTTTTTGGTTCGGCTTGTACCCTACTGTCAGTTGTTGATGTGGGTATAGGTGGTGTGGGGGTTGGAATGGATTCCGGGATGGACAAGAGACAGTCAGACAGACAAGTGCAAAAAAAGACAGAGAGCCAGAGGGGGTGGGGGGAAACAGGGCCTTGGTTACATAGTGACACACATAGCCGCGACCGTTACCAGACAGAAAAGAGACACAGACAGCAACTAGGAAACTTGCGGCTGTGGCCCGATATCATTCTTTGGCCATAAGCACGGCCAGATCCACGACTTGTTTTATGGTCGGGGCCCCGTCCATCTCAAACCATTCTCTCTTCTTCTGAAGTCTCGCTCGATTTACTTCTCTTCTTCCCGTGTGTGCTTGTGTGTGTGTGTGTGTGTGTGTGTGGCTTCAAATCAGATAATCAGACCTGTCCCGAGTCCCAGGTTTCATTCGTTACCCGGACGCACTCTCGAGAGGCCTGTACATCTCCTTCTATACCCACCCCCCACTTACCCGGAAAGCAAGAAGAAAAGACGAAAAAAGAACAGAGACGTCAACCGAACTTTGAAACTTTTTTCCACGTACCTGCCAAGACAGATACAAACACGGAACGGGTTTTGTCATAGCCTCGTTTCGACCGAATTCTTGATTTTATTTCCGAAAACAGAGAGAAGAGCAGAGCAGAGAGAAGAAAAAGAGAAAAGACTGCCCTTTTCTCTCGTCTGTCTGATCCGCTTCGTCTAATTTCTAATATCTCTCTACTATCAATACCTGGTGGTACATTTATTTTTTTTACGGACGACCCTCCACTGCCACGAGACGCAGACGCATCGTCAACCGCCACCACACACGCTATAATAAGCTTCTAGGCTTCTATCCATTTTCTTCTTCTTCTTCACCATCAACAGCCGAGGAGACCAGACCGCACGCGCTCCGCCCCCTCAACCATACGAATTCTCCACAGGCGCGGAGGCCTCGAAAAAGGAATCCGCCCCCCTCAACCCTTTGCATAAACTCTCGCCCCAGCGAACGAACATTTCTTTTATTGGGAGAGGCGGTTTGGTCCCACAAAGGAAATTCATCACACACCATCAACATGATACCCACGTCGTGCCTGCGCGAGACCATCATCCTCGTCATCTTCGGCATCGTCCTGGTCCCCATAGCAGCAAAGCGCGCCCATCATGCACCACCGGGCTACGGGCAAACCTTCTCCAAGGAGCTCTCGTCGCTCACCTGGTACAACCGCGAGTCCGCATTGCTCTTGAGCAAGGTGCCGAGGGTAGACGATCCGATCGCTTATCGACCCAGCCCGCCGCTTGCTGAGCAGGCATTCGAGGTACGGCCCCCCCCCCCCTCATTCTCTTTCCCATTACATGCGCCCTTAAGAAAGGACATTTCTTTCTTTGACTTTCTTTTTCTTTTCCTTGCTTCTTTCTTCCCTTTTACTGACATTTTCCACAATATAGCATAATGAGACACTCTCGATATTATATGCGACAGACAGTGCGCCATATACAGAAACAAGTGCGCCCTTGACGATCCGCTTTCAGATCAGCACAGCGAGGGACCAGACGGCGATGACGACGACGAGCAGCAGCAGCACCGTGACAGGATCCAGCGGAGAGGCTATGGCAACGACGGCACCGCGGTCGGCGAGTGCAACCACACAACCACCACCGGCCGTCGTCAAGGCGTCGTCGGATGCTAGCAGGGGAAGCTGGAGACTCATCTGGATGGGCTCTGCGATCGCTGCGGTCGCGGTCTTTATGATGTCGTGCTGAGCAGAGAGAGAGAGAACCAACCCGTTGCGTGTGTAAAAGCGGAGGTGGAGATGTGTATAGCCTCCCCCCAGATTGACGGACGGAACTGCCTCCTATTTCTTCTTCTTTTCTTTATAGAGTCTTTGGATTCCATGGTGCGGTGTTTTGGGCGTTGGTTGACTGGCTGCTGCCAGACAGGATATACCCCGCGGTATGTGTATATGGGAAACAGGATGGGATGCATATGATTTGAGACGATAGATGATACCCCTCTCGACTCGGAGCAAAATCGCTCTGGTCGTCGCTATAGACAATGCTAAATGATTTGGTTGTCTATTTGGTTGGTTTTTTTTTTTTTATAAAAAAAAAACAATAAAATGTATAAGAATAAAAAATAAAAAAAAAGATACTATTTTCTTTTTCCATACCTACCGCCAATTTCCCTTTCAGTATGCAGGACATCCTCCCTCAGCCCGCAGAAAGGCCAAGGAGAAGAACTCCTGCATGGCGGTGTAGTGGAAGAGAATGCCGCCGAGCACGGCGATGTGCCACAGGTTGTGGCTACCGCCAAAGTAGTCGAACATGCCTGGGCACCACCTCTCGGGGATCTTGGAGGCGTAGACAAAGGCGCCGGCGATGTAGACGAACAGCGACTTGGCGATTGGCGAGTAGAAGTCCCAGACGAACTGGGAGCCGCGGGTGAAGCTCAGCTGCAGGATGGGGAGGAAGCCTGTGGCACCAAGCCCGATGAAGAAGGCCACACGGGCCCAGGCCATGTCGGCGCGGTTGAAGGTGGGGTTCCAAGGCAAGATGACGCCGGCGATGCCCAGGATGGCGGTGGCCGTCATGTAGGTCCAGCGGCTGGCGGGCTCGCAGTAGAAGGCGGTGTACTCAGTGGTCATGATGGAGGCGGCAATGAGAAGGGAGATGCCCGTGTAGTCGACGCAGGCGAAGGTGGAGATGAGGTGGACGTCGGTGATGGCGTTCATGGTGTGCCAGATGGTGCTGCAGACCAGGCACTGGCAGGCGGCGAAGAAGAACATGGCGGCGATGAGGACGTCGGCGCCGGTGGAGAGGTGGAAGTTGATGGAAGTTGGGTAAAAGTAGAAGGCGACGGCCAGGATGAGGACAAGCCCCAGCGCGTGCGACCAGATGTTGACCAGCTCGTTGGACACGGCAAAGGCAGATCGGATGCACCCTGTGTACGACTCCCGGAAGCGATACCCCCGGAGGATGTGCGGGTTGATACGCCAGGGCACAGGCAGGTCCTCGTAGCGAATGAGGCCGTGCTCGCGCGCCCGCTGGACGGCGCGTTGGATCGTCTCCTCGAGACCCTCGGCGGCGTGCTTCGCCCCGCGGATGCCCTCCTCCATGACCTCTCGCGCCGACGAGATGACCTGCCTGCCCTCGGCGCGCACGATCTCGGCGGCGTCGGCCATGCCCGCCAGAGAGCGCTCGCGGAACTTGGCGGCGCGGGCCTCAAAGTCGGAGAGCATGCCGTCCAGCAGCTCGATGGACACGCGGGCCTTGTCAACGGTCGAGTCGGCAGCCGCCAGAGCGTCGTGGTAGCGCGTCTCGAGGGTCTCGACCATGACATGGAAGCGCCGGCGGCCCTCACCCAGGACCTCTTCGGAGACCTGTGAGCACCGTGATCGGACCGTCTGGAGGGTGTTGTAGGCGCGGGCGAGGGTGGTGTCGAAGTGGAGGTCGGAGTAACTCTCGAGGAGGTCGAGGCGGCGCTCGAGCTCACAGAGGAAGAGGTCAACCTGGAATGGGACAGGAGAAGGGGTTGTCAACGGGAGAGCTCCTCATGGGTACAACTTGACATGCACACCCTGAAACATATACATATAGGATTGACTAACCTTCAGCATGACTGCCTCTTCCCCCTCCATAAAAGATGCCACTACAGATTTCCTCCTCTGGGGAGCGAAATTGGAGTGTCGTCTCCTTCTGATCTCCGGCCTGGGCTCGGTACTGGAACTCTGTGCCTCCTCGGTCTCGTCGCTAGCCCGTAGGCTACACGGCGAGGAGCATGAAGCCATGCTCAGTGTCGACTCCATGACGATGGGAGAAAGAAAGGAAGAAGAAGAAAAGGATGAGAAAGAATCGTGGGCGTGTGTGTCGGCTCAGCTCAGCGTTTCTCACACCCCAAGGCACGCACACGGCCGAAGGAGGTGACGTCTTGTAGAATGCAACTCGTCTTCACATGTGTTGTAGTCCTGTCACCACGGTGCTGCCTTGGAGAGAAGAGCGATCAATTGGCCGTTTCACACACTGACAACGTCGCCTTGTCTGATAAGAATTATCATATGAGTGAGTCTTTTCAACTCCTTTCGGTCAAACTATGTTGAAAGGACATTTCTCCCATTGTCTGGGAGGAGGATGAGGAGGGAAATGAGAGCGCCGCAATCAGCGCTACTCCGGATGTGCGGGGGGCTGTTTTTTTTTAGGGTCCCCAGCGCCTGGTCCTCCCGAGGTTCGGTCCTCAACGTTGTAGGCACAGTGGTCCTCTGGAAAGTTTGTTGAGGGGTTCAAAAGACCCCCACTGGTCGTAACCTTGACTTCCTTTCATTTCTCACATTTCTTAATTAATACAATAATGATGATGATAACACATTACAAAATAACTCTTGTTCACTACACTCTACTCTGCCTATCGTCTCATCCATTTACATTCTTTTGCAACTCGTCTTTCTCAAACTCTATCCCTTTTTAGTACCTCTAGAGTAGTTGGGCGCCTTGAACCCGAATACGTAACCGACTACCGCTGCTGTGCAAGCCAGACCCAGCTGATTACTTTTTTTCTTCTCTTTCATTTATTTACTTCATGATCCCAGACCAGAGTGAAGATCAATGTGGTGCTGCCTTTACGCATGTCGACGAAGTCGGCAACGAAGATCAAATGAAAACCCCATCTGGCAGTGGGGACCTAATGGACATGTATGCAGGGCATGCTTCCGTAGGAGGCCCCTCGGGCTTTCGCCCCTCTAAATAGACGCGGAAGAGGCCCAGCCGACGACAAGCTAATTCTTCATGCTCTCGTCGTCATCGCTGATAACTTGGTAGGTCTATCCTTGAGACGGGTCTTCTTCGTATGGCGCAAATGTGAGACTATTTCGGCACGCTTGGGCATGCTGAGCAACGGCTGAAGATGAATGAACCAAGCATTGGTGCCACGGCATTCGTTTCCGGCCGAGCTACTCATCGTGCTATACGTAGATCTTCACAGACTGCCTTGCCCGATTCCAGTCTAGCGTATTTGTCAAGAACATTTTAAACAACAAATGCTCTTCCATGGCAAGTAATGCAACAGTGCTGGAGTCAGCAGAAGAACTTGGCTTGACTTGGGCGGTTTACGACAATAGAAGGGGTCCTTCCGTTTTAGGCCATACTGGTGGGGTCCCGGGACGGGTTACAGGGGTCCCTGGATCCTTCTTGAATGACCTGCAGATTGCGCTGCCAGCCGCCGACATCTTTACCTCAGAAAGCGAAGAAGGCGCACTACCACCAAATCATCTTTCCCACGCAAAGCGCTCTCCCTCAGTGACGAACGCACGCACGGACGCAGATAAACACAAAGCTACTATTTCCCAGGAAAGGAAACACCATTCAAACGAATCAAGATGACCATCGACGCAATAGTCACCGACCCAGCCCTGCGGTCCTTCCTGCAGACCTCCCAGAACGCTCGCGAGCAGGCGCTCAACCTCGCCGACAAACTCGCCGCCGCCTCCAGCCCCGGCGCCCCACCCCTGACCACGGAGCGCCAGATCGAGCTGTCCAAGGAGCAGAAGTTGCTGACCACGAACCTGTCCTACCTGCGCGGCCTACACCGCACCGCGTATATGGGCGCCCGCGACACAAAAACCCAGACCGCCGAGGCCAGACAGGAGGTGGACGTGCTGCACCTGCAGCTGCAGAACCTGTATTACGAGCAGGCGCACCTCCAGGGGGAGATCGCCGCCTGTGAGAGCTATGAGTACGTTGGTCTTGTTGTCGCACTCGTGACGTGACAGGACGGTCCCCGGGATACAAGAATAAGATGGCGCTGACGCGACAGAAACGGGTCAGCCACGAGTACCAAAAGCTCCCCCTCATCCCCATCGAGGACTTCCTTGCCAAGCATCCTGAGCATGCAGACAAAAACGATGAGAACACCCTGATGGTTGCTCGCATCGAGGACGAGCGTGCCGAGCGGGAGGCCCTCGAGCAGCAGCGTCAGGAGCTGCTCAAGAGGAAGCAGAAGCTCATCGCCGAGAACAAGAAGCGCAGAGAAGATCTAGCCAACTTGGACAATGACCTGGAGAAGTTTATCGATGTGAGTGAACCCCCCCCCCCCCCCCCGGAGTGTGGGGGCTTGACGGCGCCATAGGCAGTTTTCATATTGACGGTGCGCAAAATCCTAGGCCGCGAAACCGATCCAGAAAACTTTCGAGAAGGTGGTCTGAGCCGCGAAACCACAGCACCTGGATTGTTATCAGTGAAACATTTCAGTGGACAGAACCTCTCACACCGAGCTAGACAAACAAAACAAGTTTGACAACACGACAGCTCAAGCCCGCCATATACTAGGTCTACACTTGACGACTTTTCAGAGCAGCGTCATCGGCCGTCCGGCACGATTACATGGCTCGAAAATTCCTGATAAGAATACGCTCTTGGCTCTATGGTCATGGCGGCTTGGACCAGAGGAAGTTTTGCATGTGGCCCAAGATATTTCAAAGAGCCCTTGTGCATCAAGTCTCCGGTCTTGGCGACTGCGATATGTGCCTGAGATATGATGGCACAAATATGTACGATCTGAGGGCCAGGCACAGGTGATCAATCAAAGAGGGGGTATATCCCGCCTCTGGCTCACCTACCCTTTCTCAAGGGCTTGGCGATGAAAGGGAACGAGAAGTGATGGAAAGGTTGGGTCAGGGCTGGATTGAAGGCACGAGAGAGCACAGATTGGTAGCGGATAATTCTAGTAATGCTCTGCGCACCATTTGGCATAAACAGCCCTCAGCTAGAGGAGCAGTTCACGGAGTCATAAGTCAGTGTCAGGTCAACTGCATGAAGTCCCAAGCCGGACTCGCCCTTTGTGGTCGAGGCTGAATAGGACCTTGTCTAAGAATGTCTCAAATTTGCGTCACTAATAAGAAATGTATTGCAACATGATAAGTTGCCACTTTGCAAGACAGGACGTGTCCTGGGACCAACTGTCCTCGCCCCCTTTGGACTGGGTGACTGTCAAGTCAGGCTTTTACAAAGTATCTATAATATATCAATGATGATTTCATGCCACTCCCTGACTCGGCGTAAAGAGACCAGTCACAAGGATAGGACATTAGCCAATACTTGCATCCCATCCTGAGGTCACTCATCCAATCTATTCACCTTCCTTGTCCTGGCCCAGTAAGGAAGCAGTTATCATACATGGTGAAGTGATGAACCTGGCTTTGCCCCCTCACCACCCCCACCCCTAGGGTGCAGGAATTAAGCAAGTGTTTGCAATAGGACACTGATCGGGCATAAGGACACTTATGTCTATCTGGACTTCGATTCTGAAAGGCATATAACCTTATCTAGCAGAGAACTGACCATGCCCTTCATCTGGTGGAAGAGGAAGGGAACAGATAAACAGACAAAGACCAGTGTTCTTGGGACTTTAAGCAAAGAAAGTTTGCTGGAGCATACACAGGCATATATCAGGCGGGAAGAAGGGCTCTTTGCTGCTTGTCCGACATGTACATAATCATGTATTACACACATGCATATACCTAAAGTAGTATAACTAACTCGAAAAAGGCCAAGCCCCCCTTTCCCCCATCTCAAAGGAAGATATCCGGCCTCCCGGCCCCCCGCCAACGACGGCAGATAGATCCTCGGATCCGGGGCCCCGCCTGGGGTTGAACTTATCTTGCCGGGATAGGGGGGCCAAAGAAGGAAAAGAGAGAGAGAGAGAGAGAGAGAGAGAGAGAGCAGGGGGGGGGGGGGCTTATACACATTAATCAATTTTCTTACACAAGTCAAGCCCAGGGAGAGTCCAAAATGTCAATCTTCATGACCTCTTTTTCTTTAGCTGAGAGAATGGAAGAGGGAGTGAGGAAGAGAGGGGAGGGAAACAACCAGATACTTACTTATCTCGCCACCCAATGACTATCCTCTCTTGGCCTCCGTCAACAAAAGCCAGGAGCTGAAACAAAGCCCCCCCCCCCCCCGCCCCCCTAAATGGGATACACACACCATGATAGGAAAGTCAAGCAAAGAGTGACGCAAGGTGTGCAAGCGTAGCAGCCACGCCGCACCCATGAGCCGCAACCCTGGCTCTTCCCGCTGCGCTGCATGCCGAAAGATTAAGAAGAAGAAAGTAAGGGGGAAAACTAAAAAATAAAATAAAAAACCCTCGTCTTTCTCATCCATGCCCATCTAGCCCACTTCATCGCGATCCTGTGCACCCATACTGTAGTATTGAACAAAATGAAGAGGAGAGAGAGAGATAAGGAAATGTCTTGGCGGCTTCATTCATCCAGTGACGGGACTTTCTTTCTTCCATCCCCCCCCCCCCTCTCTCAAGAAGAGCCTCGGCGGTCTAAAACGGGGAGAGATCTTGGTTTTCCATGAGATCAGATCGTGACGTCGACTGTGGATCGATCGGGAGAAGAGTGAGGCAACAAACTCCCTAGGAACGTGCGACAATAGCGTGAAAAAAAAAAAAAAGGTAAGGGGGGCTGCACTCGAGACGATGGTGATAATGGGGATGATGAGGCAGAGATTAATTAATTAGAAGGGAAGCTTTTAGCAAAAGACCAAAGTGCGGTTCCAATCAAGTATACATCAGTACTGCAGCGTATAAGTTCACAGTGCGACTGTGTGCACATGTGTGTGTGTGTGTGTGTGGTTGTGAAAGACACATAGTATAAGAACAATTCACTCGTGAATTTGCACAGAGGACCTGAGACCTTTTCAGGGGAAAAAGCATTGTACACTTGAGTTATGCCAACTTTTTTGTAGCTCAAAACGACGCCAAGAGAAAATGCAGACCCATGCCTATGCCAGTAGTACTCAATATGTAAGAAGAAAAGCACATTTGTCTGTATGCTTATAGATAAGACGAGAGAAAAAGTAACATAGTAATCAAGACTTGGAAGGGTTGATCCGTCCATCCTGCTTCACGCACCCGGCCAGAATGCCCACAGCCGCGTGTTCCTATTGCGACTGCGAGGCATCCGAGGACCCGGGTGGTGGGCGCTTCTCCGCCTCGTCGCTCCCCCGCGATGCGTTCATGTTGCTCGTGGTGGGCATCATGTTCTGGTGCTCCTCGATGCCGTGTGTGGGTATCAGCCTGTTGCTGTCGGTGTTCTGGTGTTGCTGGGCAGGGGTCCAAGCGAGGAAGTCTCGGCGGACTTCAACATAGTCGTAGGCTGTAAAAAGGTAGGAAGAATAGATGTCAGTCACGAGCCAAAAAATTCATAACGGGGTGGCAGGAAGATGTTTGGAAACGGAGAAAGAGAGGGGGGGGGGACATACCGAACTCGCCGTGCTGGTCGTCGTCCATACCCAACAACTCAGCCTCTTCGGTGGCACGGAGGTGCAAGCCCGGGATGACGTCGATGATCTTAGCAATGATAGCAGACATGACGAATGCGTAGGCAGTACAGGCCACTATGTAGGCGATCTGGATGTACAGCTGCTTGTAGTTGTGGTTGAGCCAGCCCCCGTTGATAATACCCGTGTTTACGCCATCCAGACCGATAATGTAGTCGGCGGCAAACAGGGCGTTGAAAATCAGGCCGACCATGCCGCCGATGGCGTGCTCAGCAAAAACATCGAGGGAATCGTCGATGCCAACGAGGAACTTGATCTTGGTGGCGAAGTTACAGCAGATGCCAGTCACGACGCCGAGGATAATGGAGGCCCAGGGCGTGATGAAGCCGGAGGCCGGGGTGGCGGACACGAGACCCGAGATGGTGCCAGAACACCAGCCGACAAGAGACCACTTGCGGGCCAGGCGGAAATCGAGGAGACACCAGGTCATGGCGGCAAACATGGCCGTCAGGCACGAGTTCCAGCAGGCCATGGTGGCGCGGAGATTGGCGCCAAAGGCAGAGCCGCCGTTGAAGCCGAGCCAGCCAAACCAGAGGAGAATGGTGCCAAGCAGGATCAGGGAAATGTTGTGAGGGCGGAAGTTGAGCATCATCTTCTCGTTGCGGCGGCCGAGCACCCACGAGTAGGCCAGCGCGGACATACCGGAGCCGATCTCGACAGGACCCCCGCCAGCGTAGTCCAGGACACCGTAGTTGAAACCCCAGCCGTTGACATTCCACACCCAGCAGGCGATGGGGCAGTAGACGAGGGTGGCCCAGAAGAAGGTGAAGACCATGGCAGGGAGGACTCGACCACGCTCAGCCGTGGCGCCGACAACGAGGGCAGCCGTCACGGCACAGAACTGCATCTGGTAGAACGAGTACAGCAGCTCTGGAATTAGAGGCGATCCCGGCGAGGGTATGGCGAGCGTGTTCATGAGGCCAAAGTGGTGCAGGTCGCCGATGAAGCCGCTGGTGCCGGTCGAGCTGAAGGCCAACGAGTAGCCCCAAAAGTACCACTGGAAGACGATGACGGAAAAGGACATCATGGTAACCCAGATGAGCGAGAGAGCGGATTTTCGTCGAGCTAGTCCAGAGTAGAGGAAGGAAATGCCGGGCACCATGATGAGCACCATACATGAGGCCACGATGATGAAGGCCTGGTCGCCCGACTGGTACCATTGGTTCAAGTTTGTGGTGGCTAAATGGGAAGAGAGAGAAAAACACAACCATCAGTCAAACTATTCACGGTCTTTCACCCAACAAGGCGTTACATCGTCGCCTCTTCTGGCACACAAACATACCGGAATCTCCACCAGTCTCATCGTTGGTGCCATTGAAGACAGCTGGGGCTCCAACCCAGGAGTACGACATTGTGACTGCTGCTGGAGGAGGAGATGAGCTTCACGAAGAAGCTGGAGAGAATAAGTCGTTGAGGAAAGTGCGTAGTGTCGATGATGTGTAGTAGGGCGGCGACGACGAGGAGAGGAAGACGGAGTAGGGGGTTTGAAAATAAAGAGAAGAAGACCCCAAAAAATATAGGAAGGAGGGACGAATGCGGTCTCGTCTTGTTTTGGGGGAGTGAGGATGTCTAGTTGCCGGAAGCGGCTTTGAGGTGTGTAAGTGTGACGAGGCACAGCAATTGACCACTCAAAAACTTGAAGGGCCAAGCAATGAGGATCGAGAGGAGAAAAAAAGAAGAGAAAAGGCGGGAAAGGCTACCCAAGAGATTGGAAGGGAGAGAGATGAGTTTGGATATATACCGTTTAGTACAAACAGCTACAAAGTTAGGGACCATGGTTGTTACTCTGTATTTTCTTGGGGTGAGCAGTGGGTGATCATCTTGGTGGAGACTCGCGGATGGCCAAGGCGATGGTCCCGCTGTGGGTTGCGTGGGCGACTTACCAGTATACAGGGGGTTCGCTGGGGCCATGGGGATCGGATGCAGCTTGTACCATTAGAGTAGTAAATGGAGTCTTGGTCGAGAAATCCCCGGGTTGATTTTGCCCTATGCCTTGCCAGCCAATGTTGCAATGGACAAAGTTAGCCTGGGAACCAAGCCCTCCCGCTCCTTGCTGGACCAACCAGTGCTGTTGTGCCCAGGCCAAGACTACCATAGTAACTAAAAGCGCTTCAGGGACAATTCTCTCCAGAAAAGAGAGATCGGAACAGAGAAAGAGGGCATGAGAGTTGGGGCGCGGGCTAGCGGATCGATTTTCAGCGCCGAGTCTCGGTCAAAGAGGTCCTACCCGTCAACGCCCAGGCCTTGTTGCAAACGTTTCGGTAGACGATACCGGCTTGTGGCTGGACCAGCTGGACGGGCCTAAAGCCCAATTTTCTCCGGGGAGAAGGAGCGAAGTGCTTAAAAAGGAGGGGAGCCAAAGGAGCCAGTAAGGACCGCGCCCAATCTCACGGAGTCGTTCAGTCCACATGCTGTAGGACAACAACTTTGTCGTTCTGCTCTCCGCCGCTATACCAAAGTAGTAGTAATCAGGTATGCACACGGCAGGCCGGTACAGGAGGCATGCAAGGAGTGGCCGGAGCCTGCCCAATAAATGGTGGTGGTGGGTAACATTGTGCAAGAAGTTCCCCCACGATGTTGATCCCACCGAGTGTACTGTGCACTACTGTATGATATTTGCTGAAGCCATAAGGTCATGGGCGACCGAACCCTGGCTGTCGCGTGCCAATTTTGCGAGTGAAACCTCTTCGTGTGGCTACGGGGCTGCAGTACAACTTACTATTGTGGTACCTGCGCCGCCATGTGGGCTGGCCTGGCTAAATCCAAGTCCTATTAGCATCATCCATAGTGGCCAAAATCTCCTGGTTACTACTCCTGATGGAGTATTTGAGCTGTAAAGCCCCAGGGAAGGAAGAAGAAGAGGACCCCTGTTTTGTACAGTATCTTGTCGCCAGAGACTGTTGAACAGAGGAGAATCGAGGCATGGATTGCAAATGCAAAGGAATTCATGCGGTGCCCACGACCCGGAGAAACCACCTCCCTGCCATCCTTCCAAAAACAGGGATCGCCCACTCGACTGTGACGGCAGAATTGTGGATGTGAACCGAGGCCCCTGTCAGCCTCGAGGCAAGATTAATTTTTCGTTCGTCCTCGTGCCTCTTCTTGTCTTTTTTTCTTCTTCTGCTGGACGCACCAATATGCTTGGCTCGAAGCTGAAAATATGCATGGAGTCTGGTGGTGCACAAACCACCCCCATCCCCCCGGTAAGTATGCGTGCCAATGGGTGTGGCAGGTGGGGGAAAGACCATAGCAGCATTGGCGAAGAGAAGTAGGAGCAGGCCACTCTCGTTCCTTCCTCTTGGGCCTGCTGCCGCAGAGTACCCGTCGCCTGTCGACATGCGGCTCGGTACTTGCGGCGCCCTGGTGCCTGTTGAATGTGGAAACTTTGCTTACTGGCTCTGCTATGCTAAACTGACGACACCGCCCACGCCCACGCCGACCCCGACTTCCGACATCGCTTCTCAAGCAGTTCTTCTCGAGTGGCCTCATTTGTGCATTACAGCCCAAACCACATTGATTTTCTGCTTCTTCTTCCATCGCCAAGGGGGATGACGAGACACACACATGCTCTGCTGGCGTGAGCTTGGCCTTGCTGGCCAGCCCGCCCGACCAATAGGACAGAATGCCGTGTTCAATCTTCTTCTTTTCTTTTTTTGCAAAGAAAAGAAAAGGCAAGAAGCCCAAATCTCTCGTATGCTCGGTCGGCTTCATTTGGTGTTCCAGCGCCGCCGCGCCTTTTCAGGGTCCACTCTCCAGAATGTGGGGAACCGCAAAATGTCAGACTGGGGACAGGGCTGAATCCAGGGAATAAATTACCAAATTGTTTGTCCTTTGTGTTAGCAAAAAACTGCTTCTTTTCGCCTCAGCCAGATCTCGTCGATCCTCCTCTTTCGTATCTTTTGACATATGATGCCGAGAGATTACTTGCAGGGACGGATATATGTAATTCTATACGGTCACTACGGTCAACACCAGCCTTTTCATTCTCCAAATGGTTCCTGGAATTTCCGAGATCCGAAACTGCTGAGCAGCCTGGCATCAAACCTTCTGACTGGTGACGGTCTGGCCGGAGATCGAGCTGTACAGAGTTCTTTTTTCGCTCCTTTACCCCCTTCCTTTCCTTGTAAAAACGATACGACGTCGGCCAAGCGTCATAGCCGCTGGTCCTAACACAATTCAATTCAATAGGGTTTCAATGAGAACCATGCAGGGCAAGGCTTTGAAGGCATGGGCTGTACCACACGGTCGTAGCACGATCAGGGATCACCACCTATAGTTGCATGGCAGGTTAGCTCAATTCAGGCTTCAAGACCTGCTATTTGTTCCAACCCCCAAACCCAAGACGGGATATGAATTTGTCAAGATCATACAATCGTGGTAATTCCCTCCCCCTTTGCGCACAACCCTGGGAATTGCGCTGACATGGTTCCCCGTCATCGTCGAGAGAGAGAAACTGCGGCGCCCCCTCCGTCCTGACTAGGCATTCCTGGGCGGGTCTCCGCCAAGAGATAAGAACGTCCTGATGGGTCCAATGAGCTCGCATGAGATTTCTGAATGGATTCTGTCACAGCCTCCAGGGGGGTCACTCCGCACGTGATGCCCGACGTCACCTCACCCGTCACCTCACCCTTTCTTCAGCTTTCCCGCTACCAGGCAGGCTGACCAACTGAGACCAAGCCGCTGGAGCAAATTGGTACTTTGGGCTTGGCGTAGTGCCATACATACTAAGTAGAAGCATTACGGAACGTTGCTATGGTATGATCTCTGTAGATCAATTGGAGACAGGAAATTGTTCCTTTCTTGAATGTGTTTCTCCTTCATTCAACGCGGTTGCCATAGACAATCACAACTCAATGTAATTACAGAATACTTTCCCTGACTACTTGACAGCCCCCCCTCTCTCTGACTCTACAGGGCAAGTCCATTCAGTCAAGTTGGTTGTGTCTGTTCAGGAACAGAGAGAGAGCGCGCTTATGTTGTCATCATCATGCGCTGTCATCTTCGTGCCGTTTTCATGTGCCCATTTGTCTCGGATCTCAGCCACCACATTTCTTCAAGTACAACCATCACAAGCACGATACTATTAGACGATCGCATACATGCTTTACCCCCTACTTGCTGCACTAGGCCTCTTTGAGCGGGCAGAAAGCGTCTGTGTACACGACACGCTTAGCATGCTTTCCGTGTCTGCCTCACACCCTCATCGCTTGTGATCTCCCGCCTTTTCACAAGTCTCGAATCTTTCCCTGCTCATTTGTATATACACCCGTTCAGACACTATGTAGACAATCTTGATACCATTAATACAGAGTAGATCTCACAAATGACCTGTCAATAGCCGAGCTTCGCATCATGAGCAGTTTTATTCTTTGCACTCCAGGGGGTGTCTCTATCATATGGGCTGGCCCGTGCTCCTGCCTCACTCAACACTGCAAGTTACAGAGTTCGTGATAACAACAAGCTCCTGCCTGCAGTTACTGGTCTAAGTAGCTGTGGATGAAATTCCACCAAGACCATTCAGACTTTGAGCTGATTCCTCATCTTCTTCGATAATCAAGTACATACTCGATGATCTAATCATACTGTCTCAACTTGCTCTCCCGCCTCATCGATCCTGCCTATCCCCTTTGCTTTTTTGTCAAGATGGCACCTCCTCCGCTGAAGTTGAGCCCCAAAGAGGCACAAGGCTACCAGCTTGTGCAGGGCGACGACAGAGAAGACAACTTGGACGACCCCTCCACACCCGTTCAGCCAGGGCCGTACTACCGACCACGGCCCTTCCACAATGTCAACCTCAAGACGATCCTCATAGCGCTCATCTCAGGTCTCCTCATCCTCGTGGCCATCAACCTCATTTTTGCTCCCGACTTCCCCAAACATGGCCACACAGGCTCGTCATCCTCAGGAGCCTCACAATCAACATGCGACTGCTCAGGGTCTACGCCCACGGTGCCGCAGCACTTCCAGACAAGCCCAGAGCTGTGGGCTGGGCCTACGGCGACGGGCGCGCCGGCGTTCCTCGCGCAGACCAGGACATTTGACCCCACAGCCACCTTCGTGCCGAACCAGCCGCTGCAGACGGCGGTCCCCATCGAGGGCATGGGCGCTGCCAACGAGAGCATTTTCCACATGATGGGGTACCTGTCGCCGTACACACCGTCTCCCGGTTTCGGCGTCGACGAGTGGCCCTTACCCCCCGGCGCGGAGATTGTCCAGCTGCAGATGCTGTCGCGGCACGGATCACGGTATCCCACGTCCGGAACGGGCTCCAATGTGATGTTGCTGGGGCAGAGGATCGCGGCGGCCAAGGAGGAGAAGAAGGACGGCGGGTCGGGCTTCAAGGCCAGTGGTCCACTCTCGTTCCTCAACGAGTGGGAGTACCAGCTGGGCTACGAGATCCTCGTGCCCAAGGGCCGCCAGGAGCTGTTCGACTCGGGTATATTGCACTCGTACATGTACTCGAGCCTGTACAACCCCAACAGTAAGATCATCGTTCGCACCACGACGCAGGACCGCATGCTCAAGTCAGCCGAGTACTTCATGGCTGGCTTCTTCGGGCTGGAGTGGCCCAACAACGCCACCATCGAGGTCATCATCGAGGCAGACGGGTTCAACAACTCCTTGGCCGGGTACAAAAACTGTCCCAACTCTAAGCTGGAGGGCGGGATGAATGCCACGGCTGAGTGGGCGCAGGTGTACCTGCAAGAGGCGACGACCCGTTTAAGTAGTATGGTGGAGGGGTACGACTGGACGGTTGAGGATACGTATGCCGCGCAGAGCATGTGTCCTTATGAGACGGTGAGCTAGCTCTCCTTATCTTCCTTTTCTCTGTTAAAGCAGCAGTTCCTAGTGAGACTAACGCTACTGTTCCACACACAGATTGCGTATGGCTTCAGCCGCTTTTGTGAACTCTTCACCTATGAGGAGTGGAAAAACTTTGGCTACTCGGTCGGTACGTACTTGGTCTTGTGCTTTTCAGATCGTACATGTTGTGTGCGTGTACTGACCAAGTCCAATAGACCTATTCTTTTCAGCCGCGTCCGGTTGGCAGTCCAAGACCGCCCGTGCCGTCGGCATAGGCTACCAACAAGAAGTTATAGCCCGCCTCAAGAACCATACGCTCGGCTACTCGGGCAGCCAGATCAACACAACGCTCGACAGCAGCACCGATACATTCCCCCTCAACCAGTCGCTCTACCTCGATTTTTCCCATGACACTAACATCATCTCCATCCTCGCTGCCTTCGGGCTCACATCCACCCGCGACGACCCACCCCTCTCCTCCCGCCACCATCCGGGCAAGCACAACTTCACCGTATCGCATCTGACGCCCTTCGCTGCCCGGCTCGATATGGAAATCATCCGCGCCCCCAAGCCCGTGCGTGCGGATCGCGGCGGGGACGGGTACGTGGAGGACGAGGAGGGGGCGGCCGGGGGTGAGACCCGGTACATCCACTTTGTGCTGAATCAGAGGACGATCCCGCTAGGTTGGAGCTTCGCCGAGTGCGACGCGAGCCGGGTCGACGGGTGGTGCGAGCTGGAGACGTTCCTGAAGGTGCAGGAGAAGATGCCCGAGCTGGCCAGGTTCGAGGAGACGTGCTTTGGAGACTTCAACACGCTAGAGACGGTCGTCTAAATGCTGTGGGTGCTTACGAGATGCTTCAGCATGGTATATACAGCACCTTTTCGTACCTGTTCTTGGATCTGCATGGCGTTTGAAATCAATTGCATAGATGGGCGTCTACTGGAAAGAGAGATTCACGCGTGGGATGGATGACATGCAACAGGGATTGCTACCGTTCTTTACATTATCTGTTGAGATACTTGCAGGATGTTATCAAGTTTTCTGGATACGAGTTGCGTTCATGATAGCAGACATCTTACCTATGATCGAGACCTACTGCTCTTCCGGCATCTTCGTACAACATCCATCGGTCACAGCAAGCCTCGTTCTGCCGAAAAGCAGATAGAGACAATCTGGCCTACTTGCCCTCTCCACCATGATCCCAGTAAGAAGCGCACTGACAAAGCTCAAGCCAGCCGTTAAACTTCCCCAACAAGGAGCCTCCCCAAGATCAGCTCCATCTGTCTACATACATACAAGTCGTACTATGGTATCTACCCCGCCCAATGAAACCGGTATGTGTCAAGCGGCCAAGCCGGGGACCGTTACATACTTTACATAGTGTACAGTTGTATGTGGTACATGGCACACATCGTCAGTACTAAGTATGTAGGTACCAAACCATACAGGCGAAACGAGCCAAATGCGTTTTGCTGCTGTGAATTACAAACCACCACCACCACCATCTCGGGAGGATCGGAACCTGCATGCACTATGTATGTCTGAGGGGGAGGGCGGGGACAAGGGAAGGGGGCTCGTCCTTTTCCTTCCCCTCATCCACTCGACACCCACCTGGGCCCCTCCAAACAAAACCATCACGGACCAACAAACCACTGTCCTGAACATCTTTGCCAACGAGGAAAGCCCCCGGACCGACCGACATTTTGATCGATACGTGTCCCTGCAGAACCGAAAAGAGAGGAAGAAGAAGAAGAAAAAGAAGAAAAATCGTGGGCGCAGAAACAAAGACTACCTGAAGGTAGCAATTACGTACATACAAGCAAACACGAGAGGGAAGAAGAAGAGAAAAAAAAGAAGAAAAAGGACAAGATGCCCACCGGTCACGCCAAGGCCGCGGTCGGTGACACCGTGGTCGCGGAGACGGACACCTGGGAGGAGGTCGAGGGGAACGTGTACTTCCCGCCGTCGTCCGTCAAGACCGAGCTTCTCTCCAAGACGGAGCTGTCGACCCACTGCCCATGGAAGGGGGATGCGAGCTACTATACGATCAAAACGGGAGGTGAGAAACACAAGAAGCACCACATACACAGTCTCTCTTCTATGCACCGGTAGCGAAAAGAAAGAAGGACTGGATGCGACTGTTTACTTCTTTGGTCTAGCTTTTTTCTTCTCTCTCCACTGACACAACAAACAGATCAGGAGCTCCAGAATGCGGCGTGGTATTATCCACAACCCAAGGAAAAGGCAGAGAACATCCGCGACCACGTAGCGTTCTGTAAGTGTACAAGGCCTCCCTCTGCACACCCTCTCATCGGCCCCACCGACCCTCTCTTACTCTCTATGCTGTCTTAGAAGGTGTCCCGCAGCTGATAATGATTTTGCATCACACACAGACAAGACCAAGGTGACCGTGACGAAGTCATGATTTGTCGTATGAGGTCGGCATGGAAAGCAGGAGGGTGGACCAGAGGTTGCTGGTGTGACTCAATAACAAGAGCACGAGATCTTTGCATGCTGTGATTCTACTTTGCTATGCGATGTGGGTTCCATACACACACGCACGCACACATACATAGTCTCAAATGCGAGTAAGAGGGCTCTCAAGGGCCCACTTCATACAGCGATCCCAACAAGACCAGACTCCCGACATTCCGCCTCAAGCGAAGATGAAGAAAGAGACCGTGACGAGAATGACGACGATGACGATGCAGACTGATGATCAGAATGATGGCATCATGCGGACAAATATCGCCAACTCAATTTGCATGACATGAGTCACCGCCAGCGTGGTCACGGACTCCTCCGTAATTTGAAATCGATTGATCGAGAGAGAAGCAAAGATAAATTAAGAGGGGGTAAGAAAAAGAGAAGAAAGAGAGAGAAAGAGAGGCGGTCGGGCTGCAACGCATGCTTACCCTGCATGTTGCGCCTCTAGAACGTCCACATCGAGCCTTTCCATCACCTCGAGTATGAGGGCCAGGCTATCCATGAAAGAGTTGACGGCGACACGTAGCATGCGGTTCGTTGTGGCCTTGTAGTGGACCCGGAGGACGCACCCACCAGCAGCAGCAGCAGCGTCCGGGCTTCTGTGGCCGCTGGCTAGACTCTTCTTCTCCCCGTGGTACTGCTCAAGCTCAGGCTCGGGCTCGGTTTGGAGCTCAAGCTGGTGCCCATGCCCATGTCCGACGCGCCCGGACCCGGGCGCGTCCCTTGCGTCTGGACCAGCAGTAGTGGCAGTGGTGGTTGTGGTGGCGGTGGAGAAGTGCCTCTGCACGAGTGGTGACAGCTCCTTGTCGACAGCCAGGGCCCTCATAGCGATGGATGACAGCCTGGAAGTGGGGAAGGGGACATTAAGTGTTCTAAAAACGCGAAAACAGAGAGACGCGCGGGTCGGGGGTTGTCAGCCGGATCAGCTCGCTTGCAGGTAGCCAAGGTAGTATTTTTTGGTGGTATCTGGTGTTGGCTGTGTGCAAATGTTCCTCTTCCTCCTCCTGCCGTGTGGTCCCTCCTGCAGAGGGCCTATGTGTCGTGATTCCCCATCGCGTCTTCCGTCAATCCATCCTTCATCGATCGGTATTGCGGGTCGACAAGGGCCAGACAAGGGGAGGAGAAGGGCCACAAATCCTTCCAAGAGGAGGAAAAAGAGAAGGGATAGAGTAGAGCGCACACACTCATAGAGAAGAGAAAAGAGCAAGGGCCAAGGCCAAGAATAGCGACCCAGTGAGAACTTACAATGAGCAGGGGAAGGTCTCCCCGTCGACGTCACGCGACATTGTTGAAAGTGCTTGCAGGAAGAAAAAAAGGGGGTGTGTGTGTTGATGGTCCTGGATCCTGTTCTCGATTTGTCGGGAATGTTTGCACACAAAAGACCTTCGTCATAGGAATGAATTTTTCACAGCGGCTCTTCCAAGATTTATCAGGTTGTTTGGCCGTTCCAGGGCTATCGAGAGCGTGTGTGCGTGGGTCTGGACCCGTCCCTTGGACGACGTGTCTAGTGCTGGTCTTTTCTCCTTCTTTCTCTTCTTCCTTCCTTCTTTTCTTGTCTTGATCTGTTTTCTGGGAACTGGGGCAGTTGGAACAGGGCTGCTAAGAGGGGCGTTTACTCTGCATGGACCATGGGACAGGATTCTTGTGTGGGGGGATTTGGGGATATTGCCCACCTGAACCTGCGGCATGACACCAAAAGTGTGCAGTTCCCCAGTTCGTTTCTGGGCGATTGCCTAGGTAAAAGTAGATAGCTGCTAGCGAAACTTTGGAGGGATGGGCCCCGCTGTGGTCCCAGCAGCTGAACCGCCTGAGAGGAGCCACCTGGAGGAGCATCAGGAGCACTGGCACGCCCAGCCGATACAAGGCCCCAGCACCGCCCCAGTAAAAAGGACCCAGTGGTTGCCCCGTCAACGGTACGGCATGGGGTGTTGATTGGAAGTACAGGGGCGTCAAGGCGTCAGACGGGGTGTTCGAACTGGGGCAACAGGCACAGCAGCGCCAGGGATTGGGTCGGGCAATAACATTGGAAGGGAGGGCCAGCACAGAGCTTCTCCGGATGTTCCTCTCACCTATTATTACCACGGTATTCTTAGTACATGGTACCTAGTGCTCCGGCAACGAGACTGGAGCTGGCGGCGCTTCCATTTTCACAACAAGGGCTCCTCTCCTACCGTTGCTACACCGCAACCAGGGGAAACGATTTTTTAAAATAAAAAAACATCCAATGAAAAAAAAAAGAGATACAGACCAAGAATTCCTCTTTTTGCATAATTAAAAAGAAGCCCGTCCTTTTCGTGTTGTTGCAGATTTGTTTGTTTCCCTCCCCTCCTCTCAACAAGCATCAATTGCCCTTCCCTCGCGGCCTCCTCCCCCCTGGCACATAACCACCTTACCACCCAGACACAATCAACAAACACAAACCGGTTCGCGTCGAGGTTTTGGCTGGCCTTGCGACTCCACTCCTCGATCCTCTCTACCACCAAACTAGCTCCTCCCTCCTGCTTGCAGGGCACATAACAAGTTGCATTGGCTGCACGTCTGAAGCAACAGGAGAGAAAAAAAGAGGACATCGCCGATCCTTAATCGATCGACTCCTCCCCGACTGGGTTTCCCAAACTCGAAACACTCCATTCTCTCGAGCACTTTACCATCCAGCTTCTGCATCTGGGTTGCACGCGCATGGTCCTTTGAGCTGCCCTAGCAATTAATGTGTTTTGGGTTTTTGTCTTGGATCAATCCTGATCGCCCCCCTTCAGCGACGGCAACCACCACCCCAGTCCCCAGTTCCCAGCCACCGATATTTCTTTCCTCTGCCGCCGGGACCCGAGTCACCCGCATAAGCATAAGCATACTACTACAACTCTTGTACACTTTTAGTACAAACAACACTTTCTTTTCAAAACCCGCCTCGGCGCTTCCCCTCTCTTCATTTTGGGAAATTGGCTCCTGCCTCTCCTGCCTCGACAACATATTCCCGACAGGAAAAGGACCCAAAAAAGAAAGAAAAGGGAGGAAAGAAGAGTCGTCAGGTCATAGACGGCAGCGACAGCCATGGGTCCTACCAAGAGCTCTAACTTGGGGCAGATCATCGAGTACATCCCAGGTACGTACACATCAAATCTGCCTGCTGCTGCTAAGCTTCACCGCTGAAGGCGAGCTGTGCACATTTACCACCCAGCCATACACACACACAACACACCAGAAACAGAACAGGGGGAGAAAGCATCGAATACACTGGTCGTAATGACTTTTTGACTCGTTGCATCTTTTCTTGGGAGTTTCAATTTTGGCTGTGGCATGGCTGTTATGGACGTTTCATTTCCATCTTACTGCCTTCATCAGCACCAGCACTCCAATTACCAGCAGCCTTTGCCAGTATCCCTGCTAACATTTTCTCAAGACCGCCTGTACCTCGCCTCCTACATACATCCACCCACCGAGGACACCCTCTTCCCTTATCCCGATGGCTCCATAAGATCACCTGGCAAGCGTTCGCAGAGAGCCGGCCAAGGCCCTCAGGCAGTCCAGAAGCCAGCCTACAAGCAGCCCTACTACTTTACCGTGGATGACACCCTGCTCTACAACAACTTTCACCATGACTTTGGTCCATTCCACATCGGCCACCTGTACAGATTTGCCCTGCAGTTCCATGAGATCCTCGGTGCCGATAAGAACAAGGACAGACCAGTCGTCTTCTGGAGCAGGGCCGACCCTAGGAGTGAGTAGCAGAACCCCTCCCCTCTCGATTTGATGAAAGAAAACCCACCAAAGAACCAACCAAAGTGCACATACGTCTGCGAATATTTCATGAGAGCTGACCTTGCCATTTTTCCCCTTCACCCACAGGCCGCGCCAATGCCTCTACCCTGCTGGCATGCTACATGGTCCTGATCCAGTCATGGCCACCACACCTTGCCCTGGCACCCATCGCCCAGGTCGATCCGCCCCTGATGCCCTTCCGTGACGCTGGATACAGTCAGGCCGACTATGGTATCACCGTCCAGGATGTTGTCTACGGCGTCTGGAAAGCCAAGGAAGAAGGCGTCTGCGCCCTGGAGAACTTTGACCTCGACGAGTATGAGCGCTTTGAGCGTGTCGAGCACGGAGACTTCAACTGGATCACACCAAATTTCTTGGCCTTTGCCTCGCCCCAGCACGAGCCCGTCGCCAAGATCCCCGAGACCTCAGAGCTCTGGGCTACGGTGCCCAAGACCCTGGCTGCCGTCGATGCTCACCCGACGCTGCCGCAGCCCTTCAAGAACGTCCTGAAGCACTTCTCGGAGCGCAACATTGGCCTCGTCGTGCGTCTCAACTCAGAACTGTACTCACCTTCATACTTTGAGGGCCTGGGTATCACGCACCTGGACCTGATCTTCGAGGATGGCACCTGCCCAGCCATGCCAACCGTGCGCAAGTTCATCCGCCTGGCACATGAGATGATCACTGTTAAGAAGAGGGGCATCGCCGTCCACTGCAAGGCAGGACTGGGCCGCACAGGATGCCTGATTGGTGCCTACCTCATCTACAGATATGGCTTTACCGCCGACGAGGTCATCGGCTACATGAGGTTCATGCGGCCAGGCATGGTTGTCGGGCCCCAGCAGCACTGGCTTCACCTCAACCAGGGCGTCTTCCGGGAGTGGTGGGTCGAGGAGCGCATTGAGAGGAGGCTCCGCAAGGAGATGGCCGCAGCTGCTGCCGCCGCCGCCAATGCCAACGCGAACCCGAGCACGCCTGTCCGCACCATCCACAAGGCCAACATTGGCCGCAGCCCGAGCAAGACCTCCACCCCCTCCCGCAGCGCCTCCAACAGGACACCCCTGGGCGAGGTGGAAAACGACCGAACAAACATCACTGCAGACCAGGAGAACTATCTTCCAGCGCCGACACCAGGACAGCCACGCAAGACCCGCCATTATCCTCCCAGCAGCCGCGGTATCCCTCGTGCCGCCATGGAGGAGAGCTGCGCGGTCCAGGAAGACGTCGAGATCATGTCTGTCAAGAAGCGCAGCTCGGCCAACAACGGCGACTCAGACGAGGAGATGCAGATGCGCGTGCGTACCGGCCGGAGGTCCTCCGTCTCGCCCAACTCTGGCAAGTCACGTTCTGTTAGCCACACAACGACGACTACCAGCATCTACACCTCCCTGATTGACGACGACGCCTCCAATGACGTCGAGAACATCGGCAGCTCGCTCAACAGCAAGGCCAAGGGCGCAAAGCCCCCACTGCGCTCTACATCCGCTGGTGGCGTTCTCACCAAGGTCCGGGGCAGCAGTCGCGGTCCCGACGGTAAGGGGCCGTCCGGTGTCCGCAAGACCAGCGGGCGTGTCGGCAGCATGACCAGCCCCACAGCAGCCGCAGCAAACACAGCACGGAAGATCTCAGGTGCGATATGAAATCGAAGCCACGCCCGACAGCGAGTCCCTCCATACAATGTTCCCGGGCATCGTGCGGCCCGAGAGCAGTGCGATGAGGACGAGCTTACATCTGGATGATTCATGATCGTTACGAAACCCCCCCCCCCTTTTTTTTTTTCTTCACATGCTGTTCTTCTTGCATACCCGCGACGGCGTTCATCAAGGGATATATCGAATAGGTGGAAATATCTACCGGGAAGCGGAGTTGGGAAGCAGGCTATGCTAGTCGCGACGGCGTTTGGTGTCGTCGGTGATCTAGAAGCAGTGCTTCATTGCTTTCGGAATTTGAATTGGGGTTTTGAGAGTATAAACTCTCTTGGTTGGCTTTCTATATTGTATGTGTCATCAGTAGTCTCACACGAATGATGATGGACTGGTAGAGGAAAGGGAGACGGATAGGAAACAGGAGACATCAACAGCCTCAAGGGAATAAACGATAACAACAAGCTGTGGTTGAGCAATTCGACTGGGGAGAGGCGGAAACAAGCAAGCAGACAAGCATTGATTATCGTCTCATTCTTCACACATGGGCCCGCTTCTGGAGCCATAGGGTAGCCGGTGGGATTGGTCCTTCTGGCCTTGTTCTCTTGCATTTATTGTCAGGAAATACATTTGCATGTTTGCATCTTCATGACATTGGGACTGGTTCCGCCTCATTGCCCTGGTGATTTGTTTCCTCTGGGTAAAGATCTTTTGGCTCTGAGTTTCTCTCTACAAAGGAATTTAACTTCCAGACACACTCAACCCCCACACACGTCCTGTCCCTATCCACCATTTTTGTCTATACGTGCGTACTTGTGCAGTACATTGTACATTGTAAACCTTTTCCAATTAGGATCGGTTGGGCCTGGCTTTTTATTCTATGAGTATGTGAATGGCGGGAAAAGACGTTTTGGGGGGGGGGGGGGGCTGAGACGGTAGTTGCTGAAGAGTCGGAATGGGAAGATATTGGAGAAGGGGTGGGGGGCACATAGGAAGACAGCAGAAGGACAACCGATCATCATCTTTTCACCACGGCAAGGCGAGGCGAGGCGAGATGCTGCTCACTTAGGTACTTGTTTTTTTCTACATTGGTGGTGTAGTACATATGTAGCATAACGCTGCCTCGTATGTGTTAAGATATAATAATAAAAATAGTATAAGAATATTGAGCCTATCCAGACCCATGCTGGGAATCAAGTACTTGGGCGGTGAGGCTCAACTCGCCGGCCATTTACCTGCAGAGCGAGCATAGAACGACGAGCGAGACAGGAAATCGTTGGCAAGGGACTCGTCCCACGGCAAGGCGCCAAACCAAACGGACTCGTCCGTCTGGATAGACCAGGGCTTTGGGGTATCGAGATGTTCCACATTTAGTAAAAGACACAGTGAGAAGCCCCATGCAGACCTCAAGGGCTTACATCCAGTTGAACGGAACGGTGAAGTGGATGGTGTAGATCAGCTCACTCACCTAAACACACACACACACACACACACACACACACTACAAGTCCCGAAAGATGATGCCCCCCCCCCCCCCAAGCAGTCAGACATTCGACTAAATCGCACAAATACTACCCAAGAGATTACCTACCCGGTTTTTCTTGGTCCTTTTTTGGTTGTTGTAGGGCTGAGACATTCTGCCGCAGCCAGCACACATGCAACGAATAATTTGACGAAGGAAGCGTTCGTTCTGCCAAATCGACTTGCAGAAATACGGCCATGAAGAAACGATGGCTCCGAGTGGCGGGAAGACGGCGGTCTTGCCGGACGAATTCAGACACCGAGGCTGAAAAGCCTTGCATGCGATAGGACGCTCATCCGTTGGTCTAATGAGTGCTCCGAGGTTTAATGAAGACCTCGACGATGAGTCGGGTCGGGATCTGCCGGTGTGAGGCACAGCACCAAAACTCCGGCTTCAGACCTTTGTGTTCCAGAAAGGATGGCCTAACGGTCCATGTAGACTTCAGGAGTAGTCTGTCTCGATTATTGGCCAAGACCTCTGGCCCCCAAAGTCCAGTCTCCCCCTTGGAGTTCTCAGAAATGGATGCATCCATGACCTGCCTGGCTGCCGGGCTGCCTAGTGGCCGCATATCCGCTCGGGCGGCCAAGTCCGGGAGCCACCCATCACATGCAGACGTGTTAACAAGGGGCCACCTCTGCCATGGAGTGATTGCCAGTTGATGGTGCAGAGAGTCGCGTAAAGAGATGATTATGAGGCATTATCGGTTTCCTGAGGAGGCAAGAAAGCCGACTGGGCCTTGGCGCAGGTTGTGGACTATGAGAGTAGGCGTCCTGGTTGTGGTAATACCGACCGGGTATGATATTTATGACGATGAATCTAACAGTCCGTCAAGACGCCCCAGAACAACCTTCAGATTTGCATCAACACGAACATCGAGTGAGAGAGGGAAAAAGGGCGAGAGAACGCGAGCTCGACGGCCTTTGAAGAGATCACCTCATTTGCTGACGTTGAGGCGAACTCTCGCGAAAGCACCCTCTTCGGGGGTTTTCAAGAACGAGGCTGGCAGACTTGAGAGGAGACCCAGACCTGGGTCTTGGACTGTGGAAGGAAACAAACCATTCTGGCGGGACGACGAAGCACCCGGAGTCCGATGCTTGCAATGCCCCATTAAGTCCCCAGAATCAAACCGAGCGAGAGACGACCAAGACGGAAGGAATCAAGTTGTGGGTTGGTCACTGTGTGTGGCCGCATGGTCTGCCTGGCCGAATAGGAAGAGGGGGGGAAGTCTGTGGGTGTGAGGCAAATGAGGCCATGAGCTGAAGCTGAATGGGCAGCTTACGACCCATGAAATAACTTGCGTTTGTGAGGATCCAATCCAACAATGTGACGAGGGACAGGGGGAAATGGTATGGGGCCTGGAGGCATCTGTCTCTCATGCTGATCATGAAGATGATGAGAATGTTACCCAAGACTTGAAAGGGAGAAAGGGGAAGGGTTTCAAAAGAATGAAAAGATGATCAAGCTGAGACTCATCAGGCATGGTTGCACAGATTGAATTCTCACCTCATCCTTTTCGAAATATATAGATTTGCGACAGGACGCTGTAAGACTCGAAAATAGGCCCGCGGTGACGAGTTAGGTCCAACAGAAAGAGAGAGAAAACAAGGGAAGAAAGGAAAGAAACAGAAGATGAAGAAGAAAAAGAAAGGAAAAAAGGGAAACTGTAAAAACGGCTCGTAAAACAAAAACAGAATAGGCAGAACGATTACAGTAGATGCATTTCATGGGAAGGCCTGTGGCGCAGGGGGGGAGACCTGGCAACTGGCCAATCAGCAACCCTGCTGGGAGTGGCTTATGCCCAAGAGAGGTTCTGGTTTTCTCTATCGCCCCCCCCCCAGGTTCCTTCCTATGATGTCCTCAACGTAGACGTCATCACCCAGTCTGACTGTTTTTTTGCGTGTTTGTTTTCGGACCCCCACTTCCCAAACTTCAGTCAGTCACACGCTCTCTTGTGAGATGTTATACCTGCCAACTCGAATTCCATGTCTAGCTGCTATGGCAGTAGTATCACAGGACCAAATTCGGGCCCAACATGGTGGTCATGGTCATCTTCGTATGCCTCTAGAGTTGCTCACAGCACAGGTGAGCCCTCAGCTGGTCGATGAGCCACATTCAGGACGGGACAACCAACAAAACATCCCAGAGAGATCGCCATGCTGACTTCAGAGCGGTCTGTCCCGCGATACGCCATCTCTGTTTCACTGCCGCTTCCTTCTCTTCGGTTCAATCCCGTGGCTGGCACGAGGCTCCTTGCCCTTGGTTTGCAAGAATAGCAACAACCATTTCCACGGACCACGAGGCTGTCGACCAACTGACGTTCAGTAGGGCTGACAGGGGAGCCATATTCCTCCATATGGCCACCAATTCAGGACGGCGCTGCGCCGCCCCGCTCGTTGCTGGCTGCTGGATGCCTCCATTGCCCACCATTCCCCGAGAAAACACTGCTCTGGAAAGCGTCATGTTGGACGGTGTCAGACCCTGCCGCCTATGTTCTCTCCCCCCAAGTGGCTGACAGGTCTGGTCGTCACTCAAGGGTCCAAGTATCCTATCTCTGCTACCCTCTATGTATGGTGTGGGTGGTTTTGTTTAGTTGCTCCTCCTCGCAACAACGCTGGGTACCAGCACAGCACCAACCGCTGGCCAAGTGCCCAGTAGACTCTCTTTCACCTGCCATCTCTTATCAAGCGCGAGATTCATCTTCATCTCCCAGACAGTCTCTGTCATTTCGAAGCAAAAACCGAACTTCCAATGACGAGCCCTGATCTGGCCCCCGTCCGCAAGTCGCAGGACGTCAACCCTGGCTAGTGACAGAGCCGCAACGGTCAAAGAATGCGCCCCCTCCCCTTTTTCGTCTCTCTTTATTTCCCCTCCAAGGGAGGTGGTGTGCTTTCTGAGAAAGAAAAGATGGAGACTCCAGGCTGCTTGTGCAGGAGCAATAAGCTGGCGGAAGGAGTGGAAGAAAAATCCCCAGGACACAATATCAGCCTCAGACCCACCTCGGGCCCCCGATCCTGACCTCACTTTTACCCACACGTTCTCTCCCCACCCTCCAACACATTCCTTTGCGTTCAAGCCACCCATCGCAGGCTAGCATAGGGGTGGTCTTGGTTGAGGTCATCGGAGGAAAGGGGAGGGGGGTTGTTGGTTGGCCAGTATAAAAACTTGTTGCTACCTAATGTTCACACTTGCGTGGTACACAGGCAGCCTTCTTCAATAGGGACCATCTGACCGCCTTATCTACTATAGTACAGCAGTCCTGTCTCCTCCGCTGACCCCGAGTCATACTGATGTCTTCCTCTATCGTTCCTACATCCCAACTTAGTCGGCTTTCTCTCGAGAGCATGGGTCCCGTCACACGTTCCGCCAGCCAGCGTGAGAGGCCTCACTGCGATGAGGTCCCCAAGAGACATGTTACTGAGTCAACAGACCCCTTCGGTAATGATGAGGCCAGCGATATCTCGATGGAGGAGGATGAGGATGAGGATGAGGATGAGGACAGCAGCACTACCGTCTTCTCACCGGCGACCAAGATCAACTACGATATCTCAAACCTCGATCCTGACACCCAGTCCGAAGTCAGACAGCTCTTTCGCGAGACGCCAGCCTCCGAACCTCCCTCTCTGGTACTACAATGGTGCCAGCTGAATCAGGAGCAGGGGAATAAGGACAGCCAGTTCTATGCCTTTCAGCTTCACGAGATGGTACCTCGATCCATCCGGATTGGGTCGCCTGGTAGCAAGTACAGCAGTCCGAGGTGTAATTGTATGCAGGATAGCGACAAGCCGTGTCGACACCTGATCTATCTCCTGGATCAGATCAACGCGATCAGCTCAGACCAAATCAAAGACATGCAGGTGCAGCAGCTCGGACCCTCAGGGGCCTCGACGGGCATGGGACAACCGTTCGAAAGGATCTCCAACTTCCACCTCGATCTGCTCTCCAGCAGCCTACACTGCGACGTGGGCTCCCCTGACTCCAAGACCGAGGCCAACCCAGTACGTCTGGAAGAAACACGCGAGATCCTAGCAACAGTAGCAAAATCAGACGCAGACGACTTGGCAATCAAACACTACCGCAACGACGTCTTCGAGAAAGGCGGTTCGAATCTTCGGGATCACGATATCATCACATACGATGACCTTACAAAGACCGTCGCCAAGATGCTTGTCACCAACAACGATTTCTTTGCATACTTCCTCAAACTCCTCCCATCGTCCTCGAAAGCCCGTGATCCGTTCCGTAAAATCCAGCAGCACATTGATCGTGTGCTCGGTGCCTTGGATGCCTACTCACAGCAGCCACTGTCCTACGGCAAGGAAGCCACAACAGACTCTGCTGAGGGCCCTCGAGATGTCTCGTGGGCAACAGCACACGTCTTAGGGGCAGTCTCGAGGATCAAAGGTCTTCTACAGAATCGGGATGACGCTCCTTCACCTTCGGAGCGGGCCAGCGCGGCACGAACACTGGTCCAAATACTACACACTATCGTGTTTGACTGGAACCGTGATCTTCCTCTGTCAACTCTGGCCCCTGGCGTTCCCGCCGGAAACCCCAGTACCACTATTACCACCACCACCACCACCACCACCACCACCTCTCCTACTCCCTCCCCACAGTCTGCGAACCCGGCACAGAACAATCTCTATTGGCGTCTCATAGGCTCACAATCCAGTGCTGCATCTTCTGCCTTCGTCCTTGACACACTTTCTCAGCTCCCCGAGCAGAACCAATGGATCGAGACGCTGGAAGACATCGAGGCGCAGCTGTCCACGTGTGGACCGCCAGCCGGATATATGAGACGACTGCGAGATCTTATCGCTCTGATGAGGAGTAGCCGCCCGGCTGCCACGCCTACACGGTCAGGATTTGTAAAGCAAGGGGCCTCTCGGGCAGATGCGACTCGTGGGGGAAGCTCGGTGGGTAGCAAGCGGAGCAGTGGGGATGGTAGTGGACGCCAGGGAGGAGCGAAGAGGGCAAGATGATCGCAGAACTCCCTTCTCCAGAAAGCCTGCCGAATATTAGCAAGATCATTACACGAACGATGACACGCACACACACACACATACACACAAGGAACACGCAGGATTGTTAAAAGCATAGACGTCGTCACAATAAGAGATGTGAGGAAGCGTTTGGCTGGGATCTTAGATATGGTAACCTTTTCTCCTCTGCCCGTCCTTTTTCTTCCTTTTGCTTCTATGTTTCTTGTCTCGAAATCACTTTCCTTCAAAGGTACTTACTAAGTACATGAGTCCCGCTTCAACTACTGTGCTGCCTGGCTCTGCGTGACCAGACATGCCAACTCAGACACCCATACCCACCTCTGCTGGGCCTCGATGACATGCAGCCAGGATTTTAGGGCTGTGGTGTCTGCTTTTCTCCATTCTTTGTATCTAAATACTTTCGATATCTCTTGGGGGTTCTAGGGCATACTCCTCATCCAGATAGCTCATAGAGTATCAACAATATTGCTCAGTTCTAGGGTCAAAGGAGAGCATACTATGGTACAGTATGTACTCAGCATCAAGCGCCTATCGAGCACATTTTTGCCACCAAAATTTCCGATGGCACATGTTTGTGTTCCCAGGCCGCCCCCTCATCCATCTGACTTAGTGCTTCTCTACGGTCCTTTAGTCCCAGGGCAGTTCTCTCAACTGTTACTGCTCCAGGGCCATCTAATAAAATTGTTGCCCTAGTCTTTTTCTTTCAAGGTAGTCAGTCACTCACCCAATACGCACCCGAAAGCTGACAAGCTTGGCGCACATGGCTAAGGTGTTCCCATATTTCACCTCTGACCATTGTCAGTTTCGGGATGAGAATGCTTGCAAAAGAAAGATAGAAAGATGTGAGGTAGGATATACTGCTCGCAGAATAGGGTTTGTTGAATAGACCTGACTTCACGATGGATGCTAAAGGGGAAGAAACCAAGCTTGAATCATCGCAATGAATGCTTCACTAATTAGTAAGTAGGTAATGAGAGGTATTCCCTATGCACCGGCCAGATGCTCCGAAGACACGGCCGACTGTGGCTTGGGATCCTCAGGGCCTAGTATTATAATATAGGGTACTATATATGTTTTCTGCCAATACAATAGCAATCCCTCGCTGTTATGCCATGTCTCTGCTCGGGAGTCTGGCCCATTGCTTTGCTTACCGTTGTGAACAAGAAGACATAGTCATGGAACACATCAGATAAAAGATGAGGACGTGGGGATGAATGCCCTGTACTTTTGTTTATGCTTTATGTCCAGCTAGCCAGCCGGCTAGGTGACTAGCTGTCTACATCGTACTAGAAAGAGAAACGCTGCTAATTGCAAGTAATGGAAATTATGAAAGCTAAAAGGAGTGACTACTCCCAGCTGACTGGAAATGATGATCTATATAGACAGATAGATAGGACTCGCCCAGAAATCATACACAGTTTATAAGCACAAGCCACTTTTCCTTTCCTGCTTGTATATTACGCTCCCAAACCATTCTACCATGCGCCAGCCTCTCGGCCTCTTCATAGAAAGCCCGAATTTGTCTCAAACCGACCATGCCAAGTCTATAGCACCTTTCTCTGGAACGTACTCAGCGCCGAGGCAATCTCTTGAAGTATCGGCCGGCCGAAGGCGTTCTCCTCCCACCTGCCCTCCTTTATCATTTTCTCCCTCTCCAGCACAAACTCTTCCGCCCAGCCCACCTCCTTCACCCAGAAGTCCCTAGCCGTAGCACGTATCTTGGCTTCAGCGCCATCTTTCCTCTCAGAGTCGTCCCTGAGCACGACCTTGCTCCTCTTACGAATGATATGGTCGCTCAACTGACCCCTATGGCCCCTTGTGCACTGTATGATGAGGCTGCGCAGCTCAGGCGGCGTGCGTCTAAACTCGGGGAACTCGAAGTCGGGCTCGTTCTGGTAGGACTGCCAGACAGCCGCCTTTTGCGGCGCGGACATGCCCTCGAAGATGCACCACAGTAGCCGGCCCAGCATATAGACCTCTGCGTACTCTTGTTCCCGCCGTGTGAGGCATAACCAGGGGATGTTGTAACCCTCTGGCGGGTTGTCGTAGTCCGTGGTGCCGATGGTCAATCTCCTCCATTCGGGAAGGAGGCGGTCGAGGATCTCGACGAAGCGCTTGCGGGGAGGCCAGGACCCGTCGAACCCGAGGTCGTCATCCGATCGCTCTTCTTCGTCGAGGGCGAGGATTCGTATGTACTCGATCGCGTTGATTTCTGGAGGCCCGAACTCGACCCACACACCTCTCTGCTCGAAATCCAGGAGAATTGGACGCTTTTCGCCTGCGGGGAAGATGATCTGGTCGAGACGGAGGTCTGGGTAGTATGTGTTGCCTTGAAAGTGGATGTGCAGTATAGCTGAGCAGATGTCTTGGGCCCAGCGAACCTGGTCTCTCAGCTGAAGCTGGTGATTAATTCGGAGCAACGGAAGCTCATCTCGAAGGCCGCCACCTGGATAAAATGGCAACAAGAAGCCCACGACGATCTCCCTGTTCGGATTCAACTTATGCTTCTTGACTACTAGCCTTGCCGGTCTGGCGACAATGCTTGGGTGTGATGGTATGCTCAAAAGATTCCGGAGCTCATGATACATGTACTTGACGGTATTCATTAGAGCCTTGAGCACCCATTGCCCCTCTTGAACGCCCTCACGATGGCCGGTGCATTCTTGGTCTTTCTTGTATCGAACAACGCACACACTGTCGTGTAACTGCCGAACGAATGCCAGGTCGAGGATATCGAGTGTCGGAGGCAGCTGTTCAACTTTCATGTTCCACATTTCTGCTAGCTCTGATGCCGTGCAATGGCGAAGCTCGAACGCGTCGTTGCCTATAACGCGAATGTCGACGTCTCGTACGTTGAGAGGGAGGTCACGGAAAACAATTCGAGCGCCGAAAGGAGAGTTGTAATAGACATCACGGACATTATCGAGCCCGTATCGTGTGGACCATATTTGCAACGCCCTGAGGATGTAAGAGCAAACACCCTGTTGTTGAATTCTGGCGCGGTCGCGTGTGTGGAAGACGGTGTCCAGATCGAGCAGCTTGCGGATCAAGGGCGACTCTGCAGCGACCTCGTCTATACAGACATCGCAGCGTATAGGTGGAATCGCCCCAAGGAATAAAGGGACTGCATAGAACTGCATGCCCAAGGCAGTGCATCCGTCGATCATCCATAGTGGTGATCCGGGAGGGTCTAGGCTGTCGATTCGATTCTTTGGATTCAACTGCGAAACCTCCCACGAAGACTCGGCAGTCTGGGTTGTGTCCTGGGCCTGGACACGAACCGGATGGTCGTGGTCGTGGTCGATAGGACGAAGAATTGCTGTTGGGTGTATAACGTCGCGTATCGTGCGTTCGCTCAGGTCCATGTTGAACCTGTAAGCCAGGCGCCCTTGCCCTCGAAGCAGCAGGACTTGGCCGGGAGTCAGCCTGTCGTCTCAAAACTGCCTGACAAAGCCGGGTCAAGGGCATTTGTGGGCGGTGCTCTTGTGCCCGGTGGGTCTCCAAAACAGCGTCTTCTGGTCAGAGTTGCTGTCAGGGCCGTGCTATTCTTGTACGAAGTACCTCTCAAGTACTCTCAGTCCCGTACAGCCCTGCACTAACATCCACTCGGGGAAGCAGACCGGCGCTGTCCACTCTGTTGGTCTAGCCCGGGCCGCTCCGTTTGTGGGCCCTGGGCGACACCTATGGGAAGTCTTTCCCGGAGAAACTAGCTAAAACCCATCTCACATCAGGGGAGGTCCTCGTGGGCGTGTGGGTACCGGCATGGCTGGACTACATGTCCAATGGCCTTGCCTAAAAGTATAAGGCGGCTGCGATGCAGGACAACCGGACAGGGGAGGTGAATTGACTCCCTCGAATCGCGACGAGCCACAACACCGGTGACTTTGAACAACGAATCGTGAGCTGTTCCCGGTGAGTCTATTGCGTCACCAGATGGGGGGCGCGCGACTTGCTTTTTGAGCCTCAAGTAGGTACTAGCCTGGTACGATGACAACGAGCCGCAACCTTTTGTGTCCCGGAATGCACAACTGGCCGAGGGGCTACATGGGCGGCTGGCAGCTCGTCCCCACGTCCCCGGACGAGACTCCAGCGAGAGAATATGTCCAAATCGAGGTCGAAAAGGAAAGGTTAACACAAGCGGCTCCTGCGGCTGCTGGCATCGGTCAGCCCGCTCTCTCGGAATCGGTCCAGCACTGACCTACAGCAGCTGGGATGGGGCCTTGGTACAGCGCAGGCGGAATCCACCAGGAGCAAGCGACACAACGAGCAGGAGGAGGAGGACGGAGAGGAGGAAAAGGACGAGGACGAGGATGAGGAGAGAGGCATGTCGCTGCAAGGACAGAGGAATGTGTGTTTGTCCTGTAATGGAGGTATCCGTCGGCGCCTGGAGAACTCAGTATGCACTGCAGAGACTGCTTGGAGGGTGTCGAGAAGCCACAGGAGGCCCGAAGGGCCAGACCCCTTGAAAGAGGGAAGTCGCAAAGGTGATGTGCCAAACAGAAATTGACCTGAAAGAGGTGACTAAGTGGCCTTGGAACGACCAAGGCAGGTGCCCTCCTCACCATCCTCCCCGCCTCCTTCCCCGGGTGGGCTTCTACTCGTCCCTTCCGCAAATGTCCTAGTATGGCAATTGTGCTAAGTTTTTGCAGGATAATCGGTTGGAACCGAGACGACATGTACAATATCATTGATTGACCCGAAGGTAGCATCTATCGTGCTTCATCGGTGCTGGTCACACAACGGCTACGTCTACACTGGCTCGGACGTCCACAGCGTTGATGGTACCCATTGGCTTCACATGTATGAGGGGGAGAGTAGATGTTCTGGTATCTCTCTCGCCCTGGCCAGGTCCTTTGGCGGATGGATAGACCTGTCCATAACGAAGGTACAGGTTGGTGGTATGACAGCGATGGCCAGTGCGATGGGCCTGGTGGACAGATGTTATCGCGACAAGGTCAAACACCCCAGCAAGTTCTACGACGCATGAACGAGTCCTCTCTGCCGCCGCGGCCACGCCATCATCTATCGCCGTGGCCGATGTGTGTTTCCGCTTATGTTATGTTTTTGCCCTTGAACACATCAACAAGGCAAATGCGTCGGCTATCAGCCAGGCCAGCCTGGGAGGATCTAGGCACTCTCATCACGGCCGCACCACACACAAGGAAGGAACAGCATGGCAACGACACAACATGCTTCTTTTTGATCATGAGATACATTCGACGGATCAGCCTATTCGTGCGTGACGTGTCCATCACGTGCATCCAGCACACCCGACAGCTCTGATATCCCGATATGACCGCGTTGATGCTATGTTGCTGGCTCACGGGCCATCAACGGCAGGTCAGCTCGTGGTGCCAAAACTAGGACGAGACTCGCGAGCGCCTAACTCTGGAGTCAGCTCGTGCCTGGACGAAGGACAGATGCACATTCAACTGCCGAGAGTGCCTAGAGATTCTGAGAGCCCAGGAGGAGGCTAGTCTGATAGACCTACATGATGCGGTAGCACTTCTTTTTGTGCGCCTTAATTGAGGCATATCGGAGGGGAGGGGTGGATAGTGGCGTCGGGCGGGGGAGGTATCGAGGTGGGAGTCTTCATCGTCTTGCGGACCGCTTGGATGAGTCGATGGATCCTGGAGTACCTGCTACTCAGCAAAAAGACAACACTCCGTACGGCGCACAGTACGCTGTGCGTATTTGTCAGACAGTCGAGCACAAGCACGGCGATTTGTCCGATACGTGGAACAAGACAAAGAAACATGATCTTCGTAGAGGAGGTCTGGTCACCTTGGTTGTTGTGGTGCAACCCACAGGGTGGGACTTGGCCGTCCCTCCCCCAAAGTGCTTGACCGGTCAAAGATGGGCCCCTGCACCATGCAGGAAGCCCTGACTTGCTTTTTTACCAAAGACCTGTTTGCTTCTATCGGATTGCAGTTTTTGCTTCGTATACGGAGCTGACGGCACGGACTGGGTGGGTAACAAGCGGATGTGACTGGTCTTTCTCGTTCATGAGGATGGTTGGAATTCGGCGGTCAGGTCGTCAGACTTCACACCGGTCTGGGGCACTGCTCCACTTTGACCACTCAGAGACTATAATATTCACTTGTAACTGTCTGTGAACCGCCTCAACAAGTAGAAAAGTTGGCAGTGCAGGAGAAGGAACTTCGAGGTGTCATCTATCGAGGTACTCGACACGCCGGGCATACTAGACCTCGCTACGTGCAGACCCGTGGGTCGTGTCTGGCATTGGGCTACTTCGTGAGACCTTTCTCCTGCCTTTGCGCCGGTATGTGGGGAATCCCTGGCTATAATCGCGTGTCGGGTGTTGATAATCGAGTGTCTTGGTACTGCCCACTGCAAAGTTGTTGTGTCGGCTTGAAGAACAATTGCTTGGAGACTGTCTCTCGATGCTTCACCACGCGCCATCTGCTGCACACAGATTCCCTACTCATAGGCACAAGTGTACTCCCCTCCTCTCTTGGGCCCATTGTAAGGGGACCGTGCGATAAATATGGATGCATCCGCTCAGCTGCCAGGTCGAGAGGCACAGGGCACTCTCCCAGACAGAATCCCAACAAGACGACAACATGTTGAGGCACACTACCAATGTGTTGGCAGCGCTGAGATCTTCGGGAATTCCGGAAGAGACCTTGCGCTGGTTGGTGTGTTGGATTCAACGTGCCATTGACTTGCCCGTGAGAGAATGGCAACGTCTCCGTTTCCTCTGCGAGAACTCGACCAAAAGAGGTTAATCCCTAGATTCAATACTACTTCTTCACATGTCACAGACCATGTTCGCGGCGGCGACAGGGCTTAGGATCTCGCAGCTTGTCGCGGCTCGCGGGTAGGGGCAGACGCCCTTTGAGCCTCTCTGGCTGCAGGTCCGATGTCAGTCCTATACTATACCGTATAGGAAACCAGTATGCGTATGTGTTCCACCAAGATCATCCCAGACATGGAAGAGGGGTCGAGCGAGCGAGGTCTCAAGAAGACCTGGAGATAAAACACAACACAATGAATGCGTACTTGTCTGCACAGAGCGTTGGAATAGCCGGCTCAAATCCATACACCGGGTTTTTGCCAACAAAGGGCATCATGATTATGGAGACTTGCACCACGTTCCTGGAGAAGAACAGCCGACGTCAATGTTGTGTGTCCCAATGGGGGCTTCTGCATCAGGCCTGCATGTGTCACTCGTCGCCTCGAAGATCATACAGCAGAACAGCTGCCTTCAATGGCTGATTGCCCGGACGACGACGACAATGAGATTGCCATGCAGGGTGGCGTTGTAGCTCGCCTGCCGCTCCATGGCATGATAACATTTCATCAGCATCAGATAAGAGCGTTGAGCCCATATCACTCGGGCGGACGCCACATGGTGTCGCATGGAGGTCCTCGAAAGACGAGTGACGATACGACTCCCCCCCCCCCCCTGCTGCATCGACAAAGTAAATCTTAACCTAGCTTGTTCTGCTCAGAGAGTCATAGCCCAAGACCACGGTCGGCCAGAGTTCTCGAACTTCGGGCGTCGGAACGACTCGTCAGATCTCTGAGATGGTGGTATTGGGAATAAGGCGGCGTGACCCGACTGTTCGCAGCGGTCGCCTAGTCTGATAGGCGGTTGGCCGTGCTGAAAAAAAACCTTGTCATGATGGAATGCCAAGAGGGAATGAATTGAAGGGTCCGTGAGTACCTGCTTACAGACTGTGTTTCGTGTTCATGTCTTTCAGGGACATGACTACGGTCTTGGCTCGGCTCGAATACTTCAATCGACTTAGGGTATGTCAGGGTGAGAGAACCGTCCCGCGACTTTCGACTTACAAATTGGTCTTTGGTGCCCAAGTATGTTTTAGGCACCAATGTGACCATCCCGTAGGCGTTGCTTCGTGTGCTCTACGAAGTGTGAAGAGGTAGTAGTCCCAAGGTAGATCGTGCAGAGCCGCAAATCACCAGTGCTAGCATGAGGTCCGGCAGTGATCTTCAAGCTTCCCTGCTCGTCGGATATACCTTGATCACGAGATCGGACTGTGGGAGACGGTCCCAAGCCTCACAGAACTAGTCCAAGCGGTGTGTAGTTAAGAGCGTGAGGCTGCGAAGCCCGTCCATACGCTGCACCCGAGCGAGCAGCTCGATTGCCCGGTAGACTGCCAGTAAATTACGCCTCATGATGCACTTGTGCACGTGCAGTGGCGAGCGTCTCCGTGATTATAGGCAGTGGGACCGCATACAATCTCCAAATGTTATCAGGCGGAGGCAAGGGGCAGTCCTGATCATGTGGCCCCTTTTCTGCCGAAGTACTAGTGCTTATGCAGCGGTTCAATGGACGATATCGTTCCATGCTCAGGACATTCCAACATGATGGCGCAGGTGTGTGTACAACATGTGTGCGTGCGTTTTGTGTCCTAGACGCACAATTTCTTGGATACCATGCCACAGATCGGCTTGAGAAGGACCTGCAGCTGCTAAGGTGGAGAGCATGCACGAGCAAATCGCGAATACCCTTGCTGCAGCGAGCCAGTCCCTTGGGTCAACTGTACGGTATCGATCCGGACTCAGGCTCCAGACCCAGCTGAGATGTACGAGAACATCCCTGGCTGTAGACCTCGGAAACACGTAGATCCGCCGGCAGTGCCGTTCAGGCGCCATTGCATTGGATTCGACCGAGACGCAGTAGTCTCGATGATGTAATTGCAGAAGCATGGTGGCCACTGAGCCTGACATACATAGTAATATGTAGTAATGCTGACTGTTCCAGGCTTATGCTGCGGCGCTCCAAGATCTTTTCGTAGAGAATCCAAAGCCGTGGAACGTTGATTGCCTCATCCTGCTCTAGTGCCCGTCACTGTCTCGATTAATGGGCACCAATGCGCAAGGGGCCGCCAACGGTGATGATCAACACAGGCCAGTTAGGTGCGGAGGCGCGGTCGGCTACATGAAAGCAAGGTCCTTAGGGCCGCGCGTGATGTTCATCGAGTGAAATGGTTGGCCAGATTTCATTATTGTTAGCCTTCAGACCGGGGAGCACCAGAATTCATAGCGGTTCTCCCAAGATCTGAGCCAGCTTGGGCTCTCCTGTTAAAACCTGTGATAAGTCCGGTCAGTTCGAATTGTCGAGGTATATTTGTGACTGACCACGGCAAATTATTCGAACAACCATCTACAACCCTCCCCCGCGGGACCATGATAGAATCCCAGGAGATCTTGCATCGGGTAGCTTGACGCTCGCAATGTAGGAGCTTGAGCTCGAGCCCTAGGAAGAGGCGGTAAAATGCAATCCAAAGGGTTCGACGCTCGACCAAGGACCTGGGCAAGGAAAAACGCGAGTCCCACAAAATTCTCTGCTGGACAGTCGGTGCTTCTGAAGGGCATATTCGGTAATACGACCCATTTCAGGAAAGCCCGACTAGCCCATATGAGCACCCTTTGTGATGTATCACACCAGAAGATCAGAAGAACCCCATCTCCAAGCTCCCACCACTTGAACTGGAAAGTGTTGCGAAATCCCCAGCTCGCACGCCACTCTCGGCATGGCAAGGTCGACGACGGGCCTGGTAGAAGCAGGCATGCAGCAGGAGATGCAAGTTGGTGAAGCCACATTACCAGACGAGCGGTTGAGGGTGAAGGTGGCAAGGTGGTGATGGTGGTGGTAACAAGTGACAGTGTATCCGAGGTTTCCGAGAAGCGTCATCTTCAGGAGTAAGGCCTGGGTGAATGGGTTTCGAATGGCATGGTACCATAGCAGAGAGGTGTTGGCAAGGGGTGTTAGACGGTCAGTGGGTGGCACTGCGTACTATGTACTATGTAATCAATATCCTGCCGTGCCTGCTCGGGGTCCTTATTGCCGATTGGCGAGGAGGTGAGGCGGCTGTCGCTCCTCGACCAGGGGCCTAAAAAGCGAGGCGGTCACTGGTCGTCTGATCTGTGTTGGGCTCCGCACGACGCATGGACGGGCCATTCACCCCAGAGCAAGAGCCTTTGCTGATTGAGTACAGGTTGATCCCCTGTGCCCAGCTGTGCCGTGCCAAGGGCGGAGACCGTGCTGACGATGCAGCATCGAGCCCCCCATGTACCCATGCTGGCCCCGTTATTCTCACCCCTACGCTGACTGATGCATGATAAGGGCTTCGTCTCGTGATGAGATGCATGGCAACGTGTCGACGACGGTTGACGGTTGACGGTGGTGTTGTTGAGAGCAAAGAAGGTGGGGTGAGATGACGCCCGTCGGGTCGTTGGTTGAGTTGTGAGAGCTTGTTAGTCATTAATATTTGCTGAGGGAGGGTACAGGGACTAGGTATCAAGGAGCCAGCTAGGATTGTGCCTGCCCTGTGCTGGCATACCCTAGCTACCCCCTCACCCCAGCTGGCTTGATTGTCATTTGCCAGGAAGAAATGGGCCGCCCCACCTCACCCACCTCACCCACACCCTCCCACAGCCATGTGTGAAGCACCTGGACACTTTGGGGTAGGGGGACCCTTCAGGCCCTTCCCACCTCCCTCCCTTCCAAGGACAAGGAGGAGGCACAGGAGGGCCCCATCTCGAGTATCTCATCTCGAATATTGAGTCAGGGTCGATCCGCCTTTCCAACAAAGCTCTAGGAAGATAGTACTCGAGTCGGAGACAACCGCCTCAGTCAAACCTGGACGTTGGTCGACCACCTCTCCTTATTGGACCTGGAACTACTCGAGTCCAGTCCAGTCCAGTATTGTTGCAATCGCTCCCGGTTTCTTGTTTTGCTTTTGTGGCCTCATCCCGACCAAGGGACCGATTGGAGAGGAGGACGCGTATGGTCAGATTATCTCCCTCCTCTTGCTCGCGGGCTCGCTGAGATGACAGCCGTTATATAGGAGAACCCGTTATACCATCCAAAACTCGCCTTCTAGGCCATTCCATCCCCGGGCCCTTGCCAGTGGCCTAACTAGTGCCCTGTCACACCCCTACCTCAAGGACCAGGACCCTCCAGAGCGATATCACTTGTCGATTTGGTTGGCCCCCCTTCCTCCCTTCTTCAGAGTTCCCTCGTACTCACGGCAAGTCTGGACGCTTCGACCCTGACCTGCATTCGTCTCGTTCCAAAGGTCGCCTCTGCCTTGAACGTACGTGCCACCTCAACCTCGTCTGGACCACCGACACCTCCAAGGCAAAGACTACAAAGTTCGACAGGATCATCAAGGTGCCTTTCTTCAGGCTCCCTTGACTTTCTCGGGTATGACTGCAGGTGGCTGCAGCGTACAAGCATCCCGCCCAGCACCACTCAACTACCAGCAGCAGCGGGGCAGCGTCACCTGTTCTGCTTGAAGCACTCCTTCCTGTCGTGACCCCACGCTGGCAGGAATACCATCACTTAAACAGCGACATCATTGTCTCATATCTTGGCACCTTTCAATTCCTCTGCCCTTCTCTGTCCCTCTCGACGCTCTCGGCTGCTACCGAGACCGAGACTGGGACTGAAAGGCTCATTGGCAACAGCCGCGCACCCAGGCACTTGACCGCTACTCGAGACGTCGCTTCCCAAGGTGCGGGCTCTCAGGCCCCTCTTCAAAAAGAGATACAGGGTTGCACAGGTTCCCCGGAAAAGAAGAAAAATCGGCCGTGAACCCAACCCAACTCAACACTCGAGCTCACGAATTGACAACATCCCGGTCCAGAGTCAGATTGCACGGAACGAAGACCTGGCGTCTTTTAGCCGGACCTGGGCGTGAATCGCAACCAGACCTGGGCATTTATTCGAGTCCCCACCCTTTTCAGCGCCCTCCTCTGGCCTGTGCCAGATCTTGATGAGGCTCGTGAGGGTCTCGTTCTTTGTGTGCCAGAGCCCATCGCAGCCCAGCTGTCATATACTGTATCTACCCCTCTTTCCTATCTGACTCGCGTGCCCCAGATCGTCCTGTGCAATGGCTGGCAGACCGGTGAGCGGGGGGTGGTCGAAGCACTGCGGCCAGTTGCTCTACCGAAGGCGTAGCATTGCACATTATGCGCGGCGCTCATAGCTGCTCGCTTAACCACCAGCAGCTCCCACCGAGTACTGCCAGCGACTCCCGACAATATCTACCTAACCCTCTTTATACTTGTTGCCTCAGCTCTTGGAGTTACTCGCTGCCGGGATGTGATAGCTGACGTTGCACTCAGACAGCGGCGCCTGTCAGGGTTGGTTTTCACCGGCCCCAAAGCCTTTGACAATTAGCTGCCATCGTTACTCGCTCCACAGCCAGCTCCTCTCGTGTTCCCACGTCGAATCAGTACTTGTTTGGGACTGAGTTCGTGGGCACGTGCACCAGGCGGGGAGTTTATCACGATCTTGACGTCTAAGGACCTGTTGCATTCCGATTAACGCCCAAGATCGAAGCTTGGTGAAAGTCAACAACGCGGTGGCGACGGCACCAGGGACGAAAGCCTGCGCGCCTCTACGTCCAGCTACAAGGCTTTGCTCTGAACGAGTTGCGACGCCCCTGGCCGTCAGGACCTTACTCGCAGTCGCCAGATCGAGCGTCGTATCGTGCTGTCTTAAAAGACCAGCATCGCAAAGCAGCCCGAAGTTCAACCCCTCGTCTTTCTCAGCCAGCCGGATTGCTGGTGCAGCATTTGGAGGCTCACCGGTCACAGCTTATAACCGCTCAGCCCCACCGACTGGGTCAAAGAGCTTCAGGGCCCCTCTGAAAGCCCGCTACGTGTGGAGGGGTCGAGCAGCAGAATTGCATCAAGCCCCTACGTAACCTTTCCGGTTCTGCAGCGGAGCCCCCCTTCTCTTCCTACTACCTTGGGCTTTGCACTCACCCGCCTTCCTCCCGACTGTTTTCCTTGCTTGCGACCCTCCCTTCTTTACCTCTTGATCCCTGTCATTCTTTTTCTTTAGACTGCTCAGAAGACACTGCTACTTTTGCCACCAGCCTCTGCCGTTTGGCACACTGTTCCAGTTACAGGCGCTCCCTGTCCTGAGGCTACCTTGCCGTGAGGAATAGCTGTGCTAGTGTCTGACTGCTCTTTGGTATCTCGGTTAGCACCGTGCTGACCGTTGCTACTGAGTGCCCTGAAGAGAACTGGCTGACCGGCGTGTGGGTGGTCTGTTGTGATAGCTACTCGGCTCTTGACTGAAGACTCGAAGGACCCCGAAATCTACGGCCTTTACGAACGGTACTTCTGAGCAAGTCACACTCAAGTCGACAGTGTGTGGTGCTGTCCGCCACACATCTTGAAATTATGGTAAGGTTCTTCATACCATGGTCTATGACAAAACGGTAGACCGCATTCATATACTATCGATCCACCAACCTCATCCTCACCACTTTCTTGTAACAACCTGTCCTGCTTCATTGCTGCCTCTTTTCTTTCTTCTTTCTCATCTTCCCCTCCTCTCTACCCTTTCTTCTTCTTCTTCGTCTACTTTTTCTCCTCCCCCAAGGCTTCATCTCATTTTTACTTGTGCTCTTACCGCCTGTACACCAAAAGCTCTACCCGTGCTGTCATCTTGGCTGTGCCGCTAGTTAACTCTTTCCAGGAGGACAATACCCCCAGACGCCGTACTCACGGCATCGTGGGAGATCTTTCAGGCCAAGCACTGGGTAACCCACCTGAGGCCTCATCATTTTCGCCATTCCTGGGTTTTCCTCCAAACACCGTGCCCGCCTTGCCCGCCTACCCTCTGGGGCAGCAAGTCGTTCTCACTCCGTCTCTTCCTTTTGAAGGCGCCCCGACACAAGAAACACCCGTCTATTACGATACAGACTATCAGCAGAACCAGCAAGTCTTCCAGCGCCAAGCACAACACTATTCGCAGTATCAAGCAGACCTTCATCGCAACGAGGTCCAGTTATATTCGCAAGGCGCCTGGAAAAGACAGCGGCTCGATACGAACATGCAATTCTCTCTCTTTTCGAAAGCTCCTCTCCCTCATGCTGAGGAGCAAAAATCGCCTGGGTCAGAGTATCCCCACAATGAGGGTGCTATGCAATGTTCACCGTCCGCGTTTGCCCCCTTTAGGGAGTGCCTTGGGGGACTGGTTTCATCAATGCCGGCCTACCAGGATCAGCCGCCACCAGGTAAGGAAGTTGCCTTGTTCGTTCAATGATTCTCGTCTGCTCACACAGAATTTCTAGAGTATCAACCCATTCCATCTACGCCAATGTTCGAGACGCCGCCACAAGCATACTCAACAGATCTGCGGTCCCCGGGTTTGTCTGGGCCACTCCAGCACCAGACAGTCACCGGCCCCGTTCTTGAACAGCCTCAAATTCTGATGCAAATGCCCCAAGACTCTGTCACCACTCGACAGCTGCAAATTCAGTACCCTGCTCTCGAGCCGGCGATGCACCATCCAAGCATGCAGCCCAGCGCTCAGGTTCACAGGCCTTATGAGCGCCAGGGTGTGCCTCAGAGCGTTCCAGATGTAGCTCCTGGTCCACCGAAGCTGGAGAGCCCGCAGCAAGACCTACAAAGCGGTGAATATCAGATGGCCTCAACCTACTCCGTGGTTCAATACTCGCCTTCTGGCCTCACAGGCTCTCAGCCAAAGGTGTACCGATCCCAAAGAAAAGGCAGATCGCAGCGCCGGCCACAACCTTCTGCTGCCGAGTATTATCTGACTCCGGGTTCTGTGAGGAACGAGCACTTCTTGTACCAAATTGAGACCCATGAAGAGCTCCCGGTCGTCCTGACGAATCAGAAACCTCCGCCAACTAAGCGGGGCCCCTTCAGAGACCCGAGAAAACGTCAATTAACCGCTCTGGTGAGGAAGTACGGTTGCTGTATTCGCTGCCGGATGCAGCGCATTCGCGTAAGTACAGCTGATTGGCTCCACGAAATTCCGTGCGAGCACTAACTAGGCCTTAGTGCGAGTTCGCTATAGAGACACCGGATGATATTGATGCTCCATGTGAAGCTTGCCTGAAGCTGATGAAAAATTCTCAAATTCCTCGAATTCCTTGCCGCCGATGGAAGCTGGTCGACGTGAAGCTCTCGAAATCGGGCAATGCTGAATGGACCTATCGCTGGAAGAACAGCACCTCTCTGCCTGAGATCAGCAAGTGGCAAGACACCAACGATAGAGTAATCCACCTGGATGACGGGTTTACAAAGACGATTCGTGTCAGGGTTCGCCGATTCAAAGTGATGGAAGGCGACCAAAAGACACGAAAGTTCTTCAACTACGACACTGGACGGACGGACGAGATTGACATGAAACCCTTTGCTCTAGTCGATGTTGCTGATGCAAAGCTGCAATATGAGAGGTACCTGACAGAAAGCCAGGAGCACATCTTCAAGACACTTCTCGGGGATAAGCAGAAGCTCCTCTGGAGGACGTACCACATGGCTCAAAAGAGAAGAGACGACCCCGCGACGCCTCTCCGGGAGCGAGACCTACTGGTTAAGACCCTGAGGCTTTGGGTTGCCGTTCGCCTGACGACCAGGTCTTTCCACATTGCAGGGGAAGGGAAAGATTTGCTCGGGCAAAAACCAGACTCAAAAGGCAGAATTCTGTTGCACCCCGTCTTCGGTAAGTCTTCCTCTCCCTTTTCCTCCCGGAGACATATTTGCTGACGCGGGAGTGGTACGTGCAGGCCAGCAGCTAGACAAGGTGCTCCTCGACCATGTCCTGTTCAAGCTTCGACGGCAGACCTTGGATCTTTTACAATCCATCACGCAGCAGAAAAAACGACAGTCGTGGTTGACGACTTATCTGGTGTCCTTCATCTTGCTGCACAATGTTGCACTTATCACGCGTCATGACAGGGACCGTGCTGAAAAGCATGGTGTGAATGTTGATAAAGTAAGTGGACACTGAACAAACATCGGGCTTGGGCTCCTGGTGAGTAGACTACTTGCATGATGATTGACCGTGCTGCCTGGGTACAGAAACCACTAGCGGTATGGCACAGGGCGGACAACGTCCAGGAATATCACCTAGGTGAGTATTAGTCCGATACCCGTTCTTGCTGTGATCTGATGAAGATTGTGCGGGATGTATAATGAGTCTGCTGCTGACATACGGTGTATAACAGGGGCAAACATCATTTTGGCCTACTTTCATTACTGCGTTAAGGGTATCCAACCTTTCTCGCACGGCTGCAAATCCTCAGATCTCGATGGTCTTGCCGAGTTAGACGCAGAGGGCAGGGCGTATGTCATGTGGGCCAGGGATGAGCTCCTCCAGTATAGTCAGTCCAAGGCAAATTTTTTTTCCCCCTCTTATCACTCTTTCCTTTTTGGTATCGGTTGTTCTTCTTTCGGTAGTGTAGATATCAAGATCGGCTCGACCAGTCTTTGTTGTCACTTGTCGTCAGAGGTTGTAGCAAAGCAATCTGCGCATGGGCTGGTAGGTTACTAATCCATGCGAAAACAGGAGCCCATTGGGAGTACCTCAAGGCCATACGCCTCCAGACTGAATCGACTATCAATGCCGATGAGCACACGGAACTGGCGAATGCCTACAGCGATGACTACTACTTCGTCAGCCAGCTCTATGAGCAAGATTGGTACCCTCGAGACTCAATTGTCGACAGACAGAGCACCAGAAGAATCGGTCCGGTTCGCAAGGAGAGCCGTACCTCTCGACGAGACCGACTGATGAAACGAGTGAGCGCAGAGGTACAGGAATGCTGCTCTTCATAAAGGCCGCCTTCGGAATCATTTTTTCGGGGCAAGCAAAATCACGCTGCATACACACAACGGTCTGCGGCCGGTCTGAATCTCGAATGACGGCCACCATGCTTGTTTTGCTTTTAGTTTGCGAGCGACGATACCTTTCTTTGCCACGATAACCAACGATAGTACAAAGGGTGTTCTTAGTGGTCTTAGTCTTTCGTGGGTTGCATGTTTAGCTGGACATCGGCGGAGGGTTTTTGGGACCTACCTGAGCACATCTCTGGTCCTTCGATGACGGTGAATAGGTAAATAGCCGGCTTCACCCGGCTTCTTGGCTTTTCCCAATTGGGGTTTTATGTTTGGGCCGGCAAAGAAAAGGGCCATCACTGGGAAGGTCAATTCGTTTCTTTACGGGCGTAATGTCGCGGCGGCTGTTTTCACTCCGTTCGCGCTCTCTGGGCCACCGTCTCCTTGAGACAATGGCCCATGAAAGCTGCATAACGGAGTACGTCTGCTGCATCTCGGGTTGTAATTGGATCGGGTCGGAACTTTCATGACTCGTGCGGTGGTATTGTTGAGTGTTTCCTTTTCTTATATATTTTTATTGTGACTTTTTGCTTTCTTTTAATCTATGTTCCTTCAGGGGGCTTATGCAACGGACAGTGTCTCTCTTTGGTAGGATCTTTGTCTCTCGAGGGAGTCTGCCTATTTCTTTTTCTGTGATTTTTGAGCAATTGTAACCGAGTAGGGGACGGTAATCTGGTCGGTTTGGACAGAGAAAATTAGCTTCAACAATAAACGCATGATGTTACGACAGCTGTTACATCCATGCTACATGTGTAATATGGTAAATAAGAGGGTCTCATCAATGGAGACCCACCGATCTCTTTTTCTTCTGTGGTACATTGCCAGGGCAGGCAGACCTTGATTTCCGAATTTAATAAATGAGATCCCGCTCTCAGGTATCACATTGAAGTCGGAGAAAAGGCAGAAGCAACATGCGGCGAAGGAAGGCGTTGATAAATTGCGGATCTTTGTGCTCTGGACTCTGCAAAAGTTGATTCCGGTGCAATCATGGTGAATCATATCGGTTGCACCTCCCGCCACAGGCGTCACTGGCTTTTGTGTGCGATCATGAACTGTTGATGTCGTGTGTGTGAGTCTGTGTCTGTGTGTAGATGATAGCGATCCGAGGTCGTTGTTGCCCCATGTCTCTCGATGTGCTACCGCCACCGAGTTTTTGGTGGAAGACGATCTTGGTCTCGGTGACATTGGTGGTTATCTAGCGGTGAAGGTTGAATTCGGCGAGCCAAGGGAAGGGTGTGATGCAGATCGAGAACTCGATTTCAGATGGTTATGCGCGATGACGATGTTCGCCGACGTGCCTTGTCAAGCTGCAAGAGAATACTTTGCTCCGGAATCGAATTGGGTATATGCTGTATGGCAAGATTCTCGTGCGGAGGGCAATTCAGGGCAATCCGGGGCGGCAGGCTGGCGGGGCATCGTGGAAAGTGGACAAGATACGGCCGTGATCTAGAAAATCATACCTGGATCATAGCTGAGGCTGTTACCTTGCTCCAACCTTCTCAGCACAACAGGGGAGGGGGCTTTTCTTTTGCTTTCTCCCCAATGTTGTTGAACGTCTTCCCTGTTTCTATCCTCGTCCTTGCCATCCCTCTGAATACGAGGAAAAGAGAGGAGTACGATTATTTCGCAGATCGAAAAAAACAATCCAGTGTCTGGATCAATCATGAAGAACCATGCGAGGTTACCGTAGGCAGAGAGAGAGGGCTTGAAATTGTGGGTTTCTTAGCCTGTTCGGTTTTCTTGACTTTTCGCCCTTCGCTTTCCTTCTGTTCTTCCCCTCTTTTTTACCCCCTTCTTTTTTTCTTCTTCTTCTCTCAATTTCTTCTCTCTTCCTTCTGGAGAGGCAGCAAAAGCAACAGCCACCTCATCTCATTTATGGATACCCAACAGAAAATACTGGGATAAGCTGAATCGACTGCAGGGTCTCGAATTGTAGTGACACAAGCAAGGGAATGAAACGAAGACGAAATGAACATTTGATTTCTAGGGGAGACAGAAAAAGAAAAGAATAAGGTTTCACTACATGCTATCTGGGTAACTTTGGGATATTTGATTTCAGTGCTCACAATGAACCATCCAGAGCTAATATTGGAAGTTCGGCCTCATCAATTGACTCTGTGCAGAAGTGTGATCTTCATTTGGAGAGAAGTAATGGCATATAACGGCGAAGTCGGAGTGTTATGGGAAGAAAGATGCTTGGGCTGTCGGCCTGTCACTCTTGCCGGCAGAGTGCCAGTTGCCAGGTCCACCGAGGACGGCAAGAGCAGCTAAACCGTCTTCGATGTTCGCCGAAATTACTGAAGGATAAGACTATCTCCAGCGAGAACTGAGAAGAGTGAAGCTACGATGTGCAAGATCTTACCTACTCCTTGGATGGTCTGGGTTGTAGAGAACACCTGGGCCTGTTGGTGCCCAAAGACACACAAGTCGATGAATATCAGATCGTGCAATAGACCAGATATTTTGGGTGGACCAATCATACCCGCACACGATCATGGCTTAACACAAAGTATAGAGTATAGGCCTTGACTTTCAGCTCCCAAGCCCGCTGGGAAGGTAAGTTTGTATTTCCCCCAGTGACAACACAGCCTGCCTTTCCCCCCCTCCTTTGCCAGTTGTCCAAGAACCCTTTGCAAGTTACGGTGTGTGTTGTTTCGCCCCATGGCCAGATGGCCCCCCCTCCCTCCAAAGAAAAATAACCTACCTCCCGAGATTCGTCCGCTACCCAGTGTGTCTCAGCGCTGGACCTTTTTGGACCGCGTCTCGAGGGCTCGAGCGCCTACCACACATGCCGGTGAAGGAGGAGCTGCCCAGCGCGGCACAGCGGGGTTTTTGTTCACACTGGGATAAGTAGTTCGTGGCGTAACAGGAATAAGAAAAGAAGGAAAAAGAAAAGAAGAAGGGAAAAGCAAAGAGAAAGGTGGAAAGGCGGAAACACGGAAAAGCGGACGTTATTCTCCTCTGATTCCTGCAGGTGCTTTCCCTTCGGGTTGTACACAGTACTAAGTAAGTAAGCATTGGAAATTGCTTTTCCGGTTCGTGTAGAACAAGCTTCTACTTACTTAGGTAGATCGATATCACATTTATGATCAGATCTCCTGGAATTACAAATCAGGTTCCACAGCATCTCGCTGTTCCTCGTTGCTTCCGAGATGAGCCTGCCCAGATCATTGGCTGCAGGCGCCCGAGAGGCTTACCTGCTGCGGACGGGAGCACTACACTCTTACTTTTTCTCGACCGATCCGCAGTTGTGGCCACGACATCCATTGCCACGACACCCGTTGGCGACGAGTTGCCAGTATTATGTACGACGAAACAGGAGGGGGAAAAGCAAAATACCTTGCCCTCTTGTGCATGCACACAGAACCTGCCCGCTAGTATCGTCTTCAGCTGAGTACCTTTCTCCAAGACCTTTTCTGCAAGTCAATGGACACCATGCCCAACTCCAGGACGGGAGGATACCATGACTTGAGGTCTACATTGCCCTTCCGAACTACTGTTCCACCCTCAACTTGTTGATCGTTACCTTCTTTACAGAACGGTGAATCAAGCCTGTGAGACTTTTTAATTTAACTTATGCATCCCATGGGAAGTAACCCTATTGTTCCTTCTTCGAGACGGATCGGCCTCAAGGGCCTGGAGCCCAACAAGACAGACGCTGTCGTCTCCGCATGCCTCTCTCGGCTCAGGTCTGGCTTAGCGCCCGTTCTGCAGAGAGAGCCGGGGGGTGGGAGAGGAGGGGCTGTTTCTCTTTCCTGCAGCTCAGGCACCAAACAACCCTAACACAGCTGACTAGGACCAATGTCAGTTCAGTGCCTTGAGTCTGTGGCTACTTCGACCCCGCCCCCTCTTTCCGGGTTCGAGGGTGTGCATGGTTCCCCAACCACATATATTATCCTCCTTCTCAGGGCATATTATATCTTTTGAAGGAGAGTTTTGCAGCTGTTACAACCCTGAAATTTAATTAATTTTTTTTTCTTCTGCAAGGAGGGGTGAGAGCCTGCCGTAGCCGGACGGGAAGAAGGGGCCCGCCCCCCGGGCCAACTTGCTTGTGCGCCATGAGGATCTGGTTTGGAAAATATGGCCACTCAAGGGACTGGCTCCAACAGTCTCGGGACAGGCCTATCATGTTGGTGCAACCCCCAGTCAGTACAAACGACATCATTGTTTTTCTTTGAGGTTCGGCCTAGGCCTTACAGCACGAGATCAGCCCCGTCTAATGGGGTTGCCGCGGCACCACAATCCAGCTGCAGGTTGCTAGTGGCACCTGGCCTGCAGTTATATGTATGTATTTGTTGTTTACCGCATGTCTGCAGGCCGCCGTGAATGGTCATGGACATGCAGCACAGTGTCATGGAAAGATGGCCCTTGACGATTCAATACTTATCATTGTTTCAGGCACACTGATCTATTGCTCCGGGGTCATACCAATGCAGCTTGAATTTTCACTGTGTGCCTCGTATCTGCTGGGTCTGGTTGGGTGTATAGACAAGAAGGAACCTTCCTCAGTTACTTTAGGCGCTTTGCACAATGTCACCGACGGGTAGCCATCCCGGAGACCAGAAGCAGCAAGCCCCCCCCCCCCCCCAATCTACATTTTGCCTTCTTCCAGATGTCTCCCTCCTCCTTGACCATCGTGTTGGGCGCGACTGGCAAGGTGGGCTGGGCTTGGATGTCTCCCTTTTTCTTTCACAATACTATCCTTCTCACCAGAGGGCCACCTGATGTTGTTTTGACCCTGTTGTCCTATTAATTGCCTCCTCCCCGACCTATTCCCCTGGGCTTCTTCTCGTCCTCTCAACTCTACACACTTCTTCAGCTCTGCACACTTCACCATCACCCCTCAACACAAGCAATAACCTCATACTATCACCAATTCTGCCACACTCAAGACTGTGAAGCCCCAGATTTACCACCATCAAAGAGGAGCAGCAGTATAGCCTCCACAACATCACACAAGCATATCATCCCTCACCACCTCGTCCTAGCGTTGACATCTTCACTTCCACACAGCCTTTTTCTTTCCTGGACTGTCTCCAAATTTTCCTTGATTCCATATTGATATTATAGCTCTACCACCTAACACTCCTACGTATTCCTTCTGGCTTTCCTGTCAACATACTCACTACCGACCCCTCCAAGAACAATCAGACCTACACCCTCCCTTCTTTGTCGTCAGCCTCACCTTGATCATGTCTTCAGTGGAGGCTCAGACTATTGTCCCTGCCCCTTGGGCTGATGCCAAGGGCATTGACATGAACAGCAATGCTTTGCCTGAAGGCTTTCCCGCCATGATCCATGGTGATTCTGCCTGGACTGCCACCAATTTCTCCAACAACAATGAGTATATCTATCACCTGAGTGCTGCAGAGGTCTCTGAGGTCAAGCAGGGCCTTGATGGCTTCAAGAGTATGTATCAGGTGTCTATTTCCTTCCTTGTTCTTGTGTTTTGTCTTTGACAGGACCCTCTCCTGGGCACCCTTAGTATTACTTATTCAAGGGTGCTGCTCTGGCCCTCATGTCATCTCAGCCTTGCTTGCCGCACCTGGCTGCCTGTCTCAGATGTCAGCCTTGCATAAAGCTGGTTGCAGTGACGCTAATTAAGCTGTTCTTTTGCAGAGCTGGGTCTCAATGCCACAAAAATCACAGACAAGACCTTCTCACTGCCCACCTTGGGTATCACTCTTCATGACCTGAGCAAGGAAGTCCACAATGGCCGTGGATTTGCTGTCCTGCGAGGCCTCAATACTGAAGACTTCTCTTCTGGCGACCTGACGATGATCTTCATGGGCATCAGTGCCTACATTGGGGACAAGATTGGACGCCAAGACAGGGCTGGAAACTGCCTGGGTAAGAGCAAGAGACTCTAGGACTTTTCAGTGTTGGATCCAGATCATAATACTGACAAAAAAAAATTATGTAGTGCACATTATTGCCGACAAGGCCAATGGCACTCATCATCGCCACTCTACCGATCCAATTGTAAGACCCCTGCCTTCCAGCTCAGGTCTACCCCCACACTAGTACACTTGTTGATATCCCATGATAGAAGTTTCACACTGAGGAGAGCGGCGACTGTATCGCTTGGTTGACGCGAAACGTTGCTCTTGACGGCGGAAAGTGTGTCATCTCTTCGACGGCCACAATCTACAACGTCCTTGCCGCTACTCGACCGGACCTGCTCCGCATCGTAGCTGCCGGTAATTGGCCCTTCGCCTTCCCTCGCTACCAGTGCCGTCCGGTCATGTTCAACCAGGGTGGCAAGGTCCTCTTCAATTTTGGCCGCGCTCCCCTTCTCGGATCATCCATCCACCCCCGCAAGGCTCACCTGCCTACCCTGACCGCTCAGCAGGTTGAGGCCCTTGATGCTATCGAAGCCATCGCTCGTGCCACTGAGTTTTCCTTCGCCACCCAGCCAGGAGACATTCACTTCATTGCTAATCAGACTGTCCTCCATCGTCGAGATGGCTTTACGGATGGCCAGGGGCAGCGCCGACACCTGGTCCGCCTTCGTCTCAGCAGCTCTGCCTACGGCGCCAAGATTCCAGCCCTGAGTCGTGAGTGGAACGATGCCTTTGGAGAAGTTGGTGATCGTGTCTTCCACTTTGATCCCATGCCTTCCCAGTTCTTCCCTCTTCGCAAGTACCCCAACTGAGAGGAAGAGACAAGGGAAAGAGAGAGAGAGAGAGAGGCAGGCGATGAGCCTCCGCCAATTATTGTTCTTGTGCCTGTCTGTGGTTTCCAGGGCAGCAAGCTAAAACCTTATAATCCTGGTCCGGAAACCCTAATTCAGCGCTCGTTTCTATGGTTCTGCGGGTCTGTGATGGGCGTCATGTGCACAGCATTGGGATGGCGTGGTGGGCAAAAAAGGAATTGTTAAGAAGATACCCACCATGGCCTGGATTTTTCTTATGCTTGGGAGTGTCGCCTGCTATGACTTTACTTGATATTAGACAATTATCCCCGATAGCTTATTTCTCACTGTCTCCTCTCCCGTGAAAACAACGAACGATGGGGTTCTGTTGGAATTTTTGCAAGCTTGTAGGAAGGTTGACCTATACACCCCCTTTTCGAGATACAGGTCTCTCAGGTCTGGCAGTGCCTGGACTGGTCAGAAAATTTACAGTTGATACAGGCAGCGCTATGCAGAGAAGTTCAGGGGCTGGCCGATCGGTTTCCAGTGGCCCGTGCTACCTGAGCAGAAACCTACTCTCTTCTTCCTCGGGCTCTGGGCGCACACGTTACAGTAGCACCTTCCCAGCAATCTGTACTTATCAACTTGTCCTTCAACCCCACCTGAGAAGGAACCTCGTGAACGGACCTTTCGTCCCTCTCCTTTGTGGATGAGGGGAAGAAAGGGGAAGAGAGGAGGGGAAGGGTGCCCCAAACAAGACAGCAGTCGACCACGCCCCCTCTTTCCGTCCATCTTGATCACGAATACCGACACCACCGAGCCCACACTCCCCTTCGTGTTCGGCCCTGTTGATCAGATCAACAGGAACGATTGCATGATAGAATGCCACGTTGATTTCAACCCACGGGCTTCCGGAAGACGCGAGGGAGATGGTCTGTGTTCCCGACCTTGCGTCGGCAAAGCCCGGGTCAAGACTTGGAGAGTACGTGGGCGGCTCTAGATCTTGACACCACAGGGGACCTATTCAGCAGAGGAGACGGGATAGCAGTTTGACCCCCAAAGTACCAATCCCAGTTCAAATCACATGTCGAGGCGTAGTGACTATGCTAACGATGCGTTGAAACGGTGGGGAGTAAGGTCGGCGTCCACAAAGAACGAGCAGGGCATACGAAGAAACGACACGATTCCTTTCGATATCTCCAGCGCACTGCCCTAGCCCTGTTGGTCGATAAACCCCGACGGTACAACGCACATCTGCATGCTTCAGCTGCCTCGAGATACCCTCTCCTTCTCGATGAATGGCCAGAGACCTTAGCGAGTCTCCGTAGAAAGCACAGTGATGCTGCAGTTCGATCTTCTTTGGGCGACCGGCAGGAAACATGAGCCCACAGGCGGCTCCCCTCCCCCACCTCTCCGCTCCAAGACCTATATCCCCACCCGGCCGATAGAGACGTGCCCTACAACTCTTGCATTATACACCGGGCTGGGCAATCGATTGCCCACTCATAGTGGGCGACCAGCGTGGCTCGACTTGGGGACTCAACACCATGTCTTGCGAAAAAGACGCCTTAGTCGCTTGACGGCCCGACATGAAGCCCTTGTGTTTGTGTATAGACTGAGTTACCTTGGAGGGCACAGGGCTCAAAGGCCATGACAAGGTGCGTCTGCATTGGGCTTGCAGGACCTTTCGTTAATGGCTGCGTCTGACAAATAACCAGGACTCACTCATGTGGCCGAAAGACTAGAGATGAGATTCCCCTCAAGACTTGACGGTGGTTTTTGTCCAAAACTGAGGCGATGAGCTCGATGCTACATCAAGGAGCGGGAGTCACGGCACCAGACCACGGCCGATGTACAAGACCGACCATGCAGGCCTCTCAAATGGTCTATTGCATCCTAGGGCCTGTGGCCACATACATCGAAAAGAATTCTGGCCGCATATATAGCTGCCTAAACAACGACACAGAGGTGACCGGTGAGAAGCACCGGGAAGCCGGGCGTCTGTGCAAGAGCCCAATGAGCGAGCAGCTTGAGCAGCATTCTGACGAGCAACCTTGCTGTGCAACAGACAACCTCCCAGTGGCTGTGATTAGCCCGCCTCAGAGCTACCAATCCTGTCGCGTATCACATCCGACATCAGATGATCTACACAGATCCTCATATGTACCGTTGCCGTCCCCTCTGGCTCAAGAGGGCGTGTCTCTAGAAAGAGTGCAACCTTGCCCGCGTCTGCTCATGCGGTCTCTTTGGTGGCAAGGATGGTCGCTTGGCGCTTTCTATGGCTACCCCTTTCCAGGACCAAGGCGAGATAGGCTTTTCTCTAAAGGACCGGTCAAGAACCTCCGCTAACATCATGCTACCATCCGGAGGTCGATGATGATGGATCAGTCACAAGTCGACCCCGGCCGACCACTTGCGGCCACCCGGTTCGATGCAACTCGTCAGACCCAACAAAGCAAAGCTACGGCAAGACATGAGAATGAGACGTCGGTGAGGATGACCGGCACTGTGTACATGTAATGTACCCGGCGGCCAGGTATCATCGACATCATGAGCCTCCATGAAGCCTCCCAAGACCATCTGTGTTCCACCGGGGGTTGAGGATAGGACATGAAGTCGAAAGAAGGTTTGTTCCGCAGCGGGGCCGGTCTTGGACCCTGGCGCCCTGGCGCCGTTCCACGGTGGCGGTGAACAGGGACGACCGTTGTTGGAATCCGGAGGCTCGTGCTAAAGCACATTTCCCCAGGCGGTCGGGCGGGAGCTAGGGGACGGCTTTGTTTCGTGCTTATGGTGGATCTGGTCCAAAGTTTGGTACGAGATGGTGCGCTGCGCAGATCTCCACCTTACCTGAGCTTTGTTGTATTGGCAAAAGGGAGGGTCTTGATCGTGTGGTGAGAACTTGGGCGGGATCGGGGAAGGTCGATAAGCCTTACGGCTTCACTGCAGACGCTCTCAGGAGGCATGCCTTTCCGATCCCGTTAGCGCCCAGCTATCAGCCGGTCCATCATTCATCAAATTGAGTAGGGCTGCAGCACACCCATTCGGGGCTGCCTTCTTTCCCAAGGGCCTCAATATGGGCGGATCGCTGATGACTACTCTCTTCTCATTCTCTCTTCCCCTTTCATTCGAGGAAGATTCGTATTCGGGTAGGACTCTCAAGGTTCCTGAAATCCCATCCCGCTGCGGTACCCGGATCCTAAGGAGCCTCTTCAACACCTAACGCATCTATGCACTCTGTGTCCTCATCCTCAGTGGTCTTTTGCGCTGAGGACGGGTACTCCTCTTGCAGGTGGGTCACTGACGCCTCCTGTTTCGTTGAGACAACGGACATGTTCTCCAGGAGCAGGGGCTATATCACGTCAAGGTGCAGAGAGGGAAACCCAGGAACTTGCCGATCCGTGGGTCGGTTGCCCCGGGAGCAGATCCTGGCTTCTCTCGATTGCATGCAGACCGACATGCCATGCATGTTCGCTGACTGATCTCATAACAGCGCGCAAATCACGAGTTCGAGCTAGCTCAACGTCGGATACAAGGCCGAATAGCTTTCAATAGACCGGCGAAAGGGCATGAGAAATAGCGTCTCGACTGAACGATCCGCCCAGCGCTGTTTCGGTTTCTGCTCCACGGATAAACTTTTGCAGTCACACTCAAGCAGGTGCAACTTTTCGAGAACGTGACAGCCGCCTTGATATCACGTTGGATTTTTTTGCCACCCACTGTTTGTTTTGCACAGATGATATTTCCACTCTCAGGTTCGCGCCGAGGACACCCTGTTGGCTCGACTGACGGAATTGATATAGAGGACAGCCTACAAAGCCAGAGGTAACATCGCAGTACAACCTTGCTCATCTCGAGAGATTGCTGCAGAAGTCGACCATGAGGTCATGATGATTCCCTTGTCTTGCAGCGCTACAACGTTTGACCTATAGACCTTCTATCTGTCCGCCATCGGGCATGAGTCGCCAAACGAACCTAGGTGCGGTGGTTTGGTCCCTGTCGAAGGCCAATTGGGTACGCGCGTCTGTGATGGATGCTCGCAGCTGGTAACGTGATTCCGCCATAACGACGTGTCTCGACAGAGAACCTTGTGATGCGAGCTCCCAACCCACTGCCATCCCTCCACCCCCCCCCCCCTCTCTCCAAGAGATCAGCAGAGATTACGGAATGCGTGGTGACATTGGTGATACCCATCTGCATGGACTTGGCTTCTTTGGTCAGAGCGTGACTATCTGGTACTGGATGCCCAGCTGCGCGTCCAGACTCTTCTGCCGAGATTCGGATTTTCCCCTTTAGGAGTTAGCCTTGTCCCAACTGTGACGTCCGAGAATGGAGCTAACGACAAAGGAAGGCTGTCACAATAGCCCTAGAGCCACCGAATAACTTTTGGGCAGTGGTAACAGTGGGCGGGCCTGGATCATGCTGGGAAATGAGTATGTAGCCACAGAGAAGGGAGAAGAGTTAGCTGGGTCTACAAGCTTCAATTTGACGAAAAGCAGCATTACATGCAGGGTCATGGAACACTTTCTAGAGACATACCAGGCTATGTATCATATGAAGCGGTAAGCGCGTTATATAGGTAAGTAGAGGCTTCTTTATAGGCGCATTCAAGGATGTTTGATATAGCTTTGAAGAATGATACAAGATGTGTTCGCTCACAAAACAAACCCAGCACGTGTCAGGAGGTATTGACTTTCATTCAGAAATTAGTAGAAAAAGCTGGGCCCTCCAGACCTTCTCTCCATGTGAGGCTGAAAAGCTGTCTTGTCCAGTGGCTGAGACTCTAAAGGCTGCTGAGCGGCTTGAAGCAAATAGCTCTGCCCCCTTCCTGGATGGTCTGGCCACTGTTGAGCATTGAGGGACAAGAGCTGTATCAGAAGAAGGATCCGTTGCTATGCATAATTTTCTCTGTATTTACTCGACTGAGGGAAAATTCTGTACACCTGTTCTCGTCAAGGCAAGAAGGGTCTTTTGATCAGCACATGGCTGAACATCAGTTGCTTTAGATATTCCATTCTTGGGAGGAGTGGTATGGTTCCTGTTCTTCTTCGGGTCCTCTTGAAGTAATCTTCCCTCACACTTATCTCCAAGCATAACTGATTTTTTTTTTCTGCTTCTATTTTTCAATTCCTGACCCATGTGCTGATAGATCTAAATTCCGGAGTAATTTATGATGGGTTCCTAGTACCTACCTGCTTCTTTTTTTTTTTTTTTTTGGGCCTGTTCATATACAAATCAGATCATCAAAGGCAATGAACTGTCTTCTCGACTGAGCGGTCCTCGTCCGCCTTGTTGTTGCTCTCACCTCCCACCAAATGCCCTCCGAAACAGACCCAGGGAGCCAGTCTCACTCATCATCTGGCGTCTATTCCCCACACATCCTCATTGTAAAATCAAATTGACAGTCCTTGATAAGAATCAGATGCGTGTACTGTCATACTTTTTACATTTTCGAGCCCGGTAAACACAACCCCCCTCCCCCTTCTCTGCCCCCCCCCAATCATTTCTGCGTGTTGTATGCTTGTGTCAAGAACCAGGCTCTCTTTGCGGTTATATTCACAAACTTCGCGTTCTTTTCATGGAAAACCAGTGACGTCGTCTCTGTGCTCAAAAAAGGAGCTGGATGAATCATAAAGGATCCGTTCATAGCGGTCAAGTTTGTTGGTGGGTGAGGGTTCCTCGCTGATGGAGAGAGAGACAGGGGGAGAGAGAGAGAGAGAGAGAGAGTAGCCGATGTATTCAACAGTAGAATTAAGAGAAGAGGAGCAGAAAGAAGAAAAAGAAGCTTATTTGAGTCTCGGCAAGTAATAGTGTCGGGCTGTCTGCAGTGGGCTGATGATCTAATTACCGTTCAAGATACTTGAGACAACACGCTTTTTTGCGTGACGGTTTCCAACGTCTTATATCTCCACCCTCATGACCATCGAGGACAAACGATTGAGGACGACAAACTTACAAATACACATGAACCACGACTCAAGTAACGGGAGAGAAAGCTTAAAAGACGAGCCACACAGACAAAGAAGAAAAAGAAAGATTGACCATAGTAAATTGCCTTCTCCTTAGCCCAGCTCTTCTCATGCCCAACATGGGCCAAGGCATTCTGGGTTTTCCCACAAGAAGAAGCTTCGGGCTGCTTCACATTAGATTGCATGGACGTCCCATGTCTCTCTGTTCTCAAATTCTTCGCTCGAACCCCTTATCCGCCACCGTCATCATTCACGTTCTCCATAGCATCGCCAGCCCCTTCTGCAAAATCAATGGGACCCGTACCTTGAACGGCTTGCAAAGTATAATGAAAATCATTGTCCATCTCGAAGGCCTGTCCGGCGGTATTCTCGGTCGCCTGACCCGCCACAGGCTCAAAAGAAGTTATACCACCCTGCCCACCGTTGCCATGCTCAGTTCCATTCAACACGTTGCCCTCAGAAGAATCGTCAGACTGGGTTTCGAAGATAAACGAACCGTCCTCGTCGGAAGCAGTCCCATCAAGCCCCTCCAGACCCTGGATAGGAGGCCCGCCGTGGACCCCGACAGGACAATTGCTCTTGCTCCCTCCAGCAAAGTTCACCTGTGACGTCCCGACTGCAGACTCGAGATCAGACTCGGAATGATGAATCTGCGGGGGCCGGTGGATCTTTTCCTCGTCCTCCTCGTTGCGGCGGGCCAGTGCCGACGCACGGCGGCTGATGTCCCACTCCTTTCGCCAGGCCCTCTCCTCCCACTCCGACTCCGCCTCGGCCCCGTCCGGCCGTCTGGCGATTTCATACTGCAGTATGTCGTGATTCATATAGTGCAGGATCAGGCGCCACCGCCTCGGCGGACTGGCGGCCCCCTCTTCCTCCTCTGCCTCCACCGCCGCCGTCACCGCCCTCCTTCCATCAGCACCACGATGCCGCCACCGCCGCCCGCCGTGCGCATGTTGCCGTTCCGCCCTGAGTTTCAGTCCAGTGGCACGACCCTCGGGGACAGGCGACACCGCAATTCCCAGGAGACACACATAAGGCCGCTGCTTACGCGTGTCCTCGCTTTCGAACGGCAGCACGGCATCCACGCGGAAGGCGCGCTCGGGGATGTTTTTGGGCGGTGTGCCTAGCGGTGGGTTGCTCGGCATTGGTTTCGTAAGCGTGAGCAGCGCGACACGCCCGTTCATGGAGCCCAGGATGACCATGTGAAGCTCCGGGATGGTCAGGAGCATGCTGCAACGTTTACTATATGGCATGTCCCACGGGCCACGCCCCTGTCCCGGATTCACGTCGCCGAGCACGTTGTGGCAGACGACGCCGCAGGTCTGGCTGGTGTCGGCCAGACTCAGGATCTCGACGTCCTCCCTATTGGCGCGTAGAAAACTCACGCCCGCCAGGAAATGCGCCGTTTCGGGCTCGTAGCCTCTGCTGTCGCGGAACTCGGCCAGCGTGAGCGCGCGGGGCAGGCGGGCCCTGCGCGACTGAGAGGACTCGGGACCCACAAAGTCGGCAAGTTCCTCATAGTCGTCAAATGAGGGGCGGTGCTCGCCATCAAGAGGGACCATGGTCATGGCCAGGAGCTCGCCTTCTTTGTCTCTGAAATCCGGGCGTGCGACCTTGTCCGACACGTTGAGAGGGCGTGTCTCAAATAACACATCGTGGCGGTACAGGCCGTCGTGGGCAGAGCTAAAGTCGTTCTCCTCGTATCGGGCCACGCGGATGGCGTGTGCTTCGTGAGCCGAGTCATGTCGGACGTCAGCCATGCACTTGGACGTGTCCAGCCACGCGCCACGGTTCGTCTTCCCACGGTAGACAGCCTTGCACGGTGCAAGCCCGATGGCTGAGCGGACGGACCGGGTCGGAAGGAGCTGCGAATCAGTGATAGCAAGCACGTTCCAGCCCTGGACTTCCTGGTACATACGATGGCCGTTAGCTGTTGTGTTTGGCGACTGGACGTTGTGCATGGGGACTTTGAAAGGCCTGGTGCAGAGGGACCAGATGTCGGCAACAAACAGGGCCCCGGTGATGTCGATAACTGCGATACGGTCTGCATAACCCCTCGGGTCCTCGCAGAAGGACAAGCTCGGGAGATTGGAAGACTCGGGGCCCATTGGGATGATGATCCTCCAGGGACGCCGCCGGTCACAATACCGCCGCTCGAGCTGGCCGATCTCGTTCATGTGTTTCATGGCATGCTTCCTGGCTTTCAGGCACTGACGGTGGGCCGGACTGCTATGGTCGTGGCCTTCTGAGTCACAGCTCTGGTCTTGCAATCTCACATAGATCTGCTGTAGCACACCGGGCTGGACGGGACGGGACCGCAACCCTTGCGTGCCGTTGAACATCTCCGTCACGCTCAAGGGCCTGTCCTTGAACTGCGCGTTGGCATCTTGGCCATCCAGCGCAAACGCGAAGACGGTGACCTCATGGGTGTTGGCAGAGACGGCAATCAGCCGGGACTTCTTGTGGATGGCCAGGCCCCATGCTGACATGCCAACGTTGTCGTGGAAGAAATGCTTGGGCGACGGCAGCCTCTCTGCACGGCCGGTCGGGGGGTCATGGTCCTCGTCGTCGCTAACCCCTCCCCCCGCGGACAGGCTGGCCTCGACATCCTGGGCGATGGTGGCCGTGTACCAGGCCACCACCTCGCCGTTGTCCCTGGCGATCAGCAGGATCTCCTTGTCGCCGAGATCGCCGACAAGCATATCATTGACAGCGTTCGTGACGCGAGGGTTGATATGGTTTCGTGTTATATCGGCCATAGGCGTCTGGGACATGAAGGGGTTCAGGATGGCGAGGGGCCGGCCTAGTACCCTCTTGGCATTGCGGTTGGGCTTGTAGACATGTATCCAACCTCTATATGCGACAAAGTAGAGGTTGTAGTACTGAGACATGGCCGTGAGGTTCTTCCGAAGCCTGGAGACCTGAGGGTAGTTGTCCCTGATGTTGGATATCAGCGCCGTGTCCCCCCAGCCATGGACATGTTGAGAAAAGCCTTTCTTCTTTTCTTCTTCTTTTGTCACACCCCCCTCCCCCCCCTTTTTTTCTTCTTTTTCCTTTTCCTTTTCCCTCTCTTCGTCTCGTGTTTTCCTCAGCTTCCTTTCTCTTCTCCTTTTGGACAACCTCTGAGAAGCCCCCCTCTCCCCCCTTTTTCGAAAAGGTGAGCAAGACTTACCACTGGCCAGTAAAGTTATCGGGATAGGGCTCCAGGTCATGACCTGCGAGCATACCCTGCCTGATATCATGCCTCCATCCAGGGAACCGATCACGTTGCGCCCCAGCGAACTGCACCGTGTACGGACACAGGAACCCTCGCTCCGAGGTGTCGGGTATTTTTGTGGTGTCTTCAGGTATCTTCATGTCTTCTTCCTTCTTGTCGACTCGTGCTCGCGGCACAGACGAGAAGTTCACATGGAAACCAGGCAGGGTAGGAAGAGAGGGAGGAGGAGGGTTGGCAAAAGGTTGGGTCATATTTGGCCCTGGACGCAGAGAGGTGACATAGCAAAACCACGCCTCTTTCTTTCTCTTTCTCTCTCTCCCGCTCGCTCTTTTTATTGAAATCTAGATCACAACGTAGTATTGAAAAGATAGATGAGGTGGTGATGGTGACGGGGTGGCGTCGTTGGAAGTATTATCTGAGAAGCCGCACGGTTGATGTGGCGATGATGGGGAACGGGGAATAATGGGTTGAGAAAAGGCGGCCAGGAAGAAGAAGAAAGCTGGATGCTGTATGTTGATGAAGTGCTTTCTCCTTTCTTTACTTTGAATTCTTAGAAAAAGAGAAGGAGATGGAGATGGAGAGAGGTAAGAGAGAGAGAGGGGGGGGGGAGCTAAATGGTTTATATGTCGTTCGTAGGTTGAGTAAGTTGAGGGTGAGGGTGAGGTCTAGTTTAGGTCAGGTCAGGTCCCTGGCGGCATGTGACAAGGCAAAAGAAAAGGGCACCCGGAATTGCTGTGGACTTGGACCACTAACCACCACCAACTACCGTCCCCCAAGTGCTACTGCACGGTACTACTACAGTAGTCAGTACCCCCCCCCCCCCCCTCACCACTTTGCACGGAAGGCTCAGGCCAACTGCCCCGCACTCCGTTCCCGTCCATCCACTCTTCTCCTCCACTCCTTCCTTGTCATATGGCGGCAGCAGCACTACAGGACCACGTCACTTAGGGCAGGGAGGACCTCGGATCCCCGAAATCAATTGTTCCTGCTCAAAACAAAGCTTCCCCTGCACTTCTGATGTGTCACAAAAGACACGAAGGTGGCGACGTTGCCAACAGAATTGATATTTGACAAGTCAGAAAAATAAGAGAAGAAAAGAAAAAAGAAGGAAAATGTAACAAATTAATCTTCATTGCCTACATCCATCGTATTTCACATCACACATCTGCTGTGGGCAACAGCGGCAAGCGATGCCATTTCTTGCTTTGGAACTCTCCTTGCTCGACCTCCCACCCTTTTCGAGAGACAGACAGACAGACAGAGAGAGAGAGAGAGAGAGAGAGAGAGAGCGGGATGGAGAAAGTAGTTTCTGCATGATTCTGGAATTGAAAAGTGACCAGCTGATGGGGGTATTTCCACACTATTTCTCTATACAAGATGCATCATCCCCTTGTAGGGATTTCTTTCTTTTCCCTCCCTCTTCACCACATATACACACACACACGGTCATGACAGATGTTTCTTTTGCTTTCGAAAGGACAAGTAGAGAGAGAGAGAGAGAAAGGGGAAGGAAAGGGGGAGAAAGAGAAAAGGGACACTTAAGAGGATCGCCCAACGCCAATGCAAGAAAAAGAAACCGCCCAGCATGACATCGTACCGACAATCGTTGACCACCACCTTTGTCTCATATCTCCACACCTCGAAGCAAATGAGCAGAGAGTAGGATAATCACCCTCCCTCCTCCTTGTCTGAACTTCACCGCATAGCCTTCTCGATAGCCTCGTCATACCCCAGCGGCTCCCGGGCGCACTAGGCCCGCATCAGCTCGCCCATGTCCTTCATCCTATAGTCCAGCACGGCGGTGACCCAGTCGTCCTCGACCAGCGAGTAGCCCTCCCTCGCGTTGTCCTTGGGCTTACGCGGGTTGATGGCCCAGTAGCCAAAGTCGGCGTCTGTCGCCTTGAGGAACCGCATCAGGTTGCCCCAGTAGTTGGCGTCGCCGGCCCCCGGCTGGTGAGGCGCGCCGAACTCGCCGATCCACACGGGCGCCATGTCGTCCTCGACGAGGTAGGCCCAGTTCTCGCGCATGGTGCGCACAAAGCTCGGGTACGGCCGCTTGGCGAAGCGGCCCTCGCGTGAGCCCCAGCCCGACCAGGAGTAGACGTGGGCCGAGTAGACGAGGCGGTCGGCCACATCCAGCACGACAGGACGGTCGCGTGCCCCGCGCAGGTCGTTGCCGCTCTCTGTGCCGCCGACGATGATCAGCCAGTCGCGGTTCATGTTCAGGAGGCGGTTGCCCGCGGCCTCGGCGGCGCGCGCCCAGCGGTCCCAGGTCATGGTGCCCCAGACGCCACGGACCTCGTTGCGGAGGTCGGCGCCGATGACGCGCGGGTTGTCGACGAGCCGGGCCATGACCGCCTCCCAGTGGTGGATCCAGTCCTCCTCGGTCTGGGTGATGCGGCACAGCGGGCCCAGGTGGTCGTTGGCCCAACCGGCGTCGCATGGGTCGGCGCCGCAGCACCAGGTCGCGTGTGTAATGTGGTTGTTGATGATGACGGCCAGGCCCTCGTCCGTCAGCGCCTGCACGCACGCCTCGAACACGTCCAGGGCGCGGAGCCCCGCCAGGTCTGGGTTGGCCGCCAGCAGGTGCGGCAGGATGTGCGGGTTGCTGATGACCAGCTCGTCGGCATACGGGAGCCGCACGCTGTTGAACCCCAGCCGCCGGATCGTCTGCGCGATGGTTCGCCGGTGCTGCACGTCCAGCCCGCCGGGGACGAAGAGCTCGTCTGACGCCCCGTACCAGTTGACGCTGGCCAGCTTGAACCGCCGGCCTGTAGCGTCGACAATGTCACGACCACGCGTCCGCAGGGGCAGGGTATAGGTATCTATCGAGGACTCGGCAGGCGGTGGAGGGAGAGGTTGCTGCGCAAAGAGGCGGGCGCCGGCGTCTGGGACCCAGGGTTCGCTCAGGGACGATTCGGACCGCCATAGGTAGGTGGCGAGGCCGCAGACGAGGAGGACAGCTATGTAGAGGTACATTGCTCGCGAGGAGGAGGAAAAGAAAGAAGGGGGGCGAGGAGGGTGGTGGTGGTGATGGTCAAGGCCGACGCTCCTTCTCGTCTTCATCGGGAGCTTGTTTTCTTCTTCCTTTCGCGGCGGAAGGGAGGGGGGGGGGGTTCGTGATTTTGAGGAGCGTTTGCGTAGGTGATGTATGGCGGCGGTGGATCAGCTACAACGCTCTGTTCAGGGGCTGGCTTGTGATGTGCCCTTTGACTGCCATGTTCCGCCCCTTCGACGACGCCGTAAATGGGGTGTCAAAAGCACCACACTGATGAGCCCAGTACGGTTTTCTAGTCCCACGTCTGGCTGGGAGAGGAGGAGGAGCAGGAGAAGAAGAAGAGAGGATTGCTCTCTGGTTTTGGGAAGCTCAGAGCAGGTGGGAGGGTGGGCAGGCGGCCAGTTTGGGTCAGGTGGGGGGTGGCGGTCGTAGGGCCAAAACTGACGAAAAGCACGAATGTTTATATGTGGATTGTGTAACCAGCAGAACCAGCTGTACCAGAATGACGAAGAGAAAGAAGAAGAAAAGTGAAGCTGCCTTAATAATCCAGATAAACAACACTGGTTGCTGACGGAAGCCCCGGGATTGCAAACGAGGGGCCCAACAGGGACGAAAGAGTCCGAGCCCAGCTCGTGATGAGACGGACCTGAGGCTGGAAGACGCGGAGTTTAGACTCCCAGCCCCAAACGCAACGAGCAGCATCGAGCACTGGAGCGAGCATTCGTCGAGTGTCGAGCTGAGCTGTACTTGGCTTAGGTGGTGGGGGGAAGGGCGCTAAAAGGGGGCCCTGGACCCCGGGCGACTACTTACTTACTGAGCAGGGGGTCCCGCTGAGCGCTTTTCTACAGTATCACGAGTATGTATGTATCACAGCGTGCATGACAGGTATTAGAACAGCCTGTTCAGAGCCATCATTCTAGTGGACTGGGACACGTGATGATGGACCATACGTGAAATTTCATTGTCGTGACCCATCTTACGATTATATCACGTAAATTAAACACTTCAGAGGGGTTGTATTTTTTCTTTCGTTTCTCTTCTTTCTCGATCCATTTTTTTATATTTATAATTGAATTCGCTCTTGGTCTCGGTCTCGGTCTCGCTCTCAATGAGAATATATCGACAGAGCCAGGTTTGGTTCTCGGCTGGAATATATATATATATATATGTTTGTATATATACAGACGCCAATAAAATAATGGGCATCCTTGGTCACACTCACACACACCCAAGAAGTAAAACACGGATCTTCCCCCAAAGAAAAGAAAGAAAGTAGAAAGAAAGAAAAAAGAAGATAATAAAAAAGATAATAAGAATTTCCATCATCACTTCTTGGCGTGAAAAGAGATGTAGTGCCTCGTGCCCATTTTGGAGGTGCGATCCGGGTGACCTCGCGAGCCGGACCGGCCGAGATTTCTCATCACCACCCGGAACCTTCGGAACCTCAACTCTCTCTCTTCTTCCCTTCCTTCCGCCTTGTCCCCCGTTTTCTTCTTGGTTCCATTGTTTCTTTCTTTCCCGTCACGTTTGCGACGGAGTCCCCTCCCTCCCCACTCTCTCGTCAGGAGGTGAGGAATTTTTGGTTCCATACATCCTCATCTCAGCCAGGTCGGCGTCCGCTCGTCTCACTGCAGATACACATAAGCGCGCTGGTTTTCCCGCCTTTTTCGCCACCGGCGCCGAACCAACCATACTTCTTCCTGGTTGACCACTTTTCGGTCGCAGCCTCGCATGTGTAGGCTGTTGGGTAGAGGTGGTCCAGGTTGCACAGCGTATTCCGAAGGCTTGCGTGGTTTCGAATCCTCGGTTGCCAATCTGCCTCCCAAAATTCATTCCAGAAACGACAGGAGGGGGGTGGCCTTCAACCGCTCTCGGAAGGGATATAACATAAAAGGACCAGATAACGCCGCGCTAGATAACCAAGGAGAATTTGAATCAATGTGTGCGTGGGTGGATGTATAGATGGATCAGGCCATTCGATTCCCTCCGATGCACATCTGCACACTCGTCTTTGGTGAAGATGAGTAGCTTGTAGACGTGGATGACCTTCATGTACGCAGCGCGTCTTGTTGCGGCTCGCGTATTGAAGTCGTCAAAAGCTTTCCCAACTTTTCGTGCTTTTTCCGTCTTCTTCGTCTTTATCTTCTTTCGTCATCCCATAGGTTCGTCCGTCGAAGCCTCATCATATCCTGTTCATCTGGAGGGGGTTAATGCTGTCCGCCTGGCCATAGCTGTCCTGGCTGTATTGATAGCTCGTCGGGGGCGAGTACGGTCGCGCAGGGTTCGGGTGGGCCGCGTGACCCTGTTCCCAGCTGGCCTGCGACGCCTGGCCCTCTCTCGTCGGTGGTCTCGGGCTGGAGAAGGACCTCGTGGGCGCCTGGTACCTCGCGGTCTGGCCAAAGTAGTCGGGGGTGCGGCGGCCGCCGCCACCACCTGCAGATGCTGCTGTGGGGGTCAGGTCGTCGGGGCCGGCGCCGCCGGGGGAGGCCGCATCCGTCGAGGCGAGGTAGCTCCGGAGGGGTGGGTAGATGGGTCCCTCGCGCACTGTCAACACCGGTGTCAACATGCCGTCCTTGTCCCGTGAGAGCATTTCGTACGAACGTGGATCTGTGTTCATCTTGAGGTCGTATGGTCCGCCGAGCGCGTCAACCGATACAAACTCACGCTTGCCGCCTATCGGCCGCCGAGTGATGAGCTCTATCCATCCCGTCACCATAGACCAGCGTCCCAGAAGGAGGACGAGCCAGAACCCGTTCATCTGTTTGTTGGGTTGTTCTTCCAGTCAGTATACTTTTCTTCTTACAATGTCGACAAATTATATACATGTGGCGGTAAAAGACGGGTCTTTTTTTGGTTGAGAGAAGAAAGGGGGGGGGGGGGGTTCAGACGTACCGCCAGGAGAATCAGGACGGCCCCGATGGTTGCTATGTTGACGACAAATCTGCTGGCCTCGGTCAGACAGGCGTTCTTGTCTCCTGCCGTTTCCGCAAGGCAGGTAATCCAGGGGTCTGCGACGGTCGGGTCCGTCTTGACCGTCTCCTCGGTATTGTCCTGGAAGACGAAGACGATGGCGAAGAAGATGACATCAGCGATGATGATCAGCACGATGGCGATGCCGCGCCACTGGAGCTGGATCACCCGGCGCACGCGGCGATAGGCCTGGCGGGGGGTCATGGTTCGGATGCTGTTGGAGTAGGAGGGCAGGCCCGAATTCTCGGTTGTGGCGTTGTTGTCGGCCAGGGAGGCGAGGTACACCTTGATGCAGTAGCCGAACGTCGCGAACTGAATGATGATGGTAAGGGCAGCAAAGACCAGGAGTGGGATCCACAGGTCCGCCAGGCTGTTGTGGTGGTTGACGTGACAGGTGGTCCCGAAGCGGAACGAGACACCGCTCAGCGTCAGGGCCAGCACGATGCCCACGGCCGGAATGCCCCATCCGGTTGCCTGCGAGAACCACATGAAATTCCTGCCTACGACAACCTGCCAGCAGATTTGGAGGTGGAGAGACAGCGACCGCAGGAACACCCACAGCACGCCGGCCCAGCCTCCGATGATGAGGAAGGTCCCAGATGCGGCGCACACAGAGCTCGTCTGCATGTCGTTGGGCGTGATCTTGTCGAAACACTGGTCCGGCTGTCCTGCCAGAGGGATGACGAAGCCCATATTCATGAAGCACACGGCGAGGACCAGGCAGATGCTAAGGTAGTGCCTGTGTGTCTTGTCGATGGGGAGGGCGGCCCACGATAGCAGGAGAAATACACAGCAGACCATGCTGCACACCGAGATCCATTGTGCCGCAATGCCCACTTTGATGAAGGCATCCGAATATGTCCAGTCGGTCATGGGACATGGCAGACAACATGTGAGATCGCCGAGAGCCTGGCACAAGCGGCCATCGGTGTCTGTATATGAGAATTCTGGTCAGCATACTATGACATCTCACAACAAGCCTTCCCAGGGTTCATCTTGGTGAGAGCCTACATCCGCCATTGCTATACTGCGAGGCGTCGAGAAACGGAGATGGGCAGGTCGACATTGTGATCCGTACGAGGTTCACGACCGATATGTCAGAGAGTAAGAAAGAATAGTGACGAGTCTGTAGTGTATCTGTTTAAGTGGGGTGATTTTGTTGTTGTCGTAGTTGTTCAGGGTTCCTATATAAGAGGAAGTCGTCCCGTCCAGAGTCTCTCTCCCCCCAACAGGCGGCCAGTGCACTGGTGCGGCAGAGGCTGTGTTGATCTGATCCCCAAATAAGAGGGGGCCCAAACCGGAGCCGTAAAGCTAGAATAATAGGATGATGATTTCAGCACGAAAGAAAGAAAAAACCTGAATAGGCTGTTGTCGTCGTAGTTGTCGTAGTTGTATTCGTAGTAGTAGTAGTAGTAGTAGTAGTAGTAGTAGTAGTAGTAGTAGTTGTTGTTGTTGTTGTTGTTGTTGTTGTCGTCGTCGTCGTCGTTGTCGTAGAACCACCTGGGCGCTGAACGAACTGGTGGAGTAGGAACGTTTCGTCTTTGCCCGCTCCTAGAGATAGAGATTTGGTTTGCAGCAATCGTCCAGTCATTAGAGAAGAGAGTGTAGCCTCTTCACCATAGTGGACCGTCGCAGTCTTAAGAGCCCTTGAGGAGCAGAGAGGCCTGGCCGCGTCGACGGCGGAGACTAGAGAAACCGATGGAGCCCCAGCGGATCTATATGTTCCTATCTCTCGACCAAGACAGGGAGTCGGCAACCGTAACAATTTGGCAGTGCAAGGTTTCGGATAGCGATTATAAGGAGAGCATAATTGTGGGAGGGCTGTGTGTGAGTGTGTGTGAGTGTGTACACTTGGTACGGTAGAAACTTTCTGAAGTTTTTGAAGCAGATATCAAACAAGGAGCACACCAAAAGAAGAGCCCATGGGAAAGTACATACGGATTGGGTATAAAGGAAAAAAAATTATGAATCCGTCGTAGGAAGCAGAAGGGCGGAGGAAAAGGGTGGGTAGGGCAGGTGTATGTATGTATGTATGTAAGTATGTATGCATCCTACCATGAAGAGAGTGAGCGAGTGAGGTGAGATGGCCATGGTTACGGCCATGGTCCCTGTCTGGCATGGTTCTGGGGCACAAGGGGGAGGAGGCAACGGGCATGGGCAAGGCCCGATTACAGACCAGGATGGCAACCCCAAAGGGACTTGCAGCACAGCTCGCAGGCTACAGCAGCAGTAAGTCCTTGCTAAGATGGTCCCACTAGAAGGCACCATGGAAGCGCAACCGGGGGGAGGGGGAGGTGGTTGGACATGGGGTCTGTGTGTGTGCCCACAGGTTGGTCTAAAAAGGTGCCTGCGTTTCCCACAGTGGGGACCCTTCTGTGTGCCCATGCAGGTGGGTGCGTTCTGGGTGGATTGTTGGTGGTGATGGTAGTGGTAATAGCCATTGGATGGAGCGCGCCAAGGGGAGGAGGAGGAGGAGGAGGACAAGCACTAGAGGAGAGGAGGAGATGGCTGGAAGGGCTGGACAGGTCTCGTCCCCAGTCGCGACTGCCACCACCTCGTATGTACATCACACCCCACCTTGTCTTAGGGCCCTTGGACCTGAAAGCCCCTCGTCCCCGGCCCCCTGTCACTAGGCCTGTCCAGCTTGGACCAGAGGGGCAAGGTTTGCATATGAGCCGAGGGACCAGGCTTCAGGCAGGCCCTGACCATGACCACCACTACCCACTAACCACCCACGTCCCCAACAGCCTGGGCTCCGCACCACTCTCTTTCCCTCTGTGTGATCTTAAAATGAATGAATCGTCTCTTGGATCGCACTTTTAGTTCTGGTTCTGCTTGGCTGCCAGTGGATACGATTCAAAGGACGAACGAATGAAGGACTGTTGTCGACGTGACGGATGGAGATTACATTTTGGCCATGGCCACCCAGTTACGGACTCGGAGTCGTCGTTGGGGCAGCGCGTGATAGTGACAAGTGCTGCACGAAAACTTGAATACGGCAAATCGGGAGATTGCAGTGATGGTCGCTGGTTGAGGTCACTCAAGCAGACTACTCCGGGCCCGCCGTGGGGTGGACAGAGTTCTGGAGGAGGGAACAGTCAGAAGGTACCACTGCCTTCGCGGAGGCCACATATCACTGGGTGATCAGGATTAAACTGCATGGCCCCTCCACACGGGGGGCATTACTAGAGGATTTTCCCAAGTAGTATTGTGATGAGAAAAGCTTCTGTGTGGGGTACGTCAATGCGAATCCTACCAGGACAGGATAGGATCAACATGCACATCTCGTAGTCCCGACTGGAAGAGGAAGGACTGCAAAATGGTGTGTCCTGATCTCCAACGTCAGACTTGCCCAGTCCAATTGTGTCAGCCCCAAATTGAGTGGCTCGTTCGCTCTACATCCTCGACGAGGTCGTGTGAGGAGGGGGAGATGGGGAAGCGGCGGCTGGTTGTTCATCGCGACGCACATGTCTGGCCACCATCGAGAATCATATAGGCCTCCTTCCAAGATGCCGCGGCTGCTGAAGTGACTTTCTTCAAGTTTCTTACCCCCCCTCCATGAGATGCGTAAATCCTTTGAGGGAACTGCCGCTCTGCCGCAGGATTTGATCTCAACGATTTGGGGGCTGTTCTACTATAGCAGCAATAACTGCTGCTGCCTCTGGCTCATTGGAACTGAAAATAATCCCCTCTCGGTGACGGTGAATATTACTATCTCTGTCTATTTGTCTGCCTGGCTGCCTGTTTGTTCACCTGACCGGGGATAATTATGCCTCTTGAGGAGGGCTCCTATTCCCAACGTCATCAGCTGTGTATACCAACAATAATGCAATGTCCTCTATTACTGTACAGTAAGGTGTGGTTGGTAAGGTAGCATGCACATCGAAAGTCTGTGCCACCCTGGTGAAGGCTGTGTGACCAAGGCTATCATGCTATCAAGAAACGACGTCGTATTGTTCAGACCCTCATTCTTCATTCTTGATAGGTCAGATCGACCATCCTTAGCAACAATGCCATTACGCACGCCGTGCCTTAAAAACCCACCAAAGTCAAGACGATCCTGTCGCTCATCAATAGAGATTCTAATATATTATGTACTATGGTATATATATTACTTTAGTAGTCATTGTATAGTTGTGCAGCTCCCTACCGTACAAAAATAAATGTCGGAACATGCATGTTACACAGGCGTGTTCGCTCCACAACTTTTACAGTAGGTCTCCCTGATAAGGAGGAGGAGACCCAAGAAACCTTTGGGCTCAATGCATTACAGTTCCACTTTTCAACCGCAGAAACACTATTCTACCGTTATTATACTATGGTACGTGCACATTCAGCAAGGGCCGCCTCCCAAGGCCTCCTCCAGCTGTTGCACTTTGCTTTGATTCATCCAAATTCCCACTCTACTTTTTTGCTCGGCCTGCGCCCAAGGATCGCATGTCAAAACGGGCTTCTCGGGGTCCAGATTTATCATCTTGGTCATGGCCCATGCCCTGAACCATGCAAAGTATCGGCTCCGAGTTGCCACGTGGAAGAGGCGTACTGTGCACACACAGCAGTGGTGTAATTATTTCGAATACACATGCACAATACTAAAGTTGCGAATTGGATAAGCCGGCCCTGGCCAGCCCCAGCCAGCCTTCCTTTGTCCATGGTAGTGACTAGCAGGCATGTTCAGGGACCCATCTTTCAGCCCTTATACTTAGGCTGAGTATTACAATGGCCAGTCACCAATAAACACTGCAGAGCTTGCGCTGTGGCTCACGCTTTTTTCCCTTGGTCTTCGTTTTGTTGTCTTTCACCCCTCCAGTGGCTCCATGTCAAATCCCTTCTGTGACTCGCGCGTCATTAATATGCCGTATCAGCGAACTCGACCAGGTTCAACATCCATTCATGGCCTTGCCATGCGCAAGACCAAACCACATGGTCTCTTTGGCGAATCGGACCTTGACTTGAGCCTCAACCCAGGTTGCTCCCCTGGTCAGAATCTAGACAGCTCGTGGGGAACACGCTTTTCCGCCGTGTACCACAGTAGCCACAGCCACCCAAAAAAACACAAGACCCGCGCCGGACTCTTTTTTTTTCCTTCTGCTTGACCTTTCACATCGTCCACGGAAAGAGCACCTATGCGTCCTCACTGGTTGACCTCGCGCCTTCTCCCCCCCCCCCCCTTTTCCTTTTTTTCAATGGTCCGTCGTACTTGCCATCTCACCTGAAAGTAAGACCCACTTCATAGCAAATCTGTCAAATCCTTATTTTTCGCTCTTTTCTTTTCTTTCTCGGGCGGGCCTTCCCGATGATGACACTTCTTTCTTGCCCCAGCCCAGCCCTCCCCCCCCCTTCATCTCAGCATAATCACATCATACATAGGTGGCAATACCGTCAACCCCAAGAAATTTGATCAACGTGAAGGCCTGTGCTCACTAAGCCTTCCCCCTTCCGTGCACCTTTATTCGTCTGGACCTACCGGATCATAAATCGTCAAACCTTGGTGCTGTTTCAATTGGCTGGAATGGTCAAGACCCAAAAAAATCAAACCAAGGAAGAGTGGCGGTACTGAAAAGAGAATCGCATAGCACAGAAACGAACGATTATGGTAGCGAGCGCTAGGTTCCCCCACCTCCGCTTAGACGGCTGCTTCGGAACCTCTCTTGTCCTTTCTAACTATCTTAACTCTTTTTTCTTTCTTCTTCTTCCGAGCAAATCACGGCACGTCCTGGAGCTGTGATGATATCGAAGATCCCGTTTCGTTGGTTCCGTCACACAGAGTCGGCGCTTACACAATCTCGGTTCCAGGCTCCCCCGGGTGTGGGTGGGTAATGTGTGTGTACCATAGTAAGCCTCCTGAGTACATGCTTGAGGGCGGGCTGGACACGAGAGAGAGAGAGAGAGAGAGAGAGAGACACAAAAAAAGAGAGACATTTTTTGCAGAATGTCTACAT